GTCCAGTGGCCTGACGGTGTCTGAATCTTCAGATGCCGTCAGCGTCGACACCGGCAAGCTTGCCATTACTTTCCCCAAGTCCGGCAACGTACTTGTTGGTGAGATCAAGACCGCCTCTGGCAAGATCATCGGCCAGAACGGAAAGCTTGTCCTTCACTCCCAGTCGGGTGTCGAGGACCAACCCGAGTTGAGGGGCCAGTCCGGCATCACTCACTTCAACTTCGAGAGCAAGGTGGAGGAGGTCACTGTGAGCAAGGACAACATCGCCCGCGCTCTCGTTACTGTCCGTGGCAAGCACTCCCCCCTGGGCGAGGGTAGTCACGCCGATTGGCTTCCCTTCATCCTGCGCTTCTACCTTTACCACAACTCCGAGGCGGTCCGTATTGTGCACACCGTCATCTACGATGGCAAGGCCGAGGAAGACTTCATCTCCGGCCTTGGTATCCGCTTCGAGGTCCCTCTCGAGGGAGAGGAACAGTACAACCGCCACGTTAGAATCTCTGGCATCGACGGAGGTCTTCTTAGCGAGGCTGTGCAGGGCATCACTGGTCTTCGCAGAGATCCCGGTGCTACGGTCCGCAACGACCAATTCGAAGGCGCCGAGTTGGCCGACCCCGCGACTTGGGACCAGAGAGTCACCACCAGACTCCAGTGGATCCCTACCTGGAGCGACTACAGCTTGACCCAGTTGTCTCCCGACGGCTTCACCTTGAAGAAGCGCACCAAGGCCGGACAAAGCTGGGTCAACATCCCCGGTGGCACCCGAGCTGGCGGCCTTGCCTACCTCGGTGGTGCTACCAAGGGCGGTCTCGCTGTTGGCCTGCGCAACTTCTGGAAGCGCTACCCCACCGGCATCGATATCACAAACGCCGCCACCGACAAGGGCGAGATCACCATTTGGATCTACAGCCCTTCGGCGCCAGCCCTTGACCTCCGCCCCTACCACGACGGCCTCGGCCAGGACACCTACGCCAAGCAGCTCGACGCCCTTGAAATCACCTACGAGGACTACGAACCCGGCTTCAACAACCCGTACGGTATCGCCCGCACCAACGAGATCTTCCTCTACGGTTTCGAGTCGACCCCTAACCGCACTCTCCTCTCCGACCTGACTGAGCACACCAACAACCCTCCCGTCCTCTACGGCGAGCCCGAATACCTCGCCGAGACCAAGGCCCTCGGCAATTACTGGGCACCTCCCTCCGAGTCCCCCTCAGGCGTCGAGGCCGACCTCGAGAAGCATCTCGACTTCCTTTTCAAGTTCTACGAAGGACAGGTGGAGCAACGCAAGTGGTACGGCTTCTGGGACCACGGCGACTTCATTCACACATACGACTCCGACCGTCACCAATGGCGCTACGACATTGGCGGCTACGCCTGGGATAACTCGGAGCTGTCACCCGACCTTTTCTTCTGGAACTACTTCCTCCGTACTGGCCGTGAGGACGTCTACCGCTTCGCTGAGGCCCAGGTCCGCCACACGGGCGAGGTTGACGTCTACCATCTCGGCGACCTCAAGGGTCTTGGCACACGCCACGGTGTCCAGCACTGGGGCGATAGCGCCAAGCAGGCACGTATCTCTACCCCTCAGTACCGCAAGGTCTTCTACTTTGTCACTGGAGGTGACGAGCGCACCGGTGAGCTTGTCGAGGAGATCCTTGACACCGACAAGACCTACGGCATCCTCGACCCCAATCGCAAGGTCCGCACTGACGGCTGGGTCCCGACCCCCAACTCCTCCGTCGCTGTCGGCCTCGGTACCGATTGGTCGTCCCTCGCCGCCTCTTGGCTTCTCGAGTGGGAGCGCCGCGGCTCCCGCTGGGAAGAGGCCCGCACCAAGCTCACCAACACGGCCGCCAGCATCGCCAAGCTCAAGAATGGCTTCGTCACTGGGTCCGGTCTTTACAACCTTGCTGACGGCACCCTGGGGCCCCCTCCCGCGGACCCTACTAACAACGGCACCGTGGCCGTATCCCATTTGTCCGCCGTCTTCGGCCTCATGGAGGTCGTCGCCGAGTTCATCGAGCACGCCGGCGAAGAAGTTCCCGAGGGCTTCGAGCAGGCGTGGTACGACTACAGTTACTACTACAGCGCCGGAACCGCCGAGCAGACGGCACGGTACGGCAAGGGTTTCGGTAACACCAGTCTCAAGCAGGGACACTCGCGTCTCACAGCGTACGCTGCCCATCGCACCAACAACGCGACTCTTGCGGCGCGTGCCTGGAACGAGTTTTTCAACACCGATGGTCTCAAGCAGACGGCGCCCTGGAGCACTGTGCACTTTAACGGCAGTGCTGTATTGGCGCCAATCGATGAGGCTGCTTGGATTTCTACCAACGACGCGGCTCTCTATGGACTGGCAGCCATCATCAACTTAGCCCTCGTTGGGGATTCCCTTGATTAGATCCTTCATCATTAAGCAAGTTAATATATGCTTATCCCATCGAGTGCCAGTGTGGTAGGTCGCCTGGCGACTTCGTTAAACTATTCGATAGTTTACAATTACTTGTGTTCTGTACAAATTGCAGTTATGATATACATACCATTTATCTCTGTTGATACATAACGTTGTGTCAAAAACAAAGCAGTCATTTTAAGTTCTCAGCCGCATGAGATTATTCCTAGAGATCTCCTCTAGTGTCTAGCATAGCCTTACAGGTTCTTGTACGACTTGGTCCAGAACACAATCATTCCGACCTGGCCTTTGAGTTGTTGAACGCTATGCCGAGTGATGTTTCGTTACACTGGGACCGCAGAGAACAACCAAGATAGTCGCATGGAAAGGGAGTTGACTTGAGCTGTTGCCACTAAAAGACTACAGCAAGATCTGAAGCGAAGGCGGAAAACGAAGAATGTACAGCTAAAGAATATCAACCGGTGTTGTTGTCCTTCAAATTTTTGGTTTCCTTGTATTCCGAGGCTTCGTCGCTTAAACCCCTGTAGCCCCGGCCCTCCCATTGCCATCAACTAAAAACAAAGCTCTCACTGAGTCAATTATCAATTGTGCATCATTACATTGATTCACATATACAACAGTCGCTGATCAATCGCTTTGTCTGCGAGCGTTTTTGCTACTCATAAGTAAGAGGGGATTTGAGTGCCGTCAAGAAATCATTCGTCATTGGGCATTCCGTTTTTTCACTGCGCCCTGTTGTCCTATCATGAGCTCTGTAAACATGTAACCCTTGTTATCTAATAAGATGCAGGGAACATTTGACCTAGGCAGCAAACGAGCTACCGATTATGCTTGGCAGCCCATTGACCCCGCTCCCTTCTATCTCCTGGGAGTAAGCTTACGGAGTAATAACAACTTCTCCATTTGAACCCTTCCACAAGCTGCATAAGCATACGTCTCTTATCACCTACAGATACGAATAAACATAACACAATAATGTTCCGCCGCAAGAAGAAGCCTGCCCGAGAGCCGCCCGAAGTCTTCGGCTATGACCGCGATGCGCTCGTCTTACTCGTGAAGCGCCACTACGAGCTGCTCGTCGACATGGGACACCTGCGCCCAGAAGCCCTCCAGGCACCACCCGAGACAGGATGGCCTGACGCGGAGCTCAACGTCGATGCGTTACGGACTCTGGGCCGGTCTGAGGCGGTCATCGACCTACTACGGCACCTTCCATACCCAAGAGCAGGTCCTCCCGGTAGCGATGAGGCAACCCAAGATGCAATGGTGTACTATGAGACTATGGTTCTTTCGTACTTAAGAAACAAGTGGCAACCCGAGACGGCCTCAGATCCAAACTGGCACAAACTTCCCTTTGCCATGCTCGGGTTGGCCCCCTTCGACAAACCTGTGCCGTCCCACATGATATCCTTGACACACGAGGAATCAGAAGTTGGAGTGATTTGGCTCATTGACACGGAACGGGGTCAGGCTGTCATGTCTTTCTTATTCTGTCATTAAGCATGCTGACAGACGCGCATAGGATGCATTTATCCTCAGGGCGACGACAACTACTTGTACGATGACGCGCCTGCTGAAACCGAGGGGGACAAGCCATGGCTCAACGCAAAGGCGCTTTCCTTTCAAACCTTCTTCGACAAGATGCTTAAGGAAATCTCGTCTCTAAAGCTGGTCCCAGCACCTGCAGCTGGGAACATTGGGGCTGCGATTTGCGCTGCAAAAGACCCGGATGCTAAGGTGAGAGAGAGATTCCGGGCACGAACGTCGAATGTTGCATCATGGCATCTGAATCATCCGATATTGATATGTTGCAGGCAATGAAGCAGTTGTACCGTGAATACGGCTGGCCGGATGCCTTTAGAAAGGACGAGTTTCTCAGGGCCGCCGTGCCAGCTCGCGCAGCCATCTTGGACGAACAATACGATTGGTCAGACGAGAACTAGTCAAGGAATGATCGAAGTTCTCTTGCACAATATTGTAAGCGCCAGTGCAGTTTGGCGCTGTTTCTGCACCCGCCATCCTGCACAACGGCGGCTGGCGGATGCATCAGGCCCGTCGTTGAAAAGTACAGCAAGGATCATCATACCAAATGGATCTCAACGGATGGATGCTGGCCCCGAATCTTAACTGTCAGCGCGACGAGTACTCTCCCGCCGGCATCTGGTAAGGTGGTGCCATGAGGCAATGGATCCGTCTCGTCCCCAGGAAGCAAAACAGAGGTGCCGGCCAACTCCTCAAAGACGTCTGTTCCACCGCCCAGCACAAAATGTCGCCCGAGCAAGGCAAACACCTGTTCAAGGCCGTGCGGAACTGCAAGCGCGTTGATTCAAAGTACATTGTGACACGAACAGCCACCACCAGGGTGATGAGGATGAGGTTCGTCAACATGCCCAACCTCGCCGACGACGGCATCCCGGACAACCCGTGCTTTCCCAAGACCCTCCTTGACGACCCGGGCTTCGCGCTCATGACAAACGACCCCTGCTACAACACCCAGCCGGCCAGCAAGAGGAACACGCGACTGTACCGGAACGCCTCGGCGGCCAACATCCTCTTATTAAGGTAGTCTATGGGAAGAAACTGAAATACCTTAGTGGATAGAGGAAATCGATCATCACAAGCGAAAGAAACTTTATAGGCTGTTATAAGAAGGCTTGCCTTGTATTCTTGTGATTCGTATAAGCTAAACCCTAGAATCTGAATATCAACCGCAGTTGCACTCCTTACCTCCATTAGTATTTCAATTCCCACCATGTCTTCAATTTCGTGTCTGTCGAAATCCAAATTGGGAGACAACAAAGCTCTATTTGAATTGTCACTTCATATTTAATATTCTCCCGGCCTTTGGCTTAATAGTACTTGGGTATCATACGTCGCACAACTGCTCTCCCTCCTTTTCACAACGCTTCACGATTTTCCTCCAACTACGGATTGACCTTCCCCATCGCCTCCAACCACCTTCTCATACGCCGGCGCTGCCTCGCTAGGTCCATCGTACGCCGGGACCTCCTCAATGGCAGGCGGGGATGGCGCGAACGACGATGCGGCCATGGCAGAGGTCTCGGCCCGATCGCTGGCCATGTTTTCGCATGGCGCCAAGATAAGGATCCTTTGACTGCCCTCACAAGACCATGTCTCTCCTGCCACAGAAAGCGACACTTCCCAGCGAAGCGTGTGCTCGACCTTGACGCAGTATGTCACAAGCGTAGGTAGGATCGTCATGCCAAGGCTTTCTCGCCAATTACTCGTTCCGTGGAGGACCCGGCCTAAGGCGTCCACCCGCAGATTCAGTACAGCACCAAGATCCAGGGGTTCCTCCTTCGGGCCAGACGGCAGCACGATGCTCTCTTCGGTGACAGGAAAGACACTGCTCATCCTAGCCAGGCACAGCTTCCGCGTCTTGCTCGCCTCGTGGGAATCCAGCGTACCGGGGCAGATGATGCCGGTGGTTGACTGTAGCTCCAGTTGCATACTCTTTATCGTCACGGTCTGCTGCGCGTCTTCGATGATTTCGGTGGTTTTCTCCCTGTTTGGACTTACATGCAGCAAGAACGGAATGCTGGACTCGTTTCCCATCTGTATGACGGTCGGATACTGGACGTTGACCGTGTAGTGAAATGTCGGCACCTTGGACGAGCCGAAGAACTTTTGCGTCTTCTGCTTGAAGGACAGCTCTGCCTGCTCCATACCCGGCAGCAATCGCTGACTGGACACGCACCCAGTCATATTCCTCCTCACCAAGCCAAAGTCGCTAATCGGTGGCGCTGGCGTGGGAGGTGAGAAGACCTTGACGGGCAGCGCTGCCTTTACGATGGAACTCTTCCCTTGCACCACCATCTCGGCCTCAATCCAGTACTCAACGAATCCGTGCCATTTTTTGCTGAACCCGCGACCGTCCAAGTAGAAGCTCCCAGGCAGCGGCTGTTCGGGGATCCCCGCTGCGGATCCGGCCCTCCCTCCCGGACGCAAGAAGCACGCCTCCCTCGCGCTGTCTCCACCGCAAGCGTTCACAGACTGGGCGTTTGTGTGCGTCGGCAACGCCAGCGCGAACGCCCAGGCCTGGTGCTCCCTACCGCCGGGGGCGACGTGGACGGGGCCCTGGTGGACGACATCGGTGACGGCGGAGTCAGGCCAAAAGTTGAAGCGGCTGCGGTAGTAGCTTTTCGAGTTGTTGCCGCGGTCGACGACAAGCTTTGCCTTTGCGCGGCCGAGGAGGCGAACACGGACTGTAGACGATGGCGCGACGATGTGGGATTTGCGCACGACATGGCCCAGGATGACACTGCCGCTGTACAATGGTGTTTGTGGGTTGAGAAGTTGGATCGAGAGGTCGAGGCTCTGTTTCAACTCGGTTTGCGGCATGATGGCTCTTCACTATGCGCCTGGCTGTATCTGCTAGTATTTACTGAGCAAAATATGCATTCCGGGGGTTGAGTTCGCGAGGTTGCGATCGCCGTCTTGATAAAAGATTAATGATCATCGCCAAAGTCCCAAAGTAGCACGCTCAAGACCACACGTCTCAGACCACCGAACCACTATTTGAGGCACAGTCAGCACTGAATGAACGCTTCTGGCGCTCGGCAACGACATTGCCGTTAGTTTGGTGGCGCAGGGAGAGCTGGGCGTGCAGGGAAATCGAGGCTGAGTCATTCTGTCACTGCAAACACTCAGTCTCATTGGCTTCATCTCATCCCATCTTGCCCGATCTCTGTTTGATCTCATGCAACTCATTGATACCTATCATTGCTATCGGGCGTCTGCACTCACGATATTACATGCTTCTGCTGCCCCTGTTACCGCTGGTACGTCATTCTCCCCAGATTCACGGGAACAGTTTGCATGGTCTTGGCCGCAGACTGGCCGAGGTAAAAGCTGTACTCCCCTGTGTCAACGACCCATTGCCGATCCGTCTCATCGAAGGAAGCAAAATCCTTCGCCGAGACCCTCAGCTTTACAGTTTGCTTATCGCCAGGCTGCAGCCGAATTTTATCGAATGCCACCAGAACCTTGACCGGCGTGTCCGCCGACCGCTCCGTCTTTCCGACGTAGACCTGAATGACGGCTCCGCCGGCGGCGGCACCTGTGTTGGCGACATCCAGCGAAACCTCAAACGCATCCACAGCATCACTCTCTTTGACTACTTCAAAGTTGGTGTAGTCGAACGTTGTGTATGAGAGACCGTAACCAAAGGGGAAGTTCAAGACCTCTTTGTCAACGCGGTCGTAGTGTCTATACCCGACGAAAACGCCCTCAGCATACTCAACCTTGAGCTGACCGTCGGCGTTGCGCTCACCGGGGAAGTTTCCGTGCGCGGGCGCATCCTCAATGCGTGTCGGGAAACTGACGGGAAGTTTGCCCTCCGGGTTCACGGCGCCGGTTAACACGTCGGCGATAGCGTTGCCGCATTCCTGCCCCAGAAACCACGACTGGACGAGCGCGGAGATCTTGTCAAGCCAAGGCATGGCGACTGCGACCCCTGTGGAGTTAACGACGATGGTATTCTTGTTCGTCTTCGCCACCACCTCGATGAGACCGTCCTGGTCGCACGGAAGATGAAAGGATTCTTGGTCTCTGCCCTCGGTCTCCCACTGCGGGTCATGGCCGGTGAAGACGATGGCGACGTCTGCGTCGGAGGCTACTCGGGCGGCTTCACCCTGCAAGTCTGCGTCATGGTCTGATTCTAGAGCAAAGCCCATGCGCACGCCAGTTCGGCCCTCAAGAATCTCGAGGCCGATCTTGGTTGGGGGCTTGCTGTGGATGCGCAGGCGATAGGTCTTGCCTGCCGTGAAGGCATGTTTGATCTCCGGCTCATTGGCAGCGAGGAACAGAGCACCCATGGGATCGGCACAATTGCCCCCCTGTTCGAAGACAATCTCATCGTCTACCCAGACTTGCGTTGGGCCGATACCTGAGCAGGCTATGTAATGTGTTCCGGTCTCGAACGGAGTGAAGTCGCCGACGATGTCGAGCGTCTTCCACATGGACTCTTGAGAGCCCAACGGAGAGTAAGCTGAGTTGGGGTAGCTGTTCAGCACGGAGACAGGTTCGGCGTCCTCTCTGCCAAAGTCATAGAAGACGCGACTGAAGCCGGGCTGTCCGTCCAGTCCAGTAATCTTGCCGACCTTTCCGTCTTGGTTGATAGGAGGTAACAGGCGCTCCTTGTGAGCACCTTTGGCGTAGGTAAAAGTCACTTCGTCACCAAGTGCCGAGTGAAGTGCATCCCATGGCGGAAGTCTGTAGTGGGCGTTGACACTCGCGCTTCCACCACCGTGTGCAAGTCCGTCTTTCGCGTAGCCGATCAGTGCAATCTTCTTGCCCTTAACCTTCTCCTTCGTCAGAGGCAAGATGTTGTTATCGTTCTTCAGCAGCACGATACCTCTTGCGCCCGCGTCCCGGATCAACTCCCGATGCTCCGGTCGATCAACGGCCTCCTCGACAGCAATGACCGGGTCTTTAAACCCGTTGAGCTGCTCCGTCCACTCTAGGATGGCCCGCACCCGCTCGTCGATAACGTCCTCCGTGACCTCGCCCTTGTGAACCGCGTCCAGAACTGCAGCAGGCTTGCGTATCCTCGGCGGCCCGGGCATCTCAATATCCACGCCGGCCTTGAGGCCCTCCGCAACGGAATTTGTTCCTCCCCAGTCGCTCATGACTAGGCCCTTCCATCCCCATTCGCCCCTCAGGACCTCCTTTAGCAGCCACTCATTTGAATCGCAATGCTTGCCGTTGATCAAGTTGTAAGCGGTCATGATGGCCCACGGCTTGGCCTCCTTGACAGCGATCTCAAAAGGCTTCAGGTACATCTCACGCAGGGCGCGCTCACTGATGGCCTCGTCAACAGTCGTGCGCTCAGTCTCCTGCTCGTTGGCGACAAAATGCTTGATTGTCGCCGAGACACCCAGACTCTGGCACCCCTGAATCATCTCCGAGGAAGCTTACCGGCCAAGAACGGATCCTCGCTGTAGCTCTCGAAGTTGCGTCCACAAAGAGGATGACGGTGGATGCATACTGTAGGCGCCAGAAGACAGCGCGCGCCTTTGGCCTTGGATTCTTGGGCCAAGGCGTAGCCGACTTTGCGGGCAATAGTACGATCGAATGTTGCTGCTATGCTGCAGGCCGCGGGGAAGCAGGCGGCTTTTGTGCTCCTGTTGATTGCAGCGCCGCGGGTGCCGTTTGGGCCATCAGTGGTCTAAAGAACGCTCAATATCCGAAAGATGTATCTCAAGAAATATCCCTAACCTTGATGGCCGGAACCCCCTTCTCGTCGACATCGCCAGTCTCGACAAAGTTGCGGCCGGAAAGGAGGCGGACCGGTGAGTGAGGTGTCAGCAACTACTTCGCCGTTAGTGCACTATCCAAAATTACTTGCTTTCTCTTCCAGGGTCAGGCTCCTGAGAATGGCCTCAATATCCGTCTTTTCTGCTATTTTCTCGATAGAAAGACGACCATCAATAAAGAAGTCCAATACTCATCAGGGGCAGCACCCTCATATCGACATGGCCGTGGGTTTCATTTATTCCCCGCGACGAACTCGCGAGGAAGAGCATGTTGTACAGCGGTGCGGAAGTCGGAAGCCGGAACAGCACGCTATTCAACCAACACAGATGGGGTCTCCCGCATCCCCCACATTCTCTGTGAGGAGACGGCGGATGGCGATGTCGACTTGGGACACTAAGAAACGCGTCCGGGGCTCATCTCCAATCAAATGACAGTTTTTGAGCTTTTCCTGCTGCTTTGAGGGTGCCCCAGTTGTCAGGCCCCGCGGCTGGTTGATTCCGGCCCGGAAGAGCGCCGGTGAGTTGGGTCCGGCCAGTCTCCCACGGGATCCGATGCTCCCCTCCTTTCGACCGCACAGTGTGAAGCCTGGGAGCAAAAGATCTTTTTGGAATTCTTCATACACTTCAGCAACCCTTTCTTCGAAAGAGGGCCACTTATCGATGTGCAACCAGCGCGGCCTACCGACTGCAATCGTAAGCTGACTAGCCTTAGCTCACTAATCATTGGCTCGTCGAATTGCTTGAAAGATTACGTGAGGTGCCAAACGAAAGGATGAATGCAGCTGAGCTTAGCTCGGGCACGTGTTCTTCTTGTCCCGCACCGCCTGTCGTTCAACAGACCTCGATAGATCGCTACCAACTCAAAACCCCAACTAGTTTGGGAAAGTCTCCGGCCACTTCACACAAGTACCCGCCACCTGGGAACCTGTCACACAGCACCACGCGGGAGAGTACATAGGGACAGGTCCGCTACGCAGAGGTTGTTAGCGGGAGGTTTAATGGATGAGCTGGGACAATCGTGTTAGAATCCAGCCACCCTGGACAGTCAATCCCTGAATACCGGCATCATCAACCTTTCAAGACCAGTTTTTATGGGTGAATCATTATGAGAAAGAGTAGTGAACTCAGACACTTGGTCTGCAACGCCCGGGCGCCAGGCGTATGACTCAACCACACGATACGGACTACAAACATTTGGGTGTCATTGCATAGGACATTTATGCCATTCGGACATGGCATTCATCCGTCTCATGGCCTAGCAATACAAAAAGTCCCCGAAAAGCAGGCGAAAACTCCGTAAGCCCAAAATGGGGTCCACAGTCTTTGAGTCGCGGCCAGTTCGAATCCCGCCAAAGTCGCAGTCCGCTCCCTCCGCAAGTTGCCCCCTGATTACAATTGGCGGACGTCATCAAGTGCGGACGTTCCACACGCGAATTCCGCCCTTCTGTCACGCTAGCAAACCCTTTCGCGCGCGCGGACTTCGCTTCATTGACTAATGCGGCCGTCCCCACGATCCGGCGCATTCCATAAATCTCACTCCGCCGCCTCGTTCTCGACTTCCCCCGGACACGACCCCGTATGTTTTTGTGCAGTCCAACAATCCGGCTAGATGACGACAACGGACTGCAGAAACTCGTCCACAGGGCGAGACGCCCTCCAGAAACCCAACCCTAGGAGCCTCCGTCGCGAGCATGTCTCATCGCAACCCGTGCTTCCCGACGATGAGGAGTCGGTGACGGCCGCAGAGTCCGACACTACTCTCGAGCAAAGCACATCTTCCAATGGCTATACGTATGGCACCGCCGCTCAGCCAGCACCGCTGCCGAAGCCCGTCGACTCTTCTGCCGCTCTCGCAAACGGAACCGCATCAGAGACTGCCGGGAACACGCCCCCGCCCACCCGTGCCCTGGCCCCGGACCTTCTCCGCGGGCTGCTCATGATGTTCATGGCCATGGACCACAACGTCATAGGCCTCAACTCCTGGCCGCACAGCACCGGCGCAAACCACATGGAATCCGACTCTGCGCTGATTACCCGCTGGAACCGTCCCATTGGGTACGCCGTCCGCATGCTCTCGCACCTGTGCGCCCCGGGCTTCACCTTTCTGCTCGGCATGGGCGTAGTGTACTTTGGTCGCTCGCGGGCGAAGCTGGGATGGTCGCCGGCGCGGATGGCGAGGCACTTCGCGATCCGGGCCGTGGTGCTGACGGCGGTCTCGACCGTGATTGGTTTCTTTCTGACACTAGGCCAGCTGTGGTTTCTGAACATGGTCCTCGTGGCGTTGGCGGTGGATTACCTCCTCGTCGGCCTCCTGTGGCTCGGCATCGCAGGGACCGAGCCAATGCTGGCTTCGGCGCTTGACCGGTTTGTTCTCGTCGGCGACGGGGGCGAGAGGACACCTCTCCTGGTTCACACCGGCCACCGCATCCCTTCCGAGGGCAAGGCCTCAGCCCGCGCCCAGTCGATATCATGGCACGTACACAACGCCATTCTCCTCGTGCTCGCCTTCGTCACCATTTGGTGGAACATCTGGCTTTCCCCGTCCCACGGCGTCTGCACAGCATCCCCCGTCGCCTCCACGGCCAACGACTTCTGGCGCTTCTGGTTCTACGAGGTTTCGTCCCCGCACGTCATGTCCGGCTTCCCGCCCCTCGCATGGCTCTCCTTTGCCATACTCGGCCTCCTCTACGGCCGCATAGTGCTCGCTCGGCCTCTCTCGCCCACGACGCTGGCCTCGGGGAACGTTGCGGCGGGCCTTGTTTTCAGCGTCCTCTTCGTCCTCACCCGCGTCCTGCGCATCGGTAATCTCTCCGAGGGATGCCTGCAGACACCCGACCAAGCGGCTCACCCCGAGATCAACCCGTACTTGGTGTCCGTAGCCTCCTTTTTCTACGTCGTCAAGTACCCGCCCGACTTTGCATTCTTCGCCTACACCCTTTCGGCAACCTTCTTTCTCCTCGCCATCTTCGGCATGGTCCCGCCGCGGTTCGCCACGAAGTGGCTCAAGGTTCTTTTGGCGTTTGGCACGTCTGCCCTGTTTTTCTACGTCATGCACCTCATCGTACTGTTCAGCGTGTCCCTGTCGGTGACGCTCAATCTCTTTGGGCGCGAGAACGGGCTCCCTTCGCCCGTGGACGGAAGACCGGCCGTGGGTGTCGACAGCGTCTTGATTTGGTGGGCAAATTGGGCGTTGGTAATGGCTATCATGTATCCGTTGTGTAGGTGGTACAGCGCGTTCAAGAAGACGAGGAGTGCGGATTCGGTGTGGAGATTCTTTTAGAGTTGTCAATTGTGCATGTCGTGATGAACGGCTTGAATGACGACATTTCCTCTATCAGGTTGGCTCATCCCCGATAAGCTGCATGTTCCACAGAGTGAGATGGCTAGAGCATTACGAAATTGCTCGCCGGCTAGAGTCCTTGTATTTCATGAATCTAAAATATTCCAGCACAGTGACGCGGTCAAATCATTGACAAAGAAAACGCTGTGTATTGCGACTATTCAATCTGGGTATGTATGAAGACAAAAGCTCTCCTCACGGTCATTAGCTTATGCACGTTGGCAACTCGACTCGTATCCAACATGCGTTGCATCATTTCCATCTTGGCTGAGCACTCGATTGGGGATACGGCTGCACCCTCACCGATCTCCTTCTCGTAGCTCTCTGCGGTCGGCCAGCCGCCGCAGTTACCACCGCCTCTGGTGCCGGGGTCTTCCCCGTCCGCGCCCGTGTCCTCGCTGCCGGCCGCCCGGCGCCATCCGAGCTAGTAGTGGTTGCCGTCTTCGCCGACGGAGCCGCGGGCGCCGCAGCTCGCGTCGTTTTAGTCTCCTTCTTCACCCTCGTCGTCATCGGTCTCATCGGCTCTGACCGAGTCTGGCTCTCCACCCTTCGCGCAGTCCGTAGTGGCCGGCCGGCTGCGGGGGTTGGTGGGGTCGCTTGTGCTGTGGTGGCCCCCTTGCTTGTTTTTGCCCTTGTCCTCGAAGCTGGTGCACGGCGTGTGGGAGCAGTCTTTGACGGAGAGGGAGCTGGTGCCGGGGCCGGAGCTTGCTCTATCGGTTCGGCGGACTTTGCAGACTCTGTAGGTTCCGACTCAAGATACTCCGTCTCCAGCGTGGGATCTTCCTCGGGAGGGAGCTGGTCGGTGAGCCGCCGCGCCGCCGTCCATTCCTGGACTCTATTCCGCCTTGCGAGCTCCTCGTCGTCGACGCTCTCGCTGGCCAGCCTTTCTGCGACTCTCAGCTTCGTCCACGAAGACTTCATGATCTGCCGCTGCGCCTCCGACTGCCTCAGCCACTTGCAGAAGCGCTCATTCGACCTCTGCCATTTCCGGTCGTTGGGCTCCCGTACCTCCTCTCCGTCGTCCAACTCCTCCATCGGCGGCGCCTCTTCGATTCGTACGTTAGGCGAGAGCTGTTCCCTCTCCTCTAGCGCGGTCACAGCCCGCCCAGCCTCGAAGTACTTCCCAGCAGCCGAGATGGCCATCTCCTCCGCCGCCTCCAGATTCGACCTCGCAGTGAGACAGACATCACCGTGCGTGCCGAGATCGCGACGGATACGCTCTCTCCGATCTTCCGCGGCAGTTAGTGCGCGAGATAGCGCCTCGATGGCGGCGTTGGCGTCCTCGAGCTCTTGCATCTGCCTCTTCATGAGCGACAGCGACGACTCGCATAGCTGGCGCGCCCGCTCAAGGGCCGCGTCGGCCTGGAGCTTGTCGCGCTCGGCGTCATCACGCTCCGTGATTGCGCATCGGAAGTCCTGGAAATCGATGTGCTTGCCGCTGTGGCCACAGTTCCGGCAGACATCGGGGTCCATCGGACTCAGCCTTCCTTCACACAGACGCCCGCCTCAAACCCATGTCAGCTCAGGTGGCCCTTTCCCGTAATGAAGGCATTTTAACTACCCCATGGGCAAACACGGAAAGCATGGAGTTGTCTCACCTTTGGTGGTTCGAAGATCTGGTTTTCAGTGGGGATATCAAAAGGGAGGCATGTGTAGATGATGTAGGGATAAAGGTGGACATTGACGGGAACGGGTGATGCGAGGTGAAGGGGAAAACGACAAAAGAAACCTTCCCGGCTTGATTGGAAGCACCCGGGAAGGGGTCACGATCCTCTCTCTTCATTGCAGAAGACCCCATTTTCTCCCAGGGGATGTGTGGATCTTTGATTGGGCTTAGCGATATTGAGATGACTCCATATACGCCCGGATGAACGTCCCAAGATTCGTGCTTCGACACGTATGTCAGGGGAGGGGGGTTCGTCATTGGGCTTGGATAAAGAGTCAGTTGTGCTTGCAAGCCTGCATCTAGCTAGAGGTTTAACCTTGGCTATGCTGAAGATCGTTCACAACGGTCACGAGGTCACAAAAAGGAAGGAAACTCGCGACCCCAGAAACACTTCGTTCCAATAGCCTGGTACCACACCATGCCTGCCGGCGTCAGCTACAACCCCAGCTGCTGCAGCTTGTAGAAAGAAATTCCCACACCGTCCCCGTGGCTTTTGTGTCGATTCGTTCATAAATCTCTTGTGTCCCAGTCCTCGGACATTCTGTGTGGTTCGTTTCGAGCCCGTTGCTCAGCCAAGGAAAAGGAGAATGGATACCTTACATAAAAGTCCCTACAACGGGGGGGGGAGTTCTTCAGACTTTTGCTCGGATCGTTGGGTTTTCTCTTTGGTGGTCTCCACCGAGATTGCAACCCAATGAGGCAAAGCGGCTCAGGTGGCCCGTCACGGATACGGCGGGATTTTCATGACTCTCACTTTCGGTTACAGTGCCCAGGCAGGGGAACTCTTGATATGCCCCTCTGAGGGTCTAAATGGGTCAGGGGGGGCTGATGATTTGGGTCCCAATCTATTTTATCGACACAAAGTCCATAATGCTTGGGGGTTTCCGTACAAGCTGCAGTGTTTCATAAAAGTTGTTCAGATAATTCACACAGCATAAATCTGCCTTCTAGAATATTTCTATACTTTCCGATCGAGTTAAACCACCGAATTCGCCGGGACAGCCGAGTAGTTCGTCGGGGCCGGGCCGCAGCTGTCGTACTGGCAGCGGTGAAACCAGCGCCCGGTGCAACCGATCTGCAGCTCCTGGCATCCCTGAATGCACGGCCTGCTACATCCTCTATTGAATCATTGCGAGACGTCTATTCGCATGGCCTTGTCGCCGCGAACAGACTATCTGACCCGACGAGGTCAGCCTCCGCTCAAATAACTGGGTCTTGATTGCTGAGTGAAGGTGACACTGGGTGGTCCTCAGTCGACTGAACCAGAGGGATGAAACCAATGGTGGTTGAAGCCTGCAAAGTAGCAATCTGCCGCTCCACCATGTTCTCTTATTTGCTGAACCTTTTATAAGTGCTTCCGCGTATCTTCTGTTTCATGCGAAATCTTCAAGTTGTCAAGGCAACCCATAACAACATATTCTCCTATCCTTCGTTCAAACCTTCTGGATCGTCAGACTAGTCCAGCTAACACTATGTACTGTCACCTTTCCCGATGCCGGCAAAGTCGCCGTGGGCTTTTTAGCAGTGTTTGAAAGACCATGTCGAACAAACGGGTACGCGTGTTCTTTCAATTTATTAACGTTATGTAGCTGCGGCGCCATCAAGCCGGTATCCGAGATACCGTCGTTCTCGGTCCACGCCGGGTTCATTCGGTTTAGTCTTATCCTGCTCCCACTACTTTTCTTCAACTTTGTCATTGTCATCCAGAAACATTGGCTACATAGTATCCATACCAAAAGTCTATGTATACCGTCAGTTATCGAACCTCCCCATTCCTGGCCTCGGCGACGTTGGCGATATGGGGTATTCCCATTCCTGTCATCTTCCCGCAACCAAATCCCCGGGCTTCTGTCGACTGCGACCACACTTCTGAGTCCTGCAGCTACCATCCTACGCCGCTTCGAAATCTTTCTCGGCAATAGCCCCATAGGCGGTGGTCACATCATGTTCGTGCACGGCACATCAGATATGACGGGACTTCTCGTAGTTGCCGCTGATGAAGTAATAATTTTTTACTTAGTAGTCCAAGGTGGAGTTTCGTTTTGAGGCCTCTTTCAGATAAAGCCAAGCTTGTCGCATGTATCTAAGTATTTGACTGCACTTTAGATGTGAGGGCTTCCCAAGACTCACCTTAGATCGAGCAGCGCAACGTATAGTGGCTATTCAGGCGAATGCACCTCTTGATTACCGTTTGAACGACGAGTAACTCAACCACCCTGCTTCCCACGCAACCCCGCATACCACGCAGCCCCAAACCCCCATCAATATCACCATACCCATCAACAACATCCATTATTCCTCATCCCTACCACCTACCCAGATGCAACTTTCTGCTTCACTAGATAATTCAGATCCACTGGATTCACTTGTGCTACTCTCTGCTTCGCCAGCAGCAATTTGCGCCCGTCGGATATCCTCGATATTAGCGAACGTCGTGTTAGGGTCCGTCTGGACCCTTTTTCTCCTGCCTTGTTGCTGACTATCCGTCTGGGCCTGGAATGCCTGGGCCTGACGCTCTAGGACTGTCAGTCTATAGGCCTGTTGGTCCCAGCCTTTTTGGACCTTTCTAAATAGGTGGCGTTGGGTGTAGATTTCTCGGGTATCTTGCGTAAGCTGGTTGAATAGGTGCAGCTGACGCTGAAGATCAGCAGACTTACGCGGGGTTGACCATGGGACTATAGATACAGCTCCATCCCACTGCTGACTTCCTGACTGCCCAGCTGTCTGGCCGTCTAGCTGTCTGGCTGGCTGGCTGGCTGATGCCTTAGACACGAAAGGGCTAGATAGAGGTTGCGCTACATCAACTGGCCATAACCCAGTGTGTTTCCAGCCGCTTTTAATAACCTGGATAGTCAAGGCGTCTAGACGTGCCCTTCTATAACAGTCTATAAAGTTCCTCTTGCCTGTTACAGTTGAATCGCTTTGTATATCTAGGTACCCTAGATACTTCCTATAGGCTGCCTTAAGAGGTCGGAATACTGACTGATCTAGAGGCTGGAGGACGTGTGATGTGTGCGGCGGCAGAAACAGGAGGTGTATGTGGTTCCGGAAGCATCGCCACAGAAAGTCTGTTGTTGTATGGCTATGATGGGCGTCTAGAACTAGTAGTCTAGTATCTGAAGGGTCCTCTGGGACAGTCTGAGGGATAAAGACCTTTTCTAGCCATTCTAGGGCATTCTGATCAGTTGTCCAGCCGTTCTCTGTTGCTGTGAATTTCCAGCTAGCATAGGGTTGAAGATCTAGAGGAAACCACTGTTGCTGGACTGACTTGCCCTTATACATAACAAGAGGCGGAAGTGCGCGTCCTCTGGCAGAGACGCACTCGATCAGAGATACCCATGCCCGCGATCCAGGCTGTTTTTTCTGGATATACTTGGTCTCTGACGATCCTAGTACTAGCCCATTGCTTCCTTTGCCCTCGAGGATACCAGTCTCATCCATGTTCCATCTATTAGCTGGCTTGATGGGCAGGATTGCTGGCAGATCAAGGCGATGAAACCATTCCTGGATAATGTCAGCAGTTGCCCCATTAATTCGCCTAGCGTCAATTGCCCTGCATCGCTGGGTTCTGATAGATGGGTTTCTGCGAAGAAATCGCTGCATCCACTTCCTCCCAAGTGGTCGCTGCCCATCGCCCAGCATGCGCTCAGCCAGCCCTTTGACTTGCTGATGGCAAAACGCAGAGCCTAGGGCAGCCTGCTTAGATATCCACTCAGCAAGTAGACCTTCCTGGTTCTGAGATAACCGCTGCAGTCTACCAAAGGCAGTATTTCTAGACTGGGTACCATGGAGACGTTGTCGTACAGTCGCCTCTGGGATGCCCCATTTGCGACCTGCCCCGCGGATACTAAGCCCGTCAGCAATATCCCAAAGTGCCCGCTGCAGCTCATGTTCACTATACTGCTTCATCTTATAGTAAAAAAGATATCCTCAAAAAATGGCGTTGTTTGGGGTAGAATAGAAGATGTTGTGATAGTTAGAAAAGAGGAGTAGGTTTTATGGTGACGCGTTGTTGGGCTGCGTGGTATGCGGGGTTGCGTGGGAAGCAGGGTGGTTGAGTTATCGTAGAGTTGTGACGGGTGGTTTAGACAACCATGAAACGATTTGGAAGCACAACGGGATCGCGCACGCGTCAGCGACTAAAAAGGGCGTATCTGATGGATGTCGTCCATAACTTTACTCGACTCTCCTGGTCAATAATGAGAGTATGGTTGACGTCGGTATCCTCGGTTTCGAGCTGTTCGTTGTCGATGGGTTGGCGCGCCATGCTCCCTCCCCATTCGCCCTTCAGAAAGCCTAATGGATCTATATGGAGTCGCCGGCGAAGGCTCAATGCAGACTTTGGGGCACACTTTGTTATTTGGCAGATGAACCAACTCCGGAGATTCCACGTTGTCGCCCATTTCCAGTGGATGTGAGCTTTCCCCAGAGGTCGTGTCCAATGTCGCAGCAAGCCAACGTTCCACACTGCCAGCTCCTGTGGTCTCGTTGTCGACGGCATCAGCTTGGGACCTCTGCTTTCTACTGGCTTGCTCGTGCCGCGAGGTATGCGTATGGTACCCATTTGGAGGTTGCTCATTCTCCTTGTCATCGTCGTACTCGCTCCATTCCTCACAGCTCTCTTTTACAGCCTCTTCAATCATGTTCTGCATGATGTCGAGCGACTTGGTTGCCAAATTCATTGTAGTGTTTACCATACCCATTGTAGTGGCATATCGATAATCACTAAAGGCGCCCTGTGTTCGCATCGATGAAGCTGCTAGATTGTGAGTCGCGGCCGCGAAATCTTGTTGGACGTGAGTCGGGTTCCTCCAACGTGCGTTGTATTCCTTTTGGGCCCTGGTACGGCGTTTGTATGCCTCGGCGATCGCGGCGTACAGTGAGCTGATATGTTCGTCTTCGCGGGCATGCGTCTGACGGAGCTGCTCTGAGTCTTTCGAATAAGCCTCAAAAATGGGTCGCTGCTCTTCGGCCTCGCGCTGGGACGAATCCCACGTCCATAATGCGAGACGTAATTGCTCGGAAGCAGCGCATCGGCTATCTTTGACAGCAACGTGTTGCCCGTTTCTACCGCAGCCTGTGCAAGGACCCGCAGTGCCCCAGATCTTTTTAAAGTCCACGGTGTTACTCATCTTAATGTGTTAGCGACATATGAAATGAGCTCACCCGAGTGCTTCATTTTACCTCGAACGTCTTAGCCAATATGTCGTTTACGGAGCCTATGTGATAAGAGTTGAATGGACTCACGGGTGAGTTGGTGACCAAGATTGAATGGACTGGGCCGTATGATGACATGAACGCGTAGATATTACTCGGAAGACGCGTCTCCACTACGCGCGCGCGGGGACAAGGACCCGCTAACCACAGACCATTTCCCCGGTACAGCGCCCTTCACACACCAAATTCTAGTGCCACAGGTTGGCCCGCAGGGCTCATTGATATCCCAAGTGCTTTAAAGAGACCAAGTCCGAGTTGCAGTTTTCTATTTCCTTTCTTATGAAACAAGATATATTCTTGCTCAACCCTTCGGATACTGTCGCCGTGTCTCAGTGTGTAACTCCTTGAGCTTGAGTAAAACTAGAGCAGTCTAAGAACGACCATCGTTGAGCCTGGTGGCGTCGATGGAGCTGCGGTCCTTTACGGCCTGACCCTCTGCCGGTAGCGACACGGTTACTCGGCCCGACAGTTCTGAAGCAGGTCAGAGTACACATGAAGAACTAAATATTCTTTCAGGCTCTCGTTATCAACTTGCACGTGGCCTAGAATCTGGTCAGCCAGTAGATTAGAGACACTGGACTGTTTGTCGCTCTCTGCATCCATGCGCCAAAAGATCGAAGAGAATGCTTGGGATGCCGCAGTAAGGCGCCTTCTGAAGCCTGAAAACGCAATCACAAGGGCGTGATGAACTGATTTGATGCATGGATAAAAAGACTGGGGGGGGTTGGTACTGACATGTCATACAGGTTTCCTCTTAGAGCGCGAGTACATAGTGACAACGTGCTTTCCCGGCCTCAGAATCAGTAATCCCCTGATTCGCCTCTGACAAGGGCCGTTCTAGAATCTCAAGCTCAATTTTTTTTGGCAGCAGCTAGATCGATCTTCCCCCGGATCTCCTTCCGAGACCCAATGCTTAAACTAGTAAGCTTGATGCGTCTCGAAACGAACGGCATAGGGCTGAGCTCAAAGAGAAATCATCAGGCAGACCAACTTGGATGAAGGGCTCATCTACGCCTACCAAGTTGAGAAGTCTGGTTCAGGGTCCACGTTACTTTCTAATTGTAATCAAAGGGAAAGTGCAAAGCTCCAAGGAGATAGGATCATGTATCAAAGCACACGCTGTTCCTAAACCTACTCGGTGCGTCTTCCAGATCAGATCAGATCAGCAACATTGTTGCGTAGATGCATATTCAATCGAGGGAAGCATGACTTGACTTGAAAGACAACTCAACGTTGTGTGATTACTACCTAACTAGATGCACCCCAGTATCGGTTAGCGGCTTTCTGCGGGCGTGCATGGTTGTCTCAAGGAACAGGCTGTCCCGTTCGCCAAACTTGCTTTTTTACCACACCTCGACAAGGTAACAAGGGCCAGTTGTCGGGTTTGCCTCAGGAACCTCATTCATTTTCCAAATCCTCCCTTCCAGATCCCAAGCCAAGTTCGAACAGATTTTGCACAACCCGTCGTATACCTTAGGCCCATTCGGCGACGCAACGTCTTAGCAACTAGCAGCCTAGACAAAATGACGAACGCCGATCAGCAGCTGTCGTCAGATTCGGCAGAGTCGGCAGCACCGAGCGAGTTGGTGACTTATGATAAGGACGGCGACTTGACTGTCCGCGTTGGTCCCAAATTGAAGCCCTATCGAATCGACTCGAAGACGCTATGTCGCTCGTCTCCGATCTTCAAGAAGATGCTGTATGGAGGTTTCGCCGAGTCGCGTCCCTCGAACGGCAGCGACTGGACGATTGCTTTGCCGGACGACCATTGCCGTTCAATAGGATTCTATTTGGCATCATCCATGGGGCTTTCGAGATGATTCCTGAACAGCTCTCGCTGCAACGTCTGTACCAGTTATTGATTCTCACCGAGAAATACGATGCAACACGTCTTCTACGCCCTTGGGCTCACAAATGGGTTCATAATAAGGCTGTCAGGGACCAGACGGGGGAGTCTGAACTCCTGTCGGTAGCGTGGGAACTAGGCGACTTTCTCCTCTTCAGGCAGATGATGGACACAATCACGAACAATTGCCACACAAACAGTGACGGCAAAGTTCTTTACGGCAGGCACCAGTAAGCCCCCGGTAAGAATTCTATGAATGGTCTTGGCGCACCAGAGTTTGTCTTCGACTCGCTCGTATTTCTTATGCCCTCAGACATGCAAGGTATGATGAATCCTTGGTCTTACTGGTTTATCATGGCGTAAAAGGCTGGTTCTGATGTGTGCTTAGAAATAATCGCAAGAAACCGTGAAAGACTCGTCAGCGCCGAGTTGAAGCCCTACATGGATTTGTACACCAACCTGAGATCGGGCAGATGCAAAAGCGGCTACCGTGAAATTGAGCGCTGGCGATGTAACTCCATAGCCCTCGGCTCGCTGATCAAGTCTCTTTCTAGAGCGAATATTGATATCACAAAGACTGGGGTATCCGAGTTATATCGAGGGAGCCTTCATGATTTGAGGCACGCGCTCAGCCGAGTTGAAATCGAATGGATATGTAGGGAATGTGACCATATTATCAAGGGAGCTCGGAAAAAAGGCAGGGAGAACGCGACGGATTTATTGAAAGAGATAACAATCGTCCGAAGTAGTCACTGGACTCATCTTGTAAACCAAGCTGTATAAGCAGGGCTTCCAGTCACCGCTGAGTTCTTGCAAATCAGCACAGAGTAGGGAGACGTCAGGAACAGATTATCAAACAGTTGAGAGTTGCGGATGGTCAAACTAAGGCCGCTCGCGATGTCTTGAATATAATTTATGAAAGCAATGAGATAGGTTTATATTGTAAATGTCCATCCATCAACAAGATGGCTCCATGCGCCACCAAACTTCAAGAAAGCACGTTCTAGAAATCAAAACTTCATGTTACCCAAGCTCGTTTCTTAAACATGGCTAAATTGAGGATGCAAAGAAAAAGGTGGATCATCATGGAACTAGAAATATAGGAATGACACAGCAGTTGATCAAAGAGGAGAATGAGGTACTGGTAAATATGTTGTTTTGGGATCCTGAGTGAACGGTAGAGTAAGGTATTTGGGCGATAGGCAAACCAGCCATGTAACTAGAACTATATTATAAACTAAGCTAAGTCTTTCTGTTTCCTACTAGATGTATAGAGGTAGGTGGTGTAAAAGAAGGGGTTAGTAGTAGGCAAATCTTTCCGTCTACCGGTAGACGGAAAGAATCGGGCGGTGCTGAGCCGGAAACAATTTTGACCACAAAAATGCATGAAAATCCTAATCCTAAACCGAAAGGTACTGTATGATAGCCGCGTCAAAAGTGTTTTACACATTCTGCGTGGGACGCTACCTGATCAGAGCCATGAACAGTCTGTGGTTGGTGTGTTCCAGACGCCATCCGCTGATTGGATTGCCTCCATGATTGCCATCTTTCGTCTTGGCGCCATCTATCTGCCGCTAGACCTCAGAGTCTCGGTCCCACGCCCAAAGGGCTACGTAAAGGCGGCGGTTCCAACTGTCATTTTGTCTGACAACGAGACGTTTGCACGCCGCCCGGATATTGTAGTTGACGTTGACGACGCGTTAGCTGTCATTAACATATCTGATCTCCCAGCAATGGTGCAGAAGATGATGGAGAGAACTACAACGGCTGCCCAGCAGGAGCGCCCTGCCTACATCATCTTCACGAGTGGCTCAACCGGCGAACCCAAGAGCATCGTTGTAAAGTATGCGAGCGCCCGAGCCATGGTTGAGGGCTTTGTTCGAGAGTGAGACATCACTACCCTTGGCCGCGTCGTGCTTCAGCAGTTTGCCTTCACCTCCGACGGCTCGCTGAAGCAGATCTTCTCCGCCATCGTCACCGGCGGCTGTCTGATTGTCGCTCCCGCCGAAGCCCGCGGTAACCCGACGGAGCTGACACGTCTGATGGCTGAATATAGTGTGACCATGACTGTAGCGACGCCTTCCGAGTACAGCATGTGGTTCCGCTTTGCGCCCGACGGTCTGCGCCGCTTCACAACCTGAATTTCTGCCTGGTTCGGCGGCGAGCGCTCGCCTCAGAGCCTTCTGGAGTCGTTCCGTAGTCTGAGCAAGGAGCTACCGAGCCTGCGCTTCTATACCACATGCGGACCTACCAAGGCGACCGTTTCGACCCTGAAGGGCGTCACTAACTTACGCGATCCCAGTCTGACCGTTCCCGTGCCGGGCCGGATTTTGCCCAACTACGCCGTGTAAATTTTGGATGAAGAGCCACTGCCTGTACCTGTTGGTGTGCCTGGAGAAATAGTCATTGGCAGGGCCGGTGTTGGCCAGAATGAATACCTCAACCGGCCAGACGTGGTGGCAGAGCAGTTCTGCGCGGACCCCTCACATCCGAAGGCAAGAAAACCACTGGTTGGGGTCAAATGGACTTTACTGGCGACCACGGGCGGCTTGATACCTGCGGCCGGATCGCCATCGAAGGCCGCGTCGCCGGCGATGCGCAGGTCTAGGTTCGCGGGTTCCGTATTGAGCTGGCAGAGGTCGAGGGCGTCATCATCAGGGTAGCTGCCGGTTCGCTGGCCCGCGCCGTGGTTACACTGCGTGATGGCGAGAGTGACCATGATGGGCTCCTTTTTGCGCATGTGGTGATCGCAGACAAGGACAAGAGCGAAGCGCAAGTTGCCCAGATGATCAACCAGCTGCACACGCGACTTTTCGACTCCCTCCCTAACTATATGGCCCCGGCTATCGTCGTACCCATTGACGAGGTGCCCCTTACTGCACACGGTAAGATCGACCGAAACGCCGTGCAGGCGTTCCTTCTGCCAGAAATCAGGTTCTCCGTCAAAAGACAAGAAGAGCAGAAGAAGAGCTTCACACCGACCTAGCGTCGCCTTTCACAAGTTTGGGCTGATGTGCTCCCGGAGCTCTTGTTGGCGGCCGAGCCACTATCGCCAGAGTCTGACTTCTTCCGCGTCGGTGGCAACTCGCTGCTGCTACTGGTCAAGCTGCAGTCAGTCGTCAAGCGCATGTTTGGTGACGCACCTCGCTTAGGCTTGCCCATGAGCACGCCAAAGCTCGGCAGCATGGCGACCCTGCTGGACAGCGAAGGATCTGCTCCGGACTGGGACAAGGAGATGGCACTGAGCTTGTTAGACGATATCCCGGAGACGGCGCAGCGGACAAGAAGTTCCAAGTGCGGCGGTCCCGGACTCCGCATCCTCGTCACCGGCGCTACAGGATCTCTGGGTAGGAATGTGATCCCTCACTTTATTGATGATGAGCGCGTTGCGCAGGTTCTGGTGCTGGCGCGGCCGCTCGAGGGCCGGAAGCTGACCGACTGGTTCCCGGTCTCGTGGGCAAACTTACTATATATATACATCAGTTACCTTACAATTTATTTTACTTTGTAACTTTTATAATTTCTAAACTTATCTATATGACTTATCCATAACTTATCTTTTAAGTAGCTATTAAAAACTGAAAATATCTTAATCCTAACTTGAGTAGTTTTTAAATGATTTACTTAAATTCTTTACTGACTTTGTTCTTATCCAAACCTTAACGTTTCTTCAGATCTAAATAAGATTATTGTTGAAGCTAACCCTTTCTACCTTAATTAATAGCCTTACTTTAAAAAAGCCTGCGTATTGTTCCCTGTTACCCCTACTGTTATATCCCTTAATTTTTTTACCCCTATTGCTTCAGCTACCTCGCTATCTGTAAGCCTACTTGCACTACCTAGCCACCCGTTGACCTTGGGCCCTGAGACCCTTGCAACCGCCGCCCATGACCCCCCGATCAGCATGCTTTCACCCTCCCCTGTCTGCCACAAGAACCATATAACTACTACTGCAATTACTACCGTGTGCACACCCAGTAACACCATAACACCTGTAAAGAACCCCCGCCCCGTGGGTCTCATCACCTCTGTTTCCATAACCACCTCAGCCCGCGCGGCCACGTCAAACCGGTACATGTGGTCGTAGTGCGACATTCTGAACAGGCTCGTCAGCAGGCCTTGGATTGCTAGCGCTGCGCTGCCCGTAGCTCGCAGCGTTGCTTGGAATCCGGCTGCATGCAACCGTGACAGCGTTGACCGGCTGCCGCCGCAGAACCCGCAGGCGGGAATCCCTCCATTAACCGGATCCATCACCGACATACGCCCGCTGTCACCTAAGCCCGGGAGGCCCGCGAAGGCCGCACTGCTCACTGGGCTTGCGGATGTCGGCTCCAGGGGCGGCCGGCCCATGGCCCCTTCGTCGGTCATGTTGGAGTATTCAGGCAAGAGCCAGGACTCTTTTTTCGCAAGGGCAAAGATGCCACGGTCAGTCAAAGATCCCATGTCCTTGTCACCCCCCAGCTGCCTCCGGATGGCTCTAGTATCGTACGTCCTTGATGCTGCAATCCACGTTGCCGCGGGCTCAGGGGCGCCTCGAGGCCTCGAGGCCGTTATGTTTGTGTTCTGGTACCTAGGATGAAAGCTACAGAGCGTTATACTGAACGTCAGTCCCGTAACGTCAGTCTGCAGCGTTGTCCACTCGCTCATGTTTCTCTCTCTGCTGCTGATGTCCGTCCAGCCCTCAGCCGTGCCGGTGGTATTGATAACAAGATATACAGGGCCCGGATATGAGCTCCTGTTCCCGGGGGGCTTCATGGGATCCATCTCTGAGACGAGCCCTGTGAAGCGCATACTGGGATCGTCTTTTAGAGCCATGCTGCACAGGCTAACCGGCCACTCGTCTTGTGCAGCGACCAGACCGTCTTTGCTGAATTGCTGTGTATAGAAGGTACAGTTGAATGGGATCCGGCCGATGCGTCCGCCGAGGAGGTTCCACGTTTTTAACCGCCACACCGTTTCGTCGGTCCAGACAGCCCCTGAGATCCACCCGTGATTACTAACCTGTATGCCTGAGAAATGCGGCCGCACGCATGCAACCCTAGTGTCCAGCAACGTGGCCTTGCCCTTGTAACCGACTGTACGCTCCCGTTCAGGCCGCTGGTCAATGGGAAGGAAGGCACGTATCGACAGACCCGTGTCACTGACGCCATCGCGGGGAGCCGCCGGCTCGGCGTACTCTGCAAAGGCAGGAAATACGATGGGCCGCGTCGCAAGGTATCCACGCACTTCATCCAGGCCGATCATAAATTCGGCCCAGGTAGCGCCCTGAACTGTCAAGTCCATGCCGTACGGTGTGTCAACGGGCTTCTGTTGCATGATGGTACCGACGCCTACGTCGGACAGAAGAGCGGTTGACGTGAACTGTAGCAGCGTCGTAGTGCAGGTCAGAAGGATGACGAGGAACCAGAACACGGAGCTGATCCGACACAGGGCAGCGCGGGGGAGGCGCGACAGGAGCTCATGCGGCCCCGAGTTCGAGAAGACGAACAGCGACACGGCGGCGGCCTTTGGAAGTGGAGTCTTGGCCGTCTGCAAGAGGAGCGCGGCGACCATGGAGGTGGCGGCGGCAGCTTGTGCGGTCACGATCCAGCGGAGGAGCAACGAGGTCATGGTGACAGACCGCGTGAGCCAACCGGCAACAACGATGGCACGCCAGCCGGCGTTGCGCTCATTGCTGAACCAGAGGAAACAGAAGAAGCCGACGCACGCAAGAATGAGCAGCGTACCGCCGGCAAGGGTGACCGTAGCGTACCAGCCAAGGGCACGCAGCAAACGTCGCTCCTTCAGTGTCAGCGAGGAGCTTGGGGAAGTGTCCGCGACATTGACCACGTCGGCGAGTTCGTGAGGGACATCGCTGTACTGATGCTGGCCCATGGTGTTGTATATGAGTGGCAATTTGCAAGTATGATTATGGAAGAATTCGCTGTCCCGAGGTTCTCTATTTTCCTGCTCAGCTGGACGAGCTGAACCTCAGAGGTAGATGCCAAGGGGCTAGTAACGCCTCGTTCCCTCGTTACCTGAACGCAGTCATGTACTCGCCGTTTTAAGACTCTTGCAGTCTCCCAGAGACACAAACAACCTTCCTCAGGCTGGGAAGCCTAAGCAGATAGCTCTTTACAGTGCTTAGCAGCACGGCAACGCCTTGTATCTGGAGACGCTTTCGTTGCATACTAGGGCATCTCATGAACCCCTATAAGTCAGATGCCAATAGTGTAAGGAAATGGTAGTAGGACTGCTGTTGCAACCATGAAGTTTTCCGACATGACATGGAAGGCTTCTTGCGACAATCACCTATTGTCATAACGTATCTGCAATTTGGTCAACTGTCATGTCAGCTCAGCGAAGATATTGACGCGCAAGGTCAATTTGCATAAAAACATTACGAGAATCATCAGGCACACGCCTTTAACTCGAGAATTGCTTTTTCCCCTCCCCTCAGTCAGACTTAATGTGAATTTTGAAGCGTACGAATCGCAAAAGATAAATTGCCAACGGCATGCCTGGCTGCGGTGATTCAGGAGGCTACAAATCGTTACGAGATCAAAGAGTCTATTGTGCCTATCAACTATCGTATATGGGCCGTGTCTTTATCATATTTACTTAGGTCTTTGTGAGGTCTTCCAATAAATGTTTTTTGGATAGTTACTTTCGGTCCATTATTGTGCGGGTTTGATTTTGTTTGGTTACCTATCAGGCCGCTTGCAAGCTCAGTAATGGTTCATCAATTTCTGACGTGACGGTTCCTCAAGTCCTAATGAGAGCCTCGCAACAGTCCTCTTCAAAATTCCGAGAAAAACTAGAAGAATGTTAAGGTTCGTCCATATCTCTTCTTCCTTTAATTGACTCTTGCCTCTAAGTAAGATTCGTTGATTAACTGTGCTTTTTGCATATCCGAAGAGTCCGAAAGCGCCGAAAGCATTGCAAACACCGAGTACCCCGACGTGCCCATTCTGACGTAATGCCGAATGTAGCAGCCGAGCTAAATGGAGCTGCTGACATCGCATGTGTTACACAGCTTGGTCCATTATGAAAGAACTAAAAGCCAATAAACTCTTTCTACGGTCTCTGTGATTGTAAATGAGCAAAACGCATCACCATCAGAAATATTTCTTTCTTTGTCAACATGTATTACGAACCTAGGGCTAATGACCACGGGCTTCCTTATGATCCATTCAAAGTACGTCTAGGGTGATCTCGCATTTTCTTCGAGGCTAATAGCCTAGGCATGCGTTGTCCCCCGTGCAATCGGATGGATCTCATCTGTTTCCGCAAAGGGGGATCATAACTTGGCTCCATATAGCCAGTTTACCAACGTCAGTTTTGATCCGCCGGTGGTGATGTTCAGTGCGAACCAGACATTCTCTGAGGGTCGCAAGGACACTGTCAACAACATAGAACGCACCGGAAGCTTTTGTTGGCAGCTAGCTACGTACCCTCTTCGAGAAAGTGTCAACATTTGAGCAGAGCCGGTCAGACCTGAAGAGGACGAGTTCGAACGTGCTGGTCTGGATAAAATCTGGTCGAGGAGCCTGAAGACACCTGTTCCGATGGTTGCCAAATCCCCTGTGCGATTCGAGTGCGAGTACATGCAGACGGTTCGGTTACCAGGTAATCCGCCGATGGGCACCGTCGATGTCGTCTTTGGGAGGGTTATTGGGGTTCACATTGACGAGAGTGTTTTAACGGACGGAAAGATTGATGTTTCCAAGACGAATCCCATTGCTCGCCTGGGATACTTTGAGTACGGAGTGATTAACGAGTCTTTTGAGATGGTAGTCCCTGGGGACAAACGCTTGCTAGTCGGAGTAAGTCAAGCCCCAGGCCGTACAATTCTATGCGATATAGACTAATCAAGAAGGATAGCTTGAGGGTAACACTGGTAAGCACAATCAGGACTTGCTTCGCGATGGTTCCGAATAATAGAGTGGTAATACGTAGCGTCCCTCGAGCTATGGAGCTACCTATAGCTTGTCAGCCACGTTGGATACTCCAGCCTTAGCCACAATAATAATAGGTAGCCAAAACCTGTACTCCATAGAATCAAGAAAGGGAAAACAGTCACAAGCATGAGTGTTCAAGCCTCTGAACGACGTGTAAAAGCTCTCGAAAAATGGTTAAAAAAATTGAACTGGCCTATGGAGCCACACTCTTGATGCCAAATGGCCCGCTGGTGACGGATTTAGAAGTTAGCTTTGGACTTGCTGATGGCAAACATTTTCATGCTAAAATAAAATTGTGTCCAAGCATTTCTAGTCATTAGTGTCACCAACAGGGTTCAATGCAACTCAATGGAATCACGACGGAGAATTCAGACTCAGTGTGAGACTAAATACCCTTCAAAGAGGTTATATTCAGCTACTTGAATGCATCGCTCCAAGTTCTCAGAAGAGTCCTTTTAACCTCGATAACTACTCTAAACCATGTTTGAATAAGAAGGAAAACTTGTGAGAGTGTCTCTCGTCGCAGCAACCCCTTATCCTCCTTTTCATGTTGTTTAGTAATGGACCGTGGGCGAATTTACGCGCCGTTGCCGTTGTACGCAACCAGATTGGGGCTGCCGTTGAGGGTGCCGGTGACACGGCCAGAGGTTCCCAGGGCCTTGATGCGGGCAGTGACGGCAGCGGGGGTGGAGAGACCCTCGAGAGCCTGGAGGTAGACAGCAAGGCCGGCAACGTGGGGAGCAGCCATGGAAGTACCGCTGATGGTGTTGGTGGCAGAGTTACCGCCGATCCAGGCAGAGAGGATAGAGACACCAGGGGCGAAGATGTCGACACCGGCACCGTAGTTGGTGAAGGAGGCGGGGCGCCAGCTGGAGTCAATGGCAGCAACGGTCAGAGCATTGGGGGCGTTGGCGGGGGACTGCTGGGAGACGGGGAGGGGTCTGCCGAAGTCATCACCGTTGCCGGCAGCAACGACGGACAGGACGCCCTGAGTGTAGGCAGCCTGGATAGCGGTGGTCCAGGTGGTGGAGGCGGGACCACCGAGGGACAGGTTGATGACGGAGCGGGCCGCGCGGGACTTGGAGGTGATGTCGTTCACAGCCCAGTTAAAGCCGGAAAGAATGGAGGAGGTGGTGCCCTGAGCACCCTGGAAGACCTTGACGGAGATGATGTTGGTCTGAGGGTTGGGTTAGCATGCGTATTATAAAGTCTGATGAGGAACAGCGAGTGGGAGCCCCTAGCTACGGTAGCGGGATAGCCCGTCCGACGAACTGGTGGGTCCATCGATCAAGAGATGGTACTGACCTGCTTGGCAACACCGTACGTAGAGCCACCGATGGTACCGGCGACGTGAGTGCCGTGGCCGAGGGTGTCGGTGTGGGTTCCGGAGAAGGCGTTGAAGCCGAGAGTGACACGGCCACCGAACTGGGAGTGGGTGGAGATGACACCGGAGTCGACGACGTAGGCGTAGGTGTTGGCACCGGCCGAGGTGTCGTAGACGTACTGGGTAGAGCCAGAGGTCTTGTGGGAAATGGATCCCAGACCCCAGGGGGCGCCAGACTGGGTGGTCAGGGCACGCTCATCGACCTCGAAGTCGGACAGGTACATGTAGTAGTCGGGCTCGACAACAGCAACCTATGAGGATTGTTAGACGGTTGGTTCTGTGGCCTTCAAAGTCGGGTGTGAAATATACCTCGGGGTTGGCCTTGATCTCCTCAATGGTAGCCTCGTCAAACTCTCCAGAGTAGGCGTTCCAGTTGCTGATGTTGAACTTGTTCTCAATACCCGCAGTGTTACGCTTGCCCAGAGAGCGCTTATGAACGTCGGCAACCCAGTTCAAGTGCGATTCGACGTTGGCGGCGGCCTCGTCCTTGAGGGTGACGATGTACTTGCCAGGGGCGGCCGCGGGCTCGGCGCGTCTGTTGACGGTGGGAGCGGCGAGAACGGCCGGGAGCAGAGCTCCGATGGCGAGGGCGAGACGGCGGAGGTTGGCCATTGCGATGATGAGGAAACCTTGAGGAGTTGATCAGAGGCAGAAGAGAGCGGATGGGGCTGGAGAGACAAGAGCTGATGGAAAGGCGAGGACGAAGCCGTTTCTTATACTCGAGTTGACAGCATACCTGAGCTGACGATGAGACGATGCGATGTTGTCAATCCATCTTGTCATTGCGCCTATCAGAGTCGTATCTTGCGTGATGCTCTGCCAAGCTGTGGCTGTCAAGCTTGAAGCTGTTAAGCTGCCTAAAACGGACTTAGAGCCAGAGCTACCAGGCTTCCGAGCAAGGAAAGATGTGGACTTGGAGGCACGCGAGAACCACAATGCTCGTATGAACTATTACCTACCATAAAGCAGGAGTTGATTTACTGCTTACCCGCAATTGCATGGGCGCCCAGCTCTTTGCATATCCTGCCGGAGCTGATATCTGGGCTTGGGGCTTTGCTGGGCAGATACAAGCTCCGAGCACGGCCATCTCCTGGAGGCGAAGCGAGAAGGGTTCCGGGAGTTGCGCCGACCGATCGATCAGCATCATTAGTGATCATCTTAGAGGTAACCCGCCTGCCACTAGGTCCACATGGGCAATTCTGTGGTTGGCGGAGGCCCTAAAGTGGTTTAACGTGACTTACCATTAAATGGACATAGGTCTCGTTCTTCTTGACTTGATGTAACTACATCCTCCAATCTGCTGGCCAAGACCGCCAGACGTTGCGGTAGCAGAGGGGCCATATTGGCCTAACTTATGCTTAATTCGGAAGGTCGCGTGCTAGCATTGGCCGGAGCCAATGCAGAGGGACTAGTACTTAATTAAATGCTACATGAGTCCACACCGCCCTAACCTCTTCCCGCCTTCCATTTCCGTAAAGATATCCGACGACAGGGGGGAGGCTAATAGACTCTATGGAGGCGGGAGGATCCTCATACAGTCCGATTGCCGACCAAGAGTCACTACTCTTGCATTGTAAGCAAGGGAAGTGCCCTAACGTGCCTTTCTCAGAGGCCAGTTTGGCTTATTCAGGTACAGGCACAGGGTCATGTGTGGTGGTGCGCGCCCAGGTTAATCTGGGGAAGACATGCGCGCGTAAGCCCTGGTGTGGTGTGCATCGAGGGATACGGCATCCGGCGGCTTGGCTCCTTACTCTCTTGGGATGATACCACGGAATGGCCAATTCAACCTGCTCATCACTTCGTATTTCTACTGCAACGAGCTGCATTTGCGATTCATGCCGACAAAAACTGCGTGTTGCTCCTCTACGACCATCAAGGTTGGTGTGTTCATCTCGGGTTCAAGGAGAAGTGCATCAACGCTATGTCTGCGTTGGCAATGAACTCCCCGAAGTGTCCGTCACGTCCTTGATGACGGCGCGGTCGTCTTTGGCACGTCAGAGCCAGATGCTTTTCCGTGCTTACCTGTGGGGGAGCCTAGACGGCTTTCTCATTCCCATTAAGGCTGTTCGATGTGTGTTGCGACACCGCGCCCCTGCGAGTTGCCAGTCAATCCATATCTTGGATGATGCCATCGAGTGCTTCGCCCAGTAGCTCGCCTGTCAGACTGTGGATAGCGCCAGCTTCCCGGCGTTAACAGTTGATGCGCTGTGGGGTCTTGCCAAGAGCCGCAACAACGGAGCTCGGCTTGCCTTTGGTTCAACTGGGGGTCAACTGCCGTTCGCGTTGCGGACTAGGGTAGCAGAACTGAGGGGCGATGGCGACCGACCGAGGATTCGGGGTTTAGAGTCAGGTTGCTTAAGCCAGGGAGAAGGCAGAAGGTCGGAGTGAACACGGAGCCGGCCGGTTGCGTGACTCGCGCCCTCGAATTGGATGGTAAGCTACAGCTTGGCAAGCATGGGAGTTCTGCCTGCTCTTCCTGAGTGCAGCATTTACATCACTCGCATCGTTCTGCCCGTTGGTGAGGGATTCAAAGTTGGCATTCCCGCCGCACGGGCCGCGAGCGGCGGCAGCGGCAGTCAAATAAGGTAGGTCAGTTTAGGCGGGTTTCGACATTTCTAATGAAGGATCGAGGGGGGCAAAACTGGCCGGGCGGCACGCCGCACGCCCGCCTTGGGTGCTGAGGTGGATATTGTGCGTTGCGTCTTTCGTGTGCCTTGAGTTTGGAGTGCCCCTTGTGTCCTTCGGCAGACAAGGTAAATAGTATGCTGAAGCCGAGCGAGAGGGAAACAGGAAGGAGATAAAAGACCCCAGCAGACCCAGCAGCGCCAAGGTCGACAAGCGAGGCGCCCTTTCTGGTGACAAGGTTAGACGACAACGGCCCTTCAGACGTCACTGCGCAATCTACTGCTCCAAGGACATTTGACATGTTCCCCCACTTATCGACAGGGCCGGTGACGGGGCCGGGCCCAGAAGAGTTACTTCTTTAATGTTCGCCCGATTCATGTTGTGAGAAAGAATCACGATGGCCTTGAATCCTCACATGTAAAAACCCCTTTCAAGATCTCCTCCAATGTCTCCGCTCGGAGGGAGGTTGCCAAGCAATGGTCCCGGTGGAGCTGATAGGGATCGGGCTTCAGTTGACTCCGGCTTGGCAACAGGCTGGGACTTCGAAGACTCAAGGAACGATGTTGATAAAAACACACAACTTCCAAAAACTCTTTCGTCAACGGTTTATCCACCACTATGCCTTCTGATAGTGGGACTCTTGACATGCCGTTCATGAGGCTCTACAAGCTCTTGATGAGAGCCAGCACTTCGGTCTAGTAACCCAGTCTCGGAATCATGGTGGGTTGCACTACCTTATCAGACAGGGAGTTCACTGTCAATCGCATCCAACACCCAAAAAATCCTCCGAGATACCAGTCCCACGGCACAGGCTGGCGTCACATGCCCTGCATGCATAAAATGGACGGTTGTTATTCGATCATAGATGTTGTTTCGTCCCTGGAAGACCCAGCAAAACTTTTGTGCTTTGGGGGCTTGATCCCGTCAGTCGACGACGCAAAATCGACTCTTCTCTTGCTACGCGACACAGAGAGGCGGGTTATGTTCCGACGTTGTATCTGTACTCCGTCAGACAATTTGAATGACTCCCTTTGTTCAAATAGGGGTGATGACGCTTCGACTGCTCTCGGAGTAGCCTACTCACCTTGAAGTGCTGCAGTGCGACATTCGATCGTGAGGGTGGGTGTCAACCCAATGCCAAGCATAACACAACTAGCGTATTGTACGGTACGGGCCAATTTGTTGTGTACTGCGATAGCGACGTACGCAGCTGTGCATGCCGAGTAGCCGGGTGCGCATGTGGTAGTGCAACTAGGGCCGGGGACTTGACATCCTCTATCAGCCTTATGCGATAAGCTTGCATGCAGAATGTGACGGCATGACTGGACCAACCATACTGAAGCAGCTGCCGTGAGTCGCTGATAAGACTTGCACATTGTCAAGTTATGAATCCAAGTGTTTTCAGTAATCAGTTGTCGATAGCAAAAGTCTCAAAGTCGCTAGCAGCTGTCAGCGATTTTGAGGTGTTTGGATAATACATGCCAGGGCTCATCGTGTTCAACAGGTCGCAAATGAGGACCTCTGTAGTTGTGCAACACAGAAAAAGCGAGAATCAGGTTCATGATAGCATAACTTTAACACCAGTGCGTCTTTCATCAGGCTCTCTTGACACTATTGAAAAATGCGCTGCTGAACAGAGCAGTGCTTTTCGAGCCATGAAGGTCGCCTGCGCGGGTCGAATAACAGGTGAACAAGGAGTTCAACCTTGTACAAAGCATGATGAACGTTCCCGAGACGTCTAATCAGCAGCAAGGTTGAGCCGTCATGAAGCTAAGCAATTCACATAGACATCATCTCTTCAAAGCCGGAAGATCATGTTGGAAGACTAGATGTCAAAATAGGGAACGTCTCTGAAAATGTAAACCTGTACGTTATATCCCGGCAGTCATTGCTTACGAAAGCTATGGTTCTATTAAAATGCTTCACTATCACCGATGTAGCATCCTGAGAGTGCCAGTAGTTTCGATATCCGGATCTAGGCTGTAAGGTGTTACTGGGATAAGGATTGACGTAGACATCGGATCTCCCGGCATGCACGCCCATTACTATAACCACTTCTGACTTTTGGAAGACTGAGATCTTCTCAACGTATGGATATCGATTGCGAATATTACTTGGAATCATGGCTGCTCGATCATCTTGCGTCTTGTTTATCGAAAGCATTAGATGGCCAACCACCTGCCTTCAATTTCAAAAGGGACGTGGGTTATGTATAGATATCAAATACCAAAAGGCGTAACAGGGTGATTTGGAAGATTTTCTGGCTGAAGAGCTTGATTCAGAGTGTCTTCAAATTTTTTTGGTTAGCAACAACTAGACTCTGCTCCGACAATTGAACTGTTACCTGCATGAAGTGGCGGCTTGCATGGATGCCACTGGCTTGATTACTCTTAAGTACAAGAAGCGAGAGCTCATACTGGCAGAAGTGAGATACATGACTTGGACTGTTGATGCCCATAAGACTATATGACCACTCGGGTGACAAAAATTAGCGCCAGGATTTGTAAGGTAAAGGCATAGGAAAGCGGCGCTGGTTTTTGTCATCCGAGTGATGACTCCGATTCTAATTTGAGTATGTCTTGAAAAAATGGAGAACGGCTGCAAGAAGCTGGTCTTCAACGTCCCACACTGTGGCAATCTAGTCACCGAAAGCATCCCTCCAACCCTCACATTCTTGACGTCCTTCTTGTTCGATCCCAATTCGAGCTGTCGGAGTCAACGACCCACCCACCTGTCCCAAACCTGTCAAATCCTTCTTGGAAGCACGGTTATCGACTCGCCAATCCGATAGAGTCATCTTATCTTGCGGCCTGCTTAGGCGAGGTGAAGATGCGTAACGTCAAGCGTGGGGCAGGACTTGCTTCGAAAATGCGCAAAATGCGGGGAAAATATGGGCGATGAGGAAAATCAGCTACCGCTACAAGCCTGATTAGGCATTGTTTCCCCAGATGTTTACCTTGTAGTTAACCCGCGGGTTATTTCATTCCCTTTCACGGAGGTTCGGGGATGCCACGCCACGTCACCCACATGATGTTTGGACCAATAGATGATGATGGATATGCGAATGGTGGGTGTTTGTCAATCGGCTTATAAGTAGAAATCAAGTCAAAATAGCAAAGTTTCTTTTTACCGGATCATATCTTCGACTCCAACATTTTCCAACTCGGTTTGGACATCTGTATATCTGACAACGGAGCTACCGACTGAACAGTTCGCGCGAAAAGCAACCACCCAACGCTGATAGCCGGCTTATTTCTGACGGCTTCCTGACTAAAGATACTACTATGCCTCACGCAGAGTCCTCAACCATAACAACGCCTCCCACCATCAATGGCGTTCACCTCCACGTCAATGATGGCCTACTCTCCCCCAACGAGGTCGAGGCTCTAATCCAGTCCTATCCAGCAGAAGACCTCAACATCCTCCGCGAAAGGTTCCGCCGGAATGGCTACCTTCTCGTCAAGGGGCTTATCCCGCGCGAAGATGTTCTCTCAGCCCGTGAATCCTACTTCAAGTCACTTGCCCCCAGCGGCGTGACCAAGCCAGGAACATCTCTCAGAGACGGAATATTTGATGATGCAAAATCGCCCGAAGACTACCCGGGTATCGGTGCCGGCAGCGTCAAGAATGCCGCCCCAGGCGAGACCGACAAGTCCGCAATCTTCACCTCAGCAGCTTTGAAAGCGCACACGGAAGACTGGTACGCCGGCTCTGAGGATGGCACAGTCCAAGGCTTCTGCAACCACCCGATCCTCCACGACTTCATCTCACGCTTCACGTTGTGGGGCGACAACACGCTCACCGTCAAGCGCACACTGCTTCGCAACAACACGCCGGGCAACAAGGCCATTGGCGTGCACTATGATCAGTCCTTTATGCGGTACGGAGAGCCAACTTCCGTGACGGCCTGGGTGCCCATCGGCGACGTGCGGCTCGAGGGCGGCGGGCTGATCTATATGCAAGACGGCGAGAAGCTAGGCGAGGAGATTGAGAACGAGTTCACAGCCAAGGCCAAGGCAGCGGGTATGAGTGAAGATGAGACGAAGAACGCGTTTAATGCAAACATGATGACAACAGGATTTCTATCCGAGGGGCCAGCGGACTTCGGAAGGAGGTATGGTAAGAAGTGGTTGGTGAGTGCATATGAGGCCGGCGATGTTGTGTTTCACTCGGCACATATGGTAAGTCTATTCAATGATCCCTAGCTGGTCGTGATCTGCCCTTGGTGCATCGGTCTCTAACATGGGTGTCAGATTCATGCCTCGACTAAGAACCATGACCCTGAGGGCCGTATCAGACTCGGGACCGACTTGCGCTTCGTCGACAAGAGCCGACCATGGGATACTGTGAGGCACATTCACACCACTATGATCTGACATAGCGACTGATGACAAATAGCGATGGGATAAGCACTACAGCTTCGGCGATGGCGTTTAACATCTTCAACCACGTACTAACTACAGAATAGATACTTGATGGTATTTTCTGGCCATGTTACTTTTTCACACGTACAGAGAAAGTAGGAGGTCAATGGAGATTAAAAAACACGTTTTGGGTATTTCCGACTCCTAGCAATAGCAAGTCGTTATTTTCAACCACGATGATCATCCCCGTTCACCTAGACTGGAAACTATCAAGCTCTGTCCATTGCTCCTTTAGAGTCTTGACCAGTGCTCCTGTTTTCCACTGCACGATGGTCCTCACCTGTGCCAAATATTTGATGGTATGTTCTCGCTCGAGTGGGTGTCTTATGAGATGCCCGCCTGTGATGTTGATGTCAGATACCCTCTGGAAGTGGACACAGGCCTAGGTGAACTCACATAGAGACAGCATATGCGCCGGTAAATAATAGGCGTTAACTGCTTCGTTCGATAGAGCCAATCCCATCAGAATACAGAGATAGAACGTGATCTCGCGCTGATAGAGTTGTTAATAGTGTGCAGGAAGTGATGCCTCATACTTTACCTACCTCACTATCCATCCTCTTTTTCGTCCCCTCAAATCCCGCCGTCGGGTTTGAGCTATTGTAGTCATGGAAGCAAAATATGGCTTTCGAAGCGTAATAGTAGCCGAGACCGACGGTGGCTGGATAAATCAGCACCGGTGCGCAAACCCTTCCATGCTAAGGGATCTGCCTCTAGTCTCCGTTTTTGACTTGGCACAGGAATGAGCGCTCTTCTTACCTGGATCAGCAGCCATCCAGAGGGTTGGGAAAGGCCTCTCCCTCACCACATCTGCCTTTTCGTAAAAGAGCGGTCGGAACGAGATGGGTTTCTCTCGATACCAAACCTCCACGTCGGCTTGCAGTTTCTCCCACGCCGTCGCGCTATCTGTAGGGGATTCTATCCCATCCTCGGGAAAGAAAAGCTTCAGCACCTTTGCGAATAGGTACACGATGCGATTTGCGTGCGCCGTGTCATCGTTGCTTTTGAATGTGGACGATCTCTCAAAGTTCTCCAAGCATATTTCTATGGGTGTTCGACGAACCAGGTATACGTAAAGGGCCTGGCGGAGGTGGACCCAACTCGCGGCCTCGGCTAGCCCGCCCTGTGTGACAAAACGGGCGATGGCGTCGTGATTCAATAGGTTTCTGGTACCTCTGAGGTGGTGGTAGTGTGAATCCGTTTCGTTGTCGTATTCCTCGTACAGGCGCATGATGACGACAGCCGTCAGAAGGATGGAGTCCCATGTCTCGGGCGGTTGCGAAAATGCTTCGATGAGCAGCTCGATGCAGCGGTTATGATAGTAGGTGCTTTCTAGATCGGACTCTTCATTGGAGTCGTCATTACATTGGGTGTCGAAACGACTCGCAAGAGCAAAGATACCGTTGAGCAAGATGGGTTTGCGAAGGGCTAGGCGAGGAACATCTAGAGTGAAAGGTCGGGCGTCGTGACAGGCATCGATCTGGAACGGTAACAGACATCAGCAATGTTGTTTTCACAGTAGCATCGCACTTGAAAGAAGCCTCACAGATGGCGCTATCCTCAAGATATAAGTCCGGAATAAGAACGCCTGCCGCCCAGTGAACCCGTAACATCCAGGGTCCCCGGGCTGGCCCCGGAGATTTGCATCCGAGATAAGACCATCAGCCCGTTCTAGCTGATGTAAAGAGCCAGCTTGCGTTAAAGGAGAATCTCCTAGAAGATAGGATATTTGAAGCTGGGGCTGTACTTCCCCAGCGTTCCACTGACTGCTGTCGGCTGTGAGACCATCGCAGTCGGATTCTAGGAACCTTAGGCTCGACGTAAAGCTAGCACGATGGCGGATTTCCGGCGGCGGTCCTCCATTCAGCACGAACCCAATCGGTGCACTCCCATCTCCGTGTGAACCGTGGCCTGAGAATCGCTGACCGGGTGCTTCGGCTCGAAAGCTGTGCGTGGCCGGCGGAGTGAACTCGAATGCGAATTGAGTCTCGTATGAGGCAGAACCATGCAGAGATGTGTGAGAGGTAAAGCTGTTGCTCCTGTCACCGGTAGTCTGGACCGACTGGACGGCTGGCGATGATGACGCTTCGGTAGCAGCTTCATCTCCGCGGCTTACTTTGCTCTTGCGCCTGACTGAAGAGAGTGTGAGCTTATGTATGGCGTGCAAGGGGCGGTGAGATGATCGCCAGCGAGACTGAGACAGGGGAGCTGGGTGTGGATGTGAAGACGGTAGGGGCACATCGAGTCATCCAACAAAGGAAGTCTAGACAAACCTCTCTGGTCCGCCTTGCGGGCTTTATCACCAGCAGCCTTCCTCGCGCTACCGGGCGCGTGCTTGAACCGTAGCGTCGTGTCAAAGTGACATTCAAGATCAGCTTCGACACACGCGCCGCAGCCCGTCGCACCGGGTTGCACGACGCATTTACGGTGACGCCGCCGGCAGGCGTCACAGCAGCGCCGGGGCTTCATGTAGGTCCGGCCAGACCCTCGCTCCCAAACCCAGATCCGTCTCGCCGTTCGGGTGTCATCCGAATCCCGTTCTGTTGAATTAGACTCGATTAAAATGCCAAATTCACTTCGGATTAATCAACTCGAGTGTGAATGGCCGGTTAGTGGGTATTCAACCCCGAGTACCGAGGTAGGCAGACAACAGTGCGATGCTTTCTCGAGATTTTGGGATATGCGGGGGAGACAAAAGATGAATCCCGCGGGTTACATGGCCTTTTGAAGACATGGTCGGGGCTCGGGATCGACACTAGGCGGGGGCAGGAAATGCGGGGTGAACCCCGAGCATAAGCATGCAGTACCGCGATTAAAGGTGCGTCACGGGGGGTTGCTCCGTGTAAGATCCTGTAGGGTGTTAGTATCATGGTGCCGAGCGAATGGAGGTGGTTTCTGGTGCGATTGTGTGGCCGCTGACCGAGAGAAGGAAGTAATAGTCAGTAGACGCTATCGTCTTTACTTTGTATAAGTCAAGTCACCCACTTCTGGGCACCCCACCCATGTGGGCACCCACAAAACGAAGCTATCGCAACAACACCACCCTTTTCAATTGACTATCGCCGAGGCCCAGATGCAACTATGATACAGCTTTCTGCCTCACTAGGGCAATCAGATGCGCTAGATTCATCTATATCAATTTCAGCATTGCTAGCCTTGATCTGGGCTTGCTGTATATTGCTGATGTTAGTGAACTTAGTGTTAAGGTTGATTTTGATAGTCTTCTTTTTTTTTATTGTAGTGTTGTTGATTTAGGCCTGGAGAAGTTGTATTTAGTGGTAGGTAGTAGCTAGCTAGAAGGATTGCTTTTGGAAGCCTTTTTTGACCTTTCTGAAGAGCTGGCGTTGTGTGGTAATACTTTGATTTAGCTTGCTGAATAAGTCTAGTTGACTATTAAGGTCCTTTATTTTCCTAGGCGTAGACTATGTAATAGCAGATGAAGCAGATGCTTATCCCTCTATATCCTGGGCATCTTAGATACTTTGGGTACCTTGGGTAGCCTTATTAAGTAGTGTTATTAGTGTTATTGCTTTAGGCAGTAATAAAGAGCTTATAAGAGGTTTATTTATAGTAATAGGCTATAGTCTAGTATATTTCTAGTTATTTAGAATATTCTTTTTTATTAGTTTAGTTAAGTGTGTTAGCTAATAATAAAATAAAAAGTATCTCTTATTTATTATAGTTAAATTATTTTATTAGCTAAGGTTAAGCTAGAGCCTTTTGTGATAAGTTGTTTTAATTAGGCTAAAGATTAACTAATCTAGTGGTTAAAGGATATAGGAGGTATATAGCAGCAAGAATAATAGATAGACGTTATTAATATAGTATTACTATATGAATTTTGTTGTTATATAGCTTTTATACTTATCTAGGACTAGTAGTCTAGTTTGATTAGGCTAGGAAAAGGCAGTTTGTAGCAAGAAGACCTTTAATAGTTACTTAATAATAGTCTTATTAGTTATTTATTTATTCTCTGTTATTATAAACTCTTATTTATTATATAGGCTAAGATCTAGAAGAAACTATTACTACTAGACTATTTTGCCCTTATATATTACAAGAGGATATAGTGTTAGGCCTTTAGCTGAGATACACTTAATAATAGATACCTAGGCTTATGATCCAGGCTGCTTTTTCTGTATAGACTTAGTTTTTGTTTTACTTAGTACTAGCCTATTTATGCCTTGGCCCTTAAGGATACTAGTCTTATTTATGTTATATCTGTTGGTTAGCTAGATGGCTGATATTGATAGGATCGTAAGATATTTAAACTAGTCCCTGATAATCTTAGTAGATGCCTTATTAACACGTCTAGAATCAATAGATCGACTTCTCTGGACCTTGATAGATAGGTTTCTTTGTACAAAGGCGTCTATCTATCTCTTCCCTAGAGGCTGGGTATTGCCTATGGCATGGAGGATACGCTGGGCAAAAACCTTGACTTGTTGATGCGTTGGCGCAAGCCCAAGGTCAGCCTGTATCTGTACCCAATTAGCCAGCTTAGCCTCCTGACTAACAGAGAGCCGCTGGAGGTCAGTAAATGCGATATCTCTAGGTTGGATACCCTTGAGGCGATTCTGAAGTGTTGACCGAGGGACGCCCTATTTCCTAGATGCTGCCTGGACAGGGACGCCGTTGGCGATATCCCCAAGAGCCTTGCTAACCTCATACTCGGTATATTGACCCATAGGGTATAGAAGAAGGTATCTGCAAAAGATGAAGTGATTTGGATAAGGGATGAAAATGTTGTGATAGTTTGAAGTGGGAGGCTGGTCATGGTGTTGAGGGATTTTTGGGGTGCCCACATGGGTGGGGTGCCCAGAAGTGGGTGACTTGACTTACCATTCTCTCTGTCCCCAACCCAACGGCCCAACGAGAACTGTTGGTAACAGGTAACGAATGGAAGCAGAACCTGACCGTTTCCGATCGGAAACAGGCAACCACCAATATCTACTCGGTAACAGACAGACCCGTCGGACGCTTTGAGGTACATATTGACCCAATGGAGGAGCTCTCCAAGTTTGCCGTTGAAACCCACAGCAATTCCAACCTCACCACGAAACTGTACGGGTCCAATGCCATTGTCGTCTAAGGGTCAGAATGAATAAGAAAAATGACGTGTATTATATTGTCACCAAAACCAGCCAATAATCACGAAAACAATAGCCTAGGAAGTCCCCTATCATCGCATCTGACATCTAGGCTCAGATTCTAGCCACAAGGCGCTGTGCTGAAAGCTTTTCGCAGGGAAATGGAAGCGATCCCAATCCAGCACATCTATCAAATCGTTGTTTTAATGATAGATTAAACCATTTCTTCAGAGTAGATCGCATCACACCACATCGAGGTGGCTGATAGCAACGCTAAATAAAATCGGAAAAGATCATAAAACTGAATGGTAAGTCCACTTGACGATTTAGTTTAAGTTCATGGGACTAAAGCTTGTCTTGATGGACAAAATAGCTTAACAACCATGCCATTCGCGTTCTTTCTCTACTGATACTAACTGACGCAAAAGAGATGGTGTTTGGGCTATAGAAAAGCAGTCGAGTTATCGCAAATTTTGCATTCTTACGGCTTTTCCTTGGGATGGTTGGTAATCACGATGGCAGTTGGACATGCGAGTTGTGCCTAGAGTCTTGGCTACTTGCTTCCGCCCTCTTCGCTGCTTCCGTGATCTGATGGAACTACTGGGCCATGAACCCATCAGATCGGTATGCAGTAGCCTTGGACTGTTTTCTACTAAAACATCAATCACCGTCAGGGACGAGGTTATTGGATTCTCTTGTGAGAGGTCTGGTGTTAACAAAGGAGCGCGGATTGAGAACCTTAGCACTCTTGCTCGAGAATCTAATCCTTGACACCGTACCCTTTTTGGTTATCATTGTAGATCTTTCTTGGACGCGTCCCATTTGTTTGCAAGTCGCACCGGTGCCACAAGCTAGTCAGTTAGACCGAATGAATGCCCCTCTTCTACACATCTGTCAAACCTTCGGCTCATGACATTGCCAAGAGGCTGTTGCTATGCTGAACACTGAATTACTGGCTTTTCTTTACAATAACTCATCTCATGAGCCTCGATCGAGCTTCACGTTACGAACACGCTGCTACACATTGCTTCGGGACAAATGACCAACAGAGGGGCCATGATTGGCCCAGTCCGGGTGGACTCGGGAATGCTTACGTAAAAGATATCGCAGTGTCGCCGCTAACCCGTTTCTGGACTAGTGCATCTAGCTCCAAGATCCGCCAGAGGGGCAGATCTGCTTTTACAGGCTTTGACAGAAAGCCATCTCGTTTTCCAGATCTTTCTGGATTTGAGGGGGAAGCCGGGTTCAAGTGAGCGCGACGGTAAAGGCTCTTTTCAGAGAAGCACGTTTCTCACGCGTTCGCGCCGCCGTTGCTCAGTTCTTGCAACCTTCCACTTGAATCCAACACAAGGACAAGAGGAACTGTCATGCATGCGTCGGCAAAATAGTCTCCGAGCGCATTCGGTTCCCGGCAAACAACAAGCCCTACGACGAAACGATACTCGCATCTGAAAAGGCTCATTGCACCACAACGCGCAACATAAGGTTCGATTGAACCTTCGTATCTGCCGTCTCCCGTACCTATTTCCGGTGACGTGGGCAAGGTACAAGGTTTGCCGTCTCTTCCGGCATCAACAAACCCAACCAAGCGCCGAACAAACATCAAGGGCCAATTCATCAGACGCAGCCAAGGAGCCTCACAGGCGTGGGCCGCGCTCCCCACCGACGCGTCACTAACAATCTGCACCAGTCGGCCTAGGGCCTGGGCGTGGCCCAGGGCATGACGCTGTCTTTGTCACAGCTGAAATGCAGAGATTTTTGCATACAAGCCACGGACCACAGCTCATAACCACGACTCGGCGCGCGGTCACCCGAGAGAGTCCATCACGGAGGAATCGAGGACCATGCCAGAGGGAGGGAGTCAAAACTGGCTTATCGGCGCTGGGTTTGTCGGCTATCGTGGTGCATCCCCCTCGGAATAGAGCGGGAGCGCTGAGCCCCATGGGGTAAGTGGGAGGGCCTATCACTGGTGGCCCCCTCGTGCGATGCGACCATGGGAGGAACCGGGTATTGGAGGAAGCCGTGACGTTTACGCGTGGACGAGAATGCGGGTTGGCGCGGGGGGATATATGCATTGCCGGCGATACAGCGAAGCAGTTTATCCTCGGGTGCTCATCATGGTCCTGGTGGTTGCCAGTGATACTGCACTGGGCGTCAGCCAAGCAAGTAGTGACCGAGTGGTGATGAGCTGACAGCGACGCTGGGTACTGTACCTCGAGGTATGCTGATATCACTCCTAGGGTGCAAAAGCGTACTGCATTTCCGGAGTGATACCATCAACATCGACAAGTGCAACAAAGGATAGGGCCAAAGTCTCGTCGACCGGGTAGCATCCCCAATCGTCAAACACCAGGAGTCTCCTACCGGCCCTGGCAGACACAAGTGATCCCAAGCCGGATGACTCCCCAGGCGCGCCAAGTGCAAGCCGAGCCCCCCCATGGCCCGTCCCAAGCCAGTTCCAAGGCTCAAGGATCCATCGGGCTCCCAAGGGGGCTCTCACGGCTGGGATAACACTGGCCAATAGCCCGTTAGTGGCCAGAATCTGCTGACGCTTGCTTCAGACTGATTGTCCCCCTGGAGGACTTGGAAGGCTGTGTTCCGCATTTGGCCGAAGCATCGTTCCCGCCCCCGCCCCTAAAAATTCTAGATCCCGAAGACGGCCACGCCCTGCTGGGCCCGAGATCGATAGTGGTGTGTGTCTCCCTGCCGCTGCTGCTGCGCGCTCGATTGTCACTGCCCGTATCTATTTAGGTACAAGAGTACCTTGACATCATCATCGCTTGTGATTTTTCCACGCCCCCTTTCAACGACTCTTGACTCAGCTCGTGTGATCCATCTCCGTTTTCATAGCATCCTCTTACGATACCAATCAAACAACACGTTCAAAATCACAGTTTACAGCGTTCCACCACGAAGAGCCATTGTACTTGAGGCCCTGAATTGAGTGGGACTTGGACGGAAACGAGGCCATCATTGAAAAGGAAAAAAGAGACGTCAACCACCTTACCGCCGCCACGATGAACTGTCCCTCGCGCAACGACGACATCACGCTGGAGCATCCCGACTGGAACCAGAACCCGCCCTTTCTCGCCGCCGACCTCACCACCTGCGAGGACCTGAACGGCATCGCCAACGCCCGCGAGCAACGCCGCGCCCGGAGCGGTGCCGGGATGGGTCCGACGGCCGGGGTGACGAGATGAATTACCAGACGTTACCGCGTTTACAACCCGATCGGAGGCGCCCCGTTTCGGGAGGGTGGAACTATGGTAAGTCCCTTTTTGTTTTCCGAGAATGATTCCAAAATGCTACTAAGCTACGATGCCACAATATGTGTTCGTCACCGCTCAATGGCTGCACCAACGGAATGGGAAAACAGGTGGCCAGCTGCTGTTGAGCACCTCACCGCCCTCGGTATTCATGTGCAAGCGCCAACACCGACGACGTCTAAACACCACCTCACAACACGAAATGCACATGGGACGCTGACCAACATCATCTTAGGTTTCCACCCCCGAAACAAAAAGGTGCATGGTGGTGACGACCATACACCTCCCCTCTGGGCCTCCGCGCCCACCCGCTCCGCCCTCTGGGGCTGGGTGAGTTGGATCATGTCCGTCCTTGGCTGTTCGGCCATCATCTCTGCTCTCAAGAGCCCCGAGGCTGTTGCTTCGTTCCTCGTTGCATCCAAGCAAACCGCCCAATGTGAGTTTACTCTCTGAATCCTTTGCTTAGCCTTCAGTCATGATATCGCACGCAAACGCACAAACTAATTTCACCCTTCGTCCCACAAACTCTCACATGAACATAAGCTGACGGCACAGCCATCGCCAAACACTCCGCCCGCTCCGTCCGCCGCTCGACCTGCCCGACTGGCGGCCTCGGCAACGAGGACGCCTACAACACGCCCTTCCACGTCGGCGCCCTCTTCATCATCCTCGGCGTCTCCTTCCTCGCCTGCGCCTTCCCCCTCATCGCCTCCGTCACCCCAGGCGTCCGCATCCCTCGCCCCTTTTTCTTCGCCGTACGCCACTTCGGCACCGGCGTCCTTCTCGCTACGGCCTTTGTCCACCTCCTCCCCACGGCCTTCACCCTCCTCGGCAACCCGTGCCTCAGCTCCTTCTGGGTCGAGGACTACCCCGCCATGCCGGGCGCCATCGCCCTGGCCGGAATCTTCCTGGTCACCATCATCGAAATGGTCTTCCAACCCGCCCGCCACATGTCCCACGCCCCCGACGACTCCGTCCTCTCGCCGCAGCGTTCGGGATCCGTCGACAACGACGACAACCGTGATCCCGGGCCCTACCCTCTCGAGATGGCCCCGAGCCGCGGCGCCGCCGGCAGCATGGGCCGCACCCTCTCCCGCATCGGACGGGACGAGCAGCAGGCCGGTGACAGGCTTGCCAAGCGCGTTGACGAGGAGAGCCGCGCCGTGCAGCTCCACGCCAACGGCGTCGTGACCCTCTCCCCCGCGCAGCAACACCAAAAGGACATTCTGCAGTGCATGATGCTCGAGGTCGGAATCCTGTTCCACTCCGTCTTCATCGGCATGACGCTCAGCGTCTCCGTCGGCCACGAGTTCGTCATCCTCCTCATCGCCATCGCCTTCCACCAGACCTTTGAGGGGCTCGCCCTCGGCTCCCGCATCGCCTCCATCGACTGGCCCAAGGGTAGCCTGCAGCCGTGGATGATGGCCCTCGCGTACGGGTGCACCACGCCCATCGGCCAGGCCATCGGGCTCGCGACCCATAGGCTGTACAGCCCGAACTCGGAGTTCGGCCTGATCCTGGTCGGCACGATGAACGCCCTTTCGTCCGGCCTGCTTGTCTTTGCCGCGCTGATTGAGCTGCTCGCCGAGGACTTCCTGTCCGACGAGAGCTGGCGCATCCTTCGGGGCTCCAAGCGCGTCTGGGCCTGCCTGCTCGTCTTCTTTGGCGCGTTCGGCATGAGTCTCGTCGGTGCATGGGCTTAAGTCTGCATGCCAGCTTATACCGGGGACGGGGTAAATGATCCATCGCGTCGAGAGATCTCTGGAGACCTAGACTATTAGTGGTTCCTCGTTCCGTATATTGGATGTTGTCGGCCATCCTGCGGTCTTACTGCGCCTGAAAAGACGCGGTGAGGCGTCCATTCGGAAACCATGACGAGATCATGAAGAGGGAATGGCGCGAGCTGTCTCTTCACGATCCCGTCAACATTGCCGTTCTTTGACAGAGGTGTGCAGTCAGCTGCTGACCTTGGTTTCTATTTAAAGTTGAGATTGCCGATGGCTGTTTGATGGATTATGTTCATTGAGCCACGGCTTGAAAAAGCCGATGGCCCAGGTACCTTGATTGATATTTGTTTCCGCCCATCCATGGGTGTCCGCTCGTTTAAAGTTCCAAAGGCCACAATTAGATCTCGCAGAAAAGATTAGAGGAAGGCATTAAATAAGAATACTGTTGGAATAACAGCACCAGCTGGTTGTACGACACGCACGACTCAGGGACACACATCATGGCAGAGGGCACAGACTGGATATTCGGCCCTCGGTTATCCATTGAGGGGATCAAAAGTATATTCATGCCGAACTGACTCAGGGACGTACGAGATCATATATCTTGTGTACGAAAGCCAAGTCTTGTAGTTAGGAAGATAATCACGGAAAATACATCTTTGGTTCACCCTAACTTTAACCCGAGTACGATCGTACAAACGGGTTCTCTCAGGAAGAGAGAATCCATTCAACACTGATCAGTGGTTGCTTGGCAATCCGTGCGATTGCTTTGTGCAATCACAGATTAGCAAGAGTGAAGAGACAAGACTTAGGCTTTACGGCCGGGCTACCGGGTAGTCTTGCACTTCGTGCGAGGCGAGAAATCCTCAGGGATACCTAAGGGGTCACGCTAGAAAGTCTCTTGTGCTAAGAAGCCTTAATCCTACCTATTGTCGCCTGCTAAGCTGAACCGGGTAGATAGGATAAAGACGACTTTTGCTTTACTATCGTACAAGACAGATTCCCGTTGTCGCCTGCTAAGCTGAACCGGACGAGAATCTTTATTGTACTGTACGTAGAGTACAAAGTGTGCGCCACGGCACCAAACAAACCAATTTTGACGTCGTACGATACGAAACGACTACCGAACACAACATGGCTTCCCAAGAGGATCCAGAAGACAATCGTCAAAGCCAATATGACAACATTGATGGATACCTGCCAACGTACGAAGAAATAAGTGCAAGGAGCGAAGTCCCACTGCACACGTGGAAGAAGACTGTGAATCCTAGACGCTGGGGAAATCCAGTCGATATTACACAGGCACCGTCCGAAGAAGAGATGACTACGTACATTGCGTACATCAACATGGAAATGCTTCATCTTAGGCAATCAAAGGAAAACCTGACAATATCACTGTACGAAGATTTCAACGAATGGTCTACCTTCCAATGGGAAAAGGTCTATCGTGCGTTCAGGGCAGAGTTCATACGACTTATTGAGCTAAAGGGATTCCGATTACCGCCAATAAGAAATGTGAATCAACAGTTGGTTGAATTCATCAAGGAGATTGGGAGGAAGTTTGATGAGCAAGAAGAACAGCTTTCTACTCGTACAGCACTTACACCAAGTCGTACGATTACAACAACTCAAACACCTGTTCGAAACCCTGAATCAACTTTACCCCAAAACACAGCTGAACCAACAACAGAGCCAATCGAACCCCCGTACGATACACAGACAACTCAAACATCAATCGTACGAGAGCAGTCACAATCAGCTTCAGGAAACATACCTCCTGGAACAAGATTCACACAGGAGGTTGAGAGTTTTCCACAAATCCAGGGTCGTACAACACCTTTACATCAAGGAGACAGCATCTATGACCTACCACCAAGACGAATAGTCCAGAATGGATTGTGCGAGCCAACTACAATTTCAATCTTCCAAAAGGGATGGAGAAAGGACAGGAATTATACGGGCAAGCCGTACGATATCCTGTACGACAAGGCAAAGGTCTTTATCAGTTTTTGTCGACGCCTCAGGATCACTGAAGACCAATACCATGCAGTATTTCCTGATATCTTGGCTGATCGTGCGGAAGAGTTTTATCTCCATCACATTGGACCAACAAGGAGATGGGACGAGATGTACAACATGTTAGAAATGCATTTTAACACTAACATCAACCACACTCTCTATTGGACAGATTGGACAAGTCTATCCTTCGCACGAGTCAGACAAGACAATCCAGACAAGAATCTGATGGACGTATTAGAGATACTCTTAGACAAGATACCCCTCGTACAACGGGCACTTGGCCCAGGTTTTCAGGGGGAGATTATGCTTCGTACGCAAGTCACCCAAGCGTGCAGAGGTGTACCAGAGCTAGAAACTGCTCTAAGCAATCTTAAAGCACATCACACGTGCGAGCAATTCTTTTCTAGTCTAAGAGCATCACTACAAGTCGCTTTAGACAGGAAGTCTATGTCGCACGACATCAACTTCGTGGATAGAAGGTACTCTAACAACAAGAGTTACCCACGACCATCGTACAATAGACCGTCAGACAACAGAGGATCTTCTCGACAACCTTGGAAAGGTCAACCTTCATCACGACCTAGGTTTAATCGTGCAATATCTAAGAAAAGATGTTTTGTGTGCAAGAAGGAGGGTTGTTGGTCTACGAATCATTCGGACGAAGAACGTAATCGCGCGAAAGACCAATACCTTCAGGCATGCGGTATACTTGAACAAGAACCACAGAGAGATTTTGCCTCGTACCTTCTTGACTTTGAAGGAGAAAACCCAGTGGACGAATCGTGCGATGAGGAGGGAGAATTTACAGGAGATGAAGAGACATCAGCTTTCCTAATGTCTTCTTCATTCTTCCATCGCACGACAGGGGAGGATATCTTTTCATTACCAAAGACGTCAGAGGCCTGTCAATTCTTGTTGCACGATCCTTATATCTCATCGTACCAAGGGGAACTATGGGATACAGGAGCAGCGAAGTTCTCTACTGTAGGGAAACCTCAAGTCCTTGCATACCTACGGGAGAACCCTCGTACGGCAATATCCTGGGGACCAGGATCAGCAAACGTACGATTCGGGGCAAGTGACTCAATCACATCGGTTGGCACTATGGAAATGGAGAATCAGCTTGGAAAGGTTACGTATCACATCCTTGATGCTCCTACTCCGTTCCTGTTTTCATTGTACGATGCAGACAGGTTAGGTGCATATTTCAATAACGTCGACAACGTGATTGTACGGCAGGATGGAAAACCTATCCCAGTCGTACGGAAATGGGGTCACCCATTCTTCAACCTTAGTCGCACAGAGGCCAGCATGTTCTTCACAGAAGGACAACTCCGAAGGCTTCACAGACGATTTGGACATCCTCGTACGGACCGTCTTTACCACCTCCTGAAGAAGGCTGGGCATCACAACATTGACATCAACATTCTAGAAAAGGTCCAGAAGTTTTGTCATCATTGTCAATCGCACGACTCAGCACCAAAGAGGTTTAAGTTCACACTTAAAGACGAAAGCTACTTCAACTATGAGATAGTTGTGGATGTCGTACGACTAAGAGACAAGAACGCCTTACACGTTATCGACACAGAGACAAGCTTCCAAGGAGCCACCTTCCTGAAGTCCTTATCTGCACGAGATACGTGGAATGCACTTTGCAAGTGCTGGATCAGCACGTACGTTGGTCCACCAGACCATATCGTACATGACCCAGGTACAAACTTCGCATCAGCAGAATTCAGGAACTATGCCGACATCATGGGCATATCGTGCGAAGAAATGCCAGTAGAAGCCCACTGGGCAGTAGGCAAGATAGAAAGAGCTCACGCTCCTCTGAGGCGTGCGTACGATATCTTGTATGCTGAGCTTGGGCACAACACGGACGAGGAAACCATCCTCCAGATGGCTGTGAAGGCATTGAACGACACAGCTGGTCCGCACGGCATCGTACCTACACTACTTGTCTTTGGGACATATCCAAGGATTAACAAGGACTCACCTCCATCGCCCGAAATCACCCAAAGGGCAGAAGCAATCCAGAAGGCAATGAAAATGCTTCAGAGCATTCGTGCAGAAGTAGAGATCAATCGTGCGATCAACACCAGAAATGGCCCTAACCTCCAGAGCATACTATCACTACCGATCCAGAGTGAGGTTCTAGTATGGAGAGAAAACAAGGGATGGACTGGACCGTACGAAGTCCAGGCTATAGAAGGCCATACAGTGACAGTCAAGATGGTCAATGGTCCTACACAGTTTCGTGCGACACATGTCAAACCATACCATCAAGACACAGCACAGTCAGATTCAGATATCGCACGACCTATTCCTCAGAAACAGCCAAACAAGAGAGGAAGACCAAAGAAAGGCCAGAGAAGGGCTGTACGACAATCACCACGTACCAATCAAGCATTTCTATCTCAGAAAGAAAAAGACCACAAGGAGTTAGCAGAAAAGTTACGGCTTGACAATGTGATTACAACACCAGGTGCTCCGTACGAAGAGTCAGACCAAACAGAGATAGACAACCTTATTAACCAGGGAGTCTTCACCTTTGTACCGTACAATCCAAAAGAGCATGACCACCTCCGTATCTACAAGACACGGATGGTACGAGAGATCAAGAACTTGTCATCTAAGCCGTACGAGAAGTCAAGACTCGTCGTACAAGGGTATGGGGACTGGGAGAAAGAAGAACTCTTAACCCAGGCACCTACTATCCAACGGATGAGCCAAAGGCTCATACTTGCGATTGGACCTACCCTTGTGCGAGACTACAAATGCAAAGGGGAACTCAGAGACATAACTCAGGCATATACACAGTCGGACGATCGTCTAACCAGGACAATTATCGCACGACTACCCAAGGAGTTAGAAGACAAATACCCTAAGAACACACTTCTCCATATCTTGAAACCACTATACGGCCTAGCAGAGTCAGGCCTATACTGGTACAAAACCTATTCTGAGCATCACAAGAAAGATCTGAAGATGACAGAGTCAACGTACGATCCATGCTTGCTGTATACAACAGAAGGACCGGATACCTTCGGGATTACAGCTATGCAGACAGACGATACACTTAGCTTTGCTACACTTGCCTTCTCCCAGAGAGAAGAAGAAGAGCTGAGAAGGAAAGGACTTCGTGCGAAACCAAAGACCACCTTATCGCCCAACAGTGAAATTGACTTTAATGGGGGAAAGATTCAATCGCACAATGACCACATTACCTTTACTCAAAAAGGCCAGGCAAAGCACCTGAAACTCGTTGATCCTGATGCGCACGATGCACATCAGCAGTATGTTTCCCAAAGGGCAAGAGGAGCATACCTCGCATCTATCTGTCAACCAGAGGCATCGTACGACCTGTCAACTGCAGCCCAAACTAAGGAGCCTGATAAGAAGGATATTGAAGCTTTGAATGTACGACTTCAGTGGCAAATCGATAACCCTACACGAGGTCTTACATATATCCCTCTTGATCTCCATCGTGCGAAGATGTACATCTTTACGGATGGATCATTTGCAAACAACTCAGATCTATCGTCACAACTTGGATTTGTTATCGTACTAGCTGAGGAAACAGCTCGCACGACAACAGACTTCCAGATCAAAGGAAACATTATACACTGGAGTTCAACAAAGTGCAAGAGAGTCACACGAAGCGTACTTGCAAGCGAGTTGTACGGGATGACCACAGGATTTGATAGTGGGATATCCCTTAGTACGACACTTACCAAGATCCTTCGTACATTACAACTCCCAAGGATTCCAGTTATCATCTGTTCAGACTCACGATCTCTGTACGAGTGCCTCGTACGACTAGGCACAACAGATGAAAAGAGGCTTATGATTGATATTATGAGTCTACGTGAGTCGTACGAAAAGAAAGAGATCTCAGAAGTGAGATGGATTGATGGGAAAGATAACCCTGCCGACGCCTTCACCAAGAAATCGCCAAACTCAGCACTTGGACAATTGATTACAACAAACACATTGAGGATTCGAATCGAGGCGTACGTTGAAAGATTAGGAGAAAACACTTGACAATTAATTCGTACGACCTCACCGCCGTACGTTACCAACTATCTGAAAACGAAGTGTAACCTCAAGAAGGTATCTGATATACCTGACCACTACCAATTCCGATATCAATGTCGGATCGTACCTCCACCATATCCACAACCTTCCCGAATTACCATATCGTGCGATCCATCTGATTGTCGTACGAGATTTCAGGGAAGAGAAGTTGTGCGACTACTCCTTGTCGATAACCATGGGGCTGGCAGAAGTGCCAAGGAAGCGACCGCCCTTGCCGATGTTCTTGCCAAGCTTGCTGCCAGGCGTACGAGGCTCACGAGCATTAGTGACGTTGGGAGCCTTGTAGTTGCTGGGGCCGCCGTTGTCATCATCGTCATCATCATCGCCCGGGTTGTCGGACGAATCAACATCTCGACCGCGGTGGGTGCAGCGAGCGCCGTGCGACTGCTAGACGCACTCGGCGCAGGCGCCACCCTGAAAGGTGGGAATGCGGGTGCACTGGCGGAAGCGCGGGGAGTCAGTAGTCGCGCATTTATTGCCACAGGCAATGGCCGCACGACCACGAGACTGAACCAAGACCGCAAGGAAGTAGCCCTGGCGGCGGATGATGCTGGCAACAAACTGCTGGACAGAAGTGTTGCTAGTGACGCGGATCTCGATATCGCGCGACGGCATGTTGATGATGAGACGCTCCTCATCCTGCAGTCAAGGTTAACGTACGAAGACAAGGTAAGGACAAAAGCAACGTACGTTGATGGCCAGAGCCAACAGAAGAGCGCGATTGTTGGCGTTGCCAGTCGGAAGACGAAGCCAACGACCACCGGACGCATCGGTATGCATACCGATGTTGCCGAAGATCGAACCACCGGGGGCAGCGAGAGACATGATGGATTGATCGTGCGAGGTGCTATTGATGAATCAGTAAGAGGAAACGTATGAGAGGAAATCCTACGTACAAGTAGTTGTTGTTGGAGTTGATTGAGGAAGAAGGGGAAAGATCGTCGTTGATCGATTGTATGGGAAAACGACGCGTGCGAAGGGTGAAGAAGAAAAGAAAAAGAGGAAAAGAAAAAAACAAGTGAGAAGGGGTTTAAATAGCTAAGGTTGCCGTACGAAGGAAGGAAGGTACGTCAACAGCAGGAGCAGAAGTGAAGTCAACGAGGAAGGAAGGAACTTCACCAACACGTGACTTGCCTGCTCAACCAGGCAAGAAGGAAATGGACAGTTGCCTGGAGTTTTGATATTGGTGATTTATCGTACAACGCAAGTGGCCTAACCCACAGGGTTGTACGATGAGGTTATTGATGTCACAATCAGCGCAACCTGATTGGACACCGCAGGGAGTCGTGCAGTCACAAAAGAAAAGTTGTGAGTGTTGGAATAACAGCACCAGCTGGTTGTACGACACGCACGACTCAGGGACACACATCATGGCAGAGGGCACAGACTGGATATTCGGCCCTCGGTTATCCATTGAGGGGATCAAAAGTATATTCATGCCGAACTGACTCAGGGACGTACGAGATCATATATCTTGTGTACGAAAGCCAAGTCTTGTAGTTAGGAAGATAATCACGGAAAATACATCTTTGGTTCACCCTAACTTTAACCCGAGTACGATCGTACAAACGGGTTCTCTCAGGAAGAGAGAATCCATTCAACAAATACTTTTTTTCCTAGCGAATGTTTGCAGCAGAAAGTCCTCCGTCGCCGTCTATCATGTCTATTCCAGACTTCATTTTCGTCAACTTACACAACAGACATCTCCCTTCTCCAGGTCTAGCCAGTATTCAACTCACAAAAGTATTGGAGCTGGTCGAGTCCGACACGGTTGGACTACCAATAAATCCGCTGTCATGACTTCCCGCCCGTTCCCTTCGGGCCCCTTTGCACCTCGTCTCGAGTCCGATGGTGGCTCCCACTTCGCCGACGCCTCCGAGGCCGCTGGTGCCACTGATTCCGCTCACCCTGCTGTCCCTCACACCAGCACCTCGAGCCGCAGCAGCGCTGGTGCGCCATGCCCTCAGCTCCTGATCCAGCCTCGCCTCCTGATCCTGTCTCTCCCTTTCTTCCCTGAGTCGCTGACCCAACGCCTCCTCCGTCTGGCTGAGATAAGAAAACCTCTGAGGTTGGGCCTGCGGTTGCATCTGCACAACAGGCGGCGGCGGCGGCTGCGGCACAGACCGTCCCTCGCTCGAAGCGTAGAAACCCCACGCGGCTGCGCTATCCCGCGCAATCATGGCCGTGTGCGAAGCGCAACACACTGATGCTGCTCCGGTGGCGCCATCGCTTGGACCAAAGCCGCGGGGGGCGGGGCATCCCGGAACGGCGCAGGCGTGGGCGTCCTCGCAGTAGCTTCCATCTGGCCGCGCCGCGCCGTGACATCCCGCAGCTCGGCACTCGTGCGCGGCGCATAACTGGCTTGCAGGGACGATCAAGGGGTCTGCGGCGCGGGGAGAAGGGCAGGATGTGTGCAGGCAGGCGTGCAACCCGCAGAAGCGGCTCGCGGGCTTCGAGGGGTGGTTGCAGTCGGCTCCGGCGCACTTGTGGGTGATGCAATAGCGAGCTGCAGACGGATTCGCGAGGTCTGCGGTTGGTTGGGGGCAGGCCTGACTACTACAAGTGTCTGAGGGAGCGCACGAGTGAGCGCGGGCCTCGCGGTGAGAATGTTGGAAGGACTTACGGCTCGCACAGTAGAGCCGCGATGTATCAGCAGCTTTATCCTTCTGCTCACGGCATGGAGGATACATGCACTCATGCTGGGGGCAGAATCGTACGCCTCCGTTGACGATGTTGACGCAGCCTGCACCGAGGCAAGTAGCTGGCAAATCTGGAGGAACTTGTCAGCCTTTGACCTAACACAGCCTGGAGAAGGTGTGAAATTACGCTGCCAGCAAACGTCTTCATATTTCCCAATCGCCGTGACGGCTCTCTGGTGCCCGCAGCCCTCCGTCCTGCAAATCCGGTGGTCCTTGCACCATTGCCCGCCGTTGATGACATTGCTGCAGTCGCGGTTGGCACAGCTATGCGAAGAACAGTAGAGTCCGTGATCGGTCTGAGGCTGGCCGCAGCCGGGTATCAGGCAGAGGGGGGTATGGAGGGTGCACATTTGGCAGGCGGTGGCGCGTTTCTGGTGACACCCTTGGAAGAAGCAAGTATCTGGAGAGGAAACTGTCTGTTAGCATGGGAATTCGAAGGCTGCAGGAGAAGGACCATTGGGTCTCACGTTGCTGACAGTAGGGCCAGTCCTGGCTGGTGTCGCCACATATGCGCTGGTGTGAACAGCCGTGGTTTCCACAGCGGCGGTCTGTTGATCCCATTCATTGTCAGCAAATAGCATTGTGCATCGAATCTGGCCACACACGGTCTTCGCAGTATCTAGATAAGCCAGGTGCTTTGTGGTTCGGGCACATCAGCTCGCCCAACCGTTGTCGGCAGGCATCTATGAAGCATAGTCAGCATGGCATCTCGCCGAAGAGCTTCGGGTTACCAACGGTCTTTGCAGTAAAACGAGCGCATGACCTTGCCCTCGCTCCTTGGGTCGCATCGCAAGGCACGATGAGAGCACCCGGAGTACAGGCACCGCGGCCGGGGCGGCCGGGGAGCTTGACGCTGGCGGCAGCTGAAGAACATTGCTGCCCCTCACTCTTGGATGTTCAAGCGGCGATGGTTCAAACACGGAACAATTTGAACAAGTTCAGCCTTATCGGTGATTCCCAGTTTACCACAGGAATTCGAATAAAACGCCATGAGTGCAGAAGACTCCTTGGCATTTGGGCGTTGCCATGATATACGGGGTTACGACAAAGGACAGTGACACAGAGACATTGGTGCTGTTATCAATACATCGTCGGACCAACCGGAGTGCCTCAAAACCGTTGAAAAGAAATTCTAGAGCTGGGTACTATTGACTCAGGGTTCAGATGCATTTCGTAGGTGCCGCTTGACGGTTGAGGGTTGCCATTGTTGACCCTCAGAAAAGGGTGTTCAGAACACTGTTCCGGAGGGCTGAGGTAACAAGAATCTGCATGCAGACGATGTCGAAGGCGGTTGTGGCCAGGTAGAAACAAGAGCTCCAAGGAAGAGTCCCTGGTCCTCCATTGTTACGCAATCGGATCGCAACGCAGACATTCTCCATCTTTGACGTTGAGCTGGCTCTGCAATAGTACCGGCGTCAGGACCTCTGCAGGAGTTTGTCCAAATGTTTCAAGACTGACTGACACCATTAGCTTGAAGCAGAGAGAGTAAGCCCGCAGGAGCATAAACATATTGCTATGTCTTTGTATATCCATTATCAAAGAAGTACCACACAATGGCAAATGTAGCAGATATGCGAGCATCCGAGCCAGAGGAAAGCCGACTGGCCAACAACTTCTGATAAACACATGCCAGACCGAGCCTTTTTCCAGGAGCCCACTTGAACACCAAAGGGTAGCTTCTGCCATGAACCACTAACATACAGAGGTCGAGAGTTATGGATGAGGTTTCTTATCGAGAAGAAATATTGAAGCAGAAGAAAGGCGTGGATCTGACCGAAGCAGACCGAGACCAATTGCGTAGAGGCGTTTGACTGCCCAATCCCGTTTATGCAGGTCCGTCCAGAGGCGTACCTGCCTTCGGCTTGAGCCTAGTCCAGAAACAGACTCGCTCCACCAGCCACGCGAATCATGTGGTCCGTGCGATGCGACGTCCCCCTCTCTTCTCGCCAATAGTACCAGCCACACCCGCCACATTCAATCGCGAAATCAAGTTTCCCATCCTGGCCCGTGGGCGGCAGAGACAGAGATGATCGCCAATCCGCCAACCAGTCGCTCGTTTGCTCCCTCCCTCGTCATCCGGGCCCCCTGGGACCTGATGACCTCGCGGGTGAATCCGCGAATCGCTGCCACCACCGGCGTTACTCACTGTCTCCTGGGTTTGTCCTATCCTCGCCCCAGCCTGCCTGCGTGTTGCCGTCTATCGGCACCAGCGATTCAGCATCAACCCACTCATCCCTCTACCACGAGATCCCAACACACGGCCTTGCTCTCTTCTGTCCCACGAACAATGCCTCCAAGTCTTCTTTGACGATTGAAGCATCACATTTCGACAGTCTACGATCTCCGATACCAGCACATCTAGCGACAACACAATGGCCGATGAAGAACAAGCAGTCCAGCGCCCGGCGCAAATGTACCAGACGCCCGAGTGGGAGACTCCCACCACTAACAAGCGCCGGTCTTTCTTTGATCGCTTCGCTCCAGCATCAGCTACCCACAAAAACAACACCACCTCCGACAAGGGCTATGCTAAGGAGAACATTTCCAATGATTCGGATCATGCACACTCGGCTACGCCAGTGGTGGGCGCAACGGCCACAACGGCTGCGATTGCGACTGCGGCCCCAAAGACCCATCCTTCTCTCCGCGCTCGCTTCGACGCTCTGCTGCCGCCGAACAAAAACTACGTTGGCCTCTCCCGCAAGCGATTCCTTCTCTTCGTGGTCCTCCCACTTGCCGTACTCATCTTGCTCGTCCTACCTCTCGCCTTGGGTCTCGGACTCTCGAAGCGTGGCGGCGGAAAGGAGGACCTGCCTCTGCCCACAAATCAGGAGGTCCACACCGGGGATTTGACGTACTACGACGTGGGACTGGGTGCTTGTGGACAGACCTACAGCGATAGCGATTTGATCGTCGCCGTCTCGCACTACATCTGGGACGCGGTTCAGAGCGGCGGCAACCCGAACAGCAATCCCCTGTGTGGAAAGAAGATCCGCGTCCGCCGCGATGGCGAGGGCTCTGTAGACGTGACTGTGGTAGATCGGTGCACTGGATGCGAGCCAACTGACCTGGACCTGAGTCCGGCCGTCTTTGACCGACTGGCGAACAAGGACCAAGGAAGAGTAACAGGCACATGGAGCTGGTTGGATTGAGCTTGGCAAAATGCAAGTGGCTTTTGCAGAGAAATAATACCCCTAGTTTTTGACACTACCTGCATCGTATTAGTATCCCCAACATCTCGATTTAGCCAAGCTACAGCCATACGTGAATTAGTTCAATCTCATGTCGAATAACCTCCACAGCACGTGAGACGCAGCATCCAACTTCGTTAGGCCTTACGTTGCAATGCTTACCAACCTGACGGACATCGACCTTGGTCTAGACTTATTCTGGAGAATTGGATTGAAGAAAGAAAATGTTGTTTAGGGTCAAGGGTCTCAGTGTCATCCAAACCCGCTGAACGAACACAGGCTAATCAAAGCAGTATACAGTCGCTCCTCCACTTTGAAAGGATCTAACCTGTAACAAACCCAGCCGCGTGTACAAATATTTGGCCGTTCAAAGGCAGAACGCTGCTCAAAGACATCGGGCTTCTTGAACCTACAAGAGATTCTCGACATCATCGACGAGAAGAAGCTAAAGCCCACTCACGACAAGGAAACCGGAGTCAAGTGAATACACTAGGACAACAAGCAGTGCGTTTCGTATGACGATCACGACACTGGTTCAAAAACACAACTTTGCAGCATCGCGCTGTCTCGGCGGCACGATGATCCAGGCCCTCAAAGCCGCTGAGACGCTCGTCATAGAGATCGCGGCTAAGGCCTTCTGTTGTGTAGCTATCATGGCCGCCATCCTGCCCCTCCAGCTGATCTCCATCGTCGACTGGATAGTCTCTAAAAACGAAAAGGTCCTTGGGATTGGTTTGCTTAGCAGCGATATGAATCTCGAAACATAGTACCACCCTTTTCCCACGCTCCCCCCCTCGCTACCATAACCTTTTGTTCTCATCACGCCCACGATCGTACATCTTACGAATGGCCAAAAGAAATCAATTATATCACCCATGACGCTGGCAACACTTAATACCTAGCAGAATATAGGCCTGTATCAATAGCGGAGGAGAGATTGTTCCCTATCAACCATAGATAACCCTAAGTTTTGGCCCTTGTATCTATCCTTATAAAATGCTGGTTTCCATACATAAGGATATATATCTACAGTATATTAACCCTCTCATACCTCATATCTATTTGGCCTCACAACGAATCGCACTAACCCTTAAGACCGTGGGATAGGTATAGGAAGAGTAAACTGCTTCCTGCCCGGTCTAACGGATTTAAAGTTCAAAACCAGCATGTGCACATGACTATCAACAAGATGATATTTCGAAAATTTGCAACCTACAAAGATGCCTAAATCACTCTACTTACACCACTCACCTCAGATCGCTCGACTTAGGACGGCGGGTGATCCCGCGATAACTGACCGACAGAATGGCGTGATGAACGGATGATTACAGGCTTGCCCCCAGTATCATCTTGCCGGCTGCGATTCGATTGGGGTTTTGCGAGAAATACGATGAGGAACCCAAAGAGGGAAAGATGTTGCATGTGTTTGAAATCGCTTCGATACCCCTGTACCCCTTTTTTCTCCTTTCCTGTTATAGATACCATTAAGGAAGAAGGTTGCGAATACAACCTTTTGAGACTATCAAACGTCGCGGGGCTTCGCCACTTGGTGGAGCCGAGACAGGTATAGTTTAGCTTCTCAAGAAGGTGTTTTTATCAATATTAGTTCAGCGCGTACTGATCTATCACCCAAAGCAGATCCAGGGGTATCCATCAATATCTAAAGGTACGCCACCAATGCTTACTGACCTAAGCGACAGAACACTTACTTCGTCGGACTAAAGTCTAGCGGTCTCATAGGGTATAGACCTTGTCCTGGGCCAAAACAACTATACAACCCTCGTTCAATATCCAATTCCATCGTCTGTCGTCGTGTGCTCGGCTTTTCGTCTTCCCGCCCCAGAATGAAGGCCTTTGGGAGGGACGACCTTCTTTTCCGCGTCTTTTCCGTACCAGGGGATGAACTGTCAGGATCATTACCTTCCCACTCAAGAATGTGTCGCTGGCTTGAACTGGGCTGTAGTGCTTGCAGCGAGTTCTGTAGCTCGAGGTCGCCCGCGTTCAGCCAGATCCCAAACCCATCGAGCGTATCCCTCCTCGCCACCGATATCGCCGGTAGTGCCTGACTGACGCTTTGAGTCATGACCCCTGAAGATCCGTTCACTGCCTTCGTCCGTCCCACGGTACACGGCGTCGGCAAGAATCCAACCGCTTTCAGGCTGCGCAACCATGGGAACCATTCCCTGAGCAATGGCCAGATGAGTGGCAGATTCGACACGTAGACAGCAACGCTCGCCTCGCGGATGTACCACAACATGTAGTTCGGGCTGTACGGGTCGCTCAAGTTGAAAATCTTGGTCAGTAGTGCCGCAACGATGACACAGAGCCCCAAGCTGAAGATGAACAACAATACAGCCTTCTGCCGCCAGGCGATTTCCATCCGAAACACAAGCGGCAGCGGCACGAGCAGCATGAGCACGTCAGAGGAGATGTTGAACCACCCCTGCAGGATCGCGTACTGTTCGAATGTGGCACATTGCGGGTCGGGGGGCGGTATGGCCCAGTACCCGCTGAAGGGCCGGCAGGCGGCGAACATCATGATCTGGGTCGCGGTCCAGCCGACGGCTACATAGACCGAGAGGTAGCGGACAAAGCGCTGTGCGGCGAGGCCCAAGGTGAGCCGGGTGTAAAGGATCAGAACGCAGGCCTTGAGGACGTAGATGACGTTCAACATGGCCTGCTCCGAGACGAGGACAACCTTGGAGCCGGTGGTGCGGGCTCGAATATCGAAGGCAGTAAAGATAGAGAATTGTTCAGGCGGATAGAGGTTCGAGCCGCCGTTGTTGATGATTATGTTGAGGGATACGAGGAGGATGGTGAAGAGGACCTGAAGTGAGAAAAGGTGTCAGTGGGAGTTTAAAATACCAGGAGTGATGATGAAAAGTCAAAAATCATAGCGTTAGAAGACGTACAGCAGCAAGGATCTCGAGATAGTCGTCGACTTGATAACGGGATATTCCTCCCAGCCTTCTTGCTCTTCCGTACCTGACATCCCAACACATTAGCATCGATAGTCTGAATTCTGTGACCTAGGAGTCTGACGAACATTCTCAGAAGAATGATGGCCATTCCCAGAGCATAAAGACTCCAACCCTCCCGCGCGAGTCTCTTGGCAAACCCTTCATTCACGTCGGCCATGCTGGAATCTGGGTGCCCTAAAGGGCTGGTATTGCTGAAAAGCTTTCCCAATGCCACGGATGAATGTGGAATAAAGCTGAGCAGAGGTTTAGCGATCTTTGAGAATGCTTTGAAAAGACGTAGTCATGTTGATTAGATCCTTCCACGAGCGTAGCCAGTTGCTAGAAGAAGTTTTGAGGCATCCGCCAAGAGTCTAGGAAGGGGCGGAGAGGCAATATCCCACACGAGGTGAAAGAAGATAGCGGTTATTGTACAATGGGGATTGCAACTCCGAGTCTGGTCCAGGTCATGCGAAAACCGCGAACACCGCCAATGAGGCCCAGCTACAAGTTATTAGTGCCCTTTCTAGACAGCACCTAGGTCTGCTAGCTCGCGAACATCTTTCGGTTTCAACAAAGGCGGTAGCAGCACTACATCAATCAGAACGGGACAGTTGCAATAGACCAAAAGACACATGCAGGGGGACTCAAGCCTGGGAGCTGAATCAGGGCTGGCTCGGCCTGAGATGGAGTTATGGAAAACCCTTAGGGTCTGAAAGATTTGGAAATGACGACCAACGATCTGCATGCTTTTCATCGTGAGGCTGCATGTGGCCTAAAGCCGCGATGGCTCGGTGGCGGTTCCGTGCCGGATGCGGTGATTCACCGATGACAATGAGCGATCACGCTCAGCAGATCGAGAATCTCGAAGCGCGCGTCGAAAATGGTCAAATAACACCCCTACATGCTACCGCTGCGAATCACTGCGACCATGAGCTCGTGCGCAAACGTGACAGAGAGCTTCCTTTGTGCGAAATGGACTCACACACCATACGCGGGACGCCGTGTGTTTGGACGTTGAAAAGCATGGCTGGCCGGCAAGATTCAAGCCCACCGGACATTTTCATCAGCCACCCCGACTCCTGGGATTTTGGGCTTCGGCAGAGGCAGGCCAAGACAGTCTTTCCCCGCATCCGGACGTTCCGGGCCCTTTCTAGCTGGTTGCCGTTTTGTCGTAGACAAAGTGGAATGTCTTGGAAGAATTCCAGGAAATTACAATTTGACGGCGACGGTATTCACCGGCGACCGAGCCTTGCCCAGAAGCGTATCGATCTCATCTCCGAGACTCACATGCTCTTAGTTCGGACGGGATGAGACAGATAGAAGAGTGCTTAGATATACACATGCTGGGGGTTCTGATGAGCTATTGTATGATAAGTAATTTTTAGGTTGAGGGAGCTCCCAGTTAGCGTCTGGCTTCCGACTTCTTTACAATAAGAATTTGATAGAGCGGCCAAAAAAGGCTTTTGGGAATAAGAACAAAAGCCTCAACTGGTGAGGACTCTGGGGATGATACATTGGCCCATGAAATGAGAATACATGTACTGTTGTTAATCACCTGGCATCGTGTTGTGATCTGCTTCAACTCACCCCTCCTTGGCTGAAGCCGACAAAACGTAAACGCAACATCATGCAATTGTGATCTTCCGTATCTGCCTGGCCATATTTGATAGAGTTGCCCTCAAGTTTCAGTGTTGTGGGATGCGTTGCTGTCGGCTTCGAAGAGTAACTCGTTTGGCAAACGTCGACGCCACTGCTGTCTAGCCATACTGGGCTACTGATATCCCAAAATCGCCGTAGGGGCCACGCTCAGTGCTTTAACAGTAAAACGCCGATACGTCCAGGTCATAGCAAAAAAGAGAAGAAAAATCTATTGCTTCAACTCAACAGACCTCCCCAGGGGGTACGGGCAGCACGTGGTCTAGAACGCCGTATCATACCCCTTTGGGAAACGCGAAGATAAACAGGTTTCTAACTATACTATTATTCAGCCGAAAACTATAACGATGCCAAGAATGCAGCTTGCCGCCAGGCACCGAAGTTGATGGTGGCCGCTATTCTCTATGCATCGCTCATGCCCGTTACAGCATTCGACGGCTTGAGGCAAAAACGGCGACCAGTTCTTGCCAAGAAAAAATACAATCTTATGTCATTACTTTTTCTGAAGGCGGCCGGATGACCCCGACAGGCTCAAAGTTTCGAAGGAACGGTGTTGTTCGGACATCTATGATGCATAGCGAAATCCTTGTCGGCGCGGATTTCAGCGCAATCCCGACCGTGATCACCAAAAACTAGCAAAAAAACTTAGGCGATATGCTGGCTCTCGCTTTTCAGGCAGTCTTATCACTTACCCTAAGAGTATTAAAGGCAGTGCAGCTAATTTTCCCAGCAAAAGGGACAACGCTTGGCCTGGACTCGCCAATCAAGAAGCTCGGCCCTGCTCCGGACAGAGTTCGCATTCGTTAACACTCAGAAGGGTAATGATATCGTAGCATCATGTGTGCAAGAGATTTACTTCCTCACAAGAACCAAGTCATGGGTCCACTTCATCATTGACAACAAAAGCCATTTTGGTGAGAGCCCGACGTTAATGGTTTCAATCATGACCACGTCGTGTTCCCCCGCCGGGCTGACACGGAGCTCGGGCAAGTTCGCGGCACCTCTCAGTCGCCAATGTCATTCCACTAGTCAGGTACCACGACGACATGGATCGATCGCCATGATCGACGCAGACCGCGTGGCGGGCTGTGCCGTCCAGGCCAAGGACGGGAGCCTGTGACCCCGGACGGCCAACGCGCGGAACACGTCTCGAAGTATCTTCTCGGTCGATTTTGGGCTGCCCAGTTTCTCTCCTCTAAGGTGAAGTAGGTAGGTACTCTTGTTTCCGGCCTATCTCTATCTGTTGATGACCCGCATTGACGGAAGAAGCCGAAACCAGGTCAGCCCCGTCTGACCCCCTGAAACGGAGAGGCACAGATCGCCCCATCCGCAGGCGCGCCAGCATCTCCCCGGACGCAGCAACGGATCTGATCGCTTGCAGCGTACATGCGATTCCCGTTTTATTCATGCTAGGTTCTGGCTAAGCTGTTTCATTGGCCATTAGACAGGCGGCTGAGTAGAATCTTGGCTGCATCTGCGACTACTATCTACTTTTCCGCACACCGACTAGACTACTTGTTTCACATCTTCGCCAAGCTCTCACAGTTCCATTGCTTAAGCCTTATGCTGCCTCCTGGAATTCAACCGGTGGTCCGGACGGAATAAGGAGTTACCCCTGGTTCGAACTTCAGAAATCAGGAGATGGCCGTGGTTTGGGACGACTATAGCAGCTTGACAACTAGTTGCTGAGTTCCAAAACTCTTACAAGAGCATTTCTACATTCCTCATCTTCTACTACCATCTGATGATGATGCTGCATGGAGCGTTTATCGTTTGCCAAAAACCCTTTTCACCCATGCCAATCTTGTCTCAAGCGCAACCTTGGCAACCTCGGAACCAACAGCCAAACCCAGCAAGTCGAAGCCATGAAAACCACCACTCCAAACATGCAGGTCGGCCTGCACACCACTGTCCCATAGCTTTGTTGCATACGCCACGTTTTCGTCCCTGAACGGTTCCGCTGTCCCGACGTCGATGTATGCCGGCGGCAGGCCAGACAGGTCCGTTGCCCTCCCCGGTGCGACGTAAGGGCTGACATCTGCGTCCTCCAGGCCGGCCTTATCGCCTAGGACGCAAGACCAAGCGCCCTTGTTATCTGTAGCATCGAAGGCTGTGTCGTCTCTGAATTGCTTCTTGGACACGCCCGTGTCCCGGTCATCCAGCATAGGGTACACTAGCAACTGGGCGCAGAGCTTCGGACCACCAGTGTCCCGTGCCCTCAGAGCCGCGCCAGCCGCGAGCCCGCCGCCGGCGGAAACGCCTGCGATCATGAGGCGCGTGGGATCAATGCCGAGCTCCTTCACATGTTCGCTTGTCCAGACCAGTGTTGCGTAGCAGTCATCCTGGGGAGCAGGTGCTGGGTGCTCCGGCGCGAGTCTGTACTCGGCACTGACAACGATCGCATCGAGCTCTTTAGCTATCCGAGCAAATGGTTCAATTCCGAGAAAAGCGTCCCCAAGAATCATTCCGCCGCCATGGAAAAATACTATCCCTGGCCGCTCGCCGCTTGCTGTCTTTGGGCTTCTGGATTGTAGGATGACCAAGCAAATTTCACCGCCTGGTCCCGGGATTGTACGATCTTCCACTGAAAGGCCCTCATCTTTGCGTACAGCTGCTTGTGCGGGAGCCAGAGCAGTGGCGCGCAATTGTCGTCCCTCAGCAATTCCGTCTTTTGATTTAGGGAATGGAGTGATTCGTCCTAGAGCCGCAACCAGCTGAGGGTCGTACGGGGGCCTTGGAAGTAAGTTCGGGGACGACATGATGACGGATGTTTGGCGGCTGGTTATCGCGCTCTATTGAAATACAGTGTTTTGCAACACTCCGCTTTTTGTCTGGTCTTTTCTTTTCGGTTTCTACTCCTTTTGTCGCGGATGTGCTGTCCTTGGGCTCTTATGAGACGTTCGGCGGCAGGAAGAGTTTGAGTATGCAGCTGAGGGGTAAGTGTTACACCGATCTACGCCAGGACTCTAGCTCCAAACAAATGCGTACTAAACTGGCTAAGCTAGCCATTCGATGGTTCGAGGAACTGGCACATCCGACCTGTCCGGAGAGGGAAGGCTGATCCCTCAGATAGGAGGGATCAGTGGGATATTGTCCTGCTGCTACCCCGCGAGCCGCCACACAGGCTTATCTCTCAAGTCAACAGGACCAGCTCGAAGCCACAAGCCGGACCTAAGGTCTTAGGTGCTGAAGCTACCACGCGAAAAGTAGCCGAGGAGTACATCTTATTCGTTTAAATGCGAGACATTATCTTACCCCGCTCACATTGAATAGTAGCCCGCTCCCTTAGTGCAACAACGGGCAGACCACCGAGTGCGCTGCAGCATCGCGTTTTGACGGGTTTTCAGAGATTCACCTGGCTGGAACGATCAACCTCACGCTTTTCCAGTTCGTATTCTTCATGATTTGTTGCTATTGAATTCTGTGTATATATATTGTCCAGGAATCCCCAAGGTGATAATACTGTTAAGGTGCCCAGGCTGACGGCAAACATTTCCTAAGCTAAGGAAATGTTCACATGTTTCGGGTATAAACCTTTACTTTACCTACGGTGGTATACGAGCCGAAAGCCCAGATGACATCTGCAGGGTTTACATTTGAATGTCCCGCGCTTACTCATCTCCACTCGCTGAATCCAGAACTGAGGCGATACTTTCGCAACCAGCGTATTCAAAATTCAGAATACGTATTTGTGCGTTGCTAAGTTACTACTTTTGAGGAGAGTTATTTAGACACGGACTAGCGCAAACCCTGTCACCCTGCGAGACATGATAATAGTGAAAAAGACGGTTCCTTGGTGGCAGGTCAGGTTGCCGATTGACGGACTCGCGAAAGATGAGACGAGGAATCAGATCAAAGAGAAAATGTTTGCGAACTCAGGTATTTTTCGGTGGGAGCCATTCTTGACTTTGTCTTCCATTGGGTTGTTGATCATGAAATGTGATAAACTGCTCCAACCTACGAGACCAAGCTTGGGACCGGCTGTTCCCTTCTGAGGACGACACGATGGTTGACCAAGATTTATAGAATGGCATCTATACTATGCCCCTATTGCGGAGTTTACTTGAAACATATTCACCTATCAAATTGCTCTCCCTGGCAAAGCCGTGAGAGCTCATCGACAGGTGAGGTTGTGACATCAAATAGTCTTCTATCTTCAGGATCAGACTTTCCTCCGCGAGATGACCACCCTACATATCTCTTCTTTTGGTTCACCACTTTCTTCTCAGGAAAGTGTGTGCCGCCCTTACCAAAAATAATGTCAAGTGTTTGGGCAAAAGATGAGATGCAGGCCTAGAATGACAATCCAGCCGGAGGTGGTTGAACCTCCAGATCTCTTGGTTTCTCATAGTCCGGATCAGGGGGCAGAATCATGTTTCCTGGAAAGTGGCGTGGCTCTGACCTGATGCGATAGAAGATTCCGCTAACGTCCGTGGGTAGGTTTCGGAGATGTGGTTGTAAGGGCGGCTAGTGGAGACAACAGCCCTGTTACAGAAATTTAAAAGCTGTTTAAACTTTCTTGTCATGTATGGATCGCCTCGGTAGCCATCAGACGCGAAGATCCAGTATATGATGCCCCCGCTGGCTTGGAGCCGGTCAAACTTGAGATGGACCATTGAGAACGCCACGGTTCGCTGTTCGACATTACGCCATTACAAGGGGACTTTCGTAGCTGTGGATTATGGAATAAGTTGTGACAAAATGAACCAGGCTTTGCCGGTAAACGGGAGGACCTGTGAATCGGTTTTCTCGTCCTGCCATCCCATTATGTGTATTTTTTTCATTGAATGTGAAATGGTTGATTGAGCGTGGCCCGGAAGGCCAACGTCGAATTCACTGGAGGTTAGTCTATGGGCGGACTTACGGGCTCGGCGAATGCAGACTTGTCAAAGAAACAACAAAATCAATGAAAAACGTGCAGGCTGGTGTTATTGCTTGGGCCACAAGCAATCAAATTTCGCGTCCCGAGCTGTGCTCAGTGTGGATGCTAAGACTTTTACCATCAGGAAGTAAATTGGAGATCATACTCCAAGCTTCGGCCGCACGAGGTGTGCTCTGATGCGTTTTCGGCAGACGAGAGATAGATACAACCTATTGAAGTTTACCTAGAAAGTCACACCAAGTCTAGCCCTAAAGAGACGCTGCTCAAAACTTTGACGTTGAATGCAGACTTGAGCCAAAGCAGTTTTTATCAGAGTTCTTCCCCCATTGGCAGGGGAAGCCGAACCCTCAAAGTTGACACAGAGGGCTTAGTATATCAATCGCTTCCGGATGACCCGCAGCATTGACACCTCAGCCGGCACTTGGAGGTCTTTCATTCATGTACTTATCATTGTGGCGCCAATTGGACTCGATAAACATTTTTTACCTAATTCCCGATACAGAGCTACCAATTTACACATCAGGCCCTTTCCCTGCAGCATCGGTGACCACACTCGCATTTCTCAAAAAGGTCACATTCGGTCTTCGAGAAACGCGGCGCCGAAATCCTTTATGCCCGGTCAGTCATTCGGTGATGCCAGGAAAGCCATCGATCCCATAGGATTACAGCTGGGCGAGATAGCACCACGAGGACCCAAAGGCGAAAGCCGCGAGGTGGGTTCGGGGACTCTTCAAGCTTAAATCGTACCCGTCAGCGCTAGAAAGAGGTCACCCTCGTTAAAAATAGGACCACTTGAGAAACAGGCATGTACATGTCATACCCTTTCCATAAGTGGGAACGCATGCGGGCTGTGAGGATTGCATGACATAGCCAATCAGAAGGCTCCGGGTCTCATGTCACATCATGTTTGATTCTGTGTGGCTGCCATCCACTGCCGATTTGAGCCTCTTCATACAGACATCGATCGAGGGCACAATCATAATCTCAAAATGATGGTTGCTAGGCTAAGGATAGTCCCTGTGGCGGATCTTTAGATGACGGACTCAGTTCAGCCGTCTTCTCTAGTTCGGCTGCATTGCCAAGGGTAAACCACTCCAAGAACCGAAGCATGTGAGATGGTAGATTGTTCGCCGAGTAGTTGTGATTGTGTGGATTTAGGACACTAAGAAGACCGAACCGTTCGATTGATTCGGTGGGTATACAGCGTCTCAGCATCGATGTGCGATGCTTGTCATTTGAGTTCAGACGTGAGGAAGTAATACTACGAAATACGAACAAGGCAAGGGACGAACCCCGTATCCGGATCCATTGGTGAAGGACCGGCACTGAGCTGTCTACAGGTAGTCGCGTAATATCCGAGCCATTCTACCTGGATCCTGCTCCCTTCCTCCAAACGAGGACCATGATTCAGTGGGTGTGGTGCAATTACATCTGGCATTGGTGGTGGATCGGTGATAATCAGCCCCGTCCTGCCGACTTCCTACCGGCTTCCTTTCGGTTTCCTACGCAGTCGGAGTTTCATTAGGTGCTTACTGGGAAATGTGAATAGGATGATAGGGTGGGAACCGGCTATGTCGGACGACCGTCCCATCTTTCACACGCTGTCACGGAGGTGCCTCAGAACGTCGAGAACCCTTTGACCGTCTGGGGCGTGATAGGTCGCATCCTGTAGGAAGTGGCTCAATCGGGGGGTATGCTCGCATTGTAGCCAACTCTGGTTGTCGAGATCGGACTATGGAATCATAGCGGATGCGGATAGGGATGGCGCATGTATGCGCGCGGGTGGCGGGCAGACCCTGTCGCTGAAACCTTTTCTCTAACTCTGTCAACCTACACACAGATCCGAGTGACGCACGCCACGAGAGGCCTTGACACGGTAACGTTCTGTTTCCGGGATGCTAGACAGTCAGCCTCCTTGGAAGGGCCGCAGCCCCATCTTTTCAAGTCGTCAGTATTCCTGGCCGACTCTGCCGACCGGGACCTGGTTTGCTCAAGTCCTTACCTTGTTTAACCTTCCATCAACCCCCGCTCCGCCCCCCCTCCCTCTGCACCAGTCAATCACATATCTCGAGGGTGGTGTACGGCGATAAATCTCTCGTGTCGTGCGAGCGCTCTTCTACTCCTAATCTTTCTTAGACACCACCTTGGTGCATGCCCAATTGTTACACGATACCACATGCTGGCATGGCTTAAAATCTAATTCTCATCGCATCTGAGAGAACCCTGAGAGGCACAGAACGCCCTCGATCAGCTCACCATCAATATGTGGCTGCTCAAAATCGCTACCATAGCAGCAGCAGTAACAGCAGGTCTTATAGGACCTGTTCAACAACAACCTCGCTTGGAAGATAGGCAACTTAACGACGCCACTTCTTTCATAGCTGAACTCCCAACTGGCCAGCAGGCGGACTCAACTTCAATAGCGCTGCCGGTTGCAACAACGAGCTCGCCTCCTCCACCTCCACCGCCGCCGCCAACGTCGACATCGACATCGACGACAACCACATCGACCGTAGCACCACCATCGCCTCCTCCGCCTCCAACGACAACTTCGAGGACTTCGACTTCAACTCCACCTCCCCCGCCGCCTCCGCCCCCAACGACAACTTCGAGGACTTCGACTTCAACTCCACCTCCCCCGCCGCCTCCGCCCCCAACGACTCTGAGGACAACTTCATCAGCAGCGCCTCCACCACCACCCCCGCCAACATCGACAACACGGCAAGTTCAAACCACAACCGCTCCACCGCCAGTGTTCTCAACACCGCCGCCGCCATCATCCACGACGACTAAAGCAGTGATGGCTTCGAGTACAGTACCCATTGCTTTGCCAGCCACCACCACTGGCGCGGGTGTCGGACAGCAACCGCCTCCACAAGGAGCAGCACCGCAGCAACCTCCAGTCCAGCGGCTCATTGATCCAGCTCAAGGCGCTTTCATCGGTGGTGATCCAACAACAAATATTGATGTACCTGTGACGTTCCTTTTCTTGCTGCTCTTTGCGGCTGGTGCGTATACGCACATCAGGATCTACCGCGCCAATGCCAAGCGAGGGCACAAATTTTTGCTCTCGGATCTCATGTTCGACTTCTGCATGGTGAGAAGCGTCACATGCATCATGCGCATTGTTTGGGCGTTCGAAAAGGATCGAGTTGTCATCCTCATCGCCCTCATTGTTCAATTCGGAGGGTAAGTCTCGGATTTCCGCTCTAGAAGGTCAACTGAGCTAACGTGTCCACAGAGCCGTGGTAATAATGGTGGTAAACATATTCTTTGCTCAAAGAATTATCCGGTCAATTCACCCGAATTTCGGATGGCACCCAGCAGTCAGAGTCTTCACCCTCTTTTTCTTGTTCTCAGTTCCGGCCGTCATTGTCCTAAACAGTACTTCTATTGGCGTCTCATTCTATAAGATTGAGGATCAAGATCGCGTTGACACAGCTCTCAACCTCCTCAAAGCTGGCATATCCTGGATTATGCTACTTGCGGCGTTACCCGTCATCGCTGTTGTCTCAGCATCAATCATCCCTGGTCCCAGGCCTGAAAGGTTTGGCCAAGGCGACACTCATCAGAAGATCGCTGTGCTCCTGGTTGGCGCTACTCTGTTGATTGCCGGGCATGCCGTGCGACTTGCAGCAACGGTTCTGGGCGACCCACCAACAACGACAAACGTAATATACAGCAAAGAATTATTCTACACCAGTGGCTTCATGTTGGAAATATTCGTTGTGGTCTTCTACGCGGTAGTGCGTGTCGACTTACTATTTCATGTCCCCAACGGATCGAAGGGACCAGGCGACTACTCGAGGAAGCCGAAGCCTGGTGAAGAAGATTACGAAGCCGCACTCCTTACTAAAGAAGAGATTGAGGATGAACTCATCGGGCTTGGTCACCCTTACGAGATTGTCGACTCTTCTGGTCTCGGTAGAGACGGTTCTGGACGCACTATTGTCGCCTTCAGCACGAGGCGCATGAACGGCGAGAAACCAGTTGTGCTACCGCCACGACCAGAAGCATACAGCCGTGTCATGTCTATCCGGGGATCTGTCAGGTCCATGCGTGGCTCTCTGAGATCTGCCCGTGGTGGCCTGTCGCGAATGATGTCCACGCGGATGACATCGGTTCCTTACCTGAACGAAGTTGAAGTTGGCCACCCTGAGATCAGAGAGAATCCATTCGGAACACCTCCAGTCAGCCAATATGGTGTGGCACAGCCATTGTTTATCCAATCGAGGTTCAGTAGATATACGGACCCCGAGGATGAAACGACACAGCTGCGGCCTGAAAGCCAAGCAACTTCTGGTGAGATTCCACTGAGTTTGGATCGGGAAGGTCTTGGGCCTTACGAAGGAAGACCATTGGCACGTCGTTCGTCAGTACAAAAGTTTACGATCCTCGAAAGAGAAGGGGGTCCTTTGAAATAGAGTGCTCTAGGCAGCATATCTGAAGTAGTATAGTATGTTAAATGATTGGATTCACGTGTTGCTACAACACGATATTACCTAAGTTTGGTTATTCGGTAGATAATTTCATGAATGGGGAGTACATAGTAATCCAAAATACTGTAAAGGGCATCGTACTTCTCCAATCTTGTAAATACTTGACAAGGTTCTGTCCCGTTTCCAGAAAAACTAAGTCCTGACACTCACTCCTGTCGAAATTTCAGGTGAATTTATTCACATGACGACGCTGGTCAAGTACACGTCCCTCAACTTAGGAAGAGAAACATAGAATAAATACAAGTACGAGGATGGCTTAATAGGAAAAAGAAAGGTATATTATAAGTGAAAGACGCTCGTTGTTCACTTTTTAAATCAAACTATCCCCACTAGCGTGTTCAAGACGGACCCTGCCGTAGTATACCCCACGCCTGAATCCAAACGCCAACTTGATCGCACGCGATTCCATTCTGGCCTTAGTGTTTTTTTAAGCTGCCTAGTAATCCCATCAGCCCCCCCAAAATCCCTCCTCCACCAGCTGGAGCCGCAATCGAAGGAGCCGCAACCTCAGAAGCCGTGGCCTCAGGATCAGCGACCGCAGGAGCCGCGACCGTAGTACCACCAAAGACGCCGATGCCTTGATCTAGAACATTGCTGAGAGCAGTAGCGCTCTTCTGTGCATCGGCGTTGAGTTCGGGTGGCACTTTACTGACAAGCGCCTGAGCAAGGGCAACACTAGCAGTCTTTTGATCCTGGAGGGCGACGGCTACTAGTGGCGTTGCACCAAGGGAGTCAACCAGGCTTTTCTTTGCTATGACATCGTTGATGGTGACTTTGACGTTATTCGTGAGGGCATCTGTCGCGGCCTTCAGATTTCTCGCGTCTTGTGCGTTAAGAACTTCGGAGGCCTGTACCTGCGTGGTGGCACTCTCAATGGAATTTTTAACGCCGCCAACAGCACCCAGCAGCTGGATTCCGCCTCCCAGAGTGACGGAATTTGTGTTCTTAACAGAATTGTCGAGACCCTGGAGCGCCGAGTTGATGGTGTTAAGGGCGGCTTGAATAGAAGCCAAGTCGCGTTTGTATTTAGAATGTTGAATAGAGACAGGAGCGGCGAGAACCGTGACCGCAGCAAGGGAAAAGGTCAGCAAAGAGTGAAGCTGCATCTTGGCCTGCCAGAAATCGTCACCTTAAACTAAAATGATTGAGGTGCTTGTTCCTTGAGTTAAAAGAGAGTGTAGAGGGGAGAAGAGAGCGAGAGGGGAACTTCAGACTGCTCCGTCTCAAAGAATCAATTATGAGGTGACAGATGTAGTAACAAGAGAAGACACGGAATCTCAAAGAAGGAACTGAACTCCGACTGCGACGTCCATATAGGTCATGCGAGTGCGGGGGAGTGATGGTAATGCCAGGTCCAGGCCCATCACGACGCGCGCCGACCAACAAGACTTGGCTGTCGCAGGTCCCGATGTCACCAATAGTGCAAGCCTGAATCCTTGAGACTGCTGGCCTCATGAGGCAGAGTTGAGACGGTTTTGACTTTGTGTGGGAATGCCGCTGTTTGCATCAAGGGTGGATCGCTATCTTCCTATGGCCAGCCTCAAGGGCCACTGTTATGTGATGCGAAGCCATAGTACGACGTTGGGCTTGTCGGCAAAATACCCAGTACAGGGATGCGAGCCACATACGTTCAGATGAGTTCCCTAAAGAAGCAACTTAGTTCAAATGTTTGTTTCATGTTGCGGAAGTCCAGACGAATCAGAAGACAGAGTTTGACATACTGCATAATTGTACTTTCATTACTCTTACTGAGACCGATCGATCATCGGTGCAGACATTGCTGACTTTTCTACAATAATTGCTGGCTGAATTTCTATTCTAAGTACTTCTTCACTATCGCATGGAAGCCTGGCTGCTTCTTTATATTATCACGACATAGGCCAGCAATAGCCATTATGGCTACGTGAGGGGACCTCTTCGAGTCAGGGGAACGATATGCGGAACCAGCTCGGACTCGCCTAATTCACATCATCGAATGAGTTTCCCGATTCAATGGTGGCGCAACCTTGTCTGCACTTCAACCGTCGCAGCGTCTTCTCGTTTTCGTTTCAAAACTCGCACAGTCATGTTTCCTTAACCAGGCAATTATTGGGTCTAATTCCGGTCCCTGGTGATCACATCCACAACGATCCCCCGGTTTGCAGTGAAGGCCAACATTAAAGTGGAGATCTCCAACATATAATCAATGAGGTCAGAGAGCGACATATGCGTCTCATCACACTCAAAGTCCAGAACTTGAGCGGTTCAGCCAGTAAAATCTCTGTGCCGCGTGGCTGGAGGGTTCGGAACTTCAAGTAAACCGGCGCAGGTCATCGTTGCTATTTCAACCACATCTTCACATGAACCCGACAACAAGATATCCATACTATGACAAGCCACTACACGAGAACTAGGTAGTAATATCAATGTCTTTCAGTACTTGGGTTCGTCATAGACCAGCGGATGTGCTGTGAGTCGAGACCGCATCCGTCAGTATCTATTCATCTGCCTCGAGAGACTGAGTTGTTTATCTCGCTCATTGACCGTTGCTCTTCGGTATCAAGTCATTCCAGCACTATCCCCGGAAACATCTTTCACAAATGCTTCTGAAGATGTTCATCCTAACCCTGAATTCTTGCCGTTGTTCTATTAGTGACGAGACCCAGGAGGACTTGCGAGACTCCTGCCGCGCTGATTCCGGAGGAAAGCCTATCAGGATCTTCACAAAGTTGAATTCCCAGCAAAAGCAGCTGATAGCAGCGTCACGATATATTCGGCTGCAAATCTGTTGCCAATCACCACTCCAGCCTGTATTTTGCATCGGAATGCGCCCTGGCCGATGTCGATCATTGGTACCAAACCCTAGGACCTCAGGAGCAACTGTCCCGGAAGCCTTTTGTGTAGTAGAAAGTCAAGAAAGTCAAGAAAGTCAATCGAAAAACTCATTTCATCTCTATTTCTGCTAGGACTATTGATAAGATCCTATTGGTCGCTTACATTTTTCGCGTGACCTTGCGCAACTTCTGGAACCTAGGAGAGACGTCAAGTTTTTATTATGTTTTGGCTAGTTATTAAATGCGAGACCTAAGATAGTCCCGAGTGCGACAGAGGACTATAGAGAGTCCCTCAAAAGAAAGACTCTAACCGCATGTTTGTGTCATCTGGATCCGTAGGACGATGCCAAACCATCCGATAAGGTTATGCAGTAAAGACACATGCTGACATTTGATCATCATTTTCCCCTTTCGTAAAACGCTATCAATCTTGAGGTGAAAATTCTAACTGCGAAGCGAAATCCTCGCAACTCTTGCGTTTCTCACCATGGAAAGTTCTGTCATGGTTTCGGGCAATCCTAACTGTCTGCCATACCAACACAGTCAAGATTCCACCTCCCGAGTTTGCCCATTGCCACGATCATCCACTAATCAACACAAGCTGTCAAAATATACATAGTTCCACACGAATGCAGAGCTTCTTAGTTTGACTTTTTACAGTCATCTCCCCTCTCGAGAGTTGCCGAGTGTGGCAACCACGTGTTCGGACAAACAATTACCGTTCTTATAGTAACCATGTGCTTGGAACACAATGGCTCTTCATCAAATTGAACCATCCAGTGCGATGCTTTCTTAAAATGGAAGTCCATTTAGCCTTGGTTGTGATCCGGCATCCGCGGAAATTTTTAGTGTCGCTTCTGCAAACATGTAAACAAGTGCACTGGTAGTTACCACCTACGTCGCGAGATCAATCTATGTGCGTTCGGCGAACTTTTCAGAACAAGACCAATCCACCAACGCCACAGATTCAAGCAAGACTGTCTCTTTTCGGAAGAGACTTTGGGCCAAACCAGGTAATGTTCGGCTTTAGCGTATTAAAGGCTCCTATCGGCCGAGGGTGGACACTCTTCTCCAATTTGCCGACAAAGTTTATGCAGATGGCACCGTCCGAAAATGAGTAACGGATCTCTTCATCGTAGGCTAAATAAGACGTTTAGTTTACAGACTCCCACCGGCCGCGACCGAACACGCTTCTCCGATTTACCTAAATCATGGGTAAAGTCTTACTCCTCCAAAGATAATAGCTACTTTTTACACATCGAAACCTGGACACCAAAGGCCAATAACCTGATTTAGCGTTTATGTGTCTTCTTTTGACCTCTTCTACCCCTTATTTGATTTTGATTCATTTCTCATTTTACGCAATATCGCTCTTCAACCTGCCTTAAAGTCAAAGTGAAGTGCACTTGGGACTTGAGGCCAGTGTAGGATACCATCGGTAGATCAGTGTTCTGTTTTACAGAACTCTCAAGCTCTCTTTATGACTTTCAACCAGAAATCACACAGAGAAATACTTTGAAGTAATAACAAGAATACGAAACATTTATCCATTGGAGAGGGGTGTCTCGCTCACCCGCCGGGTGTCTGCAACAGCTACATTCAAGAGATGGCAAAGTCAACTGGATGGATCCTAACACAGTGCCGCTTGTGGCTGCTTCGATGACGGCAGCAATGGAAACGCCTCTGAAAAGTTTTGCGAGCGGATTTGTGACAGCAATTGATTGCTATGCGTAAGCTCAGCCAGGGGGTTTCCCCTAGCTGCAATACCTGGGCTGAGGCTCAATTTTTTTGCACACAGACCATGAATTGCTATGCCAAAGAGACTAATAGCCCGGATCAATGTTGAGCATTCCGATTGAGGAGAGCGAAGCGTTCAGTGTGCATTGTACCTCGTTTTTCCCTGTCGACGCAAGGATCTTTTGCTTTTCTGATCGAAAACTAGAGGCTGTGGAAAGTGGATTTGATGCATTGGTAGAGCAGAAAGGTGAGAAAGTTCGGGGGTTTTTCTCCTTGTCGGCAAGACTTACGGCATTGACAGAGACTCAGAAAACGGGTTGGTACTCCTTAGTAGCAATTCTGGGTTGGAACGACTAACGGTTGAAATCGATTATAGCTTCCACGAACTGTTTCCCGGAGCAGTGATCTCTAAAGTGAATCCAAAATGGCTCAGGAGGCACGAGACTCTATATAAGCCGTGACCACCGATCATGTCGGTTGCTGCACAAGCAGCTGAAGTTGAGTGGACCTTTTACCTTTTGTTTCGACATCGCTTTTCGAAGTAAGAGGCCTTTCTATTGCCCGAGGATGATGTATTTCTTGAAAGGCGATCCCTCCCAAGAAAAAGAAAAAAAGAGGTTTTTTTAAGGATAAAGAAGCACCCCTCTCCGAATGCAGCCATCCTTGAGCGAATACTGTGAACCTATTTTTATAGCTTTCTGCAACACCACATGTGCGCAATGACTATCACAACCAACTGGGCAGCGGTCGCCGACGAAGCGATCAAGTCGCGTACCCATATCAACTTACTACTTATGGGCTTGACTGCTGTGTCTCGAATATCTCTCTGGAAAGGTCTGTTGATCAGCGAACAAGAAATCAAGCATGGACTTAGCGAAAGCAATTTTGGCTCCTTGCAGAGATGGATTACTACTGAAGAGATACCACAGGTGCTTTGAAGTGATTATTGCGCTTCGATAACAAAAGGGGACAGACTACTAAAAATCAAATAAAGAGCTACAGACAGGTATGCTGAATCACAGTCGTTGCATTAGAGACAATGAGATGGTAGATGCGCAAACTCAGCAACAGTTTCCGAGCTCATCAGCAGTATTTTACATTTCCTTACCAAGCCCAGCCAATCTCCAGTGCAGATGTCTCAACCCATCAGCACTGGTACTACAGAACAAAAAGCTATGTAGGCAGCAAATAACGCACACTTCATTCAAGATGTCATCAAAAGTAACGGTTGCAACGGTTGCCTCGAGGGCGAATCGAACGCCCGATCTTCTCATTACGAGTGAGACGCTTTACCACTGAGCCACCGAGGCATCACAATGTTAATCGAAGTTGGTGGTTGGAAGATGCTCTTGGAAGAGCACAAGATGAATATCCCATACCGATGTGATGTGAGTTCATGATGCACCGAGTGATTCTCTGTCATACTGATGTGATCTGCTAGTGGTTGGTGCGACGGAGGCGATGTTGTTTGTCCATCTGGCGAGAGGCGGGGTTGTGGCTTACTAACCTCCGCGCGGTTCGTGTCGCCTTTCCTTCTTCCCTCGGGTTGCTCGTTTCGCCTTTCCCCAAACTGCGAAGAGAGGCGCTGCTGCTCACAGATGCAAGCAGTAAGCGCTAGATCAATTCTTGCAACCCATCTGCGAGTTTCTTGCAATGATAGGTTGACCTTGGGAAAATCAGCATGCTAGTGTATCTATGCTCGCAAGAAACGGCGCGGCGTTTGGTGTCAGAGGTCCATTCAATGCGCGCGGGTGTGTCATGCCGAGGACAGTCAATCAAGCCCGAAAACGAGCAAATATTGCGTCAGCATAGTAGGAGAGCTTACCAGCCCAATGAATATACGAATTTACTCAGATTGATGCCAACAAGGCGTTCTCACTGACGCGCGCATCAACATGCATCTGTCTCATCGGTATACGAATGACAGGCAGAGGTACTTATAAAAGACCCGCTCATCTCAACTCTTGAACAAGTTTCTTCCTGTTAAGTAGTCAATAGCAACCAGAAAAATATTCGTCAAAACAACAGAAAACATTGCGCTTCTTTGGAATCTCTCATAGTCTAAGTCATAGACGATCGAGTCCTCAAGATGAGTGCTGTCAAGAAAGTTGCCGTCATTGCAACAAGCACCAGAACCCCACGCATCGGTACCAAAGTTGCGGAATTGGTCAAAGATACGGTCACCAAAGATGCTGTCGACAGCAGCATCGATCTATCTCTTGTTGAAGTAGCCACCTTTAAGCTTCCAGTCTTCGACGAACAAATCATCCCTGCACAAGTCCCCGCCCTCGGCAACTTTGCCCACGAGCACAGCAAAGCCTGGAGCAGCGAAATCGCCAAGTACGACGCATACATTCTTGTAATTCCCGAGTACAACTCCGGACTTACAGGAGGCACCAAGAATGCCATCGACTACTTATACAATGAGTGGATTGGCAAGCCGATTGCCGTTGTCAGCTATGGTATTATGGGCGGCCACTCGGCGTCGGCTCAGGCTCAGAAAACGCTCGAGGGCATGAAGCTCCGCGTCGTGCCCACTCGCCCAGCACTCGCCTTTGTTGGCGGTGCCGGCCCAGACCTGATGGCCGCCATGGGTCACGGCGAAATCGGTGAAGAATCGCGAAAGCAATGGGAGGCGCAGGCGAAGACAATTTTGAAGGCGTTTGGGGAGTTGAAGGATCTCCTCAAGGCGCCAATTATCCACAAGACCGGGAACTGAGGTATCATTTTGCAGTGCAGCTCATTCCATTTAGACAAAAAAGAAGAACGGGTTATCAACCGGGCCTTGAAGAAAACAAGCTTGTATTTAGCTCGAAATAAATTGGGACTTTTGGGATTCACCTAACCCTTTTAACTGCGGAACTCCACCTGGTAATATCGCTTAACCCTTCAAGACATCGTCGTGGTCCTTCGTGTATCAATTTGCACCTCTGCTGCCTACCGAGAATTGCTGTGCCGCTTTCCATGGGCATTAGCCTAAAAAATCTTGTAGCGCCAGTTGCTTGCATTTCTTTTCCCATTTCTCTTCTCTTTCTTAACCATGTGTCATTGATCACCCACCACTCGCTCACTGTCCTCTTCACTATGCGGGCATCCTCTCTTTTTGCGGCCGCTACTTGCGCGGCTGTGGTCTCTGCTCAAGTCCGTCTACCATTTGCTCGCCAAGATCACTCAATCGCCAGCAGCAATGTTAATTCCAGAGCCCCGGGTGATCGCCGCTCCATCCCCACGCTCGACGTTTTGAACAACGACTGGTATTACCTTGTCAACGTCTCCGTCGGTACTCCCCCGCAGGAAATGTCGATGAGGCTTACAGTACAAGTCGATACTTCGTGGGTTCCTGATGCCCAGTACTGCAATGGCTACGAAACCTACTATGTCGACTCCGCTACGGACAAATATCAAGACGAGTACGCTTCGTGCAAATATGGCGCGTTCAATGCCACTAAGTCGTCAACCTACGTTAACCCTGGTACTGAAAGCTTTTCGTCGATTTATACCAATGACTACATCAGCGGTGATTGGATCAGCGACACTCTTGATATCGCCGGCATCCAGGTGCCTAAGCTCGTCATGGGGTTCGTTGGTTCAGCAAACACGCTCATCGGCGTGCTGGGCCTAGGCTTCAACGTGAGCAGCTATTCCTCGAGCTCGTCCAGCTCTAGCCCAAGCAGCTCTAGTGCAGTTCCCACTGTACCTGAACGTTTACTCAAAGATGGCATCATCAACTCTACCGCTTACAGTGTCTGGCTAGACGATAAGGCCGCCAAATCAGGGAACCTGCTCCTAGGCGCTATCGACAAGTCGAAGTTCGAGGGGCCTCTTATTCGATTTCCGACCAGTAGCTCCTTAAGCAGCTCTACATATGACAGATACAGAACGTTTGATACCATTATTTATTCCGTGAATGGTAGTAATTCAGCGAAGGACGAGTTGAAGCCTCTCGGGAGAGGTCTCCTATCCGAAGAAGACTACCCCTACGACAGCGACAAAATCAACGTTCGGCTTGCACCTGACTACAGTTTCTCTGTGCTACCTCCAGCTCTTGCTCTAGACATCTGGGCTCTTGCAGGCGCTTCATGGAATGACGACCTCTATTATACCGTAATACCATGCGCAGCGGCGGAAACCCTCACAGGATCTATCGTAATGCAACTTTATGGAGCCGAAGGACCTGTATTGAACGTTTCAATTGCAGACCTTGTGATACCCAAGCAAGCGTGGTCTCATTCGGAGTGGTCTTGGGACACTGAATCGTCCTCAGACTACTGTTTGTTTGGGGTTCAGTCTGACAACTCGACATCAGCGAGTTACGGCTCTTCCTATAGTTACTCCCTTGGCGGCGCGATGCTTAAACAAGCATACATGGTCTTCGACCTCGCGAACGCTGAGATTGCCATTGCGCAGACCAAGTTTGGCAGCACCGCGAAGGAGGACATCATCCCGTTTGCCAGCTATGGTGCCAATACTCCGGAGTCGACGGGTGTCAGGCCCAGTCACAGTGGTTCTGGATCTGGGGGCGGATCCTCAGCCGACGACTCTGACGATAATAATTACGGCAACAATGGGTACGGCAACTATTCTGACGGTGAATACACCTCATCTCTCCAGCACTCTGTCAAGCTTGGGATCGGTCTTGGCGTCGGTCTGTTTTGCCTGCTCGTCATGTGCTTGTCCATCTGGGCTGTCAGAAGATGCCGTCGGATTAGGAAGGCGGAAAAGGAGCTATCAGAGAAACAAGCGGACGTGGAGCAAGTACCCGATATACTGGCTAGCACTAGGGATGGAAACAACGTGGCCAAGGAGGGTTCTCTGCCGCAACAGCCAACGAATGCTGTGACTCGAGACACCTCTCACCCACACGATGAATCCAATTGAAGAGCAGCAGAATACCGTGGATGCGGTTTCCACGAGACCACAATAGACGAACAAAGGGCTCGATAGATAATCTTAATGCGATACTTAAGTCCCCCATGTGCGACAGCATGGGGTGTAGTAACCAAATTAGTAAATTTGTAAATGTCTAATTCCCTGCCTGAACCACTGATAGTGGGCTGCCGGAATCAGTGGGTCGGATACGATTGCTGTGCATGTAACGTGCGGACCGGTCCGGCATCCTTCCACGGCCAGTCAGGAGATATTGCCATACGTCTCTAGAAAGTAGGTGATCGCGGTGGCAACGCGTTTAGGCATTGGCCCGATAAACCTTGATGAGAACGAAGTGTTGATAGGCTGATGCAGGTAGATTTGATCTGCAAATACTGCTAATTTGGTTCTCTTTTGCAACGTTGCACATCGCGAAGCGTTGCGTAGCTGCGTGCGAGTCTTATTGACGCTTTGGCTGGCTTTGATTCTTCGGAACCAACCTCTGATGCTACGCCGTAATATGCATGAAATCAGATGGCAGCTACTCAGACGGCGCCAGATCCCGTGGGGTGGCGCATCCCGCAGCTAAACGGGGGGAGCGGGTGATGTGCCGTCGCCGTTCTATCATCCTCCCCCCCTTTAAGATAATGCCAGGTTTACGTTGATCTGCTACGCGAGTGGTGTGGTGGTCAATTGTGCTTCATCACCGACTTTTTATTCCGCGACCTGGTCTGTGGGATACTGGTGTTCTGGCTCTAAAACTGGAAGCTGAAGGCCATCAACCCTTCGATGAGTATCTGGATCCTCAAATTGTATCACAAGTCTTCGTTCAACTGCCACAGCTGCGATAAGAAAGTGACAGGTCCCAAGGATCCCTTGGAAGGGTGGCATGTGCTCACATTGGTCCTGTCCCGAACAGGCGACAAGATCTTGTAATGGAGGGTCACATTCGGCCCCGACTCGGTCATTCGCTCTGATATCGCCAACCTGGAGGGCACATGGTCACCAAGGGTAGCTTCTGAAGAATGTTGGATTTAACCAATCCTGAAGCATTGTTCACTTGTACTAGCAACGACAATGTGGCTACACCTGCATTAGCCCTGGCCCCTCATGTTGGTTCAGCCACTCACTGGGCGCCATCACAAAGTCGTTACCACTGCTATTGGCACTTTGCCGTACACAAATTATCTCGAATCTCCGAATTCTCTTACGCGATCAGTCTTCTTATGCTCTGTGTGGTGTGCCAATGGTGTGCATCGAGCCGCCATCTTCGTAGGTCATGGTGAATTTCACTGCTACCACTTGAACGTGACGCGCAGACGACGCGCTGGACCTCTTCACATGCGCCTGTCAATCCCACACAGACTCTTTGACCAGTCAATAGTTACTGTAGCGAGTCCAGTAGTTGGATGAATTCTTTGGCAGATGGCGTAACGTTCCGATTGAAGTGGACACGAACTGCAGCCCAAGCCACTTTGAGAGGACGTGTGAACAAGAACAATCGCTTTGTGTTTTGACTTGCATCTCCTATAAGTAGTCGCTGGTCTAAATGCACCGGACTCAACTAGTATCTGACGGTCAGTTGATCGCTTCATGTCCAGTGACGTTTAGACAAGCCGCAACAACATCTTTCTACTCCTTCAGCAACCTATTTAAGCGCTCTACAGATATCCTAGACGAAATGTTGCTTTTACCATCATTAATCACAATGGCTGGCCTACTGTCATGGGCCACTGTTCGCCCTTGCGAGGCATCGCTATTGAAATTTACACAGCGGGGTCTAGAAGGCTATACCAATGCCGTGTATTTCACCAACTGGTAAATCAGTACTAATCAACCAAAAGTCGTAATCAAACGCCCTAACATTTGCAAAGGGCAATATACGGCCGTAACTATCAGCCTCAGAACCTGCCTGCGTCCCAGATCACAAACGTTCTCTACGCATTTATGAATCTTCGTCCATCTGGAGAAGTGTGAGTCTGCCAAAGCTGCAACTTCCCTAGCCGAAAGACACGGAAGCTTATTGAAGGCATCGCTTTTAGCTATTCTGCCGATACCTACTCTGACTTAGAGAAGCATTACCCAGCAGACTGTGAGATATCTAAATTTCATCACGCTTAACCCTGCTAACAATATCAAAGCATGGAACGATGTCGGCAATAATGCTTATGGCTGTACCAAGCAGCTCTATCTCCTCAAGAAAGCCAACCGTCGCATGAAGGTCGTGCTGAGTATCGGAGGTTGGACTTGGTCCACCAACTTCCCTGCTGCGGCCAGCACTCCCGAGGGCAGGGCTTTGTTTGCCTCGTCCTCTGTCAAGCTGATGAAGGATTGGGGATTTGATGGTGTTGATATCGATTGGGAGTACCCGGCCAACGCTGATGAAGCTTTCAACATGGTTCTTCTGCTTCAAGCAGTTCGAACCGAGTTGGACGCCTACGCTGCGCAGTACACCCCTGGCTACCACTACCTCCTCACAATTGCTTCTCCCGCCGGTCCAACTCACTACAACGTCTTAGACCTTAAGGCTATCTCGGATGTAATCGACGCCTTCAACTTAATGGCATACGATTATGCCGGCTCATGGGACGCCAACAGCGGTCATCAAGCTAACCTGTACCCAAACCCCGGCAACCCAGCATCTACGCCATTCTCGACTGACGCTGCTGTTAATGACTACCTTCGCGCAGGAGTACCTGCATCGAAGATTGTCCTCGGGATGCCGATTTACGGTCGATCTTTTGAACAAACAAGCGGCATCGGTCAGACCTTCTCCGGTGTCGGCAGTGGCTCTTGGGAAAACGGAGTTTGGGACTACAAGGCCTTACCGCGCGCAGGCGCGACTGAGCTTTATGACTCTACAGCGGTGGCATCTTACAGCTATGACTCGAGCAGCAAAGAACTCATCTCGTACGATACACCTGCCGTCATCAGGACCAAGGTCTCGTATTTGCAGAGCAAGGGGCTTGGTGGCTCTATGTTCTGGGAAGCTAGCGGAGACAGAAGTGATGGGAGCAGTTTACTGGCGACTAGCTTTACTGCTCTCGGTGGTTCAGACACACAAGACAAGAGCTTGAACCAGCTGAGCTACCCCAACAGCCAATACGACAATATTCGTGCTGGTGTTCCAGGTGGTTGAGATGGAGATTTTCCGCTCGGATGAGGTTTGGGGGTTGGATTAGCGAAGGAAACGTCTTCTTGTTCTTCAATTTTTTGATACTCGTTCTGGTGTACATCCGTATACGGCGCCTTTCGTTTGACTCAAGCAACTATTAATACTACCTCCCTCGTCCTCTCAGCATCCATGTCTTTGGCACTCCAAAAGGTTTCTAAAAAATGGTGATCGTTGCCGCAAGAGCCATGGCTGTATGGATGAGTCAAGCTCAACTCCGTTTTCTGATCAATAGTTGGTGAACTTGTAGCATTTGGCAGACTCGGAATCAGACTTGGTTTATCATATGTATTCTGGTCTGTCAGGTCAGAGTTTGGAAGTCAAAATGCGACATATATGTTTCGTCGATAGACAAAACGGACGGGTCTGTTAACCTGATCTCGAACACGGCCATCCTAGGATGCTTGGTTTGTGTATATGAAAAGATAGGTAGGTTTTCAGCATATTATATGTTTCTCCCTGATTGTAGCTGGGTGCTATTTCATGGCTTTATGGCGAGTTTACTCAGCTTCAACCCCTCTACCATGTCAGATAACTACTTCTCGTCAAGCTCAGATGATTATATTTTTTAAAGTGCATTTGTATCTTCAGTTTTTCTGCACCATCTCTTCAATAGTTGCTGGTTATTACTTCTAATCTAAGATCATCTTCAGTGAATACACACTTTGCTCATCATTTCACATTAGTCGCCTTAGTTCTCTTGCTTATCTTGGGCATCTCTTCAATAAACTTTAAACACCCTAAACTGTCAATCATTCCAAGAAAGAGACTCTCGTGAACTATTAGCGCAATCAAGTGCGTCCAGAGCTATCTGATATTTGCCTCATGTGGCTCCGTCCATTTAATGTGCTGATCTTATGAAGCCGATGAGTCCAGGCCTTTTCCATAATGAAGTCTAGGCGAAATCGATAGTACGCTCGGACATTGTTAGCGTTCGACAAGTTTTCCATCGAGCCCACTGTTTAGCAGAGATCATCTGCAAACTGGCAGCTGGTTCGTGGAAACAGTCATATTTTTCTACGCTATAAAGCTATGACAAGATGCACACTGACTATGGACTCAATCGCTTCCCCAATGCAAGATGTTGAGTTGCATTGGTTCATCTGTACAAAGCCTTCTGCCACCAATCACATCTTGCTCTCGCAGCCATATCAACAATCAGCGTCTTATTGTAGAGAGATAAGACAGCCGCATCGGCTCCGTAGAGGGGTATATTAGGCAGACCAGCTACATTCGGGCTCCCTGTCTTAGTGAACGTTGTGAGATACGCCTGCAGCGTATTTGCGATAGACGCATTCAACGGAAATCCGTTCGAGCTCGTCTCGTTATTAAAGAAAGTGTAGGGAATGTCGGTACCGTGCCATCCAGGGGGAACGTCGAAGACATAGTTAAAAGCGTTACCATCCAGTGCTTTATTAAGAAAGTGATTGTTGCAAATGAACCAGGACTCGGCAATAGTTTTGGATGTTCGTTCGAGAGGTGTTTTCCAGGGATAAGTGCCATCATATACCGCTGGGTAAAGCTTGGTGGTGACATAATCAATGACTTCGTCTGAAGCCTCCGGTAAAAGAAGCTTCAGGAGAGAGGAGATATACTGCTCATTGTTTCCAATGAGGGGAGAGGCGAAGATGAAGCCCTCATCACTGTTGTGTGCGCCGAAAATTTCCACAGACGAGTCGTACTTCCCGTTTGAGAGCAGAACACCCGGCAAGTCCGGCACGAAAGCACCATCAGCTACAGGTCCCCACCCAAAGGAGCCCCAGTAAGTGGTTGCCACTGTGATCTGGTTGACCTTCTCGATCACCTCGAAAGAAAGCTGTTTAAGGTCGTTGAGAGTTGTGACACTAGAGTTGCTGAAGTAGGACGCCCAGTCAAGTGCTTTGTTGTATGCCAGTATTTGCTTCTTAGCTCCGGTATTGACCTCAAAACCAGGGGATTGAAGGATCGCACGCTTGAATGGAGCGCCGCTGGTAGAACCGTAGGCCGTCAGTTGATGGAGAATCGAGCCTCCACCTGCAGATTCTCCTATTACCGTAACATCATCGGGGTTTCCTCCAAATAAATGAACGTTTTCTTGGATCCACTCAAGAGCAAATCGTTGATCATGGAGACCCAAGTTCGAGACACCGCCCTGTTCCTCGTAGTCTGGGCCGGAGGCAAAGCCAAAGATACCGAGTCGATAGTTGATGGCAATATAGACAACACCATCAGACCCGTTCATCTGGGCTTTTGTAATGAGACTGGCAGGGTTGCCAGCGGAATTTTTGTCACCAGCGACATAACCGCCTCCATAGAGCCACACAAGGACGGGAGCTGCATCGTGATGTGTCAGAACAGCAAGTTCATCTTACTCAGAAACCAACTTACCACCGGGGTCTGAGGCATCGTGCGTTCTTTGCCATATCGCCTCCGGTACCACAACATCCAATGTCAAGCAGTCTTCTGTGACGACGGGATCGGGATGGGTAAGATATTGGCCTATCAAAGTTGCGTTTGATGATGGGCTCAGATTTCGAAGCTCGAGGAAGGTTGAGTTGACTTCTTCCAGAGACAACTGACCAGCCTGGTACAATGCTGTCAAGTCGTACCATTTTGGAAGCTTCAATGGGCAAATGCCTGGGGTCTGGCCGTCATTAATTCGGCGATCCACAATGGTTACTGGGGCGGGTGCTCCAAACCGAGGGGCAGCGGCGTAATGGATGTTAGAGAAGTTAAACCAACCCCTCGAATCCTACAAAAGACGCGATTAGTCTATGAGATAGCAAGAAATCTTGCCAACTCTCATTACGGTTAGGGAGGAAATCTTACATTGTAAGTGGCTTGGTGAATCGCATATCCGAGATCAACGGTTGGTAGTTGACTGGTGCTGTCAGCCATTACTTCCGATGCAAGGACCAGAAGTGCCAAGTTGGCCAGGTAGGCCTTGCTGTTGCACAGGAACATTTTTGTACGTTCTGCGTGGTTTGCAAAGGGACCGTCTATGCCATGTGTTCAAGAAATTGACATTGATGCGATTGATAGAGAGAAGAGACCTTTGTACTTTCCGCGTTTCGTGGTCTGCTTTGCCAGGCAGACGGATTGCGCGGATACCCTGACAAATCATTATTTTTCATAATGTTATCTGCAGGTTTCTTCTGCTTACGCTCTTCCTAGGGCGGAGCACATGCATCTCTGACTGGCTATTGGGGACTTTAGTATGCGCTGCACCCATGAGTGATGATGATTCATATTTGATGTGCAATGATGGGCCTATCTCCTTGCCTAATTCGGAATAGCCTCTGCCGCCAAATGGTGAGCGCCTGGTGTAAGTGAGATGGCTCTTTAATCACAGCCATAGTGAGTCTTTCTGCAGATATTTCCAAACTGACGATGTCTTCGGGAAGCCCAATAAGTCCAGGAAATCAACAGTTGTCAGAGTCAACACTAAAACCATTCTTCAGCAATCACATTGGCGATTACACAATTCGCTGAGAGCCTAGTAACAAAGAAACAGAAGAAAGGTTTGGCTGACTCGGCAGTTCGCTTCAGTTTGGCATATAAGCTGATAACTTCGGGCAATCATCTAGATATTAGAGGTTGATAAAAGGGGTATTAACCCAAGCCTTCAATAGATAAACAAAAAAGACTGTACTTGTGGCATTCCCACCGTCCAGAGTCCACGAATTAGATCATCGGCTGTTGCGATGCCGAGAGGTGCAAGCGAATGGCTACCACCCGCTAACAAGTAGCGGGTTACCACTGAGCTTGAGCTGGTCCAGTATTTTCCCCAGCGATATGCGACCTGGCAGGTCAAAGTTGCTTGAGCACAGGCGGCGCTGGTGAGTTACCACAGTGGTTTTAGCCTATGACCACGGTGACAGATAGCGTGCACAACTACATGTTTTAGAAGAGGCACAGGTCTAGACACATAAAGCTGGTGACGCTAGTGGGCCGTGGGCAACGAACCAGTGCGTTTCACGCTGATTCGGTCACTCGGAGTGACGTTGCTTCGTGATGCACTCATTGTACCCCACGACAGAGAACCGCTAAAATCAGCAAGAAATACTTGAACACTTTGAGAAGTCTTGCTTTCGGTGTGCTTTTGAGGGCCTCCGAAGTAACACTTACACGCGAGGTCCTGGCCACGCCGGATGGAGCAAGGAGGAATGCCAAGGGAAAATCGCTCATACAAAAGGTGAACCCAGACACGGTCAGATTCGATGGTGATGGTCAACTATTACGTTAAAATTACCTACAGGCTATCGGTTCCCCGTGGGACGCGGGTGAACCCTGCCCTGGCAATTTCAACATCATGCCAATCGGCTGCCAAGCTTTGGTGATGCTTATTGGAAAACGAACTAGATCTGGCAAGCCGAGCATCGCAATCCTTAATCCCTCAACCGAGACATTGCATGGAAACAAGTCGGTGAGAGCAATAGTACGAGTTGGGTGTCAATACGTACACTGTTGATGAGAGGCAATTTATTTAAGATGTTGTCAACAGTCCGGAAAGCGGACCGGATTCCTGTTTACAATCCTAATTGCTGTTTTCTGACTTCCTCTATTATTGCCTTACTTGTTTGAACTCTCTCATATGGGCTCAACAACCATAACAGATACTGCTCCTAGCAGTCCACCAACCTACTCAGACCGTAAGGGGCAGCCTGCTGCTGTAACAGCCGCGATATGTGTCGCTTTCGCCGTTCTGATCGGCCTCTTACTATACATGCTTTGGTGGAAGAAGTCCAAGAAAACACGACATTCGATGGCATCAACTCCTACGCCGCCTAACCATGGCCACCATCAGCACAGTAGAGACAACGCACTGCAGTTGAGCCATCGTGTCGTGCACAAGATGCCAAGAAGACCAAGGCTGGTGAAGTTGGCCAGTGGCAGGCTTGGTTCGATGGCCAAGGCGGCGGAACCCAGAACTTGCCCTGTATGCCTGGACGACTTCGCTGCGGGAACATTGGTTGGGCAACTACCTTGCGGTCATGTCTTCTGCTCCGTGTGTATCGAGCTCTGGCTTTCTAAGCACGCCTTTACATGCCCCATGTGGTGCGTCGCTCGGGTTGAGGCACCGGTCATATTTCAGAGCTAATACTCAATCCTCTAGTCGGTTCAATCTTGAGGTAGGTGCCAGTCACGTGGAGACTTGCTAGCCATGGACAAGCCGAACGAAAATAGCGTGGGGAAATTGGCCAGGTGCTTTTATTTAGCAACGATTTTTGCGTCAAGCCGCAAAGTCTATCGAGGCTGTATGCTTCGTATGTACAAGAGAAATAATGGGAAAACATGTACAATAGAAAGGATAATGTATGGTTCGTTTATCGCCACCTTGAGACAACTATGGAGATACCATGTGCATGCCTCCTTGCAGAGATACACTGGTAAAAACCAGCCATTCGCTGCGGGCAAAACAACCCTCTCTATCAATTCGTAGATATAGAGAAGTTGGCGCCATTAGACTGACAGCAAGCGGGGCACCGTAACTACTAGTTGGCTAAGCAGCAACAGGAGAGACTACGATGAAAAGAAACGAAGGATGGAATACCCGGAGCTAAGAATATGGCAGGCGTGGTGGCGGCGAGGTTGTCCAAGTCTGGCTCATTACTGTGGCAGTGACACGTCAGTAATGGTCTTAAAAGCGCGGGAAGTGGGCATATCAGGTTTGGAAGAGATGCCGGCTTGTCTCCCATGATGATAAAGACAGCGGAGCTTGAAGGTACGTGTGCGAAGGAATCGACCGTGGGAGGTCGCGGATGGGGCGTTCAACTCCAAAGACACTGCATTACTTACAGCAGTAGTTCCAGCACTGTTGAATGTAGAGCCGATGGGGCCAACCTTGATGTTGGAAAAGATAACATTGGAGTTGGGAGCCTGAGACTCGACGTCGGCGGGGAGGCCAGAATCAATGCCGCAGGTACCGCGAGCAGAGCCGGGGCCGGTAGAGTTAGTGGGGTAGGTAGAGTCGAGCCAGAGCATGTTGGAGTTGTGCTGTGCAAAACAGTTAATTATCACAGCGCCATCGGGGACCTGTATAGTCGGGGGTAAACTTACGTCGTCCCAGACGGACATGACAAGAACCATGCCCTCAGCAAGAGCCTTGCCCATCTGAGCGAGGCCGCCCTTCTGAGTGAAGACATCCTGGTCACCAAAAGCCTTCTTCTGAGCGGTGCAGTAGTCCTTGGTGATGGAGTTGCCGTCAACTCCGGAAACATCGGACTTGGAGTTGACAAAGACCTTGCCGTCTTGGACGTAGAAACGCTTGATATCCGAGAGCGCGCCAGCCTCCTCGATGAACTGGGTGACGACGGTAATCTTCTTGGAGGTATCGATGGCAAAATTAGAGCCCTTGCCGTAGAAAGAGGTGTTGCCCATGCGGTAGCTGTTGAAGTCGCAGCCGTCGGGGTCACACTGGCCAGCGTAACGAGTGGCGCTGTACGTGCCGCCGCAGGCGTCGCCGGAGCAGCTCAACTGACCGATTGTCTCGCAAGGGTGAGGGGTGTAAGCGGCGGACACGGAGTTGGCCTCCCAGATGTCCATCTCGGAGCAGCAAGAGCCCATGTTGCCCACGCCGGCGTTGGCGTCGTTGGATGAGGGCACCCAGCCCTCAACATTGGCTTTACCATCAATGAACTTGAGATCACGGGGACACTGGCTGTCGCAGTAGCCGGTTCCGTAGGAGGCGCCGGCCTTGTTGGTGGGGTATTTGGAAGCACCTCCATCTGCGTCCATGGAGACAAAGTACAAGGCGCCATTCAGGCCGCACTGTGGTCGTTGTGTTAGTCATGGCATTTAATGTCACTAAGGATGTCTGACTTACACCTAGGTTGGAAACATCGACGTCAAAGGTGAACTCCTGGCCCAAGAGCTTGAACATCTGGTACTTGTCGGTGCCCTCCATGAGGTACATGCGAGAGCCAATGTTCTTGCTGTAGGGACCCTGCTGAACGAACTTGAGGTTGAGCGAGTCACCGCTGGTGGTAGCACCGTAGGTGCCGGAGTAGTCGGCACCGTCAAGGCAGCACTTGGAAGCACAGTCCTCGCCCGTGCTGCAGATTGAAGTGTCCCATTTGTTACCGGTGTAGCAGTTTGTGCTGCCGCTGGTCTCGTGAGTCCAGCGCCAGTTGGCGTCGACAGTGATGGCGCCGTTCACCTTGGTGCAAGTGCCACCGGCTGCGCAGTTGGACCACGTGAGCGCGGGCTTGGTCTCAGCGTTAAGCGTGCAAACCTGTTGCGCGCGAGCAGCAGCCACAAGAGCCGTGATGGCGGAAACCTTGGTTAACATAGTGATAATGCTGCTTCGGAATTCAGCGGAGTAAAGAACGGATGAGAGAATCAAAAAAGAGTGTGCGATGTTCAGATGGCCGAATAGAATGAAGCATATGCTGGAAAAGAATGGCGCGGGTGGCTTAAGATAGAGAGATGATTGAAAGGGGACGACCTCGACCGCATTATATAGACTCTGAGAAACTGTTTCGAGATGTTGTCCTAGGTTAAACTATCATAAATGGCCGCGTTGAGCCCCTCAACCCTACTTCCTCCCAAACTCTGCAATTTCCTGCCAGGGGTTTTCAACATCCCGCAGGCGAGTCGCAATACTATCAACTGGGAACATTGACCCAGGATAGTACGGTCGGTTGAAGAGGATCGATAGTACAGTGGGACCACGATGTCAAGATCGGATGCCTTCCCGTCGTGCCTAAGTTGGCATTCCAGCGGGGATTGGACGAACGTGGTGAGTGCATATTGTTGTATATGTTGGAGACAACCAAGCCGCTGGGCAAGCTTGATCCGGGAGGCGTAGCTTGGCTGTCTTGGAAGGTCGTCTGCAACAAATTGATTAAGTCGTTGAAAGACCGGCACCTTGATGGCGGGTGAGGCGGGGGTTGGAAGCGGTATTAGCGAATTGGGAGAGCACATGTTGCTGCAACTTGCCGTCAGGTGACATCGTGTGTCTTCTCCGCAGAGTCTGGAAAAGCCAAGTTAGGGTTTTTGCCAGGGACACCTAGGCGGAATATCTCCTACCGCCCTCCGTTTGAGCTTAGACACTCTGCGCCATTGGTCGGGCAATATCGAATGCCCTTGTAAAGTCCGGAGGACCGGCACTTGGAAGAGGTACCGACAGCTGCCGCCGCGCGGGTGTAACGGCCCCAATTACCCCAACAATCAACTTATTTGCGGCACTAGTTGAGTTGGTCTCACGTGTGCCGTCAAGCATAGATGGGTTATGCATGCAGTGAAATGACAAAGTTCCAAGACTTTCTGGTTCGCAAAAACGGTTATAATGGTTCATTCTGCGGGTATAACCAGCGTCAAAACCTTTCATTGCGGGCTCAACCCTCCGCAGTGTGGCATGGTCTAACATCGACGACGTCCGTTGACATTTGCGCCCATGAGTCAATACTGTAGACTTTAAGCCCAGTCATCTATCTCAAAACCGCAAGCTCTTTATTTTGAAATGCGTATCTATCTATCTGTGGGGAATGCAAAACTAGGCTCATATTCGTCCCATTCCCCCTTTTGCCCCTTAGTCTAATTTGCTTTTGTGCCCCTTTTCCAAGTCAGGCTTTGCCTGCTTCCCGGCTTCGGTGTGCTGGCCGCGGGGCCGTGGGACCCACGGGGCATCGAACGGAACGGCGGGCCGCGACAACCAACATGCCCATCGGTCCATAAGAAAACAAAACAAAAACCCGGCAATGGTCTTGTCTCCCGTGTCTGGAGTTGTACTTTGGAGGCTTAGGAAGTTCGTTACGTAGTCAATGCTACTCAGAGATTCTCATGAGATAGTTATATCTACCTGCTGCAAAAGTCCCCAAACTCGGATCACCATTGACTGTAGAGGCATATGTATGCAGAGCCCCTAGGTGCCGTTGATCGACGCTGCCGGGTGGTAAACGCCACGGAGCCTAGCGTACCGCAGTCTCGGAATGACAAAGATCAACGACGTCCCCGTTATTTACTCCACGCGACAAGCGCCTTCAAGCTTTGCGGCTCCCGACCGACGGCTTGGCTGAATTGGGATGTCCAACTGGTCAGCAACTCTTCCGAAAAGACGACGGTCGGTCCCGAAGATTGCCACCAAGGCACTCGTCTTTCTCCGGTCTTATGCACCTCGGACCCGAGTGACAACTCAGTGATACGAAGACTTCGCGCTTTCAAGCTGCAGCACCTACAGATGTGCGGTCTCAAAGTATCGTCCGTCAAAGTTTCCCAGACACCCTTATGGATCAGAAACCCATTTTACCAGCAAGTGAGTGAAAATTGACAAGGTTGCGAATTTCTGACGACTTTATTTCACATCTTTTATCCTGCAAACGCACACCCAAAGTGGAGCATCTTTACTTGTGATGATTCAAGGTCGCGGATGCTGCCGCACCGTTTGAGCCTCTGGGGAAAGAGGTGAACGAAAACTAAAATAGCAGAGGAGAGTGGAGATCCGTGGCGTCAAAGTCTGTTCAAGCATATTGACTTTCTTTGTCTTGATGCTTACTCGTTGCTTACTAGACGACACTTTCTTGTCTGACAAGTACAGAGATTGTCTTTCCTGTGGGCATAGGACGGGGACGAGCGTTCAATGGTACATTTAGTTCAGACCCCGCATCGGAAAGTCGCCGCCGAGCATCTGAGACGAGTGAATGCTGTTGAGTTAACATGCTGAACTAGCATTGTCCATCTGTCAGCTTGTTGTCAGGCTGCCGTCTCAAATCCAGCTTTTCGAGTGTTTTTTTCAAGGGAAACGTATTCGACCCAAAGACTATGATCTACGGTCGGTTGCCGGGAAAGAAAATGGCAGTCACGTTCAGCAATCAAAAGATAGAATCTAAGATGAGGGTGTGCGACTGACTCGAATGATTCGCCAGGATCTACTGCAAATCTGGCGTTGACATTGACGGTCGGGTCGGGCATCATCGAGAAGAATCTGTGGCTATGACAGGGTCTTCCCCGTCTGTCGTCGAAACGGGTGAAACATTGAGCTGGTCAATGGACGCCGAGCCATACCCGACCGACAACCCGTTGTTTAAGAATGCGTTGCTGCCTATTGCATCAATAAAACGGGCTGTGCGCTGCAAAGGGAAAATGAGCTTGATCGGTCTTACACAAGGGCTCAGAGATAAGAATCATAGTCTTGAATATGGTTCGATACAATGGAGGTGCGCATTCGTCGGAGAAGCAGACTTATTGACTTTCAACGATCTACAGGTACCACTGAACTCTGGACGATTTACAAGTGCCGCGCCACCCTTCTCTCGCTTTAGCCTCAATGAAGTTTTTCAAAGACCGGAGACAGTGAGCTTGTTGATCGTGGTCGAGTCAAATTCTGGAGTGACTGAAGCACTATCCGGCACTTGTTGTTGCATCAAGCCAATCGAGGAGTGTCCATTTTTAACTATGAGCTAAAGCCTAACGTTGATCGTGGATCCATTCCTCAACTCACAATTGAAGCCATGAAGGTGCAGCGGAGCTTGATGCCCCTATAACAAGTATCATCGATTCTGCATTTAAACTCCAGAAAAACGTCGCAGGAGCTACGACGGCCCTCGAATCACACGGGTTGGACTGCAGGTGTAGGTGCCTAGATCAATCGCCTTTCTCCATTGGATGGCCTGTGGTTATCAACATCCTTCGGGCCTGCTTGACAATCAAATGGTGCGTGGGTAGAGTGCCCGCTCATGCAACCCACCACAGGTACGTCTGATTGTCTCTTTCAACTCCTCTCACTTCGGGTAGGTAGGTTCACAGGCTGTACATAGTATATTACCAATCACCTACATGTGGCATCCAGATGCTGTGCGTCGCCAAGGACGTCATCATGCCCACATCTGATGTAGGAGGGATGAAAAGCTTGCCTAATATGTACCTGCGGTGAGAAGTAACTTGATTCATTCCAAACTTTCCCGTTTCCTCTTCTGGCCGAAACGCAGCGGCGACACCGCTTTCCGGAACACCAGCCGTACGGCCATCTCCAAGAGAATCACTGTTTTTCTGTAAAAGAGAAAAGAGTACCATTGGCTCTTTGCTCCGCTTCGCTCGCCATAGTTCCTCCTGCTAATAACGTAGCGTAGGTCTCGCTTGTCCAAGAATCGTACGAGACATGTCATGGCATGCCCCCATCGGTTTTGCTTCCCTTGCTACCCATAGTATCCGAGCGTTTCAGCACGGCTGGTTTTCTGGCTGCGGACAAAGGGAGGGGGGTTAACGGCGTTTAGAACAGGGAAAAAACAACGACTCCACCACCTGGTTTCAGAAGCTGTGAAAGTCTTTTTTGGGACGCACTGCACGGGAATAGGACACGGGGACATTTTGTAAGGGCCAAGAAACTGGTAGAATGACGCGCTCGTCTCATGCTCCCAGAACCTGTTTGCTCACCATCACTTGCAGCGTCCAAGAGGGTCAGCAAACCTCGCTCACGGCTCATGCATGTCGCTCACGGTTCTGAGTTCTTGAAATACGCCTCAGTACTGACCTGGCATCAAGCCACTGCCTCAAAGTTTGTTCATAAGTTTACAAGTTTACACACAAAAAGTAAAAAGATGTATTGGTTGGTTTAAAAAATAACACTTCGCACCCGCTTCCCGTCCATTGCTTTCCTTCTCCGGATTGAGTTTCGCCATCTGTGTGTCTCTGTGCGCTCAACAACAAAAACGGGGGACGTTTTGACGTTTTTCGAGAGACTGATTAGAGTGAGACCACAAGCACATGAAGAGCGAGCCCCGGAGGCTGAACCTCCTCAACCTGAAGCCTATCATGAATCCCTTCATGGGTCAACCTCAGCCTGGAAGTCAGCACCAGGTACGACGTAGCGCCTGGCCCATCGCAGGACGCTGTTGCCCTCCTCACGCTTGTTGTTGGCGCGGTTGCGTCCGTTGGCCTTGCTAGCATTGCCACGGTTACGTCCGTTGCCGGTGTTGGCGTTGCCGGCGTTGCCAGTGTTGCCAGTGTTGCCTGTAGTAGCATCGGCGGTTCCGTTGTTGCCGGGACCGGTGTTGGTGACGGGGAATTCCTTGGTGACGACGTCGGGAGTGCCGAGAAGCTTGGTGGCGGTATCAGAAGCAGCCTTCTGCTGGTCGGTTCCATCAATCTGGTTAGCTTTGATGGCGGCCGGGAGGTCCTTAACATTGCCCTGCTGCTGCTCGAGGACGGTGTTCAAGTCCTTGAGCGTCTGGATGTTCTGGGGAGTGTTCTGAGTGGGGGTGACGTCGATCTGCTGAACGGGGAAGCAGCCGCCGAAAGGACCGGCGACGGCGTTGTTGCGGCAGCGGACAGTGCAGATGTTTCCAGTAGAAGCTGTCATTTTCTATTAGTCACATAATTCTTGCGCGAATAGATGAAAGGCTTGAGGCTCACCTCCAGAGCACTTAAGGTCAGCGGGCATCTTGACGGTGATGTTAAACTGCTGAGCCTTGACCTGGGAGAAACCGTTTACGCCAGGAACGTTGTTGGTGACCTCGAGAGGGATCTGGCCGCTGCCACCGAGAGAGTTACTCGTAGGGTCCAGATCGCAGGCGTAAGGGCCAGCACCATCGGCGTTGACCTGGTGAATGGTAACCTGAAGCTCGCTGCCAGCCTTGACCTTCGTGACCTGGCCGGCGGCCAGAGCGTTCTCCGTGTTCTCGCCAATATCGATGTTGCCAGCAATCTCAGTACGTCCGCACTCGTTCACGATATTGGCGTTGATCTCGGCATCGCGAATCAGAGTGGAGTCCTGCTGGCAGGGGTTGATCGTCGTGCAATTGCGGGCGACGTTGGGGTCAACTGAGTCGTGTTAGTGTAAGTCGTGAGGCCTGATGAAAGACTTTGGCTTGTAGGAAATCCCACGAAAGCTTCCTTCTCCTGGATTCTCTGCTCAACATACCCTTGAAGCCAATACTGGCAGGCGAGCCTGCATCTCCTTGGGCGTTGAGGATGACTCCGTGGCCGTGGGCCACCGCCAGGACGGCCGAGGCGATAACAATTTCCTTGAAAGAAAGCATTTTGGTCTCGCAGAGACGAAGTCGATGTGCCAGCACGATTAAGGAACGAAGTGAAGTGGTAGAATCGAAAAGAGAAAGAAAAACGGAACAGCCCGCTGAAAGAGCGTAGCGGAGATGTAGAGCTAATATGTAATGTGTGTGGGTAGAGAGGGAAACCTAAACACTGGACGACGCCGTGAAGGTCATCTTATACATACGCTCGCGGTCGAGGGTCGAAACGACGCAAACACAGCCAAACGTCCAACAGCGATGATGTACGCTGATCTGCTCAGATCATCTGCAACACCTCCTGTCGCAAGGCTGTGGTGCTGGGTGGAGGTCGCGACCTAGTCCTGAACCCGACGTTTTCTTGGCAAAGTAAGGAAGGGTTGCGGCAGGGGGGGTTGCGGCAGGGGGAAGAAAGAGACGAGCCCAGGAAGACAAAAGCAGAATGGGGGGGGGGGGAACGGACACAAACGGTGCAGTTTGCGTTGGTTCGAGGCCCGCTCAGCGGCTGGTAGCGAGGCGATTGGGGAGGTATGGCAGGAGGCTCACATGGTGGATGTCGAAGATGGTGGTGGACCTGGAGGTTTAGTCCGAGAACCTTGTTGGACGACAGACGACGGACTCGGCCACCGCGAGTCACAGTCTCGTTTTCACAAACGGCGTCTAGCCGTGTTTGGCTGGGCCGAGACAGATGAAATAGGTCGGACGATTACGCGCTGGGGGGCGCTGTCCTGGAAAGGCGAGCGTGTTTCATGGGGGTATTAGTCGATGTCCTGGTAAGCAGCGGTTCTAACCAAGGTCCAGCATGTCAGTGGTGGTCCGTCGCATGGGTGGGCGGGAAGCTGGCGAGAATAAGCCTAAGAGGAGAAAGCATCAATCGAACCTTCGACGCTTTGAGCAGGTCTTTCGCTAGAGCCCTGGTGCTTCTGGGTTCGGCCCTGTTGCCTTCGTCCGTTGTCAAGGGTAGACCCATCTCACCTCGGCCTAAAGGGGGTCACAGATCGAGGGGTGATACAGACGCCAAGCCTTAAGCACAAAGCGCATGCGACAACCGAGAAAAGCGGCATGCAAGCCGTTTGGTGAGGCGGATGAGTGAGCGAGTTGGGGGAGGTGCTCTCTTCTCACTCTCCTCGCCTTTTCGTCCCATTCCTGAAGCCCTTTTGACGTTGACAGCCGAGGCGTGGCCTGCCGGTGCGGGTAGGATGCAGAGAACGTGGCTCGTCTGGTGTGGGTGGTTTTCTGAGACTTGCGCTCGGAGACCTACCGAAGGAGAGAGTCGCCATTCTGGCCCAAAAGATGCCACAGAAGCGCGGCGGACCGCAATGCCCGACCGATCCAAACCCAGATGGTGGCGTTTATCTTTCGTCTGGGGATGCCGTGGACAGTTTCCCGAGGGCAAGAAGATGCGAATGACCCGAGCCTCACGGCTCACGGGATGTTCAGGGCGATCGGGGCCACTTGGCGACGGACAGATTCGAGAATCACCTACGCCTTAAGCAGTAGCCAAGGCTGTCAGGCCAGTGGCGGCGGGGACATAAGTCAACTGTCAGGGACGCACATCCGTAACCTACAAACCAAGAAAGATGCCCTACCGATGCTAAACTTTGTTCCTGAGGGTCTGGGGATGCAATCTATCAAGCCCACCAGCATCTGCCTTATTTGACATAAGGTACCGGGCGGCGTGCGGGTACCTGAACGCTTGATTGCTTACTTTGCATGTAAGAGACATGGTAAACTTTGCCTCGGATGGTGCACCGCAAATCCCTCCGCCCGCCTCCCTCTTCCTTCTTCTAAGCCAGTTCAGACTCTACGGAAATTGCCAGCCACTTACGAATACACCACTACACTTTCCTAGGAAAAATTCTCCGTAAAGGAAAGGAGAAGCGCGGGATCCACAAGATTGCTGCAAGGAGCCATCTCGTCCCTGCGGCAACCGGGATCTTTCCACACCAGGATACCCCCCCTTCACGTTTCACCCTGGCCCACAGGCTGAGCCGCTCCGAGCGAGATGCCATTCCATCACCAGCAGCCTCAAGTGGGTGGGCTGCATCGAGCCATAGGTCGAAAGAGGGGACGTTTCGAGACGAATCTGAAGCATCGACATCGAGCCACTAGAATGTAAAAGGGGATAGCTCGGCGTTTTTACTTTTTTGCTGCCCGTTTTGCTTTTTGCCTATTTTGCGGTGGTGCTCCGTCACTCGCCCACTGGTGGGCTATTGGCTTCTGAGTATCCACAACCTCTGGGTTTCGCTACCGGACCCCCGTGTTCAGTGGATAGGAGGGATGTGAGGCCAGACGGAATTATCTCGCTTCCCGCTGCCCTGCTTGACTGCAAACCCACAGTCTCCTCGCCTTTAATTGCCTGCCATAACCATTGCCCCTTTGTGCGTCCAGCAACCGTCGACTCCTGTTAGACCCGCCTACAACCCTTCATGCGTCGGACCAATAATCGATCGTGTAGGACGGCTTTACCCTCCTCGTGACGATGCACCGGACCCGCAGCTTGCCTATTTCTGCATGCAGGAGCCTCAAAAACAGCCATCGTTGCATCAACTTCATATGTGTTTGACAGTCTATACTTATGCTTTATTGTTATGGTTCTTCCATGCTTGGTCAGCGTCGGGATGAACCGCGGGTGACTCGATGTGCCTCCGGGCCTCCTGCTTTCGCTTATAATCAGACTTAAACCTCTGATCTCTCTCGCTAACATATTTCTCAAAGTCGAATTGCCCCGGCTGAGTGAAGCTTGTCATGAGCTGCGGTTCGCCCAAGGGGAGCTGGTGGCCTTTGTCGACTTGCCATAGGTGGAAGACCTTGCCGTACAGATGAACGACCTGTTCCATCTCCTTGTTCTCCGCTGTTTCCCATACCGAGTCTGGCAGTGTCCTTTGCGGCATGATAAGCATGCCCGACTTGACCTCGTACACATGGCTGTGCCAGAGCTTCCGCTCCTCCGGGTCCAACGTTTCATACAGCTTGGGCGTGATCATGTACTCAATTCCGATGATGCGCGCGTTGGGCTCGGGACTGTCGTAAAGGATGCACTGTCGTACATCTTCGTTCAGATGGCCACAGTAGTGGTTTGCTTCGACCACGCGAGAAGGGTCCGAAGCATAAGCATGGAAGGCATTAAGGTGAGCGCAGACGTTTCGAAGAGGCGCAAAGTCCTATGGTGGAGTCAGCAACGCCGCATCGTAGCATCACTCTCCAACATTGATAGCAAGACAATGGCCTACCTGGATTGCTGATGCGCCAGCCTGGAGCACCTGGTTCTCGGTGCTAATCGGCTCCCCAGCATTCGCTTCCGGCTTGGCTGCCATTATTGATCGTAGACGGGATTGCAGCGTTCCGTCGATAAACCAGACCCTGATGGGATGAGATGAAATGGGTTGAATTATGCTCAATGGAAGCTTGGTGATGGGAGATGTTATTTGCCTTCTGCCTTCGTCTTGTCCATACAATGTTCTCCAAATCCAATCGTGATGCGAGAAGAAGGATGTATCCTTGTGACGTCATGGGCGAGTGTCCGTTTTCTCCGCCTGCTATTTCATCATCATTGCAGCATTGCGGTACCGCTGCTCTGCTCCCGCCAGCAAACCGGATTGGTATCCCCCAACCACCAGGCCTGGGGACGCGGAACTTGCAGACGGAGCCGCATCGGGCGGAGCATTCTCTCCGGCGGTCTCGGCAACTACGTGTGGAAGGCATAGCCGACTCGGTCGGCCCCTATTTTCCGGTGCGGTTGATCCCGTCCCACTATTGCGTGCCCCGTTTTGCCGAGACCCGATCGGCCGGCGTCGAAGAAGGGCAGTGAGCGTCATGGCGCAGAGCCGAATGCCTGCACTGTCGTAATTTCTTGATCGGCCTTCCTGAATCATGACAGTGTAAATCATCCCCACTGGTTGTTTGAAACAGGACCGTGTACAAATTCGAATCATATTTACAATTCTAATCAACACTGATGATCTCTCATATCCAATTTTCAGAAGTTGTTAAATCAAACAAACACATAAATAAATTTATCGTGGTTTCGACGTCTTGAAAATGAGCAGTCTCTACCTCGTCGCTTTGACATTCTCTGTTTGAATACTCCGGTGACCCTCGTTGTGGTGATTTCATCTGGTATAAGCTTAAAGGTTGACGATGCGCTCATTTCTAGAATGTGTCCTACCTTGTACAGACGGCGAGCGTGCCACCAGCCATAACCTCATCTTTACGTCAGTTTCCTCTGCTCAGTTATGTAGATATCAAAAGTCACAGTGAGACTTGAGCCGTAATGGGCACGCAACCGCCCTGGTGACAATGATAACCGTTTTTAGCTCTGGTTACAAGTGAGTTCTTACAGGAAAGCTTTAGCACTGTCGACAGATATCGTCGATGTCAAAGTTTCGTTGTTGGACCATGGACTCGAAAGAGTTGGCGAGTCTGGAGCTGAATTCAATTCTGATTAGAGACCAAGGCCGCCACGCCTGGGAGTCCTACATGAATGGCAGCCCCTCCACAAGATGTCAAAGCCCTGCGAGAAATGTAACAGGTCATGACTCATCTCCAATACCTAAACCAGTCTGATGGCGGTTGTATTGCTAATGAGCCATTCGCCTGTCACCATATAACCAGTCTGTAACTAGTATCTGCTGCTGTTCAGTCGCTTATACCCGGTTGAAGTGTTGTAAGCTATGCGACATATCCCTAGATAAAAGTTTTACTCCTCAGATCAAGATTACTCAGATAGGACCAGGTTTTTCTAACCAAGTCATATGCAAGATTGCTTATCGTCTATTCTTATCAAAGCTGCTCTGAGCAATTTCTGCTCTAATTCATTACATCAAGAACGCAGTCAAAGAGATCGCAGGGCAAGGAAGCGCGCAAATAAGAAGCCTATAGCAACTAGTCTGACTGGTAGTAGTCTTCATCACACCTTTCTGGCTAATCTGAATAGCCGGAAGGTTGGCGGAGGTATTATGGGCGGGAATTGAACCAAATCACGACTGAGGTGATCGGTACAGTGATGATGAGCCTTGGCAAAGTGTTGATATACCTCGGAGTAAGAGGCACAGATTCTCGGAATTAATCCTTTTGGATCGTATTATTGACGTCGGCAGCTTTCTTGTATGAGCCTGGCTTATACCTAGTCGCTGACCCACGTTCTTCAAAGTTTCCGAGCCGGTACAGCAGCCAACGTTACGTACGCCATGATGACCATGTAGCATCTGCCCTCGTGTCACACATTGGTGGAACAAGCGGTGTTCAGGGCGGCTGGATCGCTATGACGATGTCGCATGCGGAACTAGTGGGGTATGCCAACGCGACGGAACTGTTGATCATCCGTGTCGAGGGCGAGCTTACTTTAGAGCCGACAGGATACGAGGCGCCATCAGAAGCAACAGCACGAGTATGGCAGGTGGTGCTAGTGCGAAGATCCTCAGCGGCGCGTTGTGTATCACCGACTATGACGACATCATCTTTAGGGACTTGAAAATCGGCGACACGTACGTCTTTGGAGACTGCAACGGAAAGTCGCAAGTTGGGTTCGTATTTAGTTCGACAAGCATACCTACAACTTGGGAATGATCATGTCACTGTAAGTTGTCTCTCCACCCTGCTCTGCTATTTATATCACACACCCCTGTCTGGCGTTCATCAATCAGCCGAACCCGATTCGAGTCCAACTAGCCGCTAACAGTGGAACTTGTTTGCCCACATGGGCTGGCGGCCTGATGGACCGTCGCAGAGACACAGACTAAGTCAAGACGTCCAATTGTCTCTTATCATCACACAGTAAGGCGCTCGGAGTTGGTTGGATGTACAAGTCGTCTGCAAAATGTCCAGTACCGATGACTTCTTCGGCTTTACTAATCAACGAAACCCGAGAACAGATAAACTACCAATGTAGAACATGCGCAACACCTATCTTTCCAATTTTGATAGTTCGTATAGCGCCTACGTTCGGGCACACGAAGTTGCTGATTGAGATAAGGTCTCCGAGATGATCGAGACGCAGTCGTTGTGGGCCCAAATGCCACGATCTGTACTTAATAACTGGTTAATTTCTTTGGACTGTACGGGTGGGACGCACTTGGATGTCAATGGAAAACTTGGTATCTAACACAGGAGACTTTTATCCCTATTCACTAACCACCAAGACAGCTTACCGACTACGGTGCCTCCACTTGTTAAGTCGCGACTTGAGGCTGGAATCTGTGAGGTGCTGAACATTTAGACCAGACCATCGGTCGATATAGACCTAATGAGAGTGGTGGACCAAGTTCTCGTCCATTCGAATCGTGAAGCCGAACAAGGAGAAGGGGTAATTAACGACTTCACCGCATGCGGGTCTTTAGAATCTTGAAATGACTATCCCCACTATCCGACGCTGTGACGCGCACTTTCGTACCTCGAAATCAATGACTGTATCGAGTATTTTCAGGAATTCTAATACTTAATTCATGCAGTGTGCGTAAGAAAAGTAATCACTTAATTCTGATTGTTTTCCAGTATGCTCTTGTGGCGATTGGTACGTGCGTTGCGAACGAATCGATCTGAGAAGCAGAAAACCTAGACCAAAGGAACAATTGATACAGGACCAAAAACAAACATTGGTAGACGGACGCGAAAGGAAAAAGTTGATGCGTCGCCCACAGGATTCGAACCTGCGCGTCCGAAGACACTGGCTATCGGCTCTCCGGGAGATGATCCCAAACTAGCAGGCCAGCCCATTAACCACTCTGGCAAGGCGACTGTTATTGACTACCACAGGTATTGAGTCATATATATAGCGTTGCAGCTCAGCCCAAACCTGACAATAAGATCCACATTCATCATGCCGTATTGGGAGACATCCAGCGGCAAAGGCTTTAAGGGCGGGTCTCTGTTAGCGTGAATTGACCGACCGAACGCTGCTAACTACTTATCAACCCAGACTAAAATTTGCTGCGACAGCTCAGTTGAGTACTCACAAACCTGCAAAGCGGGTGTGTCCAACTCAAATGTTCAGGGTTTGTCTGTGTCCGGAACCGTTAAGAAGCAGTCGCAAGCCCACGCACGGCGGGCATAATCGGCAATTGGACCCTGAAAGTAGCGCATTCTAGCGGGCCCCACCACTATTATTACTCTTGCCGTTATGTTCTGCGTCATGCTCGCTGTTTACGCGCTGTCTCTCCGCGCCCCGTTACTTTTGGCGGCTAGCAGGTATGCTAGCACTCGTCGGGATTGAAACGTTACCATGATGAACAGGTGAACAACCTAGTACGGTGCTTCATTAGTTTGGGTTATTTCGAGAAAAGCAAAGTCAGTCAGCGCCTCGAAGCGGCAACTTCCCTTCCCCTCATTGGGACTTCTTCGCCTGCAATACGAGCGCTTGTTATGTTCAATGTTTTTATTAGTGACAAAGATCGCCCGGATCGGCACAAAATCTGCTAAGGTTTGATTAGTGCCAGCAGCTTCGCCCTGCGTTCCGTGATCCCGTGAAATATCCCACAGCACACCTTACCGGCTTGTTCCCTTTCTCGGGCGACTTGGGCTCAAGTCCGTGCCATTTGGACACGATCTTGGGCGTGGAGAGCCCGCTAAATCGCCAGTCACTGCTAAGAATAGATGGCCTAGGGAAACCGTCGGAGACCTGCTAGTCACTGTTTTCAAGAGCTCCAAGAAAGAGCTTGGGATTGCGCCATGGACTGCAACGCCACCCCGCTAAAGCCAGGCCCGCGCTGACGGTTAGCGCGGCGGAATAATTCTAGCCAAGTCATGTCCCTTTGATTTACGACTACGGAGATATTCTCTGGGGACCCTGACGTCGACTGGTGCGAACCTAAACCATGGGGAAATCACAACTGGGGTGGTCTGTTATGTTCATTCAATGTCTTGATGAAAATACTTAAACACCGGACAATCCCCCCGGGGCCATTCTTTCGTACGCACCATCAACACAATAGCGACCGATTTCACAGACAATATCTCCAGCAACGATCACAGCACGCAACCAATCTACTCCGAACACAAACAACTATAATATCGACCGAAATGCAGTTCCGCGCCTCCCTCGCTGCCGTCGCTGGCTTGTTCGCTCTGGCCAACGCTCGCATCTACGGCATCGCCTTCCCCGAGACTGTTAAGGCCGGCGACGAGGTTGAGGCTATCATCGAGACCGAGAACTACATCCAGTCGGTCGAGGACATTGCCATCGCCTTTGGTATCGCTACCGAAGCTTCCGCTTACCCCGGCACACTTGGCCAGAGCGTCCTGGGCTCGTTTTACCTAGGGCCTGGTATGAATGCCCAACCAAGCTGAAGGGTTCCTCGGTCAATACTGACAATCGTATGCAGAGAAGTCCAACACTCTTGACAACATCACCGAGACCGTGACCATTCCTGCCGGTCTTGCCGCCGGCGAGTACGTTGTCGCCGCCAGCTTGTACAGCTTGTACGGCGCCTCGTCCTCCGCCATCTTGACCAACTACAATGTTACCATCACCGTCGGCGGCGCGACCAGCGAAACTTATGTAGGCAGCCAGTAATAGACACGATGTAATGGGTGTTGTTGAAGAACCATGGGGCACATAGAAGCGTTAAAACTTGATATTCCGGTTGATGGCTTTCACGCTGTTTGCATAGACAAAGTATCGACGAGGCCGGTCGCTCGATCCGACGAGCAGACATTAGTGTCATTTCAGTAATCGTTAATGAGTCGGGGGCCCGCGATTTGATTGCTCTCTGTCCGGGATGAGTTACAACATCTAATTTCTTCTAGTAAGAAAACGACATTTGTCTTACTTTGCTTGCAAACTATGTTGCACAGATTGTGGTTTGTTGCATTTGTAAGATTGAAATGGCGAGTGTGATGATGGAGGCCTTACATTGTTCGAAAAGGCCCAGTGGAGCTTTTCACACATCAATTTAGTTTCTAGATCATGCTTCTCTCAAAAACAACGTTTTTGAGGTAGTCAATATCGACTGTTGCCTTTCCTAGAACGGCTAACATATAGCATTGCATGCGAGCTAAAGGTATGTTTGCGTTGCACACTGATCGCATGAGTTACAAGGCATTATTTCCGAGGGACCACCTGCATTATTTCCTGTTAGCAATAGTGAAGTGCGAGAAGGTCTTTTTGCTTGTCCTCCATTCATGACCTGCTGATGTAGTATAGAGAGTGATTGCGGAGTTTTGTTTTCCCCTCATTTTCGAGTTTTGATATTTTCCATGCCTCCGGAGATCTTAGACAAGGAGGTAATAAACAATTTTCAAAGGCAAACCAGGCATGGTGATCTACTCGGCTAAAACCGTCCACAGTCATTTGTGCAGTCACTCCTAAAGATGCCGAATCAATCGTATGAATGTTACCTGGGGGGAACTCAAAGTCGAAAAAAAGAGATGGATGCCAAAATGAGCATTATAGTCGGGCACATCATTCACATCTCTCACATATCACAATTCGAATCTGTGTTAAATAGTGTTTATTTTTGCAGTGCATCTTATGCAGGTGGATATGTTGGGAGGGCTACATTTGGGGCGGGGGGGTTGGGTTCTTATTGTTAACGCTCTATATCGGACTCTATTCCGGTGCAGAAAGAATGGAGAAGCTCCATTTTTGGGACACAGGCGATTGGTTGACTTTCCCACTTTCCGTATCCGTACCTCAAACAAGTAATAGGTCCTGAGTTAAGACGAACCCATCCTCATGAGTCGGACCGAGATCTGAACCGAAGGGTACCCAATAGCTAGGATGAGGCACCTTCCAGTCCAGAGTAGATATATCGGCCTGTGATCCGTTGGTTCGTTGAAATGAAATGGAAAGTAGAAATGATCAGAATCATCACCTAACCACAAGAGCAAGCAGCGAAAAGCATCGTTGGTTAGGACCTGGCTAGAATCCGGCTAGGATCCTACATCGGCAAACTGGCTATTTTCTAGCGCTTGATCCCACAATGGTGTCGTCATGTCGCAGCGAGTCGTCGAGCTATATCCATGTGCGCAGCGATGGTAAGGTTGCATCGCTTGCGCCGTGCCATTTAGTCCAGCCAGTCATTTCGAAACTGACAACGAGAACATCACTCAAGCTATGACAAATGTTTGAGATTGCGGTCTGCATTTTTCGAGAACCACCGTCGAAGGCAAGTATGTTGTAATATACCATTTTAAATGTTATGTTGTGGTATTGTGGTCATCGAGCGCAACGTCATTGCAGGCAAACGAGCAACTTAAGCTCATTTATGAGCTGTTATGTGGAGATACCAAGATGAAATTTTTGTAGGAAAGTCAGTCATGTAACTATGTTTCCTGGCAGACATTACCAGCCCTTAAACATTTAACATGTATGAGATCGGCGATTTAACAGCTGCAAGAGGTAATCTTCAGGTTGCGTTAGAAAGTAGCGTTGGGAAACGCAATGTTACAAATAGTTGCTAATCACGCATCAGGTAAGGTCTGCGACGCTGTTAACCATGAACGCGATCTGGCTAGATTCGCTACATAGTAGTCATTGACAAAACTCGGATGTTCATCGTGTTCCGAAGGCTCCCTACTTTATCGATAATCTACAGATCCTTGCCACACATAGAGTTGATGTGGGCGTTCTTAAGACCCATCTCCGATGAACCCCGCAGCCTCTGGTCCCAAGGTAAGGGTTCAGCAACAACGCCGTCTCCAATTTCTTGGGCCAAACACACTTTTGGCCCAGAAACCGGGCTAATAATTCGCGCAAAGACACCATCGCATGTACATCCACGCACTAGACAGTGGGATCCCTACGTTCGTCAGGATGTTCTTCGACTGTTCTGCACGCAGGGGCAGGACAAATCGATCACAGGTGCAATATCGGAGACGGATCCAAGTTCCGGAAACGAATGTCACCCCGACTCGTAAGCTACATCTGGTTGGAACCCATCCAAGTCGCGGTCCGAGCACAAGCTAGCGGGGGTTGTGGACGGATGACTTCTGGCCGTTCTGCCCTGTCGTCCCATCTTGTGCCATTCCAACCACATGCAATCGGACGCTATCGCCGGTTCCTTCAAATCAAGAGCGTAAAAAACAGGTTTTGATGGGTCCAACCCCTCTATTTGTGACGAGCATTTCCCTGCTTGAGACTAATTGCCGGAATCATCCAACGGACGAGAACGCTCGAGCGTACATGTCGGATGGAGATATCGAATTCCTGCTGGGATGGCGTGGGCTGCTCCAATCTTTCAAGAGACGCCAGAAGCCCTCTTTCATGTTGTCTCAAAGCTTTCCTTTTTCTGCTCTGAGAACGCCCACTCATATCGTCGCAGGGTGAGACACCCGCGCGCCAACTCACTTCGCCAGGTTTCGCTTCCGATCTTGGAAAGCCACAACCCGACCAACAGTCTTCTTACTTCCAGTCCCTAGCGGGGGTATCGCTCAGCTATGGGGGCTGGCTATGACAACAATGACGACGCCGCGGCCTTCACGCCATCCGGGAACGGCAATGCTTCGAAGGCTGTTCTTACAGGGTCCATCGACGACGAGCTGCTTTCGAAAGTCTTGCCCCGCGTAGACACGAATGCCATTGAAGAGGCGCGTATCACCATTGGCCAGGAATTTGATGACAGCGATCTTCAGCGTCCTCTTTCACAGTCCAGCGTACTGGTAGGCCATGAAGTCGTTAGAGACCACTCCGACAGCTTCCGAGATACAACCTTGGACAGGCTAGAGGGGAGAGCTCCAACAGGGCCGCGTGAAGCTTCCCGTTCCGTACTAGAGAATGTCGAACTTAGTCGCCCTTCCCGCCCTTTGTCTCGGACAGGCATGGTTGCCCAGGGTCACTCCCCTCGATCCTATGCTAGGTCCAGCATGGAGAGCGTGGCTGTTCCTGCGCGTCGATCTTCTCGCGCAGATCGAGCTTTCGGAAGTCCCGATCCGATCGCCAGACAACATGATTATAACACACCCCAGCGTCCTCCGCGCGCCGAGGAAATCGAAGCTGCCAGACGGCTTTTGGCGCAGGTTTCTGAGGCCGAAGAACACTCCCTTACAAGCAAAAAGGGGGAAGCCCCACGAGCGTTTCGCTCAGCAACTCCTCCGCCCATAGAAAGTCGACATCGCAGGATCATCTACGACGACTCGGAGGAGGAAGAGGGCAATTCCGGCGGCCACGGTGAGGAGACCGATCGCGATTACCACGAATACTTCACAGAGCGTCTTGATGAAATCCGAGACATAACGACGACGCCAGTCACCGCAATCTATCAATCGACGGAAACTATATCCCGACCCTTGCCAGCGCATCGATCTACGCGGGATCATCCTACCACTTCGAGGACGTCGTCGCGACAATCATCGCAACCGCCACCCCGATCGCGTGCAGCAGAATCTCTCGCCGCACACAAGCTAGGGCTGCGGACACCCGTTCTGGACCATAACCGCTTATATCAGGATGCAGAGCCACCACCAATCACTCAACGACGCCCACACAACCCACGCTCTCGCAGGGCAACGTACAAGGAGATTTCAGATATGGATGAGGAAGTGCTTCAGGACTACAGTGTAAAGAATGGAATGGATGCGACGTTGACACCGGATTATCGGCCGACAACGACCGAAAGGATGGCAATGAGCGACGACTCCATGTCAATCTCGAGGCAATCGACTTCCAAGCACAGCATAACGAGCAACGGGTCTAATCGTGGTGTTGATTTCTTTGGGCCTGGTATCTTTCAAATCGTCCTCCATAATCCGACTACTTCGCACCAGCTGCTCAAGTTCGCCGAAGCTCGCTTCTGCAGCGAAAGTGTTGAGTTCCTCAAGAAGGTGAGCCAAAATGATGACACAACGCACATGCATAAAAGACTGGGCAACAACTCATCATGTTGGAATTATGCAGGTTGAGCAGTATCAAACGGTATTGAATGACCTTGCAGGCATTATGAAAAGCATACACAAAGACTTCCTTTCCGAGGATTCGTCGAAACAGGTAAACGTCAACGGAGACTTGCGAAAATCAGTCCATTCCAGCATGAAATCTCTTGTTACTAGGGCGCTCCCATCAATGGAGACTCTTTTCTCGGACCTTCAAGAGGGCGTCGAGCAGGATGTATTCCTCGATATTTACCCACGTTTCGTTCGTTACCAAATGGCATTGAGCGCGACAAGAGCGTTGGCGACCAACCGTCACAGCTATCAGGGACTTGGCGATTGCTTCTGCCTGACAAACCCAGGGTAAAAGATGCCTTTCATATTTGAGTTGGTTCTTTGCATAGCTGACCCATATTGTCCGACTAGTCTCGCAGACAACCCGATTGTGTTTGCTTCAGATGGTTTCATCAAAGTCACCGGTTATACACGTCCTGAGATCATCCCACGAAACTGTAGATTCCTCCAAGGAGCCCACACCGATCGGGCCCCGGTTCGTAGGTTGAAGACTGCTATTGGTGAGCGGAAGGAATCAGTCGAGTTGCTTCTGAATTATAAGAAGAACGGTGACCCGTTTTGGAATTTGCTTTATGTTGGTAAGTGTCAATAATTTAGATTTTTTAGCGCAAAGGCCGCGTTATACTACGACGGCGTCTCTTCGTCATCTGCGGTCGACAACGCTAATTGCGGTGGCATCCAACAGCTCCGCTCTACAACGAAACAGGAAAGCTTGCATTCTTCATCGGCGGCCAAATCAACTGCTCTACAACCATTCACAGCAACGCGGATGTGATGAAAGTTCTATCAGCTTCGAGTAATGATGATGCTGAAGATACAGGCAAAACAGCACCACTATTGCGTCGCGCTACATCAGCGCCATCAGCGCGCAAGGCATTCCTAAAGGCTCTTGGAGTCAAGTCCGATAATCATGGACTGAACAGTTCCGCCGTTGACCCAGGTATGGAAAGCAAGTTGCTCCAAAAAATGGAGGGAAGAGACTTGAACACGCAGATAAAGGAATTTTACACTGCGTACTCCAAGGTAACCAAGACCACAATGCCATGTTTTCCAATGAACATCTCTGCTGACTTGGTGACGCCAGTACTTGGTAGTAAGCTACGACTCTTTCGTTATCAGATTTTATTCTGAGGGTGTGTTGGACATACTCCACCCTGCCAACAATACTGTTGGCTTGGTGGCCGGACAAGACGTCTTCCGTTTCCTCAAACAGAACATGATAAACCATCAGTCTGACTACAAAGCGCGTGTACGTAACGGTGTCCGTGCTGGCGCGCCCGTTAGCGTAGAAGTGCGTCTCCAGACTCGACGGAGCGCTCTGTTTCGCGGTGACGAGAGATTTATGACCCACTGGACGCCTCTAAAGGATGAGAAGTCAGTAGTGCGTTGGATCGTCGTCACGATGGCGCCTACGATCCAGTAAGAATGAAGGCTTTGTACGGAAACGAAGCTGGGGGGACTTTAGAGGAGAGGAAGGAAACATCTGCAACGAGCCAGATGAAATTATGTTCATGCTGCGAGCTAATTTAGAAGCAATACTCTTCCTTGGACACCTGAATGCGTTCACGAAACGCACTTCCGTTGACTTGCGCTTTGTCCAAGGATTAATTTAGTTATGATTAAAGTCGGGTTGGTGATATGAACTCCCAAACGACCTCAAGAGCAGTGATCTTCGAACCTGGTGTTGGTATAGGAGCGTAAGAATGACTAAATTGGACTTCTTTTCACTCACGACATTGTCCGCAACTTGAATAAGTATTAATCGCAGGATGCTACTGGACTGCAACATACTAGTTTCAGTTGAATCTTTTTCTCCTTCTGTACTCGGCAGGATGCAAGTGCATCTCAGCCAATAACAACTCGACTGCGCACTGTACTCATCAAACTAATTTCTTCACATTTTAACGCATGTATGCCCGTTTGTTATGTTGAATACTAAGTGAAACAGGCCTGAACCTCATGGAAGAAGAAAGAAGAACAGAAACCTTATCCATAAATCTGAAGACATTGGCAATGTTGAATGAAGTGTTTGCACTACGACTCCTATGCTTCGCCGGACTCCGTACTTGATTTGGGACCACTCATCTCCAGCACTACTATATGGTATGACAACCGTAGAAGTCCTTCCAATTGCCGTCCGAGTGGCATACATCGCATGAAGATGAGTATGATAGTACTAGCGACGTTCCCTTCAACAAGGGGAGAAAGAACAGGCTCGCCCAAAAAACAGCGATTTTACCAATATCATCGAAAAGCCAAACGTTCTCAGCGTCGGGGAATTCCCTGTTTCGAGTTGAATGCGATGAATCGAACTTCCAGGAGAATGCGTTATTTTAGATCCGTCTATCAAGGTACCTCCGCTCATTGACTCGGTCGTAGATATCAATGGTATCGTGTCCGCCATAACGGGGGATCCTCGAGAGAGAAAGGGAATACTATCAGACCCATAGAACATTCCTATGATTTCGCGTCTTACTCTGACTTCAAATCTAGCTTACTTTATCAGGATATTCTGTGGAAAATCCGGATCATAAGTTTCCCAAGATGGGTTTGAGTCTGATCACTGAGCTTGTTGTAGAAAGGAATGCTTGGTTTGTGTCCCGTATCTAGCAGGCCATGTTGAAAAACGTCTATCTTGTTGGAAACAAGTTGCGCTTCCGATTAGTAAGGGTGAAAAAATATTTTTTTGTAGTCCTGGGATCGACTTCAAAAATGGCCTTTATATGTTGTATGATTGTGCCGGTTTGTCATAAAGAAAAGGTCGCCATGGAGTTCACACGCTGCAAGGTCATCGAGGCAGATTACGACTAAATCGCATTACACGGGATCAAGCCGCAGCAGCTGACATGCACCAGGCGCGCCGCTTATATAAAAGGATATCTCGTCAAGTATGACACAGCATCAGAAAAGAGTCTTACTTCTGACGTGAAACTGAAATCCTTATCTATATAAAGTCAGTCATTACTGTCTCCGGGAGAATGCGTGTGGCAGGTCAGCTATATGCGGTATAGAGTGTCATAGTGCAACCAGCTGACGTGCCGTTTCAACCATCACGAAACCGTTGATGCATGAGTCGATGGTCAGCACCATCAACATGTAATGTTACCCCCACAGTTGAGAGTAGAGTAGCTCGTACGCGTCCTTATATCTCCTCCATCGAGCCAAGGTCACAGCTGCTAAACAGACGATGTTGTCGTATGATGAGACGCTATCAACACCTAGCATACACTTGCACATTCTTGCTTCGTTAGGTGGCGATGGCTACTGCAGACCTGGGTATAATCGGTGGGCGGACATTTTTGTTGTTGCAAAGACCTCACTCCCAAATCCATGCTGTACTAACTCCTCCAATTCATTTCGGAGTTTCACGTATGAGACCGGCATGTTTATCTACGGTTTCAAATGGTTCGTTTTGCAGAGACCAAGGTATGCATTCGGCATAAGGTATTGTTAGTACAGAGTAGTACCGGGACAATCTTTGGACGTCGAGCCACGACCTTGGCAGGGTCCTTGCTGCCCGATCCAGCAATTCGCAAACATGTGCCAGCTGTCGTGCTTTACATAAGTTGCACTACTATTTTGGTTGTTAATTGCCCACTTACTGTGCGGTCGAGAAGTAACCAAAAACATCAAAAAGCGGCTTATGAGATTGCTGCTAATTGCTAGCTACTTAGTTAATCGCAAACCATTTTGTTTATAAGCTTGTTTTCTTACCACCGTCACCCGCTACGGGTACGAAACGTTGTAAAAATAAGGTGGTCCAGTTGAGCGATAGTTTTCGTCCTTGTCTTTTATAATAGCCAGTCATTACGTTATAGCTATGACTAAAATATTGTTTTGTTTGGAAGAGGGAGCACATTAAAAAGGCGTGGGTTTCGTTACGAACATAATCTTTATCAAAACCTTGCGCTGCCTAATTTAATCATATATGTTTGAACGAATTTGTGATTTATCGCATAGAGTACCGGTAGACATCATGATCCTTGTCAAATGTGTATTTCGTATACTTTCACTCAAAGGTGTCTCTCTTTCTTTGAAAGAGTCGTCGCATAGTCGAAGCAATCTAGAGTAATCATGCTCACGGCGGAATGCCTCGGCCGAAAGCTACAGATGCCGGAATGAGTCATAGACTCTGGCCGGTCCAGCTTGTCTATTGTGGCCAAGAACGACAATACGGTGGAAGAATGTTAGAAAGTTGACGAACCTTTCATGCGTTTGCGAATGATCTCATCAAAAGCACATTGAGGACTGGACTACGAACCGAGTGAACACACGAGTTGTACTGCAGCATTGCATAATTACAAAACACGCAAAGTACAGGACTCTAGTGGATCTGCAGCTCAGTCAGTCAATGATTTACGGGGCATATCTCGCAACAACGCTAAGCCTAATCAGTGGGGGAAATGACCCAACAGGTGTCATATTTATTAGGCTCTGAAGTGTCCTGAAATTGAGCAGACACTTTTCCAATTTTTACACACCTTTGAATCCACTTGAAGCTCACCGAGGAAAATCAATCATCATTGACAACCAACTTGTGACCGCTAGGCTAAAATACAGACGAAACTGCGAAATCGCGCGAAACGGTGTTATGGAGATCGGAGGGACTCAACATGCTACAGCTCGCAAACCTGTGTTCTTCTTGTAAGCTGAGGGCTCCAAAGGACCCCCATGATCAAGCGCTCACGTTGCCACAGTGATATTGACAACTGTCTCTACTCAAGAAGTGAGTCCTTAACCATCTCTCGAATGCAATGAATTTGAAGGATTGATCTAACTGTTGTAAGGTCACAAGATTCATGACTTGATGGCCAAGCTCATCGACCAGTATTTCGTGACGCACCTCTCCTTGTCCGAAGAAGAAGCCTCAAGGTTGACCAGAGAATACTACAAAACCTATGGCCTCGCCATCGAAGGACTTGTTCGCCATCATCAAATAGACCCACTGGACTATAATGCCAAGGTGGACGATGCTTTGCCTCTAGAAGATATATTGAAACCTGACGCTGAGCTCCGTCAGCTTCTGGAAGACATTGATAGAAGCAAAGTCAAAACCTGGCTGTTTACGAACGCGTACGTCAATCATGGAAAGCGTGTTGTGAAACTGCTGGGCATTGACGACCTCTTTGAGGGTCTCACATATTGTAACTATGCCCAATTCCCTTTCGTGTGCAAGCCGGCGAAGGAGATGTTTCACAAGGCCATGAAAGAGGCGGATGTTGAACGGGCTGAAGATTGCTTCTTCGTGGGTACGTTGAAATTTGCATTCTCTCCTAAGCTAAACCATGTCGCTAACAGTAAGCTTTTCGAAAATTGTAGATGACTCATATGACAACTGCAAGAGTGCATCAGAGCTTGGCTGGACAGCAGCACACCTCGTGGAGAAAGGGCTGCCAACCCCCGAGGCCAAAGCATCCCAGTTCCAGGTCTGTCATCTCCGAGAGCTGCGCGACATCTACCCACAGTTCTTCAAATCAACCAACACCAATACCATGTCCAAGAAGTAAAAGGCTGGCAAAACGATCTAGATGATTGTCTTTTTGTGGCCTGTGGCTGAGTAGCCAGACGGCTGTCAAACGAAAAAGTGTCGGCACAACGTCAGACCTAGTTGGAAGACTGTCAGTAACATAACACGCTTATATTCTATAGAAGTGTGGAAAAAAGGACGGGCAAGTAAATCGACGATATTGCGCTTGCCACGGAAAGTAGTGAAGTGGTGAAAGGCTATAAATTAAAGTCTTTTCGTTGTGAGGGATTTCGGTGGTTGGCCATGTCGTTATCAATCTAGACAACCATTAGTATCTAAGATAAGGGATAGCAGCTTTGGAGGTGTTTTAAAACCTGGCCAATGCCTTTGTACATGTCTCAGCTTGCGAATGACAGTGCTTCAATATCTTGTTAATTGATCCTTGCTTCATGACTCGTCCATACTGACTCCGAAGTAGGGCATTAATGGCTGTTGCTCAATCTACTATGTGATTGTCTGAAGACAAAATGGAGAAGAAGCTGGGTGAATAAAAACCACACGCAGTCTCTTGTATGTATTTGCATGGGATGCTGCTTTGCGGGTCGGAAATGATTCCGAAATCCGCAGCCACTCAGCATATCAGGGTTGTCAGCCCCGCGGTCCCTGAAATGTCTTGGAACCCCCTCATCTCCGCTGACGCCGTGCTTTGACATGTCAACTCACCTCCGCACCCGCCGCCCTCTACTCCTGCGGAGGTCTCCACCCCGCAGATAAAGACGACAGACACGCGACATCAGCCGTTCATTGTGCCTCTGGCAGGGACATCGCAACGATTCAGGCCTTCCAGGTCTCGAAACCCCTGACTCTGGCAGCCTGTGGAGGCTTCGATCAGCAGATGAAAGAGACTGGTGGCTGCCGAATGAAGTGAACTGTCCATCACACAGCCTTTCTGGCACGGCACGTCAGTAAGCCTACTGCTGCACTTCGCCTAAAAAGTCGAGCGAATATCCAGTCTTTTCCCAGCATACCATGTCCCAGAAACCGACAAGCTTTGCTTGTGAACGTTGCAGGGCGGGGAAGCGAAAAGTAGGTTCCTTGGGACTCACTGGAACGTCTCCCCTACTCTTTACCTCATGGGGACGGATTCTAAGCTCTCTGCTGGTCTGAATTACCGTGAATTACCGTAACTAACCGGCACTCCTGTTGGCAGTGTGATGCAGCTCGCCCTGCATGCTCATTGTGCAGCAGACAGAATAGGGAATGTGTCTACGCAGAGCAACGCCCCAGAAAGTGCGTCACCACGGATTTGCCGTCCTCCGCTCGAGAAAGGTTTTCGGGCACAGCTGGATACGTGGCTAATGTAACACTCTAGGCGGAAGTACTGGGACGAAGACTATGTCAGAGCCCTCGAAGCACAAGTCCAGTCGCTGCTCTTAGCATTGGAAAAGCAAGGTGCCGAGAATGAGCCATCACCAACACTATCTCTGAGTGATCGGGCATCACAATCAGTAGAGCCTGACGCCACCCTCAAAGAAAGCCTTGGCGGGGGCGATACTGCAGAAAACACAAGCGTCAACGACGCAGACCCAAACGCCCAAGGTGTCTTCTTTGTCGAAGACAACGGCGGCAATGCTAGCAAAGGCACAGGAACACAAGAAAGATCTCAGGTGGCAATGGAAGAGTTATGTGTGATGCTTTGGAGGACCAATGTTGGCGATGGAGTTACCATCATTGATGATCCAAGCACGGGGTCTCACTACTCCGTCGACCCTGTTCTACAGCCAACCCCCCCAACGTATCAGGTTACTCCCACAGACCAGGTTCTTGTCTATTGCCGCCAGAACTGTCTCATACATGAGATGTCGGGCCTTTTCCTTGAGAACATCAACCGAGAACACCAGTTCACGCCTTACAATAGGGTCAACTTTCTGCAGAGCTATCCTTATCAGGCTCCAGATGATGCCTTCTTACACAGTGCCATCATCGCCACAGGTACTACGTTCTCACGAAGGTCCGATGCCAGAATGATAGGGGATACTTTCGCGGAATTTGCGGAAACTCTTGTCTTCACTTGCTGTCGACAAACCCCCACGATCAAGGTTATTCAAGGTCTCTCGATGATGTCCTGGCGTTCATTAGCTTTGGGCCGAGACCATTTTGGATGGATGTTTATCTCGATGGCGGCAGGAATGTGCGTGCATCTTCGACTGCATGTCTTAGCCTTGGATGAGTGCGAAGCGAGACAACTCGAAGCCACCGAGCAAGAGATTCGCACCTTTTGGATGTTCTACATCATAGACCGGACCGCCATCTCTATCCTGGGCCGCAACTGTGCACTGCCATGGAGGAGAGTCAACGTCCCCAGTTTCGACACCACATTTGAGAGTTCAACAGCCGACCTGCCCCAGGTATCCTTCGCATGGCAGTGCAAGCTATGGTATCTCCATGATCAGTACATGGATCAGGTGTAGGTCTCATTTCCAGCACGTTCATGAACCGAACCCGCCCAACTGACCCTTTCAAGCTTTTCAACAACTTTTGATTCCCTTCCAATACCACAGCAAGTGCGCATTCTCGTCGCAAGCCAGGACACTCTCAGCGCATTCTTCCGCTCCCGGGACGACCGGCTTCATTTATCAGGCGATTCGACGCCCAAACCCGTTCTTCAGTTCCATCTCGCATACCAAATGACGATTCTCATTACGATGCCACCATTCCTGCGCATTTTTGCCGCTCTCTTCCAATCTTCTGCACCTTCCACGACTGAAAACGCTACTGGGCAGAACTCTGAATTCATGCTCCTCGTTCTCCGTTCACTCACGGCGGCAGCAACGGCAACTACTCGTCTCGTACGTACTTATCGCCGAGCTCATGGTTTTGAAGTTTCTCCAAATCCAGTGATTGTTCATCACCTCCTCAGTGCGGCCATCGTCCATCTCATGAACGCAACAAGTTGGACTCCAGCTCTCCGACACCAGAGTACATACTGGCTCCGCCAATGCCTTGAGCTTCTGCGTGAGCTACAAGTATCATGGCCAGTTCGTGCAATTAAAAGCATAAAGATCATCCGCATTCTAGCTCAGCGCTGGGGCGTTATGAGAGCATTGCCCATTGAGTTTAGCTACCAAGTCGAGCCTGCAGCACCAGAAAATGATAGAGACTTCAGCACAAATGGTGTGCGAGGGACTCGAACAGAAGAACCGGGCCCGGACGCTAACACTCAAGTAAATTTTGAATACGAATGGGATAGATACGGCGCGCCAGTGGTTGATGCACCGCCGGTGGATTTCAGCACTTTGGATATGAACTCCTTCACATCTCTAGGAGCGCTTGACATGTCTGTATTGGGTGGAGATCGCACAAACGGTGTTGGCGCTACTGATTTCCTCCTAGCATTTCAGAGCTTGGCGGACTGCGAGAATTTCAACTGGCTAACAAGCAACAATGGCCTCTGAGCAAAAGCGAAGTTCAGAGTCTTATTCTACTTGCGCCTGGAAAAGTCGGAATTCATGTACACGCTAAGATACCACTTCAAAAGCAAACAAACATGATGGACGTTTTTGTTAGTCGCCAACAAATGTACTCAGTGCACGCTGCAACATTATCAACAGGCTTGAGAACCTTTTGCTACATGCCACAGGCGCTTCCTCGTCCGACTTACGAACAAAGGCTATTGAAGGGGTAACACTATTTCCTCCTCTTTTGGTTCCTTTGCGATGTCCCCATCTGATCTTACCAAGGCTTTGATCTCTCTGTCAACGCTGAGCCTTAAAAGATCAGGTCTACTGTAGTGGCCTGTGCAGTCCGCAAACATTTTCGCCCTATGGATCGCGTCCATATCCAAGTCGGCATAGATGATGGTCTCCGTCGTCTCATTTACAGGCTCCGTTATACGGCGACCATCAGGGCCGAAGATGGCAGAAGAGCCACCACCGGGGGTGCACATGATGGCGCCACCGGAGCTGTTGTGTGTCTCGATGCCACTGTTGGTAATTAAAGCAGTGCTATGGAGAACAAAGGCGCTTGATTCAATCGCGTAAGTACGAGAAAGGGTTTGACAACCTTCATGTTTGGTTAGCGTCAGGTTTATGTAGCGATTAAACGTTTCGAAATCTCATCACCAACCTTCCGCACTCATTGACCACATGTCTGGGCCACCACCAGAGTGAGGTGTAACACTTGGCCACGCCGAAACGTGTATTTCCTCTTTTTGTGCAATGGTGTTGTATTTCAGAAGTGGTTGGATGTGCTCCCAGCATGCTAGGGAACCAACCCGGGCAAAGCACAAGTCGCCCACACTCTTCAAGCAGTGGCCAGAAGCATCGCCGAATACGGTTCTCTCCATGTGCGTTGGCTTCATTTTTCGACGGTGTACTTTGATCTCGCCGTCCTGGCCGATCAAGGCTTGTGCGATGAATAGAGAGCTGTTGTCGTTTTCCGAGAACCCAAGGGAAACAGCGATGTTGTTGTCCTTGGCACAGGCTTGAATAGCAGTCATCTCAGGAGAGTTCAGTTGAAGAGAGTTCTTGATATAGCGGACATTAAGGTCGAAGTCGATGAAACGGCTCCAGATCCATACCGGATAACCAGGAATCCAGCATTCAGGGAAGGCGATGAGTTGGGCGCCATTCGATGCGGCCTCCTTAATGAGGATACATGTTTTCTCAACGGCAGCAGGTAGGTCAATCCATGCGGGCTCGGCTTGGGTGACTGCGACTTTGACACTCCGGCTTGACATATTTGCAGAAGAAAGATGATGTGATGAAAGTCAGAGTCTAAAATTCAAGAAAGGGCGGGTAAGATGACTGCAGGTGAAGGCCAGACCCTTGGCTCGTCTGATACCTGTGGATCTCCCCGCGACTTATATACTCATTCACCGAGCCCTGGTTTGCTGTGTGTCGACTTGCGTAGTATACAGTAATATAAATCACAGCATTTCCTTTTCAAGACAACGCCAAGAAGCATCCCCGTTCAGATTCGTCTTTTCCATGCAACCCTTGGTCCAGTGATAAGGAAAATGCGGGGTGAGAGTTCCGCTATTCTTCATAGTTATTCTAATGACAGGGAGTCCATTACACCACACGATCATAGTCGGGGGTTTCCGCTCAGCTTTCGTGTGCTTCGCGGCGGTCATCTGGACGCGGACCGCAGACCTCCGCAACGATACTTCATCACCGATCTCACTAGACCCTGGGACGTGCAACCAGGCAAAAGCTACCGATAGTGCAAGATGCATTCTCCGCAATTTCTCATGACAGCGCTACCGGCTGAGGTCTATCAAACGATTCTAGAACAAAGATAAAACTTCGTAGCAAGACTAGTTACTCTGATTAAGTGATTTAAATAACCTGGCGGGCGCGAGAAAGCAGGGCGACTCGTATTTCGAAATGCCCCCGCAACGAATCACCCACCTTGACATCCCACGTCAGACCAACCCCACTTCGACACTCTAAATCAGGTCTCTTCACGAGATTTGGCGATTCAGCCAAGTCAATAAGCACCGCCTTCCCAAGGTCGATCGAATCGAATGCCCTGACACCCTTCTTGATGCAACTCAAGCCAGTCAAGATACCCAATCCACTTGTTCTCCGTAATCTCTCGTAAGTCGAAGCCATCTTGACCGGCGTCGATGGAGTATCCATTGACGCTCAAATAGCTCCCAAACTTCTTCCCTTCCTTCCAACCTTCCTTTTTAGGCCTCCAGACTTTGGTCATCCCATTGCTGTCACCCGCGCTGTCCCTCTTTACTTCTTTTTTGCTGCTTTTCACTCCCATCGCCTCCAGGTCAACTTCCTCCACTTCTCCTTGACCCATTAAGATGATGCATCTCATCCCACAAGTCTTGCAAAATAGGAAGTGAAGGTCATTTTGGTAAACCGTATAGTCGCCGAGGTCCTGATACGGATTGAGAGGCTTTAGCAGAAAGAAGTCGTCCGGAGACGAAGCAAGACGCATATGAAAGAACCCTGCCTTCTGGCAGGTGGTACAATTGCATCTGTAGAACTCTTGATGGGAGCGAGGCGCCGTTCCTCTCGGTAGCCGTTGTGGTGGTAGAGTGTGTGGAAATGTCAGGAAAGCGATGTATTGCGTTTCGCCACAATGGCATGATCCTCTGTACGGTCGCCTATTAGGAACTTCCATTGTCAAAAGCTTCTCTTTTGAATATGCCGAGTATCTCATCAAAAGGGTGGCATTATTATCCAATTTTGTTGGGAAGGCATACACACATTTTGAAGGGGGGAACCTGCGGGTGCGCCTTTAGTGCGACATGATGACAATCCATCATCCAATGATTGACTTCTGGCCATGCCCCTGTAAATAGTCTCGGAAACAGACATATCCCTTAAACTGCTTTTGGCGCCGCAACACAAGGGCTTTGAGAACTGCCAAAAGTGGAATCAAACAATGCAATGCACTCTACAGTAAAGAACACACTTGCAGTAAAATAAATCTTTGACGTCTACCTTTGGTTCTGTACAAAAATGCAAACTCTCTGATATTGTTCTTGTGCGATGCAGTCCCGCAACGGGAAAAAAGCACATTTCTATATCACAAAGGGTTTTTGTTGGAATATCCCCAACCTCAAGTGGCTGAAGGGTGGCAGGGGTCAGGTGACCTCCTTCGTCGGCCAATCAGATATTGAGGATCTGATTGCACACCCATCAATATCCTCTTGACGGCCACCTTCAGCTTCACCTTTCACTTCTTAATAACAACAACCAGCAATATCACCTTCTTTGACGTGATCGTTGCTACCCATTCGTGTGAGTATTTCCGCCTGTGAAACCAACAGTTTTCCATCTCCCAGCAGACTATGAGCACCTGACTGTCTCCCAAATCGTCACCATGGCAGCGGCCCGTGTCTGTTTGAGAAAGATGCAGTAATTCCATCTGGTCCCAGTGTCGCCAATTTGACCGCCTGGACTGATCCAAGTGATGCTTCGTCAGGGGCATCGTAATCGTTCATGTTGGTCGCGCAGTAGCCAGGGCAACAGATATTGAACTTCCACGAGTTGTCATCTCTGAACCGGGAGGCAAAGGTCATTGCTGCGTGATTAAGCGCAGCTTTGCTTGAACCGTACTCCATCAAGTCTCTTACGGGAAACCCTAGATTTGGATCTGTTCGGATAGCAAGACTCCCAAGGCCAGAGCTGACAAACACGACACGACGCGTTTTGGTAGAATTGTGTAAAAGGGGTATGAAGGCATCCGTGACAGCGACCGAGCCGAACACGTTGGTGTTGTAAACGGTAGTAAGCTTTTGCCGAATGGAGTCCTCTGGCTTTCCCAGCAAGATGCCTGCGTTGTTGATAAGAACGTCGAGGTGACCAAATTTAGCCTGAACCTTTCCTACAGCTGATGTTATACTGTCGTCGGACGTGATGTCCAGTACCAGAGGCTCAACGTTGAGTCCTGCAGTCTGCAGCTCCGCAGCTGCGTGCTCGATTGCGTCTTGCCTTCTTCCCGTCATGTATACATGGTAGTCTGGGTGCTCTGAGGCCAATCGCTTTGCGATCTCGTAGCCGATGCCTTGGTTTGCCCCTGTCACAAGGGCAATAGTTGGATCTACGGACTCTTTGGACATGTTGATGTTCTGTTAAGTGAAAAGCCCAGCTGCGTTCACTGACCAAATTTGTGTATCAAGCTCTGGAAGTGGATCTAGCGGTTTGAAATTGACAGACTTGGTCGGTATTAGATAGCTCAATGATTGATGGGGGAAGACAGTGGATGGGAGAACTTCATTTATTATCAGGAAACGCCGACAAGCACGTTCCACTGGATCGTGGCAAGATCTTGTTCACATGTTCGCGTCGCGAATCTTCCCAGACGTCCGGGCAACTACACAACACTGTTGACGTATCTGACCATCGGTTACCGCGCCTCCGAGCCCAGGAGGCTACGAGTAGCAGGCCTCAGTTGGGAGCGCAAAACGATCGATCAGCAGGGCAAACGACAACGCATTTGGGATTGGGTTGAAACTTGAAAAGTCTAGAGGAAACTGTCTGGTGATGAAACAATGTTGGGGCCAATACTAATGCTTGGAACATTCCACGCATCCGAGCGCTAAATCCTTCGTCCTATTCTGAAGACGACTGATGCCCAGAGTCTCGAAGCGCAAAACGTTAATTATGAGCTGAAACTGGAAGCACAAAAATTCATGCTTCTTTTACAGCTTGATACCAACATCATACTGATAGCTGCATGTAACGACGGATGTACACCAGGCAGAAGCGCCAAAAATACAGCCGAATATCGCCGTTTAAAGGACCCGACGATAGAGAGTACGTGCAACTCAGGGTAACTTATAAGCACGATCCAGTGGTAAGCGGAAGGTCGTGAGACTATATGGCATTATTTAGAATAGCAGAGTGTTCTAACCCATTTGTACAGGGTAATAGAAGTGAATAACACACTCCTCTCCTTCAACGATCCAAACCAAATTTACCCATTATGGTTACCTTAGGAAAAAAACACGATCCCATCAAAAGACAGAGGCCCTAACCAGGGATCGAACCTGGGACCTCTCCCACCCTAAGGGAGAATCATACCGCTAGACCATCAGGGCTTGATTTGATTGTGTTTCATTTCCAGAGAATTTCATCATATTAAGATTTCACATCTGAAGAATTGCCTTTGTAAGAGTAGATCTACACTTTTCCCGATATATGAGCAGTGTAGCACTGTAATATTAGATGATGCTTTGTTGCCGCCCGCTAAAGGATCATATTAGTCATTCCTGAATGCTCCGCGACGCTCGATTGAGACAGCCGTCGTATAGCTAGTGACGAAATGTGCCAAGGTCTGGAAAAACCAGTGTCCCCATATACGTCAATGAAAACACGTTATTGATTTACATCTAGTAGAAAATAGCTCCATACAGAAAGAAAAACTCCTTCTATGCTATGTTTGAGCCGCAAAACTGATCAGGTTCTATTTAATATAGTCCTTCGCCAGCGCCCACTTAGACTTGTCGTAGCTCTTGGGCCAAACACCACTCTTTCCTGGCGCCAAAATGCCGTTAGGGTCCAAAGCATCCTTGATTGTCTGGTTCAATTTGCCGAGGGCATGGTCGTTGAAATCGTAAGTGTCGGCGATCTGATCCATCAGAGCGACGTGGGTGCGGAACTCTCCCCAACCGTTGTCGGCACAGTCTTGGATCATGGTGCGGACGAGCCACTGCGCACGGCGACGCATGTCAGGATCCTCCCGGTTGTATACAATGCATACGATGTTGTCTGTGCAACTACGCGTGAGCTTATTTCCCTAATGAAATGTATGATGAAGGGGCAGGATGAATAACTTACGCATCTCACGCATGCCAATGCTAAGAATACCAAAGTAGTCAAGTTTGGCTTCAGCAAAGCGCTTCTTGGCCATGGTGTACTGCTGCATAGCCGACTTGCCGTCAACCTTGGAGATCGGCGAGAAAGAAAGGAATGTGCAGTTAGGGATCCAGCTGGGAACATGTTAGTGACTGTCTAGAACAATCTGGCGTTTGAGTGCTTACTGGTTTAACCATCGTAGTTCGTCCCAGGTTGGCAGACCTCTCATGGTATCAGCACGGCAGTGCAAGGTGCTAAATTCCTCTTTGCGATCCTCAAGCAAAAACCATCTGCTTCCGGGGACCTTGGTCATTTCTCGCTTGGTAATCTCAAGATGTGCCTTGCGGATCGGCTCGGGTCCATAGGCGGCCCCTATGTAGACCCAGCGTCCTAGGTTGACCTTCTTCGCCGCCGCATCCAGCTGCTCTTCTGTAAGAGGCATATCGGGATTGTCGGTATACTCAGTACGCGGGTGATAATGTGATGCATCAAGCGAAATATGGCGGAGACTAGCAGCATTCTGGAGAATCATATTCTGATGGGATTTGTTAGCAGTAGCTTCAACAGAGCATAGAACCATATTTCTTAAGCAACTTACAACACGAAGTGGACGAATGATATCTACGACAGCTTCGAGATCCTCGTCCTTTTCATAGGTCACCATGAAAGGAGTGATGCCAGGTGGGGCAGGCATGAGCTATGCACCAGTCAGTTCATCTAACACTCTCAGAGGTTGTTTCAAGTCACTTACCCACATGCCCATCTTGGTGACAATGGCATTGTTGCTCTGAGAGAAGATTCCATCGTTGATGGGACCGAATCCATAGGGGAAAAGCTGCCAACACTCGTTTTGATGCTGATCTTGAGGAGGCACGCCTTGGGCTGCTTGCTTGCGACCCTCGGGGCTCTGCATAGCACCCATACCGGTGCGGACCACTTCACCGTTGGCGAGAACGACCTCCATACCGCAATGCATCATCCAGTGATCACCGTAGGGAGTAAACCCGACTCCGTGGTCCAATGAGTTGCCAATCATGGAGCCATACCCAAGCTCTGGGGAGTCGAGCCAGACTTTGTCCCGAAGACCGTTATCGTCGAGATACTTCTGCATTTGGAGGTAAGTCACACCAGGTTCGACCAGACAGTAGCAGTCGTCAGCGTTGACCTCAAGGATACGGTTCATGTGAGTTCCGAGGTTCATGACTAAGCTCCCAGATACCCTCGGGGCGGCGCCACCGTAGCCGATGTTGTGGCCTTTGCTGAATGTCCATACAGGAACAAGGAACTCATTGCAAAGCTTGATGACAGCCTGGATATCGGCTACATTCTTAGGGTGGATGAGAGCACTACCAACAAACTCCTCTCGATCGTACAAGTGGTGCATATCGTGCGTTTGACAGTCGATGGTGGTGTAATCGCCATCTTCCAGAGGGGTGTCCTGGGTGATGATTTGGAGGTTCTCTTTTCCTACAGCTTGTTGAAGACCAGATGCAAATGCTTGCCACTTCTCAGCCGTGACGCCAGGGGGAAGGAATCGGGGGGTGGGCGCCGGGCCTTTTGAGGGATAGGAGCCGTTCTCCGTGCTCGTGACACTAGGTGCCATGTTGCCGTTTATAGTCAGTTAGTTCCTACTGAATGTTGGGTGTAGAAAATATGTAAATGTAAGCTTGTAATCAGATAGTATGAATGTTGATAAAGATAGAAAATTCAACTTGAAATCGATAGAAGAAATGTAGCTCATTTATTTAAGAATAGGCAACAAGTTTACGAGGCCCAAGTGTTGTCAATCCTGGAGCTCATCATTGTCCTCGGAGACCGTATGTCAACGGGTCCTCGGCCTCCACACTGTCGCCGATTGTGTCCCTCCGCCGGCCGCGAGCGGCCTGTTCAACACGGACTGAATGATGACACACACGCCTGTCCATCAGGGGGTCCGTTCAGAGAGACCGATTCTCTTCGGATTACTCGAAATGGTGTTGTGGTAATGGACAAGGTTTATCGAGTCCGGTGGGAATCTCCGAACGACCATTGCTTTGTGACTGATGCGGGAAAAACACCCCTGATCGAAGGGCCTTTTCGGAAAGCCGACAGCCGCGGATGGTGTGGTAGCATTGTTAAGTTTCAGGGTTGTTAGCAGTGGCATTCCGTCTGATAAACCATAAGTGATTACTTTGTCGATAGTTTAATTTTATTTTTCAAGCTGCTGAGTCCGAGCTTGTCTTCGGTTCGGCCAATTTTTATGAGTAGTAAATGGTACCTATTCAAGCGGCTATGAGAAACAAAACACTTTTTATCACTGGGTCGCTATCGCCGACTAGTCATTGAAAGTTCATGTGCACATATGCGTTTTTGTGGCTGTCGAAATTGACCGAAGAAGAAAAAGCGGGATGATCACGGCTTGATGCCTTTTTAATTTGTTTGTTTTAAAGTGTAGCGGTCAGCCTCCTTTACGTCCAAATAAGTGAAGGCATAGTATGAATACAAAATGTTCAATTTTTTCTATCCCCAATTTCTACGGTAGTCTGCTTCAGTGTTTCGTCTGGTCTGTGCATGTCGAAACTTAAGGCCGCCCTTGACTGTTTCGAATGACTCTTGGTTGTGGAGAATACACATGGCCTCCAGCCATCTGGCTTAACCTTGGGCAGGACCCCTGTCGCATCATTGAGTTTCCAGCTTGGCGATAAGTAAAAAGTCACACATAATCACCGTATCCATGGGTTGCTGCAGGTCAGAGCCCCGGACGTAACCACATTGACGTGACGTTGTCACGAGATGTCACCGGCCATGGCCAGATACTGGCTCGTCCGCTTCAGACAAATGTCAATAGGCACGCGAAGTATGGCGGACTACCGTACAAACGCATCAGGTTCAAGAACTTGGCATGCTTCACTCGCACGCCTTCCCTTGTTTGGACGTGAAGTATACCGCAATCCAATTGACTTTCTGCCAATGCCCCTTCCATCCAAAAAAAGATGGACGGGTGGATAATTCCAAGTCGAATCTGCTGAGTTTCTATGGTAGACTGTCAGTATCGGAGTGCGAGACTCCAGCCAAACAGCTCTTGCGCGAGGTGGCCGGGATTGGACATGACGCAGGCCTTTAAATCATTGGAAACTCCCAAATAATTTGAGAGGAACTCATCAGACTTTTCCCCCAAACACTTGGAGCAATTGAAAATACAGCAACCGCATCTCTCAACTTAACTTGAGGTACTCCAACCTCACAGCTTTATCTCTTCTGTCCACGTCTTGATACAACATTCAGTATGGCACCAGCTGTTACATTGAACGATTTTCAAGCCGACATTGACACGCCACTGAAGTCGCCCCATAAATTCAACAGTTTCACGTCTTCTGTCAACACAATCACGATTCCAATCGACCCTCCCCTCAACCAAAATCATCGATGGTGGTGGGATAAATGCGCACCACTCCTGAACAGCCTACTCAACAGCGCGGGGTCTTATTCTCCTGAAGACAAAGCGGATCACTTGCGCGTTTTCCGCGATGTTGTCGTGCCTTCATTTGGACCTCCGACACCAGAGGCTAAAGTTAGGCCCCTCCTTACGTACGATGGCTCAACATTTGAGCCATCGTGGAATTTCACTAAGGGTGACGACGGTGTAATTCGTTACACTTTTGAGCCTCTGGGCGATACTGCCGGCTCCGACGAAGACCCTTTCGCCGGAGAGATTGGCCGATCTATGATCCCGATTCTCTCCCAAGTCTCTTCCGATGTTGACTTACGGTGGTACGAGCAGATCGTGAGTGCGTGGTTCGTTACTCCTGAAGAAGCAGCTGCTGCTCGTCAGAATTTGCCGCCCCACGTCAAGCGCATCCCACAGCTCTTCCTTGCCTACGACATGAAACGCTCTAAGCGTTTACTCAAGGCCTATCTCTTTCCCGTGCTGAAGCATTTCGCCACGGGGACAACAACATCAGACCTTGTCTTCGACATGATCCCTAAGTTGCAGCCATTTGGCGACAAGCTTGCTGTGCCAGCCAAAAAGTTGCAGAAATACTTGGCATCCTGCAAAGAGCCATGTCTTGTTGAGATGATGGCAATTGATTGTATCGACCCCAGCAAAGCGCGCGTTAAAGTCTACGCCCGAACAATCTCGAACTCGAAGTCCGTGCTGGCGGATGTCTTCACCCTTGGCGGCACTCAGACCGACGAAGCGACATTGAAGGGCGTAGAGACTGCAGAGAAGGTCTGGCACCTTTTGCTTGATGAGCCACAGGGTATGGCCCCAGATCAGCGTAAGGATAGTCGAGATATGCAAAACCTGCACAAAGGAATCTGCTTCGCATTCGAATTGAAGCCAGGAGCAGAACGCATCGACATCAAGGCCCATTTACCATGGGGACAGACTGCGCGGAGCGACGCTCAGACGATTGAAAACTTTACGCAAGCACTGAGGAACTTGGATCTGAACGAGTCTGCAGAGAAATTCTATAAAGGGGCTTCAGCAACTGCTAAACTGTAAGTTAGCTCTTTCGTCACCAACGATCTTCAGAGGCTGATCAGTTACACAGACCCGGAAGAGACTACTCTCAGCCAGGCGGCCTTTCCTACGTCTCATACAACTACAATGAGACAGGGCCTTATTTGTCGTCTTACTTCTCTCCGTTGTTGCAAGATCGTTGAGAGCTTAAACGTGCGCAGAAGGGATGCTTGTAAGGTAATTTAGATTGTCGAACTTGTTCATGTAATGTGTTTTGTTTGCAGGTCAATCGAAGAGAAATTATAGTTTCTTTGGTTTCGCACTTCTGTATGACAAACATTCATGCCTGAAAAATACAAAAAGTTGATCAAAGTTGCAAACACGAGCGTTGTACATTTGGTTGCACCATGCGGTATTCAGCTTTTGTAGCGCCACGGTAGCTTAAACTCTAGTGACCACATCAAGATTATTTCGATCGCCGACCTTTCGTTACTATCATTGCATCACAACAGAACTCGTGGTTGCATACTAAGCTCCTCTTCGATCAGACGACACGCATACGATCTCTTACGAATCGTCAAGTGGCTGACCTGACACATTTTAGACTTGCAAACATCGTTGGGGATAATTTAAGAGCCGGGATTGGTACTTTCCTGCTTCTCGCATCATACCAAGTCTACGTTCATGACCCTTCCATTTCCCAAGCAAGCTGATGCCGTCCATATTTGTGGCTGGCCATATCGGCTAGGTTTCCCTAACTTTGCCTGCCAAAAATTTCCGACGAAGCCGAAGTCACGTTGTGGGGTGCGTCGCTATGGAAAGAAACACTGAACTCATTCGCCAAACGCCATTCAACCACCTACCTAGATGTCCCGTAACCGTGTGAGCTAGAAGAACCAAGTGTAACGAAGTGGCTCGTAAATTTCACGCTGGGAACGTGATGGCGATGAACCAGGGGATGAAGCACAGTCAGTGTCGCAGGATTTCGGAATCGTATTGACAGGACGGTTTATTGGTGGACGCTGCACTTAACGCCCTAGCCGCCATGCTGCTTGTTCTCAATATTCGGAGGTCAATGAAACACGCACTTTCCGGACATCCTCTGTCGATCCCCCATCTTGTTTCCGCATTGTCCGCTGTAAAGTTTCAGGCATACCATCGGATTTAAAGCCCTATTTCTAAGTCCCTAGTCAATTTCACCTCCACGTCATCACTGCATGTTACATAGTTGGTGTCTCGAACTGCGGCATTCTCCTACGAGCCGCAGGGTTTCTGTATTTTACCCAACGAAGCGATTCACAATCCTTGTCAGTTCGTCTGAAGTTCTAAGATGCCTAAAACATTTCGTTTAGGATACAGTAGTTTCCGACTTGACAGGTACGAATCGCGATTAGAAACATCACGGAGGAATGCAAGCCCCCGGCTTACAATGACGGCAGAGTTACGGCTTAAATAGGGTGGGAAAACGCGATTTCCTAAAAGTTGTCCGTATTAAGCAACCCCACAACATCGCCAAAGCGCTAATGACTCTCAGGCATCATCTTCAATTATGAGGTCAAGGCGTGGATGGCCTGACTCTGAGCCGCGGATGTCTCCATAACGAGCATAATGTATCATTCCACCGAAAGCCGGGGAGCCGAATGTTATCCCGTGTGAGATTCTTTTCGGACATGCCACTTCGCTGTTATACTTGACCATAATGTGAAGTCTGCGAAATATAACTGCGATCCGCAGGCCAGCACGTACTAGTATTTATATGAACTCAATCACCCTCTCCAGGCAACTTTTGATCAGCACCATCAACAGAGTTCTTTAGATCCAGTTCAGCACAAATCATAAAAGCAACAATACCCGAACTTTTCAAAGTATTCTTTTCACTCACCTAAAGCCAAAATGTCTGCACCTCCTGCCACCGGCGTTACTGAGCGCATGATCATCCCTGTCAAAGGAACTAAGGAGGACTGGAAGGAACCCCTCAAGGCGTATCTTCTTGCCTTGAAGCAGCATGATGGCTACCTCAGAACTCGCTGGGGACCTTGGTCTGAGAATGAGCAGATTCTTGACCTCATTTCCGGTATTAAAAAGAACCTTGCTTGCGGTATACATGGGTTGAAGGTCATCTAACACGCAATAGGCTGGAAGTCACAGGAAGCCCATGACGAATTCTTCGCCTCTGCTGAGTGCGCAAAGGTGATGGACGAGTTCAAAAAGGTTATGACTGGCTCCATCAAGTCATACTTTATCAAGTTTGTTCCGTATGCCCCCAGAGCAGCTATCGATTCACCCATCGCCGAGTGTATTACCATTAGCGGCGCGACTATGACCGAGGACGAGATGAGGGCCCAGATTGACAAGGCCCGAAGCATGGACGGTCTTAATGACCTTGCAAGCGGTTTCTCTGTCGGGGATGTTGATGGCGGCAAGGTCTTCGTTGCGGCGTTGGGCTGGGAAAGTATTGAGAAGAGCAGAGCGGCCGACAAGTCAGCCTACATCCCCTCTACTGGCAAGGTTGAGTCCCACCACGTCAATTTCCACTACCCCATCAAGGGTTTTTCTGTTACGAACACCCACTAGATGAAGAGGTGCATAGAATCATTAGCTCAGAATCTCTATGCAGTTGGTGTGCGATAGTAACAGTTTCAGTATCTCGTAGCTGAGAAAATCAAATCTTCTCTTTCTATCATCACGCATCCATAATTATTGTTCGGTTTGCCCTCATGAGAAAAGCTAGGTTGTTCAAGAATCTATAGGAGAGTCTAGATCAACAATAGAATTAAAATCACACCTTCCCGTAATGAAGCTTGGTTGAAATCGAAGATTCAAACTCAAGAAAGCCGAGGTGATGTGCAGCGCATGCGTATTAGCCCCTTTTGACGGGTAGTCACATAAAGTCAAGTATTGGCCGTTTCCGAAGGGACCAGACGACATGAGACAATCTTGGTTTTGTTATGATCCGAATTGCGACAAGGAACAGTAAACTGCCCCAACGGACTCACCTCGGAATGGCACGGATGATTACGTTGTAGCATAAGGTTATATCACATGGTGGGATTGATATGCCAAACCGGGTGTCCGATCCAATCATGTTCTGGCGAGGTAAACAGAGGGTTGAGGCGAGATAAAGAGGTACGGCAACAGCAAACATGCCAGTTTCCGAAATTTCCGCGAGACTGCAATAGCTTACGGTGATAATGCCTAGGCCCCCGACGCGGTAGAGAATACCGCCGGGGAGAAGTCCGGTTCCATTGGTTCTGTGCTGGACCGATGAGCCCGTGCATCGATTCCAATTTAACATAAGGTAGAGAGCACTTCATCCTCTCTGCAAATAAGTCGAAAACTATCAACCTGTTTACTCGGCGCAAAAATCTTCAAAGGAGAATTATCGCCCGTCATGGCACCAAAAATACAAAATGTGGCACTCGCCGGTGTAAGCTTTTTCCTGTCGATACCAAAAAAGGACTTTAGTGATTTTGCCTTGCTAATCATTTTAGGCAACCGGCAATGTGGGCAGATGGGCTTTGAAAGCCTTGGTCGCAGATAGCTTCAACGTGACTGTTTTGGCTCGCAAGCAAGGATCTTTTCCTGATGGAGTCACAGTCAAGGTGGTTGACTTCAATTCCCCAGATGATTTGATAGAGGCATTGAAGGGCCAAGAGGCTTTTGTGGATTGCACACTGGTTCATGACGATACTCCAACGCGACTGGTTGACGCCGCAGCCGCCGCAGGAGTGTATCGCTACATCCCGTCGGATTTTAGCTTGGACTTCAACAACCGCAATGTCCACGGACTTCCTGTTTTCTTTAAGAAAGACCAAAATGACAAGTATCTCCTCAAGAAGTGCGAGGAGAGTGGCATGACCTGGAGTGTCATCTGCAATGGCCCGTTTTTGGACTGGAATCTGCGTTCCAGCTTCATGAATATCGACATTTACGAAAAGAAGGTCAACTACATCAATGATGGCAGCAACATTCATGTTTGGACGACACTCGAGACAGTCGGCAAAGCGGTTTCCGGAACCCTACTGCATCCCGCCGAGACCGAGAACAGGCCGATCTACGTTCACTCCATCAACAAGAGCCAGAAACAGTTGGCTGATCTCTGTAAGGAGGCTTTGGGATCCAGCGGCTGGGAAGAGTCAAATTCGGATATGGAACAGGTCCTTGCAGAGGCTTTGAAGGAGTTCACAGCTGGGAATTATGGATGGAATGTCTTCGGCGATATGATCCGGTACGCAAACTCGAGGCCGGATTTATCGTGTCCTTGGCCCAGAGATGACAATCCGATGTTGGGTGTGAAAGTAATGACCGATGATGAGGTGAAAGATCTGGTCAAAGCAATTTTTGCTGAGAAAAACACCTAAGAGGATGAAACCACGCATATACACACACAAAGAAATAGATAGAGAGATAAATTATGTGTGTATGTCATCTTTCCATCTATTTAATGATAGGAATCGAGACTTGCGACAACCCAAAAGATTTTGTTATAATCACCAACAGTTACCGAATGCTTCGTTCAATGATATCTCTTACCTAGCCCTGACAAATCGCGCTAAGAACCATGTTGGTGGAACAAGTATGAGGGTTTCTGTATTTCTAGCAACTCTTGTTTTGTGTTGTTTTGACCTGAGAGTTATGGTGTCACTTTTGTCTTGCCGTGATTTGGTTGAACGAATTATCAGGAGTATCTCTGTAGGATTTGGCACGGCACCTCGATGCGAGCTTCCAATACTCTATATTACGGACATTAAGAATATTCTTTTCCTGAAAGCATTGTGGCGTCTTATGCTCTATATCAAGAGTAACAAATACAGCTAGTAAAACAATTCAGAACGGAAATACTTATGTCAATAAACTATCATAAATGCCATCCACGTAAGTAGCTGTTACATATAGACAGTCTTATCGTGGACTCACATGCCTCACTTTTATTTGAACAATCATTCTGGATATACATTGGCACAAATGAATGTGAGGACATTGAATCTAAGGTCATGGTACTGACATTAGAAATTTTTTCCAAAGGAACTAATTAGGAAAAAGTTGATTTCCCCTACAGCTGTGAGGCCCGCTTTCCTCGTCAGAATTGTCTGTTTCTTGAGGGGTCGCTTACTGAACACACCTGATTGTTTCGTGCCCGTATCTGGTTTGCTTGTCCAGCGGGCTTCCGCCACTGCCGGTTCGGTATTTGTCATTCAAGCTGCAGTCTCAACGTTGATGTTGGCCGATCCAGCGGATTTGTAGCCTTCGGTTGCAACGATCATGTAGTCGAAAGTGGTACCGAGGCTCATGCCTGCCTTTGCCCAGGCGTTGAAGAAGTTTTGAGTGGTGACAGTACCACCAGTGCGCTTGTCCTCGCGTATGGCCCAGAACTGCTTGAAGGTCTGGGTGCCTTCGATGGAGGGTGCGTTGGTACGGGTGCTCTCGTATAGTTTGTAGACAGAGCCATCGCTGGTGACCTCACCCTTGGGGGTACCCGAGCTGCCGGGATTATACTCTCCGTGGTTTTCGACGATGTAGTACTCAATAAGCTGTTGAAGCAATATGTCAACAATATGGTTCTAAGAGCTTAAATTTGCTGGCTGGGAATTCACTAACAGGGTTCCTAGTCCAGCCGTAGATAGTCAAGTAGCTGTTGCCGTTGTTGACGGGAGACCAAGTGCCAGAGTACTTAATGGTCTTGGCACCACCAGTCTTCCAGCCTTTTCCCCCTACGAAATTGCCGCCGGACTGCCACTGAACGCTGTAGGAGCCACCAGCACCATTAGTGTAGGTGACGGGGGATGCGCCATCAGTCCACCAGCTGTAGAAATAGCTATTGTGGGTTCCCTGAGAGGAGGGAGTAGACTGGCGTTTGATTAGGTCCGTTCTGGTGACGGGCTCGTTGGTGGGGGCAGCAAGTGAGCCGACAGCGGCTAGGGTGACCGTAAAGATAGAAGCGAAGGAGCGCATTCTAAAGGAGAGGTTAAGTATATATGTATAAGTAAAAACAGGACTAACGTAGTGGTTAGGTTATGACCAGAACTCAAGTGAAGTAGCAAACGCGAAGAAGAGCATTGATGTTTGAGAGCGGACGACCAGGTCCTTTTCAAGATAACTCTCAATTATCTCTTGGGATTCAGCTGGGTCCGATGCTGACACGACAGGGGACCACGGAGGTTCAAGTGCATGTGCGCTTTCTAGTTTGCCGTTGGTTGTATGGGAAGTGGAATGTTTGCGTGATGGGACCACCTTGTCCAGAATAAACTCATGTTGACCCATGTTGGTACTATCATTTCACGAAAGATCGACACAACGGATTTGACACTACGAGATCTTCTGTTGGTGGTCTATGGGAAACATTCCCGAACGGTCAACGCGCGACGGCCAAGATGGACTGATGAGGAGCTTTAGGGTTCCGCCTATGGACGTGCCGGGCTTTGTAGGTCATGAGACGGCGTTGGATACAGCGATGTCGGGTGTAAATGAGCCAAGCCGGGGCCGCTGTTGCACGATCCTTGCAACGCTCTCCGCAATTTGTGCTAAGGGCTGCCTGCGCCGGTACTGCGGCCGATCGAGAATTTTAGAAGAGACAGCTCCTCCGAACTCGTCCAATCGCATTGATTCCTTCAATGAACCGGCCGCCTCGGGTGCCCCATGGGCATTGATCCATCACAATGACAGCTATTTTGATGCTGGGCGATCACTATAAACATCGGGCGAGATCTCAAGCTCTTATTAGTGTACTCTGTAGTTAAGACGAGATGCCAAGGTTCGGGATGTTTGGACTAGCTACGGCCCGCTAACCAATTTGGTAGCACTTAGCGTGGCCATGCTGCACGCTGCCTCCTGAGGAATCAACAACCCTAAAGTTTATGTATTCCTTTCCCGGCGGCTGCCTTCATCTTGCAGTGTTCAGCGAAGAAAAACGGGGCTTGGGTAGATCACCCAATTCGTAAGCGCGTTATGCATGTGATGCTTCCCATCTATAGTGTTGCGAATAGGACTACTCCATCCAAGGCACCGTTCAGAACGCCGAGGGTTGGTCAGACAATCTCCTGCTGTCCCATTGAGCATGCAGAGTGGATGCTGGCTCAGACTTATTTGGTCAGCTTTACATCTTTCTCGAAACCCGGGTTGGCTCAGGGGCATCGAGCCAGTCATTTAGGAACAATGTCCCCGTCTTGCTTGAGTGCTTAACGATTTTGTCTTTGACTTATTTCTTTTTTTTTGTAACAAAGGGCTTCACGCCTTGTTCAAGTCAGTCGATTTACGTGTTAAAGTGAGGGACATGTCATCAATGTTGAGTCTGGACATCTATCTATCCTAGCCTGAACTCTTCTCCACAAAAAAGCTCTGAGCTTTTCATTTTGGGCCACAATCAGACAAAAACACCAAAGGTTGAGAACTCGTTAAGCTGACCGCCGACGCCAGCACATAAGCGACAGGATGATACTTGGCTCTGCCGACCACTGATCTGTAATGCCCTCCAACTCGTGTCTGTCTACATAGTATGGTCCCCGACGCCACATTTTGGTGTTGAGTCTAGAGTACGATAGCGCTAGAAGGGATCACCCGACGGCCCCTAGGTCACATTCCAAACCAATTGAACGCACGCCACCATCAAGCCACTAAACCAAGCAAAGCAACGCTGGCAGCCCAAGCTCGCAATCTTGAATTAGCGGCTTTAAGCGACAGGCCCTGACTTGTACAATGGGGCACCCAGGCTGCACAAACCCCGCATTTCGGCGCGTCCAGGCTTTTCCCTCTTCCATCAAAGTGCTCCCAAGCGAAGCACAAGACCACAGAGACCCGAGACCAGACGACGACGTCAGTGCAGCCGGTGGCACCACGCTCCGCCCATTGGTCCTTCTAGTAGTACTGCTAGTGAGGTAGCTGCCATGCCTCCTCATCAGTTCATAAGCCACACCCTTCGAAATGCGGGGTGCGTTGGCCGTTCTCTGAGGATGAAGTCGTGGCACAACTCAACATCGCAGGCGGTGAGGAGTTCGATAACTCGTCTTCCCACGACATGCTATCAACCAGCAGGACCATTAACGCCTAGGAGACCAGTATTCCATACTGCAGGCTACTATCGCGAATCCGCTGCCGAGATGACGTTGTCACGCGGTCTGCCCCGGTCCAATTCTTGCAAGACGCACGCAAAAGCGCGCCTCCAGGAGACTCTCACGCCCGAGCTGCTCGAGAAGCTCCGCCGATTTTGGTTCAAGCACTTGAAGACAGATGAAGCCTATATACTGCCGCAGAAGAGCCAGATGGGACGATGGTTCTTCTCTGACGCCGACTTTGACGAAGTCTGTGTGTATGTTGGCCCACAAGCTCTTCATGAGAAGTAACAGTGCTGACGTTTGTTTTAGAAGGAGATACCGCCCAGTTCTGGAGGCCATTAAGTCAGCGAGGACAACAAGCAAAGACATACTCTCAATCGTAAGGCCTTTCACACCTCTGCAATGGCTAAGTCTCGTCCTCCTTCTGGATCAAGTGCCGCGAAACATCTACCGAGGCTCGGAGTCATCCATCGTTTTCAAGTTTTTCGATCCCATAGCCCATGAGATCGCCCAGCATGCCATCAACGCCGGCGCGCCAACCCATAACAGAACTAAATACCGCGTCGCCTATCGCATGTGGTTTTATCTCCCTTTCATGCACTCTGAGGATTTGGCACTACATGACTTTGCCATTGAGCAGTATCAGCAAATGAAGGACGATTTTGATGAGCTCCTGGCTGACGATGGATCGGCCGGGTCCGACGACCAGCGGAAATGCTGGGGAGTCTTGGCGGTGCAGAAGGAATCTGCCAAAGACTTGCTGGAAACGAACTACGACTTTGAGATGAAGCATCGGGACATCATTGTACAATTCGGAAGGTACCCTCACAGAAATATGGCTATGGGCCGATCTTCGACGCCGGAAGAGATAGATTATCTCGAGAATGGTGGTGAGACTTTCGGCCGTAGCAAGTGATAATATGTCTTCAATAGTCAATGGGACTGCGACGTTGCATGGGTTTCCGCCATTGTGGATAAGCGCACCGTTCAGGTTAGGGTGCAACGAGGCAACTTGATAACTCCAGATTCTTCTCCCCGATCTTGATTTTCGTGCCATCCTTTCAATCCTTCAGTGAAGACATTGAGTGGGGATTTTGTATGATCTGTTATGATTAATCTACCGTCTAAGCAGAGGTTTTGGGGGGGGGACTAAGAAACAACCTTGATATGTGGTGAAGTCTTTCTAGCTGTTCATGCTTTGACGACTTCATTGGATAACTCAGAAGGATTGGGCATGCTGACGATAAATTTGCGGCGCTGATGTTTTTAGTAATCTCGTAAATAGTAGAATCTATTTGTTGTGATGGAACCCTCGCGGGCCGCCGACCAATAACCGCTAATCTTATCCGCGGCAACTAATCACGTTTTTACAAATCGGCAAATCATATTCCTTGAGAGCGTGCGATCCTACAACCATGACAAGCTCGAGGACAAGGGCAGCTCCGAAAAGTTCGTAAATCATGGAAGTTAACTCAGGAGGAAGTAATTCGCGACTGCTCCTGAATTTCTGTTGTTTTTCTACCAACTTGTATCTCAGAGCACAGCTGCTCGTCACATGCCATCCATGTCTCCCATCATGCCGGCTTTCATCACTTACGCAGCCTAGAACTTAATAGTCCGGATTTGCTGTGTAGCTTCCCTGAAAAGAACAAGGCAAGGACTTTGACGGCCGTTCTCTGCCAAACCCCCAAAATGCCCATTTCTAACATGCGATACTAACAATGGCCAGTTGGAATCTTGAGTGCAAAATAGGAATCGCGAGTTCCAATTTGTCGGTGGACATAAGTATGGGAAGAAAAGTCAGGTGAATTCTTGTCGAATCTTTGTCCTACCCCGCCTTGGACTCGCTAGTCACTCAAACAGAGTTCGTGTGGCTGACAAACCTTAAGACCTGTTTAGGAACTTTCTGCCCCTATGGGCCACGGAGTAAGTGTCGTTCCGAGTCAGCCTAGACGGCGTTTTATAACTCCTTCCTGATCAGGCACTTTCTTACCGCTTCCTCAGCCAGCCGTTTTAGGCAGGTTATCTTATCTTCGCGCAAGTCTGCAGCTGACAACATAATACTGGTCATCTATAGCGCCAAAGCTTGAGAGAAAGTCACTAGAGATTAATTTTCCCCTCATAGAGTCCCCTAAAGCGTCTTTCCCTTTCCTTTGTTTTTGCGACATCATTCCTGTTACCAGTTTTATCTTGCAGCCAAGGAACATTGCCGTAATGCCCTTTTCCGTATACATGTAAGGTAACGATTGAACTGGTGCTATCACGGCGGTGCCACGACCCTGTTTTGGCAGCTCAATGAGTTCTCCATGAATAGCTTTTGGCCGCGTTTTTGCTTCCACCCGTATGTGCCAAGCAGTTCAATAGGACCTTTTATTGGTTTCGCCAGAAAGGTCTGCCTGCCACCGCAACCCCCTGATCTCTCAATCATCCACCCAGCCAAGGCCTAGCTTTGAGGCCATGTTATGTAGGGCCCGGGGGAAGCGACATGAAGGTGATGACATATCTTCAGGGCCTAGAATGAGGATCTGCGCTACGCGAGGAAAGGATTCCGTGTTGGGCCATTTCCTGATTGCTTCCTACGGAATCAACCATTGTCTTCAATGGTTTTCACATGTGTCGAGATTGGCGATATCGCCTCTGATGTAGCGACTCCAAGCCCGTTATCCTTCCCTCGACGTCTACTTCGCGTGCTCATGGGAGAAGTCCGTCCATCGAATATGTGATCGTTCTGGATTGTCTGCCAAATTGGCGATAGAGACCCGCCGGTCTGCTCGACGTCCGGAAGCGCTAGCGTCACTCCGTTAGTTCTATTTCTTCCAATAGTCGTTCGGTTATTGCTGTCGGGCAGAGTAACTGATGGTATGGTCTCAGGGCCTCGGCAGTTGCAGGTACTCATCCGAGTAAACGCCAGCAGCTTGTTCAGAACTACGAACTCCACTTTGAGCTTGACGCTATACACAAACGGCTTGCACATGGTCTGAATCTCGAATTTATCGTTATATTCGAGTATTATAAGGCCTGCGTCGAGAATGAATACCACAGCGAATAGAGCTGCTAAGTGACGGACCATGTTCGTAACAGCTTTCGGTTTTATCGCACTCAGAGGTTTGAGGCTTTTGTAGCCTTCGTAGAGGAAAAAAGTGGCGATAGTAGTTTCTTGAATTGTGAAAACAACCAGCTCGACCTTTTCGTATATCTTGAAAGGCAAAAGCCATTGTTTCGGATTCGTGTTGGCGAGAAAGAAGATTACCGTCTCCGGGATATGCATCGTGACTGCGTTGAAAATAATCATGGAGAGGATTAGACGGATTTTTCGCTGGCTGTGAACAACGAGGTGAAGTCGAGACCACAGGACTATAGCTTGACCGGTGACCATGGAATACCAAGCTATAGGTATGATGATACTGGAAGTGAAGACAGCTTCATGGTAGTAGCCAAAGTATCGGAGGACAAATGCGATAACATTGATGTTGATACCCGTATTAGAAACAACCATGCTCCAGAAGTATCTTCCTCGTCGGCGTTTGAATGTGGTGAAGATAGAAAAGAACGTTTCGATGGTATTGTAGTATGCGGTCGCGGCAAAAGCGACCATCACCATCGCCTGGACCTGAGAGACCGAGATGGTTCCTGTCTCACCCGCCATCTCTCGGCAGAGAAGCAGAGGAGCAAGGCTAGGTATTTCGACGGTTCCGGTGGTTCGTATCTTCTGGGAGGCATCGTGGAAGACTCACAAGCGAGCGGTGGGCGCGAGACGGGATGGAAGTTGCGATGGTGCAGCCCTGCTCAGACGCTAGAAGGATTCCATAGATTAGTACTTAAGACGAGCATGGACGCTGTGCAAATCGGAGTCAGATTAATTCCACATTAAAGTTTACGTTGCACTTCGCGGGAAAGCTTATATTTCCTGCAAATTTACCGATCGTTGTCGCCCGTGAAACGAACAGGATCGCAGACCCAGACGGGGTCTCACGGCTGACTCGTTCGGTGTACCGGTAATATGGGAAGGCGTACGCACTCATCAGACGTTCGAAGCATCGGCTGTTGACGTTAGCCCTTAATGCAACACTGTGCAAACTTTGTATCCCCTTATGGAAAAGGTCAAACGATAAGCCTGCTCGCCATTGGCTGTCGAGATGAAGGAACCTTGAATGAAGGCTGGGTTCATGTCTGCACGGCGAATGGACTACGGTATCATTTTGCCGTCGAGCAGTTATAGTTTGAGGGGTTTCTGAGCTGTTAAGGTTCTGTTCTACCATCTTCGCCAAATCGTTGGTTTCTTTAGCCTGCCGAAATATCTCAATTGGTCTCAGAACCCTGTCCCATTAACGACACTAAAACCCTAGCCGCTGTAGTCATTTGGATGGCCGACGTGGCATGAAGGAATGATTTACACACTGTGGTCAATGGGGTTCGACAAAGTTGGCTGAACTTACTCGGCAGCAAGTTGAGACGACACACGTGTTTTCAGGGTACCATAAATCAGTTTCGAGATCTGATGTGAAATGTAAGATCTCTGCTCTCACTAACAAGGGTGGAACAAGATCCTGAGACTGAAGAATCTGCATGTAGATCATTGCATCATTTGGTTTAGTATGACACAGGGACCAGAAAGGATTCATCCGTAAAATAGTGTAGAAGAGCACAGCACATCCGGTCAGAAACGGATGATGAGGCTTGAAGTTGTCGAGTATTTTGGGACTGTGTCCCTATTGTTCTGAGCCACCTTCTCACCATGGATAAGGTTTTCGCCTCATTTTGAAAAAGTCGGGCCATGGATACTGGGGATTGGCACACTCTAGGAAGCCCAATGCCCATATCTGATGGAGTTGATTCTTTGCGCAGTCCACATGCGCAAGGGCAAAATGTTGACGGCACAAACAGTTGACCAACAGTTGTTCCTCCAACACACCGTTTTGCAAAGCAAAAAGTGTGCTATATCTACTTGAAAACAGAGGCTCTTGAGATAAAACCGAGGGTTGAGCCGAATCATCAGCGTGTTGTTTTCTATCCGTACGCGTATACCTGCGCAAACTCTAACGGTATAATCCCCCAAATCAAGTCTGGATTTTCACATCAACCCACCAAGCCGATGAAGTGATGCCGACAAATTTTTCTTATCCCTTCGTTCAACCTCCCACAAGGAGATAGCTTCGTGATAAGTGGTTTCTTCTACTAGACTGTGATCTACGAGGCGTGCGTGTGGGTTCGTCAAAGAGACTGGGTTCATTTGGTTTGAGTCGAACAACAGAGGGTGGTGGAATATCGTGCATAAGCATTATCTCGAATCGCCTTGGCCCTTCAAGGCCGGCTTTGTCCTTTATTACCAAACAACAGGATTATTGACACATTTCACAATATTCTGCCCGGATATCATCAATGTCATTTTCAAGCTTTAAATGTCTTTGAAGAGAATTTGTGCATCTCTTGAGGCTGGTTTGGCACAATTGCGAGTACTGCTGTTAATATTGCCTCGAAAGGGCCTGGTGTGATTGTTTCATGATATCAACCTGCCGACTCACTCTCTAATTAGTTCCATCTAGTACCACTCGTAAGTTTTGCTTCAACTTACTATCATGATCAGAAAACACTGCCACTCATTTGATCTTAATAGATACATGCAACTTGACATGTCGTAATCAGACTTATGCAACTCGACGACTAGAAGAGCGAATTTGTCTGGTAGATACTATCTCGGTTTATAGACTAACCTCAGCTTCAAGGGATTTCCCTGAGTTATCCTAATCTCTTGACTCAAGACTCTCCTGTATATCTGCTTGAGTGCTAGTGTTCGTGATCATAGGGCATTTTACATTCTGTGATTGTGACCCGGGTGGTTTGGCTTGCATTCTTCTCAAGCCAACTGAAAGCCTCACAATGACTCTTTCAAAGAATTGACGCATGCTCGGAATGCAAGCGGTGAAGACTCCTACATAGATCTCGATGTCCGACCAAAGGGCAGTCGCAAGAGATACGACTGGTAAATCAGTATTTTTTAATCACAGAGAATTGGCAGTCGATGGAGTAGACTTACCAGTAGGATTTGTTGTTTTATAGTTATATCCCACCATTTCGTGGACTCGAAATGCACTCACGAAGGTAAGGCTTGGAGGGCAGGTCAGACAATACGCTCAAGGGACGGGATTAAAACACAGAGACGGAAGCTGGGAACCTACAAGAACCCCAAGCAGAACATTGACATGACACCGAGCTTCTGGCGCAGTTTCATATTCAGTCTCCCTATTTGCATAGCAGGTAAGATAAGCATCCAGACATCCAGTGCGACGTTGAGAGCCCCGTGGCTAAGTGCTACACTGGGCTGGTCGACGCAATGCCCGGGTGATCCCGAGACCAGAAATGCCAGGCTAGATTCAGAGGCTGACATTGGAACAAACCAACGAAGAGGAATGCGAGGCACATCATCAAGTTGACGGCCTGCGTAACCCATAGCGCCAGCCGAACTCTTTCACTAGGGAATACTCGCAGAAACATGAACAAGATTGATGCCTTGATAAGTGCCAAAGTGACATAATAAAGGGCTTGGTTAATATAGAAGCTCTGTTATATTTCAGTCATTAGATACCATCATCGAGCGTTGTGAATGGAATGAGGTGAAGGACAATACCAAGAAAAAGTTGTCAACCTGGTCGAAAGAAAGTGTCCAAATATTCCTTCCCGCCCCATTATTTTCGGCTATTAAAGATTGATCGGTCAGTCTATTGGTGGTATTATTGCGTTTTTTTCGTTGCGTCACAAATATGTACTTACAGAAAATATTTACTGGAATAAATACAATAAGAAGGATCTTGAACGCGAGGTTAGTTTGCAAATCCCATCTTCGTGAACGATGTCGAGAAAGGTAAACACTTACATAAGCTGGCAAGATAGTCGAGTCATCAGCCCCCCACGCCGACCACCTTGCGATTTTGACCATCATGCGGATAATGATAGAGACGGTAGGCAGTATGATGAACAGGACGAATCGGACACCCTTGGTTTTGGCAAACTCATCGACTTCAGGAAAATCGCAAAATTGCGATGTAACGTTCTGTGTGACTGATAATTTTATCGTTATCAGGTAAAGTTCATTTTCGACATAGTAAACAACAACTGATACTAACCTAAAATTTCCTTGATTGTGCAGTTTGCCCTGACGCATGGTTCTATCAGTCTGGGGAACGAAGGATCTTGGCAAAGGCAGTTTTGGTTCGTTGGAGTGCATGGTGTCTGAGGGAGAATTGCCTGCATACAAAGCAACTATGAAGGTCAATACAAACCTTGCAATGGATTCAAAGAGATTCTTCTTACAGCACAATAAGGATATTCTTCGATTTCTTGTGCCAGGACGCCAGGGAACAGAGGGAGGAGAAGCAGTAGAAGATGACCTGCTCGCATGATTGCGTTTTTCTAGACTCTCTCCCTCAGACGTCCGTTGAGTGTTCAGCCTGTTGTGTTATGGAAGCGTGCTTGGTTCTCGAGGCAGTAAATTCGACATCAGATTGGATGCGAAAGGTTAACGAAACGAAACTCCAGAAGATAACTTTAACAGTGGAGAAAGTGCGCAAAAGCTCTCACGAGAACACAAGCTAGAATTGCGCCGATGTAAAAGTCGTTTCTATTCAGCATTCCACTTGAAATATTCTTAGGCGGTCTAGAGCGCTAGCGGGGTCCCCGGTGATTCTAGCTCTCATGTCACAACCATTTCTTTATCGCATGCAGTGACTATAGCTCAATCGGGATGAGGCAACGAAGGTTCTTCATTCTAAAGAACGGAACCGCTTGCAGAAAGCTTGGTCGCATCATATCTTTCGGAAGGAACGATTGTCTGTTTGCGGATTTTGCAACAAGACAGTCGCAACGTAAGTGCTTTATCAGTTCATGGCTAGCCGCTAATCGCCACTAATTAGGGTCACCTCAGCAATCAATTCAACTCTAGTTATCTGCTTTTTGCATTGACGTTGTGGCTTACAATTCCGAAGGGAGACCAGGCTGGTCCGGTCCGCAAAGGGTGACGTATGGCTTAGTGGGTCCCATATTTTGTGCTATCTGAAAAGTACAACGGGGATGCGATTACCATAAGCAGAGAGTATCATCTGACGAAGGGTCTATTTAGTCCTCGCTACGATCCATCTTCCAGTTTTTTTTTGTAAGGAGGTGGCGGGTGCGCGACTCCAGCCCTAGAACCAAGCTTCGGTTCTCTCTATACGAAGCAATAATAATTTTTTGAACAGAGCTCGAGAATGTGTCATCACAAATGCCCAATGTTACCTGTTTAATCACTCATTTAGGCCAACGCCCAAGTAATACGGGTCAATCCGTATTTCCGCCCTCTTTGGCTATCTAAATAAATCAATCTCCCTGCTCAGTATTCATACTAGTTAACTCTTATGCTTGACTACATACCAATGGTATTGGCCGGAGATCTCTTTCTTTCCTGAAGACATCTTTATCCATATATGACACGGGCCCATGCCGTTCTATACCCCTCTGGGAGTCTTGCTTTATAAATTGCTTCGAATGGGAAGTTGTTCCTCGGCACAGCAACTACCGTTGCCTGAGGTCAGTTGTGAGCCAATGTCCTTGTTTGAGGGTACGTCTAGCGCTGGGTTGCCGGTGAAGAAATCAGAAGGTGTAATGTGCAATTGCAGCATTTCGACGGGCCTACAAGCTATGAGTAAAACGTAATAATAGTCAGAAATATCGCCACTTACATCACTGGCCAATCTTCGGTACGAGGGTTGTGTGTCAGTCCGAAGACACTCCAGACCACAACATCCTGGTTGAGGACATCGTCGTTCCTGTCGGCAGCATCCTTGACACCTCCGACCTCGACCTTGCTTTGCAGGGTGTATCGACCGCCGGCGTAGAGCTCATGGTCCTTGTATTTTGTGACCCAGAGGTGGTGGCGAGCGAAAAGCGCACGCTTGGACTGGATGCTGTTGGGGTCGGCGAGGAGAAGCTGCGTTGCGGGAGGTGTGATCTTGTATCCGACAGGCTTTCCACTGATAGGGTTTGACTTCTTCAGATTCTGGACCTTGAAGACACGGTTGTTCATAGGCGCTGCGTCGAAACCACCCGACGTGGTGACTGGCGTCTGTCTGACTTCGTAAAGATTACCATTAGGGTTTGTCCGCTGGTCGATCTTCAGAGGTAGGCTTTCCTCCTGCACGACGGTATTCTCGTTTCCGTCGATTGAGGGGTCGATGCGTACACAGAAAACATGCTGATGGTTCTGTGCCAGAGCACCTGGGCTTACAACGTTGCCCCAATGAGCAGTCTTGCCCGGGTCAATGTTGACAACTGATACAATACCCGTGGCGCGTGCCTCGACGACGATGCCGGCCGCCTGATCAAACTTGAAATTGAAAATGTACTCGTAGTTGGCGAGCGTGATGATGAACTGGATAACGAGCTCGCGGCGACGTGTCACGACAGCGCGGCCAGTGCGCCAATTTGTGTGCTTCCAGTTGATGCCGTTGTCCTGCTCGTGGAGGCAGATGACGTTCTTGGTTTCAACGGCATTTCCCTTGGCATCGGTAAGGACACCATCGAAGTACTAGCTTCAACGTTAGTATCGAGGACGAGTGAGAGAACCTCAATGTAGGACATACCTTGATCACGCCAAGACAATCGCACCCCAGAGTCAGATTGTTGACGGCGTTACCGAGACCACCGTCGCCAAAGTCGAATGCTTGCTTACGGTGAAAAGGCGGCCGAGGATCTGCGTAAGGCACAGTCTGGGACAGTTTCGTCAGATTTTGCTCCCCCAGCGACCTCACATTATGTAGTGACAGTTGAGACTTACCATATCGCTCATGCTTAAACGGTAAACTACTGGACGCCCATCGTATCGAATATCATGAACAACAGCACCCTCACGAGGGTTGAAAGTTACGCGCATACGCCACTTCTGCCACTGGATGAGGTTGCCATCCAACACCGAGAAACTGGGACCTTCAGGTTGGACCACAGTCAAGGGCTTAAGATCCTTGCGCGTACCGTTCGGCAGCAGTTCGGGCACGTACTCGCTGTTCTTGCAGTGATCAACAACAGTAGGCTTGTGCGTCTTGCCCTTGAAGGCGTCGCCCTTGCCGCCAGTAGCAAGCTCGTCGATACGCACGACTTCCTTGGTATGCGCATCCATGACAGGGATCAGGGGCAGGGGGTAGGCGTAGAAGTTGGAATCCGGGTTATTGCTCCGCGTGTCCCGTGCAAAAATGAGGGCCTGGAAGAAGCGGCGGTCCCCATCCGCTGGATCGGGAGCGCCGTAGGGCCATGGCTCGATGACGACCTCAAAACCCTCTGGTAACTTGAGCTCCGCGACCTTCTCCTTGAAGAGTGCCGAACGCTCTACTGCTTGAGCAAGGGTTTCGAATTCAAAGCTAGGCGCATATGCATGTCAACACTCCTCCTCGGTGCGCAAAATGCGGGGTAGCAGGGGTTGGACGTACACTGTTAAGCTTGCCTGGTGCTCAGAACCAATGACTTTCTGTTCAATAATCCTGCCAAGGTCAAGGTCGACTATGGATTCAGTGTACTGTGCTTTGCTTGTACCGCCAATGACATCGTAGAAAACCTGTGCGCATCTTGCTGGTCTCGGTGACGAAGCTGTAAGTTTCTGAGAGTGCTCAAGGTCCAAGAATTTCAACACCTCGGCCTTTGGCGGTTCCAAGACATAAATCTGCCTGAAATCGAGGACGGATCCGTGGTGGGCAGAGAGGACAATATCGCGGGCTTTGTTAGTTTCTGCGAGAGATAGAGCAGACAAAGGGTGCGGAACTGATGCCATGTTGGGTGATCCAGGAGCCGACAGTGGTGACAGACGATTGTTGTCAAGGCAGGTCTCGAGACTGAGCAAGATGTTTGTGTTTGTGAAGGTTCCGGAAAGCGGAGGACTGTGACTCTGAAGCGTTCAACCTATTGGCGCCTATCTGAGACAATGGGCAGATGTTCCGCGAGCTTTGGCCCCATTAAATGAGTCGAGAACGCATGGTTGGCTGTGTAGGTCGGAAATGGTTCCGAGCGCTGCGTGCGGAAACCCTCGGAAAGACGGAACCACCCGAGTCAAGGACCTCGTTTCCATCGCTCTTATCTTTTACCCCGGCCTGGATAAGAGGCTATGGGGGCTCATTTGTTAAAGAAATCAAGCCCGAAAGCTACTCAAAGGCTCACTCGATTGGCCACTGATTATGATGACGTTGGTGATTGGATCCATTGTTGAAGATAAGAAGGCGGATTCCAGCTGTGGTACCGTCGCAGCCGAATATCGTCTCCATCTCGGAGGAATCGTAGCACTCCGATTTGGGAGCTTCTGACAACTTGAATGATAAGATCAAGTGTATCTTGGTGCTAAACATAATACTTATGGCGTACATAACGCGAGGGCGCCCGATACACAGGGGCCATCGCAGTAAGATCGTACGACGGCAAGTCAACACCATTGATAATGGAAAACGAAATGAAGAAAGACACTGCAACTCTGACCAAAATCGGCTCACAAACAGACATTGCTAATGGCGATGACTATCGACTAGCTCAACTAGGGCACGCGCAGGAGTTGAAGAGACAATTCTCGTTGCCTGCCTTGGGAGCGTTGTGTCTCTGCCTCATGGCAACTTGGGAGGCTCTGTCAACTGTTGTCACACAAGCTCTTGTCAACGGCGGCGCACCTTGCCTCTTCTATAACCTGTAAGTCGACAACCTCACTTTAGGACTTGATAGGTGCAAAACTAACATCATGCCAAAGCATTATTTCCACCATTTGCACGGTGTGCATTGCCTCATCACTTGGAGAGATTGCTTCCATATATCCAACTGCTGGAGGTAAGGTGTCTTGGGCTCGTGTTCAACTTAAGAAAGCTTTCGAAGACTCCGAGGCAGACAGAAGCTTACAATCAAATGTCCAGGTCAATACCACTGGGTTGCGGCTTTATGCCCACCATCGACTCGGTCCGCGGCCGCATTCACAACTGGTTGGGTTGCCGTCGGCGGTCAGGTAGTCTTGACCTCGTCGGCCGCCTTTGCAGCCGGTCTCCAGGCTCAAGCTCTCATCATACTCAACGATGACTCCTATGTATCGGCACGGTGGCAAGGCATGCTGTTCTACTGGGCGATCCTAGTGTACAGCATGGCCATGAACATTTGGGGTCACAGGCTACTGCCAACCGCAAACTTGATTTCCGGTAAGCCATGCCATGTTGGCTTCTTCCAAACCTGGTTTCATTGACCGATATCAATAGGTTTTCTCCACGTCTTCGGTTTCCTGGCAATCCTCATTGTGCTTGGCGTCATGGCACCTAAGAATACTGCCTCGTTCGTATTTACGGAATTTGTCAACTCGAGCGGCTGGGAAAGCGACGGCGTGTCATGGCTAGTGGGGCTCATTAGCGCAGTATATCCCTTTCTTGGGTAAGAAAGTCCCTTTCTCAAAGCATGAATCCTCCTGACGACCTTTGTAGCTACGATGCTGCATGTCACTTAGCTGAAGAGTTGCCAAACGCAAGTCGGAACGTTCCTCTCGCCATGGTCGGCAGCGTTGTCGTCAATGGCCTCATGGGACTTATTTACGGTACCTTGCTTCTTTTCTGCACAGGTCCCCTCGAAGCACTCCTGTCAACTCCGACCGGATTCCCGTTCATGCAAATCTTCATGGACGCGACAAAGTCCCATGTTGGCGCGACTTTCTTGTCCATCTTGATCATCCTCACCGCTGTTGCTGCCACTGTGGCAGGAATCACCTCCACTTCGCGGACCTTGTGGGCGTTCGCCCGCGACAAAGCCACGCCTTACGATCGCTATCTCAGCAAGGTCAACAAACGCCAACAGATCCCAGTTCCCTCCGTCGTTCTGGTGACCGTTCTGCAGATGCTACTGGGTTTCATCTACCTCGGCAACACGACGGCCTTCAACGCCATTCTGTCGATGGCCATCATCGGCATGTACTCTAGCTACATCATTCCCATTGTCTACATGATGGCGTATGGCAGAAAGAACTTGAGTCCCTCCGATTATGCACCCTTCAAGCTGGGTCCAGTGCTGGGTCCTGTCTTGAACGTCATCAGCCTGATCTGGATGATCGTGGTCATCATATTCAGCACCTTCCCCTCGGCAATGCCCGTCACGCCACAGAATATGAACTATTCCATTGTCGTGATGGCTGGGTGGCTATTGTTTGGGGTTTTCTACTACCTGTCTTTTGGCAAGAAGAAGTTTGAGGTGCCGTCAGTTGACAGCAACGTCGTGACCGGCATCTCCGTTCCTGTGGATTTTCATGTCTGAACACTGTTCATATTGTTTTAGGAACGTATCAGGCTTCTACCTCAGCAGTAAAGAAACGAGAGAGCCCTTCACTCATCATATCAGCCCCTGGAACCGCCTTGAAATCTCCTCTGGGTCCCCAAGTGACACTCCTTGCTCGCTGCCCCCAAAGAACCCTACTGGAAAATCAGATGGCGCCGGGTGGCCTGCATTTGCATGTCCGAATGCGTCGAATAGGTTCAACAAGTCGTTTCCCATATTAAACATATCCGGTATAGAACCATTCGTCTGGGGACTCGTATCGTAGGCGTCCCATTGGTGTTCCACTCGCCTCCCATCCCGCTCGTTGTGACTAGACGCCTGATCTCCTTCATTCACCTGTATCTGAGCAAGGTTCTCGTCTCCGTTCTCCGTCGCTTGAGGAGCTTCTCCCTTGTCTGCATCGCTCCGTAAACCCAACGACTTGATACTGGGAAGAAAGCCCCTGATGGTCTTCCATAGTCTCCGACTTGCGTGGCCATGGCGTGAAAATCCTTTGATGAGCTGAACAGCCTTCAGGAAGTTTTCTTTGCAAAGGTCTGTGAAGATGCCTGGTGCATGACACACAGCCAGGAGAATCACGGCCAGTGCGCTCATGAGGAAGTAGTTGAACGCATTCTGCTGCCGCGCGTAGATGTCGCTCGTGTCGTTCAAGTGAACAAGGACCTGGATCGTATCTAGCGCAATGTCAGTAACAAGCTTAGCGCTCTGCATATCTGCCTTGATGCTGGCAGTGCTAAGGACGTGATGTCTGTGGATGAGCATCCGCATTTGGTTGCTACGTAGGTAAAGAAGGGTCCGTAGCCGATGCATGCTACGTGGCTGGACTCTAGGTGCAAGACCCAGCCTTGGGTGTCGAAGTTGCAAATCTTCTGGTATGGAGTTGAGCCAATTCAGCGTCATGAAGTCCAGGAATGCCACTGTGTCCCTGGGAATGAACTGTGACGGCGATTCAAATGGCGGAAGTGCATCCCAGACTTTGGAACAGAGCCTTCCATAGGCGACCATGCACCTAAGATAGGGATAGTCGTCTCCCTAACACAGACCTGTCAATATATCACCCTGGGTGGAGTCAATGCAGAGAACGGTGGGGACTCACCGGCTCAGGTAATTCAGGGTCGATATCCCTGTCAATGAGCCCAAATGACAAGCTTGTCCCGAAACTCCAGCGGCGGTCTAGAACATAGACACACCAGAAGCACCGCAAAGCCTGGTCCCTCTGCTTGGGGTCTTTGAAGTTCTCCATGAGGATGGCTCGCCGATGCAGCCCAATTTCTAATACTTCTCGCCCCGAGATGCCAATGGATCTCCAAGCTAGCAGTTCCTCGCCGCAATGGAACCAGTAGATGCTCTGCGACTGGTCAGTCACCAATTTCGGAACCAGCCGTGTCACACTTCCAGGAAACAGTTTTTCGAGCTTACCAGCATGGTCATGATTTGCAGCTCTTTCAAGTCTATAAAAGCCTCTCCAGAAACACGGCACACAATGGGCTCCACTGCATCAATAAGTTTCGTGCTGATCGCATTCTGCCCTTGAGCCTCCATTACTATGGACGTGGCGATTGCAACTTTGACGATTTGAACATCCTTAAGTTCGATCTTGGGTCGATCCTTCGGGGCTCGTGAGTCGGCTGGTGGGTCTTGTGGACGTCTGGCGTAGTTGAGGATATGCTCTAGGTTGGCCGAAATGTCTCTCATGTTAGTAAAAGGATAGACTGACTCGATTTCCTCTTGATACACATCAATCAGCCGGAGAACCTCGTCAAAGTCCAATATCAGGAGAGGATCGAGGTCCTCTTGCGCTGATGACGTGTGGTGGTCGGAAACCGCGGAAGGTGCTCTCGCCGAGGCCACGGGAGACGCAGACCTACTCGTGGGCGAGGCGTCGCGCGTCTGGATGTGCACCCGCGATAGGGACGACTCCGCTATGCGAAGGCTGTAAGCGGATCTCGTGGGTCCGACAAACTGAGGTTCTCTCGGTTCGCTGGGCCGTCCGGTTGACTCGCTCGTGTACAGAGGACTCGGATGCTGTGGGCCACCAAGAGCCGCTGGTGACCGGGTGTTGATGTGCGTGATCTTGTTGGTGAGCTCCCGAAGTGACGACGACAACGTGGCGACCTGCTCCCGGAGAATGGCGACCTCGTCGCTCAGATTTTTGTATGGAGAACTGTTGGTGCGGTTAGTATTGGGTAACTCTCTGTGGCGTCATTGCAACATAGTACGGATTGATAGATTCATCCCTCTCGTGTGTAACCTCGCGTTCTCTAAGTGGCGTATGTTGCGGGCCGGGAATGACGACGCATTCGACTCCATTGGAAAGACATCGCTGGCAAGCCTCGCGATGGTCTTCCTTGATGCATTTGAGTTTCCGCTTCTTGCACGCGTTGCTATCATTAGTTGAATTAGCTGTGGTCTCAACATATGAGGGACCAACAACCAGATGCCATACCAGGCTACAGGGGTGTACTTGGCTCGTTTGGACCGCTGGCCAACGCCAGATGCAGACGCAGGGGCGGCGCGCTTCTGGACCGATGCGGAGCCTGCCGCCGTCGACTGCGGCGTCACGGCCTCCGTCACGTCAGGGTCCGGGGCCATGTTGCGCTTCCAGCAGGATCGCGGTCTCTGGGATAGAATGCAGCGCCGCGGAACAAGTAGAGGTGCTCGGAATTGGGGGGCGATGTGGATGTTGATGGAACGGAATGGTTCCGAGGGGTGATGCGGTCGTTCCGATATTTATGAGATTACCTATTAGTAACGTACGGGCGCTCCTTATCTCGGTGCTGCATCCACCTGAGGATTTGCAGTTTTGGGGTCCAGATACAGTGGGCGCTGATAACGACTAAGCCTCCAAAACAGCCGGGATCCGGCAGGAAAGTCACCTTCGTTCAACGGCCACCATGACTAGTCATCCGAGGGATGATGGCAATGCAGCTCAAGCTAGTCGAGGAGAGATTTAGTTAATAACTAGTATCTACTATAGCGATAAATGTATCTTCCGTAGTAAACCACTTGCTCTTTCTTTAGCTGAACGCATGACAGCATGGAATGAGGAGGGGATGTTACCGCTTCCTTGATGCAATTCACAGGCTCGTTTACCTGGTTGTAAATCCTACTGAAACTGCCCGTTGTGAACGTAGGTGAATTCTTACGTATCTAGACACAGCGGGCAATCTCAGCCGACGACCGCTGTCTATAGCTGCCGAGCAGGGGTGGACTAACAGCACCCGATTGAACCAATTTGCCTTCTAGATAACAGAGAACATTATGCAAAATAGGTCATTGGAGTTACCATATAAAAGTCGCAATGAGAGTATCTCCAAACGCTGAGCCACATTCTCAGAGTTCCACGTAGGTTAAAGTAGCTAGACCTCAGGTCTTGGAAGAACCTGGGACAACTAAGCGACTTCACTTCGATCTGAGCTAGTCCATAATCTAAACCACACTTGACAATGAGTAGTACTCGATAGTTAGGCAAAGATGGCTGAGTAGGGGTGCTGACGGCTGAGATGGTTAAGGATGTAGGCGCGAAGTTTTGACCGGGGGGAGACTTGGCAGAACTATGTTCGGTGCTACTCTGTGAAGCCCCTGGTTGTTGATTACTAGACGTAGGGGACGATATGTCGCTGGAAGATCCTTGGGCAACACTACCCGGTGATGATTGATATGGTTGGCTTGACTGAGGAAATCTGTTCATGACGGAGGAAAGGATCCTTGCGAACTCGGTAGGGACCTCTGCCCATCTTTCCTCGCCACAAGACTGCCATCAGACTCGTTAGTCCAAAATTAAGTTATTGACTACGGCAGTTTGGCTCACGTACGCATGTCCAGTATACCCTTGCCTCTTTATCTCTAAGAAGCCTCTTGGTGGGCCCCAAGGGCCACCAGTCCCAAGACTCCATTGTCCAGCTCTCAACCTTGCTTTTAAAGGACTCCACTATCGACTTAAAGTAACCGTCGACGACTTCATCTTTGTTTCGAAGCCAAATTTGTGACGGTGGGATGCACTGCAGTTCCGTAATCAGAGTGGGCAATTTATATAGCCTAACCAACTCAGATCTCTTGCTTCCAGGCTCAAGCCAAGCCCTTACCACGGCCCGAAGCTCTGTTGTCATGGAAGGGTGGACGAACTCGTGCAGTTTCTGGCGGAGAGTCAGGAAGGCTGAGCTTTTAACAAAAAACTCAGTGATGTGATGCAGTTCCCTGAGCGAACCGTCGTATTGCTCATCCTCTTCGGCTCCGGCTTCTTCGATGCCCCCCTCGTCATCCGAGTCGTCTTTTATCTCTTCTTTCCCAAAGCGATTTTTAAGAAACTCTTCGATCTTTTTCCTGTTGTTGATCGACTCTGCTTGGCTCGTAATGTTTACTGAAAGCTTTCTTTGCGCAGCTGGGAACCTTGAGAAGAGCTCAATTGAGATCTTGATTGCAAAATGGCCCACAAACGCTGCAGCGACGCGGTGCTCACTGTTCTTTGCTTCCAGCTTGAGGTCCCTCGCATAGTATTGTAGAAGGCGGCCAAAGTTATTCCGCATTCTGTTTGGCTCTATGGCGCCTTTCTCCACTGACTGATTGATCAGGACTAATAGAAACTCGTCCTTACAGATCATATCGGCAAACTCTTGAATAAGCAAATTATTACCGGTTGCGGACATCGACCCTAGAGACGTCAGGCTTCTCAATGATTCGGCTAGAGAGAAAACTGAGTTGTTGTCAGGATCCGAATCAGAGTGTTCCGAATCGGTATCAGGCTGTAGGCACTCAGAGGCTGATATATTTTCAGGGTCTAGGAAGGAGCTTGCGTGACTTATTTCCAATGGGGTTTCGATGCCAGCTCTTGGTTCTCCAACCCTACATTCCACCTCATTTGAGTTTTCGGCCACCACAGCGGTGTCTTCTTGTTCTGCCACTCCTAGTCCTTGGCTTATACTCTTCTTTTCGTTTCGGATCTGCGTCAGTCGCGTGATAACAGGTTTGGACAACGTTTCTTTCGAAGACATCGCCTCCATTTGACTGCTGATAAGAGCTTCATAGGCCTGCAGACGAGCTTTGAGAGACTTTATAGACTGCTCAGCTTCGCTTAGACCCGCTTTGATGTGTTTGTGTGCCGATGGACGCTGTGAGAACTGGGTACGCTCCGTTGATGTAGATTCAAACCGCGCGATCTGGGCAGAGAACTGAGAACACATATCGAGACCTTGTCGGGTGCTCTCCTTCTCCTCTAGCATCGCATTCCACGTCATTGTAGCGTCGTTGATAGCTTATTTATCCATAGCCGTAATTTGGTTGAGCCTTTCCGTTATGTCTTCTAGACGGGCATTCAGATCGTTTGTGGTGTCCACGATCATGTCCTTATAACCCTCAAGAACCTCAAGCGATATAGCAGTGGTACGTCTTTTAAGTTATGTTATAAATAAAGGCTACTACATGACAGCGTAAACATAAATCAAACGCTACTTACAGGTTTTCATCTGCTAAAGCAATCCTGATAGTAGACTTATGTGCAGCTAGCATAGTCCTAAAGTCGTTGATATCAATTTGAGAATGTCTTTGTATTATCCACTCCCGTACGGTCAAACGCGATGGGTCATTGGGTTGTTTTCCGTATCGAGTAATGATTCCAGCATACTCTTCGCATGCGTTGCCGCAGCGTTCAAGTTGCAACATGAGGAATTGGAAGTCGAGGGTCGGGTCGTTGGCGATAGTCTCAAGAAATGAGCTCAAGACCATAGATAAATCACTGACTTCTGCTTCAAGTGCTCGGATTTCCTTGTTTCGGCTTTTGAATCCACGGATGAGTCCGTGGAGCGCTATGCTGGACTTGAGAGCAAAGCCTCCAACTGCCAAAACGCTAGCCGATATGCTGATCGGATCTGCCATGATGTATGTGGTACGTTTTGATAATATTGACTGCAAGTGTGGTGATCAGGGCAACAAGTGAGCGGCGAAGGAGTTACTAAGCTCTGAAATTGCCATCAAACGACTGGCGTCTGGTATGCGTATAAAGCCTTTCACCTTTCTTTCAGACCCTTATCGACAAGAGCGTCGTTGGTGTTGGAGGTAGAATGGCGGCGGTTAATGAAACACATCATCTCGTTGAGGGGTCGCATGAGGCTGGCGGGTAACTAATAATACATCTGCTTAGCAGGGGTGGAGTTGCCAACCGCAGCGTTGGAAACCTCGGCGTGCATCTTTAGGGCGCTAAGACACGCGCCCTAGGAAATTTAATGGTGAATCCTGCCTCAAACCATCGATACGAGTAGCCATCAGAAACGAGCTGCGCCGTGCTTGCAGGGGAGATTGCTGGTGTTCACTAATGCCGTTGCCGTACATCAAAGCCACCACCTCCAAACTCTTCGCGTAGCCGAGGATTCTATTTTCTAGGGTTACAGTATATATACAGTACAGTCCGAGACACTAAACAGTTGCTGATATACATAAAGGAATCACACCACGTACTATCTCATCATGCAGGCTGGAATGTGACGTGCTATCTCAAATTATGAGCTTGGGCATTGTGTACTGTCCTGAAGAATATACTGGTATGCTGTGTGCACTGGTTATATTTCTGACAATGCGACCTGATTCGCGCTTGAAACTGGGCATGTTCAACTTCTGATCAAGGTCTTCCGTGACCGAGCTGTGGCGTATAAGGAGTCATAACACCACATTGCACATGTACCCTTAGATAGACTTATGAATAGCTACGCAATACACACATGATTGGCCCAAAAGATCAGTGTATATAATCAACGGTCGATTTTACTTTGTTCTTGCTAGCAAAGCGGTATATACGCCCCTTACCTTGACAAGTCTAGACATAAGCGTGATTCATCAAGACGTTCCAATTCTATGATCTTGGTCTGTTGAGGGACCAATTCTGGACTTCTGGAGGCTTGGATAGACCGTGTGGGTCTGAACCTGAATAGAAGTGAGCAAATGTGAGAAAATGTGAGTAAGAGGTCAACGTAGGCTGAACACGGTGAGTTGGGTTGGGTTGGGTCTGCGCTGGGCCTACACAGCGCGCATTCAAATTCAACACAAGCGGCGCTGCGTTGCATAAGCAAGGGTAAGGTGTCCATGTTTGTTTCATGAAGTCAGTGATACAAGGTACAGAACTTTTTCCGAAGCCCATCGCGGAACAGAGTGCCCAGCGGTCTGCGACCTCATCGCCTAGATCTGTGGGGACAATGTTGAACATCACTCTTCTCTCCTTCGTCGACATGATGAGACAGAATAGTGGTTAGATGTATGTCGCACGCCCTTTTCTGGCGTCTCAAATTTCCATTGCTCTGGCCACGAACTATGTTCCAGACGTCTGGACCAACAGCCGTCATCAACAACCGCAGCTACAAAGAAGGACCTATGCTTTTTCGAGGACTACGATTACTCAATTGCAAAATTTAACCAACGCAGACGCGGATTTCGGCACACCCCTTCTGTTGAAATAACGCACAAAGGTATCGCCTCGCTTCTGCGGGAATGGTAACCTAGACGTATCCGGCAAAGGGGCACATTTGCCATCAACTCTGTCATCTGTTTCCAACGCCGCATTACAAGGGCTTGTTTTCCGACACCTGCTGCAAGTCATTTCACTTGCGGTACACAAAAAACGGCATCCACGTTACCGAGCTCTCCTCTCTATCCAACGTCAAAACCACGGCTTGGATCTCATCTGCATGCGCCGCTGAGTGAGGGTCCCTCCCCGGACAACGGTTTTCATTCTCTTCGACACCAATTTCATGAACGGCCGCCTGCAACCGATCCGTTCTACATGACCCCAGACAGAGGAGACTGGGCCATCGATAAGGGCGGTGCGTCCATGATGACTACCCCGCGTGGTCTTTATTCTCTACACGTTAACCCTGTTCACGTACATCCCAGCTTCTCGGCACTCCATCGTGCTGACTATTGGAATCCACCAGCAGCTCATGGGATGTCATGTTAGACGCGGATCAGCAGGAGGACCCCACCTAAACGTTTGGTCTTCAGGATACTGTGCTGCATTCACAATCACATCACACATCTCGGAACCAATAATGAGCTGATGGGTGCGGAGCACCGATTCTTGTTTGTGCTATACACCCCTCTAGGACATTGCCAAAGTCCTTTCACCATCCAACGCAAGCGTGTGCTGTGCGTGTACCCAGCCGACCTCACGGTCCCGTGTATATACATGCCAACGCCGCAGGGCATTCCAAGCCCTCGTCTTCCGGACCCAAAAGCAAACCGAGAAAGACATTCCGTATCCCCAACACCTTGCAGAAAAAACACAACTCTTGGAAACAGACCTCCTTGCGGAGGGGACAACACCTGTACCGTTGAAGTCAGGAGTGACGTGCCCAACCCGTCACTTGCAGCCCCTTTTTGATCCCCGAGGACCTTTCGTCCTAAACGTGGCCGTCTGTTTATATACAGCTTTTTCAAAACCTCGGTGACACCACCGAAGCGTTTGGCTCGTTGAGGAGGCGTGAAGTGCTGTCACCGCATTTCACCGAGCCATGAAAACGTATCTCCACCGATTGACTGTCGAACGACAAAAGATAGAAGGTAACGAGAGAAGCACTCAAAAGAAGAGAGTGAACTGAAAAGTGGAATACAGAAAGTGGACTGGTTGCGGACGCAGTGCCTGGGCGTTCCCACCGGGCAGGCATTCGGCAACCATCTGGTACTGAGCATGATGTCATGGCATCATTGCCATTGGAAGGAAACTAGCCTCTTTTTTTGTCGTGTTTTTCTTTTTTGCTCGACCTTGCAGGTCGCATGGTGGTGGGCGGATATTGGGCAGGCTCGCGTCATGCACAGAGCACAGTCGGCCCAATGAACGCCTGAGCGCTGCCCAACACCAAGCCCAGCCACAGTCGGGGGGGAGGATGTAACACGAAAAGAGAAAAACAAGCCATAATTAGGAGAACCAAATCAGGGAGATCCAAGACATCTCAAATCAGTAGGCGGCATAACCGTCGAAACCCTCGGCGAGCGGGTCCTGAAAGGTTGTTGGTGTGACAGTGTTTGAGGATGAGATGGAGAAGGCCGGCTCGTGCGACAGACCGTTCATTGGCGAGTTTGAAGTAAAGGGCGAAAAGGCAAATGCTTCCGACGCGGACGAGAGCGGCATGTTGGAGACAGCCAGGTATGAGGCCTGAGAGGTGTCGATAGCCGCCAGTTCGGGCATGTGGTAAGATGTCGTGAAACCCATGTCGTAGTTCATGTTCTCGCCCATGTGCCCGAGGGACAGATCCATCGACATGGAGGGGTCGAACTGTGCGGCCTCTTCCTCCTCTTCTTCCTGGGCCTCGGCCTCGGCAGCCTCGTCGTCGGCGGTGACAAACACCTCCTCCATCCACTGCTTGAGCTCGTTCATGGGGGGCCAGTCACCGCCGCCCTTGCCGCCGCGCTTCTCCTCGTCGTCGCCCCTCTTGTTCTTGCCACGGGGAGTCTTGGGCTTGAAGTGGGTACGGCGGAGGTGAGCCGCAGCGTTGTAGTAGGCGCCGTACTGTTTGCGAGCGACACACTGCTTGCACTTGGACAGCGGGTTGATGGCCTGGACGCCGGACTGAATGCCGACAGTTGAGGGGTCGCGGCACACGAACTTCTTGACGATGCCCTCGTGCTTTGCGTTGATGTGTCTCCGCAACTCGTGGTCGCCGCGGAAGCCGTCGGGGTGCTCGCTGCACATGTCACAGAAGACCTTGGGGTGCTTGGGGCGAGTGTAGGTGCCCTTGCTCACGGCAACCTTGCCCTCCTTCTTCGCGGCAGTAGACTGGGACGACTTGGCGGCTTCCAGAGGCTTGGGGCAGATCTTGGTCCGGTGGGCATTTTGGATCTGCTGCAGACGGGCCTCCTTCGCCCGGCGTTCGGTATTTGACTTTGTAGAGGCGGTGCTGTTGGCGGAGATGGAGCGCTCCATCATGGAAGAGCCTTGCGAGAGGAATTGCTCTTCCATGGGCGACGGCTGAGCATAATGCGGCGAGAGGCTGGCGCCGGCCCCGACATAGGCGAGATAGCTCTCAGGCTTGACATTGGGCGAAGTGCCTGTGGGTGGGACAGCGTACAAGTCAGAAGGCATGTATTCGGCGACCTGCGACTGGGTCGAGTTGATCCTTGCCATCTCGAACGCGCCACTAAGAGACTGGTTGTCGAAGCGGTTGTCGAAGGAGCTGTTCTCCCTCGTCAAGGGCATTGTCTCGGCGGCAGAGGTGCCAGAGCTCATTGACGGGCAGGCCGAAGTAATCAGGCTGGCCTGGGAGTTGCGGCCGTCGTAGGGGTTCAGGTAGTTCTGCTGCGGCGGCGGGATCATGGCAGGAGAAGGTATCTCGTCATGTGCAGCCAGGTAGTCGGCGATGTTCATGCCGACGCCGGGGTCTGGGAAGGTTGCGTGTTCCTCGACTGGCGAGAGGCCGGAATGGCGACGATTTGACGGCGCGCTCTGCAGAGAGGACTCGAACAACACATGAGGGTCGTCTTGGCTTTGGTAGAAGCGGTCCATCATGGTGTTTGGGTTATTTGATGTCTGGAGGGGCTGCAGAGGACCCTTGACGACGAAGGGGATCGACTTCTCTGATCTGTTGGAAGCGCTTCTTGCCATGCCCGTCATGGGCGCTGCGCGGGGGTGCTGCTGCGACATGACTCTCGCGCGCTTGACGGGCTGCGGTGAGTCGTCACTGTTGCGTTCCTGGACGCTTGTTAGCACGGATGGCACTTGATTCACGATGGTCACGGTCGGTGGAGCATTACCATCATTCTTGTGGGTGCGGCAACGTAGCCCATATTGGACTTGCTCCTAGGTATGGTGGCCCGGCGGCCCAGAGGGACGCCATTTGACAGTTGCTGATGTTGGAGGAAGGCAGCATCTACATGGTAGTCACCTTGGGTAGGGAGCATGTTCATGGGACTGCTCTGGGCAGCTGGGGCAGATGCATTTTGCTGGAGGAGAAGGTTGTGGAGGTTTGCCAGCTCTTGCTGCTTCTGTTGCATCTGCCGCTGAATCTCTTGAACGTTCTGGTAAGGATGGCTCATGTTGAGTCAAGTCGACGTTGAACAGGCGGGGTGGTGAGTGAAGCTAGGGTGGGTTTGGCCTGGGTTGGCTTATGTTTCGTGCCGAGGTGTGAAGCTTATCGAGCCTCAAACTCGGTGCAATAATCCGGGGCCGTCCAAGTCAAGACGGGGAAGTGAGTATTCGATGGCGGCGGACGAGGTGTGAAGTGACACGGTGTTGGTGGTGGTGCAGCCTCGTTCTTTTCTCTCCAGCGCGCATTCAAGGACCCCCGAGTAACGGTGGTGGAAACTCGGCGGGGGGGTATTGACTGAGGGGAGTAAATAGACGAGACAAGACTATTGTTGGTTTGTCTCCTGCGTGCCGTGCGAAACAACAAACCCGGCAGCGGTAGTTTTTTTGTTTCTTTGGTCGAGACTATCTTTGTCTCTTGGGGGGGGGGGGGGGGGGGGGGGGGGGGGGGGGGGGGGCAGGTTGGGGTCTCGAAGATTTGTGCGAGCAGTAAGTTTCAAGGTTGACTTGAAAGGCGAGGCGAGGCAAGTCGATGGAACAGGGAGATTGTGGCTTCGAATAGGAAGACGATCGTGGGAGGATATGGGAAGGCGGACGGCGCGAGGCCAGTGGTTTAAAGAAGTCGAAAGGATCAGCAGCGCAACAAATGTCCAGTCATGGAAGTGAGGCTTTGCGGCGTCTCCACAGCGAGCTGGTAATGTCGGTGGAACAGACAAGACAGAGCACGCTAGACGAGCAGGGATGGGAGGAGGGATGGAGGGTGGATGATTGACGGCGGTGGTGGTGGTGGTGGTGGCAGTTGGATGGATGGATGGGAAGGGGGTGGGCCTTGCGATGATGATGATGAGGTGTGGTGTGTGTGTGTGTGTGTGTGTTTGGGGGAGGGGGGAGGGGGGGTGGATGGAGGGCGAGGATGGATGGTTGATGGTTGGACCGGGGGAGAAAAAGAGAGAGAAAAAGAGACAGACAGACAGACAGACAGACAGAGAAACAGAAGATGATAGGGTGGATGGTTGGGCGAAAGGTGTGATTGGGAGAGAGATGGACGACGAGGACGAGGTGGTGGTGGTGATGAGCTGGCCGGCGTGGAGCTGCACCGGTGCTGGTTGGTCATTCAGTGTCAGGACTGAACGTTCCGACTGGCGTACCGTACGGATCCAAGGAAGGCCTAAAGGGCTGACTTCTCTCTTTCCCTCTCCCCTTCTCTCTGTGTGTCCTTTCCCTTCCCCCCACTGTTTTGCTATTGCCGGTGATATTGCAGTTATTACACAGCTCCTCTGCACCTGGGCTGGTACCTATTCTGCCCGGCGGGAAAAGGTGCGGTGAGAGGAAATGGGGGGGGGGGGTGTGGGACGAGCGACGAAAGGCACGGCGAAGGGGGGACAATTCCAAAGGGTACGTACCGCTCGTTGCGCCAGAGCAGAGCAGAGGCAGGCAGGCAGGAGCAAAGAAACACATTGCCCATTGGGTGGCAGACACGAAAATGCAGGGAAGGAACGAATGGAAGCGAGGAAAGAAGGTTAAAGTGGATGCAGCCCGCCCGTCCGTGGCCCCGCGATTAATGGCGACCCGTTACGAGCTTCACCCAGTCGCGGTGCAGCACTCTTACGGAAGGCGGGTACGTACCCGGCCAGCTCGGTCGCCCAGTCTGCTAGGAAGTTGGGTACTTGATATGGGTAAGGTACCATGCCATAGTGCCATGTATGTATGTGCTACAGAGCGCTCTACCGACTCTGTACACACGTCGTCCAGTCCCGTCCGGTTTCCCGGCTCAGTTCAGTTCAGTTCTGGTTCAGTTGGGTTCAACCCCCACTGAGCCGACGAAGCAAGGAAAAGCTAAGCAGCTGGGACCTTCCTCGTCAGCCGCTGGCCGCCGCAGAGCGCTGTCGTCGCACGCCGCGTTTCCAGTTCCTGGGTCGGCACCCGCGAAGCCCATCCCAGCCCACCTGGCCCTCGGGTCCCTTCCAGTGGACCAGTGCTGGGACGGTATTTTGGGCTTCGGTGACGAGTGTCCCAATCCCAGTTTTCAGTGTGGTATTTTTGAGGGGTGGGAGTGTGGTGGATGCCGTGCTGTTGATCAAAGTGTGAGTGCTGAACACCCAAAGGGGTGTGTGTGAGTGTGCGTGTTGTGTTGTCTTGTGTCTTGTCTTGTGTACGTGTGTGCGTTTGTGTGTGTGGGCACCGAACACGTCTGCTAGCGTGTGTGAGGTCAAGGGTGCAACGTCTGAATCGACCCTCTCTCTCTCTCTCTCTCTCTCTCTCTCTTCAGCTCTTCAGCAGTTGCCGATGACCTCTATCCATCACGCTCACTCTCATTCTCAATTGCCGCGCATGCTCATGCCCACGCTCACCCTCATTCGACTTGAGGTTTCGCCCGGTTGCCGTTCAGCTGGCTCACTGGCCACCCGCCCACGGACTCACAGTCCCCTGGACGCCATGATGGTGGTGGTTTGGATGGGTGAGACTGCGAGCTCTGTCTTGGGCTCGTTTGGCTTTTGCATCCATCTTGACCGCATCGAGACTGGCCCTGAACCGCAGCTCAGGAACCTTGCCCTCTAGCCCGGCTGTAGCTGGGCTGTAGCTGGGCTGTAGCTGGGCTGTCATTGTCAATCTTGCCGGGGCCTTAAATCGTGAAGCTTTCCCCAACCCAGCTTGGTGCTGCCCATAATGCCCCCTAGTGCTGGCCATCACGACCTGACCGTCATCTTAGCCCGCCACGGCAGTCATCAGTCAGTAGTCGTCACTCGGGTCTCCTCTAAATGTGGCAGACGTACATACAGCAGCAGTGCGGGTCGGCCCCCGACGACCTGGTCCTGCGTGTAATGAAAAAGAGAGGGGAACACGAACGTCTGGCCTGGCTGGGCCCCCGAGACCAGGCAGACTGCGTCTGTTTCCTAGACACTCACCACCCTGGCCAGTTGGACCGACATCGTGATCGTCCCGAACTCTCCTAAATGGGCCCACCCGCTTTGGGGTGGGGAGGGATCCCCTTTCTGCTGCAAAGGCGAGATCGAGATGCCGATGAGATATCCCACATCCATGTTTCTCTCTGTCTTTACGAATCCTCCACTTTGGATTCATCCGTCCGTCCAACCACCTGTTCCGACCTCGTCGCAATTGTCGTACTCGTCCGTCTCTTGTGCAAAGGATTTCCATCGCATCCATCCGGCTATCTGAACAGGCAGAGTGCCTCTTGACTTCTGCCCATCTCTGCTTGAGTTGCCGCCCGTGCAGCACCTTCTTTGCTATTCCTGCTCCCGCAACCTGTCCTAACATGGTGACCATCGCGCCCGACGCAGCTGTGCGCAAACGCACCCGCGCGGCCTAGGAGCTTCAGAAGTTCGGCACGCAGCACCACATCCCGTCCGCCGAACCAAGGAGGGGGTTGGTGGATCGGCTTCTGCGACGCATAAGCATTGCCCGCAAAGAAAGAAAAAACAACAGACCAGACCACGATCAAACCAGACCAGCCAAACTATCCCCTCCCTTCGAAAACGGGCACCGGCACGGGGTTGGATGGATGGTGTGTGGCTTCCCGGGAGGTCTTACCGCAAAAGCAACCAGCGCCAGGCCCGTTTGACGCCGTCTTGCCATGACTCGTCCCTGGCGCCATTGACCGTTAGGTTTGCGGTTCCGCGCTACATGACATGACAGGTTGCCGGCCGAATGCAAAGAAGAGCGCGAGAGACAACCTTTCTTGACATCATCCCATCGGTCGAGTGCCAAGCAAAAACACCACGGCCGCCAAATGACTCCGTCATCCCCATCAGCTCGGCGGCCGCAATGTCCGCCATCATCAGAAGGGGGCCAGAGGAACGAGGTCCTTTTAGAGCAACCCTACTTCGTCCGTACTTCTGTAACCTTTCCCCCGCCATGTATTCGCGTCCTCTCCTCGTCTTTATTGCCCTTTCAACGACAAACATGGTCTTCAACCTCGTTCATGCGGAGCTTCCCTCGCTCCCCGCTTCCCACCCCCCTCCACTTTCTCGCAATTTTGTCGGTCCAAGACGCCGGATCGCCATTCATCACACACGTACGCAAACGAGGTCAAAGTGCGAATTGGCTTTTGCCTGTCTTTTCGGGACGAGATCGGGATGAGGGCGGGGGAGCCCTTTGCGCTTGACAACGTAGATCCATGGGTTTTCGTCCCAGTTCTCGGATCATAACCCATCTTCTTGACCCGATCTCCGACCTTGGCGGTCCGAGTCACTTCTTTCAAAGTCACCGACTCGAGAGCGATCATTACTCCGGATGGGGGTGACTGTGAACTCTACCGCAGGAACAATGATGGAATTGTGAGTCTCGAATGACGGACCACGTCGAGCGTTGAGCAGAGCCTGCCAAGGCACGGGGCACAACGGAAATGTGGTTGGAATTGGAATTCCTCGATATGCTTTTGCGGCTGCGCGACGACGAAGTCGCGCATCAACAAAAACATGCCGCACATGGGCTTGCGTAAGGGTCCGTGGACCGTGATCTACCCAGCAAAAACCCAGACAGACTAAGGCCATGCCTGGCTACCTAATCTACCGTAACTGATCTTCAAGCCTGGACTGGGGACGGGGCAGGCGGAAGGGAGCCCGGCATGCTCTCCTAAGACATTGGGGAGCGCGGGATGTTGACGCACGAAAGAAAAGCAATGTGAGCATGAAGGCAATAGTTGTGCTTGGATGCGGCCCGGGGTGGCACTTTGCAAAAAAGGGTGTTGAGGGTGCCCGGTGCCGGGCCTGACTGACCTGAGGAATAAGAAACAACACCAGAGACATTGGCTGTCATTGTGGTCGACGCCGGGACACTAGGGACAGCAGATCCCTCTTCGTTCGGGCCCTTTTAGGCTTTCTCGCCCATGATGACCATGCAGCTTCCCATGTCCATACGGCCGGCGAGAGGCTGATGAGCTCTCGGGGCAGGCTAAAAGGTGGAAAGGACCTCGACGAGACCATTGAATCCCCACGGGCTTCCCACGCCGCGACCATGTCGTGCCATGCCCTCCCTACGAGGCTCACAACGGGGACTCCATGATGATGCTCAGGCACATCGACCACCTAGGTATGCCTGCTTGCCCCTCGTCCCTCCCCTCCCTCCCTTGTCGCGTGTCTCTGGTAGCCCACATGCATCGTGGACGCCCACCACCAACTGCATCTCGTTGTCTCTCTCGAAGCAGTAATGATGCGATGGGGGGTTTGCTCTCGACCCCAGGCGCCCGGGTGCTGGCTGACCACCTCATCTGCCCGCGTCCCCCTTCTGTATCACGTCGACCCGGCGTCTCATTCGACGGGGACTCGCTGCATCTCGAGCAGGAAGTCGAAAAAAATACTGCCTGACCACTAGGGATGTCCTCTGTCGACTTGCATGGCGCCGCGCCGTCCATAGACGACAAGCGACATACGCCATGGCCCAATCCAAAGGCCATCCGTCCCATCACATCACATCTCAATCCACAGCACCCGCCAGCGACCCCGAATCGTTGTTTGTGTGGTTGACACGATGCGAGGCCATGCCATGCCCATCACTGGGTGCATGTCGTCCCCTCGCCTGTCCAGTGACATCCATTGGCGATGTTGGTCCAATCGTCGACCTGCTTGCCTCGTTTTTTGGTGAGGGTACGTACCTCCTCGTCCTCCCATCACCCGCTCTTCCCACCACGCTGGAGAACCCCCCACCACCACCAGATGATCACCACACGCGTGCCGTCTCGCTGGCGATTGGGACGTTCACTGAAGAGCCCATCGAGTGCCGTTTGGTGTTAGTGCCGCCAGGGTACTAACACCGCTGAATTGGGCCGTTCCATGTCCTTCAGCGCCGGGAGCTCCCCCCCAACTTCCAACTCCACTTCCCACCCAGATTCGGCCTCGGCGAATCACAGCTTGTTGTTTTCTCGCTATGAGGGGACTAGCGCCGCAGGGCGAGGGACGATTGGCCACGGCTCGTTCCCGCAAAGTGAGGCTGGCGCCCCGCTGCCGTAAGCCATTGGCTCCTGCGATCCCGCGCCGACACACGTGTGGGGGAATGGGAAGTGGATGATGGAGGAGGAAAGTGCCAACAGCTGCCTTCCTCGTCTCTGCTTAGCTGAGCTTAGCTTAGCTTGGCATGCTGCTGCTGCTTGCTTTTCCTCGTCTCGTCTCATCTTGTCTGCTCAGGCTCCCTTCTACTGAACGAACTCTCTCACTTGATTTGGTATTCCCACCCACGCACGCTTTTACTTCCAAGGACATGCCAGACAAGGGCCGCTCGGCCAGTCTCCATCGCCCAGCAGCGCTCCAGCTCTCCAACTTCCCCATCCGACTCAAATCAGACCTGCCCCAGTCCAATACCACCAAGCAGCAGCAAACAAGCACATCTCCAGAAGAAGCTCAAGATCGTCCCGCAGACCCCCCCGTCGGCGCAGGGCACTCCGCCTTGGAGGGAACGTCCCTCCATTCGGTCATTTCCAGCTGGAGAAGAAGTGACCCAAAAGAGAGCAAGCCAAGTTCAAAGTTGGCAGAACCCGCCAGAGAAGCATCTCCATACTCCAGATAGACCTCTCTGACCGCCGGAGAGATGAGGTGTCATGAACCGCGACCCGGCTAGCACATGGGCCAAGCATCTTTGCGACAATCTCCCGTCATCAGACGGCTTCTGGCATTGTAAGGGGAGGGGTGTTCCCGGCAGCCCCGGGACGTTTCCTTTCCCCTCTGTGCGACTGCGTGTGTGTACTATGGTCTGTGTGTATCTGTGTGCGCGTACGTCTCCTTCTGTTTCTCTCCCACCTTTCCTGATTCGACCGTGCGGACGCGGCTGCGACACAATGTTCCTCGCAGATCGCTCTATGTTTGTCACCTCACCGAACCTGCAACTTTGAATAGCGCAGGGTTCCCACCTCGGCCTTTGCGTAGCTACTCGCGCGCGACTCACGCGCGGAACGACTGACCGCAGTTGCACTAGAAGCTGACTTGACCGAGTGGGTTGTATTCCGCAATGTACAATTGCCCAGCTCCATTCAGTTCCTCATTTCCCTTTCTCGCTTTCGCCATCGCTTCTAGACCCGTCTCACGAAAATGCCACCGTTCCACTCAAACCGTCGACACACGGCTCTTACCGCCCCTCGGAGATCATCCGCATCTCACTGGACCCATTCGGTCATCGACCCCGCCAATGGATGCAACGCCAACGGAGCGCAGTCCGGGAGAGGCGTCAACGTCTGTTCCATCGATCGCCGCATAATCCCCTTCTTTTTTCCTTCTTTGTTCTCACTAGAGGGTGTTTTTTGATTACATCTCAACCCTCACTGCCAAGCACAGAAAGCCAATCTGTCTTGTCTGTCTTCCGTGCGGAGGCTGAGCCATACACACCCATGATGTTGTCCGCATGCCACAACCACGCATGGAACGCATGGTTGCCTTTCGACGCCGGTTCTCCAATCGGCGGAGGGCATTGCGCATCCCCAATGGCCACTGACATCTGTTTGTTTTGTTAGTCTTCGCCACGTCCCTCTCGGTGTGCCAGAGAAAAGGGTGCGGGTGGGGGGTTTAGGACCGTACATTGAGAGACAAGATGCAAGCCTGACAGAAGGAGCCTGCCGCTAGGACATTGTCATCCAATCCGGGCAAACTCACGACCACCTTAGCTTCGTCTGTCCTGGACACTGGTTAATGCCTCTCTCCCCCAGGGTAGGACGTGCGATGGGAGGCGTTTCCTTCGCCGAATGGGATCTGTGTTGTCTTCGGCCCCGAGCCGTATCGCAGAGATGTACCGCATCGCATCACATCACATGGCATCGCATAGACTCCCCGGCGCAGCGCCGACCATGCACAGTCTGCGTCTGTCCCCTATCCCATTTGCCCAACCGGTGCGGCTCGTCATGTCAGTCGTGCAGCAGCTGCCTGGCAGCCTACAGCAACATTGGCCCGATGGGGCGCCCAGAGCCAGACCGACCTTTGGCTGCCGTCCGCGCCGCTACTGCCTAAAAATCTTCACAGCAATATTAACACCCTCAGAGACGACGGTGCCGCCAACCTGGTGAGGCTACTTCGAGGCGAAATTACAGAACAAAGGCCGTGTGAGTTCAGTATACGATTTAACGATAACCCAGCATTCTCAAATTTTCCGAAGTGGCATTCTTGTACAAGGCATGTATGGCAGGCCAGACCTAGGGGCATGTTAACTGGAGCTTTGAAATGTCGGGCTTCGTAGCTGGAACGATGCACCTAATCTCATCGATACCGACGGTGGCACACCCGCGCTTGAGGCGCTTGCCATCCATGCCCCGGCGTTGCGTATTGCTTGGCAATCAAACATGTGAGATCGGCACTGCAAGTCGAGACGCCGCAGAGATGATGCCCAGTAGCATAGGCAAAAGGCTTCGCTATGAGGCAGGGTGAGGGCAGACACGGGGAACTGGCATACGTGCTGCCGCATCCATGATAGGTCTGTCCCGTCGAACCGGCTGTCCAATGCAATGTTTCGTCGGTAAATCAGGAAAGGCCGCACGGCTAGTCCTGCTTCTGGCTTCTTGGCTTCAGGTTTGCGCCCAAGTGCGCATCTGGTTTGTTCAATACCGGTGTTGGCGACTGTATACAGGAAGTGCTTGTGACCGATGGACTGACAACGTGCTTGATAGCTCGGGGTGATGGAAGCAAGACCAGTCGTCACGGTGTCCCAGTGAAGTTGGTTCCAGATGCTGAGAGCCTCAGCTCTGCCGTGCTGGCCGTAGCCCGAGCCTGTCCCATCTCCTATAATCCCAAACGCCGAACAGGAGCTGTGGCATTGCATCTGGGCTCTCTCTGATGCAGAAATGCCACCACCATCCTCTCGGAGTGAGACAGATTGTAATGCAATCCCATAGATGTACCATTCGTGAAGTCACAATTTAGCGCTGTGCGTGGGCTCTCTCTGGTAGGTTGGTAGGAGACGCTGCACAGATTTGATGCTGACATTTTCTCGGCACACTCTCCCATAGATAAGCCATTTTACTCTTTCTTAGCTGTCAATCGTGCACTGCAATTTGAACAGCCCCCAAGGGGATGTCATCAGCATTTCTATGCATTATTTCTATCTCAGAGCCAAGATGCAACACCACAACGAGGCAGGCCGGAGATCATGTTATATCTATGGGACACACAAAGTAGTGGTCAATTTACTCAGGTCCAGTTTGTTCGACAGGTTCCGGAATTGTGGCCCCCGAAGACATGAAGCTTTGCGCAAACTCAAGTTGGGACAGTGATGTCGACTTAACGTACGTACTTCTCTGGTGCTACCAGCTGGCTAGCAATTGATGTTAATATGGCAGAGCAGCACGTGAGACAAGCTACAAGCTCTTATCGGTTATCGGAGCGGTCTCCACCGAGCCTACCGGCAGAACATCGGCAATCTTGACTGGTACCTTGCGTAGATGACACCTGTGAGCTACGGAGCGACGGAGCCAATGCGCGGCGCGGGTGTCTAAGTAGCTTCAAGGTGGCCACACGAGCGACGGGCACCTCTCCCTCATAATCAATCTTGGTTTCTCTACATGTGATCGAACATTCAACTTCACGGCACGATGCGCCGTCTCAACCTAGTCTTGCTGGCGACAGCCCAGCTGTGCGGGGCCCGTCATCCCGGCTTCAGCATCCACGATGACCTCGTAGCCTATCCTCAGGTTCGTCCGAAGCCGCAACTCAACGCTGACGATTAAGCTGTGGTATGCTGACCTTCTGTGCGCCCTCAGTACGAGATAGTCTTTTCGGAATCATTTATATTAGAACACGATGCGCAGGCACTCTTGGACCGCACGAACCCGCACTCGACGTACTCGGCGGAGTTCTCGACAGCTTCCGACATCTCGCAGAAGGTGCGGGAGGCCGGCGACGCCGACGACGGCGCCGGCACGGAAGTCTTTGAGAAATACGAAATCATGAACATGAACCCGTCGAAATATCTCTGCTCAATACCCATCTTGGAGCCGCAGACGCCCGAGAACCACACGGCGACGGAGCTCGCGAAGCAGGAGGAGGCGCGGGAGCTGGCCAAGGCATCGGCCCATGGCTGGGAGCTGCTGAATGAGCTCGACGGCAATTGCCTGTACTTCATGTCCGGATGGTGGAGCTACAGCTTCTGCTACAACCGCGATGTCGTCCAGTTCCACGCGCTCCCGACGGTTCCCAACGGGCAGCCGCCGGTCCGCGACCCCCACACGACCCAGTACGTGCTTGGCAGAGTGCAGAAGTCTCCCAGCCAGCACCAACAGACACAGAACGAGGAACAGCAACAACAGCAGACAAAGTCCGGGGACCCGCCGGCGAACACGGATCTGCAAATCAAGGGCGACCAGCGTTATCTCGTCCAGAGGATGGAGGGGGCACCATTTGCGATCTGACTGGCCGCGAGCGGACAATCGAGGTGCAGTACCACTGCGTGCCGGGCATGAAGGGAGACCGCATCGGCTGGATCAAGGAAGTCACAACGTGTGCCTACCTCATGGTCGTCAATACGCCGCGCCTCTGTAACGACGTCGCCTTCCTCCCGCCGCGGGCTACGAGCGCGAACCCCATCAGCTGCCAACTCATCCTCCCATCCGACGACCCCAGCGCGCAGGCCGAGTGGCACCGCCGCAAGACACTTGAGGCCGAAGAGGCGATGGGGGGGAAGAAGGTGGACGCCTCTACCAAGGAGGAGCAGGAGCTGCAGAAGAAGCAACAGCCCGACCCCAACGCTAGGGACAAGGCCAAGGGCATCAACGTCGGCGGCGTCATCGTCGGCGCGCGCAACGTGCTCGCTGACGCCGACGAGGAGGGCAAGCCTCCCGCCAAGCTCGCGCCTCCGCGTAGCTACCTGCCGGGGCGTGGGCACGGCCCGCTGGTTGAGATCATTGCCAGCGCCAAAAGCAAGGCCGAGGGAGGCACTATGGAGGTCCTCGACGAGGACGAGCTCAAGAAGCTGGACCTGAGCCCGGAGCTCGTGGAGGAGATGCGGGCGGAGCTGGAGCGCATCGCCGGCGACAAGGGGTGGAAGCTCGAGGTTGTCGAGCAGCCGGGCGACCCCAGGGAGATCCGGGGCATCGTCGACCACGGCTCCGAGGGGGAGCTCGGGGAGGATGCCGCCAAGGGCAAGAGGAAGAAGAATGGCGCGGCGGAGGAAGACGGGCAGCACGAGCAACAGCAGCAGGAGCAGGAGGGTAGCGAGGAGCATTTCTTCAAGGAGGACCTCTGAGATGCGCTCCTTTTCCCGAGATGGATAGCATTCGGCGTTTTGGGGTGTGGGCTTGTATTGATACACCGAAGCATTGCCGAGGAATACAGACGTGTTTGTAACGCCTTGGTTCTTCTGGCTCTAAACCCTCTCGTGCGCAGTGATTCCAGCCATGTTCTACGGGAGCATCGCCTCCTGCATCCATCTGCATTGGCTGGGTAACATACCCAACGTAGAGAACATAGAGTGACCAAAGGCCTTGCGGTTGTTGGCCTTTGTCTCTGCATGGTTTGGCTCGGTGGAACACGCGGCTGCAAACTTTGGAATACACCGTGTCACAGGACGCATCGAAGTTTTTCGTATAAGGTATCATAAGGCATGAATGGAGGTATTCCCAACCAATGCTAGCATTCCTCATATGGATACCCAACAGAAATGACCTCCTTCTCGAATATTCTCCTTCCCGGACGATCATCTTGGGCTGTAAAGCGTCAATATTGTCTGGACTCCCAGTCCACACAACGCTGGATGTAACCCTGCCATGGCCTCGACTGACTCCTGCCTGCTCTTGGCGCTCTTTCGAGCCATTGCCTCACGGATCGAGTGCTGTATTCTCCTCGTACCTGCCTCCGGTCTCCTTTCTTGCCGTCTTTCCGTCTGGACCAGGAGACAACCTAAATGCCACGCAACCCGGGCACCTTGCAGAAGTCGAGAGGACCCGCTGGTTCCTTCCACATCTACCAGCTCCTGGCACAAGCTAGGTCGACGGAAAGAGTGCTCGGTGAGGCAGATGCAACTCCAGTCATACTATCTCGAGCTTGATTGGCTCCGCACCTTCCAACGTCGCTTTTCAATCTGGGCCAGAACGTTTTATCGCGCTCCATCGGATGATCTCTTCTGCTTTTGTCGAGTTTGTTAATCACTTTGGAAAAAAATTCTCTCCTTGCGTTCAAGGCTTGGACGGACGCTCCGGTTGCCACGAATTGCTCCTCAGTACTTCAAAGCACATCTGTCGACGCGCCCATCTATCGGTCCGCGCGTGCCGAGAGTCCCATCACGTCACGAATCGGTATCCCACGAAGGATCCTAATTAACGCAAATGATATGTCGTTCCCTTCCCCTGCCCGCTCCTGTGTTGCCTGCATCGCTGGCGTCTAAACCGAGTCCTAGATTGTTGTCGACTGGAGGTGGATTCCTCTAACTCCTGAAACAGCAACTCCGATAAACCCCCATACCTGATTCCCTCTGGGGAGAGGTGGTTGTTCTATCCAGGATCAACCCGGATCAAACCCAACGCTTCCCCAGCATTCTAGAATGGGCACAGAACACTCGTCAGGGGCACAAAACAGTCACCCTGGGTCACGGCATCCACCCGACATGGTCGGCTTAGGAGGCACAAGCATCTTCATTGAGCTTTCCACCTTGTCAGAGACACATCGTAACGCACTTCACCATTAGCTCAGTAGTTTAGCCCGCCACGATGATCTGGGTCTAACCCATCGCTGCCTGTGTCTGCGCCTCGTTATCTGTGAAAAGCCACATATGCTTCCGCCTCATATAACTGGCAGGGACGAATCCAAACCAAAGCGACGGCCCTGGTAATATTCGGTTTAACCGTCTTCGTTTCCTCCCGCACACGACGAAACGGGATTCAAGGTTCTGGTTCACAGGCCCATCCTCCTAGCGCGGCACCCGACAATGTCCTCAAAGAGAGACGCCATCGACACCGTGACATGGAAGAATCGAAGTGAGTGGGGGGGAAGCTTGAGCGGCAATGCCTGTTGTCAAAGTCCGAACTCTGGCGAAATTGGGTCGGGGGTCATTCCGGCAGGAAGAAATTTTCTTGTTGCCCACAGCTCATGACACGCTTACTCCGTTCAAGTTGATAACATCAGTGGGTTCACACAGCGTCAGCCTTATGAACGTCCCCTGCGCTGAAGGAGGAGTCCTATGCACGGCCATGTCCGACATGCCTAGGTATCGACGCTGGCATGGTTGCCAAAGAAGTCATCCCGGCTTTCGATCTGCTCGGCAACATGGGCTCAACTCCCGAGCGACTTTGGAGCCTTGCACGAGGTCCAGCTGTTCATCTCAAGATTGACGGCCCGCTCGGCATCAATCCTTGGCTGCAGGCTGTCCAACGACATTCTGTCTTCTATCGCGGACAACATCTTTGCAGTCGACAGGCCCATCAAGATGTTCAATGACACCGTCAATGCGCCGTTTCGTGTACATAGGGAGCAGCGGCTGGTTGGTCAACCACCCGAGCCACTCAGCTGCCATCTAGATGATCTTCATTATTGCGCCCGTTGACCCCCATCGGCTTCCCCGGATTCGATATTGCATGGGCAGTGAGCCGCACCGTTGACAAAGTGACAGAAGCCCCCGATACTACCGTCGTTGTGGAACACTGCATGGCCTAGCCATGCGGCTCCTTGCGCGTCTATATCACGCATTCGGCATCAGATCACAGGCGGCTGGGCTAAGAGCCGGTAACAGGACGACGATCAATAGTTGCGATTCATACGGAATATTTGACGCCTGGGAAAATCCCCGTCCGAGCACGTCACGCAGATGGAGTCCGGGAAGTGATCGACAACCCAGCCATCTCTACGGTGCACCTACCATCATCCTCTGCGCCGATCCGCTGCTTAAAGGGCTGTGGTAATGGTTGTTCGTGGCATCCTTCGACGAGTTGTTGCTTGATGTCTGATATTGTCGGTGGTGGGACCAGGACACCCACAGACATTTTACCATGTACACGCTATGGTAGCACTTGGAGCGGCTACGGGCGGCAACCAAACTACACGCACTGTTGGGCTTGTCAGGGGTTTCAGGAACTGATCGCCGGTACATTGTCAGGGACGTAGCATTTTGAGCAGAGTTCTCGCAATCGATCAAAGTTAGCAACAGCCTTGGGCGTCTCGAGCAAGGGAAGACACGGTTCCCCCGGGCTCCCTGCCCACAGCCGCGAACAAAGCTCGCAAGCATCTTGTTGACCGGCAGCGGGGTGGTGCCTGCGGCTAGCTCCGCTCGGCGGTACTCTTGTGGAGGAATCGTTGGATCTTGGCGTGGGCGGGCGGGTGCCGGGCACGTCTCGAGCAGCCAGACAAATGGCTCCGTTGGCAGAGGGGCCGGAATAGCACCGTACAGCTGCTGGTCCAAAATAACTGGAGGTCCCTGACAATCGCAAGACCCCGGGACGGAATGTCCTTCCGATTCAGCCTGGCATTTTCAGCTCAGATCCACGAGGGGAAAACCACAGACTCAAACTTGAACAAGTCTCGGCGACTTATTTGTTCCTCATTCCTCTCCAGCTTTGCCTTGCAAAGCTCATCCGATGTTGATTGGCCTCCAATCTATTCCCCCGCACATCTCCAACCCGTCTGTTCAATTTCCCATCTTTCAACTTCATCAGCTGACTCGACGGCCGCACCAGCACCCACCAGCCTCACCCTCAACCAACCCTCCCTTTCGCCCCCCTCCCCTTCTTGGCCTCGAACTGTTTCTTTTTTCCCCGCATTTGCGAAGAGAGACACGCGCAGCGAAGACAGCGGCGAGACACGCACTAGCGGTTTACTTTACACCCACTACGAGCCCCGTTAGCGACACCTTTCCCGACGAAGACGACGGCCAGAAGACGCCGCCACGCACACCGCACACGACACGAGACTGCCTCTCTCTTTCTCTCTCTCTCTATCTCTCTCTCCGGCCCTTTCTCTCTCTCGCGCGCGCGCGCACGCACGCTCACTACGTACCCCCTTCTCTCACCGGGCGCACATCTTTACCGATCCTCCCTCCCAGCTCACGCGCTCCTCGTTTCGCCTTTCTCTTCCCCTTGCCGGTGAGGGGCTAACGTGGCCGAGAGTGGACTGGCTTGGACCGGGGTGAGGCTGGACCCGGGGGTGCGCTCTTCGAGTCGAGATTTGCTCCATGACGGCTCTGCTTCTGCACTGCTTTCTACCGGGCTACAAATCCTCGCTCCACCGCGAAATTCCTCGCTCAAACCTTTTGACGTCCGACACCCCTGTGACAACTGTCCCGTCTCTGTCTTCTTCCTCTCGACCGTTCCCTTCTTCTCGTTGCGTCATGCGCCAGTGATGGACGACACAGATACCGCGAGAAATGCTGCGAGCAGGGCGGGCTCTGCAGAAGTCAAGGCCGAGTCACCGGACGCGACCACCCAGAGCCACCAGCAGCAGCAGCAGCAGCAGCACCCGAATCAGCACCACCACCACCACCAGCAACAGTCAGCGCCGCCCAAGAGAACAGTATGCGATCACTGTCGACGGAGAAGTATGATGTTCCACTTCACTCCCTACACTGACTGCACCTATTGTCGTATTTGCCCGAGTTTGCTTTCCCTGCCGTCGCATTCATGAATTTTCGTGCGATCCTCCCTCTTCCCAGCGGCCTGCCGCCTGGACAGTCCATCTGTCGGCTTCACGGTATCATCCCGCCGCCTTAGCCACTGCCGTTGCATGTCATCCCCGTCACCATCACCACCACCAAGACTGCTCTCGTCACGTTTGCAACTCATGTCCCTTGCCGCACCTCTCCTTCTCCGCCTCACCCCTCGCCGAGACAACCGCTAACCATCTCCCAGGAATCCGTTGCGATGGCAAGTTTCCCTGTGAGCAGTGCGTGCACGCTTCCCTCACCTGCAAGCGCGAGCATGTCCCCAAGAAAAGGGGTCCGAAGCGCGGCCATGGACGGGTCATAAACGAGCTGCGCGCAAGGGAGTCGTCCCATAAAGAGCAGCAACGGGCCACGAGCCAGAAACCTTTCAATGCAGAGAATGCGCTCGAGAGCCCTACAGAGTATGTGCGGCGTCGATTGTCAGCAGCATGCCCGCCGCTGAACGTAGACAGCCTCGACATCGGGATGAGCAGTAGTGACATGGGAGAGGCGGCATCTCAGCATTCATCCAACGCCTCCGCAGCCTCAACCCCGCCGAGCTTCTGGGCCGCCATCACATCCAACCCGGGACACAGCAACGTGCCGGAGCCCAGTGGCATGTTCTCGAGCGACGAACTACGACCGAGGACGAGGAGCTACCTTCACATGATCCCGCAGCTGGTCGAACTATACTACGAACACATCTACCCCATCATGCCACTCATTTACATGCCATCGATACGCGAGACAATCAACCGACCCATGACTCCCAGCGAGAAGAACCTCGTCTATGCCTTGTGCGCCCTGACTTCGATGCACATGTCTGGCAAGAGCATCGGCGCACCGGGACCAACGTCGTGGGAAGTCGTCGGCCGCTTCTTCCTGGACGAGACCATCTCAATAAGGCATTCGTACGATTTCCTGGAGGATCTGTCGCTGTATGCGGTGATTTCCTCGTTTTACCTCAGCACGTCCTTTTTCGAGATCAACCAATCGCGCAAATCGTGGTACTACTTGCGAGAGGCGTTGACAAACGCACAGGACCTAGGACTGCAGGACGACTCGTCATACTATGGGCTGAGTCGCGAAGAGACGCTTTGTCGGCAGAGGGTTTTTTGGATCCTGTTCGTGACGGAAAGGTGAGTAACGACCCCGCACCGCGATCGACGTCCATCAAGCAAGATGGCGACGTCGCAAGAGCATTGCAGTGCTAACGCGCCTCGCGCCACACAGGTCCTTTGCAATCTTGCGCAACAAACCGATCACGTTCAAGAGAACGCCGTCGCTTCCAACAACGCGACATCCCTATGAGGGTCCGGACATTCACGCCGGATTCTTGCAGCTCGTCTCGTCTTACACCCCACTCGATGAATCATTCGTGACGGCGTGGAACGAGGGGTCCGATCCCCGCGTCAGCGCAACAACCTTCTTGGCGCTACAGAACCTCCTCTCCCTTCCTCCAGCGTTTCTCCGTCCGCGAGGGCGATCACCGACGCAGCCGCACGAGCAGCTGATGGGCTCTTTCGGCGCCTCGTCCGCCGCCAGAGACCCAGGAGCGCCGGAGCCAACAGATATTCAGAAGGCGGACTTGCTCATCACGCAGCAATGGCTACGCCTCATTGTCTGGCAGTCGTCGATGAGGCAGGGCCTGCTGAGCTGGACAAACCCAGCCGACTCGGGAGGAGGCGTGTCCTCGGGCAGCGGAGTCGGAGGGGGAAACAGCATGTGCTTCTCGTTTCCGCTGACTGTTGCACGCGACACTGCATCGATTCTGTCGAGTCTCCCAAGCAAAGCTGTCGAGGTGCACGGGATGGGCATCATGGAGAAGATTTTCGAAATCGGAACATGGTGCGTCAACGTGCTGGGGGCGTGCGAGAGTGTTGGTTTCTCGACGGCCATGGACTTCACATCAGGCGACATGGGCGTGTTGAGTAGCGGTAGGAAAGGGGCAAGTCTGGATCCGATTGAGTTTTTCGTTCGAACACTGAGCGCAAGCGACAACTCCCGGAAACAATTCGCCGAAAAGCTGCTCACCGCTGCCGGGGAGAATCCGGGGAGCATGAGGACACAGCTCAGTCCGGCCATGTCTGGGATGGGGGCCGCGGCGGCCGCCATGATGGCTAACGGCCAGGGGCCCAACGCAATGGATGCAGCAGGGTGGAGCCAACAACGGGGAAGCGTAGTTGGTGAGGTCTTTGACGACAACGAAGAGAGCAACGGGAACACGCATTGTCAGCAACAGCAGCAACAGCAGCAACTAGACATTGGCGACACTCCGATGCATCATCAACCCGGCATGCAAGGTATGGGACTCGGCATCGAACTTGGCGCTAGAGAGCCGAACGGCGGCCTGGGCGGCGTAGACATGGACGCGAGCAGTGTTGATCTGATGAGCCCCTTAGGTTTGACAAGAAGCAATACCTCCGACATGGCGTCCATGGGCATGCCCGGATTCGATACGGCGTGGAGCCCCAGCAGCGGCGGGACCGGATCGCGCGATTACACGGACTATAGCGCCGGACCATATGCGGCGCAGAGAGAAGGAGGACCACCAGGCTATCCCGACATGGCAAACGGAATCATCATGCAGGACCGGATGGCAGTCGCCGTCGGAGGTCGCGTCGGAGGCCCCGTTGGCGGAGAGACCTCCGTGATGGGCGAGCGTCCACTTCATCACCATCAGCCGGCAGATATTGGGCCCTATGATCCAAGGAGGGAGGACAAGACCGGTGGATACCAAAACGGAGTCAGGGTGGGCCTGTGGTTGGGGACATGAGCCAGCTCTCAGGCTTCTGCGCGGCACGGCGGGGACGGGCGGTCAGCCGGCCGATTGATTTGTACTCATATTCAACGTTGTAATTGCTGGCGAGGGAGCAGGCCAGCACGGGTGAATTGGGGAGCGTGTTTGCAAAACGGGAGGGGGAAAAAAAATTAGGGATTCGCGCGTTGGTCAGGTGTTGTTGTCTTTTGGGCAGCGGAGGGATTTTCCCCGACGCAAGCATTTACTCGGGGGGAGGGCATTATCTTTCTCACGACATGGGGTCTATCAGTGACCACGGGGCGGATTGGCGACGCTTTTACGTGTACATGTATAACCGGCGATTATGATGAATGTCCATTGATACAATATTACCCTTACGCTTCCGTCTTCGTGCCTGGGCCTGTCGAGGCCGGGTTCGGTGTCTTTCGAGTGCGGCCTCGGCGGTGAATGTGTAGATGACCGATGTGCGCTGGTATGCACAGGACCGAAATGGGACGGTTCTGGCGCAACAGTGGCAACCCTTGAAGCTAGACTTGAGCAAGGATGTGAGAAACCCTCGTCGCGGTCTCCATGTCTTTCCAAAGTGGTTCCGTCAACACAGGTCGTCCAGCATGTCTGACTCCCAACAACAAGCGCAGGAGATTCGTCCCGGAGACAGCGACCAAGACGTGGATGTAGCGACGGGCTTGGCTTCCGTCCGGCGCTCGGCACGGCACCGTCATCACGACCTCGCGCCTGCGGCTCCGGGCCGTGGAACCAGTTGGCCTGCGCGCTCTTCGCCGGGTGAGGATGGATGCGACGTGACACGCCGCATGGGCGTCACGATGTTCTGGGCACGGTATTATACTGGAGGAGGCCGAAAGGATGCGAATATGGATTATCAACCTTGAGTCAGGATTGTCACTTCATAAAAGAAGCGCCGTCGAGAGCAAAGACAAAACCACACGATATCAAAAAAAGGGACAGGAACATTCTTTTTTGAAAGTAAAGCGTCTTCAAGGCTCTTTGATTTTATTGCAACCAGGCCCTGGATATGGTTGACTTTTCCCGACTTCTAATACCGAAAACCGAAAACCACGTCTATACCGACAACGCCAGCCACCTATCCCAGGTGTATCCCATCTCCCGTCGTACAGATGTATGAGGGTATCAAGTTGTAGTAGTAAACAAGCTCAGGACCGCCAGAAAAATGTGCAAGTAAAGAAACAGACATGAAGCGTCGTGAGAATCTAGAAACGTCCACCACGTCTTCCGCCGCCGCGGCCACCACCACCGCCGCCACCGCCGCCACCACGACCACCCGAGCCACCGCTGCGGCCTTCTCCGCCGCCTCCACCACCGCCGCCACCGCCGCGGTGTCCGTGACGGCCCTTGGGCGCATCCGGAATGACGACGAGGCCTCTAGTGCCGCGGAGACCCATCTTGCCGATGGTGCTCTTCTGGATAGGGGGCGTCTCCGGGGAGGCAAGGGCGTCGCGAGCGAAAATGTTGCCCTCGGCAACGAGCTGCTCCTTCTCCCACTTGAGAGGCTTCATCCAGTTCTTGTAGTAACCCAACCAAGCTTGGTAGATCTTGGCCTTCTGCGCCTCGTCGATACGCTGCTCGGCGATTTCGTAGACCTGCTCGGCGGCCGAAAGGTCGGCGGGGCGGGTCTCGAAGGAGATCTCCTTGAGAGTCCACTGTGGGAAGAAGCCTTCAACCTCGGCAACAATGAAGATACCGCGGCCCTCGGCGCCCGCACGGGCGGTACGGCCGAGGCGGTGGATGTACGACTCCTTGTCGGCGGGGATGCCGACCTGGAAGACGGAGGTGACGCCAGGGAAGTCCATGCCGCGGGCGATAACGTCCGTGGCGACGAGGATGCCGGACTTGGAGTCGCGGTAGTCGTTGGTCGTCTTCGTGCGCTTGCTCTGGGAGATGCGGGAGTGCAGGACGGCTGTAGGAGGCATGCCGGGGATGTTGGCGAGGACGTCACCGTAGAAGTCGGCGAGGGCGGCCGTCGGGGCGAAGATGATGGCCTTGAAGGTCTCGGGCCCGACGTGGGCAGCCTCCTCGCGGATGGCGCCGACCATGGCGGGGGCAACGGCGGCGAAGGTGGGCACTTTGATGAGGTGCTGGGGAACACGCTCATGGGTGTTGGCCTCGCCGGCCGGGATGGTGGAGATGAATTTGTAGCCCTTGGAGAGAATGAGGCCGGCGACCTGCTCAACGTGAGTGGCGATGGTGGCGGAGAAGAGCATGCCTTGGCGGTTGGTCTGAGACTTGTCGGGAAGGGCGCGGACGATGTCTTTGAGGGCGGGCATGAAGCCCATGTCGAGGAGACGGTCGGCCTCATCGAGCACCAGGGTATCGAGGTGGCGGAAAGACTCCTTGATGTACTCATTTGAGAGGTGGTCGATGAGACGCCCGGGGGTGGCGATGAGGATGTCGCAGCCGTTAAGAATCTGCTTCTCCTCACGGTCCTTGTTTGTGCCTCCGATGGCGATGCTGACGCGGTACTGCGGGAGACGCTGCAGGAGAGCCTGGGCCTCTTTGGCGATTTGCATGGCCAGCTCGCGGGTAGGCGAGATGACGAGGAGGGAGATTCCGGCGCCACGGCCGCGGTTGTTGGTGATGAGCGTCTGGATGGCAGGGAGGAGGAAGGCAATGGTTTTGCCCGTACCAGTCTTGGCCTGGACAAGGCAGTCGCCGCGCTTGGGAGGCAGAAGTTCGGTCAGAGTGGCCGCCTGGACGGGCATCATGTGGTCGAACTTGAGATCCTGGGTGATGGCCTGGATCAGGGCCGGGTTGACGCCAACCATGTCGGCGAACCTCGGTGTGTCCTCAGGAACGGGCTCGGTGAGGGGCGGCGCAGTGCTCTGAGGCGCTGCTGCAGCCGGCGCCGGCGCGGGCTGGGCCGCTCTGGGGGACTCATTGTATGGCGCATCCCGACGGTCGCGTCTGGGACCACGCTTCTGGTTCGAGCCTCTTCCTCTGCGGTCCATGATGTCGATTTGAGGGGGTGTTTCTGGGGGGATTACGGCGAGAATTTTCAAGCCGTGTTGAGAGGTGATGTCAAGGGGAAAATTTCCTGGAACAACAGGGACCTGACGAAACTGCTCTAGGCTGGGTCTAGCGCGCGCTGCGATAAGAAGCTCCGGAAGGAGCGATAAGGATTCTAGGGGTCCTGTGCAACTGCACACCGCCCGATCCACTTTGCCCCGCCCCCGCTTCTTTTACACGGGCAAGCTGCTGATAGAATACCAGCACGAGAACATGTCTTCACCTCCTCTTTTCTCTCTAGCATATTTGCTTTAACCTTAAAGGCCCTAAACTTGTTTTCTGGTTATTTAATTACCGTGTATGATTTGATTTATCCAGGACGAAGAGTGCAAGACACTTGAGGGTGGAAATCAAAGTCCCCGAGGTCTACACGATCCAGTCTTGAGAGCCATCATCTACATGCAAAAATGTATGAGTAGCCAACAGCTTAGATTACCTCCAACTAGCCTACAACAAGATAGAATTTCCTTAGTTAGTCAGTGGATATTTCAATCCGGAAGAAGCCTGTTTAACTCATCAGTCTGATCAATTTTGCTCTCAAAATCTACTTCTAAGTGCTTGATAGAACTGCAATTGATGAATGCTATGCAGCAAGCGCAATTAGCTGAACTTCGCCGCTACATAATAAACCACGACACATTCTTCAAAGAGTAGACTGCAGGACATTATGGCAGCTCACGGCATTACGATGCAAAATGGTAACCATGCCATTTTGATGAATAAAAAATGCCCATGTAGCCGGAACATTCGAGCAGTTCCGAGACTACTCTTGATGAAAATGCAAACTTTTTCCAACAGAGAGCCTCTTGTACTAAGCCACCCCAATACTAATGCCATTCTACAGCTCAAAGTGAGATGAAATTCAATGAATTGAATCGTCTAGCATTGAACATCAAACTTTAACATTTGGAACTGTGAAACACATCAATCATAAGTAGTACCTAGGATATTGTGGTGAATCAGATGATCTATTCGTTGACGGCTGTTGGCTGACATTCAGGGTTACCGGCGGTGCTGGCCGAATGGAAACCGGAGTCTCGGATGTAAAAGCCGACTCTGGCGACATGGAATCGATAGTCCTTATCGTTGATGACCTGCCGGGTGTTATTGGCGGAATGTTTCCATCTGGGTCGTTAGACAAGGCCGTCGGGAGCTCATGGAAATGTGATGGCGACGGTGAATATCCTGGCTGAGGTGGCATGGAATGATCTACCACAGATTTGGCATGGGTTACACTCCGTGCTGGCGACTGAGGATCTGTTTTTGTTTGTGATTGCGTGTTCATAGAGTTACGCTGTCGCATACTATGCCTGTTGGCATGCTGCTGTTCCCCAGTCGTGTTCTGTGCAGTTGAAGAGGGTGAAATGGGTTGGAGACTGTAGCGCATCCTATGATCGATTTCTCGGCAAAGACTTCCAAGAAACATCTTATAGATATCTCCTTCCGCAAATTCTGTATCTATGAGATCTCTGTTTGTTTAAAGTCAGCCATTTTCTGCTTCAAGCTTCAAGAAACCGGACGGGGCTCACGGGCAGCCGTTGTACCACAAGTCGTCATCGAGGCGTCTGAGCCTCTCACTTGCCCCTTTGTCGTTTCCGAACTGAATAAACTGAATAGTTATTGGGCGGATTGTGGAGATGCCCTCTCGATCGAGGGGCTGATCCGACTCAACGTAGGTAAGGTCTCCGTGTATATCTCTCAGGCCATGGAATGCAGATGTGAGATACACATCCAGAGTATACTCATCGTGCATACCTTCCCATATACCATCGGTCAATACGATGATCGTTCTTTTCCGTGTCTCTGGTTTCGACAACTTAGCTCGAGTGTAGACGTTGACGATCCTTTCCAGCTCTGGCACAATTGTTGTCTGGCAAACTACTAGCCCGTTCTTGGCTGGTTTACCCAGATCCATAGCTCTGGCAAACTGTTGAACCGTTTGGGACTTTTCTTCCCGCACAATAGCCTTGGGATTGGTGTCTGGATTGGTGAAGTAGAGTTCCATGCCGTTGTCGTCATAGCCTAGGACTCTCCACACAAGAACTTCCAAGAGCTCGGTAGCTTGCTTCCAGTGCTTCACCATTGTGGACCCATTATCCACAAGAAAAATCTATTCCTGTTAGTTATGAGTAAGATTCATTATCATGGAGAGTCCTACTAGATCACGGTCTTTGAACTGCTTCAATAATTGCTTATCCAGGTCGTCCATGTTTCCCCAGGAGCGTTTTCCTTTGACCGTCGTTTTCTGCTTGTTGAAGAGAGAACTCAGGCTTTTCATTTTGGGTCTGTATTTCAATCCTGTCTCCTCTAGCTCTTGCTTAACCTGCCAGACTGTCACGATATCGCGTTGCGGTTCTTCTTCCTGGGGATGGTAGTCTTCTGAGTCCATTGGCACCGGAGATGCGATCATCTCCAACGGATGATTCCTAGACGACGTAGAAATGTGTCTTTGAACAGATCCGTCACGTTCATATCTCTGAGAAGCATCTGTAGCTCTTTTACTGCTAGGAAGGCTCAGCGATGCACGCGATGCAGTTGCCGAAATCTCGCCCAGCTTTCGTGACCGTTGAGCTGTCGGCAGAATCTCTTCGTCCAGAAGCTTCCACCTACTCTCGAACTCAACATCTGGAGGGGGTATTTTGATATCTTTGAGTCGTTTTGTGGTCTCCGTTGCATCCGGTCTTTTGATCCCAGAATTATGATCGTAGGTTCGCTCAACTTCAAGATCAATGCTTTGAAGCAGATCAAGCAACTCGGGAGGTACTTCCGATGTCTTCGACTCCTTTAGCTTCAATATTCTCTCGAACTCTTCGCAAACCTTCTCGGCTTTCCATCTTCTCTCGCTGGCCACCAGCATATGGTTATCCACCATGTCCAGGACGGCGGCCGAAAAAATGTCCGTCTGCCGGGCTGCTTCGCGAAGGTATTTGTGCCAATGAAGGACGTCCTGGAGAACTTCCTCGCCGTTGTGGAAGACGTCGCTCATTTTTTGGGTTGCATTATAATATGCTTGGCGACGGAGTTGGTTGAAGATCAGGAACCCTTGCTTTCCGAGAACGACATACGTTGCAGCTATAGAAAACAAACAACCAAGAGACCAGACGTCACTTTCGGGTGTCACCCCTGATCTGAATTTTGCTAAACCGTCCAGAAATGCGGTTTTTTCGGGTGCAGCTATTGATAATTGTTAGTAATTGTTAAAAACACAGCCCCGGGTTCAACAACTTTGCCAATGCTGGCGTAGCTTACCATAGGTTCGGGTGCCTCCTACTGATTTGGACTGCGGCAAGACGGATTTACCAGTGGTTTTTAATAACATACTTGCTTCGCCGGGATCTGCCAACTTGAACTTGTAGTCTACTCGAAGGATGTTTTCCGGTTTGATATCACCATGCCATCTAAGTATTACTCCATTAGCTAGTGCTCTTACTATATCAAAGTTCCATGCACGGCTTCACTCACGTCAAGTATTTGCGACGGTCAATTTCAACCGTATGGATGGAGGCCAAGGTTTTGGAAATGTCGGACATCGAATCCCAAAACCCCTGAATTTCTTGGAACGATATTGGCGGTGATTCTTTCAGCATGGCCTCATAGAAGTCGAACTCTGCCAACTCGAGGACAATGTTGTAGTATTCTTGTTTCCCCTGTCTCCCATCTTTCGAGACGATTTCGGAGTTCTGAAACCATCCGATGTACCTGATTAGACCCTCTTGGTGCTCGAGGTTTTTGAATATTCGCTGCTCATTCTCAAAATGATCGTACTTGTGAGGTAGAAACTGTTTGAGTGCGAACCGGTATGTCTGTCAGGTAGAAGCACATGTTAGTTGCAATTTCTAACAATGACGAAAAGCAGATGCTAGTGGAGCTGGTTCTTACATAACCCTTGCTGTTGCCGCCATGCGTTCCTTTTTCCTGTCTTTCTACCCGCGCAGATGCCATACTTTTCCGTAGCTCTGGGCCCACAAGCTCTTCAGGAACATCAATCTCATACAGAGATGCGGTGTTTTCCCTAGGGCCTTTTCCATCACGGTATGGTGTGATCTTGTGTTTGAAGGAAAACGGGCTGATGCAATCTGGGTACTTGCGACCCATACCCATTTCGAATCGAATAGGACACCAACAGAATTGTTGCTTATAGAAGCGCTTGTGGAAGTCGGCAAACCTGGATGGTGATGGAATGTAGCGGAGTAGACGGGGATAGTCGATAGGTAAGGCGTCGGTGTTGAAGTTGCACTCTCGGAACTGATGAATAAGGGCTGGAGCGCCAATATCCAGCAATATGTAGAATACTGATAGGTAATCATCATAATCTCGCCGTCTTAGGTGAGGGGGATTTGAGTTGTGTTGGAAGTATGCCGTTTGCGCCAGGCGATCGAGTTTGTCGACGTACATGGAGTCTGTCTGGTATGCCGGAGACGGCAGCGCAGACGTTAGTCTTTTGGTGACATTCTCAACTAGTACGAACTCCTCTCCAGAAGCGGATATTCTAGTTTCCTCTTTCCGAATTATGTCGAACTCTTCGAGAGCGGCCTTGAACTGTTCGTTGAAGTTGGGAAGATTCTCTTGGCTCATCGTGAGGGTCGAGAAGCAGTTAACGCGCAGAAGGGAAGACCTCTGGAGCAAGTAGCAGGTGAGGAACGTCGGACAAGAACCAGTGCGACCGGTGAGATAATCGTAGGATGATCACAGGCGTTAAAATGAACCGTACAGCTCGTTCAACAAAAATGAACTGACACCAGCCCCTTTTGACACCGATGAAGAACAATGCTATTGATCTTGACGAAATCAACGCAATCGACAGTGATGGGTGAACAAAAGAGAAAGATTGATGAAGGAGGAGAGAAGGCTGCGTTCCAAGAACCCGTCCTAAAAGGAAAAGGGAGGGGCTCCAATGTCCATAAACGTGCGGCTGAACAGCCCCGGCAGCTTGAGTCTGTCGCTTCTTCGCAGATAAGGATTATGTTTCTTTCTGGGAGCAGCTGGAGAGTCGAGACGGTCGCCGCCTAACGACAAGGATGAAATTTTTACATATGCTTTCCTACATGCATGTACTTCATCTCGGATGCGATATGGATTAAAAAACTCATTTAAGTCCTGTTAAAACTTCCATTTTGTTCTCATAGTACCTGGCTTATGTCAAAATAACCATCACATAACGCCTGCTGCCAAGCTCCTCTACATAGTAGGTGGGAAGAAGAGTCCGCCAAAGGCCTCCAGGTTAATGAAGCGCAATCACCTGCGGCATGCTGCCCATCACATCACATCTCGTTGAAGGCTGGCGGTGAAGAGTCGGGAACCGGGGTTGAGTGCCTGCCCCCCCCCCCCCCTCTCTCTCTCTTTAGTATAGATGCGGAACCCAGACAGTCCCTAAGCTGTCGGCCGTTGCGAAGGCTCAGTTTCGTAGATGAAAAAAAATAGTTGGGGTTGCCCCTTGTTGGGCCAGCGGCAGTTCGGTCACCCGCGGTCACTCTAACGGGTTTGGTTCGTAGACATTCTTACCACGGCATCCACACGCCTTGCGGCTCAAGACGTGAGTGAATGGTTCGATGTGATGCTGACCGAGATTCGTGCTAGGTAGCCTTCAATCCTATGAGGCGACCAGATTGCCTTGCGTTTGCCTGCTTCCCGCCCTCGCCCTAAGAACTTCCCGCTGACCAAAGCCTGCCGGCCCTACCCACCTAGCTGGATGGCACGACAGTTGTGTTCCACCAGTCAAGCACTAGTGAAGTTCAAAAAGCGGTGGTTCCCACTCGATGTTTTTCTACATTTCGCCCGCTTCTCACACCCTTTCTTGCTGCCCCGCCACAGCCTGCTTGCTAAAAGCTCACTACCAACCGTCACCCGCAGATATATCTGCCTGACAGCCTGATCCTTACTTGGCATTTACTCTCCGCCCCTAAACGAGGCTTGAATATTGCGACTTCAGCAAAAGGTCTTCAGTATGTCGGGAGAAACCCCGAGCCGATCTGGACCCAAAAAGTCACACAGCTGGAAGAAGCCAACAGCTCAAGATGAACAGACACCCAAAGTCCGACGTAGGGAAACATTGCCACCTGCTCCTATGGGATGGGTTGAAGTAAATATTTCCGCATACAACTTGAAGTGGCCCAAACTCCAAAGCTGGTTGGTTCGTCGTTTCAAGATCCAAGATGGAGATCATCATTTCAAAGAACGCCAGGTGAGATTTCCGTCGTGTTCCTCAAAGTCTGTCAGTATTCGGAAATAAACACGACTAACACCACCCTCAACTTTGTAGGCGTTGTATGAAGATGAGTTCTTCTTTTTTGCCCCAGACCGCCTAACAGATGTACGCAAGATTCTTGAAAACCATTTTGCCAGCAGAAGCTAACACTACATTTACTGATTAGGGTGACAAGCGGGCCATCGACGATTTGCGAGAAAGAAACGACGACGACACTGCCAGACTCCTCAATCGACGAGACCGCACCCCAGATCGGGAACAGCGAGTACAAGACAACAAAGACTTTTGATCATCATAAAGAGTCAAGATTTTATCACTGGTTAGGGTGTTTTATACAGCTGCGTAAGGCGTTCGTCTCATGAAAGGACTGCCCATAGGCTTTTCTTCGGTCACCGACCTCGAATGGAATTGGTTTCATTGCATTCTTAGCGTACAACGAACGGTTGGGTCGAGGGAGATGGCCACACACTTGTCATTGGTTGCTGCGTCCTCCGGCGCTTACTTTCGGTGACAACGCATGAAGGCTTGCATGTGAAACCTTGTCACACTGGTCCTATCTAAACCGCTCGGCTTTCTGTGTCCATTTTTCTTACCCCTAGTTTGTCCACCTTTTGTATGATGCTTATCTGCCCTGTTGTCTGCCTCGGCTACACTGCGCCACACGGATGACACAAGAAGCCTCGTCGCTGTCTGTATGCCCTCGGCTGACATAGTAGGTGCAATAGGAAGTGGTTCCGTTTTAAGAGAACATGCCTGCACCCTTCTCATCTATTCTCTATTTCGAGGTTCTTTTCATGTCATTAGTTCAACATTCTTCTGAATTGACAACATCTTGAATAAAAATAATGACTTCCATTTCTGACTTCGCAGCGGTCTGTGAGGCATATAAACAATATCCGCTACATTATCCATCTACTCACGCGTATGGAACAGCTGCTCTTGTAGCACAGCGAAGCAGATTATGGAACTGCAAGGATCATCTTTTCACTGGCCAAGAGGATGAATATCAAGTGTCGATACGTGACATTTCAGCGTCCGGAAATGTTAACAAACTCAACATCTTCGATAACGACACATTAGGCGAACATCTGGGACTTACCCAGGTGACTAGCCCGCAACAGTCTCCCTTAGAAACTCCCTGGAAAAAAGACCTCAGTTGTCGCTTCATGTGAGTCCTTTCATATTCTGGGAGTGCTAGCTAACCCACTGGTAGCTTTCTCTCTGCAACAACCACACTAGGGCCACTGGAGCTAAGCGCCAGAATGCTGTTGCGGCTACTAGCATTCTACCAAGTCATGCCACAATTTCTAGATTTTTTGTACATCTATGCCTCGCCCCATGGCCTAGATAAAGAGGGACGCTTCTCTGGATTCAAGACAGATAAAGTGCTGTCGAATCCAGTTCCTGGCACCTCAATTCCAGAGCTCGGAAGAAGCGGGAGACGATATCAAGTTTGCTACAATCTCAAGAATCCTGCATTGAAAGACAATGGTTCTTGGAAGATTCGGCAGTCAGTCCTACATCATCAATTTGACGTTAGCAACGGCAATCAGTTGTGGATGATCGGCGATCCGCATGCCTCTCTCAAAGACCGAGTCAGTGACCTCTATCATGAGAAGAGGATCTATCCTACGAGTTTCAGTACAATGCAGCAAGGTTTCCAATCTTCCCTTGACATTCATCTTACCTTTGCATACTGGGCAGCGTCAGAATGGAGATGGAATGTTCAGTTTCTAGAACAGGAGGCAGACAGAATCGTAAGGCTCGAAAATGCACACAAGACATATATGCAGCATTGCCACTAACATACCGACAGACTCTTACAGCTGCTCTAATCAGAGAGAAGTCTCATATTGAATTCTTGGATCCAGGCTCACTTGGTGATGTACAGAGATGGGAGGAGAAAACTAACGAGTCCCTTATTGCCATGGAATCAAACGTCAACATTATGAAGCTGCTACAAAGGTTTTACGAAGACCTTGTCAAGGACGATGATTTCCCATCGAAAGAGTCCCAGGTTTCCCAAAAGATGGTCAGGAGTTTCTCTGTCAAACTGGAGGAAATTATCTGCGATACCCAAATGCAGGCCGCCCGAGCCAGAGTTCTGGTGAAGATTGTTGCTGACCGGAAAACTGTTGTAAGGAAGCTTCCCGTTGATTTTGAGGCAACTTTTCTTGGAATTACGATTAAGACTGACACTTCGTTCATATGAACAGCTAATCCAACATCTTCAGACACAGACAGCCATTATATCTTCCAAGCTCACCGCTAGCATGTATGAGCAAGCAGATCGTAGTGCAATGGAGGCTATTGCAGTGCGGATTGTAACAATCGTAACTTTGATATTCCTTCCAGCCACGTTCTCTAGTGTAAGCAGATGAAGATGCGTGTGATGCCGTGCATATAAACTGACCTCATCAGACGTTTTTTAGTACGGACGTTGTCAAGTATCAAGGCGGAGAAGCATTCTCAAATAAAGCCCTTGAACGTTTCCTCGAGGTCACCTTTGCACTCATGCTTCTGACTTTTGTTCCGGCTGGTTTTTGGTTCTGGGTTGAGTGGCGTCGACGGATGCGAAAGTCACATCAAACTAAAGATAACTTCGATGATTTGTTCCCTCGAAACGTGGGCAAAAACTTCTCGGAAAGGGACTGAACTATCGCCTGACCCTACTTATCTTAACGGAAGAAGCTGGAGAATCTGGGGCAGCTACCATTACTCAGAGTACAGAATTGGGTGACCAAGGCACTTGCGACTCTTTCGCGCGACAAGTCATGTTTGGGTACAGGATTGCACTGAGTCCGCCAAAACTGGCCATTGTGCGCAATCCTAACCAATTATACCGGCATCAGTTTGGAGTTAAACTTCAGGGGGCAATCAGGAAGGGCGTTAAACTGAGGTATGTGCCATTAGTATCTAAAACGAAAATTCGATTTATTTGTGTCAAGGGCGCATCGTGTGCGTAAGCAAATAGGTCGCAAAATTTTCTTAGTTTCTATGATAAGATGTCCAAGAATGATCATAAGCCCGCGAGATTCTCCGTCCAAGCCGTCACCATATTAGTGGCTATGAAGCAAATCATATACTATCAATAGGATGCTTGCATCCGAGTCTCTGAGGTCTTTCCAATGAGATACCGTTCTTTACCGAGGTAATTTCATATCAGAATGCTTAAGCTTGTAATCGATCAGCAAGAGTCGGTTCCTGAAGGTCTGGCTTCTCTAACGTTGTTTCATTGTGATAGATGGATAGAACACTGAACAATGAGACGTTTAAGTCATCAACCAAGACTCTAGTCTGAATGGGCAAACGCGACACCTAGGCTTCTTCGTCACCGTGTATATGCCTGCCATAGGGCTCTAATGATTTTGGCGTAGGAATGGTCCTAATTTGGAACCCGTTAGACAGGTTTCTGCTTTGACCACTTTTGCACACCTATAGATTCACCTCACATCTATCACGGGCACTGTTTGTATCCAATGGACCGATTTCGTTTTATCTCATCAGCGCTACACCGATGTTTTCTAGATACAAATGCCTCTCTGGACCTCTACAACCCAGAAACAAGCGAAACAACCACACATTAGCAATATCTTTATGCCTTGAAGAAGGCAATCACAGCCTTGGTGAACTGATCAGGGTCCTGCATGGGCGCAAAGTGGCTGACACCAGTGAGGGTGGTAACCTTGCTGCCGGGGATGGCCTTGTTCAAGATACCAGGGACGTCCCGGTTGACGGCCTCCTCGTGATCGCCGTCCGCAATCATGACCTTGGTGCCGTCGATGCTCTTGAGCTGCGCGTCCGTGAACTGCGGCAGGGTGGCCTCCATCGTCGCAACCTTTGTCCCAAAGTCGGTGAAGTTGGCTTTGGGCTGGAGGGTGGCGTACTCTTTCTGGCAGCGCGTGACGAATTCTGCGTAAATTGCCGTGTCGGCAAAAGTGGCGTTAGTCTGGTCGGGCTTGGACGAGGCGCCAAAGAGGAAGGCCTTGTTGATGGGCGCTGCGGTGACGGGGTTGATGAGCGCCGAGAGCGTGGCGATGCCGCCGTCAGACCACCCGACGACGTTGTACTTCGTCACGCCCGCGCCCTTGAGCAGGGCGTAAATGTCCTCGGCCATCTGGTCGTACGTGAAGACGTCATTCGTGTTGTACGTTGTGCGGCCGTGGCCGCGGCGGTCGATCGCAATAACGTAGTACCCGGCGTTGATGAGGCGGGTGATGACGGAGCCAAAGTAGGCTGAGTAACCCAGGCCACCGTGGTCCATAACGATGGGCACACCGCCGGCCTTTTCGTTGTACTTTTGCCACCACATCTGGATGCCGTTGATCGGCGTCTTTGTCGTGGAGATCGGAGATGGGAGAGCCGGGGTTGCCGGGAGGACTTGCCAAGCTGGGGTAGTTTGGCGGACGGCCAAGCCCGAGACGGAGCCGGTCAGAGCGACAGCGGCGAGGAGAGCGTTGAAGTGCATTTTGCCGGTTCTTGTTTTGTGGGAAAAGACGGAAATCTCAAAAAGAACGAGAGTATGGGTTGGTAGAAACGAATGTGTGAACAACCACGAGTAGAGAAAGACTGAGTGAGAGACTTGGCGATTTGGAAACCAAAGGCGCGCAGATGGGGTGAAGAGGGAGGATGATCTAGAACATCCGGGGGGTTAATCGTGTAATTAAATACACAGCCATCTCATCATTTCTCCATGTTTTTTTCACCTGCGCGCGCGTACCGAAAGGCTGGAATTGAGTTAATTGCCATTCACTTGACGGCGGAGCCAATCTGAAAATAGGAGGTGCTGTCAAGGATCACGACTCAAGCAGTCCGATTTAGAGTTTGCGCAGTTTTCGCCCTCCCCGCTTGTCCGCGCTGATGAGTTGGTGGCCCTATTGACCGGCTGTCCCGGGAACAGAGCCTCAGTCAACTCGACGATGATTAGTGAGTCTGATGGTAAAATGGGTTGCGGAGAAACGAATGGTTTCTCGGTTAAACGGCAGCCACCAAGTGTTTTCCTGGGGTTTGAGTTTGCTTCTGTCTGGACTCGTAGCCAGTTGTTGCACCCCGGAAATGAGGTCTGTCCTTCCCAAGCGGATGGCTCCTGACAACTTCGGGAGGAGCCGACTGTTCAGCAGTTTGACACATGGGATGACAGGGGTGGCCTGCGTAGAGCACGTCTGGAATTAAGGCAGCATGGCTATACTGCAATGCATTATTCACGCCAGGTTTGTCAAAAGCCTCGATTCTGCATTCGACGTCCAAAAAGAGAGCCCCAGTCGTAGTGCCGATGCTGCCGGTCCGTCCGAAAGGACTGAAGACTATTGAACTTAGGTAGCGGGGGTTGAGCGGGAACGCAACCGGCACCCTTGTGTCCCCAAGACCGATGCTTATGATCAATGCCAAATCTTATAATCGTATCTGTCGAACATAGTTCGTGAATATCAACGAGTGAGATTGTATTTAACGGTGTAAGTCTCTATTCAAGTACTAACGCGGCACTCATCTACTCTACTGGTTTAGTCCTTGCGTTGGGCCATGCTCAACCACCTTTCCCTTGTCCAAACGGATAAAGTAGTTGGCGTCCTGTACAGCCTCTAGCCTATGGGCAATCGTAATGACGGTACTCGTGGTCAGCTCGTTTCTCAAGACCTCTTGCACCCTTGCGGCCGTCTCCTTGTCAATGGAAGCAGTGGCTTCGTCCAAGACCACAATGGGGCTCCTTCTCAAGACGGCCCGGCCAATACCAATCAGTTGGCGTTGGCCTTGGCTCAGATTCTTGCCTCCGCCTTCGACGTGCGAGTAGAGATCCCAGCCGGGACCCAGCACACGGTGCAAGACAACCACGCACTCAGTGTCGGTGTACTGATGCAACGGATCCAAGTTGTCCCGCAGTGTTCCGGGGAACAACACCGGGTCCTGGGCGACGAAGCTCACGCGCTGTCGCCACACATGAACGTCCACATCTGACAGCTTGTAGTTCCCAATGCGGATGGCTCCCTCAGAAGGGTGAATTGTTGCGAGAAGGGCTAGGGCCAGGGTGGACTTACCAGACCCTGTCCTGCCAAGGACCGCGCAGGTCGAACCGCCGGGAATGGTGAACGAGGCTTCCGACACAGAGGGGTCTAAATGAGGCGCGTACTTGAGGGTGACGTTCTCAAAAGTAACGTCGTCCGAATGGTGAGGCCAGCTAGCAGGAGGCGTGACTTCGCCACAAGGTTCCTCGGGGATGTCCAAGAGCTCGATCACACGTTCGACGGAGACGAAGTCCATCTGCAGAGTGCCATACTGCTTGCAGAGATTGTGGGTCGCTTCGACGAACGCCGATGCGGTGGTCAAAACAAAGGCGGTAAGGCCAGGGGAAAGACCTTTGTAGAGCGCGAGGAGGGTAAGTGCGAATGTTGAAATGGCGGAGAGAGCGTCAAACCGGTACATGAGCCAGGCTTGGAGGCTCCAGTAGAAATGGTCCATCTTCTGGAAGGCATCAGTGACGAAAATGTTCATATTCTGGAAGTGATGCTGGGCCTTGAACGCGCGAATAGTTGCCAGTCCGTCGAGCAAGATGCCAAAGTTGGACATGAGTGGGCTTAAAGAGACCATCTCTAATCTTCGCAAGCTTTGAGAAGTAGGCAAGAATCGCATGAAGATGTAGACGAACCAAAGGGTCATGCCAACAGAAAACAGAAGGAACAACGGCGTGACGGAGGCAATGACTACCATGCTCGAGAACCAGGTAATCGACTGCACGGCAACTTCGCGCAACGGCCTCATGATGCCTCCATCGATCATGCCAATATCAGACACGAGGCGGTTCATCAAGCGTCCCACAGGGGTAACATCGTAGAACCGAAAAGTTGCTTTGCTGACTTTGGTGATGACCCTCTTGAACAGGTCCCTTGCTGCTGTGATGATCATGAGCAGAGTGAGGCCTTCCGACAAGGTGTACACAAGAGCCTGAGCAGTGGCAATTGCAAAATAGACCCACAGCCACGGGCGGAGATCAGTGTCGGGGTCTGGGAGTCTGCCAAAAAGCTTTGAAAAATCGATGCCGTTGAATGTTTCTTTCGTTGAGGTTTCGTGTTTGTAAGCTTCTCCCCAGGCTTTGAGAAACCAATAGTTGAGCAGGCTGCCCAATCTGAACAAGCCGAAAACTAGCACAAGCACAGTCCACCACTTGAGCTTTCCAGCTTTGATGTATGTCCAGTAAACCGACAGCATCACGCCTCCGTGAGCTCGATGCTCCTCCTCGATGAACTTGGACGGCACGGCGGCGTCTTGCTGCTCCTCGAGTGTCTGCTCCGGCTCGTCATGATGTGCCACTGGATCGTCATCCTCAGAGAGAAACTTGGCAACTTCGGCTGTCGCTTCTTCCGAGTTTAAAACCCGAGCGGTGTTGTCGGTAACTTCTACCATCTGGCCAGCCAAGTGAAGACAAAGGTCAACTCTATGGGTAACGAGGACCACAGTGCGGCCTTCCACAAGCGGGCCCTGAAGAAGCTTTCTCACGATAGACTCGGCGGTGTTATGATCCAGCGCAGCGAGAGGATCGTCCAACAGCAGCACGCGAGACTGGCTGTATACCGCACGGGCTAAAGCGACACGCGCTCTCTGGCCACCTGACAAGCCAATGCCGTTCTCTCCCATGTCCGATAGATCGCCGTGCTTAAAGTTCGCCAGGTCCGGTAGTAGAGCACATGCATCCAACGTCTGTGTATATCTAGTAGCGTCGAAAGGTGCTGAGAAAAGGATGTTGTCACGGATGCTCATGTGCTGCAGCCAGGGGCTTTGAGCACAATACCCAATGGGTTCGGTTGGTATAATGACATCGCCCATTTGACGATCAAGTTCGCCAAGAATCGCCTGTAGCAACGCCGTCTTACCCGATCCAACTTTACCAAACACAACAGTGAGGCCCTGAGGGAAGCTGATATCGAGGTTCTTTAGCACCGGCTGTTCGTATCCGGGCCAGGCAAATGTCGCCTTGGTGAACTTGATGTCATTCGTTAGATGGTCTGAAAAGATACCTTCCTTATCTGGTTCGCTCATGAACTCCTCAATACGGCCCATGGCAATTGATGCATTTAGAAGGACAGTGATGAGGCTGGGTAGCTCCTTGAAACTGGTCTCTAGCAGAGTGAAGAGAGAAAGGGCGGGGAACGCCACATCGACTGTCAAAGTCCTGCCGGCAATGAACGTGTAGGCGAAGAACGTGGCAACTGGGAAGAGTGTACCAGAAGTGATGTTAAGGGTAGATATCGCAATACTCCATAGACCCGTCACCACTCTGGTGCGCAGCTCGTGTCGTCTGGTGACCATTATGCTATCCAGCCACTTCGATTGCCAATCATACCACCGCAGATGCCGAATTCCTTCGACAAACTGAGATGTTGATTGCAGCCTAGCATCAGTTGCAGCCCTGCGTACGCGCTCGTTCTTGAGGAGTTGAGTGATGAAGATCGTATTCAACATTTGGGCGAAGATTATACAAGCCATTCCGAACAAGCAGGAATAACCCAGGAGTTGCCACACGAGGATGAATGAGAAGATGAACTGAAGTGGCTTCGTAACAATCGTAGGGAATTCCCAAAACCGCTGCGCAACTTCATAGACATCGTTTCTCATGAGATTGAGGATTTTTCCAGTGGTGGCAGGCTGCCTCTGCGCCTTTTGCTTCTGCAGTCGCTGATATTTGGGACGAGTGGATTGACCGCGACGAAACCAGCCCAGGAACCTGCTGAAGCGGCCGGTTTGCTCGTCATTGTTGATGACACCATCGGCACCAGTCTCTTCGTCGTCTTCACTGTCATCGTCCTCGGCGTCGATCATCTTCTCACCAGCAGGCTGGCCAAAGTGTTTCCTAGACAGCGTCTTAGCGTAGATGGTCGTGATCATCTCGCCTCTAGACCGCTCGTAGCAACGCCTGGAGAACCAAAGTTGAAAGACAGCTGCCTGACAGGCGACCAGGCGAACAGCCAAGATAGCAATAGCGTACAGAATAGACACTTCAATGTTCATCGAACCGCTCTGAATAGCCCGCAGGAGCTGTTGCAACAGCATAGGAATAGAGAGAGCCGCAGCACACTCAATGATTCCAAGGCAAGACTGAATGATGAGGTCCAGTCCGTTGGCCGAAAACAACTTGGCTGTCATGGAGCCACGAAGCTCATGAAAGAGAGCATGAAGCCTTTCGTGCTGAAAGTCGAACGGCAACTGCCATACATCTTCATTATGCAACTGCTTCTCGTAACCCCTGGCAATCATTGGCGCCATCCATGACACTGTCATAAATTTCCAAAGTGAAAGGTTGTCTTCAGGGCTGCGGAGCGCGTCTGTTGGCTCCTTTCGGGCAATATCGGAGTCGCTGAGAGAAGGGTCTCGCATCGGCATTGCGACGATGCCGACGATGCCTACTAAGCCGACAACAGGATCTGCAATAACGAGCGTAGAAATCAATCTATGAAGCCTGTAGCTGAATGCTGTCGAAACAATGCCGCACGCCAGGATTACGACATAGAGAAACAGCAACGTCTTGGGTGTCTTCGTAGGGCGGTTGACAGCGGTTATGAGCAACGCCGCAATCCATGGCACAAGGTCTAGAAGACCAAATACGCGACGCGGCGGCGCGAGGACAGACAAGATAGCCTGAACCAGCCCTGCAAGTGCCACTGCAAAAAGGTAGACAGTCCAAAACGTCCAGGGTTTTTTCAAAGAAGGTTGCGCGGCCTCGGAATACAGCGACTCCTGTGCAAAGCCGCGACACCAGGCGGGCCTTTTGCGAAGAAGCGGTCTGACGAGAGCGAGACACACCAGCAAGGCTGCGATTGATGCGCGAACAATGTTTGTGACATCCATAACTCTGGAGGCATTGAAACGAGCCGCCGTGGTCAAGGTCGCGTTCTCGAATTCGGTATGAGACAAAAGAGGAAGATGCGGACCGCCGAGCACATCCTGAAAGGCGGCATAGCTGTAAAAGGCCAATCCTCCCTGGGGAGGCCCGTCGGCTTCAAGGCTTGCAAAGTTACCCATGGTTCAAGGAGTTCAGCAGCGGATGCCTATCAAGACGTGTGGAGCCGTGGTTGCGACACCATCAAAACCGTGAGCCGCGGGGTTCTCGAACCAAATGAGCGGGATGAGGTTAAGGTAGAGAGGTTGGTCGGGTACCGGTACCGATTCACCGCTTTCCAGGTTCTCAGAAGTTCCAATTCGTCAAAGGCAAAAGAGGAGGAGGGACCCTTAGTAACTATTTTCGGAAATCCTTCACCTGACTGTTCACGTGCTATTACCGGATCACGGCACTACGTACAGTTCCTTTCGTCGGATCCATCAGCCGCATTCGGTAAGGATAATGTGCGACAATCGGATGCAATTGACGATATTGAGGCTGCGCTTGAAGCTCAACTGCCCGTTTTTGGACAAAAGAAATAATGAAACACCAACGAACCGGAGGGGCCTGTCCCGACTTCCCGCTGCTGCTAACGGCCGCCACGGAAGAGGACACGGCACATGACTTCGCCCCGAAGTTTTTGCGGGCGATGGTGACATAATGATCTGACACACCTGTACGCGGTAAATGACGTGGGGACCAACACGACCCAGACCCGGCATTGTTGGTTAACCGATCAATGGTCCCGGGAGTCGTATCGATCTAGTTTGCCGCCGACGAAGTCGACCAATACCAACCCCTTTGTTTCCAAGTTCATCCCGCCAGGCGGGTGACCAAAAAAGCCGTACACCTTAACAGTTAGGGATAACTTAGGTACCTGCACTAAAACGATGATAAGTAGTACATCGTCATCCGTAACGTTCCCTACTCAGCCTAGGTATCCCCTACCTAAATCCTCCTTGAAGGTGTCCGGCTTTTTTTGTCACCCGCTTGCCCGCCAAGCTTGCATACGAGACGAAGGACATGGTAAGAGTATACGAATGCGAACCCGATCGCCATGCAGGGCCCCCCCGTCCAATTACCCTGGATCCGCACGGCCATCAGTCATCGCGTCAGCTAATCAGACCGCATGCGAGTGATGTTGCGGTTATGCACCACACTCACTACAATGAGCTCTGACACTTATGTATACACATGCTCGTGGGTTCGAAATACACCACCATCTGTCACAGAACGCCTGCTTTTTTCCAAATCACAGTGACTAGCGAAACACTTTCAAAATCTATCAAAGTAAGATCTTAAGGGAGTGTTTATGGGCTCTGCTTATCACATGATAGATGTCTCTTCTGATCTTTCCCATCTGTTCCGGGGCGCTATCGCAGGCTTAGACAAGGTGCTTCTTTAAGAAATCAGCGGTGTTTCGGGAGCCTGCGTGAGTCTTTGATCACAACTGTACGAAAGGCGCTTATGCAAGCAACCTGGTGACAAAAGAAACGACGAACAGTGCAAGACATCAGTAGGTAATACCAACAAGCTGTTCGATATTGAGCCGTTGAGTCTCTCTTGGAACAACGACTAGACTTGGCAAGGATTTATCTTAATCGTTTCGAATATTGGAACAGAGGATACCTATAGGTGAAGTAACGGCCCCCTAGCAGTTGAGGTGGTGTTTGTATCACTTTTGCTCGCCACTGGCTTAGTGGGGAAAAGTTGGGCCACCTTTGGGCGTAGCGTTATCCTTGTGCCACGGCCTCAGGGGCTAGTACTACATGGGGCCGCGTCCTCTTCCTCGGCACCATTGGCTCTACTAAGGGTGGTGGTCTACTTACCTAGAATGGACTATGTTGGGATGGGTACATAAGTCATGGACACCCTACAACATGGGCAGTTCATCCGTAGTAATATCAGACCTGATCCCACGTTCTTCGACTCGCAAAGACCATCACCCATTATGACGACTGCAACCGATCCCGTCGCTCCGGCTGGCGCCTTTGACGCCCAATTCTCGAAGCACTGGTCCACGGCTGTGGCTGGCTTCGTTTTCGTCGTGTTTGCATTGCTGGCACAGAGCTGGTTCACAGTTGACCCCCTGGCCAATGTGCCGTTTGTGGGTAAGGGAGGACGATGGGCTCGGAGGAAGCAATTCATACAGGGCAAAGGGTACCAGCTTTACATTGATGGCTACAGGCAGGTTAGTTGGACTTGATACCGCCGGCTCTTTATAGAGTCCTAATTGTTTTTCCAGTTCAAGGACAGTATATTCCGTATCACGACGTCAAAGAGTAAGACCCAGCACCCTGCGATACTTGCCTAGACGAATAACTGACGGGCCCTTAGAGAAGGACACCATTTGTGTTCCTCCCAAATACCTCCCCGAGCTGAAGAAAGCGCCCGACGACGTAATCAGCTTCACCAAAGCTATTGATGAGGTACACACCTCTACACTTGCCCGTACCATAACTTTGAAATACTGACGTGTCAAGTCCATGCAAGCCAAGTATACAAAGATTGAGAACGACATGCCCATCTTGGTCCATGCCGTTAGAGCGTCGTTGACACCGGCTCTACGTCAGCATCACTGTACATTTGCTCTGGTGACTAGCGCTGACATCTTCAACAGCCCGTCTGAACGCGAGCATCTCCGACGAAGTTGTCGAAGCGATGCGTCTCGAGCTGCCGCAATCCACCGACTGGAATGAAATTAACATCAACGCCAAGCTCCTGCGCATCATCGCCATGGTTTCTGGACGAGTTTTCATCGGTTCCGAGCTCTGCAGGGACGAGAGATACCTCGACGCCTCGATCAACTACACCGTTGACCTGATGACTGCTGTGCACGTCATCGCCATGGTGCCATCCTTCCTGCGCCCCATCGTGGCCTCCTGGCTGCCGACAACCAAGAAGCTCTACGAGCGCATTGCCGCGGCCGAAGCGGTTTTCCGCCCAATTGTGACGGCCCGCAAAGAGGCTGCTAAAAAGGGGGACTACCAGGAGCCAGACGACATGCTTCAATGGATTCTCAACGCTCAGACAAAGTTCGGCGAGCTCAGCGACCGTCACCTTGCCATGGCCCAGCTCGGTATTAGTTTTGCTGCTATCCACACGACTACCATGACGACGACCAACGCCATGTATTGGCTCGCGGCGAAGCCTGATCTCATCCCCATGCTGCGCGACGACGTTCAGCAGGCATTACTTGGGTCAGGAGGAGAGTTCACGAGCGCGGCTTTGCAGAACATGAAGAAACTGGACAGCTTTTTGAAGGAGGTCATGAGAGTTTCCCCGCTTTCTGCCAGTATGTCCCCTACTATCGTAGCTCCCTGACCACCTTACCATGGATTTGGAAACCGTGTGGGGTGGCCCTGAAAAAGCCGTCGAAACTAACCTTGTCACCCTTCTCCCAGGTTCCTTCCAGCGCAAAGTCCTTAAGTCCCTGACGCTCCCCAATGGCCAGACCATCCCAGAGGGTATGTTCATTGATATCCCTTCCGGCGGCGTCAACAACGACCCCGATATCTTCCCGGCTCCCGAGGTTTTCGACGCCCTCCGCTTTTACAAACTGCGCGAGGCCAAGGAGCACGCCGCGTCCGGCACCAAGGCGGTGGAGGTCGTGATGCAGGCCCAGTTCGTCAGCGTCGGTACTACCCATCTGACGTTCGGGTACGGCAAACACGCCTGCCCCGGCCGGTTTTTCGCCGTCAACGAGATCAAGATGATCATGGCCAATATTGTATGCGATTACGATGTTAAGCTTCCGGATGGCGTAACCGAGAGGTACGAGAATAGGATTTTTGGCGCGAGTGTGAGTAAACCTCGGATTGCTCCAATGTTGAGACGAAAGCTGACGTACACCTTAATTAGTCTGTCCCTGACCCCAACAAGACCATCATGATCAGGAAAGTATGATCCAGGATGGAAACCGAATACGGATACGATGTCTCAGGTACATATTTCAAGCTTTTACTTATGCCAACAATTATCGTTAGTAACAATCATTGATATACGACCATTGCTCACCCCTGTGAACCAACTTCATATTTCTGCCTCTTTTTTCAGAGTATAATGATGGGTTGTAGCGTGCTGTGGTACCAGGCAGAAATAAAGCCTCCTAGTCAGGTATCTGCGGCATCAGCCGCAACCGTCAAATCAACAGGAGCATTCTGCGATCCTGGCGAACTCTTGCTTTGATCTAGTCACGAAAAAGCTGCACCCCTCCAGTCTAAACGACGGTATGCATCCAATCATTACATAGTAAGGTGTTTCTACTTAATTACCCCTACTACCATAGTATGAGTTTCCAGAATCGGTTTGTAATTCGCCGGTTCAATAGTTCAACCCGTGAGTCGATTCAGCCCTCCATATCGTCAATATTAATCCTCTCCATCACGCTCCGCTTTGGCCAGTGAATCCAGGGCTGCCAGTTATTGTCTAGGGCTTCGTCTACAAGGCCCATCACAGTAGCGCTCCACCCTCTGAAGAGCCAGTTCCCCTGCTCATATGGTCTTGTCAACGCAAGGTAGTGCGCCAGAATGACAAGCGCAGTTGGGTGTCGGTTGCCAATCATTTCAATGAACATGGGAGGCAGAGAGCTTGGCCATCCCCACGGGCCGCTAGGATTCTCATCATTGCTCTTACATAACTGGTGTACCCTCCGCATTGACTCGACCGCCAACACGCAAACCGACTGCGGATTGATCACCTCGGAGAACATTGCAGGAACTTCCCGCGCCAAGACGGTTACGGCGTCGAGACGCTTCTGGAATGGTAACGACAAGTAATCACGCCGCGACAAAACTGGAGTCCGCAGTAGCGAACCCAGAGGCCCGCCATGTTCCCTCCAAACCTCAATGGGTTGGTAGCTGAGTATGCCTCTGACACCATGGAGGAGCATGAACGATTGCGAAACTTCATTGAGCGAGACTGACCTGCCCAGTCGTTCGTTATGGGCGACGCAGCACATACTGACGAGGTAAATGAGTGTTGCTAACCAAAAGTATGCCTCGCAGTTATCCTTGTTGATCGCACTCAGGCGGAGGGCGAAAAAGCGGAGCGCGATGCTTTGGTGGTGTACTGAGATGATGTCCCATTTCTTCTGCTCTTGAGGGTGGAGATAGGCGTAATGCAGGGCTGAGAGGGCCAGCAGGCCGTGCATGAGGAATTTCTGCCACGACGTGTAAGACAATCTGATCTGAGAACTCCCACTATCCCACCATGACTTCACGAACTTGAATAAAAGAAATATGGGGATAGGGCACAGTCGAAACTACGATTCTGACATACGTGTGAGCAAGCCATCTCGGGAACAGTCGTTCTCCAGATCTCTTTTGTACAGCCTTCTGTGGGTAAGGCATCACAGGTGCTGGTGTTGTAGTGGTACATCAAGCGCAAGCTTTGCAACCACTCTTCTGAGAGGCCCCAGGGATCTGTGACGGGGTTGTTAAGAGTTGGCACCGAATCTCCGGAATAGGGCGAGGTGCTGCTGCTTGCCGTGACTTGGACTTCATGCGTGTGTCAGTTGTCGAACACTCCTTCGTCCCTAGAAGACCAACTCTAAACTTGAGTGAAAGTTGGCATACCTGCCGTGGGAGTGAGACTCGCTTCACTCGTTGCCTCATTAACGCCATGTGCTGGTTGAAGCGGCGCATCCTGCTGATCGGTCTTCAATGGCGCTGGTGGTGTAGACGTCGTCATCAACGGCGCAGGTTCATCGAGAAGGCTGCAGTGCATCCCGTGAACCACGCACTTTTGACAGGGTCGTCCCTCGTCGCACTAGAAACATCCCCAAGTCATGAGCTTGGTGGGCACAAAGTTATGCTAAACTACTTGGTCTGCGTACCTTGACTCGACGCGATTTGCAGCGCAGGCACCCGTTCCTCGACTTTTTGTGACCAAGACGCCGGGAACGCTTCTCCATAGCTAGAGCAGATAGAGCGCAAGTAACTCGATAATGGAGCTGGGGCTTCTTTTTGTTTGGCTTAATTTGGTGTCGGGGTTGGTGATGGGTAGTATAAGTCGCGTTCGGATTCGTATGCCGTGAAGCTAAGAGATGGTATAGGGGGGGGAAAAAACGAGATGAGTGCGAAGCTCAAAGCATCTCGGGTAACCCCGAATACGAGGTGGGTTTCGCAAAGTCACAAAGCTTGCTAGTGGGCCCCGTTGCAGATCACGCAGCGACTCACAACGCTATGGACGCGGGGACCTCCGGGGAACCAGGGGGTTCGAACGCGATAGGCTGCCAATGAGGATCTGAGAATCAATTGGACGATATTCTACTAGCTCTCGGACCCTGAGCGGGAGAATATCACATAGTATACCTAGTGTAATGTATGGCGTACAGAAGCCTCACGAAAGAAAAGCAAGTCAGATCACCCGAGAGCGTCTTTCCTTATGCAGGGGCCAGTCAAAGAAGCCAAACAGTAAGCATCTTCGCTGCCTGGCAACCTTGTCATGCACGTACTTTGGTAGACTGGGTTATCCGTGCGAGCCGCAGGCTCCGGTTGTGTAGGCAAAGCAAGTCAACTAAGAGTTATACACAAAGCCATCATAGAGCCTGAACACCTAGAGTATACTCGTGTTTGATCAAGCCCCCTCCATTAAGACAACAGTCGCTAGTGTTCGTCAGCATAGAGGTGTAAAGAGCTCAAAGTGCAAACGAGAATGGCCTGGATGGTGGAAATGAGTGAGCCAGATATGTCACGGTATACACGTGCATCAGCCACATTGTCAACAGTAAGCTAGCTCAGAATCGGGCGCATAGATGCAACATGGAACTAGCGGTTGCTGCCTATTGTGGGTTAACCTCACATTTACAGCGCCAGGCATGCGTGCCTTGCAGACTGCAATTCGATAACATGACGAGCCACCTTTTCTAATAAGACGTACTTTTCGCACTGCTACGGCATTGAAGGTGTCCCTTAATCCGGGCGTTCCGGGTGTTGCGAGGCTCCGAGAGTCGAGGTTCCATTCGGTACTTGCCAAGGACGGCATGTAACCTGCATGAGTTGCATAGCCGGCTGATGGCATAGGATTCACATGTGTATACAAGTGCTAAAAAAACACTTAGCAGGGCCACGTGCTGCTGGTGCTGGCAGAAAGTTTCGTCGCGAACTGACTATGACTTGGATGTCGTGACGAGACTATAAACCTACAGGTTTGTGATTTTTAAAGCATGTGGTCTCATATACCTTATAATACCAGAGAACTAAATCTTGCTTGCAAGGAATATGTACATAACGGCTGAGTCTTTGTGTGAGACTCCAAGACATTAGATTGGTCTACAGTGAATTACAGACACTTTTGCTAGTTTGTTGCTGTTCCTACCTCATGAGCTTGAGCGACACCTGATCTTCGTACAAATTGCGGGTTTACTTCTATATTCAAAGCACACGATCCGGCCAGACCAACGGAAGATATAGAATATACTCTGGTAACTGATCGGCTTAAGTGGAACCAATTACCGTCAGTAGGAGGAGTACCTGAACACTTCTTGAATACTCTTTCCAGAAAAGTATCATATATCTCAGCTAAGCGAGGATCGAGGCGTGCAGATAATTGGGATTCATTCTCAGGAGCACGCCGCAACCCGGGCCAAACCCTTGAAGCCCGATGATGGGAAAAGATTGAGAGACCAATAAATCGCAGGCCACCCAGAAGCTCGTCGCTTGCACTTTCCGCAAATACGAGCCAGATCATCGCCTTGCCGTTGTGGCAACCATCACTTTGGCAGCACGGAAACAGCCTGAACGTCACGTAACATCATCGGCGTCTCGACGACCATTCGTTGCAGATCATGAACGCTGAAATTTTGCCTACACATCCCATGTACCCCCGTCCCATTCCGATGCATCATTATCTAAGTCCCATATGTACACGAACGCCGTCCCAAATGACAACCGACCCGGAGTCCCCCGCTCTTTTTACCAGTCCGGCGCACTGCCGCACCCGCCGCCCCCGCCGACCAGCAGCTGCGCCGGCTTGTCCATCTTGAGCGGCGCCATGGGCTTGACGCCGGGCTTCTTGGCGCGGTGGCCCTTGAAGTTGATCTTCTTGTCGAGCTGCTCAAACGGCGAGCCGCCGGACTCGCCCTTCTTGACCATCCACTTGGCCGTGCTGAGCGCCGCGTCGAGCTCCTCGACGGGGGGCAGCTTCAGGTAGACCATGCCGTCGGCGCGCTCCTCGACGGGGAACGTGGCGATGCTGACTTCCTCGTCGTTCTTGCAGCTGCCGTTGGCGAGGTCAAAGTTGCGCTTGTGGTACGGGCACGACACCCAGGGGGCGGCCCGCTTGGCGTCGCCGTTGGTGCTGCAGCCCGAGTCGGGCTTCTTGGCGTCGTCGCACGCGTCCGCGCCGAGCTCCTCGCCGATGAGGCCGTCGGACAGCACGAACTGCCGCTTGTGCGGGCACATCTGCTGGGTGGCGTAGTACTTGCCGCGGATGCGCCACACAGCCAGCTGCGTGTCGCCGCGCTTGACCGTCGCCGAGATGCCGTTGGGGGTCTCGTCAGCGCCGGAGAAGTGGCTGGCCTGCAGCATGGGCTGCCACGCCGTGCTGCTCCACCGGTCCTTGAGGCCCTTGAAGTCGTCCTTGGCCGAGTCGGGCGCCCAGTACACGGGCCGGGGCTGGTCGCGGTCGAGCTCGACCTCCATGTTCTCGACCGTCTCGTCCGTGTTGTTGAACTGCTTGAACTTGGCGGCGATGGCGGGGTTCTTGATGGCCTCGGCCCACTCGTCAAAGAAGCTATCGACGAGCTCCTGCATCTGCGCCTCCAGCGAGGCGCAGATGCCCAGCTTGTCCTCGAGGACGACCTCCTGGAGGTACTTGATGCCGCCCGGCAGGTTCTCGAGCCAGCGTGCCGTGCGCTGCAGCTTGTCGGCGGTGCGGATGTAGAACATGAGGTACCGGTCGATGATGGGGATGACCTCCGTCGGGGGCACGTCTTTGGCGAGCAGCTCAGAGTGCTTGGGCTTGGCACCGCCGTTGCCGGCTACGAAGATGTTGAAGCCCTTGTCGGTGGCGATGAGGCCGAAGCTAGGCAGGTCAGTCTCGTACTCGGCTGGGTAGGGAAAAGTCAAGTCTACTCACTCCTTGTTCTGGGCTTCGGCGCACTCGCGGACGCAGCCACTGACACCGCCCTTGATCTTGTGCGGCGCACGAATGCTCTTGTACCGCTCCTCCAGCCGCACCGCCATGCCAACACTGTCGCCAACACCATAACGGCACCACGTTGTGCCGACGCAGCTCTTGACCGTTCTCAGCGACTTGGCGTACGCGTGTCCCGACTCCATGCCGGCCTCGACCAGCATCCGCCAAATGTCCAACAGGTCCTGCTTCTTAGCGCCGAACATGTCGATGCGCTGCCCACCAGTGATCTTGGTGTAGAGTTTGTACTTGGACGCCACGTTTCCGATGGCGATGAGCTTGTCGGGTGTAATCTCGCCGGCAGACACTCGAGGAACGACGCTGTACGTTCCGTTGCGCTGGATGTTACCGAGGAAGCGGTCGTTGGTCTCCTGTAGGCCGTGCATGGACTTGTCCATGACGTGGCGGTTCCACAGGGAAGCAAAGATGCTGCCGATGGTGGGCTTGCAGGCCTCGCATCCAAGAGAACTCGGGTCGTTTCCGGCCTCGCGCATGACGTCCTCGAGGGTCTGCAGCTTCTTGACGAGGATGATGTTGTACAGGTCGGCACGCGAGTAGTTGAAGTGGGCGCAGAGGTAGTTCTTGACCTCGTTGCCCATGGACAACATGGTCTTGTTGAAAATGGTCGTCACCAGCGGCATGCAGCCACCGCAGCCGGTGCCGGCCTTGGTGCACGACTTGACCTCGCCGAGCGTCTTGCAAGTGCCTTCCTTGACCGAGTTGACAACGTCGCCCTTTGTCACGTTGTGGCACGAGCAGATCTGGATGTCGTCTGTTAAGTCGTCGCCGTCGTCTTCGCCATCCTTCTTGGCACCGAGGATGAGTTGGCTGGGAGGCATGTCCAGCTCCTTCATGTTCTTGACAATCGGCACCAACTTGATGTAGTCTTTTGTGTCGCCGATCATCATGCCGCCCAGCAGGTACTTGCCGTCCTCGGTGAAGATGTACTTCTTGTACACGTTCTGGAACGGATCACGGTACGTGAGCGCCTTGACGGGGGCTGGCGGCAGACCGTTTGTTAATGTCTCGAGCGTGCTCTGCTCGTCGCTCTTCTTCGCTTTGCGAGCCGCCTTGGGGGGCAGGTATAGCGGGCCGTCGCGGTCGGCGAAGAAGTCGCCGAAGCTGGCAACGTCGACGCCCAGGAGCTTCAGCTTGGTGCTGAGGTCTGGTCTCTTGAACGCCCGTGGTTGGTGCAGCTTGGCTTGTGTGAGGTTAAAGGAGAGAACGTCGGCCATCTCGACGCCGGGGGCGATGAGGCCGAAGGTCTGGTTCCGCCAGCTGGCGCACTCGCCAATGGCGTAAATATCAGGGATACTGGTGCTCAGATCGTCTCCAACGACAATACCACCCCGCGGTCGGCACACTTGATGCCGGCCCTTCGCGCGAGATCGTCTCGCGGCCGCACGCCAATGGCGAAGCAAATGGTTGAGCAGTCCATGCGCTCGCCGTCCTCGAAAACGACTCCCCGGACGCAGTTGTCTTCCGTCACCTCGATTTGACCTACCCGCTTGCTGAGCAGCACGTCAAGACCGAGGTCTCTAACCTGGTCCACAACCATGGAGCCGGCGTCGTTGTCTAGCTGTCGACTCAACACCCAGCGGTTTCTCTCAATCAGCTTGACCTTCTCGAAGCAGTCCAGGTCCATCATGGCCTTGGCTGCCTCGAGACCAAGGAGGCCGCCACCGACAACGGCTCCCACGGTGCCTTTCCGCTGCGCGGCGAAAGCGATGAGGTTGATAAGATCATCGATTGTGCGGTACACGAAGACGCCCGTTGCGTCGTGGCCCGGGGTGTGCTTGGGAAGAACAGCATCCGAGCCAGTGGCAATGACCAGGATGTCATATGGCACGATCTCGCCATTGGAGCAGGCTACTGTCTTTGCCTGGGAATCGATGTCTGTGACTTTGGTGTTGACGTGGTAACCCAAAGAGCCTTGTGGTGTGCTGTGGTACTACTCATCGGATCAGCAACGCGCCAGGTTAGACGTGGGGGTCTGCACATACCCATTCCTCCGGGTTAAGGTAGAGGTTCTCTACTTTGCGGTGGTCGAAGAAGCTCGTCAACCCGACACGGTTATACGCCAGGTGAGGCTCCTCTCCAAGGACTGTTATGCAGTACTCATTTGCGCGGGCGTCCAGCTTCAACATCTTCTCACTTTGCAAAGTCAGCCGGACAGTCAGTCGCATGGCTTGGGATCTTATCGCCACTCACATGAAGGCGATGCCGACCATGCCCAGGCCGACAACGACGAGTCTCTTACGTTCCGCCATCGTGGAGATGTCAAAACGCTATGAGACACGGAGGCGAGTCTGAGAGTGCTGGTTGCAAGAACGAAACACAGATCAAGACACCAAAGGAGAAGAACGGAGAGAAAGGAAAAACAGGTATACGACTTCCTACGCAGACTAATATTTGTCGTCCAAGCCAACGGGCCACCTATTAAAAAGACGCATCACTCATTCCTCGGCGCACAATGAAGTCAGCCCAAGGTTGATCCGCTGGGAACAGCATCTCCGGCGAGACGGGCCACCCGCACCAGGTCCCAGGGGCGGCGCTCGTTGATTGGCCGCGACGCAGAAACGACGGCATCTGGAGGTGCATTTCCACGGTTGACATCAGACTTTGGGGTGGCCCGGACCACGGCTTGCATAGCCTGGCAGGGAGGCTCGAAGTAAGAGGTGGCACGGTATTACATGTAGGCAATTGTACGGCGTCGAGGTCGATCGCGGCGATAAGGAGGGACCATCGGATGATAAGGCACGGCACGGGCGAATCAGGAGCGCAGGATCGCGGCCCGCTGCGGGCGGCTCTGGTTGCGCCCGCGGAGAAAGACGCCTCGGGCCCCATTATCATGGCGTCTCTCTCTCTCCCGTTCCTAGCCTTCATGACACTTCCCAGTCCCCACGCGATCACTGAAACCGCGAGCGAATGAGAGACCAGGGTGGTGCGTGGGGAGACCTCTGTTTCTCTGTCTCCTAGGAGAAAGAGAAAGCTTCCCATTGTGCGCCAGTGCGCCCCTCGTTTGCCCGCAGAGCAATCGCCTGATAACAGATGGGCGCAAGCCTATTTGATTTCGACGCGGCTTGATTGGACAGCCACTGCCGATACCAGACTGCAGACGGGCAGGCTTGGGAGATACACATGTTCCAGATTGGCGTTGCCGACACTTTCGCGCACGCATACACACTCGTCATGACACATGGCGGCGTCAGTAGGAGATCTGTTTGGCAACCATGGATTCCACGAACGGGACTGCGCACTCTGCCCTTGTCTCGTCGTGGCGAAACTCGTCTCTGCGTCTGATCATTTCTGATACCACCAGCAGAGGTCATGGCTCCTCTGCATCAGACCACGCGCAAGGAAATGCATTAGCAATCGAAACTTGGCCTGTGGCGCGCTGACAGGGACCACGACGGGCTGCAAGGTCAGAGCGCAACTTGGTATTCACTCAACGGGCCGGGCCATTACAACCTGCAGCCTGGGCAGGGAACACAACCTGAGCCAGCGTCCTGTCTTGGCAACGACGGCCTTTGAAAAGGGTGAGGGTTCGTTTTTGTGTTGGAGACTCAATTGTTGCGGCACGGCCAGCCTCAGGGTATCACCAGTACTACTGTACAGTATATGTTTTACACAGGCGCCGGCGTGCTTCGTCACGCCGCCCGCCTCACTCCGAAGAAGTAGTTGCCGACCTTTTCGCTGCCCTGGACCTCCTTCCAGCCCAGCCCGGGCACGTAAACGACGCCCATGATGCGGGGCATCTCCCAGCCCTTGCCCATGAACATTGCCTTGAGCTCGTGGTCGTTGATGTACTTGCGCCAGTCGTGCGTGCCCTTGGGCACGATGCCCAGGATGTCCTCGGCGATCAGGTTCGTCGTGAACCAGCTCACCCAGGTCCGCGCAATGGTGCTCCCGACGAGCCACCCGCCGGGCTTGACGAAGGGCGCGCACCGGTCGAGGAACTCGGCGGGCGACGAGACGTGCTCGACGACCTCGAACACGGAGACGACGTCGTACTGGTCCGCCGGCGTGGCGGGGAGCGGCAGCGTCTCGATCGTGGCCGATTTGTATTCCAGCTTGCCCCTCAGCGCCGGGTCTCGCCGGGCGTGGCCTTTCGCGATGGCGAGGACGCCCGGGGTCGGGTCGATGGCGGTCACGACGGTCGTGTCTGGCAGCCTGGCGGCGCTCTCGGCGAAGATGCCGCCGCCGCAGCCGACGTCGAGGAAGCGGGCGGGCGTGGAGGGCGCGTCGGGCTGGCTGGCGAGGCAGTTGCGGATGAAGGTGTGACGGAGCGGGTTCATCAGGTGCAGCAGGCGCGAGGAGCCGTGGGGGTCCCACCAGTCGGCGGCGAGGGTGTTGAAGTGCTCAACCTCCTCGGGGGAGACGGAGGAGAATGTCGAGTGCTGGCGGCATGCGGCGGGTGAGGATGCGGGTGCCGTCCGGAGCAGTGGCGTCGCAGCGGCGCGGGAGGTCTGTCGGGCGAGTGGACCCGTGGTCGTCCGCCGCAGTGCGCGCAGCAGAGCGGCTGTCGCCGGGCGTGAAGATGCCATGGCGATTGTGTGTCGCGGAGTGCTGGGAAGGCGGGTGGTGTTCCGAGGATGCAGAATCCAGAGCAAGGGGGAAAATGGATGACAAAGCAGAGGAAGGTGTCACAATCTTTTCTGGGGCTGCTGGGGGGCCGGTTTGGAGAAATTGGAGATCCTTGGACGACCTCGGCGCTGGTACCGGCCGGCCGCCGTCAGTGCACTCGCTCGTCCTGGACCCCTGTCGATGCAGCTCTGCACCTCATCTGCGGGCGCGGGATTCTCTCGACGATGCCACCTAGGTACTATCTACGGCCCTCAGTAGACATCGGGTGCGAAATCCCTGGCAGCAGTGAGAACCGGGCACTTGGACCTTCTTCCCGGGATCGTGCCGGTATTACGGCGCAGTAGCCGCTGAGAATCATCAAGGTTGAAGAGGGGAGGAGTCGCCGAGATTGTGCAAGAACGGGGCCGCGCGGGAGTGTTTGTCAGCGTCAGTAATCCTCGCAACCAGGGAATGAGGAGCACCCATGAGAATGGTCGGCTTATGTGATCCCGCGTCTGTCGGGTTGGGCCGATTCGCATCTGAAAGTGCACCGTACGCCGCGGGCCACCTGCCAGCAGCTTCACGGGTGAGGCTGACAGCTGCGGCCATGGGTGGTGCCAGTCGCCAAAAGCCCGACCGCCGACCGAAAAGTCGAAAAGTGAACCCCGCGCAGGCCGACGTCCTCGGCGCATTCGGCGCCAGGCCGTCAGATCGGGCTGCTGTAGGCAGGGTCCAGATGCACTCAACCACATGGATGACAGTTGCAGACTAAGCCGCCTGCCAAAGGGGTGTGGTGTTCTCTGTAGCCCGGCGCGCGCCAAAAAAAAACAACCAAAAAAAACAACCACATGAGTCAACCAACAAGGGGCCGAGCGGTCCTCGACATCCTTTCGCGCTCTCATTGACGACATTTTTGATATTAATATACTTGTCGCCAGCGCAGCAAGTTCGGCACGGGCTTTTTCTCTCTGGAAGAAAGAACACGTTGTGAATACGGCAGCTACCCAAGAAGACGAAGCAAACCCGATTGATATCGTACCCCCGAGACCAGACCAGACCAGACCAGACGGACCCGGATTCGGCCCAGAAAAAATTCCCCATCCATCTGCCGCCATCGCTTTCGTTGCCCCTCTCCGCCCTCGCGTGACAGAATCCCTGGCGTCGCGCAGCAGCAGCACCAGCAGCATTGAATGAACCTAGAGACCAAAAAGACAAAAAAAAAAAAAGAGAGAGACCAGACCCCTGAGGCCACCGAGCTTTGTCCGCCAGAGACCCTAGCTTTGCACCTAAATTTCCCTCGTTCGCGGGGTCCGCCTTTCCGTCCAAGTCCAACTCGACAACCCCTCCCCCTCACTGGCTCCCCCCGTTCCCGTCACCACTTTCACCGACGAACCATTAACCTCACCTCGCCAACTCCTCCCACGACATCGTCCGCCCGCCCGCCCTCGCTCGCTCTCTCCTTCTTCCGCCTCACGTCTCGCAAATTCCCCTCCAATCCCAGCCGCCATCATGCCTTCCTCAACAATAGACGAGTCCAAGTTCGACTCCATCCCGGACGCCATTGAGGCATTCCGTAAGTCCGATCCCGAACCTCCCGCGCCCGCGCGCCGATTCGCGCTCTGCTGCGCGAGGCGCCCACAAACCTCCAGAAACTAACCTCGGAATCCCCCCTGCTCCAGGCAACGGCGAGTTCCTCGTCGTGCTCGACGACCCCTCGCGCGAGAACGAAGCCGACCTCATCATCGCCGCCGAGGCTCTGACGACGGGCCAGATGGCCTTCATGATCCGCCACTCGTCGGGCTACGTCTGCGCGCCCCTCGCCCCCGAGCTCCTCGACCGCCTCGCCCTGCCGCCCATGGTCGCCGTCAACGAGGATCCCCGCGGCACCGCCTACGCCGTCTCCGTCGACGCCGCCGACCCCCTCGTCACCACCGGCATCTCGGCCCACGACCGCGCCCTCACCTGCCGCGTCCTCGCCGACCCGGCCGCCCGCGCCGCCGACCTGCGCAGGCCCGGCCACGTCCTGCCCCTGCGCGCCCGCGCCGGCGGCGTCCGCGAGCGCAGGGGCCACACCGAGGCCGCCATCGACTTTTGCAGGCTGGCCGGCAAGAGGGAGGCCGCGGCCATCTGCGAGCTCGTCGACGACGGCCGCGCCGTCGAGGGCCGCGCCGTGCACGAGGAGGCCGGCATGATGCGCGGCGAGCAGTGCGTCGAGTTCGCCAAGCGCTTCGGGCTCAAGGTCTGCACCATCGCCGACCTGGTGACGTACCTGGAGAAGACGGAGGGCAAGCTGGCCGTCAACGGGTCCTCGTGAGAGCATTGGTTCGTCCCGCACCAAGAGCGAGGGGGGGGGCCGGAGCAGAGGAGGTTCTGCTGAGATAACGAGGGTGGAAAGAGGATGGGGAGACATGTCCTGGCTTTCGAAGCTCAAAGGTTGGGTGGTGGCGGGTGGCATCGACGTCTAATTGTCAGTATATATATCCATGGATATCGAACGCGGGTCAGTCAAAAAATTGGGCGCTTGGGTTTTTTTTTCTACATATAAAAAAACAACTTCTCGTCACATCGTTGCTTGCACCTCCCTGTCGGCGCATATTGGGTCTAGAGGTACCTGCTTGCTAGGAGCATCCAATTGGAAAAATCTTGTGTCTTTTGCGTAGCCAGTTGTTGATGAAGCCGGTGCTGGTTGAATAAATACGAGTGATAGATATCTTCGTCACTGCGTGTTAACCCGTGTGGCCATGATAGACGCATTCCAAGCCGACAACAGGCACAACAGGCATACATCACGCTGAGCCAGCGCCCCGGCAAATTTGGTGTGACGAGATCCCTCGACAGAGTGTACAGGCTACACACTGACTCCGAGAATGTCGCGTATGTGGCTGAGACGGCTGTACTTAGTTGACCGCATGGGCTGGTAGGCGTGGCGCTAGCACACTAATTCGTTTCGGGGTTGGATCTCAGCCTCTCATAATATATCTCGGCTCTGATGTAAGTTGCACGCGGGCCCGGGTCACCCTTGAAGGCCTGGCCGAGATGGAAAGCAAGCTGATGCTCTACTGCAAAGCCCCCAACGGTTGTCATAATTTGAGACGGGTAAGCAAGAAAGTGTCTTCAGAGAAGCTCACAGAACTGTGCTCTCTCTCTCTCTCCTCTGAGCCCCAACAATGGGGTTGCAGCCGCGACTCGTCTTTGGGTCTGTTCCGAATGCCAATGTGCATGGCGACCTCGAGCAAGAATTGAATTCGCCCAACATGTTGCTCCAAAAGACTTTAATGCAGGGCGACTTGTTTCTTCCCGAGAAACAACCGTCCAGAGGTATCACAAGATGTTGCTTTAATAAGATTAATCAAGTGTGCCCCCCCGCCCCTTACTCAACCGAAAAGCCAATCACAGTGATCCGTCTCCCGTTTCCGAACACAATTTGCACACATCTCCATGCTGTATGCAAACCGCAGGTCCTGTCCGTTGCCGATGCAACTTGGCCAGTGACGCCGATAATGCACTCCCATCCCCATGACCAGTGTTGGTCAACTTCGCCCAACCGTTCCCCTCGCTCCTAATGCGACGCGTAGGCAAACGCCTACTGCTTCTCATCTTCCCTGATCCATTCACCAAGATCACCCTCGATGCTGTATGTCGAGTTCGCCACCTGGCCGCCAGCCTTGCGGTCCCAACCCCAAATCTCGGCATACTCGGGCTTCAGCTCACCGTGCAGCATCTGGACAACGTATTTACCAATGACGGGAAAGAATTTCCAGCCGTGAAAGGAGCCGCCGGTCGCGATGAAGAGGTTTCTGCATTGGGAGTGAGGGGTGATGAGAAAATCGTGCCTAGGCGTCGTTGTGTCCCTGAAGCTGTGTAAGTCGAGTCAAGACTCAGAGTTATTGCGCCCAGTGGCAATGGTGACACCTACCAGCAGACTCGGTATTTTTCGATGGTCCTGCCCTTCATCTCATCTCCGTACAGACCTCTAAGGGTTTCGTAAGCCCTATTCTTCAGATGAGGAGGAATATGCTCCTTGGTGGTCCACTCAGTAAGGTGACGGTCCGTGGGAGCCAGGGACATGGTGGTGCCCGTAGGAGCATGGAACTGGTTGTTGATGAACGCCATGTCACAGTTGAACTTTAGTGTACCGTCTGGGGTCATTGACATGGACTCCCCTATGCTGGTCAGTGTGTCTCTTCAGGAGAGCCATCGGGTGTCTTACCTTTGACCGAGGGCAGGCGGTTCTTGAGCACGGGGATGCCTCTGAACCTCTCTTTCTGTTCTCCCTCAGCCTTCAAGGTAAAGCTGACGGCGCCCGTAGTAACCAGCCTGTGAGCGGCGTGGATGCCTTTACGATCAGGGGCGCTCTCGGCGAGCAATGCAGCGGTACGAGCACCCGTGCAGAGCACGATGGTGCCGTTCAGCTCGTCGCCGTTGACCAGCCTGACGCCGGTGCAGTCGCCACTGGTGTCGAACAGCAAGGTCCTGACCTCACCGACGACAAGTCTTGCACCAGCATTGATGACATGCTGACGAACGGCTTCGAGGGAGTTGGCGGCCTCGACCCAGCCGCAGCGAGGGTTGTACATGATTCGATCGAGCCCTTCAAAGTCGGCCGTGCCAAAGGCAGGCCAGGTAGCTCGCACCTCGCCAGGAGTCATCCAGCTGGCCCGGAGTCGTGCCCAAGACTGCGATGCGCGCTCTGAGCTTTCTCGTTGTGGCCATCCGGATCCGCACGAAGCACACCGACTTCGTGGTAATAGTCCTTGAAGAGGCCGTTCGTTCTCCAGCAGTCCATGGCCTCTATAGCCAAGGGGGCGTAGCACACGTTGGGGTAGTCATCCCTGAGGATCTTGGAGATGTCATGAGAGGCCGCTTTGGGGTTGGAGAGCTCGGTAGGGTCAACGAGGATTACGGTGCATCCGGGATGGCGTTTGAGGAGCCAGATAACAGTCGACAAGCCAAAAACGCCGCCGCCAACAATGATAAAGGCTTTGGGCTGGGTGTTGCCAGACTCGACAACAGTGAAGGGCTGTGACTGGGCCATTGTATCGTTCTGATGCTTCTGTTTCTCCAGGATGCTCTGAATTGTTCAAACAGAACCTTACATCTCACGGGCAAGACTCGAGTCTTATATAGACAAAAGTTGGCATCTTGAGCAGTTGGTTCGAGCAGACTTTCTGCCGTCAAGGGATATCAAGACGCAGCGAATGGTTTCCTGTCGTGCCATACACCTTCCGCCGAAATTCGCCAACTCGCCCGAATCGATGTCTATCCGCATCGATACGTCTACCCGGATTACCTTCAGGCGGCCCAAAGAAGTCGACAGCTACGCTTTCGGGGTCACCTTAGCCTCATGCTGTAAGTCAGATGGGAGTGGACCTGGCGCCGGGCCTTTGGCGATTAAGAGACGGCGGCCGCGGCGAGGGGAAACAGCTCCGCATGTGCGGCAGGAAGTAGCGGAGTATCACATCCGGTCGTGTACGAGAAAAGCGAGCGGCAGCAGTCAAGACTCGGGTGACTCCCGTGATGACGATCTGCCATCGGACAAGAAATCGTTCAATAGTCTGAGATGTATAGTCGTCAATGAGGTAGCGGAGTGTGCGATGCGACATGTCAAAGGAGACGCTGGGTGCGAGTGTATGTGCGGGTGGTGTGGTGCGGTGGTGTGGTGTGGTGGTGGTGGTGGTGGAGTAAGCCGGCGCCGTCGATGGCAGGGGGAAGATCCGCGTCTGCGGGTCTGCGCGTTCAGAGGTCGTCGCCGCCCATGTCGTTGGAATCGAACAAGGAAATGGCCATCTCGACTGGGCTTTCTGGGTGTGCTGGCTGGGGCGGAGGGGGGGGTAAAAAGCCGCGATCTACGCCGGCGCTGCTCGTCTTTCCACTCTGCCCGCTGCTTTCGAGAGTACGTACCCTTGGATCACGACCGACGAATTGATTCTGGGCGTTCTGATTGGTTCGGCGCTACATCCATAGATCCAATCACAACCCCGTAACCAATCAGCGGGCCCAGCCTCTAGTCTCTAGGTTGTTGGGACCAGCAGCTTACCAGTTAGCGTTCTTTCCTCTGTGAGACGGTTCTGTCTGTCTACTGTACCTGTGTTCCAACAACGACAGATTGGGACTTTGGTCGAAACCAGATACTCCATCCATCCCAGACGGTTCCTCCTAAATGAAAATGTACTTGGCCCGGGGGAATCAACCACCAGACATGGGGCGGGGGAGAGGGGCCTCCATCATACTACCTAAAGTAGGTGAAAACAAGTCATTTCCTCTTGTCTGGAAAGACATGATTTCTCGCGATTCTGCGCTGCTCGGCGTACCTTGGGTGGCTGACTAGCCTAGCTCACTACCAAGTTGGTCGCCTTACAGACACGACACCGCGGAGACATAACGACGTGTCTCGAGTGAATGAATCCAAGGGAGGGGTGTTGCGATAACAGCCTTGCAACTCGCAGGGTAAACAGCATCTAGGATCCCTTTCGGCCATTGCTCCTCTTCCGGCAGACATGTCCGGTTCTCTGTTCGTTTTTGCCATTCAGATTTGGCCATCAACCCCTCGTCGGCCTCTCTACGACACTCCCCCAACATGCGCCATGTCCCAGCTTCTGCGATGCAGACGTCAAGACACCGTATAGCACCGCTCTTGCAACATGCGATCGCTGGGTGATTTCCCGCTAGTCGCCATGGAGGTACGAAGCCGCACGCGCACACACGCACACCTTCGCAACCCATCGCCCGCAACCCTACCAAGAATTCCCGCCCATCAGCGTGGTTACTGAGCGGCATGTTTCCAATAGCCAAGCCTGCCCCATTCTGTGCTACCACCCGCCCCACGTTGGCGTCGAGAGACGACCGCCCCCCCTCCCCAATTTGAACTCTTGCTTGTCTCCGGTTGCTGGGCCCAAGACCCTCGCATTCAACACATTCGAGTCGCGGGCAGGCCGATACAGGGCATCTGCCTCGCGCACCTCCATTCGATGTGATGGCCGTTGAGGACCAAACGCTTCGCAAAGAGTGCAGGACTCCTTTCTATGGGAGCACCATCTCACACTTCAGGGGGAGCAAGAGCGTGTTCCTCGCTTGTTCGGGTCCAGAGAGATCTGTCCACTAGTTGCTGTTACACCAGCCTCGACAGTGGCCCGTATGGCGGGAGATATTATGACAGGCAGCGCCCCCATCTAGGAGCCTGCAGGTCCAGGGCCTCAACATATGGTGCATGCGCCGACGCCCGCGCCAAAAGCTCCGCCTTTACACAGATCCATGTGTGTGAGTCTTCCGTACCTATTGCCGGGACATGGCCTGGCGCCCCTTGCCGGCAACATACAAAGAAGGCTCCTTTTGGTGCCAGACCCCCCCTGGGCCCTCGAGGCCATCGCCGCTTTCTTGGAGAGGCATCTAGCAGTCCATGTCAGATGCGATAACTGACGTGATGGGTTGACTTGGGTGCTGCATGGCGAGTCAGCACCGGCTGGGTTCTAGTCCGACATACCAGTCGTCGCGTCGACAGACGACATTGCTGGTATCCGTACGTCGCCATCATCAATGGTGCCCACAAGAGATTGCTCGTGTCTCAGTGGCACCTTGCAGGACTCTGCTCTCGTAGGCCGCCAGCCGACAGCATAGGTGCTTCGATCGCCGGCTGGAAACGTTGCCTTCGGTATTTGCTGGTGCTTTTTCGGGCTTTGTGAAGGATAAATATGAGAAGATGCAACGCTTGGTTGCTTCAACAAGTCATTATTTGGTAATCAACTTCGTGGTTCTCGATAATTCGTATCTTGTACGCCCATGTTTGGGCGTTTTTCCACGCAGGCTTCAAGACTGCTGGTCTGCCCATCATACCGATTGACCTGATGACCATGCCTCACTCTTCATGTCCACCACGTCACCTCTTCCGAGGCGGGTATAACATGCAGCATGCCCCGACTTACAAGAAAAATATACAGCCCCCCACCGCTGACCCTTGTCAACGCGGAAATAGTGATACAGTGTGCCAACCCAACGCCTGGAGACGCTTATCCCGCGTGCCCCAACCCGAATGAATGAAACCAAGACCGCTTGGAAATGATCAATAAAGTGGCGCAAGAGAAAATTTTGTTATCCCAACAGGTTCCCGTTCGCCAATGTGGAATCTAATCCGGCTGCAGTTGCATCCTTTGCCCTAAACCCAGTGCTACCTCCGAGGCCCAGGCAAAGGTAACGGTTGGTCGTGCTTCACGTTCGCCTGGTGTCGGACCAACTGGTCTTTCCTTGCGAAACCGTCCTTGTTGGGGCACCCGGGTAACATACACTTGTGAGGTTTGGAGTGCTTCTGCAAGTGCTGCCTGTCGTCCAGATTAGCGTGAGGCCTCTTCAAGTGGCGCGTGTTGCTATTACCTGTACATGCAGTTGCGGTAGAAGATCTTGGGCCCCCCCTTGTGGTCTTGGCCTCCCTTTTGACACGTCTGCCAATGGGGGCAGATGTAGTGACCCTTTCCTCTGTGCCTCAAAGAGTCCATGTCTACGTTGGTGCCCATTCTTGGGCCATCTACGCTATCGTCGCCCATCATGGTGTCGTCGTCGTCGATATCCTCATTGCCGTCGTCATCTTCTTGCGGAGAAGCGGGGGTGGACGACCGACGGTACCGGTCAGACTGGCGGTATGTATGCGAGCCATCCGAAACAGACGCTTGTGATCCGACTGCGGAGAAAACCGCACCAGACGATGACGCCGAATAGGAAAAGGACGACCTGGAGCTCGATTCCGAGAAGAAGGTCTGCTGGCCGGGCTCTGAAGGGTGCTTCTCGTGAACGGGAGAAGCGCACTCCCTAATGTTCTTAAGGCTGGCTGTGTTGGAGTCGACCGTCTCCTTCATGCTCCTAGTTCAAAATCAGCAACTGGAGAACGCTACGTCGCGGGCTTGAACACACCTGAGCATTTTGCGCTTCCTGGTATGGAACTCAAGGATGCCCATGTCATTAAACCCATTCGCACGATACGCCTGATCAACAATGTTGTGGCCCGTCGAATTCAGGCGTTCCTCGTCCAGGAGCTCGTCGGTAAAGTTCTTGTACAAGACTTCGGTGATGTGGATGAGGACATCGCTAAAGTATGCCAGTGCGCCCTCCTTGGGATCTTGTTTGGGTAGCGTCCTGTCGCAGTCGGCATATGCTTTACTGAGGATCTTGCGGACCTCGGCCTCTTGGTTGATTGATCCCTCGGGATTGAGGAGTGAGTTGATCTTAAAAGACATGACGATTAAAGCAGGCAACTGGACGCATAACACCGTGACAAATGATCCTTGACTTTTTGGGAAGCGTGTCGTGAAGAGTTGGGAGGAGTGGCAGGTTGGATGGGTCGTAAAAAATGTTGCCCCAAGTCGAGTAAGAGAATGGAAACTGGAAAATGGGCCGTGGATTGGGGAACGGCTGGGCAATGTTGCTCTGAGGCGCTCCAAGTGGGTCGTTGAAGAGGGAAGGAAACGTTCCGGAGTACTTCAGGCCACAGTGAACCAAGACGCCGTAAGACGAACGATGGTGTTGGCGCTGGCGAAGGGACAAGAAGAGTTCTGGTCACAACTCAATAAAGGTTGGAGGGTTTGGGCAAGGGGGAAGATGGAAGATGGAGACCAGGTGGAGAGGGCGTCGACTTTGAACGAGGTGACGGGACGGGGTGAGGGAAAAGAGAAAAGAGATAAGACTACAGGACACGAGGGATGGCGGGATAAGGCAAAAAGAACCAAAGTCAAGGCAGTAGTAGGGTAGGGTCAGGGCGGTCGGGTCAGGTATCCGTAGTGAGAGTCTGATGGAGATTGATGGCGACGCGAGGGAGGGGGTGCGGCACGGGGGGGGGCGGCTGACACCCAAAGGATTACAGTATGTACGGTTTGTGTAAGACTGGATGAGAGAGGGGGCAACGACTTGACTAGGGGACCACGAATGGAACAGCGCCTTGGTATCGGTATTGGTGTTGTGGGTTCGGGGCAAGTTGCGTATGAGAAAAGGGACACGAGAGAGAAAGAGAGAGAGAAAGATAGAGAGAGAGAAAGATAGAGAGAGAGAGAGAGAGAGAGAGAGAGAGAGAGGAGCGCGAGGAAGCGCGAGACAGTGAGAGGGAGACTCGCAGACGCAGATGCAGATGCAGATGCAGACGCAGACGCAGACGCGGTCTCAGGCGTAGTGCCAGTCCCTTGCCTCTTTACGCCCGTATTGAGCAGCCGGGCAAGGCCAGGGCCTCGGGAGGGGAGAGATGAGGAGGAGATTCGAGAAAAGGAGAGGGACAGGATGAGATGGGCCGCCCGGGGAGGGGGGGGAGCAACTAAGAGGCACAGCAGGCTGCCAGGCATGGTGAGGCAATGAGAGCGGGTTGGCATTCTGCATGTTCCATTTCCTGCATGTCTAGGAGGATGCAAGCCAATTAGATGGTTGTCTGCTAGCTTCGCGTGTATGGGTTGGCAGACCGAGTGTAAGCAGAGAGACAAAAGAGGGAATGGGAATGGGGTGTGTGCCAGGAAGAAGCAAGTGTGCGGCTTGAGAAAGCAGGGCAGGTCGAGGGCCTAGAACATGGCCGATTCTACACACAAGTCGTCGAGTGAGAGGCCGAGGGGGTGTGCAGTCGGAGGTGGCAGGAGGCGAGAGGTGGAAGAGGGACGGTGGGGGTGCGGGCGGTTCACAGACACCGTTTACCGGGACCCGTAAGGCAGGTCGACCGGGCCCAGTGGAGGCAGGCCAGGGGAATGTGAAGGCGTGGAAGGGGGCAAGGGTAAGGCAGCGTGGGCGCGCGGGCAGCTTGCGGGGCCGCAGCCAGCAGCGCAGAATTAAGGAAAGGCAACAAGCGGTGTCGGGTCGGCGTTGAGAGGAATGGCGCTACCGAAGCACTGTCTAGGCGCTGCGGCTTGGGTGACGGAGCATAGCATGGTAGCCGTCAGGGTCTGGGGCCGGGTCTGGTCTAGAAATCGGAATGGCTCGTTTGGGTGGGACGGGGCAAGACGTGGAGGTGGTGGTTACTATCCGCGAGCCAAGCAGGGTTGACGTTGGATCATGATGCCGACGACATTTTGGATCATCAGAGTCGTCCTGGGGAGGGCTGGTTTACATCCGTGCTGTGTCGGCGTTTGGTGACGCTGTTGTCGATGGCCGTTGGTCATTGGTTATGGGGGACGCAGGTGGTGGGTGATGGGGTGTCCTGGAGCGGGCAACGACCAGGATACGGGGACAATTTGACGGGAACGAGATGAAGGGCGTGTTTGGCTATGCAAAACGCTGTACAGTAGGAGCGGCACACTTGCGGCCTCAGAGTTAGAACAGGCAGTTCATCGCGGAGTGCCAAGGGCTCAAAGAGAACCAGTAAGGGCCACAGGCGTCAGCAACGGACCAGCCCTCATCGCGAGTCGCCGTTGTCGGGGATCGTGGGCTTCTAGATTCGGCTTGGGCTTGGGTATGCAGGTCAGGTACATCCAACAGGTAGTGAACGGAGCAAACTTCCCTGACCACCCCGACTCGGTCATGTGCGCAGAGACGCGCCCTTGTATCTAAGGACAAGACGCCTTTGTTTGTTGTTTAGCCTCGCCGTTGCTCCGGACCTTGGTGCCTGGCAAGCTGGGTCTCACTGCAGGCGGACGCGAAGCGAGGCCAGGAAAGAGAAGAGAGAAAAGGCAAAGTGGGAGAGGTTCGGCGAGCTTGAGGACCTGTTCCGAGTATGGGTGACGGGTTACGGAACTGGGGAGCTGGTGAGCGGCAAAGGCCCTTGGAGCTCGGCGCAGGCCCGCAGCAATGATCGGTTGGTCCGATTTGCAAGTTGACAAGGACACGATGCAGGCGCAGATGGAAAGGGAAAGGCATGCTGTTGCAGGCGTTGGTGGCGGGGAAAGAAGGGAGGGGAGTTGGAAGTCGGGAAATGGGGCAGAGGAAGAGAGACATTCGAGGTAAACTAGGTAGAACAACGCTAGTGGGAGAATGGAGAGGACTTGGGACGTTGGATATGGAGCCATGCTCGGGGAAGGGGGGGGGGGGGGGGGGGGGGGGGGGGGGGGGGGGGGGGGGGGGGGGGGGGGGGGGGGGGGGGGGGGGGGTGGAGGAAGATGAACCTACTCTGCAATAGCAAAGATCGACCAACGAGGTAGATTTGCATATCCGCATGCTTTCCTGTCCCCACGTTCCTCTTGCCGTTCCTGTTCCCTCCTTCTTTCCGAATCAACTTACTTGGGTTTCTTCGCCCCCCCCCCCCCCCCCCCCCCCTCCTCCTTCCTGCGCTGTGCCCCCGTGAAGCCGTGCCCTTCGGATGTTGGAAGGTGATATCCCCCTCCCCCTTCCTCTTGCTTTCTGTGTTCTTGTGATTCTTCTTCGCCCAAGGCATCCAAAAAAAAAAAAACCGGATCGTGTTTCGTCATACCTTCCTCATTCCATCGCATTGCACATCCTATGCATCAACGAACTCGAAGCTTTGCCGGAGAATGCAGATGTCGAAATAAGCTCACCCCCCCCCCCCTCGACTTACAGTTCGCCTGGCGTGACATGCGCAAGGGCAGACACGACGCAGCAAGGACCACTTTCACCCGAAGTTGCAGTCGCAACCGCCGTCGTCCTCGCAGTCGCAGTCGCAGTTGCCGTTGCAGTCTTCTCCCACGCCGTCGCTGGTGATCATTGTCCCCTCCTTCCTCCTTCCCCGTTTCTCGTCTCTCCCGGCTCTTGTCTCCTGCCTTTTGCTACTCCCTCCTGCCTCTTACCTCTCGCTTCCAGAGTCCTCCTCTCTTTCTCACACACACACACTCTCTCTCTCTGGCTTCTTCCCTCGTCTCCGCCTACCTAGGTACCGGTACTCTACTCCTCCTCCACTACCTCCTGCCTTGGTCCTTGTCTCACTCGTTGTAAGGGACTTCTGTTGTCGAGATAAGAGCACGTCTAGTCTCTTTTTCCCGAACACCCTTCCGGCCCAATCATTCACGTTACACGGACTGGCCCGTCTGCCATCCAAGACAGCGTCCACTATTAGTTTCCCTTCTGCTTTAACCTCCCGTCCCATCCAAGGGAGGTACAGTCTACCCTCACTCGTCCTTCGGCTGGCCCTTGCGGCTTCTTCATCCTCCTTCCCGTCTCACTCTCTCTGACTTGCGAGCTCGGGCTTGCAGCAGAATTCCCCAAAGTCGCGTCACCACTCGCAGCCGCGCTAAGGCAGAGACAATTGAAAGACACAGTAGACAGGGCGACCTATCTTGGAGGGTGTTGCGACGACTGATACCACCTCGTGCGACCTCCGCATTCATTTGTATTCCGTCTCATGCAGACAAGACTCCCAGGCTAAGACCATCCGATGAGGAGCGGGAAGGTCCCATTGGGCTGAAACTCTAATTCACGGACTCGACCCAACCCAAGACACGACGGCCGGCACATCAGGTCATTTGACAAAGGAGGTGCGGTCCGCCCTTGCCTCGCCTTGCTTCTTGGGCACTGTCCCTAGACGCTGTCGAATTGCCTGCCACTACCGGTTGACGTTGGGCCCGTCACAACACCTGCAGCCACGCTATCTACGCGACGCTGCGCTGCCTCGCCCGTTGGACTTTATCGTCGTCGTCCTCGCTTTGGACAAGACATCGTCACATCCCCCCGTTGCTTAAGGCGCACGCCCAGGTCGCCTTGCGCACTTCGTCCTCGCCCGAACACCGCACGCGCAGGTGTCCGCCATCGATCCGTGCACGCCCTCGCAGCTGGAGTCCTCACCCTGAACCAACGACAAGAACATCGAATTCCTCGGTTCGATCCTGCCAGACTCCTGCCCTCTTCTTTACTCGGTATCATAAATGCCCGCCCGCACACCTTGTCTTTCCCCAGTGTTGCCGACAAGTCGTCACGAGGTACCTCACCTCACTTTTAGCTGCCAACCTGCCTCAAGACATCTGAGATCGCACAAGCCGTACACCCACACAAGACAACCTGCGACCCCAGCCCACACGGCCAGCATCCCAGTCAGTCAGATTCATGGTCCGGTCGGTGTCTGACGTCTGACTCTGCCCTCCACTCGAAGTGGAGCCGTCGTCAAACTAAACCAAACGAGAGCCCCGATACATCGGTCCCGTTCAGTCCGAGGCGGTAGGCGGTACCTAGGCGGTATTCCTAGGGGTTCGACATCTGTGCCCATCACGTCGCTACGCCACGCCTCCACGTTTTGTTCAGTCTGTTACCGGTAGCTCATCCACGTTACCCTCGCTGTTACTAGTCAGTCACTCGTCGCGCTTGCGCATCGGCCACCACCCTCGCCCGCGTTTTCCCTCCCTAGTTTTCTCATCCCACTCGTACGCGTAAGTACGCACGCACGCACGCACACTACGGTACAACCCTTCCACGCCCTGTGACCCGCCCATTAGCGGGCGCGGCAAGACATCCTGAGTTTGAGCCGACAGTAGCGCGCGCTGGGTCCCGTTGTTGGCCGTCGCTGCTGACTACTGGCCGCAGGTGCTCACTCGTACTCTTGGCCTCTTCTTGCTGGTCCTGGTCGCTGTTCTCTCCTTCGGCCCCATCTTGCCTCATTGGCCCGCACCTGCACCTGCATTTGCGTGTTCAGTCCACGCTAACGTTACCGCTCCGCCGTCTCCGCCGCCTTTTCTACCTGTTCCCGGCCCCGGTCCGCATTCAACCTCCCCTGCCCTGCTGCCCTGTCGTGTTCCTGGCCTCGAAACCGCCCTTCACGCCATCTTTTTTTTTCTCCACTGCCCTCTCCACTTTGAATCCGAACCACCACGTACCGCTGTCCTCGGATATTGACCTCTTGTCTTGTCGGGGAACGGGCGCCGTTAGGCTCGTGTGTTTGTTCTTCCCGATAACCTGGGTTCCGTAGCCAGCACGGCCCTCGTGCTCCGCTCGAGGCCGGCGGAGCTTGATGACTCGACTTGATATGGACGGTGCTGCAAACATGACAGCGAAACAGCCCCGTAAGAGAACCCTGGACCTAGATGGGGATCCCCCTCCCCCTCCGGTTCCCAATTCGACCGCTTCACTCTCTGTTCCTACAACTCCACCTTCCTCTACGCCTGCATCCACCCCTTCGCCCGGAGCCGACGACATTGACAACGCCAACCAAAACTACCAGATATGGAGCCCCCGTCAGAGTTTCCATTGTCTCTTACCGAGTCCATTCCGGCAGCACGTCGGCGTCGATTTTCTAAATCACAATGCGGCAGTCGTCGTACGACATTCTCTCCGACTTGTAGGTTCATCACTGTCTCCTAAGTTTGGTGACCCCTCTGCTTGCCTACCCCCTTGCTTGGACACCCAAGGAGAGGACTTGGGAGAAAACAGTGGACGGAAAGGGCGGGCGAACATGACAGCAGATCGGTAGTATGGCCAAAGCATCGTGCTGATAACTTACACAGCACACCGTGATCACCCTGCTGGCTCCTCGACACAGGCGCCCTTGTACGGTCCGCCGGTCTCTCCTCGCCGGTCTGCCAATCTTGTCTTCTCACCAGTACTGCCAGCTCCAGAATCACGCTTTGTGGAAAACCTGGACCTGGCGAACCCCTTTAATGACAATGCCGACGATGAAAACCGTCTCGTCTTGGGCCAACGCCCAATACAGCGGGGCGCCAAGGTTGATGGATACATCAAATTCCACAACGAGAAGAAGAAGGCGACCAACGAGCCTGGAGTAGCCGTCTTCTCGTACAAGGAAAGCGGACAACAGTCGTCTCCGAGGTCGACCCTCGCCATGTACCTCTCCCCGCAGTACATGTGCGAGATGGGTCTGCAAGACCAGGACGACAAGAGTCTGTTCGCGTTCTGTAAGTCCATGGCCTTTCATTGGACCAACACTCACTAACCGTCTACTAGACTTGAAGGCCTGGTGCCCGGGCCGGAGCGTTCTGAATAAAACTAACTGCTGGTTTGAAAACATCCCTCGGATGGCATCCAAAGACTCGTGCGTCAAGTCTGCCATCCTGGCGCTCGCTGGAACCTACGTGCTCGATTACCAGCCCAGAGAGAGGATCCGTCAAATTGCCCAGCGCCACTATAAGAACGCCGTGATTCTTTTGAACTTGGCGTTGCGGGACATTCGTGACCAGCTCCCCAGCGATAATGAGGCAGATTGCATGGTAGCTGCCATGTGTCTCCTAAACATGATTGACGTCGTATCTCCAGAGCAACGCCGGCCGCCAAATTGCGTTCCTCGTTGGTTAGAGGGTGCTCGTCTCGCGTGTAGGGTATTAGACGCAACGGATCCGGGACACCGCTACTGGAACCCCGTCAACATCCAACCCTCAGAGGCGCAAACGGGCAATATGATTATTGCCGGTCGAGCGGCTATCCTCGCCCTTCCGATGGCTCCCCTCGACTTGGGTGCCACGGACAATCGCCAGTTTGCGTGGCTGTTGCAGGGGTCGGAGCACGATGTACACAGAGTGCACGGCGGATGCGGCATGTCTCCGAGACTCCTGCATCGCTTTTCGCACATTACACACATGAGCGCCTTCTTAGCCGGCAACCCCGAGGACAGCGAATTCGTGATCAAACTGGGTGCTGACGCGGTACTTGAGGAACTGGGAAACCTTTGTCAATGGACCGAGGCGCCGTCCTCTTCGGCTGCCTCTCGACTAGACAGCTCCAGAGACACCTCTCACCCCCGCGACTTGTTGTCCTCGATCAAACTCGACAAGCACGGACTTGTCATGGATAGGAACTCCATGACCGAAGCCACAGCGGAGGCGTGGCGCTTGGCAGCCATCATCTACCTGCGGTGCCGTCTCTTGAGGCTCCCGCGTTCTCACCCAGAGGTCATCTCCCGGGTGTCCGAGCTGGTGAGGTGCGTTCGTGTGATGCCGACGTCAGGCACCTTCTTCACCGCCCAGGCACCTTTCTTCCCGGTGTTCCTGTTGGGTATCGTAGCCATACACGAGGCGCACGTCCAGTGTGCCCTGGGCTGGTTCCAGTCGGTCATCAGCACCAGCTGCCGCTCTGTAAGTCCCGTCAAGTCTGTTGCGCGTCTTGGCCTGGTCTAACCGACTCTTTGTTATAGAGCGTGCCGCCTGCATTCCAATCGCTCGAGCGGATCCGCGCGTGGATGGCTCACAACATCCGTGACGGCAGCATTCCCGAGCTCCCCCGGCGCATCTCGGAGCGGTATCCTTGGTGGGAGACGCTCGTGTCCCATATTTTTTCAACCGAAGGGACGTTGTGCTTGATTTAGGAGAGGGTAAGGACAAGGGAGGCGGATACCACGATTCATAGAGTCGCGCAATTTAGAAACGAGCATGCATCAGCCATTGATTTATTTTATCATTATCACTAGTCGTTTATTCATATCTCCTGCTGAACCACACGGCGGATCCCAATTGACTCGAGACCTGCCTGGGCGAGTAGAACCCGCAACTGCGCATACCCCCCTTTCACCATCTTCCACGAGCACTTTGTCTCCCTTGCCAAGTGAAACGAAGAAAGGAAAAAGACAAGGCAGGAGACCCGGGAATGCTTTTCGTACACACTTGCCCCGCCCCGTCTCGCTGGCGACGGAAGAAGAACCGGCCCCCGCTCCTACTCCCCGCTGACCGAGATGGCACTATCCTTCTCGTCAGACGAGGTTTCGGCGGCGGCGTCGGAGCTGATGCGGAGGAGGTACTGGCGCATCTCGGAGCCGTCAATGGCCCACGACTTGACGACCTCGAGGCCCGCCTCGGTGCACATCTTGCCGACGTCCTTATCGGACCGCTTGTGGGCGTCGAACCAGTCAATCTCGAGGCCCCGCCTCAGCGTCTTGCCCTGCGTCGCCGACACGACGTCCCGCTTGGCCCGGAGGTAGAAGCGGTGGCGCTTCTCGTCGCTTTCGATCTCGGCGCAAATGTCCCAGTCGCCGGGCCGGAAGACGTCCTCCCCCAGCAGGGCGTTGGCGTGCCGGAGGCCGTTGTGGAAGAAGCTCTCAAACAGGGCCGGGTGGCTGTGGTAGGCGTCCCAGACCTTGGCCGAGGTGACGTCGTGGCCGTCCATGCCGGCGAGGATGAGGTCGGCCGGGCGCATGAGGGCGGCCCAGTCGCGCAGGGAGGCGACGGCCTTCTTCCATGGGTCGTTGAAGAGGACGGAGCCGAGGGAGAGGAAGACGCGCGGGGTCCCCTCAAGGGTTTCGGCATAGGCGAGGCCGGCGGTGAAGTCGCCCCAGAGGCCGGCCATGTGGACGCTGCCGCCGGCGTGGCCGGGGGCGAGGTCCTCGAGGTTGGAGGTGAGGGAGTGTTTCGAGATGTCGAGGGCGAGGTAGGTCGCCTTGCGGCCCTGGTGGGCCAGTTCCTCGAGCAGGTAGTTGACCTTGCGCATGTCGCTAAAAAGAAGACAAAGTTTTTGGGTCAGCCAGCCATCCATCATTCCCAAGGAGCAAAGAGGGAAGGAGTAGACTCACCCCGCGCCCAGATCGATCATGGTGCCGTCGTCGGGGATGTAGTGCCTCGCCATCTCCCCGCTGTGCCTCTCAAACAGGGCAATCTCGTCGCGCGTCTGGTAGAACTGGGGCGTGAAGATGATGTCGGCCCAGATGGCCAGGCCCTTGTCGTCATACAGCAGCTCGTCGGGCATGGTGGGCAGCCCGCCGCGGGCGTTGGGGCGCTCGGCCGTGACAAAGACGCGGCGCAGGTCGTTGAGGATGGTGGACGACATTTGGCCGCCGCCAATGTCGAGCACGCTACCGTGCCCAGGAACGACCGCCTTCAATCGAGGTGTCATTGCTGCGGATTATGACGAGTGCGTGGTATCAGGATGTAAAGATGTCTCAAAACTTTGATGTTTGTATTGGGTTGGCGTCCAAGGTAGCAAAGCGGACGGCCAAAGGGGTTTGGGTGCTTGTAGATTCTGACGATCCAGACAAGAAACCCGAAAGCGCTGGTTCATAGAGGCTTTTTATACATGTCTGTCGTGGGATCCCGCAGTGAATCACCTCCATCGCTCTCCCGCCCTCTTCGTCCAATCCACAACGGCCTCCCTACCTACATCGACATTCACCGGCCCTCTCTTGGACATCACATCGCTTCCGATGTCATATTGCCGGACCGCAACACCACGGGCTCCTGTCCCTTGGCGACGTAGGCTGCAAGCGAGATATCTCTCCTTTGGGAACTCAACCCCGAAGCTGCCTCGAATGTGCAGACCGGATCGCTGAGACGAGATGCCCCGGCATCTTTTGGCAAACATCATCATCTTCGCAGGTGGCCTGATCCCACTCCAACACAATCATGGCAAGAGAGGCCGCGCCAGTCAAATCACGGGAGGAAGGCCCAGCTACGTCAGACGCATTGAAAGCGGGACCTGGAGCGGCCCGAGGAGTTTTCTCCTTTCTCTTCTTGGCGTGACACCCCAAGCCTTATTTTGGTTCCTGGCGACGTGGACACGACGGCCAATAGGAGGCTTCAGGCCGAGCGGGAAAGCGGAATCAGTGACGATGCGACTCGGGGAGATGGATGAACCTACAGCCGTTGGACTGGCTATTGGCTCAGTGACTTGTTCAGCGACGAGCCACGTCAAGAGACCACAAACAAATGTGGTAGAGCATGCGTTGGATGAGGACGCCGAGCCTGCCCCTCTTTGGGCCCGCGGGGTTCCCATGAGACATGATTTGAAGCGCCCATCAAGTTCCAGCGTCAGGAGCGCTCCGCTGTCTTCCGGTCAACAGAAGCAGCCAACCCGACAAGGCCGCGCGCCCGGTGAACTCGGAAGCCCTCGAATTAGGTTGCACCTCGGGCACCTTACAGACAAACTGCATGAGGCCGGTCAACTTGCATGCCGTGCGTATTAGACGATGGTGCCCCTCGCTCACCGGGTAGAAAGTTGAGTGTGCCGCACAATGAACCCGGGGAGGTGGGACTTGCAGGGTGGGAACGGGTGTATATGAGTGGTCGGTGGATGCGGGACAGCCAACGGTAATGGAAAGCGGCGTTTTTCGAAAATCTCTCCGTCAAAAGTGCATGTTTGCCTCAAGGCCTTGCCTGCGGTGCGGATGCAGCGAGGGCTTGTTGGTAATCTGACACAATCGTGGCTTTGAAGATCCGTATTCTGTCAGCGCCTGCGTCGTTCGAGTGACTAGCGGCTATGATGCGAGCCTAGCCATAGAGACGGTTTCTAGGCGATCAAGTTGATGAGACTCACATCCCTCTCTTGTAGTACGGTTGTCGTCAAAATCTGTCCGGCCGCTGTCTGTTTATGCAGCAAGACTGGTCTGTGCCGACGCCGCCCTAGGTGAGCGCACCGGCTCCGGGTGGCTTTCCGGAGCGGGCCGCTGAGTGAAAAGACAGCAAATGCACATGGCCTCTTGATGGCCTTTGCGGCCGTAGATCACCGCTTCAGTCTTTGAATGCAACCTTAGCACGTTGCAAGCCCACAAGCTTATGGATTGTGCTGCTTACGCCGGCCGGATATGTCTCTGTTCGAGGCAGCGCCCAGTCACGTCCAAGAGCTGAACACGCAGTGATGCCATCTGCACAGGCTCACATCTCAATCACGTTTTTGGGGAGGGGGTGAATGACTTCGAGCTATGCTGCCCAAGTGACTGAGGTCACGGCTGGATGGTGACTCGAAGTGCCCGCAGATCCACACAGGCAAACACACCTGATGGGAGTCGCCCATTTGCCAGAACACGGCTGAACCAGACAGCCCGGACATGACAGTACGCGCCATTAGCCGAGCTGCGAGTTCCGGTAGGGATGCTCTTCAAATCTCGTTGGTCCGTTGTAGCGGGCCTCGGGGAATGGCAGATGTCCACGGCCTCCAGCAACGTCAGTGGGACCAGAACCAAGCATGAATGTGGCACGGCTGGCCTGGGTCGTTGCTCCCAACGCACGCGCCTTGGAAAAGCCGAAAACATGGCCATGGCCCAATCTTCGATGATCCATCCGCATCACAGATGAAGAATCTGAAAGTCAAAGAGGCCTCGGGGCATATAATGAAGCGTCTTTGCAAGTTTCGGGTGGTTGTGCGCTCCCCCGGATTAGATCGTCTAACCGTCCAGATTTCTCGGTAATCACGGGTGAACCGTCTTGTCGGATGTTGACGAGTTCGGCAAGGCGGGCATGACCCAGGCTTGCCAGGCCCCTCGGTCAGGTTGGCCGGGGCCAGCCTTGCTTCCGCAAGGTCCAAATCCCCTGTTGAGCACCCGGACCGCGCGTAGTCGAGCCAGATCAGGCCGCTGTCTTTGCTGTGCCGTCGTCATGGAACTGCCCGCGGGAACCCTACCGCAACGTTTACCAAGTTGCTGCGACAGTCCCTCACAGGACCATGGGGCAGTGTGAAGCTTGAGATCTGAGCAAACATCCAAAGACGTTGTTGACCGTAACAACAATAAGAGCCCTAATCTCTGTCGATGGTAATACACATGCCTACCCCGGTGCAGAGAATGAGTCGAGTCGCCCCCTTCCAAACGCAGCGAATGTGCGTGCATCTTCGACCTTGATGCTGATGCAGAGAGACGCAAGCTGTACGTACATAGTAAGGTACGACGCGTCGGAACAGTGGGGATACAAGCGGGCGTCGGCCCCGGTGTGGGTGTGGAGCAACTCGCTCAGCCTGTGAGAGGGAGTTTGGGCCAGATTACTTGACTCAGTTCTCCCTACTCGGCCGGATTGAATTTTCAATGGCGGTTTCAGGACGGATAGGTTGGCAAAGATGCCTGGGCAAGTGATTCGCCTCCCTGGAGCGCCTCGACAGTCTGAAAAGACGACCGTTGAAATGACTATTGTAGAAGCCCAATGGTGCCCAAGGTGGAGGTCAGGCGGCCTACAGTTCGGCCGGGAATCGTTGAATGGCGGCCGTGATGGTGGCAGCGATACCTTCTAGAAGCTGGGGAGGAAAGGTCAGTCGTGAGTCTGTGTCACGAGTGTGACGTTGTGGCTCTCGGGCGGCAAAACTTGTGCGCGGCCACTTGTCGACCGTTGACTTGTGCTCGTCCGCCGTTTCAAGCGAACTCTTCTCGAGCCCACGGGACCGCCCAATGCCGAGGCTTGTTGTAGAGCCTCCAGAGACCACAGCAGCTTGGTGCGAATGGCCCAGTTTGCCTGGTTGGCCCGTGTCCGCCGTCGATTTGGACGGTGGCATTGTCTTGGTCCTCTTCGTTTTCCAGAAGCCTGGCAAGCTGCCAGGATGATGGTGGAACGACGGAAATGCCGGTGCTGCCGCAGGGTGGCCCAGTGAGAAAGCCTCTGGGGTTGACGTACACGTAGATTCACAGAGTGTTGTCCATTCAGGGTTTGCCGACTCCAGGTGTCGAGTCGAATCGGCATGGTCTGCCCGGACACTGGAAGCGTCTATGCACTGCGTACCCGGCGAGAGGGGTGTGTGCGCGCGCGCTTGTGTGGATACGGCGAGGCCCAGTCAAAAGGACTGGACAGCCAACTGACCACCATCATCTTGGGATTCTTGTGTCCCGTGACGGGAAGGCCGCCCAAGTCCCATCGAGCGAGCAATGCTGCAAGCTTGGCATTGGGTTAAAAAAAAAAAAGTTGACAGCTTCTAGGTGTGGTGCTCGGGGAGCGTGAAGAAAAAAAAAATGAAAAAAAAGGACGGCGTAACATGGCCGGTCGGCGGTCATCTCGGAGTTAGTTCATCCCACTCAGCTAAGTTTAGCTAGTAGACGTAGTTTCCTCGTGTGAGTGGGTCTAACGAAATTTAACATGCACATCCCTTCAACTGCCGGCGTCTTGCGTGGTGCTCCCTGACATGACCTGACGTTGTAACTTGTCCTTCTCGCTCGCTAGTGGACAGCTAAGGCAAGCAAACAAGGCGAAGCTAGTGCCTTTGGGACGCGTGCTAGTGAAGCTGGACAGACAACTGACAGAGATCGCCATAAGCCAGGTTTCGGCACGGGCGTTTCATGCCCGGATCGAGAAAGGATGATGGTGAGGATGTGGACGAAGGCATTTACTGCCAGGTGCCGCGCCGAACGGAGCAGCCGCCATCTAGAGAAGATTGATAAAATTGCTATTGGTAATTCTGGCATTATGGGAGTGGATATTGGCCACGATCGGGAGACTGGGGCGGGACTGTTGGCGACCCCGTTGCAGGCTTTTCTCTCTCCTCCTTTTTCTCTCTCTCTCCCTCTCTCTCACCCTCCGGCCTTGATCCTGACTAGCCCGCCAACGGGAGGATTCCTGTTGGTTGATATATGCACCCGTCACAAAGAGCAGAGCGCCCCTGGCAAGGGCAGTTGTGTTTCTTTGGCAATCCGACTGAGGCTTGGTAATGTCTTTGTCCTATTGTGCCTTGCCACATTGTGCCGGCAAGCGACGAATAGGGGGAGCATTGACTAGGTTAATGTCCCTGGTGTAATTCAGCGTCCATGTGCGATCAGGCCTAGCGTTCGTCGTGTGTGTGTGTGAGAGAGAGAGAGAGTGTGTGTGTGTGTCCTGGCCCAACGTGTGCCTGGTGCGGCGACATTGACATTGGGCTGAGAGGTGTCGTTGCTTAGAACAAACTCGAGTGATGTACGGGAGATCGTACCGTGTGAGTAAGTGCCACTCAATGCAGGGCAAGGCGTGTGGGCGCGCGGGGCGCCCGTCAATGGGATACATACTTGGAAGGCCTCACGGATCGGGAATCTCGAGAGCCCTGAGAACCATTTGCCGTGGCCAGCATGACGGCTTGTGCATAGTGCCGCAAATGAGGGCGGTGACGGCGATGTGTCGCTCGGCATGCGTGGTGTAGAGGATCTGCGGGTGAAGGAAGTCCCAGACAAAAATAGACAAGAGGTTTGGTTCGCGGCCCCCGCCGAAGATGATGAAATGACCTAGGCCATCCTCGTCGAGGGCAGGATAACAAGGGTGCCTTGGTTACGGGAGGAAGTTTGGGTTTGGTCAGTGTGCGTAAAACGTCGTGAGTTGGTACGAGGACAGGTAGCGGCGCGAGGAGGGACGCAGGGACTCTGGTTCGTGAGAAGACAGAAGACGATCCGGTCCATCGGGGTATCCGCATCGAAGTGCGAAGTGATCGCGTTTGCCTCGCAACGCGGAGGCAAGCAGACAGACAGACCGACTCGCACGGCAACAGCAACAGCAACATCATAATCTTCAACTGCAGCCACGGGCGGACGACAAGACGCAAGGCAGGGAGGGAACAAAGAACAGAGTAGAGAGCAGAGTCTGGTCATGACACGAGGCTGGAAACCAAGGCGCGAAGAGGAAGGGACAGCACACACCCACACACACACACACTGTCAAGCCATCGCGGGAAGGAAGCACCTGCCCTCAACTGTGGACAGGTAGGTACTCTGTACGTACACCCCATGATCATGTTTCTACCTGTGTCCAGTTTCCCGTACTGTGCGACCTTCGAGCCACAGTGTGGAGGGGGGAGTGGTGTGGGCGTGGATGTGTGGGATAGGTGGGTGAGCAGTCCTTCAGCCTCAGGCGAGGCACGGCCCCCACCGTCAGTGAACTGGGTGTAACTGAATGTGCCGGCTGCTGCCACGCATGGGGGCCGAGGAACCTGGAACACGCACTAAGTGCACAGTAGGCGACGTGCTCACTTAGACCCTGCCGGGCAAGGTAGGCAGCGCAGGCGTACACTACCTTGCCTACATTACTACACTACTACAGTATACTGTGGAAGCGACAGTTGAACACAATTGCCATGTACTACACAGCATGTAGAAGCGAGCATGCATGGAAGCATCATGGAAGCCTCCAATGTCCAAGACCATATCCATGCATCCCATTCGATGGACCCATTGGAACCGTGGTGAAGCCCCTCATCCAACTATCCCCAGCCGCCGACATATCCCAGATGATCTAGCAAGTGGTTACCTGCACTTGATGCAAGGCACCCTGCCTTGGCGTAGCCTGATGGCAGCCTCGTGACTGGTGACGACCCTGAAGTCTAACGCGATCGACGGTCGAGATGGGTGGGCCGGGGCATTGATGCCCGCGTTGACGACGCAGCGAGCCGTCCGACCACGATCACAGCAGCAGCAGCAGCAGCAGCAGCATCGAGGAGCCACACGAATGGACTCGGCGTGCCACACACTCGATACCCGAGTCGGGTTAGTTCGAATCCAGCCGGTTTGCGTACGTCTACCGATAAAACACGAAGCGACCCTCATCGCTGTTTGTGCTCGCTTTCCAATCGGATAGGTGATCTGAAACAGCTTGTCCCGAGACGCCTCGCTCGCTGAGTCGTACAAGCACACTTCAGATCATGTTTGTCGTTTGGGACGATGCTGGTTGCAGACTCGTATACCTACCTCACCTTACTCCACCCCAGCCAGCACACACATCTCAATAGAGTCTCCTGTCTACGACTGACCGCCGCCTTGCCCGCTGGCCGACTATGTTTGACGCGTCTGTGTCGGGCCAATCTATCTCCCCGCCCCATCCCCTCGCCCTTTTCTTTTATGGGCCTTGGCTTGGGGGTCAATGTCACCAGGTCTCTCTCTCTCTTTCTGTCTCTCATGGGTTTGTCGGATTGGGTCCTCTGTGACTGCAGCAGGGCGGGCCGCACAGACAATCGATGTGCAAAGTCGCCTGCGGCAATCTCCGTTGAGGCTCACTAGTCCGACGGCTTTGTCGGCTGGGCCACCCCTTGGACCATGCATGACGGTTGTAATAAACCGTGGTTGCTTTGGCTATGGCCCAAGGGAGATGCCGTGATGCGCCCGTGCCTGAGCTGAGTCCTGGCGAGGCGGGAACAATTCGCAGAGGGCCCCCAGAGTCTGAGCTCTCGGGAGCAGAGCCGCGGGATATTACCTTGGTGCTTGACTGTCGACACGCCCGTCCCCCCGCCCTGTTGCTGTTGTTCTGACGCCGAGGGCAGGTCATGCTACGAGGCTTATTGCAGCCCCCATCATCCAGTTCTTCAGTGTATTCGACCTGCTCTGCAACCAGCTGTCCCGTCCACAAGTCAAGGCAGCCATGCGTGCGGTCGAACGGGCGGCCATGGCGACAAACACACGACCCAGATCCCGAGTTCGCCAGTCAACGGCAAGAACGGGTATGTCTGAGGCCCCAAGCCCGTTTCTCGCTTGATGCACGCCCTCGCCGTTTCTTGGGACAGAGGGCAGGTACCATGGTACTCGACCTGCGGGGGGCCGGTCCTCCGGTCTGCGCTGCGCGCGTGAGCCCGGCTCAAGGCTGATGCGACACAGCTTGCCTTGTTCCCTCTACGTCTTGGGCCATGCCCTGTGTAGCAGAAAGTCCGTGTAATCTTGCTTGTCGGCCAATTACCCGGGGACCCCTGGGGTTGGCCAACTTTCTCGAAGCATTCTAGAAGGAGTGGAGTGGTAGAGAGAGGGAGGGAAACGGCTCTAGGGATGGTTTGACATTGGGGTACCCACCTTCGTCGCAGATGAAGCAGCGGGACGGCGGCGCAGCTCATCCCTTTGATGCAGCCGTAATCCCACCACGGCTTCCACGCCGTCAATGATTTCCAGACGCCTTCTGGAAACCTTCTCTTCTGGGTCTAGCGCCAATTTCCTGGGCTGCATGCATGGTTCAAGTCTCCCCGTCGTGCCAGGTTTGCGCCCCCAACCCTGCAGCTCACTTGTTAGAGATGTTGGGCGGCACCCCTTTTTGACCGCTGCTTCCCAGGCGCAGGTGCTCTGATGCCCCTCGCACCGGACGGCTCAGAGATGCCAAAGGTCGGATTACTGATGATGATCCTTGAAGCAGACAAGGGAGGCCGGCTTGGTGCAGGACGACCGTCGTGGACGAGGATTGCCTTTGGAATTGTACAATCGAAGCTAGCCCGGCGCGTCATTCAGTATTTGGATTAACGACCCCGCTAGCGTGCAGAATAATCGTCTCGACGGTGGTGATAGAACTTGTGGTGCACTTAGACGGAGGTACGTCCTCCATTGTCCGGCTACGGCCATGAGAAGCGGCGGCGGCGCAATTGCACGAAGGCCTTGGGCAAACGGTTCAACGGCTGTCTCTCTTTCTCCCCCGTTCCATCAGAGGTGCTTAGACCCCGATCTCGATACCAGATACATGGCAACGATGATGATGGCATCGGCCAGATCATCTCGATGTTAGGTCGCTCGAACCTGACTGCTTGGGCTCTACATCGATACAGCGCGTCAGAGGTCAGAAGGGGTAGGCAAACAACGAGCACTTCCAGAAGGAATGGAGCCCTTCCACGACCATGCCCCTTTCACGGAGCGGAGCAGCCGGGAGCCCCTGCGGCTTGTACCGTTGCACTGTCGCAGAGCCTTGGATCGAGATTGGCCATGCTAAGGCGCCCGTATGGCGAGGAAGCTGACCACGGACGTCAGTACATCACAGAATAGGAATGGACGGACTGCCATGGCAGCAGGGGGTCCATTCAAACAGCTCCAGCGCAACTTTGTTTCGTGATTTTGATACGTGCTTCGGAGGCCGCAGCCAATTTCAAGGTGTCTGAGCGTTCATTTGATGGCACTCTGCACCTTGTTGCCGTAACATTGCAGGCCAAGGGCATAACCAGTGTGACGGGCGAGGAGTGGCCGCCAAGAGGACAACTGGCGCAAACAGTGGGAAAACAACAGATTCTGCGGCAGTTGTATCTTGGGGCGCCTTTGTGAGCGCGACGCATGGAAAATGAGCGGTTATGCGATGCGCAATTGCCCATCCTCGAGACCATCTGCCACCCGTGTAGGCTCAGTTGGACGCAGAAGAAGGATACCCGTACTTGGAAGTCTGGCCCATCATGTGTTGCGAAGGCGCCTCTTCCTGCAGCGTTGAGCTGGCTGGCGTAGGTACTTGGGGTGTAAATGATTTACGAGATGGAGTGGCTTTGACCACCCTCTGTCGGGCCTCGACGACAAGCGCACGCTCAAAGAAGGTCGGCGAGCACCAGCGGCGATTGCCCAATCGAGAAGGGGAGTGACCACATGGAAGCTTTGGAATATTCCGTTTGGCGCAGGGTCATAGCACCGCCAAGTCTACGCAGTAGCTTATCTGACGAGTTCTGACTGTCGTTGTTGCTGGGGGCCCATCACCGGATGCCCACGGGCGCATTCAATTCCATCGACATATATATGTGAAGTGCAAGATCCCAGGCGGAAAGAACGACGGGCGCGCACATGTCATGATCCGCAGTCTTCGTTTGCATCGGAGATACAGAAGGCACGTCAAGTGCAGAACAACGTCGATAGAGGGAGGGCGATGCGGCCAGGAGCGGGCAGTCCAAACCCCAAAGTACGGGAACCAGATGCGAGCAAGAGCTCCAGCCCCTGTTCCGCCCTATCGTAGGTTTTGCCTGTGGGGCTGCAAAAGGTAATTTGGTGTCTCATTCTGGCTCCTGACTGGGAGACGTAGGAAAAAGGTCCACTTTGCCAGAGTGGAGATGATGGCAGAAATAACCCGATTGTTTGATGATGACGAGGCCAAACGAGCGAAAAGCCAAATGGGCTACCGGGGGGTGCTTGACGAGCCAGCTGCCAGCGGTCAGCCAAACCTCGGCGAAGGCCCCCCTCCTTCCCCTGAAAGACCAGAAACGGGGAGAGAGAAAGAGAAAGAGGAAAGGGAGGTTCGAGAAAGAATGGGGTAGGGCGAGTGCAGTTGATGATGATGAGCAGCGGAGGTGTTAGCGGTAGCGGGTAGCGATGATGATGAAAGACGGTCCCTTGCCCCCCCCTTTTGCCATTGCTGGTGCAGGCAGGGCGTGCAGATGAGCCTTGCATCGTTTGTCAGTCTCCCACTGGCTCATTTGTCGGAGTGTTCCTGACGGTGGTGGTGGTCCATTGACGCTGGCAAACCGTCACCTGTCAACGGCATGAACCTGGCTACCAGCATCAACCGCAGGGCTTTGGTAAAACCAGCAGGGGACGTGGCAGATGATGAAAAAGCATAGCAGGACGTGAGGGAAGCTTAAGGCAAGGGGCCGCGCAGAAGGCTGCGTACTGGGTGTCGGTCTCCTGATTGTGGGATGTTCTGTTCCAGCGATGAGTGTTGTGGGTGGACTCGGCCAAGGTAGAAAACCCCAACCAAACGCTCTCAAACAAAACAAAAACAAAAAGAGGGGGAAAAGAAGCAGAAGATATTGGAGTTGAGGGGTGATGGCCGAGTCTTCGTGAGGCTCAAGTCCTGACCATCGTTTAACCTCCCCGTACCGTGTTCACTTGAGCACGCAGGTACAGATCGCAATGGCTGCGGCCGTCTGGGGAGGCCAGCACCTCCAGCTTCACGTCGAGCTCGCAAGGTGGTCCCAACCCCTGAGCGGCGGCGGCGGCGGCACAGAGTCGATCGACACTGACTCCAGGTCCAGCAGGTTCAGCAGGCCCAGCAGAGTGGAGCAGCGGCAGGGAGCCCATGGAAGAGCATTGAGTGCTTGAAGGCCGCTCCCCCTTCCAAGAGACCCAAGCACCAGGTCATCAATCACCACCCGCACTGTACGCACTGTACTCACAGAACACCGCGCGGCACACCCAGCCGCTAATGGGCACGACCATGACAGGGTAGGGACAACGGGAGGGAGGTGGCAGAGAGGGAGCGAGGAGGGAGGGAGCGAGCGAGGCAGGCCCTGGGTAGTGTAGGCAGAGCAGAGGAACGGAAGAGAAGAAAGGACCGGGGTGAGTTAGGTAGGCATGGGCGAGGAAGGGAAGGGGGCACGCACCCCCGGCACCCAAGTACCTCCTTCCATGCGTCTAGGAAAGGTAACGTCGGCACGGCAGGTACCTCACCCATGTACCCATGTATCCCCGTACCTTCCCTTCCCTTCCCTTCCCTACCTTACCTTACTCCCATCACCCCCGTTCGTTCCTGCTTCAGCGTCAATGGTCCCCGGCTGTCCCAGCTAAACCGTTCGTTTCAATTCACCAAGCTTCTGCACTTGGGTCCTCTCTCACTTGACCTGACTTGGGGGGAGGGTGCGCGCGCTCTGGTCTGGATAGGCTACGACTACGGGGCACATGACGTGTGTACCTTTTTGCCTGGTTGCAGCAGGAAAAGGTACCTTGCGGTAGTACGAGTGCGTGTGCGCATGTCAATGTGGTGTATGCGTGGTGTAGGTCTATGTACGATTGTGTGTGTGTGTGTGTGTGTGTGTGTGTGTGTGTGTGTGTGTGTGTATGCAATGGATCAAACTGCTTCATATCTGACATGGAAATGCATTCATATCTTAGGTTGTCCGCTTCTCCTGCTCCCCGTCTCTTCATCTCCGTGGACTATCCTCTCTATCCATACATACTTGTTCGATTCGTAGGACAGCCCGTTTCTTTTGGTCCCCCATCCACATCCATCCCTCGACCAGGTCCTTCTTTCTGACCGATCCGTTACGACAGTACGGATACCTCGACGCTCTGGGATATTTTTTTCCCTTTTCCCTTTCTCCAGACGCCCCCCCCCCCCCCCCTCCCCTTCCCTCCCCTTCCTTCCATTCTTCCTTCCTTTCTTCCATCCCCCCCCGGTCTTACTAAAAGGATCGTCTCCGTGGTTGACATTTTTATAATACCTGCCGAACCCCGTCCATTTGTCCCTGCGCTCCGCCTGCTGCGTCACAGCTTCTTCTCCCCTTCCCCTTGCTCTTTCATTACCTCGCACCACACACGACCCTCGAGCCAAGGACCGGACCCTACGCCTTCCTGCCAGAAGAGGTCTCGACTTCCTTCATACATATTCAAACGCTCCCTCTGCAGCAGCGATAAAACTCAAGTCAATCGAGTTTTATTTTTCCCTTTCTTTTCCACCCTTTCCTTGCAATCGCCGACGACGCAATTGCAATTCCGACGACCAACCCCGACAAGGAAAACGACTACCTGTTTTACTAATATACCCATTCCACTCTCTCTCCCTCTTCCCCCGTCAAGTAAGTTACCTCTCGTTAATGTTATCATCATTGATCCCGCATTCCCTTCACATGCCTTTCTTGACCCCCCTTCCCCCTTTCCCATTCCCTCTCGCGTCTTTGTTGTCGTCGTCGTCGTATTCGATGTCGAGTCCGACACACCGGAGCGATCCTGTCTGTTTATTTGTTCATTCATCCATCAAACACGTGCTCGCCTGTCACTGCTCTCTGTGTGTGGCTGTGGTAGGCCCCGACGTGGACTGTTGGCTGGGCTCGTTGCTGGCACTTGCACTGGCACCCGGCTGACGGATGATACGTACTGGGCCTTCCTTGCCGTCTGCTTTTGGTGGCTGCCCTGTCCTCGCGTCCGGGGCTGTCCAACGCCTTGGTCACGTCTGCGGCTATGCCTCAGCTTTTTTTTCGCTCTTTTCCTCTTAGACCCGCTTTTCCTCCCCTAACCCTGCCGGACCATCTGCACCCCCGATCAAGGTTTCTTGGCCCCTGTTACCTCATCTCTCGTCCGAGACCTCAGCACACGCGAACTTTGACAAACACCCTTCTCTCTTGACACAACTGGTCGAGCCCTCGGTCCGGAGGCACCATCTTTTCTTCCTTTATCCCACTTCACACTTTCTCGGGCGCTGCACACCCTCAAGTGCATGCTGCATCGGTCTTTCTTCCAACCTTGTATTATTGTATTTCACCTTGACCCAACACTAACCGGAGGCGCGTCGCATAGGTCGCTCCGACACCACCGCATTTTGACCCTCACCACCCACACCCTCCCTCTCCTTTTCCGTCAACGGTTTCGGTTCTACAACCCATATCCGAACGAGATCCATCATCCTTCAACGGCGCAAAGCGAGTGCTTAGCACACGTCTCGGTCCCGTGACGCCCCTCGACCCATCTTTGGTGGGCTGTGCCTCCTTCGACGGGAACTCTTCGACGTTTCGCGCCACGTCAGATCCATCAGTCGTGACGACACAATAGCTCTCTATATAGACCGAGCGTCAACAATCCAACGCGTTCACGATCCCCTATCGGCATCGCGACTACGACTGAGGTCGAGCTCAATCCCGACGCGTATTTGAACGACGAGAACGAGCAGCATACTGGTCTGTGATCTGTGGTCGGTCTGTCCCGGATTTCATTTCAGCATCCGCACCAGGTAAGCCTGCCAATGTGATTTAAAGGACCCGCCACCGGGTGCTCCTGGCACATCTAGTCATGCCCGAGGTTGTGCTGGGCTATCCCCGTCACCTCTACCCTCTGTAACCCTGCTTCGTGGAATCTTAGCCAAACGCTCCCTACTCGTGGCGATGTGCCTCCCCCTTCAAAGCGGCCCTCCTCCAGATCCCTTATTCATACTCTTTGCCCCTCGGGATACCACCATACTAACTTTCCCCCAGGTAGCGCCGTCCTTATAAACTCAAAGTCTCACCTTCGTCTGACGCGGAATATCGTCTGAAAGAATCCTGCAAGCTGGCTATCCACGCAGGAATCCCGACCATTGCTAGCGATTTCCTTCGCCGTAATATGAGGTCGCCAGCTCCGGGCGAGGTAATGGACATTGGCAACTTGATGAATCAACGAAGTGCCGCTATGCAACAACACGCTTCCATCCACACCGGATCGACCCCCGAACGTCAGATGCACCAACTCCCCCAACTTACGGCGAGAAACATGCCTGAACCACCCATGGACCGCGCAGGCTCTCCTCACGGGTCCGAACACTCTCAATACTCTCGTCACAATATGGAAGGCGTCCCGCGTTCCTACCCATCTCCCAGCGCCATGGTTGGCGCTCCGATGCAGATGCAGGTGCCCGTCTCCCACATGGGACCCGGCCCTGTGATCCTGCCCGGTATCCCTCAACACGACATGTCCCAAGGCATGCCCCAGTACAAGGCCCCGAGCAGCAGGCGCCTCAGCAGCCTACGAAGGCCTACCCGTGCAGCACTTGCGGCAAGGGCTTTGCTCGCCGTAGTGACTTGGCCCGTCACGGTATGTGTGACGATGGAAGACCTGATTGGATCCCATTACTGACATGGCATCAGAACGTATTCACAGCGGCATTCGTCCGCACGTCTGCGACTTCCCCAACTGTGGAAAGCAGTTCATCCAGCGATCGGCCCTCACGGTCCATCAGCGAGTCCACACCGGAGAGAAGCCTCACATGTGTGAACGCTGCGGCAAGGTATGCTGAGACTCGATCAAGATAACGGAGGTTCTCTTGCTGACTTTTTTTTGCCAGCCTTTCAGTGACAGCAGTTCCCTGGCACGCCACCGCCGAATCCATTCTGGCAAGCGCCCTTACAAATGCCCCTACGCCGACTGTCAGAAGACCTTTACCCGCCGCACTACTCTGACGAGACACCAAAACCACCACACCGGCACTGTTGAGGAGGCTGCTGCTGCGACTGCCGCCGCCCTCGCCGCCCGTGGAGCTACCGCGAAGCCAAATGCGTCCCGCTCCGATGGTGACGCCATGTCCAACCGGGGCTCACCGCTGACGACGCCTTCTCCTGGCCAGCGAACCCTCTCGATGTCGCCCAGTGCCGACAGCATGCACCGTGCCACTTCGGAGTTCCAGTATATGGGCAACAGCTCGCTCCCCGTCCATCTCCAGCGGGACATGCACGTTGGCAGCCCTGCGTCGACATCTTCGGGCGGTTACAACACCGGCATGAGGCCCACCTCGCATCCTACCAGCTACGGACCGCCCCCAACGCTGGAGCCGAGTGTCGAGCAACACTCCGGCCCTGGCAGCGCTGGCGGCAGCCCTCACATGAGCAACGTCGGCTGGCAGTCGCCGTCGCACGTTGCGTCTCCCTCGCACAGCAGCAACGGTGGTGGCTACACCTATCCCGATCCCGACGCATACCCCGCTGCTCCCTCGCTCGGTGGCCAAATGTTCTATGGCAACCCCGGACAGGTCCGCCGACCCCAGAGCACCGAGCCCCCTGCCGGCGCCTATGACATTAAGGGTCGCCAGAGCGAGCTGTGGGCAGGCGCTCACTAGGATGAGTCCTTGTATCAGTATTGCTGAAAGCGCCCCGTATGCCCACTCAGGTCCTTGGGGCAGCTGACGACTCAGCACTTTTTTCCTTGACGTGGTTATACTCTTCTCTTTCTCCGACACGAAAAGTTCTCGCATGGCAAGGTTGGAGACGGTAAATACATACACCTTTAATACTGCGGGCTGCACCGGGACAGGGTCAGGAAGATACCAAAGGGGCGGGCAGCCATCTGGTTCGTTTTCACACACAACTGCCTTTTCTTTTGTTCTCATAGACTGGCGGAAAGCACACTTCATGATGACTGGGTCTCCATGGGCATTGGCTGGAGGCAAAAAGGTTGGGAGGAGTTTCCAGACAGGAAACGAGTGCTCTTGAGCAGCACGCCGACGGTTTTGGCGGAGACTCACTCGGCAAAGGAATTTGGCTTTTTTTCTTTTTCTTGCGGAATCTTGTATGCAAACCTGTACTAGACAATGAATGCTCGTAGCTACCTCTTTGTTTTCTCATCTCACTCATCCTGCAATGTTGTCATGCGCGTAGTGTCGTCCTCTTGGTGGAGTTGACCGGGTAAGCTTGAGGGTCGACCTGACGATGGTCAGTGTGTGAAGCGCCATGCCAGGTGCGCCGTGCATTTGTGGAGGCGCAAATTAGATCCCGTTGGTGGGCGATCCGGAACTGGCGTCCCGCTGTGACTGAACCAAGCGAGGGTGACCTCATCGAAAGGCAGGCTAGCAAGGTGATTATGGCTGATGTCCATTGAGGAAAAAAAGAAGACAATAAAAACAAACCGTCGGAACAACACCTGACAGAACAGCTGTGGGCACGTGGCATAGTCCATGTGTTTCGCATGTCTTATTCAACCCCCAGAAGACTGATCGATTGATTGGCTACTCAAGCATTTTTCAATTCTCATTCGTGTACGACTAGATGGACTGACGGTTTCAACACGGCCCAGCGAGACGCGGGCCGGGACAGGCAAACCCCGATTACCGGCAAGAGCGCCCTCCGACATGTCCCCCGCCGCATGAGGATGCCGGGACAGGACAGCAAAAGATTCGACGCTCGACTCGGGGGCAGAGACAACGACAAGATTGCGAGGGAACATGAAAAGGCGCTCGGTGGGGATGGGGGGAGAGGCGATGGCCAAAGGACTTGCTAAAGAATGATAAATCGCAAGGAAGACAACTAAATACGTGATTATTACTTTTCTTCTTTTCCTTGTTTGTAGAGAGAGAGAGAGAGAGAGATCGGACTGATGAGATAATCAAAAAATGGACAAGACGTTCTGGGCGCGTCTGTGCCTCGTTGGTGTGATTAGTGAACCGTCGACTTTTTTTTTTGTTCCGTTGATGCGGTTTTTGCCACGAAGAAAAAGAGAGAGAGAGAGAGATAAAAACAGAGAGCCAGAGAGCCAGAGAGCCAGAGAACTGGGCGATGCTGTGGGTGGCGATTGAATGGGGGAATTTCCTAAATGGGGAGAGTGCCTGTTGTGGAAGTGCCTGTTTTGGAAGGAAAGCAGTTGGGTGTAGTGAGCCGGGTCCGTAATTCCCGAGACGAGCTGGTTTCCATCGAAGTTGGTTCGTTAGTTTCGTCTGCCCTCTTTTTTCCCGCCTTCCCCATTGTACAATATACCTCGGCAAAGAGGCCTGGGGATCCGGCCTTGGGGTCTGTTTGCTTGTCGCTTGCGCTTTGGATTAGTAGTCAAAACGCTTCGGTGGGACCAGGTGTGTGAGTGATAATGTGTGTCCTGCTTGTTTGTATATGCGTGTGTCTCTCGGTCAGAGCCGAAAATGCGCGGATGCTGGTTAGCTTTATTCTGGGAGACGCTCTGGGGCTGATTAGTATTCCAACATCCCATTCGGGTCTCTTCCTTCCCACCCATCAGTCACTCGGCCGCCTCGCTCCCCGGCTTCCTGCCTCTCCCATTCAAACCAACAACGCGAGGGGCTCGGTTGTGGTCTTATAAGCTGGTCAGAGCTGCCGCCAACGTCTGACAGAGTTTCCATCCAAACCCCCGGTTTCCCCGTCCTTGCCGATCGAACCTACCTAGTTTTTGAGTCGGGCGAGGCCCATCCCCCATTTTGACGCCATTTGTCGGGAGCGAAGCTTGCATTTTTTTTCGGGGTACTGTATCCGCCGAAAGCAAGTGAGGCATAACACACATTCGCCGTGCTTCTCTGCTTTCATCGCGGCCGTCCTCATTCTCACGACCCGCGTCTTGGTCAGATAGCTACTGTAAGTGTCGACGACGCAGTCTTGCACATCTTGCCCTCCTCTAGCGCCACCCGAAAAAAGTCGAAACCAAAACCCGAGGGCGCCAAACGATGGTGGTCATCAAAATTGAGGCCGTCACGGACCTGCTCTGTCCGTGGTGCTATGTCGGCAAGAAGAACCTCGACCGCGCCATCTCGCAGTACCGCGCCGTAGACCCCTCGGCCGAGTTCGAGGTCATCTGGAAGCCCTTCTACCTGAGCCCGGCCATGAAGAACACTGGTTCGTAATCCCTCGTCCTCGTCACGATTCCCATTCAACCCCCCAAACTCACCTCGCCCCGTCTGAGCCCCTCCCCTTCACTTACACCGCGACCACTGAACCGTCACCCAGGCTACGACAAAGTCACAATGTACAAAACCCACTTCGCCAGGTCGGGCGACCTGCCCAAAATCCTCGCCCGCATCACATCCGCCTGCACCCTCGCCGGCATATCCCTCAACGTGACCGGCAACACCGGGAACTCGCGCCAGTCCCACAAGCTCCTCGCTCTCGCCCTCGCGAGGAACGGTCCGGAGGCCCAGGACCGCCTGCTCGAGACTCTGTTCCGGGGCCACTTCGAGGAGGGAGAGGACCTCTCGGACCGAAAGTATCTGCTCGCGGCCGCGACGTCCGCGGGTGTGGATCTCGACGAGAAGGAGGCGGCGGCGGTGCTGGACGACGACCGCGTCGGCAAGGCGGTTGATGAGGCCGTGCTGGAGGCGAGGAGGGCGGGCATCACGGGGGTGCCGACGTTTACGGTCCAGGGGAGGTGGAGAGTTGGCGGGAACCAGGAGCCGGACGTGTTTTTGAGGGTGTTTGAGAGGGTCGAGGATGAGTAGCGAGCGGATTTGGCTGGAAAAGTCTTAGTTCCCGTGTTCCTTGGTTGAGTCAGCGGCATTGCAGTATCAGGGATATCATTCATAGCAGAGCGTTTGGACTGGTTATGATTTTGCATTCAGTGTCATATTCTTCTTTCTCTCTGTCCTGTCACACCAGCGGGAATCCTCGTTCCTTCCACCGACCGTGACAAATCCCCCCCCCTTTTTTTTTTGGACTCATCTATAAAACTGGAGGAAAAGCGCAAGAAAACCTGCCAGTTTCGCCCATAGAAGCATCTCCCGGTTCCTAAACGCCTTTTGAAATGCAAAGCTTCGGTATATTGTAACAAGGAAAAAGGGTCGCCCAGTCTATCGCTTGACCATGTGGCTGTAGTCCTTGAGCAGATGCTCCATGTGGGTGTTTGTCGTCTTGCCCGTTCGCCGCACGGCGCGCTTCTTCTGCTGCTTCTTGGAGTCGACCTTCTTGATGGTACTCGGGTCGGCGCTGGCGGGCTTCTGGCCAACGGAGACGAGCTTCTTGACGATGTCATCGGTGGTGGGCACCTCGACGGCGTTCCACATGCGCTTGAACTCGTCGTCGACGTGGTGGTGGAGCGAGGCGTCGTCGAGCCAGATGGCGCGGGGGTGCTGCTCCTTCTTGGTCTTGACAATGAGAATCTTGTGCTCGCGCTCAAGCTCCATCAGCGCCTGGTCGCAGTCCGGCCAGCCGTCCTTGAGGTCCTTGACCGAGGTGCCCTCGGCGTCTTTCTTGCTCTGCAGGTGGCGTAGCAGCGAGATCTTGTCCCGAACGCCTGGGATGATGGGGCGGTGGACGTACATGCCTGTCCTCCAAGTCTGCTCCGAGAGCTTGGGGTCGGGCGTCCACTGGATGCGGGGATGGCGGCGCATGGCCTCAACCAGCTGTTGCTTGTGCTTATCGGTGCTGCGGGTCTGGCCCAGGTGGTCAAAGATTTCGGTGGCCGTCTTGGCCTCGTCCTTGCCCTTGAGCCACTCGAGGGCATACTGCATCTGGGTGAAGACCTCCTGACCGAAGCTGGTGTTCTGGGGCTGCGAGTAGACGATCGCGTTGGGGTCGCGCTTACGCTTGCCTGATGATGTTGTCTCATTCTTGGAAGCGGTGCTGCCCACCGACGGAGAGGGCGACGGCGGTGCGAGCGCTGGGTTCTTGGATGTCAGCTTGCTCGCTGCCGAGGCCAGTGAGCTGCTGAAGGCCGCTTTCTGCTTCTCGAGGAGAGACATGATGGACGGCGTGAGCTGTTTGTACGACCGAATCGATAACCTCGTAGGGCCCGGGGTAATAACGTGAACGTAAGGCTACAGCCGCAACACCTGGGAGGGGTAGGCAACGGTTCAAGAAATGGTCGAGTTGTGACAAGGGAACAGCAAACTTCGTGACCAGCTCTATCCAACTTCTCGCTTCGTTCTTTGATGGTATTGAGAGTTTATGTGATTCCACCTCGGGTTGGTAATAACGATGCTACGCTTTCGATGTATCGCTACGTAGAGGATAGAAGAAGTGGACTGGTCGATCGTGATTAAGAGTTCCGGGAATCTTCCACGGCGTCGCAGAATGGTCTTGCCAACGGGATTCAATCAATCACTGGTCGGACTAGCGAGATGATTTCGAGGGCACTATTGTCTTGCGCAAGCTGGACTGTCTCTGCCGGGGCTTTCCGCGATATTGCCTAGGCAAAAACGACCAAGTCCTCAGATGGCGGTTTCTCGAATCGCAGGCGCAGCTAGGCGTGAGGGTCGGCAGCACGGGAGCAGCCGCTTTCGTATTGATCGCCGTTGGCAGTCTCTGTAATGTTTATTCGGGCTCGTCGTCTGCGTTTCGCCTCGACGCCGCTGTCTCCGGAGCTGCAGCCTCAAGCTTCCAGCTTCACCCGCGCGGTCGGTCGCTGGGATCGATTTCGCCCGTGGTCTACAACTCGACCAGTCCTCGCCCCAGACAAGGTACTGCAAATACCCGTGTATTCGGAGTGCGTCCGTTTATTTTCGATTTCTGTTCTTCGCTGTAAAATGGCTGCCTGCTTTTGAGGTGAGAAAGGAGGCTTTTTAGTCAATTCGTCGGTGGTAGGATGCTTGCTGATACAATTCTTTGGAAACAGGACGTCCAAAGTTGTGGCGCACGGACGAGGCTGATGACTTGCCTCAGCCACAGATCGATTGGTTGGCTCGGAATCTAGAGCCACCCCGATTCCGCTCCTAGTCAATGTTCCGAAGTGGGTGGTGCCTGTGGACCTGTTCCGCCCGGGCCACTTACTGGTTGGAACACCAGGTTGATGCAAACGCGGCCTGGATAAAGTACCTAGCAACTTCTAGCTTGTTATGACATGGCAGATTCATTACTTGTGAACAACTTAGTTTGTAAGAGTGACCTGATGAGAGAAGGTGTCTGACCCCAGAGGGGCCTTTCTTCGGATACCCTCTCTATTGCATGCTGCATGGCGTTGGCCTTCGGCAGGACGGATTAACCATTCACGAATGCCCTCGATAAGACTCAGGTGATGTGCGAGACGTTTGCTATGCTATTTGTCCAGCATCGCGCTGTCTGCTATCCGTATATCTAAAACGCAATCCAAATAAACTCATGACCAGAACGTATATTCTATTAAAGGCATATCTTCTCCGGCAGATGCGGCTCAGTCGCAGTTGACCAGCCAGACCCTCTGCCGCCGAATTGACATCAAAAGGCTCCCTACAACACCCATCTGCGCCAGCTCGTAACGCATCCCCTTTCAGATATCGTGAGCCCCGTGCGACGCGGGAGATTTCATTAAACCCCCCCCTGCTCGTAAAGAGCCCGCTTGTTGAAGGCGGTGGCTTGCCATTCAGTCGCGAGCGGCGTGCGCGCGCATACCCTCAACCCCCTTTTCAGGAACCGCAGGCGATTCAAGCTGCATCCTCAGCGTACTTGAGAAAAAAAGACGGCAGCGACGACGGGCATTTTATGCCGACGTCTGCTGTTGCTGCTGCTGGTACTGGTAGGCGACGTAGGCGAGAACACCGCCGATGAGGAGGACGGCGTACAGGCCGATGCCGAAGCCGGGGCTCTCAGTGTTGCTGGCTGCGCTGGCGGCGGGGGTCTGCTTCTTGGGGCAGGGTCTCCGGGCTGCAACAAAAGAAAACGCGGAAAGTCAGCAAAGGTCATTCCGTGACCAGAAGTCGGAAGCAGTTATGATGCGCAATCGAGCGGAAAGAGGGGGGAAGTGCGTGGGAACTCACCTGGCGCTTCAGGTCGCCGATGAGCAGCTGCTCCAGGGTCTCGCGGGCCTCGTCGCTGTGACCGACATCCTCGAAGGCCTCGGTGGCATCCTGACCACCGACGTCGAGAAGGACCTCCTCACCACCGCTGTGCACGAAAACAAAAGTCAGTCCGGGATACGGCGTGGAGGAGAAGGGCCTGGGGAAACCCCGGGGAGGTACAGCGCGGCGCAACGCAGCGCGGGCGGAGGGGCGAGACTTACGGGTGCTCGTCGACGAACTTGGTGCAGTCATAGATCTTGTCGTGGATCACCATGTAGATGTCCTTCTTGGTGTTGTGCTCGGCAACATCCTGGTAGGTGAGTTCGACGCCCATTGTGACAGATTTCGGTAACCGCTTAGGTTTTTCGGTGATTAAACGTGGCTCCTTTTTTTGGTTTGTTTACCAGTTTGTTGAGAAATTGCGGTCTGGCTCGGATTCAGTACTGAACTCGAGTTGGAATTGCGCGACGGCGGTGTTGCAAGGTCTTTTAGAAGGGAGGTTGTCAGCTGAAACTTTTTTTTGGCGAGATTGGTTTGCAGGAAGGGTTTGTGCAAGCAAGATTCGAAAGAGAAGGAGGTCGCTCGGATGTTGAGCCTGTTGAACACTCACACTTTATCGCGGGTCCCAGAGAAATTGGGGGGAAAGGCGCACTGCACTGAACGACTGACAGCTAATGGAAGCTTCCGCCGGGACCACTGTGAATTGTGGGCTCAACTGGCACAGCTTGGGGGAAGGATATCGGTGGTCCGCTCAGGGGCGGGATTTGAGCCAATCAGGAAGACAGAAATTAGTGCACAGGTGCCGTGATTCGCTGGACGGGTGGGCTCGGCGCATTTGGGGAAAAGAAGGTGCGGATTGTAGAGGGCCATTTCAGAAGCCAGAGACGGGAGAGGGGGGAAAAAAGGGACCATGCCACCATGCAAAGGACAGCTCGCTAATGAGACAAAGGATGGATGCACTGGGACTTTGACCGGAGAGGAGAATGGTGCCGGCGTCCCTTTTCGGCATCGGATTCGGGTATTTCTTCCCCAGCCCGACAAATTGCAAGACTGCACAGTCACAATATCTCTGAGTGAGACGACTTCAAATGCCTAGGTACACCGACAGGTATAGCCACGTCTCCTTCCCCCGCCCATTGAGACTCGAAGAAAAGCTCCCGAGTCAGGGTTTCTCGCTGCATACCTGTTCGCCGCTTACATCAAACTCGCTTTGCCGCCCAGAGCTTCCACGGCGGACAGAGACAGCCTAGCTCGTTTCGAAACGGGGTTGGCTCTCCCCCCCTTCGTGCCCCCTCAACAGCAGGAATCCTGTCGGTGTCCGGCGGGCCATTGCTCACCTGGTCCGCACCAAACCTGCAGCTTTCCTTAGCATCATTCCCTCCTGCAGAAAGCTCAGCCATATAGGCCTGTACCCTCGTCTATTTGGTTTGTTGCAAACTTGCCATCAGGTCTCCAGTCTTTCGTGTTCGTATCCTTGACAATCGCTAATCGCCGGGCTCTCAAAGGGCTTGATTGCAACCCAACTGCAACATTGAACCTGCAGCTGCAATGGAAGGTCCAGCTTGCTCTCAATGCCGCTGGTACTCGGAGTCACAGAAGCACCAATAACTACTGCCTCTACTGTTGTCCCGCCATCCCGTATTATGTCATCCCGTCGGGAGTTGCGTTATCTCGCCGGTCTGCGGGGCTCTGATGGACTTTGACTTTCTCCTCCATGGCAACATGCTCGCGCGCCGTTGAGATGTCCGGGTCCCTCGGACCAGATTGGGGGACTTAGGACTTTTCAAGACAACCTACCCGGTGCCGACACGTTGTTCCGCACATGTAGGTAGACTCTTGTTGGATAGTGAATGTCACATTGCCTGCTTGAGCCCCAGACCCATAAGACCATCCACCTCCCCCCCGACCACATGCTTCGAGGCCTAGGCAGCACATCTCGTCCCGCATGACGATCCCGCCGCCCATCTAGAAACTCGGCATGATGCCGAGGCACTCCGTGCTGTCTCTGGGGTTGTGATGTCAGTCCCATAGAAGGCATAAGGCGGGGAACGCGCGGGGTAGGGATCCAGCTGTTGATAACCAACTGCCAAAGTTCATGGTACGGCTTCGCGTTACATTGCCTGAAAAGGTAATATTCGCCGGTCCGCTCCGTTGATGCATCCCTATGGCAGCAGTCGCACCAGAGAGCCAAACGGTTGTCATGTAGCAAGGCTGAAGCTAACGTATGCGCCTCGATTTTCATCATGGACGCTACCCAGCAGGTCTTCTCATGTTTGTTGTAAAGAAGCTTTTAACCATTTCTAGCCTGCGTGCTAAATGCGCAAAAGAGCATCGCTCTAATTGTGGCCCCTCCTAAGGAAAAGTGCCATGCCGTCCTCCTCCCGCCATCCCGGCTCATCGTCGCGCGCCGCCACCAATATCCTGACCCAGCCTGTACGAGGTGATCTTGTCCCACTCGATCTTCTGCCTCGTCACGGGCAGCTGTCGCCTCAGGCCCTTGAACGCGCCCTCGCTGAGGTTCGTGAACCCCCTGTTCAGTTCCTCCTGGTACTTCTTCTCCGAAGTCGAGATCTCCTTGACAATGCCGGCGCCCGTGCCTGACGAGATCGACGCCTGCGAGGGTCGGTTGGTGAGTAGCCGGACGTTGCCGTCCTCGTAGTAGTGCACGTCGACCTTGACATAGCCCTCGAGGCTCGAGGAGGAGGGATCGAAGATGTAGAGGGACCGCCAGCGACCGTTCCTGAATACTGTCAATACACCAAATAAGAACGAGACCCGGGTGAACATACCAGAAGTTGTTAGGAGAGTACTTGTTCGAGACAATAATGATCGCGACCTGGGTGTCATTCGCAGTAGGGTAGACGCCGTACGCTGCGTTGGGGAAATGCTCCTGTACGTAGGGGCCGAGACTCTTCAACGTCGACTTGCTGCAAAGCTTTCAGTATCATTGTGACACCACTCATTCCATCCAACCTACATCAAGTCCGAGTTTGCGCTCTCCAGCACGTAGCTCTGCACATTGCTGGCCTTCTGTGTGGTGTGGTCGAAAGAGAAGCTTGTCGAGCTCTCCACGTCAAAGTACTGGCCGTCGCCGAGCGAACTGTGGGAGCTGATGATGACCTGCAACGCTTCATCAACATACAGTGTCTCCTGGCGGCTGGGCCGAACTGACCTGCTGGCTTCCGCCCGGCAGCTTCACCGTGACGAACTGCTCCTCGTTGTACTTCTCAAATGCCGGCTCTAGGCTGGACACGATTTCGGGATCCGACACGGTGAGCGACTTGATGTCTTTGTCGGATTAGCATCGATCGAGCTCGGGGGCTTGGAGGATGGTCCGTCGGAGGGCATGGATTTACCTGCAATGACATCTGCGAGCTTCAATCAGGTCAGCTTGGTTTGTAGCCAAGTATCTGGGGGCTAGTGGACGGACCTCGCCTGGGGGAGCCCCCTCCACGAAGGAGGAGACGGTCTCGACTTGGGACATTGTGGATATTCTGCACGGGAAAGGTTCGGTCGGTCGTGTCGTTGGAGGTTGGACGGCGGTGATGCGGATGCGGATGCAGCTGTGATGTCGAGCTGTTGCTGCTCCCGACGTTGAAACGTAATGCGGGGCAATTGGAGGCGGGACTGGGGAGGACGGATTGGCTGGGAAAGGGGCTAAATTGTTAGCGCTGGACCTCCACTCACGCATAACAAAGTGGGCACACTAGGTACTTTTTCATCATGAAGCTTCATGTACGACCTGGACTCAATCATTCGAATGGTTTCTTCATTTTTGCAGACCTACCAGACTCCTATCTGCAAAGATAGTTCGTCTGGTCATCATGGGTATGTACTATGTTTTTGCACCTGTTCTTCCACCTTCCACAACTCCTGATCCATCAACAATCGCCTTAATAGTCCAATACCCTTTTGATGTTGTCATAAACCCCTAAGCAAGTAAGCATCACTCAATGTCACGGACAGGATAGGTTCAGACTTACTTGCAACGTCCGGAATGTTGAACTTTTCGTACAACAACGGTGTGTGAATGCTCCATCCTGCAACTCTCGCAACCGGCGCTTCCAGCCTCAAGAACGTGTCGGGGTCCTCTTGAATAGTGGCAGCAACCTCGGCTCCGATACCAGCATTAACCATGGCCTCGTGCACCACGATGCAGTGGCCAGTCTTGCGCACACTTTCAAACACGGTCTCTTTATCCCACGGGTACAGTGTCCTCAGATCAATGAGCTCAACAGAGATACCCAGGTCTTCTTCAGCCCGCTGGATAGCCGACATGCACGTGTACAGAGGCTGTCCGTACGAAATGATGGTAACGTCCTTGCCCTCCTTGAGGACCTCCGCCTTGGACAGAGGTAGCGTATATGCACCCGCCGGGACCTGTTCAACAGCAGCTCTGTACAGGATCTTGGGCTCCATAAAGATGCAAGGATCGTTGCTGCGGATAGCTGATAGCAACAGACCCTTGGCCTGGAGAGGAGATCTGGGCATGATCACACGCAAGCCAGGGACGTGAGTGAACAAACTCTCGGGCGACTGAGAGTGGTATAGAGCACCATGGCCGACGCCGCCGCAAGGCATCCGCACGGTCAAGCCGCCTACGCTGCGGCCGCATGCTCCGTCTCTGTACCGGTACTTGGCCGCCTCGTTGACCAGCTGGTCGAATGCCGGGTAGACGTAATCGGCGAACTGAATCTCTGCGACTGGTCGCATACCCTCCGCCGCTGCACCAATGGCGAATCCCATGATGCCTTGTTCTGTAAGAGGCGTATTGAAGATGCGGTCGGCGCCGTATGTCTCGGCCAGCTTCATTGTGCATCTGAAGACACCGCCAAAGGCTACGTCTTCGCCGAACACCATGACAGAGTCGTCCTCGGCCAACGCAATCGAGAGGGCATCATTGATGGCCTGGAAGAGGTTCATCTTCTTTGTCGTGCCATTGCGCACCTCAGCTGGAAGCTCTGCTGTGCTGAGGGCCGTCTGAGACGAGTGCGCAAGTAGGGAGGTTGTCGCGTAGTCGACCGGGATGTTGAGCTTCGCATTGGGCGGGTGAGTCGAGTAAAGCCGAGAGACGGCTAGGGGAAGCTGGGTCGATGCCGACGGCGCCAGCGCTCGCCGCAGTGGACGTATTGAAATCGACGACCTCATTTTGAACGGCATGGAGAGCCAAAAGAAATTGTCACGAGCAGTCAATTCCTGGATTTGAAGGGTGTCAGAGATGAAGGAATTGAGGACGGCCGGCCAGACGAGGGGACTCTCGTCCTAACCCGAGGGATAGCGGGTGATGTAAGTCAGGTTCGGCTTGCGCCGGCGTTCGCGGGGTTGAAGCGGCCCTTGGCTCCCACAGACCCTTGCAGTCACTTTACGCCCTGATAAGACTGATTCGTTCGATTGTTGCCCTGCCAACATCCGAGCTGTCAATGCACCCCCAAAACAAGGCAGGGGAATTGGATACGATCCTTGGTACCCTTGGCGTCACCACCTACGTATTCACCAAAACGCATTCATTACGCCTGGAATGTCATTTGAACTCAAAACATTCCAGTGCAACGGCGGCTAGCACCTTCAGGGACGACATTCGACGAAAATGGCGCCCGGTGAATCCTCCAGACCGTCGTCGCATCGACCACGAGACTCATCGGGCAGGAAACATCATAAGAAACGACGATCGCATGGGCAAGGATCCAGACGACCAGCCACAGAATCGAGCGAGAGCAGGGACGAGAGGAGGTCACAAACACTGTCTGCAGATGCGCTGGCAGCACTGAATCACGAGAACACGAAGAGGAAGAAGAGAAGGGAGTCACGTGCGAACGGCTCGAGAGATCCAGAGAGGGATGCAGAGAGGGCGGCAGAGCGAGCAGAGAGGAGAAGGGCACGGCGAGAGCAACAGTACAGAGATGCACCCAGGGAGCGTCCAAGGAGGGCGGAGCGGGAACAGGACAGAGAAGCGGTCTACGAAAAACCAAGAAGAGACCACAAAAACAAGAAGAAACGAGTGGTTAGCGGCGCGGTGATGGAGGAGGGACGCTCTCGCGGTCACTTACGAGGCGGCGGATGGAGCAGTTCTGACCACAGCCTCGAGAAGGAGTACCTGATGGAAGACCTCCCACAGCCCGTGAAGAAGCGCAAGAAACTATGTGAGTTACCCGCGCCTGGACATACTGACGACGACTAATTCCGGCAGGGATTTGCCTCGGCGTTTCGCTAGTTCTTCTCATCATCATCATTGTGGTGGCAGTGGTAGTCAGCAAGAACAACTCGAACAAAAGCAGCTCACCGACAACCACTCTCGACGACAGCAACAAGGACAGCGTACCGATGAAGTGGCGCGGCACATACCTCGACCCGTGGTCCTGGGAGGACACGACCGATTTCAACGTTACTTTCACCGACGAAATGGTTGGCGACCTACCCGTCATGGGCCTGTACACCGACTGGGACGACTCGAAGCGCGCCAACGACAAAGTGCCGGCCCTCAAGGACTCCTGGGGGTCTTACGGATCGCGGCCGGCCCGCGGGGTCAACGTCGGTGGGTGGCTAAACCTGGAGCCCTTCATCACTCCGTCGCTCTTCGACTACGACTCTCGGCTGGGTATCATTGACGAGTACACGCTCTGCAAGCACCTCGGCACCAAGCAGACGGCGGAGGTTCTCGAGAAGCACTACGCAACGTTCGTGACGGAATCGACGTTCAAAGAAATCGCCGACGCCGGCCTCGATCACGTCCGCATCCCCTTCAACTACTGGGCCGTTGAGGTCTACGACGGCGACCCGTACCTCTTCCGCACCTCCTGGCGCTACCTCCTTCGCGGCATCGAGTGGGCTCGCAAGTACGGCCTCCGAGTCAACCTCGACGTCCACGGTCTGCCCGGCAGCCAGAACGGATGGAACCACTCGGGCCGCCAGGGCGTGATCGGCTGGCTCAACGGCACCGACGGCGCGACGAACGCGCAGCGCAGTCTCGACATGCATGACCGGCTCTCCAAGTTCTTCGCGCAGGATCGGTACAAGAACATCATCGCCTTCTACGGGCTGGCCAACGAGCCGCGCAACGTGGACCTGAACAACGCGGACGTGGTGTCGTGGACGGAGCAGGCGTACAAGCTGGTCAAGGGCAACGGCATCGGTGGCATTGTGGTGTTCGGCGACGGCTTTATGGGCCTGGCCAACTGGCAGGGCAAGTTGACGGGGCACAGCGACCTGGCGCTCGACGTGCACCAATACGTCATTTTCAACACGGACCAGATCGTTTATACGCACAAGAAGAAGGTCGAGTACGCGTGCAGCGGGTGGACGGAGCAGACGGAGCAGTCGATGGACACGTCGACGGGGTACGGGCCGACGCTCTTCGCCGAGTGGTCGCAGGCCGACACGGACTGCGCCAAGCACCTCACCAACGTCGGCTGGGGCAACCGGTGGACGGGCACGTACGACACGGGCAACACGACGACGTCAATCCTCGAGCCGCGGTGCCCGACGGAGGACACGAAGTGCAGCTGCGACGCCGCCAACGCCGACGCCAGCACGTTCAGCAGCGACTACAAGCAATTCCTGCAAATGTTTGCCGAGGCGCAGATGTACTCGTTCGAGAAGGGGTGGGGGTGGTGGTACTGGACCTGGGACACGGAGAGCGCGCCGTTGTGGAGCTACAAGAAGGGCCTCGCGGCCGGAATCCTGCCGGCCAAGGCGTATGAGCGGGACTTCAACTGTTCCGGAACCGTGCCGGATTTTGGCGACCTGCCAGAGTATTATCGGATGTGACAGAGCGAGCTTTCGGACGTCCGGAGGTCCGGCAGACGACGACCAGTCAACGACACACGGACGACACGTGAGCATTCTGCATGCAATTGGCGTTTTTACAGGGTTCAGCAACTGCACTTTTTTCTCGATTGAACGAAACAGATAGATGGAAGATTGACGGGCAATGACAGTCATGTATAAAGCAAAGATGGAAAGTCATGTATGATAATAATGCAACGGAGGAGATGCGGAGATGCACATGATGATGTTCTAGGTAGATAGTCAAAACGATGGGAGATTACACATAGGCCAGTGCCATTGGGCTGACCGTTTCCGAGAAACGCAACGGAACACGAGCCACGGGCGGGTTTTCGCACCGAACGAACTGGGAAACCTGCCAATCCACCATGTCGCCGAGGATTTCCAATCTTGAGGATGTGCACAGACTACGAACTCGCGGCTCTGGGACTCATTACCAATACCTACACGTGGCTCGGAAATCGCAAGCCAAAGCCACCGGCGCCGAATAGCGAACGGGGGCGCGCGGAGGTAAAGGAATTAGGAAACTGTCAGATTGAATACAGACAAGCGAGCGACGACGGCGGCGCGGGACCGGTATCCGATGCTTCGCGGCTTCGGCGCTCTGCGAAAGAAGCGAAGAGACAACCCAGAGTCCAGCCGGAGGGTTCGCGTGCGGGGATCAACCATCCAGCATTCCTTTGGTCATGGGCCACATGCTACAACGTCCCGGCCTGTCACCGCCGCCAAAGAAGATTTGGAAAAAAAAACAAAATCTCATTCGAGAGAATGGACGGGGGGAGGGAGTGAGCTCCTGGCTCTTCGGGCTCAATCCAGTTGGGCAAAGGGTTGCGTCGAGGCCAGCCATATGCTGGGAGGCGTGGAATTCCGCCCGGCTAGCGTTCACGTTTGCTGCGGTTTTGCTTCTCAGCGCACGTTACAAGGCCTATTTTAGCCCTGTGACTCGTTGCAGAAAAATACCTAGCTGACTGACACTGACAGGCGCCTCCTGTCTCATCCATCCCGGTCACAGATGCCGAGGGTCCCCCGCCATGTGAGCGAGCTCTCGGCCATTGCAACGTCATGTCGACGACGATTTTATTTCCGAAGCCGCTCCGCATGTCCGTTTTTTTTCTTTCTCTTTCGCTGCCCCCCCAGCGAATCCTCGTCTTGGGCGCTCACTAACGGAATGCGACCAATGTGCTATCCCTTGCAAGATGGTTGCAGCTGTTACGCTCTAGAGCCAAGCGAGCGCTCTCTTCACTGGTCCTCGCCGACGCCAATGTCGTTGGCTGAGTGTGCAGGACGCTGTTCCTCCGGGGACAGACATCGCAAAGGCGGCAACGACCCGTTTTGCAACGGCGTCATCCATTCCCACCCCGTCCTTCACAAGGGGAGGGGGGCCCCTATGACATGCCATGCCCCGTCCTCCCCCTGCGTGTGTGTTCCTTGCCCGCAATGACGAGATCCACCTCTAACCCGGGGTGCGCTCCATCTAAGAGCGAGCCGCGTTCTGGGCTGAATAATCGACAAGAGACAAGATTGTGGGCAAAACTGAGGAAGGAAAAAACCGCCAACTGGTGACGGGATGCCCCGCTAGCACCATTTTGCTCATCGTTGACTAATGCCGAGAGTGCGAGATTGGGCGATGGGGGTGTGATGATTCTTGCTATCCTATACCCACCCACTCACTCGCCTTGCGCGAACGGCAACTTGATCCAAAAAGGGCCCGTCTTCCACTTCCACTTATTTTTTTTGCTCTCGCGGATTGAAAACAGAAGCGTTGCAACGGGAGAGGACCTGTTTCTGCCACATCCTAAATAAAACCCAACGATCCCCCTGTGCCGCATCTGTTCGCAGCCAGACAAAACCATGCCGAGCAACTGACCTGATCCTGACCTTATTACGCTCCACACGGGCCGCTGGATCTCGGAAGCAGGCCCACAGATCGGAACACCCGTACAAATATCCGACATCCGCAATCCGCCTGGTACTAACAACCACTCCTTGGGACGTTGTTGTTTTCAAGCGACCAAAGCATTAAAGAGAAAGGAGATTGAGACCCGTCTAGACTCGTCTGGAGGTCGCTCAACTGCGTCCATTACCGAAACATGACGGGCGACATCGAGAAGGCCGAGAGCCAGTCGTCCAATCCCGACAATGACAGCGCAACGGTCCACGACGACCCGGGCTTTGAGCCCATCCGCACGGGCGCCCGCAGCGGCACACGATCCATCCGTCATTCGCGGTCCCTCAGCCGGCCGCGGTCGCACAACGGCTACAGTTGTGATGACTACCACCATAGCGACGACAGCCCGCAAAGAGAAGCGGCCGAAAAGGAGGACCCCTACGAGGTGAGCTTCGACGGCGGCGACAGCGATCCCTTGTGCCCTCGCAGCATGGGCAAGTTCAGGAAGTGGGTGATCGTATCCATCGTATCATGCGCCAGTTTTTGCGTGTAAGTGACATGATTCGTCCGGGGACCGGGGGTGGCATCGAGGATGAGGTGTTGACACGTGTGACAGCACCGCCGCAAGTTCCATCTACACATCGACCTACAGCCAGATGGATGCAGAGTTCGGCAACTCCCGTATCGTAGCGACCATCGGCCTGTCGACTTTCGTCCTTGGCATCAGCCTGGGTCCCATGTTCCTCAGTCCGCTCAGCGAGTTCTATGGCCGCCGGCCCATCTACATCGTCTCCTGGACCATGTATGTCATCTGGATCATCCCGTCGGCCGTCGCCAAGAACATTGCGACCATGATCATCGCCCGCTTCCTCGACGGCCTGTCGGGCAGCGCCTTCTTGGCCGTGTCCGGTGGCACCGTCAGTGATCTGTTTACCCGCCAAGAGCTTCAAGCCCCCATGCTCATGTACTCGCTCGCTCCCTTCATCGGACCGTGCATCGGCCCGCTGATTGGCGGCTTCATCAACTACAACGTTAACTGGAGATGGACCTACTACGTGTTGATCATGTGGGCCTTTGCGCTGCTGGTCGCCATTGTCTTGTTCGTGCCTGAGACTTATCGTGAGTTGACCGTGGAGGGTGCGCCCCCTGGATTAGCTCCTGACGGCTGACGTGTGCGGTACAGATCCGATCGTCCTTCGAACTAAGGCACGCAAGATCCGAAAAGAGACAGGTGACGAGCGCTGGAAGGCCCCGGTCGAGAAGATGACAAAGTCCGTCATCAAGACCATCGGCATCTCGCTGATGCGGCCCTTCCAGCTGCTCTTCTTCGAGCCCATGGTCCTCAACCTCGACATCTTCTCGGCCATTCTCCTGGGTATCTTGTATCTCTTCTTCGGCGCGTTCCCGCTCGTCTTCACCAACATCCACGGTTTCAACCTATGGCAAGTTGGCCTGACTTTCATGGGCATCCTTGTTGGCATGTTCCTTGCCGCCGCGACTGACCCCCTGTGGCACCACATCCGCGGTCAGCTCATGGCCAACCTGGAGAAGGAGACGGGCGTCGAGGGCGCCAGCGAGCCGGAATTCCGACTTCCCCCAGTCATCTGCGGCGCCTTCTTGTGCCCGATTGGCATCTTTTGGTTTGGATGGAGCCTTCATGTGCATTGGATAATGCCCGTCATTGGATCTGCCATCTTTGGAGCAGGGTAAGTCAGCATCTCGTTTCGCACAGCATCGCAAGCATGGCCCAAAGTTGGAGAAAGGCCCGTGGTTCCGCAGCATCCACATCGTGCTGCGGTGACAAGACATGTCCGTGGTCGCGTCAAGCAGGTTTCTGCAGGTTCATGTGTGCTCGCGCATGCTCTCGGCCGTTGGGCAGTCTTTGTCAGGCATTACGGGCCGCAGCGTGGTCTTGTTTTGTCCCAACCTGTTTGCAGAATATGCAGCTGACCGCGTCAATGTGCTACAGAACCCTTCTTGTTTTTACTGGCATCTTTACATTCCTTGTAAGTGTAGCCGTCTCGCTGCCAGCTCCCCGCCTGTGGCGTTCCAGGGGTTTGGAATCATTCTCAGGACCGGGAGTTACACCACAGAACTGTGCTAAAGTTTGGACTCACAGGTCGATGCTTATCCCTTGTACGCCGCCTCGGCCCTCGCAAGTAATGCCTTTGTTCGATGCATGTTTGCTGGTGAGTAACCTGGTGGCACCAATACTCATAACCACCCGGCTGGGTGGTGTCATATCTCGCTCTGTGCTGACTCGGATGCCTTCGACAGCTGCTTTCCCATTGTTTGGAACTCAAATGTATAACAAGCTCGGATATTCCTGGGCTTCGTCGTTGCTTGCTTTCTTGACGGTAGCCATGCTGCCGTTCCCATTCATCTTCTTCAAGTACGGCAAGAAGATCAGGGGTCGCAGCCGATTCGCCACGCGTGCCTAAAAAGGAAGAGCGCCAGAAATTGACAAAGGCGCGGACAGCGATTGACGAGCGGGCCGAATCGACGAGAGATCCAGCGGCTGCCGCTGAAGGATTTCAGACATGAACGGCACCGCACAAACTTTCCACATTGGTCTGGAGGGCTAACAGCGGCTAGCTGGCCCTGAATGGTCGACAGTGTTGCGTGCAGCCTTGTTGCTGCTGTTGTTTTTGCTGGTGCATACACACAATGCGCGCGCCCCTGACCCGTCCGGCCGAACAAGGATGCCGTCCGGCGTTATTGGACGACTGGCAAGCGGAAGCCTGAGAGCAGTAGATGCGGCTGTTGATCGCAACGATCGTCATGAGGTGACGACAGTAGCCGTCTGCAAGAGGCCAGATGCTCGGGCTATCATTGAATGAATAGCGTCAGGCAGGCATGTCGACAAGGCAGAGGGTGACGCCGCATAATGCAGCGAATCGAAGGGCTGCCAATGACGGGCAAGAGGGTTTGGATGATTTGGTGCTCACATGCAACGAGATACCCCCAGTGGTTGCTGGACTGCAGATAGATAAAACAGACCGACGCTCGGCACGTCGGCTAGACCAATGTTAATGCAATGATACCATAACAGAGCTTGAGCGAACAACGCCCGGGTTTTACATTCAAAGGCGAAGCTGTTGCTGGTGCCCTGTCGGCCTCGGCCTGGCTCTAGGCTGGCACGGCGGGCTGGACACCTGGGTGAACGTGTAGATCGTATTGGATCTCACATGCAGCACGGGAACAGTGAAAATGCCAGATGTCCAATAGTGTGGCTTGCAGCTGCGTCGTTAACGTAATGCTGTGCAACGGATTTGGGCTGTAATTGGCAAGACGACAAGGGTATCCAAGGGCCAAGGGAAGGAAGACAGAGGCGGGTGGTCATTTGTTAGTAATAAGCGTTGGGTTTCGGATTTGATGAGATTTTGATGAGATTAGAAGAGGTTGACATAAGAGCAGGCCGTGGGTGAGGTGAATTGGTCAAGAAACAAGACGTGGTCAGGCCAACCTGGTCCACGTTCATGTTTGGTTTCTGCGAGAGGACCGTTTGTTGCTCGGATTGAGTCTGGGCCCGAGTTGCCTGCCACTCTGCATGCGCACAGGTGCAGTTTCTGCAGACGCAGCGGCAGGCGGCAGGCGGCAGGTCAAACCTACCTCGCCTCAAGGCAAGGAAACCTTGAAGATGTACCGAGGACAGATGAAAGCGAGGTCCTTCTTATCCTCTCACCCTCAAAGCAAAACTCGCATGGCTCTGGCACTCTGCAGGTAATTTAAAGGCTCTTCCAGCACATGGGCGACTGCACAGTCTCTGGCAATGACAGAGTCAAATAGAGTATCAGGTACTTCAGCCCTGGGCGTCTGTGGCTCCCATATTTCGTACCAGTTTCCGTCCTTTTCAGGTAGCCGATACATGGAATACATGGTGGGTCGTTGGGCTGGTACCCATATAAACCGCCCACATGCCTACTCGGTTGGCGAATGACAGACCTCGCATTTTCTCCAAGAGAAACCCCGCAGCCCAGCAAAGCAAATCTTTGACCAACGGCAGCGAGGCTGGGGGGAGCGTTCGTCCTCACTGGCTGTATGTGTGCGCGCGTGTGTGGGTGGTACTTTGCCTGTCTCTCTCCTTCGCTCTCTCTCTCTCTCGTTCATTGTCAGCTCCGAAGACGAAACCTCCTCGCGTGCTCCTCTTCCACCCGACCGAGGATAAACATCGTGACCCCAAAAATCCCCGATCCCGACCCCGACAACGACGTCTTCCGCTCAATTGCGCCGCCGCGACATCGACTCCGAATTGCGAATGCGATCCCCCCCACAAATACTGCTTGCTGCAAAGTAGTCGTCGACTTTCGCCTGCGTCTCCATGCTTCGTTCCTACAAGCACAAGGGCTACGGCTACCTGCAGACACCACGCTTGCTGTCGACCTCTTAGAACCTCCGTCACATCACCCCGGCTCAAAGCCGCCGCCAGCCCTCGATCAGCCCCCCCTCGACCCTGTCCCCCGTCCTCGTCTCCGTGACCTCATGTGGTCCGCGACGCAAACTCCGGTCTCGAGACGACTGCGCCAACTATCGAGTCCTAGTCCTGCCGTGCCGAGCACGTCGCACAAGGAACGCCTCTTTTCACTCCACCAACTCACCATTGGAGATTCCTGACTGCTGAGGATACGAACTTCAGGAGGCCCAAGACTTGCCCGCTCAATCCCACTTGCGTTGCCCTGCTTGTAAGCCGTCTGCCGACGTGCGGCGCAACTGGAAAGAAGGGAGATAACAAGACTCTCCCATACACGTTGCGGCAGCGTACAGCACCTAATTCGGGCCCTGTTTCTGCTATACCACGTCGACGCGGGAACCAGTATCAGGCTCGAATCCTATTCGCAAACCCGAACCTGCCCTTGCGCACCTAGGTCCTGAGGACACCAAGCCACACCGGTGCTGCACTTCAGACTGTGTGCCTCCACCAGCCCAGCCAGGCCCCCGCCGTGTGCTACTCGCCTCCAACCGCAGGAGGATTTTCCCAATACATTTCCTATACTGCAACGCCTGCCCAGCGCGATACCAAGCCAGGCTAGGATAGGCCACGTACGTTTGAAAGTGAGCTGTGTGGTTTCGCAAGCATAGCATCAGGGAGATTCCTAGACCGGGTCTTGCAGTACGGTACCGTCACTGCACCAGCTCTTACGCTGTTGTCGCTTGTTTCTTTCTTCTTTTGCCGAGGGGAGGCTTGTATATAAACCCAAGACACCATGCCGGACGGCCTCGAAGACACCGGGGCAGAGGCCTCGGATGCCATGTCAGATAATGACCACGAGTACGACGACGACACGCCCGTAAAAGACGACGACGACGAGAAGATGGCCGAATCCCACGAGAGCGGCGCCGACACTAACGGCGAGGTCAAGAAGAAGTACGATCCCAAGGATCCTTCACGACCGAGGAGAAAGAAGGCTCGCCGGGCGTGTTTCGCTTGCCAACGAGCCCATCTGACTTGTGGTAAGCTCCACCTGATTCCTCAGGGTCCGGCTCTCGATAGTCTCTGGTCAAGTGAATGCTTGTGAAGTCTTGTTCCACTCTGCTTTTCTCTCTTTTTCTCTAGCCCCCTTAAGTAGGGGTCATCACTACCTGCCCCACTCGTATGGCTGCCTGCCGTACAAGCTTGCTGATGTGATGGCTACAGGAGATGAACGACCTTGTCAGCGATGTATAAAGCGTGGACTCGCAGACGCTTGCCAGGACGGTGTCCGCAAGAAGGCAAAGTATCTTCACGATGCTCCGCCTGAGGCTCTCAGGCCCGTATTGGGTCCCAACTTCAACCCAACGGCGGCCCCGGCCCGTCCCAACGGCCAGCGGAATAACAGCGGGGTTTCGGATACGGCCTCGACCTCCGGTAGCACGTACTTTGGTCAGACCTCGACGGCATCCTTCCCCGTCTACTCGGCACAGCAAACACCCGTCGGGATTCCCGAGAGTCTCCCGTTCCAGACGCAACCTTCACCTATATCGCCCTCATTCCCACAACCGGGCAACAACGCGCGGACCATTGGCGGCATGATCTCACCACAGGTCGCTAACGACCCCTTTAATACGTTGTTCGACCCGAGCAATCCAGCAATCTTCAACTTTGATCTGGAAGGGCTCAACTTTGGCAGCCAATACGGCGCCATGGAGTTTGGCATGCTCGGACACATGTCGTCAGGCGCGGCGGAGACCCCGCCGCGCGACGGCTCCTTATCCGGACCGGGCGGTGAGGTCAACTTCGGATCCACAAACGTGTTTAGCAATGGCAACAATCAGTTTGGCCAAGTCTACGATAGCGGTATGATCAACGATTTCATGGGTATAGACCAGTCTTCCAACGGCATGTATCAACAAGGCAATTTGCAACATGGCCTTCCACATGCCTACGCCATTGCTGCCGGCCCAACAAGCCTACATAGTCCAAGCACAGACAACACCGCCAGCCCGCAACCTACTAACTTTACCTTTGAAGGATCTCCAAGTGGAAACTTTGGCGCCGTTGGAAACTCCCAGACCATAACCGCCGCGAATCGCCCCAAATCCAAGCCTGGACCGGCCCAGAAGAGCGGGCCGCATACACTCCTGGGCAAGCGGCAGCGCGACCCATCATCCATTTACGAGACTGTCAAGGAGCCATATCCATACCTGGCCGGCTTCCATGCGCTCATTGACTACCTGCCAAAACGCTTCTCCGCCAACCGGACATTACGCATCGCCAAGGCGCTCGCCAGTATTCGCCCGTCGTTCATCGCCTGCACCAAGACGCTTAGCCGACAGGATCTCATCTTTATGGAGAAGTGCTTCCAACGGACCCTGTTTGAGTACGAGGAGTTTATGCATCACTGCTCCGCACCCACCATTGTTCTCCGCCGCACGGGCGAGATCGCCGCCGTCAACAAGGAGTTCATTGCCCTGACTGGGTGGACCAAGGACGTCCTCCTAGGAAACGAGCCCAACATGAACGTCAACACCGGCGGGGCGGGCTCAACAACAAACAGTGGCCGCAACACCGGCCGCGCAGGCTTGTCGACACCCAAGGCACACTCTGCAACGCTCGAGCAGCTCAAGAACGAGGGCGGCTCGCGCAAGCAGCCCGTCTTCATCGCCGAGATTCTCGACGACGACAGCGTCGTCGAGTTCTACGACGACTTTTCGCACCTCGCGTTCGGCGACAGCCGCGGCAGCGTCAACCGCACGTGCCGGATCCTCAAGTATCGCACCAAGGAGCAGGTGGAGGCCGCGGGGTCAACGGACATGGCACCGCAGCAGGACCCGCGCAAGAGTATACTCAGCAACCGCGTTACCCGCATCGACGGCGAGCACGGAATCTCCAAGATTGAGAAGGACGGTAAGGTGGACTGCCGGTATTGCTGGATGATTAAACGAGACGTATTTGATATCCCCATGTTGATTGTGATGAACGTGAGTGCCCCCGCCCCCATGTTTGTGTGCCTCGAAGTCACTGACAACCCAAAATAGTTTCTTCCATGCTATTACCAGAACAAAGAATCGCATGGCCTGGCAGTGTAAATCGGAGACGTAGAAAAAAAGGGGTGATCAGGGCATATATGAAGGGAGGGGGCATGGGAGGCGTTATTTTGGGGTTTGAATCGGGATCTTCTTTTCTTCCCGCTAGCAATCGAGACATGGCTTTTCCCTTTGACAGGGAGGCCGGGATAGGGCGCATCTCTGGGTCATGATTCATTCATATTCATCGGTATCCCACATATTTCATTTCAGCCACACCCTCTGCGGGGGGGGGGAAAGGACATGACCTTATGGTCCTCTCCTTTCTATTGGACAGAGACAGATTCTTTTTTACTTTCAAATGGTTACTACTTCTTTGTTTCTTCTAAATTCTACGCTTCAACTCAGCTGTGCTCTATGGAAACATCATGATCACGGGGGCGCGAGGGCAAATGGGCGTTCAGGCCTTGGGTAGCGGCTCGACGAGCCACTTTGCGTCCAACACGCCGTCCGTCTCGGCACCGGGTCTCAGGGTCTTGGGCGGCGCCCAGGCCTTGCGGTCGAGCGAGTTGCGCGCGACGTCGCAGTCGGTGTTGATGTCGGCGACCAGGGCCTCGAGGCTCTTGTAGTCCTTCTCCTCACGGACGAAGCCGAGGATCAGGAGGCGCATGTGGGCGTCGTAGAAGTCTGCCGAGAACTTGTGCAGCACGTGGACCTCGGCGGAGCGGACCGTGTTCTTGTAGAAGGGGTTGTAGCCGATGGACATGACCATGGGGTACAGCTGGAACTCGAGGTGGGGCTGGGCCGGGCCGGCGCCGGAGGACGGGGGCGGGGCGACGCGGTCTGGGTGCGAGGCGGGGAGGGAGAGCGAGGCCCAGCCAAAGTAGACGCCGGATTTCGTGGTGTCTATCCAGGGGGTCTGGGACGCGTCTACGGGGAGGTTTGCGGTTGGGATTCCGAGCTGTGGATCAGGGGACGGGCGTTAGCGGCGCGGGTCTTGTGAGGCTTCTCGTGTCGAGCACGAGCCGGAGTGGGTGCCGCGCGGGGTGTAGTATATGCGTGGTGAAGAATGAGGCGTTCGTGCATGCCGTGAGAGACGTTGGCGAGGATCGATAGTGACTGACCTCCTTGGACCCCCGGCCGAAGCCGGAAATCACCTTGCCCTCCATCTTGAGCGGGAAGGGGGCCTCAGGACCGGAGTCCGGGCCGACGATGAGAGGGCGTGTCGTCTCTTCTGCCATCTTTCCTTGTTTTATGAGTGCTGCTGTTTGAGCGGTATGCTACTGTGTTGAGAATTGCTAGCCGTGCTGATTAATCCACTTGAGTGAGATTCGCTGTCACGGTGTTAGCAAAGGTCCTTCCGCGCAACGGTGTACAATGGGGCTTACAAACACTGTGAGTTGCAGTCGGGAGACCGGTTTTCAGCCGCGTGACTGTCGCGGGAAGATGGAGGTTGCTAAGTGAGAATCCAGGCGCAAAGGTTGTGAGAGATTGTGAGAATTGGGGGATGGCGACATGGAGTGGTGAGTCGCCGGCCGATGAGATGTGGTGGGGCTGGACGATTTGATGGAGGGGTCGACGGCGGGCTGTGATTCGGGCAACTTCGATAAGGCTCTGGCCGTCGTTATCAAGCCGAAGGAGCGGGAGGGGCGCCTGGGCAGGCACCCTTTTTTCCCTGGCGATTGAGTGTGGTGGGGGTTTCTTGGTGCAGCGCGGGAGCACACTTCGGGGATGTGGGTCAATCCAACCCGATCCTCTTGGGGAAGGACGAGCCGGCTGTCGGAGGCTGCCGTGTGACAATGCATCATCAGAACACTGGCGTTCAACTGTTCTCGTCCAATACTTGGCGACATCGTCCCGTGTACGATTTCAACATGCGGAGAAGCTCTTTTCGACTCCGACAAAAGGATAGTGATTTTTGGTATAATTTACTAGGGAGATACAAAAGCAAATCTCTGCTGCCTGGGCATAGCCGTTTCTGGTCTAAAGATAGTGGGTAGTATTTCGTACAGGAGGGATATCAACAAATTTCAATAAAACCAAAAAGCTATCGACAGGGACATCCACGAAAAGGGAGAAGCGGGAGGGCGGACTTCTCGGTACAGCCGAATCAGCTTCTGCGAAGAACCATAAAGCAACCTCATCCGTCCAAGAGGGGCGACATCGTCCCACCGCACCAAACAAGCGTCTTCGAGTGCATATGCCACTTAGCCTTGCCATCGTGACCGTGACGATCCTTTGTGTCTGTCGTAGCTACGGGCCAAGCTGCGATTGGGTTCGAGAACCCCTCGCCGGCGCCATGTCATGGCGGAGAAAACACTCTGCGAGACGAGACACCCGCGGTTGTTCAACAGGTAGAACACTTTCGAAGGGCCGCATGACCACATCGTATTCGGGCGATGGCAGCAACCGTCCCCTAGCCCAATCTCTACGCCTCCGTGTCACCGCACCGTTCCACCGACTCACTCAACATCCGCCCGGAACCTAAGAGCGGGGCCAAGGGCCGTGCTTCCACTCCGTCCGTCCAAGCCGCACAATCTCGGCGGCGCTAATCTCCCATACACCGGCTGGCGCCTTGCCCTGCTCCACAAGGATGGCTGCGTGCACGGCAGCGCGGGCAATGACCTCGGCGTCCTGGCCAATACTATCCTGGATGTTGCGGCTGACCATGCCGAGAGTCTTGATGACACTCTGAAATATGCCCTCGGCGGCACGGCCCTGCTCACGCTGACCGAGGATCAAACCGGGCTTGAGAATGATGCCGTGGTCGAAGCTGGCCTCCTTGATCGCGTCCTCGACGCCGTTCTTCATCTTGCTGTAAGGCGCCTGGGCCGCGAGAGCGCTGCGGGTGCCGGCGCTCGAGATGAAGATGAAGGCCTTGCTGCCGGCGGCCTTTGCGGCCTTGACGAGCTCGACGTTCAGGTCGTGGTCAATCTTCCACTGCTCAGCGATGCTGCCGGCGGCAGCACGCGTGGTACCGAGGGCGGAGATGACGACGGTGGGGATCGGCTGCAGGGCGGCCAGCTTGGGTGGCCAGGCCGAGGTGTCCTTCTCGATGATGGGGTTGAGGGTCAAGCCGCCAGCCTTGGGCGGGCGGCGCGAGATGGTGTTGACGGTGGCAAAGGCCTCCGAGGTGATGAGGTTCGTGAGGATGTGGGACCCGACGAGGCCGGTAGACCCAATGACTGCGGCTGGGTGCGCCATGGTAGAGAGGAAAAGAGGTTTAGTGCGACGGTAGCTTTGAAGAAGCAGGTGCCAGCGGTGCAATGGCAAAAAGGAAGAATAGGACGATTGATTCGACGACCCGGCGGCTTGGTATTTGTCAAAGATGCCTTGGAATTGTCTGTGATGCTGCAGCTGTCGGCGGGCTTTTCCTGTCTGTGTGTGGGAAAGGAAAGAGAAGAAGAAGAGAGAAGAGGCGCGAGAGCAAGATGCAGGAAGTCCGTGGGATATGTTGAAGCGGGCTTTATGAGAACTTGTTGCTTGCCTCTTCGTGTTCAAGGACTTGACCTCTGCGTTGTCTGTGTGTTTTTGGTGAGACAGGGCCGTGAGGGGGTGCGACGAGGCAAGAGGAGGGGAATGGCGGATTTGGGCAGCAAGAGGAGAGCTGAATAATGCGAACGAGCGGGATGCTTGCTCGTTCACGGGCTGGAACTGAGAGAGGAGGAGGATTGTCGAGCAGTGTTCCCGGGAGATGACGAAAGGCTGCCTGTGGTGACTTGATGTTGGCACCTGCACTTACACTGGAGACGACGGCTGAACCGGGATGGGACTGGATGAGGAGGTGGAGTGGCTGAGAAAATCACTGCATTGAAGAAGGGACGGTTTGGGGGGAAAGTTGGAACGGTGTACTTTTTAAGCTCGGACAGGGAGGTCGGAGCGGGTTTCTACATGACGGTCCCAAACTTCTCTCGCAGCTCTCTGCGTGGCTCCACCTTAGACGGCGATGTTGGCCGACCCAGTGTCGCTACGCCCGATCTCGTCATGCCCGCCTGTTCCGCGTCTGCCCTTCTCTTTTGGCAGCTAGGCAGTCTGCGGACAGCCGTTGCGGAATCCTCCTCCTCCATCACCCTTCAAGGTTGCCCCCCGCTCGCGACCTTCCTCCTTGGTCCGATCGGGCCCCACCTTAGGTTCGCGAGTCTCGTCTTCGTCAGTGTCTCTGCCTCACCTTGTCCCAAAGACGCACTTACTACGTACATCGAGTGTGAACTATCCGGTAAAACAACCTCGCATGAATGAAGGAATCTATGCACGATCAGTCATGACTAGCATATTCGGCCTCGGCATCTAGGGCTTTCTAGCCTGAATGTCCCTGGTGCCGGAGCACCTCTCGGAACATCAAGGCACGAAGGCGCGACCAACGAAACGTGTTGAAGATGATGAGCATCTGCAGCGTGATAGATGCTGCCAATGCACCGGACAGAGGTGGAAAAATGGTAATCTGCGACAGCTTCCCTAAGGCACCTTACTCATGTAAACTCCGCATTGCACGGAGAGCTCGGCGGTGGGGGGGGTTCGCTACCTTATCGCCGGGATCCTGCTTCCATCGCCGCAATGTTTGATACTATATATACCTTGGTACGCCTATGGCTAGTGGGTTCTTCGTTCCGGCTGGTTGAAGCACCACCACTTAGGTAGGTTTGGAAACGAACTCTCTACTACACAGAGGTACTTTGCAAGCCTCCGAGCCATGGTCATGCCAAGGTCGCACAGAGATATGATGTTAGGCTCCAACTCGAGTCAAACATGGTCAAAACGATCTGCTGTGGTGGTTCTTTTCGGTGATAAGATGATGTGCGGACGCTCCGCCCGTCCTCCACCAACGCGGAACCCATAGCGGAATTTCACCAATATTCGGCTTCCCCGATTACTTGGACACTTTGAAGAGAACTGATCAGCTTGTGGGAAGGATTCCGCAGGACTAGAAGTCATTCACATAACGGCAACAGTACTGGTGGGCCACTGCCATATGTAATGCAGCAGACTCTCATCCTGGGCACCGTCGGCCGACCCAGAGGAACTGATGGAGGTTTGGGTCAGATCAGCCACGGGCAGAAGGTCCAGGTGTAAGGTGTGAGGTGCGGTGAGGCGAGCCGTCCGTCCGCTGGGACAGCCACACCAACGCGGGGTGCTGATCCCTGCATCTGCTTTCTTTTTGCGGCGCACCTGCGCTAGAAGCTCCCCTCCTTTCCACTACCGGTAACCCCTCACCTCAGGCCCTCTCCACTGACCGAACTTGCGACACCAACGACTGCCTAGCCACATCATCGCCGCAGCCTCATCCTGGCCTCCCCCAAAACGCTGCACCACACCTCGACCTCGACTTCGATCTCCGAAAGAGTCTCACCTTTGATTTCAATCCTCACGATCCTGCGTCGCTCCCAACAAGCCGTAGCAGCCGCACAATCGTCCACAATGGCTACGCAATACGAAGGTGAGCAAAACCCTCCTCTGTTCACATGTCTCCCATCCCACAAACTCAACCACCCACCCCGTCATGCGTCCTCTGACTAACAAACCTCCCCCCTCCCAGTCGAGCACAACATCAAGCCCGGGCCCTCGACCCAGGAGGGGACCCGCCGCATCGACATGTCCTCCTTCACCTCCTTCCTCACAAACCTCACCACCACCGACGCCCCGTCCACGGCCCGCCACACGAACCCGCACGCGACGCCGACCCCCGTCGATGCCGCCGCTCTCTACCACCTCCTCCAGCAGCAGTTCCAGACCCTATTCTCCACGGCCCCCAACGCCGACAACGCCCGGTTCCTGTCCGGACTCGTCGAGGCTCTCGAGAGCGACATCGCTAGCCCGCCCACCGAGATCCCCGGCGTCTCGCAGGAGTACCTCGACTCCCTCGACCGCGTCTCTAAGAAGGCCCTCGGCAAGGACGAGGCGTGCCCGATCTGCGCGGAAAAGTTCTTGGACGACCAGTACCCCCTCGTCGTCGAGCTGCCGTGTCACAGCAGCCACCGCTTCGACCTCGAGTGCGTGAGCCCCTGGCTGCGCAGCAAAGGCAGCTGTCCTATGTGCCGCAAGGACCTGACCAAGAAGAAGGAGCAGGTCGTCGTGCCGGACGACGACGAGGAGAATGATGATCCCGATGGACTGTATGCGTAGGTCGGGTGTGCGATCTGGGTATAATTGTGGAGGGAAAGCATGAGAGGCGGTGGGCTCGGGTCCGGCAAACAGGCAAACGGAGGACAGAAGCCGCGGAAGGGGTCCGGAGTTTGGCTGGAGTTGGGGGGCAGCATTTGATACCCCCTTTTGATTTTCACGGCGGACGTACAAAACAAAAACAACCAGAGGCAGCCTAAACCTATGCCCTCATGTATCCTCAATGGGGTCTCATGCATTCAATGTCGAGACGGGAACGCCATACTCTCCTCCCAGCCCGATGCCGATGATACTAGTACATGCCATCCCTCCTGTCCATCGATCCCCCCATGCCGTTTCCCTCCTCTCCCTCCTCTTAGAAAAACAGAACCGCCTCGCCCCGGAACACCAGCATCGCGCGCGCGGCGTGCTCAGACGCTCCCAGCCTTGGCCGTGCTCGACCCGCTGCTCTTGCCCCCCTTCCTCGTCTCCCTGCCCGCGCCGCCGTCGCCGTCGGCCTTGTCGCCCTGCGGTTTGGACGCGGCCTGGTTCGCGCCCGAGACGTCGAGGACGTGGCCGTCGGCCTCGCCCTTCTCGGAGCCCGGCCGCGTCGTCGACGGGTCAAAGGCCCCCTTCTCGTGCGCCACCTCCGAGTCCCGCCCCGTCTTGGTCCCCTCGGTGCCGCCCGGCTTCAGCGACTCGCGGTCCTGCGAGTCCTTGTAGGCGTACCCCCTGGCCGCGGCGCCCGTGAACCTCCTCGTCGTGGTGGCGGGGACGGCTGCGGAGGACGGCCGCGCGGCGGCGGCGCGGAGGTTGAGGGTGCGGAGGGCGCGGGATGCCATGTTTTATAGGTTGGCGGTGGTTTGGTGTGGTGTTTTTGGATGGTACAAGTTCGGCTGCCGTGGTTTTGTCTCTTGCCTGTTTTTATTCTCGAGTGGTATGCTCAATTTCGTTCAATTGACTGTTTCGCTGGCGATAGAAGATTTTGTTCAAGTAAGGAGAAGGGTAAGCGTTAATGTGGTCGTCATAGTTGATGAGGGAGCAGAGCTCCGTCAAGATGGCTCTCACACCGATTCGGTGACGTCATCCATACGTGCAACGATGGACGGACTTTGACAGGTGCGGCCTGTGGCATCTGGCGTGCTTTACCCCAGATTGTCATCAATTCATCATTCTTATTTCCACTACAGTGGTTTTTTCTAGAAAAGCAAGCCCTTCCCCGTTTACCAACCAAACAGAGTCTGTGACAATGTATGCAGTTTCTCGCAAGGGTGTTCTCCCTGGTGATCGATGTGTTGCCCTCTTTTCTCTCTTCCTCCATCCCTCTCTTCGGGGCCGTCAGGAGCTCAGGTGTGGCGTCTGTAGGTTGCTAGCGAATCACTGGCTGTATCTGAGTATCTGCTGATCAGTTCCTTACCCAGAAACATGGCGGTGTGCCAAAGGCACTGAGCATTCCCTCATTCCTTTGAGACCTTCGGCATCCCGATCCCTTTGGGCCCCGTCCCTATTTCGTTACGGCCGAGTCGGTACGCATGCCAGTTTCCGGAGATGCTGCATTCGGCCATCGGGCTGGACGCCTCATGAAGCCAAGAAGGGGTTGTAATTGTCGCATTGTCTGAATTCCATCGGCCGTCCGTACAACTCGGTCGAGGAACGTCACTGGCGCGACTGGATTGGCCAACTCGTAAGTCCAAGTTGGACCCCGCTCCTTTCATGAGATTTTCGAGACACTCAGGATGGCACGCTGGTGAGAATACTAAGGGAACCCCTCGAATTGCATGCCTGCCTGCCTGCCTGCTTGTTTTCTCTAGCCTTGGCCATTCCTATCTCTCTAGCATGCCCTTTTTCTTGTAACCTGTTCTCTTCAACTTCCTTAGTTCCTCTGAAGATTACCATGCAGGAAAAACGACAGCAAGGGAGAGAGATGGTAATGAAAAGGGCATCACGCCCGTCTAGTTTTGTTCTTATTTGCGCGGGCAGTTGGGACCAGTAGTCAAGGCCGCGATGCCATGTTTGGTTTGGGTTGCATGCCGAGCCAGACATGCCAATGCTCTGAATGTACCAATAGCCACTACGCACCTGCTGTGTTGAGTGAAAAGGTTTGGTTGTTGAACTGATGCCCCCGACATCTCTGACCGCTCCAGGAAATTGCACGACATCTGGAAGCCACCTCCTTTGTTGGGAATGACTGGTCTAGAATGACACATCGCAATCTCGACGCTGCTTGCTGGCTGGCTCTGTAGAGCTAGGTCTCGGTCTCGGTTCCGCAGTACTTAGAGGTGTAGATCTCGGCCGAAGCGAATCTTGAGACTAGCTGTGCGTGATTCGCCGGGTGGCGCGGAATGGTCCGCATAGACGGCTCCGGAGTCAGTTGGCCAACAGACTTGCATTCTTCCGACGCTTAGGTCGTACGGCGACTAGGAATTTGGGGCAATTCGGCGCGTCTGTGTTTCTTTCGCGTCTGTATCCCATGGAAAAGGGCAAGCCACGATCGTTGGCCCCTTCCACATAAACTAAGCTGGTATTTGTCCCAAGACAACGTCATGTCCTGTGATGCCCCCGTAATGCGAGAGGCCTTGCCCGAGACCTTACTGCTCGTGTGTAATCCTGGCCCAACAGAAACAGGAGGCGGCACAGCGCCGATGCTTTCTCCCGCAGTTTGAGGTTGCACGCGACAACGCTTGTTGCCCGTCTCTCGATCATGCGCAGCGCCGATTTGACACTCTGGGAAATGAGACTCAGATTCTGAACCCTGCCAGCCCATTCAGCCAAGTCGCATCTTCGCGGTACATGCAATGCAATGCATAACCACTGCTGGCCAGTGCGGTCATTTCGTTGGAAACCAATCTTCTGCAGTCCTGTCGCTAAGGAACTCTTGCGGCATGCAATACCGCCCGCCCAGTTGGGCCTCCAGCTCACAGGAGTGAGCCAAATGTTGTGTCTGTCAATGGCTGGGGCCTTGAAGCAAGCCGAACTGATCCTAGGGTTGGTAAGTCGGGCAATGGAATTCTTTGAAGAGGGTAAGTTCTAAACAAGCATTTCGAGGGAACATGCCGTCTTCTGACTGGTATGAATGGGGGATCGGCATGCTACTCTCTCGACGAGACAAGCAAGGTAGGTTGAGCGGCCGGTTGCATGACCTTGAACCCAATCCCCGCCGCATGCCATTCATTGCTGCGTTTGTGGGAGCTTGCGTACCCTTCCAATATATCTAGACCGGCTTGCTGCACGACTCACTGCTCCCTAGCCACGCGCGTCGATACTTTGGAGTAGCGAAGCATGTCGTGCTGCGGTATGCGGGTATGGTGGTCTTAACACGATCACCAGGCGTCGTTAGCTTTGCGCTTGTCAATAGCAACACCTGCGTTTCAATTGTGGAAGGTGAGCAAGGTTTTCTCGCAATGATAACGGGGGATGTCAAAATGAGACTGCTGGTGGACGCATCCAGACGTCGTCAGAAAGTCAGTGACATCCTAGGAACTCGAGGGGCCATATTATTAACCCCTGAACATGGGCCTGCCAGACTAGGCGGAAAACCCGACCCTCGCGGCAGTCTTGTTTTGGGTTTGGTTGTGATCTGCAGGATCAGCAGCGTTGAGCAGCGAAAGCCTGCGCGTGCAGCCCACCGCAGCGTTGTTACTGGCGGAGAGCGGTCAGGCAAGCCGCGACAGCTGGACTGCCTGGAGACTGTCAGCAAAAGGTATTATCGATTGTGAAATATTAGAAAAAAAGGGGGAATAAAGGATCGTGTCGTGTGTTTGACACGGAGATGACCGGCGATGGATGCTCGCAGGTCCAGTATGATCCTCCAGTCGGAGCTTCTGAAACGAACCTGCAAAATTTGAGATGATCTTTGCGTAGGTCGGGAATTCCATGTCATTGTCGATGCTTATTCGTTCGTATGTAGACTCAACCTTTGTCACTTGGAGATGCGCGGTCTCGAAACTCGAATTCAATAAACAAGACATCTATTTTTGGTCTAGGTAATGGAGAGGTGTGGCTTTTGCTGTTGATTGTAAACGTCTCGACGTGTGCTTGTTTGACATGCGTGACGGAGCGTGGCGCTGAGCGGAAAGCCAGTCTGTTTTCGTTTCTTTCCCCCGACAGCGGTGTCCATTGTAACAGTGTCTCGAGTTTAGCTGACGTCCGCACAGGGTCTCCTTGGGACCCGCGTGGCACAGTACATTGACGGGAAAGAGACGAGTCGCTAATCTGGGACGGCAGGAAATCTAAGGGCAGAATCTTTCCAGAACACCGCACAATGTTCCTCGCGTTCCACATGGGCTTCGCGTCTCGGATCGGTCCAGCCGTGCGTGCGCTTCGTTGGCAGGCGGGACGACCATCCGTCAAAAGCGGGGCAAGCCGTGGTGGCGGTGATCGTGGTGGCGGTCGGCCGATAGTCGAGCAGCACATCCAATGCGCATGTGGTGTTCGGAACTACTGTACAGAGAGTTTCGAGACGTGCCTGGCAATGAAGCTGATGCGCAAGCCTCGGACAGCAATTATGCATTCGAGAAATTGTGGAACAGGCCGGGTTCCCTAGGGGTAGACCTGATGCTGACGGGGCCTACTAAGAAGTTATACGCGCTGATGAAGATATTTCTTGCATGGTTTAGTTGGACCCACGAGTCGTTAGAGGGGCGGCCCAGTCCCCTAGAATGGATTAGATGATGGATCATACAAGCGACGGTGGAGCGCGGAGTTTTTGACGATAACTCCAAACCGGTTTGATAGAAGGCCCCGGTTGCGAAAAGGGCGACTGCCGACCGCAGAGGTAGGTTTGACCGTTTTCCCTCGTGATGGTCGGTGTCAGTCAGACGTGCGGCAGAAAGGCATAGGCCGAGCTGTAGAGAGTCAGAAAAGTCGAGGTAAAAGAATGCGCCATGACATTCTCCGCACGTGGTGGGCAAGGATTTCGAATCGACTTGCCGCCGCCAGCTGGTCTAATTGCCCCGAATCCGGCAAAACCACTGTGCGCCGCCCGTTTGCAGGGCAGGATACAGCGAGAGGTGGTAGCGTCCCTTGCATCCGTCCTTTTTGTGATTCAGCTTGCAAAGAGGCAGGAAGACGCTAGTTTGACACTGGGTTTCCATGTCTTGCCAGGTTCGTGATTCCCAGCGCTGTGTTCTCGTATCCCGCAGTGGATCTAGACGTGCGGTCAAGATCCATGGTACTGTTGTTCAAGCAGAGGGCAAGTGTCTTGGTGGCTCGAGTTCCTGGGAGATTTCTGGTAACAAAGGCGAACCACGGTGCGTCTTCCCATACCTGGGGAGCTTCGTAAGCCTGTGACGCGTGGTATGACAATGAGCCGCTTTGTTAGCCATGGCTTGCACCGACGGCATCGAGATGCGTAGCGGACGAGGCAAAGAGGCCGAAAAGCTGGGCAACGGAGTGAGTTGGAAGGACTCGGCCGGCGACTAGCCAAGGCCCGTCCAGACTCAGGGTGGTTTACCGGCGGTTGGCCTCGTGGCCGTGACATCTTGGTTGGAGTGCTTGGCTTAGCACGACACGACATGGGTCTGGGAGCTGGCTCGCCTCCAACCTGCCCTCTTTTCATAGCCACCGCAGCTATATGTAGCTGGTTGGCAAACGACCTGCTGAGGCTTGACGGAATCATTTTAGTTTCTTCCCAAGTCTGCCTGGCCAGTGCATTGGAGCCTGTCTTTTTCGGGAAGGCTTGCCCCCCCCCCCCCCCCAATCCGTCCAGTGACCAGAACGTAGGCGTTCGGTAGCCGACAGTCTAGATGCGGCCGGCTTGTTGCATTCGAGTTGAGTCAAGTTGCAGTCGTGATTGGTGCCAGTGTCCGCATGTCAATTGCTTGGTAGGGCATCTTGTTGAAAGCCTATTGGGCAGGTTTGGCATAGACGGCGATGTTTGACTTTAGGAGAAAGAGGAAAAAAGATACGAACATGTGTGGTTGGGTTGCACAACAGGAGGCACGATGGGCTTTGGTTGTATACGGGCTGTAACTGTGCAGCGGATCGCCGTCCCGGCAAGGTCTACATATATACGAATTGTCGATGATGTTTGCCGCGTCGTTGCCGAAGGGGATAGAATACCTACGATGGCGACGAGTAAGAGAAAACGCAAGAGCTTCCGGGCAGTGAGGTTGGGCTGCGACTTCGTTTCTCAACTACCTCAATCCAAACATGGTTAGTTGCCTTTTGAGTTTCCCTGTTGCAACTGCTAGCGTCTGATTCGGCAACTGGGAACTGCATCGGGCAGGTGCATGCAGCCTTGGATCAAGGCCCCGTCCATTCTACGTACGTTCCCGAGGTTTGGTAGCTGTCGGGAAAACGGCATATGTATCAGAAAGAAGACAAACATACAACGATGCTTCCTCCATTGACTCGGGCGCGGGTGTGGTTACCTAGGGTTTGCAGCTGCTCGCTGTACCTTGGCGGCGTCGCAGCTGGCGTGAAAGACGACGCTGTTTGCGCCGGCAGAAGAATCCATCCTAGCCAGTTTGGCGACAGGCTCCTCCCTAATTTACCCTCTTTCCCAGGGCCATACCTATCCTCACCACGGCCACTCCGGCCGAGCGGATTGTGTTTGGGTCTACGTCGAATCGGTCGGCGGGACGGGTAGTCAGACGAAATTCGCCTTCGTCTCCCTCTCTCCCCGTCTGTCTGGCAAGGGAAGGACGTTGTTGAGGCGCAGCCATCCACACACCTTCGAGCTGTTCTTTCATTATGATGAGACAAGCGCGAGCTCCAGCCGTAGGAGAGACCCTTAGAACCAGGGGGTGGGGGCACTCTTCATGTACGCTATACCACACTACCGCGTCACGGACAGAGGGGGAGAGAAATGAGCTGGACGCGACTGGCGACGAAGACAAGGGAAGAAACAAGCGGTCGCCTGTTACAGATTTCCCAGCGTCCCATCCAGATGGGGCCTTGCTCGTGTGCTTTGCCACCACGCGTGTGGCTCGACCGGATGGCATCTCCCACTCGCCTGTCGTGTTGCCGTACCCAAGATACCGCACGACATGCTGCGGCCACGAGAGGTTAACTAAGGTTGCTTTTGCGGCTTGCTCGGTTGTGGAAGGCTCTTCATCTTTTTCAGTTGCATCATCTGAAACCTGACGTCTCTTTGTCTCTCTTGCGACCACGGTCGGCTCGACTCTTGTCGAGCACTGGGAGACGTACGCAGGCTCGACGGGTGATTCCATGTCGTTGCTTTTTTCTTTTCGAGAGCCTCGGATCCTCCAATCTGGGGAACAGGCCAATCCTCACCGTGGGTCGTCGACTGCAGCGATGGGAAATGAGAGCAAAAAAAGAAACCACGGGATCAGGGTATCTCGGGTTGCTGCAGGTCGCGTTGCTTTGTCGATTACCAGCATCATCCATCGTCCATTCATTCCTCAACCCCTCTCTTCCCCTGGTCTTTAACTCTCCCTTGAGGATACTCTCTCAATCACCTCATTCGGCCTGCAATCCCTGCTTCGTTGCACAAGCCTGTCGGTTCCCACTCTCGCTGCCACGCCCACTGCCATTCACGTCGTGTTTGGCACCCCCCTGCCATGGACAACAAGCACCGGAACCCACTTCGCAATATTCCAAGGTACGGATAGACAACGTGGGAGGGACGGGTCAGATAGTACCTCGCCGTGTTTGGCATGTACTTTGGGGTGCACATTGGGGTCACACGCAAAGCTGCGGGCTTGCCTAGGTTCCTCGTGGTCTTGGACTGGCGGTCCAGCAGCAAAAGCAAGTTCTTGGCCCGGCCCTACGTTACCGATCTATCCTGCGTCCGTCCCGACGGGCTTTGGGGGTCGGTTCCTCTGGGCCAACAGCGGACAGAGCCAACCTCAGCGCTGTGGAAGCAGACCAAGGGAGCAAAGCTACAGCGGTGTGATTCGCGGTGGTACGGCGCCGGGAAGCAAACGCGTGTGGCAGCCGCAGACCGACGTTGCGTCTGTAGAGGGAAACCTTAAAGAGCCCAAACGAAGGGAGAAACAACGGACTCTGGTCGACACCAAAGCTAAACCCCTTCGCAGTGTACCGGTACTGTACCTTTCCAGAGGGACCGGGCCAAGACGAACCAGGCAGATCTAGAAGCCATCCTGCGAGTAGTCAAGTGTCGGTACGGTATCTGCATTATGCAGGTCGGCATTCGTCCACTAACAAGGCACGGAAAGGTAGCCGTGTCTCGACCTCATCTTGCCTACTGATGCAGCAGCTAGAACGGCGTGTCCATTCGTGCGTGGGCTACGTTTCCGGAGCTGTCCAGGTTACCTTTTGCCGTTTAGGTTGTTGCCCGGCCTTACTTTGATACTTTGACATGGCCGGCGCCGCGTGGGAGCTAGGCTTCACCGCAGATACTGGTGTGAACAGCACGTTTCTCCAACCTACTGCTAGCTGTAGAGTGACGAATTGAACGGGGCGATGCGGTAGCTTTTTGCTGACCGCAGTTGTCTATTGGTCGCTTTTAGCTGCTTTTGCTCGGTCCGGCCTGATCTGTCTGGTCTTGCTGCTGGTTTCCCCTGGGAGTAAACCCGAAGCAGAGAAAGTCCTGAAGAGAGAATGAAACAAGACCATAGAGGCAGGGACGGTCTGGTCTGCAAGTATTTCCAAGTGCCATGTGGGAGAAGGAGGCGAACTCTTCATTTGGCCTACTGTTTTTTTCTTCTTTTTTTCTTTTCTTTTCTTTTCCCCTCCTTCCCAGTGTCTTTCTTTTTCGTCTTCTGCACCTATGTCTTTGTTGGTATCTGTCATGTCGAGTTCCCCAAGCCGGCCCTGACCATCCATCTGCTGTCCCGAAACAAGGAAAAGACCATATATAAAAGAAGAGGAAGAAGGAGAAGAAGAAGAAGGAAAAAAGCAAGAAAAAGAGGAAGTACCCCCCTTCTAGTTTCCGCTGCCTCATCCGTCCCCCATCCCGTCGTTTGCCTGTGTTCCGAGCCTGCTTCTGCACCCGCCCTGTCAGGAGTCACTGGCCGTGTGCTATCGCGTCTGTGCTGGCCCGTCAGTAAGATGGTCACTCAGCAGCCCCGGCCGGTATCAGCACTAGCACCAGCATCAAACCCAGGTTACGGGCAACTAGTTTCCCAGAAGGTATTCCGTACCGTTGGCGTACCTACATACGCCTACACCTACCTGCACTTGGCTACCTACCCTACGATACCTGGGCCCTGCCTTACTTTCTGTTCTTTGGCCCGTGGCCCCCTGGTCTTTTTGGGTCCATCCCCTCCCCCTCTCTACCCTTCTCTCCCTGCTGCTGCAGCTAGGCCGGTCTCTCTCACTCTCACTCTGTGTCTTCCCCCCCCTCCAAGGCCCCATCTCGTCTTCTTTACTTTCTCTCTGCTCCTCACCTCTTGTTTGTCTCCGTCGTCCCTGTCCTCGTCCGTCCCTCCTTTGCTCACTCTCCACCGCAAAGGCACCAAGTCTCCGGTTTGACACCGTCATTCGAGGCAACTTTACGGAGTAGCACAACCTAACTGGCCCTCCCAGCGTTTGTTCCCCCCTGTCACCCCGTGCCAGCTGACTGCAACGGACTCCACTCCTATCTATCCAGCCTGTGCTCCATTTCTGTTGCCGGTGCTCTCACGCTCTTCTTGTTCTTGTCTCTCCTTCTTGCTCTGCCCGTTCACCTTGCCTTACTTTACTTTCCATCTCTTCGCATTTGCCCCGATATTCCTGTTCTCGTTCTCATTCCCATTCCGCCCGCCGCCTTCTCCCTCCCAAAGACAAAACCACCGTCCCCGTTTTGGATCATGGTGCACTCGAGTCGACAATTTTCCCCCTAGAACCGAACAAGTGCAGACGTGAGAGGCCATTGAGAAGCACGACTGCTGCACGTCGCAATGGGCAATAGCCAGGGCAAACCCATCGACCTGGATGGTGAAGGTATGTGTCTCGCAGTCCCTCACCTCGCTGAATGCACGAAACCACCAACACCAACAACCACAACCACAAACCTCCACCGTCCTCACCTCCACCAAAAAAACAAACAACCACCACCCTGAGTCGTCGATGCTGCTGTCGCTGCTTCTGCTGCACTGCACCGCCCATCTCGGCCTTTCCTGCTCGATCCCGCCCTCTCCCCCCCACCACCGTTGCTGCCACCCCGATCTCTGTTCGCCAAGCTAATCCATCTCGTCTTTCTCCGTGTAGTCAACCTCAACCATTTCCGTCTACTACGAGTAGTCGGCCGAGGTGCCTTCGGCAAGGTACGCATCGTCGAAAGAAAAGACACGAATCTCTCCTTCGCCCTGAAGTACATCCGAAAAGATGAAGGTACGCACCATCTCGTCCTACCGTATTGTCTCGCCGCCTCCACCCTCCTAATCGAGACACGATGGCTCGCGCATTGCAATTGCATTGATGTTAACACCTGGCCTGCCGAATAGTTGTACGATCCGAGAGTGTGCGGAACATTATACGAGAGCGCCGAATGCTCGAGCACGTGAACCATCCCTTCATATGCAACTTGCGATACAGTTTCCAAGATATTGAATATATGTGGGGACAAATCTGCCGACACGGCCCGACGCCTGTTGCTAATAATCCATTCGCTAGGTACCTAGTTGTCGATTTGATGAGCGGCGGTGACCTACGATTTCACATCTCGAGAAAAACCTTTACCGAGGACGCTGTGCGCTTTTGGATTGCGGAATTGGGATGCGCTCTCCGATACATTCACAGCCAAAACATTATCCACCGTGACGTGAAGCCCGACAACGTTCTCCTCGACGCGGACGGCCACGTGCATTTGACTGACTTTGTGAGTTGTCCTGCAATCGCACTTCGCTCCATTGGTTGCTGACTGGGCTAGAACGTCGCCTCCGACATCATTCCTGGGAAGGTCTTGTCGAGCAAATCGGGCACGCTGGCATACCTCGCGCCCGAAGTGTACGCCGGCAAGGGCTACGACGTGCGTGCAGACTGGTGGTCGTTGGGTGTCCTCTTCTACGAATGCATTTACAACAAGGTGGGTCACCGCTCCATTGGGAACGATTGGCGGCCATTTTCACTGACAGCATCCTGCAGAGGCCATTTGACGGTAACTCTGAGAGCACCTTGAGCCAGCAAATCCAGCTCGCCAATCCCAAGTACCCTATTACTTCGCCGCCCGTCAGTCTTCCCTGTTTATACGCCATCCGAGATGCCTTGGACGCCAACCGCGACAAGCGAATGGGCTCGACGTGGGAGAGTTTTACCAAGCACGAATTCTTCATGATGATCGACTTCGAGGCTCTCGAGCGCAAGGAGATCGAGCCCGTCTTTGTTCCGGCCGCAGACAAGACCAACTTCGATGCCACGTACGACCTCGAGGAACTGCTTTTAGAAGAAGCTCCCCTCGAAGCGAGAGCCAGACGACAGAAACCCCGCGAGCGGCTGAAGGAAGATGCCTCTGAGAAGGAGATAAGAGAAGACGAGCTGTACCGTATGATCGAAAACGAGTTCCGCCCCTTCGACTACACGCTGGCTGCATACAAGAAGTACGCCTCCCCCGACTCGCTTTTTGCACACCTCGATGCTGACATTCCTAGAATCACTGGCCAAGTCGATGAGTGCGGATACGTCAATGGCGACATGGTGATGATGAACCAGCCGCAGGCTTTGACGACCGATGAGGCCACGCCCGCGGCGATGGCCACGAACGGAGGGGCCTCGAGAGCCGCTCAACCTCCGGGCCCGTTGCGGAAGAGTTCAAGCTTGGAGAGGCGGCCGGGAAGCAGTCATGCGGGCGTGCCTCGTCGACCCGTCTCCAAGCCACCCCCGATACCACACTACCCCAGCGAGTATTCCAACCAAAGGTCTGTAATGCCGGGAGCAGGGAAGAGGGTCACTAGCCCAACTGGCGGCATGCAGGTTACACTGGATGGTGGCGGCAGCTGGTCTGACCTCGCCCGGCAGGATGCCACGCTGCCAACGGACGCCAACGCCATTAGCGAAGGTAAATCCGAAAGCTCCAGCGGGGTGTTCGGTTTCCTCAGGGGAAAGAAGGGGAGAGGGCACAGCCCGAAGCCGAAGGAAAGAGGAGTGTTGGGCAAGGAGGGTGCGAGGCAGGTTATTGGCTAGAAGACAACCGCGGTCTGTTGAAGAGTTGGATAGACGCACAGGAGAGAAGGATCGATACCCGAGGAACTCAGCAATGCACCAAAGGAGCCACCGACCAAAGTACCGCAGAACATACGGTGTGGATGGCCTGGGGGCGGCTAGATCGTGGTACCCTGGCAACCGATGCCGGTGCCAGTGCGCCTCAGAACCTCATGGAGTCGTTCTGTAGAGGATCCCCCGGGGAAAGGCCACGGCGTCGAGACGGCCGACACTGCACGAGCCCGGCTCAGACTACTTTGTCCACCGGCTGGGTCTTCTCGCCGGCTTGCAAGTCGACGGCGGTTTGTGCCTCTGATGCTGGCCCGGAGTCAATCGTTGCGGCTGCCACCCCTGGCGAGCTTGGAACCATGGCTATCATCCTAACCTGACCAGTCACAGGATCTACGAAGATGAAGCGATAGGCCCGATAAGGGCGAGCAGTTTATGAAGCATCAGATGGGACGGACTGTGGAGCAGCGGAGAGAAATAATCCAACCCAGGAAGCAATATACCCTTTGTAATACCAGTCTGTTTCGTACATGCACCTGAATGAGTGGTGTACCTCTGGCTTGGTGCTATACAAACATGTTGATTCGCTCATTGAAATGAGACCGGTGCATAATCCACGAACCGTAAGGTCACAGGTTGATTTCCTCCGATGGCCAAAGCTCACCCCCGTCATCTCGTCACCTCGTTTAACCCTGATTCGAGGATGAGAGAAGGCGAGACGCAAGTTCGTGGAATTTGCCGTCTGCCTCGGACGGGGATTGCATGACGTTGGACGATTCGAGCAAGTCCGGCCCCGGTCCCCAACCTCGTCATTGGCTGCACCCGCGACGCTGCAACCGGTGGACGGTCCCTGAGGAGGAAACACTCGCAGATCGTTTTGCCTTCCACTGCCCGCCCCCCTCATGGCAAGGTTCCAGTTATACCAATTGGTCGCCCGGCCCTACGACGATAGCGTGATGGGCAGGCCAGTGCAGGCAACCCACACGCACCCAAGCAACTGGACCTGCGGCATTGCATTCCAAGGCCGAGGAGAGCCTCCCCAAGGGGCCCCGTCCATCCCCCCCAAGTGCCGACCGCATGGCGCCTTGGCTGCGCATGGGTGTGAGAGGTCGGCTGGTTGCGCCATGAACAGCGGTGCGGGCAAGGTGGGTGCGGCAGGGAGGAGGGGGAAACGACCCGATAGATCAGAACCCGATATCGACGAGGTCTAGTTTCTAGTTGGTCGATGCCAACTGATTGCGACGGAGGAGGACGGGGGCCCGAGAGCTCCTCGCGCAGCCCTTTTTCTCCATCCGTCTTGCACTGGGCCCCTGGTTCCTGTAAGCCCTAAGGTACGGATTAGAAGGGCCTCTTTGGCGCACGCACCTCGAACATAGGTACTATTAGATACTGGTCGGCCCAAGGGGAACAGAGGGTCCCCCCTTGGACGAGTCGGAAGGCGGGGGTTCATTGCCTATCGCTCCCGCGCAACGCGATACACCGCTCATCCAACCCCCCCCCCCCCCCCCCCTCCCTCAACATCGTTATCAGAAAACTATGCGCCGGCCACGTGCTGTTCATTCCGCCCACGGCTTGCTTCTTGGCCCGTCACACCATCCTGACCGATGGGGCCGTCTTTTTTCTCTCTCCGCCTGCCCCCGCATACCGAAACCTTGCGCCGGGGAATGGGGGGTAGAGGGTTTGGGGCCCGACGAGACGTCGGAGGTTGCTGCTACGGCGGGAGGAAGTGGGGGGGCGTGTGGTGTTGGGGGAGAGGATAAGGATGAGGAGCAGGAGCAGGAGCAAAAACGAGTGGCTGATGCTTGCCCTGCCACGCTTCCCCTTCCCCGCAGCGTTCTAGAAGCATGGGTACGTACGTCCTTTTATCTTGTATTGCCTCGGCTTACGGGCCAACCTTTTATTTTGTTTTTTTATTATTATTCTACAAGATTCTGCCCCCCGTATGCTATGGGGCTAGACTACCTGCAGGAGCAGAGAGCATGCTACTACTCATGGTGCCACGCCCGCCAGCCTGCGCGCGCTGCGCGCTGCAGGCTTTCGGGTGCGGGACGGCGGCGCGCGGGCGCGGGCGGATGCGGGGTTGGGGTTGGTGCGGACAGGCAAGGCACGCAAAGCAGGCAGGCACCATGCCAGTGGACTGCCAGGATGGAGTTATGAACGGACAGATGGAGAGACGGCAGGCAGGCAGGCAGGCAAAATACAGCTTATAAGGTTGGTCGCAAGTCTCATAGTGTCTTGTCATGTCATGTCTTGTCATGTCCTCCAGGCGGTTCCGGGATATTGCTTCCGGGCTGGGCAGGCGACATCAACGGCCGCCGTGGCAGGGGGAGCATGTGTGTGTGGCCGCTGTTGATAAGGAAAAGGCTAGTGTGGCCACGGGCATAGCTTAAAAGCTGGGAATTGCTTATGGTCCGCGTTTACGACGCCGGCATCTCGACCCCGGCTCTGCAGAGCTCGACCAGGTCATATCTCGTTTTGGCACTGCAGCCCTTCTCTTGGATCAAACACGTCCCCTGGAGATCAACGCCGGCCCCCCCTCCCCCCGCCCCGGGACGCCGAACGCGAATCGCCGGCTAGCCCAACGAGTCCTCCCAAAGGGATGAAGCTCCGTTGTGAGACCGGCTTCGAGGGTACGTCAGGTATCCCCGGTAGTGAACAGGAGGTTTTCTCCTCGAGACGAAAAGCACCGCATGTTTCCACGTTTGTCTCAAAAGATGCAGTATATAGTCCAATGTGGAGATTCCTATTCGTTCGTCAAGAGACATACGTATTGTGGCATAAAAGAATTACATCTGCGAATATCAAAAACCCTTCCAGTTCAACAGGGACCGTCTGGCCACCTTTAGTGTCATCATCATAGCCTCCTTGAACCATATTCGGTCTCTCGGAAGGGGTCTCTCTCGCCAGGTACAGGCTGGTGCCTGCATACACCGCCTAGCAAGATCCCCCATGTCCGTATCTAGATTCCCGATATGGAAAAATCACCATTCGCCTTGCCGTTGGGGTCGAATCAAGCCTCGATTCGCCCTGTTTTGGTCCGTAATATAACGCCTGCTTTCCCCAAAGTTTCCCGACCGTTTCCTCGGATATGCCTTCAAACCTGACCGCGTGACCCATTGCCCGGGGCGCACCTATGCCAATGTACACGTAGATGTCGAGACGGCTGCTTAGGCTTTCGTCTTGTTCTTGTCCTGGCTCGCAAAGCAAGCAGCCGCATCCTTGCCCATCCACTTGTTGACAACGGTTTGGAAGTCCGTCTCGGAAACAACCGGACCCTGGCCAGAGCACTTGGCCTTCTTCTGAAGTTCGGAGCACAAGCCATCGAGGTCAAACTCACCAGCCTGTACGCTGGGGCAGTTCTGGAGCTTCTCCCTATTGGCTTGATGAGTAATTGAAGCATTGGCCTTTGGTTGGACCGGATCGTACCAGATTTTATTGCAGTTGTAATTCTCGGCCTTGACCGCCTCCTTAACCACATCGTCATCTGCGTTCTTGGCAGCATCAATTTGGTCGATGAGGTTCTTCTTGGGAATGGCAGGGCTAGGGGCCATGTTATACGGCGTGATGAAGTCGGCGTCGATGGCGTCGTTGAAGAAACTGTCGTCAAAGGTGGTGCCCGCAAGGATGTTCTCTTGCGGTTCGCGATAGCCACCGAAGAGCTGAGGATCAAACTGTCCGCCATTCTGCTGCGCAAGCCAGTCGAAGTTGCTGGTGTCGATACCGGCAAACAGAGATTGTTGGTTAGTAGACTCTTCGCCAATGGTCGTCATCGTGTCAACGGGCTTGAAACCCATGGGTGACTGGGTAAAGGGCTCAGGGGAAGTTCCACAAGATGAACTTGGACCTCCGTTCGATTGCGACGAGGCTGATGGCGAGCTGGTCGATGTGCCGTTGTTCATACCATATGAGCCAGAGTCAACGCTGGCACGCGATGTACCGGTGCCCGTCGAGCCATTGGCAAGGGATGGGCTGAAAAGAGATGTAAAGTTGGCCAGGTCGTCCTTGGTGCCAAAGTCGAGTCCTGCAATAACGCCAGGGCTGCTGTCTTTGTTGTTGTTGAGGGGGCTGACAGGATTGCTACCATTCACGTGATGAGGCGACGAGGAAGATCTCGCAGTCTGGGCAGGCTTGTTGGGCATCTGAGATCCTGGCAGGACACCGAACTTGGGAAATTCAAACTGGAAGTTGACATCGCTCAGGTTGCCAATAGCGGACGCTCCGAATCCCATGGGCGCCTTGCTGTGAGATAGGGACCGGGTGCTCATGGCTGCCATCTTCGTCTTGTACTCATTGAGCTCTGCTGTCATCCGGTCGATTTTGGCACGGAGCTGGCTGTTCTCGCTGTTGGCATCCTTTGAGGCTTTCTCGAGTTCTTCCACCTTGGTCTCGAGGTCCTTTAGGTGCTTCTCCTTACGCTCGCGGAATGCCCGCTGGGCAGCGCGGTTCTGTGCCTTACGCTTCTGTGTCATTGTTAGTGCGGCTTCGGTACCGAGGATGAGGAGTTCAAACGTACTGAGCTCGGCTCGGAGGTAAGCGGCTTGCGTCCAGGCTTCTTGGGAACCTTCTCGCCGCCTTCGCGCCTCTTCGCGTCATTTCCAGGCGAGTCTTCGTCTTCCTCGTCGTCGGGGTGAGCTCTCTTATCGGTACCGTCGTTCTCGGTCGAGTCCGACTTGGTTGACTGAGCGGACTGGGCACTGCCAGGGATGTCACCGATCATTTTGCCCTGACCGACGGTGCTGACATCGAAGTCAAAGCTAGAGTCGCCGAAGTCGTAGTCGTAGTTGTCGAGGTAGGGGCTCTCCTGGAAGCCATGAGCCGCGCCCTGCGCCGGCGACGTCTGATAAGAAGAGGGCGACATGGAGGTGTCCTTGGTGGTGGGTGACTGGTTTGCCAGCTGCTGCTTGTTCGAGTTGAGGGCGGCGAAGAGCAGGCTTTGTTGCTGCGGGGTCAAGATGAAGTTGGTTGGGAAACCACTGTTCGTTGCGGAGGCCATTGCAAAAGGAATGTAGAAGGGCGAGGAGACGTAGGTAAACGGGAGTCAATTCGGAACAGGAGGGCTATGAAAGGAGGCAGACTCGGAAGGCCGATTGCGGCTCGGGATGCCGGGGTGAAGATGGCTCAGGTTTCCAGATAGGCCGGATCGAACGGTAGTGTCGTCTGGCGATGAGAAAAGAAAGCTCGACTACCGCGCGACACCTTCGATCCTTCTCCGTGGTCCTTGACGTAAAGCTCGCCGTCGAAAAAAGAGTAGGGGAACGGTAGTAGAGGTTCCGCGCAAAGGAGACCCAGGTACCAAGATGTGACGAAATGGTCCAAGTCTGGAGTGGGCTGAGGATAGTAGAGTTGATGCCTTTGCGGCTTACAGTTGCTGCCTGACTCACAGGCCGGTTCTCCAGGGCCACCGGATTTCTTTGTGGGCGGCTTTCGTAATATCCAGAATCCACGGGATTCGGGGGGACAAGACGTGCTTTGGAGAGGGTGTGCGGTGATGCGTGTACGGAAAGTAGGGGGAATGGGAAAAAAAGTTGTTGGTTTGTGGTGACCGCGGTGCGTCTGAGGAGGGAAGTGGAGAGAATCGAACTGAATGGATGGCTGCAGACGGTGAGGAGGGGGAAGAATTTCAGCGCCCTTCAGTGTCAATTTGTCAGCCGTCATGACACCAAAGAGGAAAGGGAAAAATGGAGGGGGTCGGCCAATGGAGCCGGGGGTCCAGGCGCATGGGACTAGGTATGGATCCCATTGAAGCCTATCCATTGGCTGGTAAGCCGGCTCTCCCCGATAAGCCAAAGGGCGCAGCCGTCGTTTTCGCATCATGCAGGCGTCGATGTGATCTCTGGTGCACAATGTCCATGTTGCTTTCCCCCTCCCCATCCGCCCGCCCCTCTTCTTGTGGCCTTTTTAGAACCTGCCTGCCCATCTCGCCCTGAAAAGGACCCCTTCGAGCCGGACGACTTTCATCCCTGTACCAGTAGCGCCTCGTCCCTCTCCCTTCCAGGTATGTAGTAGAAGAAGAAGGCCACATTCGCCACGCATCCTTTCTGCTGCCTTGGCGTCTCTTGCATCTGGAACTTTGAGAGGTACGAGACACCAGCACAGCGTAATCCACAGTGGACGCGAAAACAACGGACTTTGGGAGCAGAGGCCTCGGCGGACGGACTTTAAACACCGAGGTCCGACATCCAGTTGTCATCCAGCATCTTCGTCCCATCTCCTACCTCCAGTATCGGATCATCGCGACTTCGCTCCCTGGGCCCAGGCTCCCCTGGCAATTCAACACAACACTATGGTCACAACCTGTCAGCGTTGACTGGTGGCTTACCAGCGTGTCGCATGATGTGGGGATGGTTACTCATTGCGTAGCAATGCAAGTGGCGGGTCACCGGCCAAGAAAGCAAGGACGAGTTCCGCGCTGCAATCTTCGTCAGTCAAGGCAGTGGAAGTGGTGTACTAACCCCAGCCTGGCTGCCAATTCTTCAAACGGCGCGCCCGATCAGCCGGAATGACTCAGGGTCATCCTCCACACCAGCAACAGCAGTACGGCCTTTGCAGGAAGTTGTACTGCATAGTACAGATAAGTCCGGCATAGGGCCATATCCGCCAGAGGTACTTCCCCCAGCCCTCCAGCACCCTTCTGATACCTGGCCCAGATAGTTTTGCATCTCCATTCGTTATTCCGATCAAATCCCGAGAGCATATTGCGCAGCAAGCAGCCCCATGCTCGCGGTCACTCTTCGGACGTTGAGATCTGGCCTGACTGAGCGAAACTTAAATTAGCTGTGGTCTGCTAGACCGCCTCGGCCTTGGTTAACTGTTCACGCAAGGATTGCAGAGAAGCGGCCGTTGGTTGGAAAAGGGCTAGATCACGGCGATCCTTGTACCACCTCGTAGGGGACGTGCTCCTCTCAGGGGAATGCGTTGCTGTGTCAAGGCTACGGTGACTAATGACACAGCGAACACGTCTCTGCCACCATTTTGCGACGGTCATAACACGCAAACATTTCGAAAGGTGAAGGAGGAGACAAGCGCAAATCCCGTTACTCCACAGCCAATGTTTGCAGCACGAGACAACGGCTCTTAACACCCCTGCCTGGTCTCCCTCGGACGCGTTGCGCCGTAGCATTTTTCCTAAGAACTATCGGCCAGGGACCAAACATGATCTGCCCGCTTACTGCCTTCCCTGCATGTATTGCCACAGCCTAGGACGGTGTCTAGACCCGAGCTACTCCGCCCGAAAAGCTTACACCGTAAGCCTCGGGGAGATTGCGAAGAGGCTTGGTCCTGTGCGGAGATACAAAGGAATAATCCTGTTGCAGAGCACGTCTCGCACGTCTCCAGGGGATGGATCACTCGGGTTTGCCCGGGCGAATGCAACGAGAGGGCAAACCGTTAATGGTTGCAACTTGCAGACCAGCAAAGGCAATTGGTAGAGCAAACACACCACTTACAGCCTTGCATCATCCGATGGGAAGAGCACACAACCTGGATTGAGCCACTGAGCGATCTGTTGGAACTTGCCACTCGAAGGAGGGCCGCCACCTTGCTGTCTGTCTCGTCACCAAATGCCCTATCCAGACCAGTTGGGAATGCGTTCCATAAGTTGTCAATGGGTGAGGTCTGGAAGTTATTCGCCTCGACGTCTTTGGATATGGGTCGAACCGACTCAAAGTTCGGTTGCAGGTTCCTTCGTGCAGGAACAGAAACCATCTATGACCTGTTTCCCATCTCACCAACATTTCTCTGGAATTTCTGACGGGCCGTTTGTTTCCTAGGTGCGACAATGTGACTGTCAGGGTGCCACGAGCAATGAAATGGCGGATGCAAGCAACTGGGCAGTGTTCATTCTTTGGTGCAAGAAACAGCAGCTTCCGGCAGTAGCCGCGCCGAGTCTCCACCTCACCTGTGGACATGTGCAGTCCACGGGATGTACACTACAGTGTACCCCCCGCATTGACCACCATGCAGCCGTCCACCCCGCTCATCAGGGGGAAAGGCAGCCTCATGTCAGAAGCCAGACATCATTCGTCCGGCAGCTTCGACACCTCGCGAGACTCGCTTCAACCTTAACCCACGCCCGTCAGCCTAGCCTCGCAACAACCCTCCCAATACCCCGGATAAACCCAGCGTCGACTCGAGCGTGGACTCAGCAGCCTTGCGATGGATTTGGCTTACGATCACATCCAGGAGAGCTCGCTCCCCAAGGATGCCGACAAGAAGACGGGCGACACCAAGGACTCCAAGTCTGACCAGCCGCAGCACTCGCTGAACGATGACCTCCAGGATGCGTACAAAGCCATTTCTTCTAGCGCCTGGGGTATGCGCATCGGCGGTTTCTTGGGAAACGCTGTGAAGCAGGTAGGACGCCGTGGTAAAGTTTCTCCAAGGGAGCGGACCGGCTAACTTGATGATAGGGACAGGAAGTCTACAAGGAAGCCTCCAAGGAAGTCACCGAGCTCGGCGAAGATGCGGCTAAGGGCTTCACGTCCATCATTAGCCGAACCCGGTCGCTGACCGTCAACACGACGCAGGGAGAGCCCTCCGGAGATAAGAGCAAGGAAACAGACGGCCAAACGACGCCGACAAAGACAAGAGATCAAGCATCGGACGAAGCGATGAGCAGTTCGGAGAACTACCTAGCAAGGCTCCGCTCTGAGGCAGCCAAGCGACTCAAGGATTTGCAGAAGGCCGAAGATGCTGCCGACGAGGCTCTCCTCCGTTTCGGCACCAACATCAGCAATTTCCTCAAAGAGGCGGTCAGCATCGCGCCGCCTTCCGGTTCCAACAACCAGGGGAGCACCGTTTTGTTCGAAAGCAAGGATGCACAGGGCAAACGTGTCATTCACACTTCGAGGCAGGACGCCCAGCTGCACGTTATCCACACAAGCACCGAGAGTTTCGCAAAGGACCCCGCAACGGAGGAGTTCGCTACGTGGGCCAAGACTTTCGACGTCGAGAAGAAGACGGCAGAGATTAGCGACGACTTGAACAAATACCCTGAACTGCGTACAACGATGGAGAAGCTTGTGCCTGACCAGGTTCCTTATGCTGAGTTCTGGAAGAGATATTACTTCCTCAGACATGGTCTCGAGGCCGCCGAGACCCGACGTCGCGATTTGCTCAAGGGTGAATACTACAGCCTGAACATACCACGAATCTATGCTAACGGATATACAGCTGCATCTGCAGAAGACGAAGTTAGCTGGGACGATGACTCCGAAGACGAAGCTGCCCCGGCCGCTACCCCAGCCCCTGCTCCTGCCACTGCCACTGCCACTGCCACTGCTCCGGCTTCTGCTCCTCTCAACGCCGAGCAGAAGCAAGCTCGCCCGCCATCAGCCGAATCCTCCACCACCATCCAACCCCCTGCCCAAAACTCTGGTCTCAAGCCTGCTGCCGAGTCCCGTAAGTCGAACGACGAGAAGTCTCAGGCCGACAGCGACACAAGCTACGACGTTGTGGGTGCCACGTCCGGTGTGCCCAGCCAGGCTCCCAACAGCCCCAAGGATTCTCGTAAGGCCGACGATAGTGACGACGACTGGGAGTAGCCTCGCCACTTATTCTGCTTATTCTTTTTCCTGGCTGGCGTTGGTTGGGTTTGGACCTTTTCGGCTCGAATGGCAGCTCATAATTTGCGGACATTTGTACATCAGCCGCGGCTCGTAGTGCACCGTTTCCTTTGAGACCAAGTCGGATTTTCTCTCTCGCGCGAGTTATTTATTTCTTCTTCCTCGTGACCGTGGTGAATCCGTCCTCGTCGACCTCTGGCTCCGGCTTCTCCTTGGGTGCACGAATGAGCTGCGGGGCGTCGTCCATGTCGACGTCATCATCCTCATCGTCCTCGCTATCGTCCTCCCAGTCAGTCTCCTGGTCGCCACCCTCCACCTTCTTGTAGAGCCCCTCGACCTTTGCGCCCTTGCGACTCTCCCACTTGTTGCGGAGGCTGTCGACAGCCTCAAAGTTGCCCTTGGCGATTTCACCCCTAAGCTTGATGATCTGCTCGGCGACATCAAAGCCGGTCTCGTCGTCGACGTTGACCTCGAACTCGTCCAGCATGATCTGCAGCAGCATGGTCTCGACGTACTCGGTATCGGGCTCCTCGGGGGCGTTGGCGGCGGGGACGGCTTGGCCGTTTACGATCTTGGAGTACTCGGGGAAGACCTCGGCGACGGCGCCGGCGAACCAATCTCTCTTGTCGGCGGAGTCCGGGCCGCCCCAGTGGTTCTGGACGGCGAGGGACAGGGCCGGCCACATGTGTAGCGACAGGGCGACGGCCTGCTCAAAGGTCGACTGGCAGGCCTCTGAGTGGAAGTTAGTATCATGACATGCATCTCTCGAGGCTCGGGCGTGTAGACTTGCCTGCCGTGATGGGGTTGGAAGATCCCGTGGTTGCCATGTTGACTGATTTGCTGTTTCGCGGGGTACTTGGAGGGGCAGTATTATTATTTTTTTCGTCAGTGACAGTGCTGCCAAAATCGAAATCACAAATTTTTGGAAGACAGTGCGTGCGACGTCTGGTACTGTATTCGGCGCTGTGCGGGGCTTCCCGGTGGCCCCGCAATCGAGTCTAGGCAGGGTCCTCTTAGATTGGGCTACCAAATTCATGAAGATGGCCGCTGACAGAGGTAAGGTTCAACGAAGAATAAATGCCGGGTTGTCTCACCAAGTGGCACAATGGAACGTACAAAAACAACTTCATAAATCTTCACATGTATGGGGTTTGTTTTCATACCCGTGACAATACTCTTGGAAGCTCTGAGCACTCAAAACAGTCTTCCGCTGCTGGTCTCGCTTGGCGGACATTGCCATCCACTTGGGCGCTGCAGTGATGTCACCAGTCCCCTATTCCGGGATCGAGCTCTGGGGAAGTTTCAAGGCCGGCTTTGCTCTGTGCTCCTCAACGACGTTATGGTCTGTTCACAACTCACAAGCATCGGCCATTGACCGGGAGCTTCAAAAAGCCTCGTTTGTCCGTCCACCGTCCGCCGTCGACGGGGAGAGCTGCAATTTCAGTCGCTGGCTTCACCCAAACGTGACCGACCATGAACCCGTTGAAGCTCAACACCACTTCGGTGTCATTCGCCGTAACGCCAACCGTCGTATCCACCCTCTTCTCACATGTGAGTCCCCTATTCCGCCTTGTCCCCCCCCTAGCTTTTCCCGGATCCGTCGTTACAGGAACGCGATGCAGCCCGGTCGGTCCGTTGCGGAACGTACAGACAACTGACCTCCAACTAGTATCTCAACCGCAAGGTATCGAAGCAGCGACCGGATGCCCATTTGTCCTACGACGAGGGCCTGCACCTCGTCCGATCATTCCTCGAATTCGCTTCTCACCACACCGTCGAGGAACTGCAGGCGTTCACGGCTCAATGGGTTCCTCATCCACAATGGGTCAAGGTCGAGGACGTTGCGATCCCTGAGGCCCAGATTGAGAGATCCGCTGAACTGATTGAGGGACAATTGGGGCCCGCAGGCGTCCAGGCGGTGGGCGGTCGGAAATGGTGGAAATGGCGGAAGCCGCAGAGCCCGCTCAAGGCCGAGTGGGTCGAGATGCGAGCCGACTACCACGAGCGGAAGAAGAACGGCGGCGCGACCAAGAGGGTGATGCTCTACGTCCATGGAGGAGCCTACTTCTTCGGCAGCGTTGACGAGCACCGATACCAGATGCAGCGGCATGCTCGCAAGCTGAAGGCGAGAGTGTTCGCACCGCGTTATCGACTGGCGCCGCAGTTCCCCTTTCCCTGCGGCTTACAGGACTGTTTGGCGGCCTACCTCTACCTACTTACCGTTCAGGATCCCACCACTATTGTGCTGGCTGGCGACTCAGCGGGTGGCGGTATGGTCTTGTCCATCTTGTGCATCCTGAGAGATCAGGGCATCCCACTTCCGGCTGGAGCCGTCCTCATCAGTCCGTGGGTTGATCTCACCCACTCATTCCCCAGTGTCTCTGGCGATAATGCGCTTGACTATATCCCGTCTTCTGGTTTCCATCACAAGCCATCCAGGGCTTGGCCGCCCCCGAACGAGGACGACATGGAGATGATGAGAGAGCAGGCCATCAAGGCACGAGCGGGCAAAGAGAAGAGTGCCACGAAACTCAATACTCTTGAGAAGAAGCAGGCTCCACCGATTGCTTTGAACGAGGAGGGTGGAGCCGTGGAGGGTAACCCCAACTCTTCGGATAACGGAGATCCTCGCAAGACCGCGTTGCAGATATCTGTGACTATCAACGGCGAGCTCATTACAGTCAAGGATCAGATTCAGGTAGGTTCGCTGGCCCTAGCTTCTCGACAATGCTAACAGCTTCAGTTGTACACGACGAATGCTTTGCTATCGCACCCGTTGGTCAGCCCTGTCATGCAGCCAACCCTCGGTGGGCTCCCGCCGCTGCTGATTATGGTGGGAGGTGGTGAAGTTCTCCGCGACGAGCAGATCTACCTTGCACACAAATGCGCCAACCCGGCTAAATATCCGCCACCTGGTCTCGACAAAGCAGGCCTGGCACAGTTGCAGCAGTATAAGCCCACGGATGTACAGCTCCAGGTCTGGGACGACCTCTGTCACGTGGCCCCGACTCTCAGCTTCACGCGGCCCGCCAAGCACATGTATCGAGCGGCTGCGCAGTTTGGCGCCTGGGCCCTTGCGAGGGCACAACAGGCAGAGGTTGAGATCTTGGATGACGACGACATTTCTGAGATTTCAAGTTCGGCCTCTGATTCCGATAATCCTCATCAAGAACAGACAGAAACCCCATCTCCTCCAGAAAAGGTCGGCAAGGCCGGTATGCCACTACCGTCGTTCAAGAAGCATATGATCCGACAGAGAATTACCACTCACGGCGTTGTCCATGATCTTGCTCCTGAATCGGAACTGCCAGGCTGTACCATGAAGTTGGAAGATGTTGGTCTTGTTAAGGAAACCCCGGTCAGGAGATGGCTCAACACCAAGGCCCAGTTCGACAAGAAATTTTCAAGCGCCAAGGCAAAAGTACACAAGTCTATCATCAAAGATCTCGCAGATGGCTATATAGACTTTGGTGACGGTGAGAAGCCACCACCAGCTGCCCTGGCAGGGCGAAGGAAAGCATCGGAGGAGTTGATCGACAGGAAGAAGACCAAGAGCATTGGTTTAGCGTTGTGGTCACTTTGGGGCTCAAAGCACGACGAGACGACAATGGGAAGAGAGAAGAAAGGGGGCTCTGATGCAAAGACGAATTTTTCACAGGTCTCGCCGAGAGGTGGCGAGGGAGCCAGGTCGTTCGAAGATGTCGAGAACCAGGAGCCAGTACCGGTTGAGTCGCCCGGAACTACGAGACGGGTTGTCATGGATGAAAACCAGACATTGCAAGCATCCGACTCCCAAGTTGAAGAGTCTCTGACCACCGCGGCAGAAGAGACCCCGGTGGCTGCTCTCATCGAGATGAGAAAAGAGCAGGAAAAGCAGAACGAGGAGGCCGCTAGTGCCGCTGGTCACCAAGATCCCGACTTTGTGGCTGGGACTGGCGTCGCCGGTAAGCGGCCTTTCCTCGATGGCATCGCCTTGCCCTTCAGTCTTGGCAAGAAAGACGCAGAGACGGCGAGCATGATGACGCTTATGTCTGGAGGCGACAGTCGACCGATCAGTCCCATGCCGCCTATGAGCCGAGCGGAGACTTCTGACCTCAATGGGGCATCCGCTTCCGAGGCCACAACGCAGGTCGCCGAGGCTGAGCACACCCGTCCCCAGCTCGACAACTTTGTCACGGCGGCAGAGGATCTCCCTCTTGCAAAGGGCAAGGGAAAGGAGGTTGTTAATGGGAACGTTGAGCAGACTGCGTAAATGTGCACATAATTTAACCAATACCCCTAGTTTGTATTCGTAGTGTACAGTGATAGCTTGTGGTTTCTTGGCTTAGCCTACCAGTTTCTGGCTAATGGAAAGGTTGCACCCTTTCGAACGCTCCCCATTTTGCGTTAATGTTTTACATATTGTTACAATGTCGAGGGTATATACAGCTCTTGTACACTCAATTCGGGGCTCACAACCCCCCGATCTTTTGTGTTGTTCCAACGCCAGCTGACGCTCGTTATTCAGGCAATTCTCGTTTCTCTCTGCCTATACCACTAACTCCGTCCCTGAAATCCTTTTAATCGACGCCGTTCTGCTGCTTCCAGGTGTCGAGGTAGAGCTGAGGGTCGCGGGGACCCTCTTTCGAGGGGTAGGTTCCCTTCAGGGGCCGGACGGCCTCGGAGACGAAGGGTGTGAGCTAGGAAAGTCGAGTTATGTCAGCGAAATCGTTGTAATCGCCGTATTTTCCTGAAGCCTGCAGCTTTGGGGGGAAGGAAAAAGCGAAGGGGAAGAGTCAAAACCAACCTTGGTGTCCTTCAAGCCCTCGGGCACGACGTACGTCCGCACCTTGTGCCACTCAATGACGTATCCACCAAACTTGGTGTGGCGACCCATGGCTCCCGTTCGGTTTCCCTTGTAGAAGCCCTTGTTGACGTCCTTTGTCGTCAAGCGCAGGTGCTTGTACTTGAGCACCTGCAGGATGGGAGAGGGCCTCATGACGGGCGGTTTTCTCGGGGTTGGAACCCGGCGTCTCGATTGGGATGGTTTGTGTTTCGATGGATTAGGAGATTGCGGTCAATTGACCGGTTGTCGCTGAGGGAAGAGGAGCTCCGTATGCTCTTTCGGGTTCGTCGTTGTCGTCGTCGTCGTCGCCTTCCTCGGAGGCTTGCTGATGCGTGAGGGCGTGGTTAGCTTGTCCCCCGAAATTTTGGCGATGCGCGATTGCGCCGGATTAAGAGTTGGTCCTTTTACCGACGCTCATCCCTGTCTCAGTCCGGAGGCTACGGAGGGGACGTGCACCATTGGACACCGGGACCCGGGGATCCATAATTGGGACCCGGCGCTATGGTGTACCGGATTAGACTCGAAGGCACCGAAATGCATACGATAACGGGTTGAGAAAGGCGACCATAGGGTTTCAAGCAGATATTTTCAAGAGCTTTTTTCACTGATTGGTCCTCAATGGTAGTTCATCTATGGCACCTTTGCCTCTTTTGTGCTCTCCCTTCAGGGTTGATCATCTCCTAGAGAGCGGCAAACCCTTGCAATCTCAAACTTGTGCAACCAAGAAACAAACAATACCTTGCGTTGTCTATCTGCAGTATTCCTTTATCCAGTTTGAAGTGCATGGTTTGTTATAGTGCTGGTATTTTATGGCCAAAATGCAGTTTTCAATGTTCACGACGCTCCGTGCTGAGTTCTCAAATCCCTTTCTAGTGGATGTCTGGCGGCCGAGTTTCTCCCTTTTGCCCCGAGAGACATCTATCTAGCGCCGTTGCACGCCTTGCCGCTACCTCTGATGCAGTCTCAGAAATCTATGGAGTCGAGAGCTGGCAAACGTTCTGCGAGGGGGATGAACTGTCAGTAAAGCCCAGTCTCCGGCGCCGGTGACTGCACTGCAGTCAAAAGCCGCGGCATATGTCGGACCCACGTACCCTGGAGAAAGTGTTTCTGCCACAGCAAACTTTTGTGAGCCTCTTGTGCGCTTCACGGTCGTTCTGGTTCCCAATATCGGCGCAATAGACAGACGCCCAGGCCATAGTCCTACAGCCATTAGTTCAAGCTTGAAACGACAAATCTCTCCTTATGTTAGAGTGTATAAATACGTGGAACTGAACAAGGTAACGGTTGAAATGGTGTAATGCAGCATACTGATAGGTAATGGACAGTGACAGCATCTCGTTGATCCCTCAAGACCTTGGTTGGGGTGGGTCCGCGCTTGATTGCTTCAAAGCCAGCCTCTTATAAGCTTTTTTACTCAAATCTCATTTCTGATTGCTGTAGCAGTAACCCATTCTGCCATCTCCCAGCCACAGGAGTGTTTTTGCTTGCTATTTAGATACGGTCATGCGAAGACGCCTAATATTGCTACAGCCAAATGACTCGGTTGATGGAACTAAGGCTCGGTTGCCGACTTTGTCTTTCAATGTATATTGATTTCCTGAACTTTAAACGTTAGTCAGACAAACCTTACGCCAGAGTTCGCTATTACTGAAGTTGAGTCATCACCAATTCTGGTCCAAGGCTGGGGCAAACTTCCGTCTCTAAACGGGTCCATCGTCGCCAAAATGGACGAAGGCCTCCCACTCCCCGGGCATGCTTGGTAGTGGGCCTTAATGAACCTTTATGGAGCAACCTCGACTGTCACTTCTCACCGAATCGACTTGGGAAAGGTAGGGGTATGCCTACAATCATGAGTATTGCGGACTTGCCTACAGGTTGTGGTCTCTGAAACAAGCCATGCCGCTCGAGGTGTTCAAGCGGTTCATCGAATCTCATTCTGCGCCCACACGAAGGCTGTTATACAGTACTCCGGACCGACTATACCGCGAGTTCTGACTTTCAGTATCTGGATTGGTATGGAGCTATGCGCTCACCTTTCAGGATGAATATATGCGCCAACTTAGCTAAACTAGAGAGGGCTAGGCAGTGGTTGGGTTGCCTTCGTATTTCTAGTAAATATATTGAATAATACAAGCGAAAAGAGCCGCACCAGTAAGCATTGTAGAAATCAATGACTAGGTACTTAACGTGGTGTTTCTGCCTCTCTCATCTGCGCACCTGCAATCCTCCCTTGGCGAGCTTCACCAGTCACGGAAGGCCGAATCAGATGAAGAATTGATATTCGAGATATTTCAAACGTGGCCTAAATCATTTGAGCCTGTATCCTCCATTAAATTGGATGTGAGCAGAAGACGGGAGCTGCAAGGCCTGGAGGCATGGCATTGCCATGGACGCAGGAAAACCTCTTATGAAATACGCTGTGAATCCACCACATTGAAGTACTATAACCGTACATCCTACACATTCAAAGTAATTAATTATGTTACGGCATAAATTACCAGATCAATCTTGATCCAAGATCACAGAAGTGGTTCCAAGTAGAGTCTCCTGTTCGGGACCGGCCACCTCCTGCTTAGGCCTCCAGTCACCTAAGGACGGATCTCAATCTCGGCCCCAGGAAAATTAAAATCTTTTTCCAGCCTAACATATCGGAAACTAAGTACCGGGGCAGCTCAAAATCTTTGTTCAATGTGAAAATGGGATGTTGCGTCTATGCTTTCCTAGTAATCATAGTCATGATGTGCCTTGTTTTCGTCTCACGTCGCAGACTTATAGGAAATCCCTCTGTATTAAACTATTGGAGTAGAGTCCCGCTTGCATAGCTTATATATCGCGGCACTCACTTTATTGTCGAACAGACCGTAAGGTATTACTACCAACGCCTTTCCCTCTTTCCCAAATGGCCGGGTCGAGCTCTCGACGCGTATAGCCGATCCCAAAAGACAGGTCTTCAGCGGGAATTCAGGGGAAACCTCATGTCATTTTCCAACCCAATTCCAGCCTGGAGACAAATCTTCCAATCCAGGAGCTCACTTAGAAAGCGGCTCGCTCGAGCGCTGAGAAGAAGCCGAATCCCGGAGTAACTGTAAAAAGGTCCTCTCAGGCGGTAGGGAGGAGTATGATGTATGAAAGTTGGCCCCAGGTTGTGTACCGACTTTAACACCTACAAGGGCCCAGGAGGTTGCTCTTCATTTCGATATTATCAGGTAAGTACGCAATTGTCTCAGGAAAAAATAATCTAGCAGAGTTCAGGTCCTAACGAGGCATAAGGGTGGATGCCATTGTCCATCTGCGCCCCAACCGATAGCACACTCCTAGCTGTGCATGGTCAAAGTGAATCAGCAATTAAAACCATTTTTCAAGCCTTCCCAAACAGGTTATGGGTTGTTTGGATTTGGAAACAAGTCAAACCTTCCACGGGGCAACACTGGATACGGATTAGGAGCTTCTGCCACAAACCCTGAATCACAGCACCTTTTTCATGATGCTGTCAGTCCTCCAAGGTGACGCAGTCGTCGGACGTTGCGATATATCCCACGATCTTTATAGAATATATCTCGGGTATTGAGATTTAAGCGTCATCCGTATCTTAGTACCACCTGTTTGCGCCATGGACGCGAATAATCTCAGACGTCATCGAGAGAGCTTCCGAGAGCCAACCTCCGCCATACTCCTCGAGGCCGTGGCCGAATACTAGCACGTGGGAAGGGGAATGGTTAACTAATTGCCAGAATCTGTTAGACAAGCTGCGTACTTATCGTCCAGTTCTCAACCTTGGGGAATAAGGCGATGGATGGATTGCGAATGAGATGTTGGGCTTCTGCATGTGTGTTGGGAACAGATGCTTTTCTTCACGTGATATTCACTGTGCGGTCAGTATTGATTCTAGCGAAAGTCTTCAATGATACGCTGAAGACTCTATAGATTGTGGCGAAGGGGCATATTCTGTTAAGGTTCGTGGGCACATCCCGAATTATCTTCACCAGTTCCCAGGTTGTTGAGAGGCTCAACCTTCCCAAGTTCGACTTTGGTTGTCTTGATGCAATGGTTGAAAAGACCTGATTCATCGGATTCTATGCTTGCTGGATGGCAGTGCCCATCCATGACAATGAAGCCCGTAATTAAATATATCTGATATGCATTTTTTTCAATGTCACTACTATTTGGCACAACATTCACGCTGGAGAGGTGATTAGGTTGTGTTCACAGCTGTTTATCCAGCATTGTCAGTTTGATCAACCATTGAATCGCCCTCGTGCTGTCGTGGCCTCGGAAAAGCTAGCTTTTTTGAAACTAATTTTACGAGATTTCATTCACACCAACCAAGAAATCACTGAACTCAGTTGTCTGCTGAAAGCGTTTTCCTCTGGCGCTCCGTACCTGCTTACAAATAGAGGGCGTTCATCTTTTGGAGTCCTCCTGAGTCGAAGCACTCAGAGGACAGGATTCGTTTTGCATTGTTTTAGATAGTCATTGGATTCCCAATACTCTTCCAACAATCGGTTTTCGGCTTCAGCATGGTGGATTGAACCTTTGTAGTTGGCCTGATCCAACAAATCACCATCTCGCACGAGCTGCAGTCAAACTCGGGTTAAAAACCAGACCCTCGTCATCTAACAATACCGGCTTTTGTGACCTCTACAAAAAGAGAAGAGAAATAAAGATTTGCCCAAACCCAAATGCTGTCTGTGAAAGAATGAAGCCGTGGGAAAGCTCGTGGCAAGACAATTGAGGCGTTTGCTTTGGGCTTTGCAGGATGACCAGGAAGTTGCTGCACTGCCCGCTCGCCAGGACCATACTAGTCTACTTATCACTGTCAGTTTCTGACTCGTTCCGGAGATATATGTGCACATATCTTCGAGTAGCTGAGTTGTGGTGGTAGTATGTCAACACTCGTGACTGTCCAATGTGTTCCCTAGCCCCATTGATCATCCGGGGGTAGACTGGGGCGTATTTGGATCAGTCTTTCAGCTTTCCAGCATCTCCAGCGATTGACTCTCTACGTCATGACTTGATAAGCCACTTCAGTGGTGGAAATATAAGATCGACAGCACATGGATGCTGGGAGATTTAGAAGGAAATCTATGCAATTTGTGGTTACGTTGACCAATCTCAAGAGATATCCCCTGATAGATATGTTATGGCCGAAGCACTAGCTGACTGAACCCCAGTATCCAGATTCAATGGGGTACCCTACGGTAGTGCATAAAACCAAGATGTTACACAACGCCATGCCAAGAACCAGCGGCCAATACCAGCTTCATGGTCGGTGAGGTGTCTCTAGCAGCTGCAGAGTTATGGCGCAGAAAAACACTTTAAACGAAACAATGAGTTTGTCGATCAAAGAATGCGAGACGACTACAGAAATGATTTTGCTTTTTTCCTGCAACGGAGTGGCTTGGGCACAGTACCTGTTACCAACTCTCGTCGCCGACTATCGTGCAAACGCTTCCTTTGACGAAAGGATAAGATATACCTATTGCTGTTATGAAGTGCCATTTTCTTTCTTTCTTTTTTCTCCAAGTTTTTGTCTGTATCTTGTATACTTAATCGACGAGATATCTAACCTGGAAGGCATGGTTTTCTTGGAGTAGATGTAATGTGCATGGTGTTTGGGATTAGGAAGCCTTGGAAGCCGGAAGTTACTGTAAGGTAGTATGAGGCTGGGTGTGGGGCCATTGGGTGCCCCACCCGGATCCGCCGCCGAACCTGGCCGAAACTGCGTAGCTTCATCGGCTTCACCACCTGGCCCTAGAACCTGCGCCATCAACACTCTCATTCGAGTGAGCGAACCAAAGCTTTGTGGATCTATTAAAGACATTACTGAACATGAAGTGTGACTGAGTCATCAAGAACTGCCGACACCTTGAACCAAAGCTCCTGTCACTGCATCGATACGTCCGCTTTTCAACTTCTCCCAGACCTTGTATGCCGCGTCTGATTTGGTGGATATCATCGTTTAAGGCAGATGGATTACTGTAAACCATCCTAATACTAAAAACAGCAGTTGGAAAGGGGTTTCGTGTTTTAGAATACATCAATCAAATGGGCATGGATTCGTTTGATAAAGGAGAAGTTCTCACTTGATTTGATCATCGATGACCATATCTTGCAGACACCGTTGTGGTTCCAAGCCATTCTCTACTTCTACATTGCAATAGCCGTAAGTCTTGAGCTAGGAGCCAAGCCAGGTGTGTAAACTCATGACTGGATGTAGCCCACAAAACCTGTAAAGTCTCCCACCAGGTCAAAACATGTGAGTTTGACTGCAACATACGCGAGTGAAGAGACGAGGCACCTCGAAGGGCAAGCATCATAGCCACCATGCTCGTAGGGAGAACCATTCCGAACATATTCTCGAAACTACCTGGCACTTTATCGTTAAGATCGTGATGGCTCTTTGAGTGGATAAGAGCACCCGGCCGTTAGTCAGAGAATACCCAGCACCCTGAACGTTGTTGTCAATGTGGACCATTTGTCATGGAGGTGGAACATGGAATATGCCCCTTTGTGTATCGACATCAGCCCATCCGCATGCACGTCCCCTTTCGTCCCACCACCCCCTCAGCCCCCTCCGATCGGCTCAGTGAGCCCGTCCCATTATCCGAACCCTTCCTCCGCCAAGCCAAGACTGGGGTTGATGGGCAGATAGACATACAGCCAAGCCTTCGAGTCTGGGGCAGGACTACAGCTCGCCCAAACTGCTTGGCTGCACCGTCTCATGCTGCCCCAACCGCCAAGTCCGTTGCTCACTTTACTTGGCGATCACTAAATAGGGAGTTCGAGCAAGCAATTTCGCAGTTGACGCGACGCGCACATCACGCCAAGCATCCACATGCCACGACAGCACTTACACTACCTTGTTCGGGGTTCTCGACGACAGCGCCATCATGGTGGCAAAGAAACAGACACTTCAGACACTTGTGAGGCTTCAGGCAGGGATAGCAAACCCTTGCGAGGTTGTAATTTCTGCTTCACAAGCTAAAGAATTACGTTTCTCTGTGTATTTTTCTCTATGTGTCTCTGCGGGGAGCACCAATTGCCGTCCCCATATTCGTTTCATGGCCCGCCGAAGCCGCTCGGGAAGCCGCATTACTGCAGGTTATTGTGGCACCGCAGTTGTTGCAGACTCGTCCCCGCCTGTTCCCGTTCTTTCCCGCCGTTGCGTACCCATGTCGAAACCAGGTACGCAATGGCTAAGCACACCTTTCTTACAACGACATCGTGGAGATTTGATAAAACAGATTATACAATATTGCAGCCCAAACGCCAAGTGGCTTGTCCCCATCACTTGTTGTTTCCCTTTTATTGCTCGCACTTTTCCCTCTTCAACGTCCATCCTTCCTTTCATCAAGCTGAGTTTCGGCCGCTGGCAATCTCGGTCTCACTCACTTGGGTTGTGTCCTTCTTCGTTCGTAGAAGGATCTCCTTCAACGTTCTCTTGGTCTTCTTTGAATGTCTCTCGTACCTGAAGACGATGCGGTAAGAAACTGGCCATAACGCAAGTTGTGATGGTACTTACAATGGCTTGTGCTCTTCGTGAGGGTCGTGCGCCTCTGAGTAGTCGACGTGGACGAACGCTCTTTCGACATCTCCTAGTCCTGATCGACAAAGTCAGATGTGTACGATTCCGCACCGCCACGAAATGATCTTACCTTCAACCTTTCGCTGCAAATCCTGTGCAACGTCATGGGAGATTCTCAGAGGAGTTGACTCATCCATGACAATATCAATCTCGACGTAGTATCTCTGCCCCGCATGATACGCTCGGCACTGTTCACGGTCAGACGGCTTCGACACGCTCGGCAACAAGTTTCTTACCGTGTCAACCTTGAGGATTCGAGTGTCGTGAGTCATTGCCATATAAATGAGCTTAGAGACAAAGTCCCTTGGCGCTGACTTTCCGACCAGGAGCCAAACCTGATCAAAAGCATTTGAAACCCAGGAAAACAGGATGAGCAGTGCGATGCATATGGCACCAATGGGGTCCAGATACCACACGAATCGTTCTCCGACGACAGACATGATAAGACCGAAGGTATTGACGACGATGTCATTGCGGTGGTCGATCTACGCTTCTCTTAGCAGATGTCATCCGAAGGGGTGGATGGGATGACCATACGAAGAAGACATGCACTGAGGGGTACTTTCGGTATGCAAAACAGTACACCATCAAGGAGCCCTTGGCAAAGATGGCTACACTGACGATAACAATGGGCACAATGTGCAACTTCTCAGAAGTCCTTGCGCCCTCGGCGAGTGCGCGGCCTGACTCAACCTGTGCCCCAGATCAGCGTCTCAAACAACCCAGCCACACATCACTTGGCAACTTACCAAAAGCTGGATGGCAACGGTAGTCATCAGTGCACAGAAAAGGATGATACCGATCGTCTCGATCCTGGTTCGTCCCTATTATTGCCTCTCTGTCAGACGCTGGAAAGCCCCTTGCCAAGGCGTCGCGATAACTTACGACAGGGTACTTGTATACACTAGGCCTGGCCGCCATCCTTGAGGTGATGAGCATCACAAAGGATGAGACTAGGTCCATCTAGGCATCATCTCTTGGTCAGACTCTACGGCAATACCGTTTGGGGGCAAAGGGGTTTACTAACGAAGGCGTCGGCTGCAGTAGCAAATAGCTGGATTTCACGAGTCAACAGAGTCCACAAGAACAGGGACTTGGGTTCCAGTTTACCGAAAGAGACCCAGTAGAAACGGCAGCATAGAGCTGGATGACGAAGAGACAAAAGTTGACTGTGAAGGAGGCGTTGACGGCGAACTTGATTTTGGGCCCTACTCGCGCATCTTCGGCGACCTGTAGTCTTTCTTCGTCCTCGGCACCAAGGAACTGGTCAATGAGCTCATTCTGTCGGTTGTAGAACTTCTTCAGCTTCCTCTTGTTGCCCTTGGGATGCTCAATGGCCATCTGCTTCTTGGAGACATTGTCACGACGGTGTCGACCAAAGTCGTAGGGATCTGGGCGGTAAGTGTCAACGGTGATGGCGTCTTCGGCGTCGACATTGGAGTATGAGCCTCTGGAAGAGGTTCTAACGACCTCATTCTTGTTGGCAGTGTCATTCGAGGTAGACGTGACTAGTCCTTTGGTCGCAACTTTGTTGTCCGTGCCAGAAGCCGGAGTAGGCGAGATGGTGTCTGTGTTGGGCTCATGGTGGTTGTTGAGTTCCTTGTTCGCTTCACCATTCGAATTACTTTCCTGGTGACCGACAGAGTTTGCCCCGGCTGAGGCGGCTGGAGTGACGGTCAGCAAAGGCTGGTTCGTTGCAAAGTGGGATGAAGCAATGGCCAGTGGTGGTCAGTGGGCAGGGCAACCCGATGCGAGTAGCTCTTTGCACATCTCTGGGAGGATGTGATGAACCAGCATCTGGAGGGAGCTGGTGAGGCGAAGAGCGCTTGGTGAGGGGAGGGGGGGAAGGGGTGTGTGACCAAGAAAGAGACTGAGCCGAAACCCACGTACTAGATGATGGTTGGCCGCCGTCCTGAGACTCGCGTGGAGTATGCATTTTTGGGAACTATTGAGCTGGGTTCGGGCTTGGTAGATGGGGATGTAGAAAGAAGGTGATGATGCGACTAGAGAGTGGTAGTCATATATTAAGCATTCATGGCATCCTACGTGTTGTTCATGTCATGCTTCTCCCCCGTGACATCCGGGGGAGGTAACCGGCCACAAAGTCGGCCCCTTAGGTCCTGGACTTAACAGGAGAGCAGTAAGCTCGCTGCCGAAGGCTTGCTTCAATGCATTCCCGGTGGGCTAGACCTCGAGAGGGGAAACCAAACCCTGGCCGAATGACGAAAAGATGCAAGTTTGTGTGTCTCCAGGAGGCTTTCCCGCTTGTTTCCTGTCATTACTACTCCACCGTTCGGCCAGTCGAGTGGTGATGATGGCGCACGAGGTTGACTGCTCAGGGGGCATCTATTTGCGTCTTCCTGGTCAAGACAGGTCGTGCCGGGCTGACTTACAACTGTAAGCGAGGGAGCAGCGCAGTTGGCAAGCAGAGTCGAGGAAGCAAAGGGTCACATCGGGCCTAGCTCGAGGGCGAATGGCAGAGGTGACCCTGCCATCGCCATGAAGATGCTACCAATGTGCTGCATAGCTGGCCAATATCTGGCGAGGACGATCAGAACGCGGTCTGAGCGAATGCGACGCCGATTGGCCAAGGACGTGTTTCACACGGACGGCAGCCCCAAAACCCGCGTGGGTACGGCAGAGACAGGAAGCGACGGCCACTCTGCCAAGAGTTTGGGGCTGTTACAGAGTTTTGGGTAAGGTCGACGCTGGAGCGTAATCCGAAGCATGCCGTTGGTTCTTTGCTCTTACCGCCTATCACGAGACTTGGAGGGACCACCATGACAGATTAGCAGAGTTTTGCCGAGGGCCTTTAGCTGGAGGCCCGGAACAAGTTGCTTGTTTGTTTCGTTCCGAAGCAAGAATGAACGACAAGAAGACGCCATCGCCCCGCTCCGCATCGTCTCCAGCTTCTCCTCTTCGCATCAACTCCAGCTAGATTGCAACTATTGCTCGGATGTAATAGTTGCTTTTTTACCATCAATAGCAACAAGACGCGGCCTGCCCTCGACTGGCCCCATTATCTGTCATCTCAGACACCAAGAGCTCCTCTTTTCCATCAGCTTTCTTGGCTCCCCAAGTTTTACAAGCCCTGATCAGAAACCCTCGTTGCGGGACGATTGACGAGGTCTCGGCGCCGGACTGTCATCCCATCCCATCAGTGAGCCCATTCGGAGTCATTCTCTTACCTGGGGTTCTCAGCTATTTTGCCATGGACGCCAGCCAGCCTCCACTTCCGCCCACGCCCCGACCGGCGTCGTCGCGGTGGCCGTCGCTAGCCAGGCAAAAGGTTACCCTCGACTGCCAGGCCGATACGGGAAATGCAGCAGCGTGCGAGACACTGGCGGAGTAGACACCCCGAGACGACCCCAGAAGGCGAAGCGCAACCCGGAAGCAGGTCGCGGTAGTTTTGCGTGAAAAAATCGAGGGGCGGAAGATATGTGAGGTGCAAAGGCAAAGACACTGTCGATGGCCGTCTCTGCCTTTTCCTGAACCCCAGCCCAGCCAAGCCAACAAGACAAGCCCAACAGCAGAGTTGCCAATTAACATTAACTCGAGGAAAAGGGGACAAGTGTGTCACGGCTCTTGGCTCGACTCTTGGCTTTGGACGGCTGCGCCGGTCCCGCTGCCGCTTGCCTAGTCTTCCCCGGGCCTTCCGCCTCTAGCCTCCCCCCTCCCCCGCGCTTCCCGTTGGGTGTGGCTGTCCGCGATGAAGCCTCACTAAAGTCAAATCGAGTTAAGGAATTCTCCGACGGGTGTCCCTAGCCGTTGGACCCCGGTCGCCTCCGTTTCACACAACCCAAATTTTCCAAATGCCGGCTGGCAGACCCCGTTCGACGCGCGCCCCACGACACAACCCCCCTTCCCGCTTGGCAGTTACCCGGTGGAGGATCGACCGTCGTCTCGTTTTGGATGTTGTTCATCATCATCAGCCATTATACCCATTATCAATGTTGTTCGCCAAGGTCGACAAAGCGTGCGAAGCCGGTCGATTCGAGACGAGTGGCTGGATTGGCCACTGCTGGCCCGTCCCATCCGATCTGTTGCCCATACACCGTCACTTGTTTCTCATCTGTCAGGTCGAACCGGGCTCTCAGACACCCAGTCTCGCCTCTACCGGCAAATCATGCTAGAACGAACCACATCGGACCTTGATGGCGCCCGGGGTCATCGATGCTAGAGACGACCTGGGTGTCAGGCACCGCAGCGACTGCAATGCCTAAGCGTGGTTGACCTACTCTCCCGCCCTCTTCCTCGCCCCCTTCCTCGCCCCCAATACACTCACGGCCACCCACGTTGAACCTTGTTTCCGTTCAGGTCCTCCCGCCTCCCGCTTCCCGCGAGGCGGACGCTAAGGCCACGTCCCCCATCACGAACTCGCTAAGGCTCGTCCATCCTCAGCTCTTCCATCCTTGACAACGTCTTCTATTTCTGAATCGACTGGGCGGCCCAGGTCCCACTGCTATGTCCCATGTCGACGTTTAATCTTGCCTTACCCGTCGGTACATGGGCAGTCTTTGTGCGGGCTGTCATACGCAAAGCATATTAAAGCAAGTCGAGCCCAGACTTCAACCAAGCCTTTTCTGCTCGTCACAAGAGCGTCTGTTGTCGTTCTATCTTTCTATCGCCCGTTTCTTCCTTCCGTTTTTTTTCTTTGCTTCATTTCTCTTTTTGTTCACTCCTTTCCCTTGTGCACTCTAAATTACGACAGCGGGGACTTGATCAGCACTTTCGTCTGTTCTACTTTTGAAGCTGCGGGACAGCTTCTTGTGTCCCCTTGTTTTCTGTTGCCTTTATTTCGCAAATGAGTAGCTGGCTGTAGGCGGCCCCGGATCCTTTGGCTGCCTTTACTCTTCTTCGATTTCTCTTCTCTTTTTATTCTAGGGTTACCAATCAGGTAGTAACTCTTTTCTCGCAACACATACGATTTTTTAATCGAGATGGACGGAATGAAGGAGCCCAAGCCGCAATGCGGCGGTGGAAACACAGGCGGCACCGAGTACGACGTTGGATTGCACGTTGCCGGCCTTTGTAAGCTGGAACCTGAGGGACGTTGTGGTATAGAGCAGTCTGACTAACTTGACATAGTTTTGGTCTTGGCCTTTTCGATCTTTGGTATGCAGAACAAGCCTCGACGGACTTTGTGGCGCAACGTACTAACTCAAGGGCTTCAGGCGCTGGATTTCCCGTGGTGGCCAAGAAGGTCAAGTGGTTGAAGGTGCCCCCCAAGGTCTTCTTTGCATGCAAGCATTTCGGTACTGGTGTGCTCATTGCAACGGCCTTTGTTCATGTAAGTGGATCAGTCCAGTCCGTCTCTTAATTCAACGGGATCGCGTCTAACGTGTCGCAGCTTCTGCCAACCGCCTTTGGCAATCTCATGAACCCATGCCTTCCCGATCTCTTCACTGATGACTACCCGCCGCTCCCCGGAGCTATCATGATGGGGTCCATGTTCATTTTGTTTACTATCGAGATGTGGATTAATGCCAAGATTGGAGGCCATTCCCACGGAGGTCCCACTGGCGATGTGATGCACTCGCATGGTCATGGTCCGACGCAAGTTGCCCCAGCGCGACCCCCGCGATTCGATCAGGACAGTTTCGACGCCGACGATGACAGCATCGACTTTGAGAAGAGAATGGCCCAGCGCACATACGGCGATGAGAAGTCCCGCGTCCCCGCCTACGGCGAGCAGCCCGTAAACAACTTGTCCGACTCGGATATGCCTCCTTGGTTCGTTGTTTTCTACGAGCAGTACGTGCGTCAGCGCATGGAGATGATGAACATGATCCGCACCACCCAGGAGAAGCAAACGTCGTCGCAGGTTGCCGTGACAGAGGTCAAGAAAGAAGACCCCTTTTACGATGAAGAGGGCCAAATGGTTGACCCTGCCGTGTACCGTAAGATGTCTCTTAACATTACCATGCTCGAAGGTGGTATCCTGTTTCACTCGGTGTTCGTTGGCATGACCATTTCCATCACCGTTGACGGCTTCATTGTCCTTCTCGTCGCCATCTTGTTCCACCAAATGTTCGAGGGTCTTGGTCTGGGTTCCCGTATTGCCGCCGTTCCGTATCCCAAGGGCAGCATCCGTCCGTGGGTGTTAGTCGTCGCTTTCGGTACTACGGCTCCCATTGGACAAGCCATCGGACTGCTCACCAGAAGCACCTACGATCCCGAAAGCGCCTTCGGTCTCATCATCGTCGGTGTGTTCAACGCAATGTAAGTTACAATTATCAAGTGACAGAGATCTGAGCTAACATGGTCCAGTTCTTCCGGCCTGCTCCTCTACGCCGCCCTGGTCGACCTCTTGGCTGAGGATTTCCTTTCAGAAGAGGCCAACCGCATTCTCACCAGCAAAGACAAGATCACTGCGTTCTGCTACGTCCTTGCCGGAGGTCAGTAGAAGATTGCCACCTCGTTCATCCAATCTCAGACTAACTCTTCTTCAGCTGCTGGCATGTCAATCGTCGGTATCTTTGCCTAAGCCATTAGCAACACCATCGGGGAATCCGACTTCCCCACTTTCCCCTCGACTTGTCTCCCGCAAGAGGAACCAACCCCCCGTGCAGCCGAGCGACCAGCCCTTTCACTTCCTCAGGACCACACTAGGACGGACGAAGAGCGAAAGCCATCCCGCGTTCGACTGGACTTTGATAGCAGAGGATTAATGCTTGTTATTCGCCAATGCTGCGCCAGATTTTGTCACGCGAAACCAGGAAGGGACGGACTGTTAGTGGATACCGACAGCAACTCTCACAAAATCTACCACACTCTTTTATTTCTTTGCTATCATCCCTGGTGCAACTAGCTGCCGGGAACTTTGTATAATAGTAGTGACGTTGCTATATGTGGACCTCGCCCCGTAAACCACACAACAAACGCGTACGGGCACAACAGGCAACTTCTTTTTTGTTTCGGAGCATTATCAGGTTAACCTCACATGAGCATTTTTCATGGTGTAAACTGATATATGAGGGTACACAATATTTATTAGTCTCGCGATATAAAGGCACGGAAATGGAAAATCTTCTTGTACGATAGCAACCCCCCGAAATAGGACTGGCAAAACATTACTAGGATTGGCCATCACCATGACATGCTATCATATATGTTTACGCGTCAATAGTTCCGAGCATTCGAACCGTCATATGCTCTATTCTGGTACCGTCTTATCAGGCCGTTGTGCGACAAAACACAACCGCGGCAACGACAGAGTTGGACTCTGATCGGATCACGAGAAACAACCCACAATGTCGTTTCTGCTCAGTCGCCGGAGACACTTCGAAAGGCCAGCGCGATAGTTGAATGGGTAGGCTCAATAAAACTTTCTACTCCACATTGGTTGGCGTCTTGGAACAGAGTAATAGTGGGAGCATTGGTAGGGGGGTCGATGGAAACGGCAAAAGAAAAGACAGGATGCCAAGCAGCCGCCTCGTATGAAGTAGATGGCGGACACGAAAGGGGGTTGGTGAGAAAAGAGACCAAGAAAGATGAAGCGACGTTGAGAAAAGCGTAGCGAGGGTCCCGAATCAGGGACGGACCCGTTACCCTGGGAAAAGGCAGATGAGAAGCTTTTTCGAGCACAGCCGCCCTAGGTACATACCCTAACTACTGGTAGGAAACCCAGCCTTGCTTTGCTTTTTCTGTTTGCATCGGAGCTTGGAGCGACTGTTAGTCTTCCCACACGCAAATCCGAACTTGCAGGTACTGTCTGTTTGTTACTGCCTGCACCCTGAACGGCCGAGAGCGAGAAGAAGGGGCTAGGCTGTTACGATTTAACCATGTCGTGTATAAGGTTATCCTACGGGCCGGAGGATTACTGCACGGCGGAAGGTAAGAGGCAGAGGGGAGAAGGGGTGGAAATGGTGCAACAGTGACAGCGCGATGCATGCCTGCACCTGCAGAGCCTTCCCTCCCTCCCGTACGACTACTGCAAGGGGCATGCTGCTCTTTCTCTCTTCCCCCCCCCTCTCTCTCTGCCCCGTGGACCCTTGTGCGAGGGATGCCAGGCTCTGCTGTGTGTGCTGCGTACTACAGTGGTATGATGGCATGCACGCGAGTGTCAACCAAGGAGGGGATGGGCATGGTGTCACTGCTGCGCCTATAAATATGATTTCAGACAGTTTGAAGCAGCGGGGGTCCAAACTCCGGACGAAAAGGAGGGGGGGGGGGGGGGGGGGGGGGGGGGGGGGGGGGGGGGGGGGGGGGGGGGGGGAGGAGGACGGTGGGCAAGGGTTGCATGTGGAACTGATTGATGGGGAGACTTGTCTCGCACATGCGTTTCCCTGCAACAGCGTGGGCGAGTTCCGCCGACGACGATGGCGACGAAGGCGGCGGTGTTTCTAGAACCTTGATTTGCCTGGCGTTTCCTGTTGGCCCTACTATGTATATCTCGCATCAGTATCGGCGGTACGATGTACAGTGGGGGGTCAGAAGTGTGGAATCACCCCCGCTTCACCCAGCCACCTGCATTTTCACCCCATCACTTCATCCAGCAACAAAACTATCAACTTTTTGAATTATATAGTAAGACTATAGTTAAATTAAAGCCCTAAGTTTACTGGTCAGTATCGTGTATACTAACCTTATGCTTTTACAACTGCCTTTAAGTGTAATAGCACAACTCCCCTAGCCCGATGGTTGTACGTCACAAGGGCATATAAGCAGTGTTGACAGCAGGGCTTGCACGCGTGCAAGCACTGACGGATCTTTTGGGTCAATTGGGTCAATTGGTTAGGCCATAGAGTCAAAGGGTCCTTGCGACCGACGTCACTGTCAGCGTCTGTTACATTAAGCGCCTCGGTAATGACTTAATTAACGCTTGTATTTTCTCTTATAGGATTGTTTTTTATGCTGCCTATAATTGCTCCTTAAATCTTTTGATATCTAGCTCGTTTTTCCTAAGGTTAAATGCTTCTAGGTATAGCTTTTATAGGTTATCTTTTATTATACGCTAATAATACTTAATTAGGTTGAGATCTGGCGAATATAAGGGCTAGTTTATCTAGGAGATCCCCTAGTTAAGTATCTAATCTATGGTCTTTATAGCATTATATATAGGCGCATTATTATATATAAAATAACATATTTTGTTTCTATTAAGAAGATATTTTTCTTTTAGGTATAATATATAGCTATTAGAGCTATATCTCTGCTTCTAGGTGGTTGTATCTCTCACAAGAAAGATAAGTTTACTTTAACCCTCTTTCTATATTATTGCCTACACTATAATTAAGATATTTGCTTTAATATAGCTTATTAGGTTAATAAATTACTTATCTTAGCGCTTAGAAGGGAATCTAAATACTTAGGCTAAAGGCAATAAGGAGTTATTTTGGTATAAGTTCTTGTCAGAGAACTAGGTCTATATAAGAAGAAAATCAGCAAAAAGGCCTATATAAGAGGTAAGTCTAGAGATAAAAGTACTATTATTAACTCCTTAATTTTTTGTAGCTATTCTCTAGTAAAAGTAAGCCTCTTTAATGCTGCTTTTCTAGTAATAAATAGCCTTTTTATAGCCTTTTATTTGCGAAAGTTAGTGTCTTGTAAAGTCTGCTTAATAGTACTAAGGCTAACTTGGCCTTTCTAAGACTTAGTAAGCTCTAAGTAGATAACCTGGAAGTTATAGCGAGTAAACTTGATAATTGCCTTTTTTTCCTGCCTATTAAGTTTTGGTGGCTTGCCTTTTCGGGGCGTAGACTTAAAAGATTGGCTTTCTCGGTATTGTTGAAGTGTGTTGGCGACTGCCTTATAGGAGCAGTTGAAGACTATAGCTGCGTTGCAGTAACTTCGGCCAGCTAGCACAAAGGCCACAATCGCGATCCGCTGATCTCTTGATAACTCATTGTTAGGCTTTCGATTTCCTGATAAATGAGAAGAAAAAGCTTATAAATTGGCCTCTATTTCCTGAAGTTATGGGAGAAAGGAAAAAATCGATGTATAGAGGAAGACGCGTCAGGACGCGCTTTAAGGTGGGGTGATTCCACACTTCTGACCCCCCACTGTATGCACGGGTCAAGTGGTGGTGTACACATATCGTACACTACCTACATATCGCTTGCCTTGCCTTTTTTCCCCTTTGGGTGTGGGCCCGCAGGATGCACAGGCACATCTCCGCGCCGAGCGCACCCCGGTACGAACATTTTTCCATCTATTTATCTGATTTGCCTCTTGGGGGGTTATGACGAAGAGGAGCCCGATGATGTGGTGGAAGGCAGATCAACTGAGAAAGGCAGAGCCAGCATGGACGCCAAACGAGATTGGCTTCCTTGGCAGAGCGTCACTCGACTGTTTGGGTGACACTCGAACAGCGTTGAGGCATGGTGGAGTAAGTATAAGGCATGGATGGAATGCAGTGGGAACTAGGCAAGGTGAACCGAGCCCGGAAGAAACGGCCACCCTGCCAAGACTTGTCATGAGCAAGCCAGGTCACTCGACGTCCTGCCCTTTTTGGAGTTGAGATTTTTTTTCTGGGGGGGGTTTTTTTTTCTTGGCACAGAAAGGTAAGGCGAACGAAACATTCTGGCTATAGAAAAATGGATACGGCAAGTTCATGACGCGGCCGTGCGTTGCATCCGTTGTTCGGTTTCTTTCGAGGCGTTCGGGTTTGACAATTGTGGCTCCAAGTTGGACGTCAGGCGAGAAGGAGAAAAACAAAGCCACGGCGGCGAAGAAGGGGGGCCTGGCAGGTGGGCATATTGGCAGGGCGGTTCGTGTATCAGAACCCGATTGTGAGATGGGGGATGGGGAGGTGGTTTTTCCAACTTTTTACAAATACACGGTCTTGGCACCTGTGTGATAATCACAGGATGAGCACGGAAACCGTTCGGCCACGCACATATCAGCCAACATGTTATTACCGCAGCTCGCCAAAACTGGTCACCAGAAAAAGCAAAAAGCGGGAACGTGGCGTTTCCCCCCCTCTCCTATGCGACACATCAGCACACACCGGACGGAAGCACAACGACTACTGTTACCGATTGCTACGGTATATCATGAGGTTGCTAAGCCCGCGCGCGTTCCTTCCCCCCCTGCGGACGCCTTTCATCCGACGTCCGAGGGAGAGACAGCGGAGCGATGGTACGATTCGGAGGGAAGTGAGCTGGGCTTTGAGGGGGAAACGAAACAGAAACTCGAACCGGGAGGTCGTGAGGCCGCCTGGACGTTGGTCATGGACAAAGGGTCGTAGTCCCGTCATTGGGTTCAGGCAAGTCTTGCCTGACAATCTCTCCCCCTCCCTCGCTGGGTTCTACTCGAGATGGAAAGGAAGATTCGGAGTTACGATGTGCTTCCCTCTTTGGGGAAGCAGTAGCAAACGGTTCTGCTCTGCGAACTGGCCCAACCCCTCCAATCTCGTTATCTGAGGAGAGTTAATGGGGAGCAAGGCATGGGAAGCTAGCAGAAAGCCATGGTTCTTGCAGAGGCGAAGCCCGCCGACGGATCCGGAAGTTTTCTACAAACCTTCTGGGACACATGATGCGTAAGTCGGAGAAGCAGGTCGAAACGACATACGGAATAGAAGAGCGATGGCAGGCCTTGGTTGCGTGGGCGTCGATAAAGCTGCTGCTAAAGTATATCGTCTTCGAGATGGTGCGTGCCGGCGCGTGAAGTGATCCGAGAGTAGTTCACCACGAACTTTTACGGTCAAGTTAGGTTGCGGGGGAGGAAAGCAAGAAAGTCGTGCGTGTTCATCAGACTTTCGACCAATGTAGTTCATTGCTCTTTGTCTTTTTCGTTCAAACATTATAAGTAAATATCTACAGAGAAGGCGGCCAAAGCTGGCCCAAGGTTGTGTCATACTTGTTGAACGTTTGAACCCAGATTCCCACTGTCTAGCGGCAACTCAAAGACGGCCCAAGCAAGCACGATCCACCCCTTCTACACAACTGTCACGGTGGCGTTGCCACGAAGATCGTCGCTGGAGGAGCCAACGAAGACGGTGAAGTCGCCAGGCTCGACAACGTACTGCAGCTTCTTGTCCCACAGGCCCCAGGCGGAGACGGGCAGGTCGACCGAGACATCGGCGGTCTCGCCGGCCTTGATGAAGACCTTTGAGAAGCCACGAAGCTCCTTGTTGGGCACAACGATGGAAGAAATCATGTCTTTGACGTAGACCTGGACGACCTCGGCGCCGTCGCGGGTTGAGTTGTTGGTCACCTTGACGTTGAGTGTGACGGTGTCGGTCGGGGAAACGCTCGACGAGGAGACACTGATGTCGGTGTAGTCGAAGGTGCTATAGGACAGACCGTAACCGAACTGCAATCATGTCAGAAGCGCGTTCTCACTGTGAATCTGGTCGGTTTTATGCTTACCTCGTACAGGGGCAGAGGACTCGACAGGACGTAGTTGTTGCCAAAGACCAAGGTGCCATTGGGGTACTCCTTACCCGGGTTGGGCCAGGCGCGGGCGGAGTTGAGGTAGTCGTAGTAGACGGGGGTGGTGCCGACGTCGTAGGGGAAGGCGACGGAGAGCTTGCCGGAGGGGTTCACGTTACCGTACAGGATGTCGGCCAGCGCGTGGCCACCCTCCTCGCCCTGGTAAAACATCTGGACCAGAGCGCCGGCCTCGTCCGAGATCCAGGGCTCGGTGATGGGCTTTCCGGAGCTGAAGATGACGACGGTGGGCTTGCCGGTGTCAATGACGGCCTTGACAAGGCGGCCCATGGCGCCGACGAGCTTGAAGTCGTGGACGTCAATGTGTTCACCGGTGGTGGCGTTCAGACCCGCCCAGAGCTCGTCCTGGTCACGAGACCAGGTCCCGACAATGACGACGGCGACGTCGGCGGCCTCGGCAGCAGCGATGGCCTCGGGGAAGCCGGCCTCGTCGTTGGACCAGCGCTCAGCACCCTTGGCATAGGTGACAGTGCCCTCACTGGCGGCTCGGATACCGTCGAGGGGAGTGACGCCGCGCTCCATAGCGGTATGGATGACATAGTCGCCGTACTGAGTGTTGTTAGCGCTCGGCTGTGGTCTGTCTGAGTGGGCAGCTTACGTTGACATAGCCGTGAGCCATGGGACCAATGACAGCAACATGGGCATCCTTCTTCAGGGGCAAGGTCTCGTTGTGGTTCTCGAGCAGAATGATACTCTCGGCGTCGAGGTCGCGGGCAATCTTGCGGTGCTCTTCGGTATTGATGTAGTCGAAAAACTGGTCGTCGGGGACAGCGGTGTAGGGGTGCTCGAAGATACCGGACTTGAACTTGGCACGAAGGACACGGGAAACAGCGGTGTCAACAACGTCCTCGGGCAGAGTTCCATTGGCGACGAGTTCGGGGATGTACTGGAAGCTGTAGCGTCCACCACCCATCTCGGCGTCGTTGCCAGCAGGCAGTGCCTATTCTCATGTGAGCAAATAGTCACGGGCCGAAAGTATGATTAGGACACTTACGTTCAGGGTGATGCAAGAATCGTCAGTCTCTCCGCAAACGAAGAAGGCGTTGGCCAGACGGGCGGTACCACCAGCGTCGGACTGGGTCTCGTTAGCCAAGCTCAAGGCCAATGCCGGATCAACTTACGATGACGTAGTATTCGTAGCCCCATTCCTCGCGGAGAATCTCGGTCAACAGATGGTGGTCGGCCACAGTCGGGACGCCGTCGTAGGCGTTGTAGGAAGACATGATGCTCCAGGCATCGGCATCAAAGATGGCGCGCTTGAACGCAGGAAGGTAGGTGGTACGAAGCTCTCTGGGGCCGCCGTGAACGGGAGCAGTGTTGACGCCCTGCTCAGGGGTAGCGAAGGCAGCAAAGTGCTTGACCATGGCGCAAACGCCCTCCTCCTGAAGGCCCTTGGTGTAGTGGTATCCGTACTCGCCGACCCTACACTGTGTCAGTCTGGGTTGTTTGTTTCTGCAGTCAATGGCACATACAAGAAGGGGTCCTCGCCGTAGGTCTCCTCCACACGCCCGAATCTCAGCTCACGAGCCAAATCTACCACGGGGGCAAAGATCTGGTTCACGCCGAGAGCCTTGGACTCGATGGCAATGACTCTGGCCATCTTCTCGACCAGTTCAGGGTTCCACGAGCAACCGTGGGCAATGGGCGAGTTGAAGATGGTGGCATTGAGGGCAAGAAAGCCGTGGATTCCCTCGCTCTGGATGAAAGCCGGGATACCTAGAGAGTCTCAGCATCTCACTCGGTCCATTTGATCGCGTCCCAACTCACCCAGCGTGGTGTTGTGCAACAGGTAGTCCTGGGCTAACTTGGCTCCATAAGAGACGGTAGACATATTGGTGTAGAGTCCAGTCCAGATGGAGTTGGCTCTGTTCTCAGCAGCCCAGGCCAGACCACTCTGGTTGAAGCGGCCATCGGTCAGGTTGAGGTAGTCACGAATATCGGCCTGGATCAATTGGGCAGTCTTCTCCTCAATAGTCATGCGCCTAAGAAGGTCAGACACTCTGTCGTCAATGGTGGCATTGGGGTTCTTGTAGGTGGGCGTGCAGGTGCCGTTCGTGTAGGTGCCGTTCTGGGCGGCGACGGCCGCGACCAGCAGCGACGAGGCGAAAGTCAGAGAGAGCTTCATGCTTCCACGATTCGGTATGCGGGTCAATGGAACACTAATTGACGTATCGGCTACAGCTCTAGAGCTCAAGAAGAACGCGACTCTGGGACATGACGCGCGCCGTCAGAGGGTATTAATACAGCTCTCGCTTGCGCCGCTGCTTCGACCCGACTTTACAGCGACATGATGCCACGAGCCAAGGATTCAGAGTAAACAGACGTAATTGCATTGGGAAGCCGGCCAACGAGGGAAAGGAACTTCTCCGCATCGATCATGAAGCCCCCCCCCAGTCTTCCCCTCGTGAAAGGCCAAAACCTGGCGCGATGTAACTGCCAATTTGCTCTTGCAGCGGTCTTGCCCGGCACTCATTGGGCAGCCAAACATGAAGACCCCTGGTCGTTCCTGCACATGGCCTCCCAGAGACTTAGGATGTGGCCGTGCTGGAGGCCAAAAGAGGCGGACTGACGACATACCCAAACCTGCCGGGCATCGAACTAGGAGATCAGCTTGCAGCAGACCATTTCGATGTGCATATCGGCTCGTGAAGCTGATGGTGATGGGTGATTTTGCATGAGGGGAAGTCAGTTGGAGATGGAAAAGTTGGGGAAAGCTCCGCCCGCATCCCCAGATCTGCAGAACGAACATGAGGTGGGTTTGCTTGGGGGATGGATGGTGGGGCAAGGGGAGCGAATAGCCAGTGTTTAGCGAGTGGGTCTTGAATCGGCTCGTTTCCACCAATGACAGTGTCTGCGGTCCCAGCTCGTCCGGACCCCGAGAACCGCTCAAATCCGACCAGTCCGGTTGGAGAACAATGTTGACCATACTGCACTAACGGGGGACCGGAGACGGCAGGTTTCCCCACACTAACGACAATCCAATGGCACAACATTGAAGTGGTGATAGGCCCCAGGTCTCTGCGGGAACTGCGAATGGCCTACGGTGCTTTGCTGTGGCCTGCTGATGTCTATCATTGCTCTCTTCTCCCCTGCCCAATCTCCCCTCCTCTCTGCCGCTAACTCCACGCTTCGCTCACTATCCGCGCCGTCTCTCTCCTTCTTGTCAACTCGCTCCAGCCCACCCGAACCTGCTCTATCGGGCCGCACCCCGGAACCAATCGGGCGAAGCCAATGGCTAAACATGAATCAGCGGCCTCGTGGTCGAGGCTCACCCCATTGCGGATACTGGCGGGATTGCGACGATGGGATTCGCTGGCCATGGCCCCGGCAGCGGGACTCTGCCGTGTGAGCCCTCCCTGCTCCGAGTAATCCTCCGCAGCCCTCGTGCTCTCACTGAGAAGCAATTATCGTACAAGAGACGAGTTTCACTCAGGTCTTGAGCGGCTTCCCGGCTCGAATCGTGCCTTGACTCCCAACATCTCTGTTCGTCGTCTGTTTGTGCGCAAGATACCCCTTTGATCGACGTTCATCATGGTTCGCCTCCGCGATGGAATGTGGCTGCCCGCCGAGGGCACGGCGACGGAGTACGCAGAGGAAGTTTACTACACCACCGAGATCGAGGGTGGGAAGGGACTCAGCTTGCTGTGCCCGACGAGGAAAATCAAAACCCGCGGCCACACGCTGAATGCGAGCACCGTTACTCTTGTAAGTCGGAAATTCCGCCAGCAAGGCAGACCTCTCAAATCCTCCCAAACTCACTGCTGACACCCGAGACAGGACATCAAGGCCGAGTTTGACGGCGTCATCTCAGTCGAGGCGACTCACTGGGCTGGCGCGCTCAACAAGGGTCCTCACTTTGAGCTGTTTCCCGATGGCAGGCCAGAAGTCGAGGCTCAGATTCAGAAGGGTGACAAGGGCACGACTTTATCCTCGGGCTCGCTGTCCGCGACCATTCACCCGGATTTTGACATCCAGTTCCACAGTACCGACGGCACCAAGCGGCTGACATCCCTTGGGAGCCGGAGTGTCGGTCTAGCATACAACCCTGCGCCAAGCACGCCAATGCAGACCGGGGACATGCGCGACTTCAAGCACTACATGTTCACTCAGACCACGCTCGGCGTCGGCGAAACCATCCATGGCCTCGGTGAGAGGTTCGGTGCCTACAACAAGGTCGGCCAGTCCATCTCCCTGTGGAACGCCGACGGCGGCACCTCCAGCGAGCAGGCCTACAAGAATGTCTCCTTCTGGCTAAGCTCCAAGGGGTACGGCGTCTTCATCGATACGCCGGGCAAGGTGGAGCTCGAGATCGGAAGCGAGCGCTGCAACCGCCTGCAGACCGTGGTCGAGGGCCAGCGACTTAAATGGTACATCATCTATGGCCCCACACCCAAGGACATTCTGAAGCGCTATACCACCCTCACGGGCAAGGCGGGCAGGGTGCCTAGCTGGAGTTTCGGCCTCTGGCTGACAACAAGCTTCACGACAAACTACGATGAGCAGACGGTCAACACCTTTCTCGAGGGCATGAAGGCCCGCGGCTCGCCCGTCGACGTCTTTCACTACGACTGCTTCTGGATGAAGGCCTTCACGTGGACCGACTTTGTCTTCGACTCGGAGCGCTTCCCCGACCCCAAGGCGCAGATCGCCCGCCTCAAGGAATCGGGCCTCTGCAAGAAGGTCTGCGTGTGGATCAATCCGTACATCGCGCAGCATGGCGAGGCGTTCAAGGAGGCCGCCGAGAAGGGCTACCTTGTGAAGCGCAAGAACGGCGACGTCTGGCAGTGGGACCTCTGGCAAGCCGGTATGGGCCTTGTCGACTTCACCAACCCCGAGGCGTGCCAGTGGTACGAGGACAAGCTCAACACGCTCTTTGACCAGGGCGTCGACTCCATCAAGACGGACTTTGGCGAGCGTATCCCCTCCCTCGACGTCGAGTGGCATGACAAGACGGTCGACCCCGTCAAGATGCACAACTACTACGCCTTCATCTACAACAAGGTCGTCTATGAGGCGCTGCAGAAGCGCTACGGCCAGAACGAGGCCGTCTTATTCGCCAGAGCCGCCTGCGCCGGCACCCAGCGGTTCCCCTTGCAGTGGGGCGGCGACTGCGAGTCCACGCCCGAGGCCATGGCCGAGTCGATCCGCGGCGGCCTCGGTCTGGGCCTCAGCGGCTTCTCCTTCTGGAGCTGCGACATTGGCGGCTTCGAGGGCTACCCGCCACCCTGGATCTACAAGCGCTGGGTGGCCATGGGCCTGCTCTGCAGCCACAGCAGGCTCCACGGCAGCAGCTCGTACCGCGTGCCGTGGGTCATTGACGACGACGACGCCAGCGACGAGGGCTGCTCGCGTACGCTGGCCAAGTGGACGGCGCTCAAGTCGCGCCTGATGCCGTACATCTTCTCCGAGGCGCAGGCCGCCGTAGAGCAAGGGATCCCCCTGTCCCTGCGCGCCATGTGCATCGAGTTCCCCGAGGACCCGACGTCCTGGTACCTCGACCGCCAGTTCATGCTGGGGCCCAGTATCCTGGCGGCCCCGATCTTTGAGGAGTCGGGCGAGGTGGAGTTCTACTTGCCCAAGGGGCGGTGGACCTCCTTCTTCTCAGGCGAGGCCCGCGATGGGCCCGGGTGGTTCAAAGAGACGCACGGTTTCGGCTCGCTGCCGCTCTACGTGCGCGAGAACACGGTGCTTGTTCTGGGCAGCGAAAAGGCTGTCGGCGCGGTGTACGACTACGCTCAGGACGTCGAGGTCAGGCTGTACCAGGTCAAGGAGGGTGCCAGGGCAACGGTCGTTGATACTGAGGGCCAGGAGATTGGTGTTTTGGAGGTTGGCGAAGATGGTCAACTCAAGGACACTGCCATCCTGAAGGGCGACTTCAACGTCACGGAGTTTTAAGGGATCGGTGCCAGTTGTTGTGTGCGCGCGGTATGACATGTTCATGAATCTATGAGGCTATCTGCATATCTAGGGTTAGATGGCTTAGAACCGGTTTTCCTTCAAGGGTACTTATGCCAACACTCGCAAAGTTCATGATATTCCCAAACGTCATTGTATTTTTCAACCACCGTCCTTCCCCAAAGGTCTTCCGGGCCGTTCCAGCGGAGAGGCCAGCCAACCGGGACCTGTCGGATAGTCGGCTATTCCCAGGCTTGCAACCCACCGCCACGCAGAGCCGTCAAAGTATTTACCCCGCGCCGTGGCCCTTGATCTCGAAGTGACCGGACCCCTCATCTCATTTCCCATGATGCAGGCCTCTCTCGTGGTCTCACCTGGTCTCTTCACGTCTTCGCTAGTCATGATTTGGTACCGGGAAAACAAGCTCATCGTTCTCCAAATCTCTTACTGTCTCCAAGGCGGTCTCCAGGTGGTGATCTCCGTATTTTTGTCGCTCGCAGGGCCGGGTCCGCCCCCAGCCGGCCAGAGTTTCCCCGCGAACCACGAACGACTCATCTCCACTCCCTTCCGCACCCTTGGCTCCGGCTACCCCTCAGTCGGCCCCAGATCTCAGGCGGTGACCATTCACAGTAGCCCAAAGCCGCCGCTACGCAACGGTAGTGCTTCCCCGGTTGTTCTACTAGTGCCGGCTTCACATCTTGCGCAGGACCACGGAATCTTCAGGCTTTTCTTTTCTACCTGGCCTCCTTTGCTTGGGTGTAAGTGCAGTTGGGGTAAGCTGCAGCCTGATGTCTCCCGGTAGTACCAGAGCAGTACGTACTATGCAATGCTTCACACCCATTCAAATTCTCCAAATCTCGGTTCTTGCCATTTTGAGGCTTCCCCGGATGTGGGATAGGCAGGGTGAGTGATACTGAAAGCGAAGAAACCCGGGGAGGGTGGCATGGCTTGCGCATGTCCGAATGACTTTCTCTGCATTGAATCTTTGGAAGCTTTCATAATGCAGAGGACAGTTTTCGATTCGGGCTTCGTAAACCTTGCAGCACGTTGTGAGCCCTTTAATGTGCTTATTCGAAGTGACGGAAATGAGATGCAGTCTATATAGTCGAATTTGAAAGGAGCACGGAAGAGGAAGATGCGAAAGTCATAGACGAAGTGGCCCCATTCTGATTTTCCATTGGAAACCGTTTGAACGCATCTTCGCCGTCAAGCTAAACCAGAGGCCGCTATTCAGGTTACAGCATACGGGTGCGGCGGCGGAAGAATCAGATACCTGGACACCACTGCAGATCAATGGAGATAGACGAGCCAGAGGATTCTGATCACGGTACACGATCCACAGCCTGCCAGTCCCACTCCGGCACTACATATTATTGACATAGCCAAAACTCACAAGGAACCTGAGGGCCTGGGTCTCGGAGTGCGACTCTGCGATGCAACTTCAAGGGTATCTCGCACTTACCAAGCATTAATGTTCGCTCGCTTGCGTGATTTGCCACTGTAAAGTCTGAGTGGGCTTCTTCAACAACTGTAAGCTGGAGGCTGTATAACCAAGACACAAATAGCTTTGGTATGTGTACATGAATAGAAAGACCCTTCCATGTTCGGAACGACAATAGCCTTCCGGGCTGCAAGACAATGACGATGAAGCAAGAAACCAAAGGGTATCCCACACTCTGAGCCTCCTAAGGCACATCACAGAGGTTGCTAGTTCAAATCAGACCACTAAGACAGGGCTCTCGGTTAGCCTCTCAACTCCATCCTACGTTGGCTGCAACACTTACGTTATCCGGTGTAGTCGTAAGTTCCTCGTATGCCTGCAATATCTCAAACCCCATTGCCATGACATTTTCGTAAGAGTCGTCTTGTATCTACAGTTTGTTAGCCTTGGGACGTTATCCACGACAACGGCAAAGCTTACCCAGCTGAGCACAGTCTTCGCCGACTTGTGTGCCTTGTTCTGACGGACGCCCATCAGAGTCAACCCCTGGAGAACCAAGGTATCCTGTGACCCAGGGTGTACGACCGGTGCAAGGACACCTCCGATCCCCTCATCTACGTTCGAGAGCAGCGGAGGTACAAAGGTTGAGAGCGGGCTGCCTGGTCTGCAGATGATGATAGTCCCGAGCAGCGTATCGCCCGGCCCTTTTGCCCGCACTATACCGCAAGCCTTCGTTTCTTGCAAAGCGCACTTGTACAACTCCAAGACCTCGGGGTTCGCGCAACTGCCAACGTGACTGAGGACGCTTTCGGCATTTTCCAGGCCGTGTATCAGATCGAAGCTAAGGTTCGCTCGCTGGATACTTTGCAGCAGGCCCTCGGGAATGCTCCAGCCGCTCAGGTCATTGATTATCAGGTTGGTTAGCCGTTTGGGGAATTGGACGTCCCAGCCGTTGTTGGCGAACCAGTTCTTGACACCGCCCTCGTCGATGGGGATGCCCAAAAACACGCCCGGAAACGTGGTTCCCAGCTGTAGTTTCTTCACGCCTCGCTTGCCAATGAGATACCGTAACGCTCGTCGGTGGAGAGATCGTCCAACAGAGACGTTGCGCTTTGAGGGATCCACAAAGATGGCTCCCAGAATACCGGTTCCGTCTACAAAGTATGTGGCTGCAAACCCGTACAAGGCGTGTGTGCTGCTGTTTCTGACGACAAAGTGCGCTTCTTCAATGTTTTGGTTAAACAGCTCAAAACTCGCAGCAGGCATCGACTCCAAGTGACCCATATCGACTATATTGGCCCGGGCAACGGCTTTGGTGAGCTCCTCGAGTCCATGGGCGTCGCGGTGGCGATCATACTCTTCCACAATCCAATGCTGGCGTGACTTGAGGACCTTCTTACTCTTCCGCAGCGTCCCTGGCAGGGTTCCCTTTGGCACAATGTGTCCACAGAGAGCCCGCACCAGTGCATGCATTGCAGTCTCCGTGAAGTCAAAGGTGCAGATGTAGGTACCGATCGACTTGTCCATGGCGAAGTCATAAGGAGAGCTCACAGCTACGACGATGACGGACTTCTTCTGGCCCCGCGTTCGCAACATCGAGCACATCATCTCTACATGCTTCGTGAAGCCAGCTTGGTACAGATTCCTGTTCGCATCCGCAGTGACGATGATAATGCACGACGCTCTATGGATGAGGTTCTCATGGACTAGAATGATGCTGTCAGCAGGGCGCTCCGTTTTAGGAGAGAAAATATCGTACCTGGCCTGACTCCGTTCGCTGTGTAACTCGTATGAAGGAGTTTTCCATGACGGGATCGTGCTAGAGAGCGTCCAAACTCTCTAAACACACCCTCTCCGCTCATTATTGCTCCCTTCTCTCGGTGAAGCCATTTATCGTGAGGCGTTGGAGCTAGCCCTTGTGCATCTTTGGCCTGGAGAATGCTTTTCGTCAAGCTCGAGGCTGGTAATGGTTTGACCAGTGGTGTGAGAAGCAACAACTCTTCCTCCTTGTGCATGGATTCCGATAAGGGTAAGAGTTTCTCCTTGTCTCTGATGACCGTAATCGAGTCGTCATATGCTTTCCTGGACAGGGCCATGTGTGATGGATGTAGCTTAGAGAGCAGAGATATTCCAGGTGGGTTGAGGGCTGTCTGCCAAGACGTGCAGGTGTCTTTCAGTCGTAACACACGCTTCAACGAGGTGTAGATCCGTTCTTTGGTGAAGATGCCATTATCGACACCCAGTTTGAGGCCCTTGATGGCTTCCAGCTGTACGTCGTAGGCTCGGCACAAAAGAACCAAATCACATCCTGCCTCAACGGCCATGACTACTCCGTTCTGTACTCCAAGCTCATGGGTAAGTGACTCCATTTCAAGACACTCTGAGATGGCAACACCGTCAAACCCTAGCTCCTCACGGAGAAGATCGTCGACGACTTGGTTGGATAGGCACGCATGTGATACGTTCATGGAGGGATTCGAGATGGCACATCCTCCCACGAACATGGCATCAAGCTTGCCAGTGGCGATAGCATTGCGGAAGGGTACCAGCGCGCTCAGACTCAGCTCTTCCAGCGTCTGAGTGATGATTGGTACGTCTAGACTGGATCCTAGGAAGTCCAGGTTTCCATAAGAGGGGAAGTGTTTCCCACAGGAGGCGAGACCGGCATCGCGAATACCGTTGATGGCAGCGATGCCATACTGGGAGACCTCTTGGGGGTCGTCTCCAGTCGCTCGAACTCCAATGGGCTGGTACCTGGCGTTCGAGAGAACATCCAGGACAGGGCCGAGCATGAAGTTGATGCCACACGCCCCGACCTCGGTTGCAGTAGCCTTTGATACTTCATAGGCTAGTTCGACCCGCCCCGTGGCCGCCACGCCCATGGCACTGGGGAACTGGCACACGTAGTCTTCATCAAAGAGACTGTTGACACCCCCATTCTCTTGATCCAGAGCTATAAGCAACGGCTTGGGATGGCCAGCCTTGTGAGCAATCGTCTGAAGTTCTTTGATCAACTTGGCCGTTTCTTGAGCAGCTATATGGTATTAGCATGAATCTACAGCCCGTTGTTCCGACAGCCCAGTCAGAAACAATGAGTTTCACTCACATTTAAGGTTCTTGGCGGTCAAGATGATGGTTCCCAGATGGTGGTCCTCGATGAGGGAGCGGATTTGGGGTGTCACCTCGGTGCCGTCCCAGCCCATGATGAGCATCTGGCCAATGGCCCTGTGCGGCGCAACGACAAGACATGTCAGCTAACGAATCGGAGTATAGTCGAATGAATTGCATCATGCCCCCAGATACGATGCCGTAATGAGAGCTACGACAAGACAAGGGGAGAAAGGTGATTTGAGATGGGATGATGGAGGGCGGGTCGAGCGAGAGAGCCAACGTACCAATCGAGATCCTGCCATAGTGGGTCGAGCTCCATGTTGAGCTGGGCCATGGCTAGTGGTCTGCGAGCCGTCACGTTTTGACGCGCATAGTACCTCTCGAGGTAGCGTGTCTCGGGGTGAGAGAGGTAACGGCGACCCTTCTCGGATGTGGATGTGGACGTTGACGTTGACTTCCGCTTGCTGGACGGATGTGACCCGGAGCCGTCGCGCAGGACAGGAAGGAACGTCTGTGAGGACGTGGAGGTCGACTGGGACGCCATGTGCGGCGGCTGCGTTGGTGGGCTGCTGCACCAGCCACGGTCGACAATCATTGGCTGGGGCGAAGGCAGAGGGGAGGGGGATTCGATTGGCCGATAACCCCCTTCGACGTCCGCGCCGTTATCTCGACCAGCGGGCACCTTGCGGTGTGGGGCGGTTGGGGCCGATGTCTGTGCCGGGCTGGGACGTGTGCTCGGAAGGTACGTACCGGGTGGCCAAGCTCCATTTCTGATGTTAGCGTCTCTGATCATCGGCCTCGACAACGGAACGTTACATGGAGCCTCACCACGTCAAACCTTCTTTTTGTTCCCTCCGAGCCTAGCCGGTGTCTTTCTCTCTCTCTCTCGCACTCGCCCACACACACACACACACTGGACGCTCGTCCTTCGAGGCCCTCCAACGTCAACCGTCTAGGGCCCTGACACAATGTGGGGCGCTCGCGCCGATTCTGGAATCTGGAAGCAGTGGGTGATGCGTTGCGTCGGGTGCTTGGGTGCTTGGTAGTGAAACAAAGCTCCAGAAACGAATGCCTTCTGCCATGTGGACCATCCGTTGGTCAAGTAGTTTCTCTGACTCGAGGGAACACAACACACAAAGAGGCAACGTACAACGGGCACCGACCTGGCTCTCCCCGCTCCCCCAAAGGCACGTTTGATGCCGTTGCCTACCTAACACACAAACACACGCAAGTCTCCGTCCTATCTCCATACCACCATGTGTGGTGGCCATCCCGCTGCGACTGTGAGGGGCGATGACGATGTGCCGGTGCTCTGGAAGGCCATGAGACTTCCATGCAAGCCAGGCCATGCCGGTAGCATTGGCTTTCGCCGCTCCGGTCACTGCTGCCGCAGCCGCAGCGCCTCTGGTGAATAATACCCAACGCAGTCCCTCACTGCCACTCTGTGTCTTCCTTGTTCATGGCGTCGATATTGAAGATCAACCTTCCACTCAACCCTCCAACAGCCCAGAAGCCAGTCAGCACCCATCACCCAGTTTGACAAGATGCCTATCGCCATTCCCAAGACGCCAAAAAATGGCATCACAAAATTCACAAACTGTCGCCTTGTGAAGGGCGATGCCTTGGTGCAGGAAGACATCTGGGTCAGCTCCGCCACAGGCAAGATCATTCACAGCCAGGCAGCGTTTTTCGACGACCTGTGTCTTCCGGATGAAACCATCAACCTGGGCGGCCGCATCGTGTCCCCTGGCTTGATCGACTGCCAACTCAATGGTGCTTTTGGCTTCAACTTTTCCACGCTGCTGGAGGATATGTCGCAATACGGCAAGAAGGTCCGGGAGCTCAACAAAAAACTCGTGGCCACGGGCGTCACATCCTACGTCCCAACTCTCACCAGCCAAAGACCAGAACTTTACCAGAAAGTGAGTCTGCGTGACACCATCGGTAACTTGAGACTTACTAACATGCCACAGGCACTTCCGTATCTTGGGGCGTCAGGAGGCTCACAAGCCGCCCACGACGGTGCCGAATCTCTAGGAGCCCACGTTGAAGGACCGTTCCTCAACCCCACCAAGAACGGCGTCCACAGCGTCGATGTCCTGCAACAAGCGGAAACATTTGATGACCTAAAAGAGTGCTATGGCGCTGAGAATATCGAGCCAACCGCCAACGGAGGCACGATTCCAATCAAGATGATTACGGCGGCGCCAGAAAGGGGCAACATGACCAAGATCATTCCCGAGCTGCGGGAAAGGGGATCATTTACTCCATCGGTCACTCGGAAGCAACATATGAAGAAGCATCAGCCGCCGTGGCAGCGGGAGCCACGATGATTACTCATCTCTTCAACGCCATGCGACCTCTTCACCACCGCAACCCGGGCGTCTTTGGTGTTTTGGGTATTGCCGAGAGCCTGAACAGGCCGTATTTTGGTATCATCTCCGACGGCATACATCTTCACCCGACAACGATCAAGATCGCCTTCAATGCCCACCCTGATGGCTTCATCCTAGTGACGGATGCGATGCACATGATGGGCCTTGCAGACGGTTCCTATCAGTGGACGAATGGGCAAGATGTGAACAACATTATCAAGGCCGGCTCTACGCTGTTGCTAGAGGGAACCAACACCATCGCCGGAAGGTGAGTTCATACGGACGTCAAGAGGACGAATCGAAACTAACAACGGATAGCGCCGTCACCCTGATGGAATGCGTGAACAACTTCCTCCGATGGTCCGGCACGGGCATCCCCAAGGCCCTGAAAGCCGTGACTGCCACACCCGCAGCGATGCTTGGCCTGCAAGGCGTCAAGGGCTCTCTGGAAGACGGGGCCGATGCCGACTTGGTGGTCTTTTCCGAGGAAGTGAGAGACGGTGCCATTCAGCTGGTTGTGGACGAGGTTTGGAAAGCCGGAGCGTTGGTATCGAGCCGGAAGGAGAGCCAATCGCCCATCACCCCGTGAAATGACGAACTGCACGAGTCAAGAATATTGGACTTTCGTAAGAGAAGAACTAAGAGCAGAGCGGGGCCCTACAATAGACTGTACACGCATAGAACTGCCATCCGAACCGTGTTGTAAATGGATGAGCAAACGTTTCATATCCGGGCTGTAGGCTAGAGCTTTGGAAGGGGGAAAAGCGACGTAGACAACAAGGTCTGGATGCTCGCTTGTTTTTGCCTACTTTCGCAGATCCGCTTAAGAGCATGGTTGTACGACGTCGAGTTAGATTAGCGACGCCGGCCTTCGGCTTTCGAATACAAAAAGATTGCCAAGTCGAAGTTGAACAGTGCACCGAAGCCGAAGTGAGAGTTGCAACTGTACAGTGAGATTACCAATGAAGACTGTGTCATCGGGGTTATTAGTCCACAATTAGCCCTGCCGGCTCATCCCTGAACCCCCGCATCTCGGTGCCATCCAGCGCCAGTGCTCCTTATCCCCAGCCCGCCAGGATGCGGCCAGCCCCCCATTTGCCTCCACAGTGCGGCAACGCTTGTCTTCGTCGATAACCCCAACCAGCCAATGACGGTAATTTAGCTTCCTGATAGGGGTGGATGCAGGTGCCTGGCGCTCTTTCTCGCTGCAGCAGTGTGTCGGCGGCTGTCCACAGTGTCTCTCCACTCTCGCTTCGCTCTGCCAAAGAGATCCCTCCGCTTTTGCGTTTCCATCGATCCTCGCTCGGACAAGACATTCGTTGAGGCCAACTCCAACTCCTCGATTCGACTTGCTTTTTTGCCCGAATTTGAGTGGTTGCGGCCGTCCCCTCATTTGACAGACGGGGAGTCCTTTGGATACATTCTTGCGCCGCCCACAGCCGCTCTTCAGCTCGCGACAGCACGAGGCGTAGCTTGCGCATCGTCGGCCGGCGCTTGCGACAAAAGCCCTACCATGCCATGGCCGCGTTCCACTCAATGTCGTCCGGCGCGACGCCCGGGGATGGCATGGCTCTGAATAGCGCTGTGGTGGACGGCATAGACGCCTCCATGTTCGATGATTCTCTGTTGTAAGTATCGTCCGGTAACAGATGAGGCTGCAGCCCCGTGGCTTAGGGACAGCTCTCTACCAGTCGGTTTGTCGCAACCATGGGATGAAAGTCAGTTCAACTAATCTCGGCCCTCCTCACTGCTCTAGGGATACTGTAAACAGCACCTTTCCTACTATACCGTTCACGCCGACCTACGACTTCCAAGACTTCTCCGCTGCGGGCTTCGAAGACCCATTCGCGTACTCGAATCGCCAATACGAGGCTCAACCTGCGCCTGAGGAGTTCAACCAAGACTCGCCCACACAAGAGCTAGACAACAAACTCCTGGGGTTTTCGGCGCCGTCGCTGAAGGCCACACTCGTGGACGGCGCTGGCCAACATGTGGAACCCAACATGTCGGCCGAACTGTACGGCATGTTCTTCGTAGCCGAGGACGTCTTTGGAGCTGAGAACAGCGGCAGACCGCTCGAGCTGACCTGCTATCGGAGAAACCTGTGGCAATGCTCCGGGCAGGTCACACTGCCTCGACACATCACTCATATTGTGGACGAACAAGGCCGGCAAATACCCATATTCGAGTTGGCGGCGTCGATAACGGCGATCGAGTCCATCGAGGGCAAGATGACGGAGATCATCTCGATACCGTGGAAGAGCGCGCATCCGATAGGTGCAGAGGAACCCAAGTCTACTGGCGGACCGCCTAATATCGTTTTGGACCTCGGAAACGGCCAAGAAGTAGATGCCAACAGGGTGTCTCTGCCGTTGTCGTGGAAGAGGTTGCAGTTCAAGCACGCTACGGCGAACAACGGGAGGAGGAAAGGCCTGCAGCAGCATTACCTGGTACAAATCAGTCTACTTGGCAAGCAACAAACCGGCGAGTACGTCAAGATTGCCGAGGTCCACTCTGGGCCCGTTATCGTGAGAGGCCGCAGCCCACGAAACTTCGACAGCCGGAAAGATATACCCTTGACCGGTGGAGACAAGAAGCAGGGAGGGAGAAGCAACAGCGACGCTTCCGCAACACCTGTCAAAGACAACAGCAACAACGGCGTTCCGACTCCTGTACCCAAGTATCAGTCCCTGGGTAACGTCCAGCAACCAGCGGACTGGGCACCGCCGCAGATGTACCGTGAACTGAGCGGGGGGCCGCCTCCCGCAAAGAAAATGGCCCTGTCACCGGGAATCAACCGGCCCCCAATACCGGCCTGGTCGTCAGAACCATCAAGGCCGCTACCCAGAGCATCGACGTCGGGTTCGGCGCCGCGTGCTGGGATCTCGGGTCCCATCAACCTTTCTCTCTCGGAAGACGAGAGAAGTCCCAACAGGTCCAACTCGGACGTGCAGAGCCCGCAATTCACAAAGTCCACGGCACCCACAGGGCACAATGCGAGCCAGAGCCCCAAGGAAGAGGATGACTTGCTCTATGAATACTTTCCTCTTAGCGTGGATGATTGGTACGGTGCACTATGCTCCTTTTTTGTGGTCTCTTGCTAACTGGTTCCAAAGGATGCCACCCGTTGAAGCAATTTACCGGCCTCACGTCGTCCACCATACCATTGTACCGCCAGAGATCAAGGCGCAGCAACTGCGGAGCAAGGCGAAGCGATACTTCACCGCTGAATCTTGAACGTCATCTGAGCTTGGCATTCCCATCTGCATCTAGACTGTGCGACGACACGCTCAACTCTTGCATTTGTAGCACGGCCGGGGCTCGAGGGGTTTTTCTGAATGAATTGACGAAGCCATACATGTTTGTGTTTTCTTTTCTTCTTGGTGTGTATTATATGGCAACGGTACTTGTGCTCGATATTGGACAGACAAACCAGAGCAGGAGGGAGGAATGGAGGGCAAATGGGAAACAGGGTTCGCGAACGAGCCGGCATAAGTGGTTATACCCGAGTCTAGGTGATGAAGTAACTCAAAAAGTGAAAGAATATCAAAGTCTGTCCGGCTCCCCTTGGAGCTGGACTTCCCTCACTCCTGCGTCTGCGGACTGCGAGACTTGCATGACAGGTTCGGCGCGGTGCAGGCATAGCGCTGCATACGGCCAATCACACAACTTCACACAATGCCATGCAGCTTTGACATAAAACTGACTTTCTTTCATGTCTACGTAGTCTCAAGGAAGTTTGTAATCTACACGAGGAGCCCTGCTCTACCTTCTTGCGGCGTCGTTGTCCGAGCGGACGCGTTAAAACCCCCTTTTGGAATGCCACCGAGTTCTCGTCAAGCATCAATCTCATGTGCCCCTTTTGTTTTTCGGCCGTAGTCTAGCCATGCTACAGTCTGGTATTGGCCGCCCAAAAACAAAACAAGAAAAAACCACCGCAATGCAGACTTTGGGAAAATACCACTTTGCGTCTAGCTAGCGAGTGACGATAATGCACCAGTACCAATATGCTCGCCGTCCCAAGAACTCCTGAATTTCGCACCCGCACACTCGATCAAGCTCCGACAGTGTTCAGTCTCGACATCATCTGCTGCTCCGGGTTCGGCGTCAACCGCCGCGTAAGCGCCGGCTCCGGAATCCTCGAAGCCATGCGGTCGGGAACCAGATCGGGGGTCACCGATCTGGACAGCTGCTGCTCGGGGTTCGGCGTCAGACGCCCCGCCAGCGCGGGCTCGGGGATCCGGGTGGCCATCCTGTCGGTGATGAGGTCCGGCGTGACGGCGCGAAGCTGCTGCTCCGTCGGCGACTTGGTGCGTGCCGACATGCTCTCGAAGACGAGTTCGATGTCGGGCGACGTGGAGCGGATGGGGTATTCCGTCGCCGGGGAGGCGCGCAGTAGACGAGAGGTGGTGGGTTGAGGGTGTAGGATCGTGGGGGTCTCGACCTCGTCGACGACCGTCCTCGGTACGGGACCGGGGCCGGTGCGGATCCTGGAGGGGAGGATCTGTTCAAAGCCTTGTTCCCTGGCGACCTTTTCGATGCTCTTGAAGTACTGTTTGCCTATTAGCATCTCTTTGTTGGGTTCAGCGTGTTGGGGAGAGAAGTCTTACCTTGACTGTCTTGACCTGCAACTCCAGGGTCGCGTCCTCATCCACAACAATCATAGGGTGAGGGTGCAACTGCAGGCTGGAGAGCGTCCACATGTGGTTCACGCCTTGTTCGATACACCTCTGCAAGGCGAGCGCCTTCTTGGCGCCCAGGATGATGGCGACCACCTCCCTCGCCTCGAGGACGGTCTGCACGCCGACGGTCAGGGCGAGCTTCGGGACTTTGTTGACGTCGTTGTCGAAGAAGCGCGAGTTGGCAAGGATGGTGTCATAGGCAAGGGTCTTTACGCGGGTCCGCGAAGCGAGGCTGGAGCCGGGCTCGTTGAAGGCGATGTGGCCGTCCTCGCCGATGCCCGCGAGGAAGAGGTCGATGCCACCGACAGCCTTGATCTTGGCCTCATAGGCGACGCACTCGGCCTCCAGGTTGGGGGCGTTTCCGTTGAGGATGTTGACGTTGTTGGGGTGGACGTTTACGTGGGAGAAAAGGTGCTTCCACATGAAGGAGTGGTAACTCTCTGGGTGGTCCCGAGGGATGCCGACGTACTCATCCTGCTCATCGTCAGACAAGGTCGTGATGGGGTACGATAAGAGAGACGAATGGTGGAAGAGTTCACATACCATGTTGAAAGTGATGACATTTTCAAAGGAGATCTAGGATAGAAGCTATAAGTCACTGGCCTCCAACACACACAGAGATAAGGCCCCTACCTCTCCAGCCTTGTACTTCTGAACAAGTATCTTGTATACCCCCAGGGGGCTGCTTCCCGTCGGCAGACCAAGCACGAACGGGTGAGCCGGGGTAGGGTTGAAGTGCTTGATCCGGTCAACGACGTAGTTTGCTACGTACGCGCTGGCAGCGTCGGCATCGTCGCGGATAATCAGCCTCATCGTGGGATGTTTCTACGAATGTAGACTAGTGTGGGTTGTAACGAGACCAGAAAGGATAGTCGGTGTAAGTGGCAGGCAGCGCTGGCGAGCTTAGGCTTTGCAGGTTGGTTCTCGACTTCAAGAAGGAGCAGGATACGAGGGGGCAAAGCTGAAGGGGCCCTGCTTATGAGGGACGACAATATCAAAGTGCGGCGGCCAGAAGGTTTTGCGGTTCCGCCTTCCCTGGAGGGGGTCCCCTTTCGTCGCAGCCTCCGTCGCAGACGCCCTGACATCACAGACCTGCGGGAAGCAGCCCCAAAGTCTGCTGGAGTTTCTCATTAACCCCCCCCGTGGAGGTGGAGGGGGATGGAACGTCACTGTTATCGGCGGTGTTTGACGAGCGAAGAGTCCCACCACCGGGGCGGGCGTCCCACAACCGCCGGGGAGGGAACATTATCATCAACGTTGCCAGTCGCGGGTGTCGGCCGAGTCACCTGGCCCCAAGGATTGGATGGCGAGGCCCCGACTCATGTGGCCTGCGGAGTGGGTGGCCGATATGACGGGGTTTATCAACCCTCTGCGAATGAGAGAGTTGGGTAAAGAGCAGCACTTGCTTGCCCCATTCGATTCGATCGTCATCGTCATCCGCGATTTAAAGTCATCATAGCCCGAAGCCCCTGGGCCAGGGTTCGGCATGTCTGTCCAAGGCAGTGGTGGTGTTGAAGGAGCCATGCGGCCGGGACGATAAGCCATGCTTGCCCGCGGGGGAAGCTCTCCAAAGAGGGTGCCTGCTGTACTGTGTGGAGAGGTTCCGATATCAGCAAAGTTCGCGACGCTACGCATGGGTGGCGAAGGTGGTCGTTCGTCGTCGATAATGGGCGGCCACGGCGGAGGAGGGGCCACCAAACGTCCGTGACGTGAAGCCGGGTCCCTGGTTTTGTGATCTGGCGGCTGCGTGTTACCACTGCATGGGGGTGTAAAGTTCTGTGCTATGCATGTAACTGATACATGGGGGACCGAAGGCGAGCGATCTAACGTAACGGGCATGGTTCCCGCTCTCGCCCGGCTGGATGCTCCGGAGGAGTACATATTAAACGGCTCGTGCTGGTTGCATGTCGATGGGTTTCTGGCCGTGCCATCGAACATCTGCAATGATGCGAGCTGCCGAAGAGACTGCCAAGACGCACCGCACTGTCTGATTGATGATTCGGCGTCGACGAATGGGTCATACAGAAAACAGCTTGATTAGAATCATCAGACTGGGTAACGCGACATCGCGTAGCTGATGGAATCGTAGAGACGGAAAGCATCATCATCATCCGGGAAACCCCTGGTCCCAGCACCTCTTCCGTTGTGTCGTTGCGGCGGGAGGTTTCCTCCTGTCCGTCTTCAGTCTCCAAGACTCCGCTGTTGGTTGTTGCATGTCACTTTGGCAGTGGATCTTAACAATTTCCGCTCACAGAGTGGGGGATCTGGACCCTTCAGCGTCGGGGGTGTTCCTGCGTGGGCCTGAAAGCGCCGACGTCTCGGGACTTGAGTGGTCAACTCTGCACCTAATCCGTTTTCATCTGATTTGGCCCAGGTCAGCCACCCACTCTGTTCTTTTTGGAGCGCCCAAGGGGGGTCTGGTCTATCAAAGGCAACGTTACAGCTGGAGGGGCGATTTCCTTTCTCCATCCAACCCATCTCACCTTGAACAAGTTGAATCACGACAACCATTGACCATCACGTTCAATGCCCAGAGGCCCTAGCCACGGTCAAACCCAGCGGGCAGGTTAAGCCTAGTTCAGGGTACCTTGAGGCAGGAATAGTGGCTGTTCGAAGGCGTCGAATCTGCGCGTCCCGCTGTTTCGGCACTACACTTCTCTCATATCCCGTCTCAACGTCTCCATTAGTTACCCGTAGGTGGGTTGTCTTTGTCTAGCACTTTGCGGTGAGAAGAAGTCTCGCCCATCCACCGTTCCAGTTGATTGTTGCACGCGTTCGGTTTCCCGTCCCCGCTAGCTGGGGCTCGCAACTCTCTCATCCATCTCCAACCCGTCGCCATCCATCTTTCGACCCCCCCGGTTTGTCCATCCATGCATCAACACGAGCATTCGGCCCCCAAGTGAAGTGGATTGGAGCATCGAGCCTGGACTGGACTAGGCAGATGAACCTGGTAGCGGGATTACGGTGTGTCGCCCCATCGCCTGTGCGACGTTGAAGAGAGAAGCTCCTTCGGCCATTCCCGCTCTCACCTTGTCCAGCAGCGCATGGTTTCGCCTCCAGCTGGCGCTGCACCTCCTCCTCATCCTAGACCCTAGACATCGGTGTTGCTCTGCCCTGTAACTCATTGGCCGCTGGCCGCTGTCGCCATTGCCTTTCGTCCCTCCGGTTTTGTTATTCATCCCACTGCCGGCCTCATTGGATACGACGTCCCCAACATACACCAACCCGAGCAGTCGAACGACCGCCCGGCAGGTTTCATTGTTGCTCCGTGCACACCAAGTGCCATTCACCCTTCCTCGGATTGTGCCTGTCGATCCGCTACCAGTCCGCCCGTGGAGTCCAGTCCCCCGTTTAAACGTTGTTTACGACGTCTATGCGACCCTCCCCTTCCTCCTCCTTCTCACGCGTCTCACTTATCCATCTCGCCGGGCTTGTCTCTGGGTGACATGGCTCTTGCCCAGTTCCGTGTATTTACAGTCCAACACCTCGTCAGCTAGATGGCCTAGGGTCGTCCATAGCTCACCCGTTCGAATCCTTTCCTTATACCTTGCAGCAGTTTCCTCCTCCTGCCATGACCACGTTTCCGAAAACCTTCTTGGCCGCTGTCGTCAAGCAGCTGCTCCGGGGCAAGTCTCTGATACAGGCCCTCATAGCCTTTTGGATCACCCCTCTGTCCGTTTCCGGGAAACAGACGAGGTCGACAGTTGAGTGCTCCAAGTCCACGACGACCACATCGTCATCACGGAACGTTGAGGAGTTCCTGAAGGAGGCCGAAGACCTGCTCCTGGGGCCTCTGCTCAACAATGGCCTACTCGACTTATCCAACGCCCTCAAGGCCCAGTTCAGGGACAAGCTACGGACGAGCATGGCCTGCATGCTGCCCTCGTACAACCATCAGCTCCCAGGCGGACACGAAGTCGGTCAGTATCTGGCGGTGGACGTTGGAGGATCGACACTGCGTATCGCATTGGTGGAATTGCGGGGCCGGGATGCCAAGGGGAGTGAGAGCGAGATCGTGCGGATGAGTTCGTTCAAGATCGACAACGATATCAGGAATCTGGAGGGCATGGCCTTCTTCGATTGGATGGCCGAGAGGATATGGGAAATGGTGTCACAAGACGGACATGACCCTTCGCGGCCCATGCCCATGGCGCTGGCTTGGAGTTTTCCCATCGAGTAAGTCTTTGGCACACTACTTACACACGCCTAATAAGCTAATAGCTCCCCCTCAAGACAAACATCAGCAAAGGGCGGCCGGATCCACGGCATGGGGAAAGGGTTTCTGGCTGCGGAAGGTCTCATGGGGCAAGACCTCGGCGAGGTGATCGAGTCCGCTTGTACAGCGAAGGGCATGAACGCACAACTGCGCGTCATCCTCAACGACGGCGGCGCCACGCTACTCTCGCAGGCCTACATCCACCCGGCCACGCGGTTCGGCCTCATCCTCGGCACCGGCGTCAACATCGCTGCGTACCTCCCCGTGTCCCTCATCGGGAAGCCCAAGTTCGGCCATCGCCCGCAAGAGTGGTGGGACGAGGCGCGCGACGTGATCGTCAACACGGAGCTTGGCATGTTTGGGCAGGATGTTCTGAGCGTGACGCGCTGGGATAGGTTACTGAAGCAGGGGCATCCGAGGCCAGATTTCCAGCCTCTGGAGCAGATGGTGAGCGGCTTGTACCTCGGCGAGGTGGTGAGGTTTGCCTTGATCGAGGCGATCCAGACAACAGGGCTGTTTGGGGGCGTCGTGCCCAAGTCGCTTGATGAGCCGTACTCTCTCAAATCGGAAACGATATCTGCCATTGAAGGGTAATGCGTTCCCCCGCAATCGTAGCCTGCGTGAAAATGCTAACCACGTCACAGAGATACGTCACAGTTGTTTACGTCGTCCATCGACCTCTTCGTCTCACGCCATCCTTCATCTCACACGCCGACCTCATCCGATATATCAGCCCTCCGTACTCTAGCGTCCTTCGTTTCGAGAAGATCGGCCGCCATCATCGCCGCGTGCTTACACGCCGTCTGGTCCTTGCGTCTCGAGGCGCTAGGCGATGAGAAGCCAGAGGAGGAGTCCTCTGAAAGACTAGAGCAGGAGTCGGGTCTGGTGCGGACAATGGTCGCGTACAACGGCAGCGTTATTGAGTGCTACCCAGGGTACCTGGCCATGTGTCAGGGGTATGTGGATGCTCTGGTCAATAGGACAGATAGGGGCATCGACCTCGTGCCGGCAAAAGAGAGCTCATTACTAGGAGCTGGGGTTGCGCTGGCGAGGGCATGTGATACATCTGAATGAGACTGATGCCGCGTAGAAAGCGCGTGGGAACGTAAGCATTGCATAATCCGGGGAATTGGTGCGTGGGTTGCATGGCGAGGAGTAAAAACTGAAATCACGTACATAATTACAAAGCGCAAGGTTTCAATTTTAAGATAACTAGTGCGGCTAAAAGCTCACTTATACTTGAATGTGGGTATCATCACTTTCGTATCCATCCCTGTAACGCCGTTTCGACCGCACAAGATTGCCCAGGCAGCATGACAACTCTCACTCATCGTCAATCTCTTCAACCTTGCGCTTGTGGCTCTTGGTGCGAGCCTCACGCTTGACCTGACGAGGCTCGCCCTCATCCTCGCCATCGGTGCTACTGTCGTCCGCCTCTTCCTCTTCGCGGCGACGCTGTTCTTCCAGTGCTCGCTTCATCTTGCGTAGGATCACCGGATCATCGTACAGATCGTCAAGACCCAGCTCCTGTGGTTCTGATCAGTGGGAAAGCTCTCGGAAGTTTGCAGTACGTACGTACCATGGAGCAGCCCGCAACGGGGCAACGCGCACGCTTCATCGGCGACTTTTGCAACATGTCGACGATCCACTGCTTCTCGTACGTGTGGCTGCACACATTGTTGCTGACCGGGTTTTCGAACAGCTGCATAGACAGCGGACACCTGTAATCCCTGACCTCGCCGGCGATAACAATATCCTCATCACTATCATCAGCCGCCCGGGCTCCAGGTTCGCTCTTGGCGTTCCCAGACCCACGGCGCATGGCGGGCACAACGGGGTTCCCCGCGTCGTCGAACCAGCGTTTGGCATTAGGCAGGGGCATCTCGGTGTCGCCGTGCGCGGCGTCGTGCCAGAGCTTTTTGAAAGCGGCGTAGTCATTGTTTAAGGCGTATCGCTGATACGCGGTTTGGCGCTGGTAGTCGCGGGCTTTATCGGCACGGTGCTGGCGGAGAACATCAATGACGGAGTGGTCTGGGGGCGGGGGCGGGTCGTCCACGATGTCCCCCTCCTCGTCTACATTCGAGTCGTCTGCATTGGCTTCCGCACGGGTTCGTCTGCGTTGGCGTGGCGCTTGCTCGGGGAGGGTCTGGAAGTACGACACCGTATCCGTTAGGGCGGCCTTCTCGTCGTCGAGTTCGATTTGCCTGTCGATGAGGTCACGGAGGGCGGCCTCGGCCTCGGCCGTCAGGCGGGGGACCTCCTCGTCGAGAGTCGCTGTGTGGGTCTCAATGTCAAGCTCGCGCTGTGACTTCTCCTGGCTATCAAGGTCGGTAGACTCGGCGCGCTTCTCAGCGAAGCGTTGAAGGGACTCATGGCGGGTCCGGATGCTGTCATTGATGCCAACGACGGAAAAGCCGAGATGACGGATGGAGGTCTTTATGTGGTTCTGGTAACGGTGAACGTCCCGACTGTTCGAGAGGTCCGCGATGGCGCGCTTCGCTTCGGCAGTTAGAGGGCAGGCAAGGGGTTCGTATTCGGGGAGGTCGCTCCCGGGGGCATCGTCGTCGTCGACTACTCTTCTTTCTGGGCGCCGCTGGCCTGGTCGGCGGCGTTCGAGGATGGGCATTGTGAGAGGGTGAACTTGAGGGCCAGCTTTTCACATTCACTATAGCAGCTCCTCCTGGTTTGTGTAGCGGGTGCTTATGTCGATAGCGTGGTCTGGTGTGTTGACGAGAGCTGCTTCGAAGGTGTGAGATTGGAGATGGGAATTTTGGCGAAAGTGACCAACAAGTGGAAGGCGCGATTGACGTGCCGTAGCGCGTCGGTAGGGTTAAAGAGGTTGTCGGGTACGTACCTCATGGGCCCACTGCGGGGGTGGTCCCTGTAGAGTGCCTTCCACCAGAACGTCCTCTATCCAACATTGCCTAGGTTTACTTAACCGACTTTGATTCACCAGAATGCATCCATGGTGGACATGGAAAGCCTCTTCACGTTTCATAGCAAAGGTAACTCGGTGTTTTCGGTTTTGACAGCGATTCAAGACTAAACCCCAATGCTACATTGAACACAACATGGTCGACGACGACGACTTACACTCATAAGGTCACTGTAATCAGCAGATTGAAGCCATCACTTAACCATCCCCAGACGACACACTACTCTTCCTGTATGTATTCAAAAGGCTAGGCCTTATGCTCACTAAGGTCAAGGCAGCCTACGTTAGCATGGCCATGTTCGTCGCGCATTGTTCTCTCTTCACAGGCTGGCGACCATAATCTGAAAGTTCTGGAAGCTGTTCTGTTCCCTCACAAACCATTGTCTTGAACTTGATTCTCTATATGATTCTAGTTTGTCTTTGCCTTATCCTTGATTTCTACCGTTCCAGAATTCACTGGTTTATGGATTATCCCAGCGATCCATATCCTCCTCGATCCGTTCCCTAGCAATGGAAACCGAACGTTCCTTTCCCTCTCTACCATGTTCGTTCTCGTACTCCACCTGCATCTGAAAGATCCTATGGGTCTTCTCTATCAGCAGCATCTTCCAGAGAGGAGGCTCAATTGAGCCTACAGAAGCTCGGCGGCAGAGATTTTCGGCATCATCTGCCTGTTTCATTGCAGCGGCAACGGCCTTTATGTCTTGCTGAACCTTCCCAACATCCTCATTAAAGCGGGCGAGGTGGTTTGTGGCACGCTCTCTCTGGGAACTCTATTCGTGAGCCTGTTCTCTCGCTTCACGGCAGATGCCGTGCCAGTCCTCGTCCTCGGGTGGCACCTCCTGGCCTACCATGAACATAGCATAGTCATAGGGTGCGATGGAACAAATTGCTCCATCTAGGGTCTCTATGGCCTCTCGTAGTTCACTAGTAGCGGTCATAGCCTCACACAGCTTCCTGCCAAGCTCTCCCAACACGGTTTGAAGAAACTCGATTGTCGAAGGAGAGTGGGAGAAGCGCAGAAGTTCTGCGGTTGAAGACTCGGTGGCTGGAAAGTTGTTCTCGCAGAAGTCGTTGACAATGTCGATCTCCTCTGTTCTCTTGTCTTGCCTTGGAAGCTCAAGCTTGTAGTTTTCGTAGAGGAATAATTTGTCACCCTTGACATACCTTATGATACGCCCATTTTGACGGAGCATCTGGGTAGAGGGCGGCGTCTCAGAGGGATGGCCTGTCATTGTTGCGTCCATTTCAGATACCGATAATTTTCTTGTCTTAGAGGAACTTCTGGATTGATCTCCTTCGATTGCTTCTTTGTACTAATGCTTTGTTTGAGAGAGACTTTTGTTTCTTATATATGTACAGGACTTGTTGGGGACACTGTAGTTCTGTCTTAACCTCCGGCACTAGTGAATCAGTCAAAAGCTTCAACTTTGTAAGCGGTTCAGTCTAGGAGATACGTCAGCCTTCGATTACTCAGGCTTAGAGATGTATTTCCTTTGTACATGCATCTGTACATGTATAAGTCTGTCTTTCATATTCAAAAGACCTTTAGTTAACACCCGCCAATGCCTACGTTTACTTATTTCACTCCTCTGTTTCTTCCAGTAGTATTTCGAATGCAACCAGATTTTTGTATATTATGATAGCAATAGAGTTCTACTTGCTAAATACTAAACTTGAAAGGCCTCTCGCTATGAAAACATGCGCAAATGTACTGAGCCTGGGGACCGCCGCGTCGCATTGACTAGAGCGAAACATGCGGTCAAGGGGTAGGAGATTGGATGAATATTGACAACACCGCCTCAACCACGATCAAAAGGAGCCAAGTGGGAGAAGAATGTCTAAGGTCATGAATGGAAGAGATCTGCAGTTTTTCTCTCAGCCTCACCGGGCTTTCGTTCTATTCACGCTAGACTTCTCTTATACGTCAACTCGTCTGTAGATACGCCGAGCCAAATCACTCGGCCAGCCCGCCCATGTTGATCCCAACCAATGACTCGACTTTGTTGATATCATACACTCGTAGATATGTTCCGCGTAGATACTCTCTGTATCTTTTGTAAATCCAACCGACGTATGAACTTGTGGAAGAAAATATGCTGTGAAAATGCCAAAACAAATGCCCAAAAATATCATGTCTCATGTCCGTTCCCATACTCCCGATTCCCCTCTCCTCATTACATCTTTCCTCGTCCCAAATCATCCTTGCCTTTTCATTCTCAATGACTTCGTAGATGACCGCCACTGAAGCGGCAGTGAGCCGTAAATGCATCCAGAGCGCAGCGCGCTTGATAGTATGTCGTGGTATCTCGGTGTAAAAGCGGTAGTAGCAGCGGCAGTAAGCGACTGTAGGTGGCGGCGAAGGGATCAATCGTCGACGATCTCGTCGGAGCTGCTACTACTCGACCCGGATGTCACGCTCATGCTCTGGCGCGCGACGTGAACTAATCTGTAGATCCCAAAGGCGACGAGGGCGAGCACGACGAAGAGGACGATGACGATGATCGCGATGACGTCGTTTTGTTTAACCATGGTTGCGGTTGAGGTGCGAGGCTTCCGTCAGGGTCTGAGACTGACGGAGGGCCTGAACGGGAATGGAGGTGAACGGCGGTGTGGGACTGGTGTGGAGTGTCGCTGGTCCCGGTGGCTGGGGAAAAAGACGGTGGAGGAGACACGGAGCTCAAGCGGAGTTGCCGTGCGCCGAGGAATGTTTGGGTCTCGGGAGGAGGGTTGAAATTGGTAAGGATTTTCAACGGGCCGAGAGGAAGGATTGAAGGGAGGATGATTGTCTGTGGAATGACCGTTAGGCAAGTGCCCTTTTTCGAATTCCAATGGAGTGGCCGACGTGCGTGGTAGATTCCGACCAGTGGGTGAGTTGCCCAAAATTCCCCGCGATGTACAAGATCGCAAGTACCGACGTGTGTATGGGTCCGAGGTGGTGGAGGTCGAGCAAGTTGACCCAGAAGGACAACGGAACTGTTCGCTTCTCGATGTCCGTAAAGTGTAAAATAATAGCCGGCTTCAAGGTCTCAACATGGAATATACCAGAGAAGAAGAGAGCGGAAAACCAAAAGGCGAAGAATGTAGCGCGGGCAGCTTCACGTTAAAAAGAAGCGTTGCCCCGCCACCAGCTTTACGGCCCAAGTCAATAGAAATGCGAGAGGCTGGTCGCCAGGAAAACCGCGACAGCGCTACCGCACCACACCCGACACCCAACCGCCTGCAAAACAGGGGTCTTGAGCTGTTTTTAGTGGGCCCGTCGGCTTTTCGACGCCTTCGCCCAACCTCGCGGACTGCCAACTCGGTTCAACCTACAGGATCCCCCCCCCCTGTCGTCCTTTTTCCGTGTACCTTTACATATAGATCCGAGTGCAAAGAGACTTTGGAGACTTGGTATCCCACGGCCATCACCCCCCGGTCCGTACCTGCATCGTGCCTGAACTCAGCACTTGAAAGGCACCCGCTTGTATGGATCTCGTTCATGATTTCTTGACAAGGCTTACAGCTGACAAGCCCCCCTGGGACGAGCCAGTACACATGAAAACCCCAAGGTTCCTTGGTGGACTGGTACCCGGTCCTTGATTTGTTTACTATCTGGCTCGCAAAAGAGCTTAGCTCCTTTCTGCCATGTCGATGACGGAATACAATCAAAACCGCAGGGACTGAGAGACTAACCCGAGACCACGGCTTATTTTCAACAACTGAAAATCAGATTCGCACATCCCGCGCGCTTCCGCAAACCCACGTGTGAGACAGACGGTCCCAATTGGAAAGTCCCAAACCTAATTACAGGTAAGGTCTCGCGAGCCGTCTTTTGAAGGACCTTGACACGCGCAACCTCAAGACGACTAGAAATAAGTGCAATAGTCCCAAAGGCCTCCTGATGATATCGAGAGTACCATCAGTCCAAACGCCGTTTCCGCCCAAGATAACTCCATAGAGATCACAGACTTTTGTTGTTGCTGTCCTACGTCTCGGCCTCCGGCGTGGCGTCAGGACCCGCCTTGATGATGCGAATATGTCTTTCGTAGAATTGTAGCATCTAGTGTTCTGTCAGCATCTTTCTCGATAAGGAATGGGGCTATGCGCAGCATATCTCCTACTTTTTGGGGGCATCGCTTGTACACCACCTCCTTGGAGTGCTTGGTCTTCTGGCCGTTGCGCCAGTTTAAATAGATAATCAATGATCCTGACTCCTCGTCCTCGCAGGCGTCGATGCTCTCCACCTCTTCTTCCCAGCTGCCGCTAGGAAGAGTCCAGGCTTTGCTCTTGGCCTCCTTCGCCGACGCAGGAGGGGTAGACTCGGCGGGGTGACCGTTGCGCTTGGATTTCTTGCTGGTCGCCGGTGGGGTAGATGAAGACCCTGATGGACGACCGCGCTTCTTCGTGGACTTTGCCTTGGACTTCTCCTCGAACAGCGCTTCGCGCCCGCCGAGCTTTCTCAGGTATTCCTCCAAGATCTCGGATGCGCCGTCCCTGTCAATGTGTCAGTATGCGACCCAATGCCTCGGCTCCTCCTGTTGACCGGACGGCACAACTTACTTCAAGCTGTCCTCGGGTTCCCAGGTCTGGTCCGCCTTCTTCTCATAGCCCTCCCATTTGACGCGGAAGTTGACAGTGCCCTACGAACTGTGTTAGCAAGTGAAGCATGCAAGTGCGGACAAAAGGGGCGCGTACATCTTCGGCAACCTGATGGTCGAGAATCTTCTCTACAACATATCTAGAGCAGTGTCAGTCCAATTGTCCCGGCCGGGAGGTGGTCCAGCGCAGAACGCACTCGTCAGGCTCCAAATCCTCATCCTCGTCCTCATCTTCCGCTTCCTTGTCGTCTTTGGTTTTTGTGGTGGGTTTGGCGGGGCCGCCGTTCAAGTCGCCCTTGATCTCCGGTATTTCTTCCTTCTCCTCAATCTTAGTTTCGGGGAGGTCGTCTCGGTATTCAGCCGATCGGGACTTCGCGCGCTTCTCCTTGAGGGGAATCGCAATCTCGTCGCCCACGTCGGATTGCTCGTCGTCACTGATGGCTGCAAAAGCGGTCAGCTTCTTGGTTTTTCTTTGCTTGTACGTCTTCTGGCGCGGCATTTTGGCGGTTATGGGGGATTTGGTGCGATTATCGTGACATGCATGAGTTGCATTATTGCAACCAGACGCGCTTCTATTTTTATGCGCAGTGTGGAATTGGGGAGACAAGAAGCTTACCAGGAGGCATTAGGGAAGGAGCTTCTTATTCCAACAGGCAGCTGCCCGCTTGTGACTACAGTGTAAGATAATATGCGTAGATGGAAGGCGCGCAAGGCGAATACTGGCAAGAAGCAGCGACGCGGTTTAAGGCCGGGTGAATCGTAACTGTGGAAAGTTGCCCCATACCTACACCACTCCATGCACGGCCGCTTGTGGCGCGTCATGGGCCACGTGATCATCCAGCACAAGCCACTTTGCCGAGTGGGAAGGACCTGCCCGTGCCCGCCGTCCCTTCCGGCGCTTTATTTCTAATCCGGGGCCAATCCACTTTGGCCCGACACTTCACTGGAAGGATCTGGTGTGGAACTCCGAACTGTTGGACCAAGCTCCAAGCTCCAATCAGCATGTGCGCTGGTATTGTTTGTCGTTTTTCTTTCCTTTCTGGCTTGGAAGTTGAAGATCACAGCATGAGTAAGAAGCTTCGATGTTGTTGGACTTAGATTCAGAGGAACCGAAACAAACCGCAAATTTAATCATTAAAGACGGCTCTCTCTGTTCATTCACGCGAACAGCGTCTTGACAAAACTAATTGCCATAACTGCGTTGCAGCGATGGTCATCGACTCGCTCGGTTACGCTATACTAGGTTCCTCTCCTCGATTTCTCTCCAGTTCAAGTCGCCTCCTTCTTATTCGGATCCATAATGACCTCACAATGACTGTCATCCGTGGGAGTAAGTCATTGAGTGTCTTCTGCAGCCGTTGGTGATCTTCAACAGGCCGCTGCAGAACTATACGTCTTCCAATCGTTTGGTTTAAACCCTCCACCTCGTCAAGGACAGGTTGTCCAATTCAGATATTGCAACCCGCATTGGCTCAATTCTCTGGGAATACAGCCCCCAGGAACCAAGACGACTGTGCCGCTTCAACCAACGGAAGCATTTCTTGGTATGCAGCGTGTCTGCATGGAACTGTAGAAGCGTAATGAGGGTTTCATTAAAGCCTCTGCAGCGCAAAAGGGGTAGCGATTTGCTGAAGTTAACAAAAAAAATTAAATGACAAGTTTAACCAACACCATAGCCCATTCTTGATGAGGCTTAGGCAAGAGCGCCCGCAGCATGGATCTCGATTGCACAGCTGGCAGTATAGTGTTCAGCCATGAGCTGTGATCAAGTACAGGGTCTTATCAGACTGATTGCGCCTCGCGTCTCCCTCACATCATCTTCAGGTACTGGTCAAAAGCCGTGGCATTCTGAGGCCAGAGGACGGGCCAGCATGCGTCTGCTGCTCTGGATCAGGACCAAACGCCTTGTGACACTGGTGGGTGTCAGCTACAGCTGCCATAGAAGAAGCGGCGGAAATTATCGGCGTCCTGCAGGCTGCTAATGTTGGTTCGCAAACGACCTACTTGATGGGGCCAGTACGAGACGGCCCGGACAAGGTTGATCCAAGACGCTGCGGCTATGAGAGGCCACACTAGGCGACCATCTTCCAGGGGACGGCTTGGACGGGGAGCATCAGCAATCCAGCGGGCGGCCGACGGGCAACAGGAAGCGCCTTGAGAACCTGGACGCGAATATCTGTGTTGTTGTCCTTGCTTCGCGTCTTGCAGATGCCGACCCCATTATTCTACGCAGGAAAACGGGGTCCTATTGGGGCTGGGTGTCATCCCCAAGACAAATACGAAAAGAGAGAGGGGAGAAACAAAACGTCAGGCAAACAATCGGTACAAGGCGAGGTTGCCGACATGTGGAATCCGTGCGTTTTTCGCCGAAACGCAAGCCTTTCCATAAAGTTGTCGCCGGCAGTCGACGAGGGATATTTATTTTGTTGGTGCACAAATGCTCATGAGACGAAACCTGTCAGGTCTACTCTGTACGACTGTTGGCACCGCTGGCACCAGGTCCTTCACCGGCTCCCCTGGATGATCTCCCGAAAGCCCCCTGAAAACTGGATCGGACACAAGCCAGTGGGGGCCCAGGAGCCTAAAGAAACGAACCGGGAACGCCTACCCACGCCCCGGTCGGTCGGCCAGTCTAGCCAACGCGGTGAGTTGAAAGGTGTCTTGTCTCAAGCGAGAGATGTTGGCCACAAGTGTCGATAGGTTTGCAGCTCACTGTGGGAACAGCCATTGAGGCATCCATACCTTAGCTACGACTGGTGACGGCTGCCAGCTCCATGTAGCAGCCCTGGAGCACCTCTACCTTCCGGACAACCCTCGCGGCTGGCTCGAGTCATAGACTCTAGGCTATCCAACGCAATTTGGGCTCAATGAGGCAGCTCGACAGGGTTTAAAGAGCTGTGTGTCCGGTTTTGAAGCGTTCGGCATGTGTGGGTGTTCATCCAGGCATCCTGAGAGGAGAAGACAACAGACGAAAAAGACGGGCGAGCTTCCTCGAACAAAAAGTTCCCCGTGCACGCCCCCAGGGCCCCCGGCGGCACTAGACCAGTAAAAGTGATGCACAGGGCGGTGCCGGGTTGTGCCTCTCCTTTCCACGGACCAGATCAGCAGCACTAAGCGGATAACGGAAACATGTGAGAGAGAAGCAGACATTGGTAGTTGGAATGAGGGCGACGGGGAGAAAGATCCTGAGCGGGATGGCCGTGACATCTGAACCCAACGCGAACATGTTACGTGCGTCATGAATTGGGGGGTCTTGGTCGGCTGCCTGTTTCCACGAGGTCTCGCGTTAAGGAGTAGGTGGCCATGTCCAGCCAAGGAGAGCGCGTCAATAGAATCTTGGGAGATGGGCACTGCGCAACCGAGGGGCTGCCTCTGGTTGGAGTTGAGTGGTCTTTGGCCATGTAACCTCGCAAGGTAAAGGAAGATAGGTATATGAGAGACCAGGAGTGAGGACGATGGTGTGCTGCTGGCGTACCCAAAGTCCAGCTAGACAAGTTGTGTGTGTGTGTTCCTGGGCATGCTTGAAAACGCACCAGTGATTAGGGAGGTACTTGGTCGACGTGCAGCAAGTAAGTACTTTGCAACCGCCTACCAGAACGAGCGCAGCAAAAGGATTCTTACGCTTGTTGGCCACGCGGATTATACACTGCATGCTCGCCTTCGTTTTCTTATTCCATTTCTTTTCACAAGGTACTGTTGGCGACAGGTCGCTGGCAGGTGCAATGCAATGCAATGCAGTGGACAGGTAAGGAGAGTGCCCTGCCATAGCAATAGCAATCATCGCTATTAAAAGGACATCAGCGCAAAGGTGGGACCACCGTACGGCCCTGAACGGGCTTTGATCTGTGCCGTCCTTGGCTCCGTCTGTGCAGCTAGGTACTGGCCTGGCGCCAATCTGGGGAGCATGGGAAAGGAAGGGAAGGGAGATGGTCGTCCATGGATGGTGGATGGGGCCTGTGGGATGAAGGTGAAGGGGGGGGGGAGGGGGGTGGATGGGAGCTGAAGAGAGGGGTGCACACCCGACCAGAGCTCTTGCTCCTCCTTGTCTTTTTTGGCTTTGGCGCAGGTCGTGGACCGTGGTGCTACCCCTGCCGTTTTGCCTTATTAAAAAAAAACTGCAATAATTAAATCCCGGGTGACATTTTTGCAACTTCCCCTTACTCTTCTGTACTTGCTTTACCACCGTCCTACCCTTCTTCATCCACCCCCTCTCCGTATCTTTTTTTTTGTTGCAAGAGGTCGAGAGACTGCGAGTGTCCACGGTTGAATCGAGAAAACTGCACACCGGCGAACGAGAGAGCGAGAGCAAAGACAGAAAATTACTTCCTTAATACCCGGGATCCAACTGTACTTTTCCTCCTCCTCATACTACTACCACTTCCGACTCCTCCTTCGCCAACACGCCCTGCTCCCTCGCCTACTGCTCGTACCGACGTCCCCGAACCCGAAAACCGTGAACAACAACCCATCCTCCTCCTCCTCCTCACATATACGCACAAGGATTGGGCCGAGTTCTGTTCGTACGAGGGTAGCAGCTGCTTCTCGACATCTCCCACCGACCTCCTTCTCTTCGCACACTCGTTTGGCTCTTCAGCATCTAGTCCTTCTTTTTATTCTACCCATATTTCTCTCTTTTCAAATTGTCTCCTTGCGTACCTACCTATCACTATCCTTCCCAGCTCGTTTTCATTTTCTTATCCTACCCTGACCTGCTCTAAAATTTGCTGGCTCCGCCATCATCTTCTATCCGACCCCTCTACACATGACCCTCGATTACATAGCTCCCCTGGAGCAGCCGCAAGTGTCCTTTTAGACAAGAGCCTTGTAGCCCCCGAGCCGACCTAGGCTTCGTCCTCCCTCGCCGTCGTCGTCGATACATCCTTCGAACTACTCGTTATCCCCCACAGTCCCTTCACATACCAAGACCTCGAGCCACCATGGCAGAAACCGCGAGCAACGCCGACTCGAGCCAACAAAAACTGAGCGCACCCAAGGATAAGAACTGTCCCTACTGCGGCCAGGCCTTCACCTCCTCCTCTCTCGGTCGACACCTCGATCTCTACATCAAGGAAAAGAACCCCAAGCCTCCAGATGGAATCCACGACGTCGACGCAATCAGGCGTCTGCGGGGGAGTATCACGCGGAGACAGCCTAGGGGATCGTTGGGCACGAGGAATGCCTCGACCCCGGCCAGCACGCCGAGGCCTGCCCAGTCGAAGCGGGACGCTACTCAAGATGCTGAATCACACCAGTCTCCAGCCCTGCCCAAGGACGGTCAATATGCTGTAGACTCGACGCTCAGCAAGTACCCATGGACCCCTTCTTGGGAAGCCACGGGTGTCATCAACAATATCCCCCCCAAAAATGGCGATGTTGCTACCTCTACCGATGGAGAGGGGAGCCAGAACGCAGGAAAGAGGCCGAGGCAAGTGAGCAAGCAAGTGATGCAAAAGGCACAGTTCGATGTGAAACACAAGCTTGCCGATGCCATGGACACCGCCCGCGCGGCGGAGCTCGCATTAAGAGAGCTCTTGAGCTCTTGGAGAGCAGCCAAGTGAGTCCCCTGATATGTGACAGGGAAAGCCTGCAGTCACTGACCTCGAGCCAGGCAACACATCGACAACAATTCTATGCCTTTTGATTTTGACCCTCTCGCCCTCGACTTCCCTGCATTGACGTTGCAATGCCTTGCCTCGCCGCCTACTCTCTTCTCTTCCACGCAACATCCCACCTCCACCTCTTGGTCCGTCCAATCACCTGGCCAAAGAGAATACGACGCGCTGAGGGCCTTCTTCCAAGAAGAGTTCAGCAATTGGAAGATCACCTGCGCTACTGCTACTACGGCGGCAATGGAAGAGCTGACATATCCTCCCCGCGAGGGTCCGGTCCGAGACACTCGCGAGGCCGTGAAGAAAGCTGAAAAGTCGGCGGAAAACCTGGAGAAGCAGGTAAACGAGCACTTGCAATCAGCCTTTGCCGTTTGGACCTCTCTGCCTATTCAGCGACGGAACGAGCTATGGCTATTGGAGATGGCAAGAAGCGTGGGCAGGAAACAAACCGAGATCGACAAGATGAAGGACGACCAGCACAAACTGCAGCAGGAGAACGCCAACTTGAAATCTCAGATTGATCAGTTGAATCGCTTGCAACAGCCGCGGGAGTTCAAACTGTTCTCCCCAGCCACAGTTCCCCTAGAGCGGCAGCTCCTGACCCATGTTTTAGAGGCAGGGATCAAGGGCAGTGGCCGTGGCGTCGGCTTGCGGCTGGAGGATCGACAACTGGACCTCAATGATGTTGTTGTGAGGGCAATCGAACGGTGGAAGACGGTCATCAGCATGAACCGTGTCGCCAACAGCGGCATGAACGCTCAAAGAGCCTTGGATCAAACAAACAGCAACACACCGACACCAGCACCAACTCCTCAACAACAGCAGCAGCAACAGCAACAACGCCAACAACAGCAACAGGCGCAGTCTACGCAGCAACAACAACAACAGCAGCAGCAGCAGCAGCAACAGCAGCTTCAACAGCAACAAGTGCAACAGTTCCCGAGCCCCGATCAGCCGCAATCAACGACGAGTACCACTGGCCATAGTGACCCAGGTGTGTCGACTAGCGGTCCGCCTTCAATCGACGATGCTAGCGACCAGGATGCCGATGGGGATGCCGATGGAGATGCTGATGCCGACGCCGAAATGGAGGATGATGACAGTTTTGCCGTAATGAACACGCCCACCGCAAAACCCATGCCGCAGCAGCCGATCCAACGACAAGCCACCCTCGAGGTGCCGCGAACGAGGCAGGTGCAGCAGAGGGGTGCGAGTGATGCACGGTTCATGATGCAGAACAGTAATCCGAATGCGAATCGGGGTGGAATCAACATGAGCCGGTCAATGCCGAACATGCAGGCGACGATGCAGGGCATGCATGGTGGCGACATGGGAATGGCCATGTCCCAGGTGAGAGGCGATCCAATGTACATGGATTGAAGGGATCTGTCAACTTGGGTGTGAAGTGGGATAAAATTCTGGAGCGGAGGGCAACAAAAAAAGAGCTGCGGCATTCTTCCATCCGCAGCTTGTTTTCAGGGCGATTGCCCACTGTATAACCTTATTTTACACGGTTGCATCTCTGAGGCATATAGTACGCATATAACGCGTCGCCCAGAATGATATTTCTGGATTTTTATGGTGTTCTAGTACAAATTTACCTGTGGGGTGAAACAGGAACTCTTCTATCACCACACTTGATCTCCTCTGCAGCATGTGAATTGCTGGACTTGTACTGTCCCCAGCACGATACTAGGTACTACTGCCATTGATGACCCATCCACCAGTCAGCCAATTTGGGCTCAGTTGAGTTGGGGGCAATGCCCAACTTATCCACAACTTTAGATTACGGGTTGACATCCGGATTATGATTCGGATTTGGATATATCTCCCAAGATTCGACTACCCTTGTGCTCAGACTGTCAAGATTACTTGATGTTACCGTTCCGCCGGTGACGCTACGGTGAAAAGGTGGGGTGTTATTGACTTCGCCCTCCACTTTGCGAGGTGGAGTGCGTGCTTGGCTTCCATCTTCGGAGGGCACTGTCCCAAGTTGAGATAGTCGCTCGGGGAATGGAAGTGTAAAGTAACTTCGTTTAACTCGCTCGGTAAGAAGACCACGAGCGAGATGGGCAGCAAACGGTGCAGCGACTAAGCGTCCCACTGCCGCTGTCATGGACCCGGGATTTCGAAGGTTAGAACGGGTACGCAAACCGGATTTCTGGTTGCGAAGACTCGAGGTCCAGGTCTAGGTAGAATGAAGCTCCAGGTTGACGATGTGGGGCAGGGGAGTTGACGAGCCAGTCTTTGTCCGTTCTTTGAAAACCTCGGCCATGGGCGCCTCCGCGAAGCCGTGAGAACGAGAGAGAGAGTGTGTGTGTTAGGGTTATGCAGAGTTGCTTTGTCTATACCCCGGGTTGCGAAAGCCAATAGTTTGGCTCCTCGATGCTACGGCGGGACGGTTTCCGCGAGCACTACCCGGCTCTCGGAAGGGGTGTGGGGTTGGTTCGGAGATGGGTGACTTCGTTTAACGCTGCGAGCGCAATCTACCAGGACCACGGAAGACTCGCACTCTAACCATGAATTCTGAGGGCAACGAGACTAGAAAAGCGACCGACTTCATCTCCCGGGCGGGCCTCATTTATCGGGACGATCCCCTTGGAGGGGGTGGTGTCTGTCATCGGTCCTCATGGGGCGCCCCCAATGTTGGACGGCGCGTCGATTACGGTTTTTTCTTCTTCCATTTTTAGTTTTCACTTTTATAATATTGTCTTTCCTGAGGCGATCTCGGGGAGGGGTTGTTCAAGGACGCGTGAACGGGTCTCTCCGTAAAGGGGGGCACCGGGTCCTGGTCGGCGGTGCGCCGTGGATCGGGATTTCTAGACGCAAACGAACAGGTGGTTCTCGAAGCTATTTCTGGATGATGGGCTGGGTGTAAGCGGAGCACAAGGGTTGAGTGGCGGGCGAAGTGTTCGTGGCTGGCACCGTGGACGGATTTGGCTTCAGGGGAGGAGGGGGTGTGGTTCATTGATTTGGGGGCTGAGTTCCGATTGATGAGGTCTCAGGGGCTGGAGATGAGAAGGGGATGGTGTTTGCAATGTTGAGGGGGTTGATCTTCGTTGCCACGGGCGATCGTCTTGGGGTTGGTGTGCGTCTAGACAGGTGGGCATCGTCCCGAGGGTCGAGGTGAAAGGGGTCTAATGGCGATGGAAGGGTGGCTGAGGGGTTGATCCCGGACATGGGTTTCGCGGCCAGTTACAGAGAATATGACAGTGTTGGAAATAATGGTTCGATGTCAGTGAACTTGGCTCGTGTTGTTGGAATATCCTCATTCCAGGTTCGAGCCGGGTCCAGTCGCCTTGAGCTGTTCAGGAAGCCATGATGTTTGTTAGTGAGAGGAACCGCTCTTTTAAAATTTGCCCGATGTCTTCTCAGGGGCTCCAAAGGCGGCTCGCACCTTTGGTCGACGCAGTGGTCCCCCGCCGGCTGTTGGCGCTCGACATGTTGGAACTTTCCTCCAAGTTCTCCTGGTGAAATGCCTCATAACATCACTGTATGGTAGTTTGATGGAACAAAGAGAATACCCGAGCCCGGGTCCCAGTTGATGGGGGAATATAGGGACCAGTGTAAAGTACTTCAGTTCGAGCCAACGTGTCTGTTATATCGTCTTTGATGCATTACCGAAGGCGACTACTCCTGTAGATGCAGTGACGGGGAGTATGGGCTGGCGCGGAGAACAAGTCCCCGGCTTCATGTCGAAGGGCATTAAAGTCTCGAGATATCAAGTAAAGCAAGGGTTTTGGCTTTCCCATTGCAACATGCTCATTTAGATGTTTGTTGTTCACTTCTGGTGTACCCAACGTTCTGTGAGATTGAGATATATTTCTCTCAATAGCCATAGATAGTTCCGTACGCCTACCCCGTTGATATCATGTGGCATCAACGTAGTAAACTTTGTTGACTCGTTGCGAGGGGCGCAAACGGTATTGAATGTGAGTGATTTCAGAATTTGCAACTGCTTCTTTCTAACAAAATTTTCCAAGCCCTTAAGCGGCCATCCGGTCAGTCATCTGCTCTGGCAGGGATGCTTCAAGATGCTGGCCAGATCATTGGTATAGTTCTGAATTGAACGAAATATCACCTATACTCTCGTGTATTGAAGGCGTCGTTCTTTGAATATTCTGGTTTGAACACACCTTGAGATACACACTGAGAGAAAGCGGGCAACGCGGGTCATGCCCACTGCGGTAAACTTCCCTAAGAAGAGACAGCAACGCCCAACTAGAACAAATCAGAACCTTCCGGGCCTAGTTACATCATGGAAGCCCTGTTTCATCATCTAGACGTAACGACATCACCAGGCACATGGGGGTTCTTCCTATCTTTTGCGTCAGAAAAGGCGGACATAGCTTTTGCTGCTTCATCATTCGGCGAGGAGGCAAGTTGAAGGTGCAGAGTCAGAACACGGTGGTACGGGTGCAGGTAGTTGTCATGTTTTTTATTTTGCCCGAGACTGAGTCTAAGCTACCATACGTGACAAAATAGTGACATTCCATGGTAGCCTTGAGCGAACTGCTGTGCTTGTCATGTTCCTGTTTTCATCACCGGGTGCCTGACCAACCCCTTAAATTGGTTCTCACGATAACAATAGTCATGAGACTTTCAAGATTGTCGCGACTTCTCCGTTGCTTTTAGACGGTCTCAGAAACAGTAGGCTCGGTGTCAAATATTTAATGTTGGTGTTATTCGATGTCCATGAACCGATCGGTTGTCAGAGTTATGGTCCTAGCTTTGCAACCTTCTACCGACCACAAACACGACATCTTGTTACGTTCGATCGATTCATCGTTCTATGGCGAAGTCGTCATGAAACCGCTTCTCACTTCATAAAATGACAGTTTGGCTGCTATCTAGTCTTATATGGAAACGAACCTTGAGAGCTGGGCGGTCGCTCTGGCTCAGTTAACCCGCTCCCCTTCAAGAGCAACGCCAATAATTGACAAGTCATGATCCGTGGTCGCGGAATCTTGACAGAGAAGCAACCTATATGCCCTGCTTAATTACTGGTGCATGGATCGTGATTACTGGGCATCATATAGGAATGGGTGGCAAGCGGATGGATTTTCGCTACAACATAGAAATCATCAAATACGCATCTAAGGCTGAGTGTGGCTTCGAATCATCAAGGTTTCTGAATTAACCCATGGACCATATGTTCACACATTACTTGCAAAAAACAAAAATAAACAAGCTTATCAGCAATCTCGGAAGACTGATTGACGATGGCGGTTTCCGAGTCAGTTAAGAAGGCCTATGATAACCCTGTAAGAGGTCCGGATGAAGTCTATCAATCGGCGAGATCACGGCCCGAAAAACTACTGGACTTGGATCACAAATCCCGGAGCTTCGGCAGAAGAAAATACGCGAAGACAGCCTCGGAACCCCGGATGTCGCAGTGACGGGCGTGTCGAGGGGGTTTCTCATTCATGACCAGGGCAGCTTGAAACAAGTACGAGTGAGGCATGACGACGGGCGCCCGAGCTCTGACGGCAACCTTGCTAGCTATACGTCTGATATTGGGTTGGTACATCGGTAGCGTAGGAAAAAGGCGAGTCTGTCCCGTTGGGACTCTGGTCTTTTTTCTCCTTTTTTCTTTTGTTTCCAATTCTTGTTTATTTTATATTCTCTTGTCCGCTTAACGCCGAGTTATCGTTGAAAGCAGTTCTCAGGACGGTAGCTTTCGAGTGGGAAAAGATGCCGAAATGGGGGTAGCCTGCAAGTGAACGAGCCAGGGGATTGCGAGACACCAGAAGCCAATTGGTGGCGGCGGTCCATTCCGCGGTAACTTTGTGTTGTGGCCTTTGGAAGGAAGGAGCCACCCTTCGTGCCTTTTCAAGTATTCTCAGCACCCAGTTGCATGGCCCAGGGGACAAGACGTCGCTGCAAGTTCCCGTCCCGTCAGGTAGCAGAAAGACAGGCATTTGGGCAGGTACCGCCCATGTATCGTGGAGTCGACGCGGGACGAAGCTGATTACAGGTACTCGGTTTGGATGGACCTAAAGGCTGATTTTGTCAACTTGCGCCCCCTAAATAAATCCAGAAAAAAAATCTAGAAATCTTTTGAAGATGGCCGAGAAGGCATTGCAGCAGTCAGAGACATATTAAACTGTCAAAGATGATGCGGTGGCGGCACTACTCGAGTCGCTGGCTAGGCGCGCACTAACAGAAGCCCCAGAATGAAGGGACGAAATACCTCCACCCCCAAACACCCGGCGGGACCAAAGGCTGGCAGCAAGCTACCCCCAAGGCCAGACACCTGCACACGTCGCTCCCCTTCTGGCTTGCATCACGACACGGCCTCGAAATCCCACCACAACCTAATCGAATCCCCTTCGGAGCGCCTGCCGCTATCGCTCCGCTCCCCTTCATCGACCGATCGATTTGCCGCGATAGTCATGCCAGCGATTTCTCCCGTTGCATTGCGAACCCCCTCATGATCGCTCCATTCCACTGCGACGGGACCGCCCAACCGAGCAGCCATGGACAGCAGGGCCCAGCGATTCGAGGATGAGAAGCGGCGCATCATTGAGAGTTGCTTCAACAAGAAGGATGTGGACGGATCGCGTGCGTCAAATGCCTCATGTCGCTTTCTCTTGAGACGACGTCTCGACGATTGCTTACAGTACTAACCCTTGCTTCATGACGATAGTGCTCGAGACATACATCACCCACATCCGAATCACAGAGTACTCGTCTCATCCGACCTCCCCTCCGCCGCCTCAAGCACGAACTCCTGAATCCCAGAAACCCCGTGTCATTGTCGTTGCTGTAAGAAAAAGTGGCCGAGTGCGTATGCACAAGACGAAGGAGAATGCCAACGGAACCTTCTCAATTGGCAAAACATGGAACCTCGACGACCTCACTGCCATCGAGTCCTTCACAGGGCCGGGGGCCAACCCGACCTTCCGCGAATGGGCTGGAGATACCGGCTTCGTCGTTACCATCGGCAAGCCCTATTTCTGGAACGCACAATCGGACAAGGAAAAGAAGTTCTTCATTGCCAGCTTGGTCAAGATCTATGGCAAATACACGGGGGGCAAGATCCCCGAGCTGGCGGGTTTCGACCAGTCCGAAATGGCCCAGATCCTGAGGAACGAACGACGACCGCCACCGCCGGGTCAGCCTCCCTTCAGACCGTCCCCCGCTCCAGATGCTGCTCCTAGTCAACCGAGCCTGATCGTGAACCCACCCTCCAACTACGCCACACCCTCTCCAGGCCCGCCCGGCCCGCGCCGGCCGCCGGCTCTCAACAATGGAATGACTTCCAACTCTCCCGTTGGGAGCATGACCTCGTCATTTTCGCAAGACCCCCCCACGCTGAGGCGTTACGGAAACAAAAGCCAGGAATCGTTTGCCCCATCCCTAGGAGCCAGGAGCGACGATGCGGGCAGCTTGCCGCCCCGTTCGAGAAACGGTATGCCTGGGCCAGGGGCATTGGGCAGGTTTGCTGAGCCGCCGCCCGAGCCTGTCCCGGGACCGCCGCCACCAATCTCGGAAGAGGGGGGTCGCCCGCCAGAAAGAAAGAGACCGCCGATGGACCCAGCACGACCGCAGGGCTTCGCCGACAGAGACTTGGTTCCCGCGCCGTTAATTAGCCCAGGGATGCGACGAGATCAGGTTGCTCCTCCACCGAGAAGCACCGCCAGGAAGAACTCAATATCACAGCGGTCAGATGCTGGTTCTTACAGAGACAATAGGCCTGTCACTCCCCTCACTCCCGTCGACCCGGGGACAGCAGATGTCCCTCTCGCGCTCCGAACGCCGACGCGAAATGGGGCTGCACCTACGAGGCCAACTCCTGCAATCGCCTCACCGTCACCCGAGATCCCGGTGCCCCCTGCGCCTGTTTCTCCCGTAGCCCCAAGCCCGCCTCCAGCTCCATCCCCGGCGCCTGTGCCTACGGTCGAAGAGCCTGTTCCCGAGGAGCCTGCAGCTCCCGAATCCCCGTCTGTGCCTGAACCGCCTGCTGAGCCAGATGAGAGTCGGCCAGGTCTGGGCCCGATGATCAAGTCCAAGAAGTCCAAGGGAGACCTCGCCGGCGTGCTTTGGAAGGCCGCATCTGCTGCCTCGGCCTTCAGGCCCCGGCCCGGTGGTGCTGGCGAAAGACTACGACAACTTGCCACGAAAAGCACTGAGCCAGCCGAAGGAATCACAACCGTCTTTCAACCCCCGCCCAGACCAGTCTCCTCTGACGGTGCCAAGCTGGCATCTCCCGAGGCAGTTGCCGAGAAACCTATTGCACGCGCAGCATCAGCAGCCCCCGCAGAGCCTTCCAAGCGTACATCCGGTTTGCCTGAGGTGAAGGTCACCGTTCCTAACTCTAGCCGTCCAACGAGCTTGCAATCATCGATGAACGAACCCAAGAAGCCCGAGGAGCCTATAGCTAAAGAGGAAGACCGCAGGTCGATTGTTGTGGGCAACGACGCCAAATATCTTGCATCTCTAGGCATTGATCCCACTGTTTTGGACAACAAGAGCGGGGAATTCACAAAGTGGCTGGATTACTTCGGCTGGGTACCCGGCGAGCAGATGAGATCTCGCAATGTCGATGATTTGAGGACAGATCTCGAAAGAGAGCTTAACAAGGCTCAAGCTGGGGGCTGGCTGGCCCGATTCCAAGAAGAAGATGACCGAGTTGAGGCCATCAAGCGTGGCATCGACCTGGCAGTCGCTGAGTGTGAAGAGATGGAGAACTTGTTGACACTTTACAGTGTTGAACTCTCGGTAAGCTAGTCGAATACCTAGCGAAGAACTTTACTAACGTAAAACAGACGCTTTCTGATGATATTGCCTACATTGAAGCTCAAGGCCAAGGTCTTCAAGTTCAGACTGCCAACCAGAAACTCCTCAAAAAAGAGCTGGAGTCTCTCTTGGAGACGACGACCATTACTACGGCTGATCTCAACGCTTTGAAAGTCGCCCCGCTTGAGGACCCTGCAGGCCTTGAAGATATCGAGATGTCCCTAGTCACACTGTACAAGGCCATGATCAAGATCGACCCGTCACTATTAGGAGGTGAGCCCAGGAAGAGCGAAGATCTTGTTGGAGAAGGGGACCAAGCTGTTGGACTTGAGAACACCGACTACGGCAAGATGAGAATCGTCCAAGAAAAGAAAGAGATGTATCGTCAAGAAAGCGCCGCCTTCTCGCGACGGTTGGTCGGATACATGGCACAGCAGTTCGACGTTGCCTACAACGAGGTAAACAGAGCGCTGCGCGAGGCTCTGTCGAGAAAGGTAGACTCCCGCCACCACGATGTTGGTCGCGACATGCTTTGGAAGTACAGTCCTTTGATCAAGTACGCCAAGGATGTTGATCCGGCCAACTGGGATCGCATGATCCAGGTCTACCAAGACAAGAGCCATCCCGTATACAAGAACGAGTTCCGTCAGGTCTTGGAGGCGTGGAAGCGCAACGCACGCAAGATGACTGCCGATGAGACATCCGAGCTCCTGTTTACGTTCGAAGTCGAAAAGCAACAGGAAGGCAAAGCGACCACTGTCAGGAAGCTCACCGTCAAGCGTAGTCAAACACTGGCCAAGAGTCTGCGTTCGCCCATCGACACTGGCAGCAGAACGAATCTCAAAGAGTCGGGGGCCGAGAACCGTAGCCTCCCGTACGAGGTATTTGGTCATGTATTGGATGACCTTTTGCCATTGGTCGAGATGGAGCAAAACTTTATTGTCGACTTCTTCCATGCCACGACGATGGAGCAGTCAGACTTCCCTGACTTGGTCGCTGCGAGCAGACCGAAAGACCGAAGAGGTGGTGACCTACGTCGCCATCGTCTAATGGAGCCAGACCGCGATCTCGCTCGGAGAGTCACCAAAGCAATGGAAGTGATATTCATTTTCCTCGAGACGGAAATCGCAAAGCTCATCGAATGGGTCATACAGGCCGATTCTTTGTAAGTCAATCAATATCCAGTTCTACTCATGAGAAACTAATTATGTGAACCAGGCAAGGGGCAGGCGTCCTGGCTGTTCTTGAGCGGAATCTTGTGGACATCCAACAATCCAACCAAGAGTTCCTCAACGCTCTGCTTCAGAAGCTCCACGGCGTCCTAGAGTCCCGCTTTAAGAAATTCGTCGACGAGCAAATCCGCGCCATCGAGGAGACTAAGGTTAAGATCAATAAGCGCAAGGGCGTTATTTCGTTCATTCGCGTCTTCCCTCAGTTCTCCAATGCCGTCGAAAATATTCTTACGGGCATCGACCCGAACCTGGCTGTACGAAAGACGGTCGATCGCGAATACGACCGCATTCTCAAGTCTATGTTCGACTCGCTCAAGATCATCGCCCGCGAGAACCCGGCTGTCAGCGTCGGCGCAGCGGGCGCGGACCCGGAAGACAAGGAGGCGCTCAACTTCCATATCCTCCTCATCGAGAACATGAACCATTTCCTAGAGGAGGTCAACACGCATGGCCTCGATGTCCTCGAAGACTGGCGCGAGGCCGCAACCAATGAAATGAACGAGCACATGGGCCTGTACCTGAACGCGGTTATGCGCCGCCCTCTCGGCAAGCTCCTCGAATACATTGAGAACATCGAGGGTCAGGTTCAGTCGGGCAAGCCTGGCTCGAGCATCGCAGCACAGCCGTCCAACTCCAAGTCGACGTTCCACAAGGTCCTGGCAACGTACGACGCGCGCGAGGTTCGCAAGGGTATCGAGACGCTGCGTAAGCGTGTCGAGAAGCACTTTGGCGATGCGGACGACGTTGCTCTAAGCCAGAAGTTAGTGATCAAGGTGCTGCGCGAGTGCGAGCGCTTCTACGGCGAGGTGGAGTTGCGCATCAGCCGCATCACGGCAGATGTATATGGCGGAGACGTTCTTTTCGAGTGGCCGCGCACAGAAGTCAAGGCTGGCTTCCGCTAGAGGCAGTTGCTGAAGCCGCACCTGCTGAGGCCTGGAGCCACCTTTTAATGTACCAGGGGGGGGGGGTTGCCGCAGCGTTCAAAACAGCCACCCGCTCAGAGATGTTTCGAATTGCTTTTCTATCTCGCCGACTACCCTTTTCGTTATTTGCTCATTGAGACTTGGGGGAAGAACAGCATTCCAGGCGGACGAACGGGAATGTGTAGGCGCTGTACCTGCCCTTGCTACCTTATTGTCACTGCGTCTCGTCCCCCAATCGCTTACTGGAGGAAGCAGTGCATAGATAAGAGAAGGGCGGAAAGGAGACGGGGGACGATGTTTTGATTTCTTGTGTCGTTGTTTCTATAGGCGGACATGGGAGATCTGTAGGCGGGACGGGATCCAAAGGGGTTTCGGTACCTTGGGCAAGCCTTTTGCGCAAATAGGGGACACTAGATCCTGTGACGAAATGAGAGACTTGTTATGCATGCATGCCAGATCATGGCCACTAGCCGTGAGACCCAGCCGGCGTACGATGTAGCGTTGGCGGGAAACAAGACGGATAGATGATAGACCCTGAACAGTACCACGCTATCCTAGTTCATCATTATACTTCTCCACAAGACTTGGTGCAGATCATGTTGAGGTCGGTTATGTGCCAGGCCTTACATCGCGATCACTTCAACAAAACCACGAAAGATGGATTCTCACAAATCAATTTGACCATTCTATCAACTAGAAAACCCCCTGGCACTTCGCATCAAAGCAGGCTTCAAATGGGCCTGGTCATGGACCCTAGAGACAGTGCCGAAACAATGAAGAAATGCCTCGAGGCCAGAGCAGGGAGGCAAACTGAAAAGAAGCTCTGACGCCTAAACAACCCTGCCATGCAAAGTTGGGGTTCGGGGTTCCTCATGTGCCCCTTCTCCCTTCAATCCACCTCACCCAAAACTGGTGTGTCCCGTCCCAGGCCGTTACCATCCATAAAATCTTTGTTGAGTGAATACTATCGTCAGATGCAGAAGGGATGCATCAGGTCCTTCTGTCGGAGAAGTGCAATGCTCGTTGATGCATGTTCCATTCCATTTTCATGCAGACGTGACATCGTCTGCTGCGATGGTCACTTTGACCATCGATACCGCCGCTTGGTTCTTCTTTTTTCGTGTTTCGTTTCTTTCTGGATTTGTCATGCGGTTATGGGATTGCCACCTAAGACAGGTGGAACGCTCCCTGACCCTCTTTGATTGCAGTCGAGAGTTGTTTCCGCATAACTTCAATGCTGGTGTAGTCGGGTAGTTTGAGGTAGTTCACGCAAGTCATGACGCTGGGGAGATAGTCGTCAGACGTGTATGGGTGTTCACTCGGCTTGCAGACGACGGTGAACATGGGGGTCAAGCTCTTGAAGCCTGTTTCTGATGTAAGTATGTATCCCTTGGAGGGGACAAACAAGGTAAACGCACCTCCAATCGGGAGCTTGGGGCTTCCCGTGGTGAACTGCAAGAAGTCACGGCGTTCAGAGGGAGACAGCTCGCTCATGGCCTGCAGCAGGTTCTTGACGCTCTTGCTATCCATGTTGTAGCCATGATCTGCCTTGATAGAGTCCATAAGTGCTGTTGAGTAGGTCAGTAAACATTCGGAAGAACTCATGGACGGGAAGGCGAGCTTACTCTCAAGTGACCAATCCTCGTCAACTCTACCGAACAACGTGACGAGTTCATCGGGAGTGAAGGCGCTCAGGGCTGAGTACGGGAAGACCTGGGAAAACCCAGACCGGAATGCATCGACTTGGCGGCGAACGCCAGTCCCAAGAGTCATGTCAACGACACGCTCCAGATACGAGTCCACATTATCAATGGTGACCCGAACCTGACCGCCGTTAGGCATAAGCTCGATCTCGGGATAACCAGGCAGGGTAAAATCGAGGCAAAGGTCATCTAGCTTCATTCCATCAATGGCGATGTCCTCGGTGTCAGCCACCTTTTGCGCAGGAGTGCGTGAAGGGTCTTCGTCGATTTCCTTCTTGGCCACAGCAAACTTCTTGATGGTCTTCAAAGATCGAGCCAGGCCAGGGTCAACAACCTTAACTGCGCCAAGGGATGGCTTGACGCCGGGCGCCGATGAACCGTCTCCAATGCGGAAGAAGGTAGGGTTGAAGTTCAAGTCAATGATGCGAGAATCGATCATTGACCGAGCAACAAACTTTCCGAGAGTCTTGAAGAGCTGGAGAATGCGTTCACCGTTGGGAGCACCGGCTTCATCGTCGCTGAGTGGTCGAGGGAAGAGGCCGCTCGCGCCAGAGATATACTCTTCAGAGTCGTTCGAGTCCATCTCTCTCCACAACTTGAGTTTCTTCTTGGAAAATTCCTTCGACACCGTCGAGTAAAACTCAAGGGTGGGGCCCAAGCCTGTTCCTACCTCCTCGAAGTATTCAACCTCTAGGATACTTTGAGAAGCACCATAGAGCTCCATGACCTTCAACGCAGACTCCAAGATCTTGGATCTAGAGATGCGCACCTTCTGGCGCTGTAGTCGTCCGAGGAAGGGTCTATCGTCACGTCGATCACGACGAGAGTCGTCTGCAGAATGGGCATTCTGCCAGCGAGTCATAGAACGGGCATAGCCGAATGAGGTCGACTGCAAGAACAAGTGCCTCGTCTCGAAGGGGAAGAGGAAAGGATACAGTCTCGCAAGATCCTCTACCCAACTTGGCAGGCAGTTGCTCGCCACGATAAGCGGTTCTTCCAACTGTCTGTTCAGCTTGGCGGTGAGCTTGGTATTGACAAACTGTGACAGGGGCTCCACGTTGAGTCGGACAGCATCCTTCTCACTGTTCTCAACCATGACATCCTCAATATTGGCATTCAAGTCGTGAAGAATATTGAGCAGACGAAGAATCGAGGCGGTAGAAGGATGTTTGGCCAGGGACGCTGGCACGCTTCCGTCCCCATTGTCTTCCGTATTAGCCTCGGCGTTGGAACTGAAGGACAGAGTTTCCGCAGGCGGCGGACCAGGGGCACGCCTGAACTTGATTGGGTGGACCGCAGACCAGACACTCCGGCTGAAATGCTCATCGGAGTTCGCAGCTGAGGTATGGACAGCACGATAGATGGTGGTCTCACTGGGGATGACTTTGCCATCAAGAGTAAACTCGATGTGCCAGTCTTGAGGGACAGCTTGAATAGCTGCAGCGTAAGACATTGGCCGCGATGACGAAGTCGATGGAGTGGGCGTGCTCTGTGCCGGTGGGGGAGGGAGAGCGCTGGACCGAGTAGGCAAAGCACTCTGCGATGGCGTGGGGACTCTGGTCCCATCGTCCTTTCGTGCGGTGACCCTGCCACCAGCTGCAATTTCCATGTTGACGGCACCAGGCTCGGGCGCAGGGGACTCGCTCATGTCTTCATCGAGATCGCCCACAATAGCATCGAGGGCGCTGCTGCCGCCGATCTCTTCGTCGTCAGACAGGTGCTTCTCGTCTGCGCACTCGAGCGCGTTCTCCAGGTCGTCTTCTTCCGGAGGCGGTCGTGAGGGTGCAGGACTTTCTGCTGCAGACGCCGCGCTGCGGCGAGTAGACCTTCTCAGAACACCCTTATCTCTCGTAGTGGAAGAAGTGTCTGGACTTGCTGCAGTTTCAGAATGCGGTGTTGACTTGGACTTCGTCTTGCGAAGGGAACGCGAGCCGCTGGGCGTGGCCGCACTGGGCGGAGGCGGGATGGGGCTCGACGCAGAGGCAGCTGAGGCGCGTTCTGCAAGTCTAGCAGCAGCGTGGCTCAAAGGCAGGCCAGCGGAGCCTGCAAGTGAAGCAAGAGCTCTGGACAAATTGTCAGCTCGCCGAGAGCCGCGTGGCCGTTCAGACAGGCTGATTCTGGGACGCAAGTAGTCATCCAGCGACTTGAAGGTGGCGATAGCGTGGATCGAGACCATAATGTTCCGATAAGACCGCGGTATGTCGGAGTCATCATCAGCAACGAGTCTCAGCCGGATTTGTTTCGCAAGCATGGACGCTGCACTACTGCGGTTGCCGTCAAAGGTGTTTTGGTGGACTGTAATAACCTCGAAATGCTCGGACCTACTGAGAAGATCTTGGAGTTTGTGAACCATGACGCTGAAGGGTGTTGCGGGAGAATCGGCGGTTGCGGTCTTCGGCTTAGACTTGACAGTGTAACCCATGAACACCTGCAGAAAAGCCGACTGTGCAGTTCGGGCCAGCTCCTCATCAGGGTTGCTGAAAACCTCCAAAAGAACTCTGACGAGTCCAGAAGCTAGAAGTTCTGCACTTGTAACGCTTTCAAGAACATCTGCGTCGAAAGATGACGCCAGCTTCTTGAAGAGCTCTACACCGTTTTCAGGTGCAAGATTGGTCGCCGTTCTGTGAAGATAGAAGGCCTCAATCTCTCCAGCCAGATCCGAGAGGTTGGACAGAATCTTGGTCGCCTTCTTCTTCATGGTCTTGCCATGCTTCTCGGTCTCGTGACTTTCCAAGAACTTCTTGGCCACATCGCGGATCCTACTCCGCATTGAAGGGACGTCGGACAGGAAGTGCTGAGGCGGTCCGTCAAGTGACATGGTCGAGCCACGTGAACTAACCGGAGAGCCCGAGATATCGTCTGGATGAGGCTCGTTCTCGTTCTCCTCTTCGTTCTCCTCGTCCTCCGATTCCTCGTGATCTTCATCATCTTCCGACTCCTCGTTGTCCGACGAATGATCTCCAGAGTCTACAGAAGCTTGTGGGTCAGTGTTGCTGGTTTCCTGTGAACCAGTCGGCTCTAGCGCCGGTGGAGGAGTCTGCTCCTCGGTGGCGAGTTTCGTGATCTCCGAGATGACACCCTCACGATACAGCTGGTACCGGTAAACATCCTCCAGACGACTAAGGAGAAGTTCCGTAGCCTGAAGGGCGAGCATGACGAGCGAAGGATGGTCCTGCTGGGACAGAATCGAGGCCAGGAAAGAAGCGTATGAAACAGTCTTCAGTGCCTCTCCGAGGATCTCTTCATCAAGGTTCGACAGCATCTTCAGTTGCGCAGTGAGAACCTTTTGCCGAACATTGAGGTTGACTGTACTCGAAAAAGCATCGGTCAAGGTTGGGAAGAGAATGAGCGCGAAGCGGCGGACCTCAGCTTTGCAGCCATCAAGGAGCTCAACTCTCTTGTCGTTGGGTGACTTGCGTGCCTTTCCAGGTGCAGTGGATGAGGGAGTAATGGGTTCTGTTGAGTTCATCTCGACGAAGTCGCCGTATGAAGGGTCAGCATTGCGAGGCAGGCTAGGAAGCAGCTCGCAGATGACGTTGAGGGTTTCGATGATCTGCTCTTTGGGCCGGTGAATCAACGCCTGCATGATGACAACGCTGTCGAGCTTGGAGGCGACATCTTCGGTTCCGCTTGGTGGAGACACGCCGGTCAAGATCTGGTAGAGGGTCTCCACAACGTTGAGTTTGAACAGTTCTGCCGACAGTTGAGGGCTGGCACGAGCTGTGAAGGCCAAGACTCGCAGAAACTGGGTGTGGATATCCGACCTAATGAGGTTGGTGGTGCCAGGTACGAGCAGTCTCAAAACTGCCTTGAGTAGGTCGACACTGACGAGCTCTTCCAGCTTTGCAGATTGGTATTTGAAGCTCTCGACAATCCCAGAGACACAGATCGAGGCTTGTTCCACAACTCGCTGATCACTGCTGCCTAGCACATTGAGTAGGGTGGGCATGACATCTCGAATGACTGGGAAGGAATCCTCGGGTATGTTCCGGCAGCAGTTGGCAGCAGTGGTCACAGCCGTTCTTTGTGTGCTTGTTGCGAAGAAATCCAAGTAGGACAAGCAGGCAGTGAGGCCACCCTCTCGAACAATGCTGGAGGGGTACTCGGCGGAGATCTTTTCGAGAGTGCTCAAAGCTTGCTCGGCGAGGTCGATGAACGAGATCTCCAGAAGCTTTTGGCACAGAACCGGGACAGCGCCTCCATATACGACGTTGGCCACGCTCGCGGGCAACGCCTCCATCAAGTTTGCCAGGCAACGGCAAGCGAGAAGCATGATTTCCGGGTTCTCCTCACCCGTGATCTCGTTCGGCTGCATCAGAGTTACCAATTCCTTGACGAAGGAATCGGGCGAAAAGTGGCCCGACAGATTGTCCTCGTTTGAAACCAGTAGTATCTCAGACAGTTCCTGCAGGGCAATCAGCTGAATCGAGGGGTCATCTTTCTGACGCAGGTTGTTGAGGAGCTCTCGCAAACGTGACGAAATGCCCGACATCATGCCCGTGAGAGCTCGCAAAGTGCTCGACAGGCCTCCAGGCCCGCCAGGACCGCCAAATCCTCCGAATGGGTCATCGTCCTCATCGTCGTATCTTCGGCCATCTTCATCATCGTCATCGTTCTCGTCACTATCCTCGTCGTCGTCATGATGTTCAGGCGGAGGTGGGGGAGGTGGAGGAATAGAGTCTTTCTCTGCGTCGTCTGTACCCGTCATCGCGGTATCCTGATCGGCGTTGTTCGCAGCATTTCGTTTCGTCCGACGAGAAGAGCTGGATATGTTGGCAGAAGGATCTGCACAAACGTCAGTGTCACGATCCCTAAGCATAGCATTATTAGAAGCAGCCTCGGATTTACCTGAAGCGCTCGGAGCTGTCCTTTTGCTTCGGCTCGATTTCCGGCTCGAAGAAGCTGAAGGAGCAGTGTTCTCGGATACATTCGCGAGATCGGCGGGATTGCTAGAGAACACAGTCAGCCGAAGATGCATTCGGGATCAGGGCGGGTTTCTCACTCTGGACTCGACATGGTGGCGGTAGATTTTCCCTTCCTCTTTGGACGAGACGGAGCGGGTGTCTGTGTAGGAGGTTGAGAAGGCAGAACAGCGTCGGCTACTTTCTGACGCTTGGATCTTCTGGCCGAAGCACTCGTGGGTGGTTGTGTTCCTGGAGTAGGGCTGGCAGCTTGAGCTGGAGCTTTTCGCTTCCGCGAGGCGGTCGGCGGATGGGTTTGAGGACTGGATGTCGCCGATGCAGGGGCGGTCGCAGCAAGATCGGCGCCGGCAGCGGACTGGGCGGATGAAGCTGCGAGACTCGCTGCTTGCCGAGCAGAAGATCTAGTAATTCTAGGAGACATGAGTGACTGGTTTTTGCGAGGCATGCCGACCGAACCAATAAAAATAAAAAAACAAAAGGTGACGATCAAATCAACGCAGCCGAATCGAGAGTGCAGGCAGCCATCGGTGTCCCAACTCAGGTCAAATGTGTGGGTGCAGTGGATGTGGGTGTACGGTGTAGGTTGAAGTAAGTTATGGGTGGTGTGTAATAAATTGATGGATCGGAAGATGAAGGGGGGGTTGTTGGATGGCACTGGCCCGTAGCTGACCAGGAGAGCCGGACAAGTGAAGGAGTAAAAGGAGGAGTCGAGACGAAGAGAAAAAAGAACCGTCGAGGAGGAGGATCAACGTCGATGGTGCGGGTGAAGGAGCGGTGCGATGCAGATGCAGCCGTGTTTCAATGGTTGGAAAGAAGGCGTTTCTCTCTTCTTTTTTTCTTAGAGGCAAGGTGCCGGTGCCTGACAGATGGACAGCACGGTATGGTAGGTAGTGACCCGCTTAACTTCGATCCAACCCGTCAGGTACCTAGCTCCAGGTAGAGGGGGAAGGAGGGTAGGCACACCGGATCCCGAGGCAAAGGTGACTCTTTTCCCGAGTTTGGTTTTGAGGATCAAACGAGGTAGATGGGAAGGTGAAATCGAAGGGGCTTGGTGAACGTAGGCAGGAAGGGACGGGTTTGGCTGTGTGACTGGTGGTTGCCCCACGGCACCTGGACGTGGACGTTGAGCTGCCTTCTCCTCGTCCTGGTCCTGCTCCAACTAAGGGTGTTTCTGCTTGCCTGATGAAAGCCTCTTACTCCTCTCTTCACTTCTTCCTTTTTTCATCTTTCTCTTCTTCTCTTTCAGATCTCCCTTCTCCCCTCTCTTTCTCTCGCGATGCGCAATAAAAACAGTACAAGGAGCTCGAAAAGAAACGCGGCAAATACGGGGGAAAGGGCGGCCACCTACCGATGGGAGGGCGAAGTCGAAGCGAAGGCGGGCGAGCCCGGCCCTGAGGACGATGTCGTCGGCGTGGACGGGAGGCGCGCGGAGGGATCGTGGTCGACTACCGATCTGGAGCGCGGGTTTGCAGAGGCGATTCGTTCTGCCATGGATTACGCCATGAGGCAGGACAGCTCGAGCAGTGCTGACGGTTGGGCAGGGCGGTATTGCGATGTTATCAGTTCGGTCGGAATGGCCACCGGACACGATGCAGGGGCGGGATAGTGCGGAGGGTTCGACCGAAATCAACGGATCAAGCAGAACGTCTTCGATGTGTGGGCAGTCATCGACAGGAGCAAGAGGGATTTCCTCGAGACGGATGTTGTCGTTATCGTCGTCGTCGGGAGTAAGAAAAAGGATGTCGATGGGCGAGTACGGGGAATGTCTACGGGTTTTGGTTCGGTTGAAGTTATGCAGCGACAAAGCAGTATGGAGGGAAGAGGTGTCGGTCGGGCCTGGTTTGACTGATGGGCCGTGGCCGGTAGACGGGGACACGCGCACACCACCGTTGCTGCTAACAAGGCATACAAGCACCCCAAGACCAGGCCAGGCCACAGTCCCGCCCGCTCATACATGCAACACGCACCAAGCGGCTCTGATATCGCTGGCCCCCAGTCCACTTTTTTCCCTCCAAAACAGCCACTGGGCAGCGGGACACCCATTCAGCACGCAGAGGGGGTATCCCTGCGTCCACAGCCCAAAGTGCGTCTTGGCTCGCGGCCGCACGTCTGGCTCCTTATGTCATGGAACGGTCCTCCTCCTGTCACACCTACCGTTTGGCTCCGTCCCAACCTCCAACTGTCGCCCACACCCAATCATGGACGTGCCGCCGTCCTTCACCCCGTTAGTGCGCCGTCACAAGCCTCTGCTGCTGCTAGGTAGTGTACTAATTAGCTGCCTCCCAAACGCAGTAGCTTTGCAGTGTCCGACCGTGCAGTCGTTGCAGCGTTTGGCAGGCGTAGGCATGACATGGCACGCTTAGCCAAACCCCGCCCTGCCACCGAATGTAGGTTGGACGTTCTGTGCTGCGGCCCACGGGCAGCATTGCAAAACCGCTCGTCATAACGGAACCATGACTCCGTTTACCTCCCCACAATTCGCTTACGAGCCCCAGATTGTGACGGAGCCGCTTCAAGCGCAGTGGAGAGGCGGAATTTGTTGCTCTTGTTGCGCCATCAGGGTCTTGCAACGCATGCAACATCCGGACCAACGCTCCATTTCTAAGCAGATGGAACCCAGTGCAAAAACACCTCACACGACGTTTGTTCAATGTGGATGCTGGCCAGTGAGATCTGGCCGATTCCGTTCCATTCCGTTTGATTTTATCGCCGAAGATGCCGTCTTATTTTGTATTCTAAGCAGGTATTATGCAGTATCGCAGGTCTACGCCTTCAAGCTGTCCTTGCCCCCCTCGAACTCACTCAACTCGTACTCGTCTGGGTAATTATCCAGATGCTCACGCAGCTGCGTCATCTGTTGCTTCAGATCTGGCGTCAGCTCCTCGTAAACATCCTCAAACATGCCCCGGATAGGCGGCTTCTTCTCCATCTCGGCCTCCTTGAAAGCCTTGAGTACCTCCCGCCTCGTCGACTCTCGACACTCCTTCTCCTTGCTCTCGTCCCACATGCCCTTGGCCTCCATGTACTTGCGCAACCGCGTGATGGGGTTGTCCCTCCGCTTCCAGTCCTCGACTTCGACCCTGGCGCGGTACGCAAACGAGTCGTCCGACGTGCTGTGGTGGCTCACCCGGTAAGTCATGGCCTCAATCAGGACCGGCCTGCCCCCGTTCTCCAACGCCATCTCGCGCGCCCTCTTGGTCGCCTCCCGGACGGCCCAGATGTCGTTGCCGTCCACTCTGATGGTGTCGATGCCGTATCCGAGACCCCGGCTGGCGATTCCATCGCCCCGGTACTGCTCCAGCGTTGGTGTCGAGATGGCGTACCCGTTGTTTCTGCAGATGAAGATGACGGGGCATGACCTCGTGGCCGCAATATTCAGCGCCGCGTGGAAGTCGCCCTCGCTGGCTGCACCCTCGCCAAAGTACGCCGCAACCACTCGCGGGGGTATGGACTGGTCCTGCATCCGCTGGACCTTGAGAGCGTAGGCCGCTCCCGAAGCTTGCGGCAGCTGCGTTGCCAGGGGTGATGAGATGGTGTGCTAGATATCGCCGTTAGCGAGGCTCTTTGTAGAGGTGTAAACGGATGTCGCCCACAATATTCAATTCCTTGCTGCCGTAATGCACCGGCATGTTCCTCCCCTTGCCCGGGTCCTTGGAATTCGCAAACAGCTGATTCATAAAGTCCGCCGTCGTGAACCCGCGCTGCTTGAAGACACCCTGCTCGCGATACTGGCAGAAAATCACGTCCTCGGGGGTCAGCACGCTCGCCGAGCCGACGCTCAGCGCCTCCTCGCCCGCCGAGACTATGTAGAAGCTCAGCCGGCCCTGGCGCTGGGCTTCGAACATGATGAGGTCCATGACCGAAATGAAAACCATGTCCTTGTAGAGCTTTACGATCTCGTCCTCACTCAGGTCCGGCACGAAGGCATCGTCAACGACGTCGCCGTTCTGGTCAACGACGCGGTAGGTCGGCACGGCGGGGTAGTCGCCAGGGGTCTCGAACTTGAGGGTGTTCGTGAAGGCGCTCTTCACGGCGCCGGGAAAGGAGACATGGTTCGCGTCGGGCCGCTGGGAGAGGCTGCTCGCCGCTCGGCGGGACGGGGTTTGGGGTGTTGTCGTTGTCGACGGTGCCACGAAGGGAGCTGCTGTGGCTCCGCCGGCTCGGGGGACGGCCCCGCGCAGGGGCGCGCGGCGAAGGATCCTCGAAGACCTCATTCTCTGCTCCTTGAGGCAATTGAATTTGCAAAATCGACGTTGAAAGAAGGCACCGGATATTCAATTCCAGCGATTCGTAGAAATTCGAGGGAAAAGTCGACGGCTTAGAGGAAAGCCGAGCCAGCTATCCCGAGGGACGGTCGTCTATCGTCGGCCGACGCTCGACGTCATGGCTGAGCCGACGGAAAGCGAGGCGTTCTAGGGGTAGAGATAACCGCAGATAAACCCCCCCAAAGCCGCGAGTGGCCCGTCACCGAGAGCAGAGCTTCCCCCGCGCTGCGCTGGTGCCCCCGTGTGGGACCCGACCGATAGACGACAATGAACCGAACCTTGGACAGGGGACGGCGTCTGGACTTCTTGGACGCGTGACAAGGTTATGGTTTTCTCCGTGCCGGACGAAAAAGGAAAAAGAGTTTGGATTGTTTTGCTCATCTCTGTTTGAGATTGGTAGACTTTCCAAGCTGCCCTGCATTGATTCCTTGGGACGCGGTCCCTTTTTCGGTTGCAATGACGCTCTTTTGGAGTCGTGACGGTGTTTGTTACCCGTATCGGACGGTTCATTCTGAGGGCTGTTTTGAGGGGTCGATCAACCGCGCTGGGATTTGCCAGTGCTAGCCAAGACTCTGGTACAGGTTCAAAATAACTTCTTTCGGTCCTTGGTTCTTAACCCTGTGGTTTGCTCAAGTATGTTGTTGCCTGCCATGTATTTTGCGTTCTCTGTAACTACAGACATATCCTGAATTGCTTTCCCGGAAATTGGCGGACAACCCCGAGAACTAGATCAGTTGCATTGGAAATGGCTGGTCTAACAATAAAGTTATGACAACTGACTTTTCGCTGAGCCTCTAGGGCGGACTCTAACCTCAAGAACTGACTTCAAAGTGCCTCCAAGTTCGTTAGGCTGCAAAACAACTTGGTTTTTTACATGGTTTGCGGGCAAGCTCGTGTTTGGGCCTCTTTCCGGAATGTTGCCTGCTTCTTTAAGAATCATACATGTGTTATCACTAACCCCACCAGGCACAATACTGAGGGATTGAACATAAAATCGACATTCATTACGCGATGTAGTCAACCGTTGACCGAGGTGACTAGTAGGTGTAGCGGAAGGCCTTGTTCTCCCAGTCCGTCTTGTCCTCCTTCTCCTGCTCAAGGCCAGCCTGGAGCATGTTTTCGGGAACTCCATACTGGGAGTTGCGGCGCTTATTTTCAGCGATACACAACAGGTAGTACGCCAGCCCAGAAGCAGCCATGAGGGCGAACGCGAACATCATGGCACCGATTCCCAGGGGGTATCTCGGTGCTTGGCTAGACAGGAAGAGCTGCGGGCCAATAATGTTTCCAATTGCTGTAGTTCGGTCAGTCAGTATCAGCTGTAACCCCTAGAAAACAAGGAAGTGAAACCTACCATAGCACACAGCAACAGTGACTCCCATGAAGCTCTTCTTCGTCGCTCCGGCCGTGTTGGACGAGTTCAGACTCAACATGAACACCCACGGCACGTTATAAAAACCCATAATATACACGCCAGCCAGCGACGCGTCCCGCTGCAGGCTCACGTCGAGCGTGTGCACCATGACCGCGCCCGCGAGCCCGATCAGCGCCGAGACGATCCAGAACAGACACCGCAGGTTCTGCACGAACAGGGAGATTGTCGTCAGCACCGCGCCAGCGACCATGGCGACCGCCGCCTGCGGTGTGGCCATGAGCACCGTCTTTGTCTGGCTGAAACCGTACCCGGCGATGATGAGCGGGTTGAAGTTGGTGATGCCTGCGTTGGCGATGGCGTAGCCGATGCCGCACGCCCAGACGCACCAGCACTTGGGGTCCTTGAGGGCCTCGATGATTTGTCGGGAGTCGAACTTCTTCTTCGTGTCGACGCCCGTCTGGTTCTCGGCCAGCCGGACGATGACGCGCTTCTTCTCCTCCTCGCTAAAGAACCACGCCGTCTGCGGGGAGTCGGGTAGGGCGAAGACCACGACAAACCCAGTCAGGATCGTGACGGCGCCGTAGATGATGAAAATGTACTTCCACGTCGACAGCGAGCCCTTGATGTTCCCGATGGCGTACGAAAGGATCCCGCCAAAGACGCCGGCGAAGGTGTTATGCCATAATGCGGTGCGGAGGGGCTGCTCTTCGCGGCGGTACCAGGTCGAGTTGAGGACCAGCATGCACGGCAGCAGGGCGGCCTCAAAGATGCCCAGGAGCACGCGGATCGTCGCGAGGCCGGCGAAGTTATGGCACGCCGACATGAGGCAGATAGCGGCGCCCCAGAGGACTAGGCAGGTGCCGATGAACTTGCCAATGGGAACCTTTGTGATGAGCCAGAGAGCGGGGAGCTCCATGGCCAGGTACCCAAAATAGAAGACGCTACCTAGCCAGGAGTACTCCTGCCCTTTGAGGTTGGCGTCCTGTCGCATGCCGTAGATTGCAGCGAAGCCTAGGGCGTTCTTCACGACAATGCATGGTTAGTTTGGAGTTTGGCGGTGTTGGGGAGACTCTACTTGCCTTGTCAAGGAAGGCCAGCGTCATGCTGAGGACGGCGCATGGCAGAACCACAAGATCTGTCTTCATGAGCAGACGCCGGTTCTGGGCGGGCGTCGGCGCGAGAGGCTCGTCGTACTGCGTGACTCCATCTTGGGCGTCTTTGACATCCATCTGGTCGGTTGAGTTGTTGTCAACCTTGACTGGTTTAGGGTCCATGTCGAATACGGTTGGACTAACATGCAGAAGTGTTGTGTAAGTCGGGGCCGTGTAAGTCCCAGTCTGATCAAGAGACGAAACAGCTCAACTCGTCAATGGAACCAACAACTTAAATCAGAGCCAAGTCGAAGCCAAGATATAAGTGCGATTGGCATTCTTGTCAGTAGCGGCAGACCGCAGATATTTCAATGCCACTCCACATTGTCTACTGACGTTGACTTCAAGCTGTCGGCACGTCGTTGTTGATATGGAGATAATGGTAATGAGTTCGATTGACGAAATCGTCTTGGGGTATCACGCAATGACAAGGTGGGTCTTTCTCGGTCCCCACCGAGATGATCGTGGTGAAGATATCGGTCCAGTCCGAGTTATTGCCCGATTTGTGCTCCACAACCTTACTCTGTGATTGAGAAAGTCATCATGGATCGGTGGATGGTTTGCTAATAGAGTGGTATTGCGCTCAAGCCATGACACGTGGAAACACTTGCCGGCTAGCTAATAGGTCTATTGACAGTTGGGTCTTTGCTAACGGGTATGGCTTTACTGAAGGCAAGTTGGTCCAGGCCGTCTCAATTCAATAATGAAAATTCATCCTACTCTCAGAATCGTAGAGATTGACTCAAGAAACACAAATTCTAGAAAGCAGATGTCAACCATCACTTCGTAAATTTGATTGTTTTCTAAGGTCTCTAAACGCTTGGCCGTAGTGGAAGCATTTGGATCAAGAGTTGGCAACTTGAGTCAAATAATTAAAGCTTGGATCTCAAGCTTTCCAAAACACTCAAATCTCGAGTTTGCTCGAGATCCGCCAAAATCTGTTCTCTGGTCCTGGACACATCTCGCTCAACCTCGGCTGCGTACAACTTCTGAATTGCCTCTGTAAGAGGCCCTCTCTTCCCATCACCAATCTTTCGTCCGTCGACCTCAGTAACGTGAATCTGCGACGGGAACGTGCCGGTGCAGAAAGCCTCGTCCGCCCCGTACACCTCAGTGAGCGCAAAGTCGAGCTCTCGGACCTTGATACCGTGGGCGCGGCAGACATCGATGGTCTTCTGGCGCGTGATGCCTTGCATCTGGTTATCCTTCGTTGGCGCCCATACCTCATCGCCGCGGACGATGAAGAAATTGACAGAGTTGCACGTCTTCACAAACCCCCTCAGGTCCAACATCAGCGCCTCATCGACACCCATGACGTTGGCGCTTACGCAAGCCTGGACGTCTGTGGCTTTGGAAATGTGGTTCCACTGTTCGTCTTTGACGTCTGGGGGGCCGCGGCGAACCCAGGTCGTGCCTAGACGTAAACCGCGAGACTTTGCTGTTGGATCAACCGCCTTGATCTCAGGAATGATGACGATGAGCGGCAGACCAATGTTGACATGTGGGTTCTGGTATGGCGTCGACTTCAGCCCTCTGCTTACTACCAAGCGAATATGTACGTGAGGCTCGTTGCCCATGTCGTTGGCGTCCAAGGTTTGATGAAGTAGTGATAGAAGTTCTCCTTTGGTCAGGCCCAAGTCCATGTACATGGCCTTCGCGGACTGGAACAGCCGGTTGATGTGTTCCTTGGCGAACTGAACGCGCCCCCTAACGGCACGTATGCCTTCCTGTGCATAGTAACCCGGCGTTTAGCTGTTGAATTCTATTTTTCAATGAGAGACATGGAGTTGGACTTACCCAGATTCCATCACCAATAAGGAAATTTGAATCAAATACCGAAACCACTGCCTGGTTTCTAGGGACTAGTCGAAAGTCTTGTGTCACACCATCGCGAATACCGACCTTTCGATATGTTAGCTCTACCATCAAGTAACTCAAACCTACGTCTATTGAGACTCACCAAAATGGAAGCGTTCTTGGCATTGAGAACAGAGGTATGGCTTGTGGCCGGCTGACTCTTTGGTTGAGGCTGAGACATAGTTGAGAATCTGGCAGACAATGTTCCATGTAAGTCGGCGAAAGCCTTGTTTTAACAGTCAAGACCTTAGCTTTGCAAGAAACCCTAGATATAAAGTTCCCTGAGATTTAACATGCTGCACCAGCTTTGGGAGTGGTCGAATGCCCCAACGTCGTTCCCTATGTGGTAATCCGGATGGACAATGAGCTCGGTGAGGGCCGAAAGTTTAACGATGTCGTGCGACATGGGTCTCCACTTAAACTCGGTCCAGTCCGAGATCGCCTTCCTGCTGAAGTAACAGCAGCTAATCTTAGAATAACATGATATCGATCCGGCGATAGTGGTTAAATGCCCGAGCTCCCAGATACTGGATGCTACCATGTCAATTTGGTTTTCCAAGGCTATGCCAACTGTCAATATCAGTAAGATGATAGTAAGTTTGCCAGGGGTGGAACCTTGATTGGCTAACCGGATTTGACGGCACGCACTGAAAGCGTAGCTGAACATCACTACTTGCGGTACTCTTGCAATCGGAAGGCCTCGTGGATGACACGGAAAGAGTCTCATCTAATATCCCTATTCTGAAAGGGCTGGAGTTCGTCCATGAATGTACCGAACCAGGCAGTCAAACCTTCATCCAAGCCAAGCTGGGTGCTGTCAAAATATCCCGTTACTTCGTTCACATATGTTTCTAGTCCTTCGCCCTGAAAGGACATGGGATACTGCAGATTATCTGAAGCGAACATGCCGAGCGTGTCAGAAGAGCTGACCGGTAGCGTGGATGGGGTATCTGTCATGTGAGTCTGTACGCTTGGTGGCTCCCAGTTTGTTGGCCCGTATACTTTTATTCGTGCTGCTTGAAGAAGGTCGCGGTACTTCAGCAATCCTTCTTCTTTCATATGGGAGGTACCGCGCTCGATGAGGTCGATGCATGCGGCCACATCGCTACCATGAGAGTGAAGGAGAGGGGAGTCAGGATCGCGGGTCATTGCTTTGATATGCCTGGTCTCACTCTATCAGCCTGTGGACTATGAGATGCAGATGGAAAACTTTTAAAATGGGAGGTTGATGTGAATACGGGACTGGGATAGAGACTTACCAATCGCAATACAAGCCTGCTAGTCCTACCATCAGAATCGAATGCACATGGCGGAAGCATCGACAGACGGCCATGATGCCATGCTGGAGTTCCAACTTCAGCCATTGACGCACGGTGCCGGCTACAGCCCGAGAGGATATTTCAACCATCTCGCTGGAGGGAATCATGAAGGTGGGAGATGGTCGGTACATGAGAAGCAGGAGAAGACCATATTCAACCTTCATCTCGGAGTATTCTCGAGTGCCCTTGACATCAAGGAGAGTCATCTCTCGCTTCCAGCCTTCCAACTCTTTTTGGACATCTTCAATTTCGCTGCATATTTGCTGGAATGTGGCTCTGGACGCTCGCCCGTCGGGCGCCCTAGCGATGTAGATAGATTCGAGAACACGGCCACCTATTTGGCGTAGTCTTACAAGGTGGTTAAAAAGCTTGACATTGAGGTGGTTGAATACGGGTGCCGCCTGCACTTCAGCAGGTGTAAGGTCGTCCAGGCTGCTGAGGGACGGCCTAGAAGCATCTATCGCGTGGTCTCGAACCGATAGTACTCGCCCGGTGATTACTGCGACCTGCCTTTCTAGACTGTATATGCACCACCATGTGCGGTTACGAATCTCACGATCCTCGGCACTAAAGTCTCCGGCAGCAACAGGACGACGGTGGAGCCCCATTTCTATGGCTGTTGACATAGCATAGCGACTCAGCTGCCAAAGGTCGTCACCATGGCTCCTGACATTTGATCCCAGCATCCATAAGCTTAACAAGAGTGTGGAGTGGAGGCCCTGGAGGTCTCTCGGGTGGTCGTGGAAGTTGTAAAAGAAGCGAAGTCCGGTCTGAAAGTAGTCGGTTGGGCTGTTTAGGTCCATCATCCTCCGGTATTCTTGTTCCTCGGAGCAAGCGGCGGAAGCCAAGGAGAGAACTAAAAGAACCAAAAATCTCTGGTACACAGTACATCTCGTTGGGTCCTTGTATATGCATGCGAGACTACTCCTCAGAAAGGGAAGCGAGATAAATGGCCACCAAATGTGAATGCGGCGAATATACGTTTGCAAGAGGAAAACTGCAACTGGCTGTGGCGGGAGAGCTGCATTTCTTCGAAGAAGCTCTTGTTCTAAGTCAGGGAAATCTCCAAGGGTTGAGCGTGATCCTGAAGAGGGCGGTCCCAGGTCGATCTGCTTGAAAAAGATCCGGGCAAAGGTTGAGCCAGTGGCACTGCCCACTGGGCGATGTCACATTGGTCAACACGCAGTCACAGATACCGTCCGGCAGTTGGCATCCAGATTGGGTAATACTCACTGTATATCCTCTCGGAATAACTGTTGGGCCTCCCAATGGCCAGAACGCCAATTTCTTCGGCTTCTTTGCGGACATCGTCAAACTGACCAGGTTCGGATGCTCTGGCAAGCTGAACAGACGAGGGTTGAGAAAGACCATCGAGCCTATTTTGAAGCTCAATGATGCGATCTTGCAAGCTCTTGACAGCAGCATAAGAGTATGTTACGCGATCCGTGATGTTACATTGCTCATTCTGTCGATGGCATGTTGAGCATCGCGGAACCCGAAGGTCACACTTCGATATCGTCAATTGGTCGTTCTTGTAGCATTGGGCGGATGTTAATTCACCTTGACTTTTCGTGCATGACAGCGACTACAAGCCTTTGACACTGTCGGTGGAAAACGTGTCTCCCAGCTCGGATCCATCAACAGGTCATACAAGAACAGACAAGTTTGGTGCGGGTTCTGCGAGAGAGAACGTGGATCACCATGGCTCGGAGGTGTCCGAGTCTTTACATTGATTTACAGTGAAAGTACAGTGCTGTTCACTGTGTGTCTGTGGTCTGGGTGGGCCGGGGATCCTTACCACAGTCCCGCTTGCCGAAATCAGTAGGTTGGCAGGCTCTCGGTAGGCGGCTCGGTGAGTGGTGTGTCTCGATGAAGGATGTCACTGGCAGAGTTATGGTGTAAGTGAAGTAGTCTCGGGTACTTGGCTCTACGATACAGAAGTCTACTACATTTGGTGGCGTATATTTGAAGTGAAGTGAATTGCCTTGGTTTAGCAGACTCGAAGTTTTCCCAGCACATAAGTCGCAATACCTGCAGAGGAAGGAACTCACTTGCCATCAACCATCGCACACAGCAACTACTCACCCATTCTTGCCCATAACAAAACCGACAACTCTACACTTCACTACCAATTGACGACAGAATCTTCTCTTCATCTACAGCCTCAAAATCCCCAGAAACTCAATAAATAAACCTAGGGGTCAAACGCGAGAACATGAGTCCCGCTGCTAAGATCGCTGTTCTGGTCCTCATGCTCACCCTCCTCCTCTGCGTTATCGCCTATTTCGCCCGCAACCAAATTCACACCTTTGCCAAGGTCCTCTCCCATCACCGAGCAGCACGCAAGGAGGAGACGACCACTAATGCATCCAACGAGACCACCGTCTAAGGTATGCTCTGAATTAATATCATGAAGATGTCTTCTCCATCCACCGCTTACACGTGTCGGTATGATAGTCCCATACCCCAATCATATTCGAGGTGTGGCTTGGCCCCATTGTCACCGAAGTAAGGTAGCGCGCACCAGCCACACCCGATATCCCATCTCCACCAAAAATTCCATTCGGAAGCTCTCCCAAGCACCGATCGACTGACTTCATTGCGCCGCCCAGGATCCTCCCCTTCCACGACCCCAAGCCATTCTCCAACAATGGCCTCCCGACGCGCTCTCCGCTCCCCATGGAGCGTGCGATCCCTCTCGAACCAGCTTAGCACATCACCGTCTCCCGTCTCTCGTCCCTTCGCAATTGCATCGCGATCCATCAACACATCCGACTCGTCCGCTGAAAGCAAGACCACGCACTTCGGCTTCAAAACTGTCCCCGAATCCGAGAAGGCCGATCGCGTTGCCGGCGTCTTCCACAGTGTCGCCGATTCATATGATCGCATGAACGATCTCATGTCTTTTGGCTGGCACAGAGTATGGAAGTACGTCTCCCTCCTTACCCCATGCATCCTATATCACCACTAACACCCAAATCTTAGAGACCACTTCGTTTCTGGCCTCCAGCCAGGCCTATCAGCCTCCAACCCCCCGACTCCTCAGCACATTCTCGATATCGCCGGCGGCACTGGCGACATCGCCTTTCGCATGCTTCACACGGCGCATAACCTCAACCACAATCCTGACGTGCGCGTCACCATCTCCGACATCAACCCCTCCATGTTGGCTGTCGGCCGCGATCGCTCTAAGGCCCTGCCCGCCTCCCAGCAGGCCGCCATGTCTTGGCTCGAGGCCAACGCCGAGAAACTTCCTGAGGGCGCCATCAAGGACAATTCGATCGACCTGTATACTGTCGCCTTCGGCATCCGAAACTTCACCAACATCCCCGCCGCTCTGCGCGAGGCCTACCGTGTGCTCAAGCCCGGCGGTGTCTTCGCCTGTCTCGAGTTCAGCAAGGCGGATAACTACCCTCTCTTCAACGCCGTTTACAAGCGCTGGTCTTTCAGCGCCATTCCCCTGATCGGTCAGCTTGTCGCTGGTGACAGGGACAGCTACCAGTACCTTGTCGAGAGTATCGAGCGCTTCCCTAGCCAAGAGGAATTCAGGGATATGATCAAGGACGCCGGATTTGTGGTTTCTGGTGAAGGCTATGAGAACCTCACGGGTGGCGTTGCGGCCATCCACAAGGGTATGAAGCCTGTCGCGTAAGCGGTTCAGGTGCAAAGAGGGATAATGAGAAGGGGGCCCTATGAAGGGGCAGGTCGAGCTGGCAAGGCTCATGTACAATGCTGTATCTGTAACAATACGGAAAGAAACACGAATCAATGGCAAGGCTACATAGACGGCGGGTAGCCAGATAGATTCTACATAAAAATGTATATAAAGACGGCCGTTGGCCCTGTGTAATAGCCACTTTTCGTCCAGAGTCTCAATGGCAAACCGCTCACTTTCTCACGCCGCCCAGAGCTTTCGTATGCGCATGTAATGAGCACATACCAACAGCGTTACGAAAGCTTTGATTACAAGAAATGAATTCTTTACGTGGCCAGGAGCCTCTTGTTCTTGAATGACAGGCTGGTGTATGCAAGCTTTTTGCTACCCGATGCGTTACGAGTTCCATACATCCAAGGACGCAACGGTTACTTTTTTGAGGCACTGCAATCTCGAATCCCCTAGAGACATTGAGTGTTCATACACGTCTCATGTAGACCCAATATGTTGCGCAGACGCCATTGCGTTCTAGTAGCAACATCAGAAAGCGTTCGGGTCCTGAGCAACTTCAGTAAGCAGCTGGTGTGGTAACATTCAACAGTTCAGAGCCGGGATCACAACGCAAGAAGCACAAACCAAGAATGAGAGAGACTGATCAAAAGTGTACCTTTGAAAACTTTAGTCATAGTTTCCATGGAGTGGGGTGCGAAGACATGGCACAACACATCTTCTAAACAACATTTGAATTTGATATGTACAATATCTCCTTCCGTACAAGCTCCATATCATATGCTGACGTGCCCCTTCCCTTGTCTAGGGCCAAGGCCGAGGCCATGGTTGGCAGGCAGTGTCTTAGCCAATTTCACTGCAACTTTAACCCACCCAGTGGCTTTGGCAGATGGGCAGCAATACTTGAACGTTGCTATTTCACACCTCTTGTCCAGTGCCATACTCGCCATATAGTAAGATATGGGTCGAGTTTGGCCATTTTACTCGGGCACTAGCGGAAGCTGCAAGCATCTCTGTGTTGGAATTTCGTGATGTGCATTCCCAGAGCTGCCAGTCAAGCCCAGGTGTCCAGGAAGTCCAGAGCTTGACTAACAACATGTTTCCAAACCATCAGCAGCTTATCAAGGGGAACGGAAACCGATAACGTTTCAATAACATCGACGGAGGGAACGATTGTTTTCGGCAAAGCGAAGGGTCTCTACGTGAGCTTTCTCGCCTTGCGCAGCCCTGTTCAAAGCTCCGCCTCAAGAGGGACTGGAGTGGTGACAGCTGGATGCCAGCATATCGTGCAACTCACCGCAAGCTTACAGGACCAGGTGTGTCGGGTACCGTACACTTCAATCCTTCGCGCTTCCTTCACAGCAATTTCAACCCACCCAAACGGGACCGAACCGTTCACAGCAGCACCTGCAGCCTTCGGTATCCCAGACCGGATGTTCACTGCGTTTTCAAGTCTACCAAAGACAGTAAAGCCAGCACGCCCAGCTTGGCAGCCGCCTTTCCCAATCAGGCCATGACTTTCCTGCACTGCAATCTTAAGTCTCTTCGGAAGGACAACTCATAAACCTCGGGACTTGTTTGGGCCGATGATGCAAGTGTCCTCTACTGGCCGTTAACTCATGGACACTTCAGTCGGGTTGACTGTGCGAGCCATCATGCATGAGGAGAAGTCAAACTTTCCCCGGATGATTGGGATTGCAGTAGTTCTATGACGCCCACATATATACATCACGTCGGTCTCTAGACTTCAACCCATGGACGCAGGACGGAAACACATGTTTGGCTGACATTGAATTGGAATCTATCCGTCCGACACCACCAACTGCCATGTTCTGCCTCCCAAGGGACGCGACCCAAACAGAATGAAACATCATCCCTCGAGTTGAGTCCGCCGGCCCTCTTCCTCAACTCCCCGCCGCAGTCGTAAAATGCCCCCCTTTTTTTTTTGTCTCTCATCGATCAAAGAACTCCCAACATGAATAAACGGGGGAAACTGAGGGAAAAAAAAGGCTTCTTTTGGAAAAGATTCCCGGATAGACTGCCGTCCAACTCGAGAAAAATACCTCCATCTCCCACTAAGCTGTCTCATTAAGGTACGCGTACAAGAATTGGTAGCACTTGTTTTTTTCTTTGGCCCCTCCCCTTTCTCCTTTCATAACCGGCAAAAAACTGTTATTGTTTTGTCCTTCATTCCTCTACTGTCGAGGGGCCAAACTTGGCCATTATGGCTCCAAAGACTTCATTCGATGGTAAACGTCGCTTCGATTCTGAAGCCCGCGCCATCTTCCATAGTTCATCAAAGGGTTCGAGCGAAGAGTCCTACTCCGCCGGAGTGGCGGGGCCAGGGGCAGGCGAGGCACCACCTTCGCCCTTGAGTCCGCCTCGGCCACGGCCACGTCCCCGCTCGCCTCCGCGGCCGCCTCGGCCACCGCCGCGACCACCGCGGCGGGTGCTCTCAGAGTCACTGGCGCCGCCTGCGCTGCGGTAGCCGCTGCCGGTGTTCGCCGAGTTGCCGCCGCCTCTGCTGCTTCCCCAGTTGCCAGCACCGCCGCGAGGCTGGAACTTGCTCTCGCGGTGCTGGAAGACCTTGACCAGGGGACGGGACCGGTCCTCTTGAGCACGGGTCTTGAGGTCCTCGGGCAAGCTGTTAAGGGCGGCATCACGTTCCTCGACGGTCTTGAACTGGACAACCTTGTTCGAGTTGCCCCACTTCTCGACCTTGAGGATGTTGTCTCTGTGCTCGCCGTCGAAGAGCTCGCGCGTCTGCTCATCGGAGCTAACATTCATAATGAACAAACCGATAATGTCTTGAGCAGGCGTCTTGGGCGCAGGCGACGAGACGGGGTCAGGGCCGTGGGCCGATCCGTTAGCGGCCGCGGGAGCAGGGCGCTCATCTTTGGGGGGTACGGCGGGCGGCGCAGGGGTAGCAGTAGGCTGAGGGGTCGCGGGTTTGGCAGGCGGCAAAGGTGTTGCAACAGCAGGCTTAGGGGGTGCTTGGGATGAAGGCTGTCTGCTGGTGGGCGGGGGAGCCGTGGTCTGCGTCGAGGGAGGCGCCGGGGCGGGAAGGTTGCCAGCTCCAGCCGGTCCCGAGGGAACAGGCACGGCCGCCTTGGCACCTCTGTGTGAGAAGTTGAAGCCCTGGGCGCGCATCTCGGTTCCGATACGTCCGTCCTGAATCTCGAGCACCAACCAGCCAAATGCGGCATCTGCCAAGTTGAAGTTCCACATGTTCTTGAAGGCACTCTCGTCGACCTGGCCAAGCTGAGCCTGGCCGGCAACAGGGCCGCCAAAGGGGTTACCTCCGGCGGCAGTGGTGGGCATCTTCTCGACAATCTGGAGAGCGTTCTTGAGCAGGTTCTGCTGCGCCTCGTTCTGAGAGATGGCAGGCTCGACCTCGTTCTTGACAGTCTCCCAAACGTCGTTGAAGGACGCCTTGGAAGCAGCGAGCTTGCCACGATAGTGGTCGAGGGTGGGATTTACGCTAAACTCGTTGTAGGAGCTGCCATAGCGGAAGTGAAGCCCCGCAGAGATGGAGAAATCCGCCTTGAGGGTGACAGAGAGCTGGTTCAGGATACCCTCGCGAGCGGGAGAGGCGTGGGTGACGAAGACGCGAGTTTCGGTAGGATCGTAGACTCGGTGGGCGGTGTCGACGAGCTCGCCCATCTGCAGAAGGGTGGTCCACATGGTTCCCTGGCCTCCGGCAATCGTAGTTCTACCCTCACCGTTGTCGAACAGCTTGTGCATGACAACAGCACCGCCAAGACCCAGGAGGCGCAACTTCACCCCACCGAGTTCGAGAAGCATCGAACGGGCCTCGTCGATGATGTGCAGGTTCTGTACCTTATACTCTCCGGATCGGAACTTCTCGAGCACGCGGACATCTTCGCAAGCACCCCAGACAGTGTATACCGGAACATCGAGCTTGATCTCGCCGCTTAGGAGGAGAGGCAGTTCGGAAAGGGGGAGCTCGTTTGCGGGGAATCGGCTCTTGACGGGTCCAGGGCCGCCCTGCTGAATCGCCTTCTTGACGGGCTCCGAGATCAGAGGAGAGTACTGAGCAACATGCTTGAGGGTCCTTGGCACCAATGTCAGAATGACAGCGGTCGTGTGTAGGATCGTAGAGGGTTCCTTACTTTTCTGCGATTCGCTCCAGGGAAGTGTCGTCGTAGAAGCCAAAGTCGCCAGTGTGGATGATGTGGTCGGCTCGTGCTTGTCTCGCCAGGTCGTTCAAAGATGTGAGGTTTCCTGTTACAAACAAGTCAGATTGGAGCTCTACGGCTGGCCATCGGACGGGATTTGATGGAACAGCGACGCACCTCGAACATCAGCTATGCACAAGACTCGGATGGGGCCAGTCTGGATAACACGACCCTGGTTGGGGAGGAGCGGCGCAGCTCCAGGAGGGATCGAAGAAGCTCCGTTAGGCATGTAGCCCGGGTTGTTGTTGTATGGACGCGGCTATCAACATCGATGACATGTCAGTACTGGGGCCTGAAAGCGGGACAGGTAGGAGCTATCAAGGTCCGGCCGGGGGTCGACCAGGAAGCATCGTGGCAACGAGGACAGATGTGAGGAAGGGGGAGCGCAACGAAAAACGAGTCGCCGGGCAAGATTTTCTATTGCCAGCTGAAGCTCGACGTGACGAGAAATAAGATGCACTCACGGCAGCCATGCTAGGTTGTTGTTGGAGGATTCGCGAGATGTCGATTGGGCGATGGAGGTCACAGGGGACGATCGGGCTCGGTGTTGTCGTCGGATGGTTGACCGGTCGCTCGGTTCGGAGAGGTCGAAGAGGGGAGGGTTGGGTATCAACGGAGATGGAAAAGAGGTTGGAAGAAGCAGCCAGTGATGTTTGCGACGAGACAAGGAATAAGCTCCCCTTACAAGGCTGGTGATATTTTTCTGGAGGTTCAGGAAAAGTGCAAGGTGTAGGTGGAAGCAACGAACGGACGAATTGGCGCACTGCCAGAAGAGGCTGCTGCTGCCCCAAACGGTTTAGCGCGGATTCCCACAGCTGGTAGGGGCCAACGTGCTCTTTCCTAAGAGCACCTTGTCTGGCGCGGTGAGCATCAACCTCAGCATCCTGGGAGGCGGCAAGCAAAGACAGGGCGACAAGCTCGCTGGGCACCTTCCAGGCACCGCAGCGGGGCTTGGGCACCTGTCTTGCGCTAAATTAACACAGCTCCTTACTTCCACTTCCTCCTCCCGTCATCCACGGGCTGCGTTCCATTGCTTAGTCGGGCGCCCCGAGTTGGACCTGTCAGGGATAGACACGACACCTCATTCAGCCTACACAAACGGAGGCGACCAGCACGCACTTCAGCTCAATTTCATGGACAACAACGGAGGCTTCCCTGCGGCTCCATCATCTGCAAGTCTTGTGGCAAATCCACTGCAGAATGTTTTGCTGTCTCGCACCCAAGCACACACACAAACACACACAAAAGCAGACGGTACGTAAGTTGCATTGCTGTTCAAAGAGTCTGGACAACCTTGGCACGTGAGGTCCAACCCCAGGTATGAGGCGGGCCACACCGACGCCAAAACAACGACCCCAACGGCCATTGATGGCCAAAATCCATGGATCCACCGTACGTGGTGTTAGATTGTGCTTGTAATATACTTTATTCTTCTTCCCCATGTATCACCATCGAACCTAAGTAGCCGTCAGATCATCCCGGTCGCTATGCTATCTGTTTACATGTGCTTGCCAAGATACTTCCATCCACCACAATACAAACCGAAGGATAGTAACTACGATGGGATCAAACATGTCGGAGAAGAAGAGAAAAAAGAAGAAATAGGGCTGCCCAAGGCTCTGCCAAGCCATCAGCAAAAGCCCATCCTGAATAAATATCGAACTCGCAATCCCTGAACTCCGCCTGATGCACATCCGTTTGAATGATTATACAGCGCCTTCCAACGGGTCCACTCTCCGGTCCGGACCACAACTGGGGACCTGTCTGCTCGCCAGTGTACCCCCAGCATGCCGCTGCCGTCGTCTTCACTTCTCACTCATGCATCGATGTTCACCACATGTCCTCTCGATCGTCCCTACGCCTCGCATCGTCGCCGCCATCACGTCCATACTGGTCGTGGTAGTACTGCTTGCCAGGTTGAGCATTATAGCTGTCAGGGCCATTGTAGCCATTGCTGCGTCCATTGTCAATGTCGCCGCCGTGGTCGTACTCATAGATCTGAGCATCATCCACGTAGTCCACCTCATCGTGAGGATGGTCTCCGTACTGGTTTTCACCCTGTAAATCGAGTCAGCTTCAAAGTATGATGCATCACACTGTGGTTCAACATACTCGATGGTACTCAAAGTTGTACTGGCCCGTAGTGTCCTGGTCTGCCGCATCTTGCTGCTGCTGTTGCTGTGCGAGGTACTGTTCTTCCTGCTCTTTGCGGCGGCGCTCCTCCTCCAACCGTCTTTGTTGCGGTGATTGCGGAACCTGCATCTGAGGATGCATGGCTTGAACGATGGCGAGGTAGTTGTACATGAAGTTGCTGAGCAGAACCTGGCTGAGTAGCGACCGACGTGGGTTTGCGAGCTTGATATGAGCCATCCGATAAATCGCTCGTTCCTCGAGGAGCGGGAATCTGGTCCAATGGTAGTCAACGTCAGGCTTGAGAGGTCGATATGGAACGTCTTCCGACACGCGCAGGTGTTGGTTCTTCTTGCTGCTGCTCTCCTTCTCGCTCTTCTTCTTACCGCCACCGAAGAGGCCTGAGAAGAGACCGCCCTCCTTCTCCTTCTTGGATTCCGTCTTCTTACCCTCCTTCTTCCGCTCCTCTGCAAGCTTGTTGTCAACGTTGTCGCGATCCACAATGATGCTCTCTCTACCCTTGGAAGAAGCTCCCTCAATCGAGTTCTGCAGGACATCCAACCGGGCGTTGTCTTGTGCCTTTTCTGCGCTGTGCTTCTTCTTTTTATCTTCATCCTTTTTCTTCTTGTCCTTATCGTCACTGCCGCCCTTGAGCCACTTGGACCATCCCCCGGAAGACTTTGTCGAAGAGATGCTAGACGCGTCGTCGTCTCTCTCCTTCCTGAGCTTGCCCGCTACCCTCTTCTCCTCCGGCTTCTTTTCTTCTGCCGGCAAAGTGGGAATGAAAGTCAGGGTGTCCGTTCGGGAGGCACCACTGCCGGGCAAGATAGATGGGTGGGAAGCCATGTCGTTCAGCGTATGATTGGGAGCGGTGGTTGGCTGCTTGACAGGCTGCACCTGTGGTTGTTGGGGTGTCGTAGGAGTCGTGGGGCTTTGCGCAGAATTACTAGATCCAGGCCGCTTGGTCGAACGAGCAGGAGGCTCCTCCACTGGAGACTGCGGGGGGCCTGCTGGTTTGCATGTTGCGAAGATGACCGCTGGGGAAACTGCTGCCTTTGTCCATTATCCTCAGCTGTCGGTGACTCAACAATGGATGGGACAGCTTGTTTAGCGTCGGCAGAAACGGAAGACGTCCTCGCGGGATGCTGCTGCTCGGGGCGAGTGTTCAGAGACAGAGGCTCTTCGACCTCTGATGATGCACCGTCGGGTAATGTACCCATATCCTGAGAAAACTTGTGCTGCCGGCGTACTGATCGGTTGGGGCGTGAGAAGTTCTCCGCTACGGGGTCAGACTGGACTCGTTGGTGGCCAGGCAAGGGGGGCACATCGGGCACGTCAGACGGCAGAGGTGGCACCGTATCAGCCGAGTCGGACGAGTCTGTGTGAGCGTGTCGATTCGCAACCCGTTTCGAGAAGGGTAACCGATCTCCCGAGCGTACACTGCCGTTCTTCCGGTACGTTGTTCGGGTCGACCGACGGAGTCCCATGCCGGGAGCAACGGGCAGGATAGGCATATCTTCGGCACCACCCTCGGCTTGGCTCTCCTGAGAAAGCTCTCGCACTACCTTGGTGGGATCCTTGACCAGCTCATTCAGGTTGAGCTCCGGTGTCGAATAGTCTCTGAGGGAGCTCTTCCGTCCGAGCCTCTCGGCACCGTCCACGTAGCCGACAGCTCCTCTTCCTCCTGAATTGTCAATCTGCCGAGAGAGCATACTCTTCTTCCGTCTCAGGCCACCGCTAGAGTCGCTCCGGCCCATACCGCTGTCGTTGGATTCGCCTGATCGTCTTCTGATAGTTTTGACTCGGTCCTCCAGGAAGTTTTTGAATTCTGTTGGCGCAAGCTCCGGGTGAACAGCTGCAGGTACCCAAAGCAGCCTTGAAGGGTCGTTTTCGTCATCGTCTCCCGTCGGCGCGATTGGAGGCATCGCCACAAGGGAGAGACCGGAAAAGGGCAGCATATCGGGATCAGCGTTATTTCCAACATCCATAGACATGCGTCTCAGGGCCTGCAAGTTGCTGAGCTCCTGCGCGATATCGTTTGGGTTCTCGATGCTACCGAGGGGAAACTGGGAGGACTCGTTCTTGACATCGCGCAAGGACATGGGCGGCGACTTGGGTCCATTTTCGTATGAGTTGCTTCGCTGAGTAGGTGGGCGCGTCTGTAGAGTCTGGGACTGCTTGAGCGGGGGAGTTCCGTTCTGTACTGCTCCTAGGCCCGTCTTGTCCGTGGCCGATCGTATCATTTGTCTACGGGGGTCTTCGGCGGAGGGGTCGGCTTCGCCCTGCTTGTCGGGTTGGTCAGAGTACGACGATCCAAGAAAACTCATAGGCCGTTGGTCATTTGAGTAGTCCTCCTCGTCTCCGTACAGAGTCCCAATGGTCTCAGTCACATGGTGGCTGGGGTCTGAGATTGACAACTGGGGCGCATGACCGCGTCGACTCGCAAAGCTGCCGCCTACATCGGCGCGGGGTCTAGATGAGGTCTGCGGATAGCACGGAGAGTCAGCAACAGTAGCAGGCTGTGGGAGGAGATTCAGGTGTAAGAATTGGTGATGGAGTCCCCGAGTTCCAGGGGAGGGGCCGCAGCCGGTTCAACAATACGGGGCAAAGCATTTGGGAGCGCGAGGACTGAGGGTCTGGCCAAAGTGGCAGGTTGTGGACGAGGGTACACACCATCATCTAGGAGAATGAATGACCCGCAGGGAGGCCGAAAAGCCAGCGTTCCCTTGGATGCACCACTTGTTTGCCAAGTATCTTGTTCGGAAAGATTGCGTTGGCGAGGTCTCATCTGTCGAGGGTAGGGGGCAGCATAGGCGCGGCGAGGAAACGAGGGGGGAATCTCGTGAGCGAGCGTCGGAACGAATCGGTTCGCAATACGGAAACAGGTATCGATTCTCGAGTTAGTCGCGGTGTTTAGTATCGCATGCGAGAACGTGTTGGAGCGGTACTTGGGATGTACTGCGATAAGAGTTGGGAAAGACTGGAGGAGTCGGCCGTTGCGGAAAAAAAAGAGAAGAAAAAAGCAAGCGGCGAAAGGTGCTGTTGAGAGCACAAAATCGGCGAGGATGGGGCAGAGCCAGGCACGTCAAAGGTGGGCAGTCGGTTGGCGGTATTTCTGCAATGTTGTGTTGTGTCGTAGTGGTTAGGCAGGTAAAAAGAGTTGGTGGTGGTGGTGGTGGTGGAAGTCGTTGGTAGATGTACCGCTCGGTAAGGCCAGTGGTGTCAAATGGTTCACCGTCCAGTCATGTCTTGGAAACCGAACTTTGGAGAATGGAGTTGGGATTTCCGTCCGGGCAGTGCGCTGATGCTGATGTCGGTGCAGGTGCGGCAGGTGCAGACAGACGTAGCCAGTCAAGACCATTACCCCCTACTGCAGGTCGGAGAGCGGGCAGGAGACTGAGCGCGAGCAGCAGCAGCAACAGCACGCACAGAGAGTGTGTGAGCGAGCGAATGAGTGGAATAGAGCGATAGACAGGCGCTACCAGGTTGAGGTCACGTCGTGGAGATCAGGTACTTGGGGACGAAGTAGATGGGTACATGCCTATTTGCAGAGACGGCCCATGACAACTTCTCGTCTCAGGCGTCGGAAGTAAGCGGTCTGCTGGGACCAACCAAGTGGAGGTGAAAGAGGGGGAAGTACAAGATACCCTCTAATGAGTGGGTGACATTCGTACCGTGGAGGGGAGGGCGCCACTCAGACCGCATTAGCGCCAATTAAACCGGGCTCCTCAAGGCTCAAGCGGCCAGTCAAAGTGGTCTGGCACGAATGGGCCGCGGTTCCGTCACGTGCCCTGCCAGCCAGCCAGCCGGCCATTTGCCGTTGCTAATGGGCGGCCGATGCACCTCCCTCGGGCGAGGGAATGACTAGCAGAGTGCTTTGTATACAAGGCTTAGAACCCTCCGCGATGGGAAAAGGGGGAAGAAAGAAACCGGTGGGCCTAATGGGATGCTTCTTCTTGGTTTCAATACGTTCCCTCTTTCGTTGTTTGTTTCTGTGTTTGTTTTTTCATGAATAGTTCAGACCGGGCGCGGACGGACACAGGAGGGGATCAATGTCAAGCAGGCACGTTAAAGATTACCTAATACGCCAACCAGCTGCCCCTTACACTACCTCGAAGCACGGTAATTAGGTAGGTAGTTTAGTCCATCGTCTGTTCGGCTGGATTAAAGTGTCTTTTCGAGTCGTGCATGTGTGTGACCGTACCGCGCCTGAGTGCCTGAGCCAAGACACCTATCGTCCGTTCCCCCTTCGTCCTTTGTGCATCGAGTGCAAAGAACCCCTGGCTCGTGTGTATTGCCTACTGACTGGCTGCCGGTTTGGCATCGAGGCATTGCCGACGGATACCTACTGTACTTGCGCTGGCGGGGGCCGAAAGAGATATGAGAAGAGGGAGGGGAAGGGGGGAAAAGGGCTGGCCCATCCTTCGCCTTCGCCGCATCTCAATCACAGCAACCATTCGATTCGACCGAACGGCACCCAATCATACCCACATTGCTAGTGACACACTTGCAGTCCACCTCTCTTGCGCCTGGAGCACGGCGCCTTACCTGACCCTACCTCCATTGCTACTCTACATTCCAGGTCCAAGCCAAGGACCCCGACACTGACGATGGATGACGAGCCGAATCAAATTGTCAGCTGGCTCCGGCCGACTCTTCCCAAAGAGCACATACTAACCACGAGTTCCGGACATTGGATGTGGATGGGACATGGATGCGCCATGGCCGCACAATCAGTCCATCACATCACTGATCAAAGTCGCCAAAAAGAACCGTGAAACAAGGAAAAACCACAATACGAGTTCGGGGCTCTCCTTCTCTCGCTTCTCATCTCTAACCCGAGCTGAATCCGGCACTCTCCAGCACGTTTCTCAAAGCCCCTAAGTACCCTCACAGCCTCAACGACATCCAAACGATGCAGGGACTGCCTGCCAAAGAGGAGAAGCTCCGTGATGTGTACCAGCACCAGCGTGGCCCTCTATTGTAGACGCTCCAGGAGGCGTGCTCGTTTCTGTGCTGGACTATGGAATACAGGTTACACTTACACACAGAGCTGTTCCTGGTGGCAACTGACTTCGCTCTGCCTTGCTTGCTGCCTCGACGTCCGCCCATCGAACCGACGTCGAAATATAATGGTTCTTCGCTGATGGCTGCTGCCGACAATCGACACTAACACGGCTCATATGCCCCAGAGCGATCCCAAGGCTCCCCAACCTGGCCGGCTTTAACATCCCCAGAATAGCTCACCACTTTATGCCAGGGAACATCGGGTTTCTCTCGACAGGGTTCGGCTCTCTCTCCTCATCCTGCCTTTGCCTGACGCGCGATTTGCCTTTTCTACGCCCCCGAAACAGAAGCCATCCAAATCGAAGGGTGCCCTGGGTTAGGGGATGCAACCCACAGCCGTGCACCACGGAGTTGAAGTGGCCCCCATCGTTCCACGTCCTTCTCGAAGCACTGGACTCTGGAGAACGGGAGGCTGGAGACTGGGTTCTTGGGTCTCGGGGCTGGTCAGGTTCTTGGCCAGTGGGCCGGTGACCATCGTCACCACATCGGGCCCCTATTCACCACCGGCGCTGCCGGCCGTCGTCGCCGTATCTTTGGAGTCATCTCCCACTCTCGCCCCTTGAGCCCCTTTGCACCTAGGGATTTTTGATTTCAAGGCCCAACCGCCCTCTTGGCTCCACTGCGCCAGAGCGACCTGAATGGGCAATCTCATTTCAGCGCCCGACGGCCTCATCACCCTCCCTCCCGCTTATCCTCCTCAATGTCAAGATGCTCGCCCCTGTCCACCATCACGACCAAGGCGAAGCGCCCTAGCCACCTCTGAAAACCATCCCCTAGGGACAAACCAACCAGGGCCGCCCAACTGCGATCGAAACGCCGCATGTCATCCATCTGCCGCTTCCTAGCAAGGGTGTTCGCCATCCGCCATGATAACGATCGGGCAGCCGGTTACAACCGGCGGGTGGCTGCTGAGCGCTGGTCTCTTTTCCATGGTACCGAAAGATGTCACTAATTGTGCTGAGATGCACAAAACCCCCCATGAGAAGTGCTAAGTAGGGGTCTTTGTTCAGTTGTTGTTCAGTTTTTAAATATATATTCAACCTCTACGATGACATGTCTTTAGCCTTTCTCTCCTCATTTACAGGCCATGCGCTTCGGAAATACTGGGCATCAGAAGGCGGTACAGCCGTCCCCCATAGATGCATTCCCGACTGGCCAGTGCCGGCGATCAAGCGATCATCACCCGAAGCATTGAAGTTGGCAGCTGAACGGATTCCTCCAGGGCCCAGATCCATGCGCGCGCGGGCTGGGCTGCAGCGACTGGCATCGGTCGCTATCTGTCAGAGGACTTCTGGGCTCCCAAGGTAACACCACCACGAGTCCACGATTCCTCCCCCCCAAAAGCCAAAATGGTGGTGTGGCTTGATGTCCAAATTCCCACCCGTACAGCTGCAACAGCTGGGGTCTGCGTTCTTCCTTGCAGACCGCTCGGCCAACAGAGCTTACAGCAGCTACTGGCTGTGGCGGCCAAGAGTTGAGTTGGAGCAAGGTGGGTGGACTGGAGCTTTGTCTCACATTGGTCATCCACTGAGATCAACACCTCATTGTTCCCCGCGCCGCCACACCAACACACCATCTCCAACGCACGGGGAGACTCTGGTGTGTGTGCGAGGCCAGGCTGACATTAAACTGCTGCATGATGTGTGTGTGCTAGCCTCTTGCTTGTTGCCCGTCAACCAGACTTCGTCATCGCATCCCACCTCTCAAACCGCTGCAGCATAACTGCATGGACGTCGCACGCACTGAAGATAATGCCATGACTACGGATCCCAGTCAAATGGCTTTCCGAGCCGTAACGCATTGGCTCCAGAGCCAGACTCTGCCGGTATTCTGCTGCACTACACCGGCATTCCGGTCGAGGATGCCAACAGACATCGACGCTGACAGTGTACCTTTATCACAGTCTCATCTGAGCAACGCGCTGAGCCAGCAACAGCAACATCAGCAAAGCCAGTCGCCCCAATTCAGCGAGGGAGAGACCAGCGAAAGCGTCGCGAGGCGCGCATCATCTGCTTTGTGGACCAAACCGCTACCGCAGCTCCCGCCACCCAACATGTCCTTGTCAGGCAAGGTCGCCATCGTCACTGGCGGCGCGCGAGGCATCGGCGCGGCGATCGCGTTGAAGCTCGCACGAGAAGGGGCCAGGGTGCGTCTACCAGTCTCAGCTCCCTCCTCATTTTTTCCTTCTCCATCTATATATATATTCAAGGGAAACGAACCACGGCTAAAGCTAGATTCCTATGATTCGCGTGACTGAAGG